GTCGCACCGGCCAATCGCGGTTCTTGTTCCCCGCTCCCCGCCCCCCCGTGAGCTCCATATCACGAACCATAGGGAGTGGAACCCCCCACTCCTCTCGTGGAGAGGTGCACAAAGTTACTTTTCTGTTGCGGTCCAGCTGCGAACGTACCCACGTGTCGCTAGTAATTCAGTATAGTTTAAGTAAAAGCTTTTCGAAGGCGTCATCTCAGCCCATCACCTCCCCCTCCTCCAATAACACTAATCCCGGGACCCGGCGGATCTGGCCGACCTACGGTCTGTGTGTTGTCTTCTTACTGCCTTCGTAGCTGAGGTACCCAGAAGGGCAGGTTACCTGCCAACAAGCTTGAATTAGGTACCCCCTCTTTTACTGACGTAGAGGGCTTAGTGTCGCTATCTCCACGGTCGGCTACGCAAAAAGTCTCAGTAGTCTTGGTCAAGTCTTAGTTTTTTGCCGAGCGCTAGACCGAAATCCTTTCCCACCATCGACGATCTACAATAATTAGCTTCAATTCACACCTTGTCTTACACTGCATGGTGGTAGCCATGCAACTGCTTGTAAAGCCGATAACCCTAGGGCCGAGCCTCCCAACTCAATCGCGCAACCAACGGCGGCAAACGCCTCGCGAATCATGCGGCAGCCCGCGCGCAGAAAACAGTTAGGCTCTCGATGCAAGCTGCATCTCGGAGTCAAGCCCCTGACGTTGGCGGCCCTTCTCCGACCTATCGCAGAGCCCAATGGGCCGGATGGCGTTTGTTGCCAGCAACGCCAAACGACGCCATGACATCATGTGCCTAGCGCGCGAGCGAGAGATTGGCGGGTCCATAGCCGCTGTTGGTTGTCGCTAGCCTCTGGGGACCTCGTGGCTTTCTTTGGCCGGAGTTCCACTGTTGTGGCTCAAAGTATTGTCCGAGAGGGGGGCTTGCATAGATGGGGAGGATTGGGAACCAACATGGTGCTTGCATGGGCTCGCCTGGCGGTTCGGGGTTCAGAGCGAACCCTACGTCGAAGGAAGACCAAGGTGCAGAAAGGCTGAATCCTTCGGCAGTGATAAGGTGGAGGAAACAATAACGAAAAACTCTCCTTCCTAATTGCTACTTTGGGATTTGATATGAGGGTCCACTATGTTGTTGGTCTTGCTTTTAGAATAGGTAGGTGATTAGGCTTGATCTATGAAATCTGCAAGGACGGCTGCGGGGAGAGGGGAGCAAATTCTAGTGAGTCGCTCCTTCTTTTTTTCTTTGTTTTTGCCCTTTCCGAATTGGTACATTATTGAGTGATTAGATTTGAGTTCTTTTATCGGTTCAACTGCTTCACGGATGAAATCCTGCAGTATCCTAATCCGTTAGATATGGATCCTTCACTAGTTGCAATACCGAGTCTTGGTCTGAACTTCCTCCCTTTTTCGTAATCTAATCATGATCTCATCTCACCATGCTTCCAACCCACCGAGCAACTTCGCTTCAGTTTCGGGCCCCTAGAGTCGATCATTACCACACAGACCTAGTCCGGCCCCTCCGACGCCTCTTCCTCCTGCCCCCCCAACCCCCTTCAACCATGTGGCATGGATCAAACTCTCGAGAATCAGAGACTGTCGATCGCAGATAGCAATGGGGCTGTTTCTTTTCTTAGGACTGCACGGGGTCCTGGAAATTAAATCTGTCCGGGAGGTCTCTGCGGAGTCACTGCGATATTCTGTGTCTCGATTAGGGAGAGTTCTAGTTGACCTTGGGCTCCGCTCGGAGGACTCTGAAGCTCCGCCTCCGGCCTCCCCCAACGGACTCCCGGGGTGGGAGAGAACTCTCCGGTCCGTTGGAGCTGGACCAACACCATGACCTCAGGGGCGCTTATCCCTCTCTCCTCTGGAGCATTCAGGTATGCTCCTGAGTGACTCTGATTGCAAAGGGTCAAGCCACTTATGCAAATGCTCTTTTGTTCGCGATGACATGCAGCTTCAGCCTGATCTCCGCAGGGGGGCCTAGCAGTTTGGCTCCTGATTTAGTGCATCACTGTATGTCCTTGTCATAGAAATTGTGGTGGGATCTGTATGGACTATGCCGTATGCAGTACGATGTGAACTGTACTGCGCAGCCGCGGTTCAGCACAAGCATTGGGCCTAATTCCTTCTGTAAGGCTTCCAGCACTTCAGCCCCTGGGATTGAAGCTTCCGGGGCGGATGGGGGCCTCCATAGGCATACCTGATAGACAGGAGGTCCTGCAATTTCATGAGACTATTTTTGCATAGCGACCCGAGTATTTGCGAGCTTGCTGGGACTCAATGTCCGCAGTGCTGTCACTCCCGAGTACGAGTACGCCGCAGATTCGACTTTCCGTTGGTCCTGGGAATCAACTTGGACTTTTTGATTATATTTTCCAAAACTATGCATGGATCTCTGAAAGTTTCAGCAGCTTTGTCTGGGGTGTGCTTAGTTGCCCACCTAATCGATCGTCAAAGATATTGTCCTCGACCTAAATGTTTAGTATTAGTAGAGCAGTGGTACCTACTAGACGTGTTCAAGCGCTTGTATAAAGATAGTAATCAAGTTTCCTTACAATCACTGTCGCTCCTGCTTGTTAACCTGGAATAGTCAATCGACGATTTGGATGTCTGTATTGTCGTTGTTGAGGATGTTATCCAATTTTTCCATCTCGAGTCTGCGTTACGGTTAAATGCTCCGAGATCCGAAGATATATACTTCTGACGGTAGGGTGACAGTCTTGCAAGATCGTACTCCAAAAGTTGAACTTGAAGGTGGATATTCGAGTCCTTGGAACTTGGATCTCGATTAATTTAAACTCTCAGTCTACTAGTAAAAGCAAAAAAGGCAAATTAACAACAGTCCTAGTTGCTCTTCCAACCATCCATCTTACTGCGTCAATGGCGCCAGAACAGGGGCATCCTTGCTAATCCTGGAACACTGTGAAATCAATTCTGAGAAAGCAAACAATAAAGGCCCAGCTCCTCATAGCGCCCACGATGCACCGACTCCAGTTAGACCGTACGTCGTCGCAGATACCCAAGTACACTCGTTGCACCGTTGACATGTATATCCGAAAGAGTTGTTCAGTGCCTGGACACCTCTGGCGCTTAAGCGAGGTCGAAGGGCATCGTCATCGCAAAACAGACACGGGAGAGTGCTAAGCGCAGCCATTGTCCCCCCTCCCCGTTGTATTCCACTTTCTTCCATCTGCCTCACGGTATCTGACACAACACCTCCGTCTGATAAAGGTTCGGAATTGTCACTTTCCTCGCCCTCGTCGCCAGTCTCCACGATCACATCTGCTAGGAGAGGAGTCGGTACTGCATACGGTTTGAAGCGCCCACTTTGGCGTCAAACGAATGTGGCATTCCCTTTTCGAGTTTTGGCGTAGTGTGACATGGTAAAGAGCTTGACATGCTATGTATAGGACCTGTTCATATCAAGCGGCTCCGGCGCCTCCGATACCTGCGTCTCTCGAAGCAGAGCGTGAATATAGCACGGCGTTTGATGCTCAACTGAAAGGCCTTGAATACGCCCTGATATGCGCCAGCAAGTATTGCTTCGACAAGGTTCTTCAAGAATCAAGACCGGTGAGCCGGTGCTATGTATGAACATCGTCCTCACATAGAATTCGAAAGACTCATTACCAACAGACATCAGTTTGCAATTGTAACGGCGCCGTCAACACTCGAAATTTGCAGGCAACCCCTCACAACTAGCGACGCCTTGACTGCTGTCACAAAAATCACCTCAATCCCGAATCGCGCTTGTTCACCGTCGTGAGCAGTTCCCAATATCGCCAACTGTACCTGCCAGCTGCGCATCCGGAGTGCTGACTATACATTCTCCCTTGCTCGGAGAGGCTCGTAGCTTACGTCCCAGGCCCCGAGGCACAGGTTCAATAGGCTTGGGGGGGTCGTAGAAGAGCATACTGTGGGGAATTAGGGTCACGAGGTTGTGCGTTCTTTCGCGAAGGGAGCTGCTGGAGACCAAGAGGACGGGCCTGATTCGGGAATTTGGTAAATTGTGGAGTAGGGGTAGGTAGTGAAGGGCGACGAGGGGGCGTTTGGCGTGCGAACTCGTTTGGGGCTGCGTTGGATGATCATTTTTCGGGGTCTGGAGGGGTGGACTTGTTTTGCGGTTGAAGACCATGGTAGTTGTGTGATGTTGTTTTCTTTTCTTTTCTTTTCTTTTCTTTTCTTATTCTTTTTTTTTTTCGGAAGTGGCAAGTCGGTGGATTTGGGATAGGGATGTTTCTTGTTGTGTTGTGGGCGTGGTGGATATTGATATGGTGATCTCCCGGTGTAGATGAGAGGTCGAAAGCCGTTCGATGTTGATGTGACCGTGGGCAGGCGCCAAATGACATTGAGGTAAGAGCTTTAGTGACGGGAAGTGGACAATAGTACCAGGCAATCTGGAGGGCCAAAGCATGCCTTCCGAGAAGTAGAACCATACATCAAGTTATATAAACACCAGTACAGGTATATACCACAAACATCGAATCGGAGCCGTAGATATGAATATCCACTCGTGCATTAAGTATAGACTAATCGTTGTCCTTACATTCGCCATCCATCAGGGAGAACTGCTGGGATAGAAATGACCAGCACAGAAATGGCCTGCCCTGGAACGAGGCTGATAAGAAATCAGTTTAGGAGAAGAAAGAAATGTCAGTTTCAAAACGTGCGTTACCATCAACCGAAAGAAACTCCCGTCAGGAAATTCCCTGCTGACTGCTCCACTGAAAAAGCAAGATGTTGATAGGAACAGACATGGTTCAATTCACCGACTAATAAGTGTAGGCACCCCGTCAAACCCCTGCGTTGCCAGGGGAAGACATGGCCAAGATTAGAAACAAATAACCATAATATGGACATCAAAATCTCAGAACTAGCTCGGCCTGAACAACATTCCGTGCTAGTCTCATTCCGCTAAAAGAACCCGAGGAAAATTTAATACCGACCATTAGGAAAGTCCTGTGTGAGGGTAAGTGGTGTAACATGCTGCGAGATAATCACAGATTAGTAGTGTCGATCAGGATTTGTGACCTGCGAAATAGACCAAATGGTTAGTTGGTGTAGCTGGAAGCCGCGGAAGAACTAAACATACCTGCAGAACTTGACTCGAGAAGTCTGGATAGTCGATACTATCCTCACTTGGGCGACGATTGGTGATATATGCGCCATCGAATCGTGCATCGGTCATCTCAGGCATGTGGCTGCGCTGGTAGGCTCCGGACTTCTGCTTGCGGGAACGGTAGAAGAAGAACGCAGCACCTGCCAAAGCACACAGACCAACAACTCCGACAACAACACCTGCAGCAATAGATGCTGTGGTGTGGGCATTCGAGTCTTTCTGCCTTTCGGCAGCTTCGGCAGAGGACGCAGCCGCAGCCGCAGCCGAAGCAGCTCCCGGGTCACTCGTGGCAGTTACAATCACGGTGGCTTCGCTGTTGGTACCAGTCGAGGAGACCGAAGTAGTTGTGTTGTTTGGCGCCTCGGCTGTGCTGTTTGAGGATGACGATGAGCTTGGGTCGGGCGCGGTAGAGACGCTATTGTCAAGACCGGTCTTGTAGATGGAGTAGTATCCTATACCACCACCTGTCATGTGTTAGTTACTGTACAGAACAGGTATCTGCATCTCGACTTACACATGTCTTCTGGCCACCCAGTACAAGGGTCATTGCATTTCGACTCATCCACCTTCGTCGATGGATCAGGTAAGTAATTAGCGCAAAGACAATTCTGACCAGCTGCCAGGGCGAAAGCCGGAGAAGCAGACGCGATACAGTGATCCTGACACCATCCAGTACTCTGGTAGGTCCATGATGTTGCACCTCCGCTGGTGCCCGGGCTGAGAGTAACAGCCCACATAAGTCATGGGTGGATTTCGAGCCTGGAGGACATTGAGGGGTGTCGCGGCGCCTGAGCTGATCGTGAGGAGCAGGCTCGACACCGTCAGGTATGTGCGGGTAGTGAACTGCATGGTGGAAGATAGATGCCGAGTCGGAATAATTAAATAAAGAAAGGAGACTGCTGCTGACTCTGTCGCTGCGGGGAATGAATGTGAAGATTGAAAGGGAACGACCGGCGTATATCCTTTCAAAGCTTCGTCAAAAGCGACGTCGATTTATGCGGTGGGCTGGAATGAACCCCCGTGCGTGGATTTAGTAGCGCGTTGCTGGTCGAACCAATTTGGGTTGAAGAGACCAGCAAAGAATGAACTTTGATGTTCGATGTGTTCAGAGACTGAGCGAAGGTAATCCGGTTGGAGTGATCCGGGGTCAAAGAGCGGTCGAAGGACGTCGTCCTCTGATTTTGTCGGGAGAAGCGACCGATAGAAGGATGGCGAGAACCGGGGTGAATGATCTCTTGATCGAAACAGCTGATGTTGATTATGGGCACCCCCCCTAGTTTAAACGAGTGTGAGATGGGAATCAGAAAAGGAGATTTTGTCAGGGCAAAGGTCCTGGGGCAAAACCGGAGGTCGCGCCTTTGCACCGGGTCAAGGGGGCGCAAAAATCCAATCAGTCGAAGGTGTGACTCTGTAAATTGGCTGTATGTGGCTTGTAAGAGACTTCTGTTTGTCCTCGTTCCTCCCGCGTATTGTATTTACCTGAATTCCCACCAATTAGGAACCCCTGTGCTCATTGAGTTGCCCCACCGTGATGTGTCATCAGGCACCGGAGGCTGCCAACCAACGAAACACTCAGTGTCATCCATGGTTTTTGCCCAGGGTGGGCCCCAGGGACTCGCGGCGATCGCTTTCCACTTTCGTCTCGAAAATGGAGCACTGCCCCGCTGGTGCGACTGATTGTGTGCCGTGAAAAGACGGGCAACTCTACGATGGACAGGTCCAGAATGAATGAGAGCCTCTTGCCATGCCAGTACTTCGTAGAGTCCAACGGTTTCTACTCTGTACACCATATTGACACCGTCAGACTCGGGATCTCTACATTATGTCTCCTGGATTTGCTTAAAGGACCGAGGTTACAGTCCTTTGAAACACAGCTGAGTGCGGGTACTAAATCCTGGGAGATTCGAAATGGAGCCCGCTGGCCATTTCCGATGGACCCGATCACGAGGTTGAAAGTACGCTAGCACACCAAAAGCGCTCGGCTGTTTAGTATACTCCAAGAGCTTCAAAGACCACTTGATATTCACCTATTTACTTAGATTGATAACTAAATATCAACATACTCCCCCAACCCCTTCCTCCCCCCTCTCATACAGAGAGGACCATGGTTTCTTAGGCGGAAGGTCCCGGGTGGATAGCGAGGTGGTTCGGCTCGATACTATGAAAGACTTAAATTACCGTTCCTGGGTGTAATAGGTAAATTACCATCCCTGCCAAACCTCTGTCAATTCGCTCTCCATACCATACATGTATGTACATAGATGCCTTGCCAAACCGCTAGCCGGCCTCGATAATAATCCTCAGTTTCAGTCAGACTTTTTGCGGTTCACGACCTGTACGAAGGTGCTCGAATCATCTGAAACAAGGAGCCACAGTGTGGAGTAGACGGGCGGGTTGGATTTGCCTAGCGCAGCTGATGTGCGTTGTTTATGGTTGAATTGATCCTTATGAGGATGGATTTGCATATGGAATCCACGGTCGCGCAACGTAAATGCCCGCTTGTTGGCGCCATACATCTGCACAACGGCCTAGGCAGGCTTCCTCTCCATACAGCAAGATCTAAACTGCACATTTGCCATAAAAGGGTTCACATAAGTGAGATCAGTGGGATCGCGTATCACTCGACTGATGTTTCGGTGTCAGTCACATCATAATATAAGAATCGAGTGAAGATCGACAGTTCGAATGCTCCTGCAGTTTCTTCGCATTATTCTGTCGAGGTATGTACGCTACTGCGGTCCGACACTCACTGTGCTGTAGCCCGAACCAAGCATTGTTATATTAGATACATTTCCCGATTATGCTGCTAGTTTCCCCCGTCCCCCTCCCCTGAGAAGACACTCCAGATCCAGGTCACCAATACCGCGTTCCTGAACGGCCAAATACATAGCCACCACAGACTGGCAATGCATCTGATCACGGTAAGGGTGGACGCTCAAAAGTCCCTGGCCCCAGGCCTGGCTATGCTCTCCAACGGGCACCTCTGATTTATCACGCAGTAATCTACGGGGTGTGGCGCTCACTAGTCAAGCGGGGTCCCCACTTGCCAATGGGACAGAGCCTGGACTCGGCCCAAAATCCTTGCGCATACAGCCTGGGCTTGTTGGCCTGTAGAGGATATGGAAAAATATAGCCTTTGGTGCAGGCTTAGTATGATAGAACAATCTGTGTATCTTTCCGGGGACTGGGGGAGAAGTCAAAATACTGGGCCTTGTGAGCTAATTTTCACCTAGACATGGGTCTACAGGGCTCGGCCGTGGTCTAGAACACTTAGAATTATCTTGGCCTCAGCAGACGGGCCACTATCGGTGGCATCGCTGAGTTATCTATTCTCGGACTCGGATCCAGCCGGATCCTCGAAGGGCTTCATAGCTCCCGAGGTCCAGTGCTATCTCTGATCAGCTTCTTACCGCTTGCAATGGCGTACATAAGGTGTGCAACTTGACAGAACCGAACACCCTTACGAAACTGCTTGAAATATCTCCAACTAGACGGGAAGCTCTACTGCCTGAATTTTGAGAAAAGAGACTATACTGTCGCCTTCGTTAAAAGCCTAGTCTCCACTCTACTGAGACACTACGCCTTGTGGAAATACCCATCTTCAGCTTCGAGATGTTATCACTGAGCACCCTCGTAAACGGAAATATGCTCTTTGTTAGGAAATCCGCAAAAGTTCACCGAGAGTAACTGTATTCACAGGGGAAATCTTGGTATCAAAAGGGTAGCCGAAGGCTATATGATCTGACCAGTTACTCCTCACCGGGATGCTGCGAGCTGATATCGATTCGTATGTCCGAAGCCGAGCCCTGACCGCCAGTCCTTTCCAAACAAAAGCCAGAATACTCTGACAGGGCAGGGATTGTTTGAGTCTCTGCTAACTTTACCTAGTCCCCTGCAGCAAATTTTGCTCAACAGGTTTCCCAGAGCAGCTTCCGCAGCAGCGGCGGACGACCTGTTTGGACTGCTATTAAGATTCCGAAATCTTTTTGACTAAGGTATAGCTAGCCATTGCCATAGGATTAGTACCGTTGCCATTGACTGGTCATGTCGCAATGCTAGCATCGACTTGGCCCAGTCACTTAATTTTCACACTGATAAAGGGTGCTTCGACGAGGACATTTGGAAGCTCCAGCTGCCTCTTCCAGCATTGATCAGTCTACAAATACACTGAGTAAGACATTTCGGAGTTGTACTCAAGGTCTCATTAGGCCGTCCAGTTTTCTTCCAATCAGGTTTCTTTCCGTCAAACTACAGGAGCTCCTACAAGTCAGATCTCTCGGCAATCACCTGGAAATTTCCCTTCTCATGATAGGGTGTTATTGAATTTAGGTCAAGATGGACAACGTATACACTATATAATTACGCCCAAGTATGCTGCTAAGCAGCGTCTCATTCTTCATTTTGGTGGCTGATTGCTGTACGACCCGTAACGAATGTAGATGATTTCAATCCCAAGAAAGAATCACCGGCCAAACAAGCCTTTGTTTTTCTAATCTAAGGCTTCGGAATGTGTATACTCTTGCTGACCATGAGGCAGCCGTGCAGAGCAAACAGGAGAGCGATTGGGTGGAACTCCAATGCTGAACCTTCAGCGATAACACCGAAAGGAATGTTCTCATGAGTCCAGCTCTGGGAGACCCAGTAAGCCATCAAGCCTGCGATACTGAGAGTAGTCGGGATCGGGGTGCCCTCAAAATACTTCGACTTGCCACTCTTATCCTTGGGAAGGACAGCCACGGTCACATTGAAACGAGCCAGGCGGGTCAGTCCACACAGTACGAAAAAGGCGAGGATGAGGTGGTCAACGTTCGAGCGGATTCCGAGAGCGAATGCAGCTGCGGCGGGAGCGAGACCGAAAGAGATCTTTGCAAAGTGACATTGTCAGTATAAATCATGCTTGGCAAAGGCGGGAGGTTCTTCGATACCAGATCGGCAAGGGAATCAAGTTCCTGGCCCATGAGCGATGACTTCTTGCGCCATCTCGCGATCCTCCCATCCATGAAATCGAAGAACAGACCAAATGGCATGAATGCGAGCGCAGCCCATAAGGCTGAATAGTCGGTGGGATCTCCGAGACAGTAGCGCATAGAGGAAAAGACGGACATCACTGCTCAGCGGTTAGTACTGGACATTGGCGTTGCCAACGCGCAAGAACTTGCCTCCGCAGAATCCTAAAGTAAGCGCATTAGCAAAACAACTTCCCACCATATTCGGACACTAACGAGATCCTTACCATTGAGCTCGGTGACCAGATCGGCCAGGTGGAGTGCCCTGAACATATGTTAGAAGAAGCTATTAGGCAGCGATAAATTGAGGATACTGATACTCACTTCACCATGCTGAAGTGGCCCTGGTCAGCGGATAGTAACATCTTCTGCTTCTCCTGGCCTATCGACATGTGAGTGACTTCCTGCATTTTGCTCGCGGGGTCCATGCAGACTGACCTCCATCATTCGAAGGCGGGACATTTGAATTATTCGACATGGTCGATGCTCTGCGGGACATGCTCAAGGGAGACTGGGCTGGGATAACGTAGGTCAGGAAAAAGTTGAAAATTATTTCTGGATGCTGTACGGGAGCTGCGAAAGGTCGAATGGCTGCTAATCCTGCTTGGGAGTTGTTGACGGACGCACAAGACTCCAGAGCGGTCAACGTCATGTTGCGCGCACCAACCAATAAGCGGGAGGCGCAGTCACATGCATCAGCCACATGCATCAGCCACACGTGACAATGACCTAGAGTCGTCACATTATTGCTTACAAGGTCTTTCCATGCATCATTATCGTTGATGCCTCAGAAGGGGGGAAAAAGAGAGAAAGAAAAAGACAATAGCCCTGCATACGTATCACATTATGCGCGATATGTGTTGGTTGAAGATATTACCGCATTGGGTAAATTATTTTCCCAGATGGCGATCCCCAGCGACATCTGGCGCTTCTACCTCCAGTACTTCGAGTATAGGCGACGGAGGCCCAAGTGCTTGAGATTCTGGTCACAAGGCGCTCATAATTCATGTCCCTGTATGCGTTTTCTTTTTTGTCGTTAAGCTATTTCTTTCTATTTGTTTTTCGTACCAATCAGTGCGTCCGGAACCGATGAGATCGGAATTCGACTTGTACAGACTCTAGGGCCACCCATATCTTGTTTATAGTATCTGCCTGGGGGGTCTGCGGAGGGCTGGTGAAGCCATTGCCGGAGGGGGTCGAGGGTATTTTCTTTTAGTCTGAAATGCCCTTGCTTGACTGCCAGATCTGAATCTGGGTAAAAACCAGCATCAGATCGCGGATGGGCTCTGTTATCTGTATGACCGCGTGTTGACTTAAGTTTCTCGAGATTCATTAGTTACCTTACTATTCGTAGATTGCTTGAACATTCAGATTCAAAAATCACCCAAATCGCCCCATAAAGCCTGAGCTCACGACTACGGCCATTTATAGACAGTACATAATGTCTGGAGATACCACCCGAAGGTATCGCGGTTCGTAAATATCCCCTTAATTCAAGTTACCCTTCCTACTCTTTAGTCTCAAAGTTCACAGAACTCGAACAGCAAGAAAGCAAATTTTGTGACTGGAAATATTCTACAGTCTCTGCTACCGCAGAAGCAGTTGTGTCAGGATGCACAAGAAAAACGAAAATATTCCTGCAAAGAGCTCCCGAGTCCCCCTAACGCCGATATAAGACATAATTCAGGCCGAGCAGGTTTACCCACGGCCACGGAAACCGCCACCACGGCCGCCACCACGGCCACCACCGAAACCTCCACGACCGCGAGGGGCACCGCCGCGACCACCTCCGAAGCTTCCACGGCCACCACCACGGGAGAAACCACCGGCACCACCACGGCCACCACCGAAGCCTCCACGACCCCGGGGAGCACCACGGCCACCGCGGGCACCACCGCGAGCACCACCGGCACGCTTGGGCTTAGCAGCACCTGGAGGAGGCTTGGGCTTGGGAAGGAACCTGGAATAAACAGGTTAGCAGCTGCGCAAAAGCGTGTTTTACCAATGGCAATCACACTTACTTCTCGAGAGGAAGCAGCTTATCACCGCCAATATACACCTTATCGCCAGCCTTGAAGGAAGTGGCCACGATTCCGTCGCTGGGCTTGACAGTGAAGTAGACCTGGTTGATAGGGCCGAGAACTTCGTCAACTTTACCGATTTGGGACTTGTTCTCCAAGAAGATGGGAGCATTGAAGTATGGAATCTAGCCAGGTTAGGACCGTGTTCACTCGTATATCACGATATATAGCATTTACCTTGGGGTTGACGGATTCGCACACCATCTCTCCCTCACACGAGTGCATCACAGTTCCCATTTCTGTCGCGTTATTAGCACCGTATCCATGACCATATCATATTTCATCCAGGGTGGAAATATTTACCGAACACTTGGGCAGGGGGACCGAAAGATTGCTGGAAGCCTCCGCGGCCTATGCGTAGAAAAAAAAAATTGTTAGCTTCGCGCTGACATTTCAACATGAGTTCAGGAGATGCATTGCTTACCACCACGGTTACCAAAGCCACCCCGGTTGGAACCGGTGGCCGATCCACGCCCACGGAAAGACATTGTAGTGTTGTTGGGAAGCTGTTGCTGGGGGTAGACTTGGCCGGAGAAGATTTTCGGGTGGTGGAAATCTTCGATACCGCAAACCATCGCTAGCGCCAGGGCAGTTTAATGTCACATGACTCACCGCCTGCCCCTCCCCCAAAAAAAGAGTACTGAGTCACATTTCCCCAGTCGCGACGATCGAATCCTCTATTTCAGGCCCCCTTTCCTCTTAAACTTCGGCAATTTCTCTGTAATTGCCCTGAGGAACTCACCATGGCCTCCGAAGCCCCCCAAGACCTCCCTGTCCGGCCGGCCGCCGAAGCGAAGGGCAAATCCGACGCCGCATCTGCCCCGCCATTGCCAGACTACATCATTGCGCGAAACGAGCTCTTTGAGGAATTGTGGCAGAAGCATTTGGAAGAAATCAAGAACCGTGACCACCCGGATATCAGCGTCAAGCTCGATATTGGCGACGGGAACCTCTCCCTTGTCGCTGCTAAGGCCTATGAGACTACTCCTGGTCAGTTCCTCCGCGATGTTCCCAAGGAAATTAGCAACAATGTGGTTGTTGCGAAGGTCAATGGCGAGCTTTGGGACTTGAACCGTCCCCTCGAGAGGGACTCTGTGGTCAAGCTTGTGCTCTTCTCTGATCCCGAGGGCAGAGATGTCTTCTGGCACTCTAGCGCTCACTGTCTTGGTGAAAGCTGCGAGTGCTTCTACACTTCTGGCTGTAAATTGTCCCATGGACCACCTACCCCGCAGGGTTTCTTCTACGATATGGCCCTGGAAGATGGGTAAGTTTGCTTCAAACAATGGTGCCTGATTCAAATGCTTATATGCCTTCCGACTCCAGGCGTGTAGTTCTGCCCAGCGACTGGCCTGCCCTCGACAGCCGAGCATCTCGAATTTTCAAAGAGAAGCAGTCGTTCGACCGGCTCGAGGTTAGCAAAGACGATCTGAGGAAGATGTTCTCCTACAGCAAGTACAAGTTGCACTACATCGAAAAGCTCGTTACTGGCGAATCATCCACCGTCTACCGCAATGGCACCCTTGTCGATTTGTGCCGAGGTCCCCATATCCAGAACACTGGAAAGATCAAGTATGTTTCTCCCGTGTATCTCTTAAATACTGGTTCATTCTCTGACTCGTCTTCCAGGGCTTTCAAAATTATGCAGGTTGGTCACATCTACACCGGAATTCTTCATAGCAGAACTAGCATCCGCTGACTCGACAACTTTCAGAATTCCTCGGCATACTTCCTCGGTGATCAGTCTCAAGGTTCGACCCCTTTCTCCCTCATTATATAAGACCAGTAAGAACCAAGAAACTAACCCAATGCAGATTCTCTCCAGCGAATTAGAGGTGTTGCTTTCCCGGACAAGAAGTTGATGTCCGAACATTTGAAATTTCTCGAGGAAGCGGAAAAGCGCAACCATATGCGAATTGGAAAGGTACGCATCCCCCCCCTTTTGATATAATGCAACTGGAAGGCTAATAGTTTGAAGGCACAAGAACTATTCTTCTTCGACGATGTCTCCCCAGGCTCTCCCTTCCTGCTTCCCAATGGAACCAAGATTTTCAACGCCATCCAGAAGCTTCTGCGCACTGAGTACAGGAAGCGCGGCTACTCAGAGGTCCAGACACCCAACATCTTTGACTCTAGCCTTTGGAAGACCTCTGGTCACTGGGCCCACTACAGTGACGACATGGTAAATGCCCCCTTGGTTTGTCAAAGCTGCCTACGACTAACGCAATGTAGTTCAAATTAGAGGCAGAAAAGGGACGCCAGTCTGCGCTGAAGCCAATGAACTGTCCAGGTATGACATCCAATATATTAAGCCGCCACGGGCAAGGATTGACTATATCTAGCTCATATGAAGATCTTCAGTCACCGTGACAGATCATACAAAGAGCTTCCTTTGAGATTGGCTGATTTCGGTGTTCTCCACGTTAGTACCTTGTCCCCATTAACGATTGACAAACTATTGACGTTCTGTAGAGAAACGAAGCCTCCGGTGCCCTGAGTGGTCTCACTCGTGTTCGCAAGTTCCAGCAAGGTAAAATCAATACGAGGAAACAAAGACAATAATTCGATTATGACTAACAGGTATGAACAGACGATACCCACATTTTCTGTACACAGGACCAGATCATGTCTGAAGTCGAGGGCCTGTTCGATTTCTTGGAGTCTATCTATGGGCTTTTCGGCTTCGAATTCAAATTGACCCTGTCCACCCGCCCCGAGAAGTATATGGGAGCTTTGGAGACCTGGGACTACGCTGAATCGCAGCTAAAGGCCGCGTTGACCAAGTTCAGAGGCGACAAATGGACAATCGAGGAGGGTGATGGAGGTATGTTATTGTGCTGCTCGATCCCTTTCAGCTTTGCTTACCCGCAGCAGCATTCTACGGACCAAAGATCGATATTTTGCTCCAAGATTCTTTGAAGCGCGAGTTCCAATGTGCCACAATCCAAGTAAGTAAAGCCATTATCCTCGAACTCTGAAATATCTGCTAAAATGTTTCTAGCTCGATTATCAAGCGTGAGTATTCAGCTGCTAGAGTAAACTTCTATTTCCAGCCACTAATCAATGTATCAGGCCCCTTAACTTCAACTTGAGCTACTTCACAAACAAGAGTGCGACCGAGAAGGGTGAGAAGGAAGAAGCCGCAAAGGAGGAGACTGCAAAGGAAGGAAACGCCAACTCAAATGTCCTGCCTCCCGGGCTTGCCCGCCCTGTTGTCATTCACCGTGCCATTATCGGCAGTTTTGAGCGATTCCTGGGTATTCTCGTCGAGCACTTTGCAGGTACAGTTTATCCGCACGAGCATTGCCAGTTTGAGTGGTTGCGGTGACTAACGGAGGGATGGATAGGAAAATTCCCATTCTGGCTCAGCCCACGACAGGTTCTCATCGTTCCTGTCATGCCCGACCTCAATGGGTATGCTGAGGAGCTTCAGAAGATTCTCCAGGGTGACAAGCTGTACGTGCCCTCGCTCCTCTCTGTTCTAAGCTTGTACTAACCTTCCCCAGTTCTGTTGACGTCGACGTATCTGGTAATACCCTCCCTAAAAAGATTCGTAACGGACAGTTGGCGCAGTATAACTTCATCTTTGTCGTGGGTGCTGCAGAGCGGGACTCACGATCAGTGAACGTGAGAAACCGCGATGATTTGGCATCACAGAAGCAAGGTTCACTCCGTGACTTTGAAGAAGTTCGAGCCAAATTACGTGCTCTGCGCAAAGAGCGCCGCCTGCAGACTACTCTGTAGGCCAAGTTTACCTGATTTACGAAAAGTGAAGTGCGATGAAATACGTGGAGATGATGTCCTGATTCGAAGTTTCAATAAACACCCGTACCTCGTACTAGGGAATCCAGTAGTGGGGTGGTACACCTAGCCGGCCCATGCCATACGTACCCAAAAGTTGTACTCGAAAGGTTCCAGTTAATCCAAGTCCCGCGGTAGCAGAGTCTGTAGGGAAACAAAGGTTAATAGCGCATAAGGCCTAGAGCATGGAAGAGCCATGTTACAGGGCTGATCGCAGTGGGCCCCGTCGCCTTGAAATTGCGAAAGGGAGCCGCTCTGACCTATTGAGGCCTCGAAAGCAGTTGCGACACGTCAATGGTCCTTTCATTCTCAAACACAGGACTCGCATGCGCTTGGGAAGCGTATGTGTATAGTAATTTCCGAAATGCACCTCGAGCGCCAGTATCGCATATTAGTAACGTATAGGGAGATTAACGCTGGAGCCGGGCGATTCTCATCCAACCGACCGGATCACTGGGGACTGCGGGGCTCAGCTCATTCTCATCACACGCGCTTCTCCCCTTTTTTCTCCCCTCTGGATTCTTCTTTCCCCCCTGATCTCAATTGTCGCATTCGTTCTTCCTTTTGGTTCTTTGTTTTTGTCCTCCAAATCGCCTTCAGCATCTTAATCGCCCACCCCTTTCCTTCCCCGCCCGTTACCCCTCCTTAGCCGCCCCGAAAAAGTATCCACGCCATGGCTGAATTGCAGGGTCGCAAGGTCTTTAAGGTCTTCAACCAGGACTTCATCGTTAATGAACAGTACAATGTCACCAAGGAGCTAGGACAGGGTGCGTACGGCATTGTTTGGTAGGTTCTGAAGCTCGTGTGGTGTCGTCGTGCGAACTAATCGGTTGTTTCAGCGCCGCTACCAACGTCCAGACTGGCGAGGGTGTCGCTGTGAAGAAGGTCACCAATGTGTTTAGTAAGAAGATCTTAGCCAAGCGTGCTCTGCGTGAAATCAAGCTGCTTCAGCATTTTCGTGGCCACCGCAATGTATGTTCGCCTCCTGCCCCCCCCTACCCCCTTCACATCTTCGAGTATGAACCTCAGCCACTGACTGGGGCTACCCAATCCCTCTTAGATCACTTGTCTGTATGATATGGACATTCCCCGACCGGACAACTTCAACGAAACATATCTATATGAGGGTACGCTACCAGTCCTGACGATCCTGCGAGCGACTAGTAATACTGGGCATCTTCTGACTGGTCGCAGAGTTGATGGAGTGTGACTTGGCCGCTATTATTCGATCCGGACAACCTTTAACCGACGCGCATTTCCAATCCTTCATCTACCAGATCCTTTGTGGTCTGAAGTATATCCACTCCGCCAATGTGCTGCACCGTGATCTGAAGCCCGGTAACCTGCTGGTCAATGCCGACTGTGAGCTGAAGATTTGTGATTTTGGTCTCGCCCGTGGCTTCTCGATCGATCCGGAGGAGAATGCTGGTTATATGACCGAGTATGTCGCAACACGATGGTACCGTGCTCCAGAAATCATGTTGAGTTTCCAGAGCTACACCAAAGCTAGTATGTACCCCACCCACCCCACCAAAGCAGTCAAGCCCTAAATATCTAACTTCTCTACAGTTGACGTCTGGTCCGTAGGCTGTATTCTCGCCGAGCTGCTGGGCGGCCGTCCCTTCTTCAAGGGCCGCGACTATGTCGATCAGCTGAACCAGATCCTGCACTATTTGGGCACCCCGAACGAGGAGACCCTATGCCGCATCGGCTCGCAACGTGCACAGGAATACGTGCGCAACCTGCCCTTCATGCCCAAGATTCCTTTCCAGCAACTATTCCCCAATGCGAACCCAGACGCGCTGGACCTTCTGGACCGCATGCTCGCCTTCGACCCGTCATCGCGTATTTCGGTCGAACAGGCCCTGGAGCACTCCTACCTGCACATCTGGCATGACGCCTCCGACGAGCCCACCTGCCCCACCACCTTCGACTTCCAATTCGAGGTCGTCGATGATGTCCAGCAGATGCGCAAGATGATCCTGGACGAGGTTGTTCAGTTCCGCGCTACAGTCCGCCAGCAGTCACAGGCTCATGCGGCCCAGCAGCAGCAATTAGCCCAGCAGGTTCCCATCCCTGAGAATCAGCAAGGGGGCTGGAAGACCGAGGACCCCAAGCCGCAAGAAGCGGGCCTCGGTGCTGGTGCTGCGAATGACCTGGAGTCTTCGTTGCAGCGGGGCATGGATGTGCACCATTGATTTGATACAAGGTCCGATTGATGACATGTGTGTGTGTTTTTTTGTTGGGGGGAGCGAGCTTGGATCTTTCATCTCTCTTTGTGTCCGGCTTGGCTCCTCGCTCGTAGACGTGTCCTGCCGCAGCACTCGGTTTTGCATGTCGATATCATGAATTAGCAAAAAGATACCTCCCAAGAGAATGGCTGCACGATTGCGTGGTTTCTTCTTGTCGGTTTGGCATTGTCTTCTATGCGCTGCTTCTGTATGGCCTTTGTAGGATTTTTAAGCTTCTGAATTTCTGGGATTGATAGAGTCATGACTGTCAACATCCGGTTTGTCTTATTCTAGTAGGCTCGGATACGAATTCTATTAATCCGAAGTACGAGTTACTTGAGGATAAAATCTCAATCCTCAGACTACCGCTCCTTGGATACTCCCAGACAGTTCGAGTAGGCCTCTAAACCCCTTCCTCCCCCGCGTTAAACTGAATCCTGCTCCCAAGCCTTCTCAAACTTCTCATCTACCTCCGCCAGAACATCATACTGCCTAAAGCCCCTCCTTCCAATGTGAAAACCCACTCAGTCGCGCCGGATTGTTTTTTGGGGGGCAGTTTAGGATAAGAGGTTGGAGAGTAAATATGGGAACATAAGTGATATTTGGCCGGTTTCAATTGTGGATTGGGTTTGTTTTCCGCGTTTATTGTGCATGGCCATTCAGTCTTGGCATTTGGGGGGCGGATCGGCTGGCAGGTTTTATTTACTTTGAGGACTGCTAGTGCTTCCAGTCACGAGAATGCTTGGGTCTTAACCTGTAGGGTACATACATGGTGAGACAGAAGTTGAAGGACTTCTTCTCTGCGAGGTGGATGTCAATGCATCGTTGAAATCAATAGACTTTGAATGGCCTAGAGAGCATGGGGTTGGGGTCAGGCTACGCGAACACAGGACGAACAGCTGAACGTCAGGACTCGATTCTCGCTGGGGCCATTAAGAGTAACCTCCCTAATGACTCAATGTGATAGTACGGTATGCTAGGCTAATAACAGCAACACACCTGCCAAATCCAAGTCTACTGCATGCAAACATCATAATGCATAAGAAATTAGAAGCATCATTCCGCAGCCCTGAATCAAGGGCATATCAAGCAATCGTGTCATTGTTCCGTCGTGCCGAGATCGTCCCGCTTGAGTAACTGAATTTTTCCCAAAATCAGACTTGGCTGGGCATCGGCCTCTTCGGCGTCCCCCCCTAGCTATTGATTTATCGTAGCTTGTCGGATCGATTCCGAGTATCCCGCCGACATACCCGCCTCGTTCGCCGGGGACGCTGAATTCCCGGAATAAGTAGCGCCATTCATTGAGCCAGGCCTTCACGGCCTTGCCGATCTTATCTTTGCCATTCTTCGAGTGGTGGCCTGTTCCAGTGATGGCGTAGACAACTCGGAGTCCCTCGTTCGCGTGCTTGAGAAGGATTTTCTCAAGGTACTCGATTGCTTCCTCAGGGTGAAGGCCGTGGAGGTCGACGTAGAGTTCCTCCGAAGACTCGTCCAGGCCTGCCTGGCTCAAGTGCTGATTACGTTCTTCGTAGAGTTGGCGGGCTGCTTCGCGGTGGCAGCGGCGCATGGCGTCATTCTCGGCCTGGCCGCGGAGTGAGAGGGCCTTGGCTGCTCGTGCGTCGTTTCGGTTCCATGCTTGTGCCGCACTATACCACGTTAGTTCAGTTCCTAGTATGACAGCATAAGACGACTACGTACCTCTGCAGGAACTTATTGCGGACGGTTCCATGACGAATCGCTTCCGTGCGGTACTTGATGTACTGCTGATTCGCCCTGGATCCTGTCTCGAGCCAAGGATGTTCTGCGGCTGTGGGATTGCCTGAGCGGCTGCACTATTCTCCCGACTCTTTGCATCATTGCTAGGCTTGGCCGATTTTCCTTTGCTCGGGGCAGGTGAGGGGGACATGCGAACCACATCTGCGAGGGAAGAGGGGGGATTTTCTTTATTGGTGTTTGCGTCGCGAGCATTATGACCGCCCCGTTTGCCGTGATGTTTCTTGCTTGTGTTCTTTGCGCTAACAGCAGCAAGGCTGGGGAATGCATCTGGGTCGTCCATCGATAGAGCTGTTGGATTGAGCTCTCGGTTCTGGTGTCGACTGGTTGGACGAGAATTTGGTCGAGAGTTTGGTCGCCCGAGATGGGTCATGCTTCCATTTCGTCGGGCCATTCCTGGGAACAAACCTGGCGGAGTTCCTTTACCCCCTGGCCCAGAGAGGTGGGCAGGATATCGCCCGTACTGATTAGCCCATTGGTCCTCCATACTGCTAGATGCTTGCAGCGGCGGGAAGGCATCAGAGGCACTATCCACTTGGAACAGAGACCCTGCTGACGGCGACGCCGGCCGGCTGTCTGAAATGCTCAGGTTTGAGACAAGACTTGAGGGATCGTGCGAAAATGGGCAACTATCTCCAGCCAAACAATTGCCATTCATCCAGTACCTATTTACCACGGTTAAATCTGCCAGTAAAATTGAGAGTCTCAGGGGGAGCAAAAGACTTACTTGCACAGATGAGCAGTCAAGTCATGGCTGAAGCGGCAATCAGCGCGGAGGCACTGTCCATGTGATAGATAGAACTTGCAGACAACAGGGCTTCGCCCATGGCCAGATGGGGTGAGGGGGCGAGGGGGGTCCATCGCCATGGATTTCCCAACCAGAATACGAGCATCATCTTGCTGCTTGGCTAAAGTCTCGGACTCCGCGTCCTGGTAGAGTGAGGCAATGGTAGCACCGAGGTCATAGCCGTTTGCTTCCAGCGCAGCTTCGATCTCTTCATTGGAGCGTTTGTCCCCCAGAACTGTGCGTAGGATATCATGCGGGCTCATGTCCGGCACAAACTCAGCCGCCGTCGCACTCAGCGCCGCCGAGGCGCTCAAGCCTCCCGTAGACGAAGTTGTACTGTTTGCATCGTCAGCCACCAGCCAATCGACATTACTGTCGCTCCCAAAGTCTCCGTAAAAGTCCGAGAGCTGGCTCTGGTCCGAGAATTCATAAGCGTTTAGATTAGGAGAATGCGGTATTGGTTGCGCGAGGGCAAGTCGGGGAGATGGCCGGGGGGAGGTGAACGGCGAGGCAGTTGAGGAGAGTGGAGGCCGGGAGAAAGCCCCGCGCGAGCTCTGCACCCACGAGGTGCTCGCCGGGCTGGTTCCTAGATTCGAAGGAGAAAGCGGCGTGGTCGAACGCGCCATCTGCCATGGTGCTGGAGACGATCGGCGAATCACGGTATGTCGTTGAGGGGAGGGGAGGAGTCTGGGAGGGTGCGATTGCGATGCCGCCATAGGATGTCCAGCACGGCGTTCTCCAGCGACGAGCCCGACAGGGAGGTGCTGGCGCGCAGGAGGTCCTCAACCTTCTCGACTTGTTCCTCCTCATCAAGCGATTGATCCTGGAGGATCTCGAGTCCTTTCTCGAGCAACTCCTCCGATACCATGTTGTCGTGGCCGGAGGGAAATCCAAATCCGGAAGGGGGAAGAAGTAAGCCACAGGGAAAGCGGGGAAACAACAAGCTGCTCTAAGTCAAGTCTCTGCTGGCAGAGTGATCTGGGGAGCGAGACTCCGGCTCTGCTCCAACGAAATCTCAAGTACTCAGGCGAGGGGGTGCGCATCAGAGATGAGCCATACTCTTTCATAAGCAGATTGATTGGCGACAGAGCAGAGATCAAGGGGGGGGAGAAACGGTAAAAACAACAGATCAACAGCACAAAGTCGTCGAAATCACATCGCAATGCGCTGAAGCAACCAGAGGGAAATGGAAACAGAGATGAGAGGAGCAAGATACCACAAAGCGGATGAAGGAGGGGCGGGAGAAAGGGGATCAATACCATTTGGGTTTTGGGGTTGTAGATTGCGAGGTTTGGCGCCCCCACACTTCAGACTATTGTGATACAACACATGGGATTGATAGGACTGCTTCGAATAGTAGGTGGGCAATTCAACGATGTTGAGCTCGGCCGGTAATATGATGCAGATAGCGCTCTTGTTGTCCCGAGATCTCCTGGTCTGTACTCTAGACTTGCTGTTCTGGTCATCCCCAGGTCTCCAGACCGGAGTTAACGGGCGTAGGCTATAACTAGTAGACATACACTTCCTGTAGACTACTAGGAAGCATTCTGGATGATCGCCCCGTATAGAGGAGACCAGGCCGACCAGGGTAGAGCGACCTGATATGGCTCGTACATTCCAATGTCCGTACATCAGCACAGATCATGCATGAAATCCATAATCTTATCGCGGAAGCTCCCAAAATCTGGTCGAAGTCCGAGCTGGATCCGCTGACTATGAAACAGGCTCAGCAAGCCTCCCCCCCCCCGGGTTTTGCCAAACAGATTTTCCCCTTCCATCCGTTCTCTAACACGAAACATTCTTATGATCAAGAGCAATAACGGTAATAACGGCAATAACCTAAATGCCTTGAATCTGGATCGTGAACTCTACCATTCCCGCCTCCACAGCGCCGATCGCTGAAGAGCTACCGCGCTTTTACCCCCCAGATCCGATCCCTGCCCAAACACGTCCTAAATCGTTAGCCGCGTGCTAACCATCTTTTCTTCCCATCATGCCGGCGGACTACGAGTCCACTGCCCGGGCATTGGCTGTCTCAACATCCCCAGATCTTGAGTCGCCTGAAAATGACGATGAGCAGCCTCTCTGGGGCCATGGTCGGCGAAATTCCCGAGCGGCCCAGGCAGCCTCAACACGCGATCAATTAATCAGCAAAGCTAAGATGTTCTACCGCAAGGCAAACGAGAGATGGGAGCGAATGACTTTCTGGCAGAAGGTCGCCTTCTATGCCGTGTCTCTCCTAACTGCGGCCCTAGGGGTTGGGTTCATGGTCTTCACGGGCAAGGTGTTCTTCTGGCTGGGCCCGGTCGCGGAGCGCTGGGAGAAGTCCCCGCTCGTCGCATTTGTACTGTGGCTCTGTGTCTTTTTTGTCTCTTTCCCGCCGCTTGTGGGCTGGTCGACGTTCGGTACTGTGGCCGGTTTTATTTTTGGACTCTGGAAAGGGTGAGTCTGTCATGGCGATGCTATAGCGGTGCTAGCGGCTTCAGGGAACAGGCTGACGGGATTCGAATATAGATGGTTGATCTACGCTACTGCTACAATTCTAGGATCCACGGCCTCTTTTTACGTATCGCGCACCGTGCTATCAAGTTTCGTCAATCGTCTCATGGAGCGGGACAAGCGTTTTGCGGCCCTTGCTTTAACATTGAAGTATGATGGACTGAAGCTCCTCTGTATGATCCGCTTATGTCCACTCCCATATTCTATTTGCAATGGCGCTGTCTCTACATTCCCCACGGTCCAACCTCTGACGTACGGGCTGGCTACCGCCATTATCTCTCCAAAATTGCTGGTGCCCGCATTTATCGGGAGTCGGGTGCGCCTTCTTTCCGAGAAGGGCGAAGAGATGAGTGCAGGCTCTAAAGCCGTCAACATCATCAGTATTATCGTCACTGTTTCGATTGGTGTTGGGACAGGCTTTTACATCTATCGCAGGTCAGTCCATCTGAACATCACTTAATCCCGAACCATTGCGCTGACCGACGTTCCTTATCTAGAACCTTGGCTCGCGCGAAAGAATTAGAGGAACAGGAACGCGCTGATATTCGGCAGTCCCTACAAAACGACCATGCTGCACACCGCCCCCATGGCCGGTTTTCTGATGACGACGATGTCAATACGGCATCGAACACACTTGCCCGTGACGAGGAAGAACGGATCGGATTTGGCGATCTAGATGATGACAATGTCGACTTGGGTTTCGAAGACGATAGCGGTAGTGAGACCAGTAGGTGGAAGCGATCGAACCGGAAGTCCTATCGTGATGAGTTTACGGATAATGACTCGGATGAGTTCGCTGGCGACGCTGCTGAGGCATTCGGATTGCATCACCATGTCCGACGTGAATAAGCGTGGCTGGAGGGCTAGATATACATTGTAGAATGCACAACCAGGACGCTTTGTACTTCCTTGTTTTAACAAACGTAGCACTTGAGGCATAGTCCTGCGCTGCCTAGATTCATTGGAGGTCTGATACTCCGACTCGACGTGGCCGAGTCCCGGACTGAGTAATACGCCGCTTCCGGACATCAAGGCACAACGGCTACATTTCCTCACTTTCTTTCCCCCCATTTTGAGCCACAGTGGAAGGTCTCCATTGATGGTTCAAATGCCAATCAGCATTCGCTTAGAAGGCTCTCATCACTGTAGGTGCATATCGGTTCGGTGACCCCCCCGGCGCCCCTTCATCCACGGCCCATGCTGCATGATTTAGGGCCCCTCTGTATACGCTTATACATCTAACTGCATGTGCAGGCATTCCAATTGTTTCGATGAATTTGAATCGCTGTGTGCTATGCCCTTACCTGCGATGGTCGCTTCAATATGGTTGACTACTGTATGCTTGGGCCTCACATCTGATCCTGGATCCATCTCGCAAACCTATAAGATTGCATCCCGGTCTAAACACCTTGATCCTTAAAAAATGGATTTCCATCGTTTGTCTGCAGATGGTTCGAACATGGCCAACGCACGGTCTGGGTATAACTTGATGGAGGCATCTATGAAAATGCAGACTGTGGCGAGCCTCCCTCCTAGCCGGGCTGCATATCTAAAACGTGTGGTAAAAAATGGTTATCCTGTGCCAGAGCAGGCAATTCATTTTGCCCCTCAAGAGTTAATTGAACCTCCCACCAAGAGGTTATGCACTTCAGAAATTTCCACATCAGCCTCCATCCCTGACCCTCCATATCAATTGCACAACCCCAACAACCATAATCTGGCACACGACGTGCAGAACGCCATGCAGAATACTAGTATGGATGGTTCGTTCGGGGATTCGCACCCAAGTGGCGCCAGCAACACACCCATCGCATCGACGATAGCCACATCTATAACCTCTTGTGACCCCTTTCTGTCGAATTCCCCCCCAATCACACCCACCCAAACCAAATCATCGCCTTCCTTCCCCTACGGTGTCCAGGCACTGGATAGCAACATGATTGATCGCTCCAAGTGCCGGCCTCGCTCCTCTATCCCATCCAATATGAAACCCGAAACGTACGGCCGACAATGCATCGCATCGGCCTATGCATCACGACTTAACCCATTTGCACTCCATCCCAAAGAACAAGCAGCCTTAGAAAATGATCTCTGTCATAACCATGTCACACTCTATCTCAACATCCGCAACGGTATTCTGCGTCTTTGGACTCGAAATCCCATGGTAAGCGTCAGTCGAGACGAAGCGCTAGGCTGCGCCAAGGAGTACAGATGGATGAATCTGGCATCATTCGCGTATGAATGGTTGGTCCTTCATGGATACATAAACCACGGCTGTGTCGAAGTTCCCCTTCCCTTTGTAACCCGTCGCCGGGGGCGCCGACGAGAAGGACCGGTTATCGTGGTTATCGGTGGTGGTGTGGGGGGGACTTGCCTGTGCACGACAGCTCGAAGGTCTTTTCCGCCATTACCGAGACGCGGATACAAACCCGCATGTCATTGTGCTTGAGGGCCGTCGACGGATCGGTGGACGGATTTACTCGCATCCATTGTACAGTCTGGACTCGGAGGATTTGCCGGAAGGACTCGTCCCCAAGGCTGAAATGGGGGCTCAAATTATTGTGGGTTTCGATCGTGGAAATCCACTCGATCAGGTTATCCGCAGCCAGCTGGGCTTGCACTACCATTTGCTCCGGGATCTGTCGACTATTTATGATTCTGACGGCACGCCTGTGCACGAGGTGCAGGATGCAATGGATCAGAAGCTTTACAACGATGTGTTAGATCGATCGGGGTTCTATCGCCACAAAGCTCTTGTCAAGCCTGCAGCGGAAGGTGACCGGGACATGATCGAAGACGGGCGTGAATCGACCACGGATACCGGTATTTCGATAAAGGTCTACGAAGATGCACGCGCCGCAGGGACTACGCACCTGTTAGTTCCGACCAAACGAGTACGTCGTCGGCGAGGGGTGGGACATAAAACCACAGAGAACAGACCGATCATTGTTGATGCAGGTGACGACGTCGGGCACTCAAAAGAGCAGCCAGCAGCCCTGACTTGCCAGAACACCGGGTGGGAGTTAAACCCGGGTGTCTCTGAGGAAGACACTATTGAGCTTGATGGGATTGCAAGTGCGAGGCCGAGACAAACTTTGGGTAGGGTAATGGATGAAGGTGTGAAGCAATACCAGCATATGCTGCCTTTAACACCCAAGGATATGCGACTCCTCAATTGGCATTTTGCCAACCTTGAATATGCCAACGCTACGAACATCAACAACCTTAGTCTTTCGGGCTGGGATCAAGACATTGGTAATGAATTTGAAGGAGAACACTCGCAAGTCATCGGTGGCTACTCACAACTACCGTTTGGACTGTACACACTGCCTTACAAGCTTGATGTTCGCACCAACAAGGTCGTGCAGAGCATTTCCTATGATCCTTCGGAAACTGACCATCGGAAAGCAAGTATCCACTGTGAAGATGGAGAGCAATTTTTAGCGGACCACGTCGTATATACAGGATCTCTCGGTACTCTCAAGCGCCGGACTATCCAGTTCAACCCACCTCTCCCAGACTGGAAGCTCGGCGCGATTGACCGACTGGGGTTCGGAGTCATGAACAAGGTTGTCTTGGTGTTCGAAGAGCCTTTCTGGGATACAGAGCGTGATATGTTTGGTCTTCTTCGAGAACCGGATGACCGGAGTAGCATGATCCAAGAGGATTATGCCAAGAACCGGGGCCGGTTCTATCTCTTCTGGAACTGCATGAAGACCACTGGATTGCCCGTACTTATCGCCCTCATGGCAGGTGATGCCGCTCACCAGGCCGAACAAACCCCCGACCATGAGATACTCTGCGAGGTCATCTCTCAGCTCCGGAATGTTTTCAAACATACCAGAGTTCCAGATCCTCTGGAGACAATCATCACTCGCTGGGCTTCGGATAAATTTACCTTCGGAAGCTACTCCTATGTAGCCGCCGATGCACTACCTGCAGATTACGACCTGATGGCCCGCAATATCGGCAACCTTCACTTCGCCGGCGAAGCGACCTGCGGCACCCACCCAGCTACCGTACACGGGGCATACCTCTCCGGCCAACGTGCTGCAGCCGAAATAATCGAGTCGCTCTTTGGGCCCATCGAGCTTCCCAAGCCCCTCATTCCCGAGAAATCCGTGAGTACAACCGCCACACCAACCGAAGGCAGAAAGAACGACAGATCTCCAAAACCCTCCACCGAAACCACCACCCAGCCGTCCAGCACTCCATCCCACCAACCTTCAAACGACAAAGCCAAGAAGGCCGCCTACGAGCAAGCCTACTGGGCCGTTATCTACGAGAGACTCGGACCGCAGCCCATTCGGCCCGCAAAAGCAGGCTTGAACCCTTTCCTTATGTACCAGAAAGACTACTGGACAAAGTGTCGTGAGCAATGCGACGAAGCACTCCAGGCAACCAAGCCGGGCGCCAAAGCAGCCCGCGACGAGGTGCGCCACGCACTGGGCCAGATGTGGCGCAATGCCTCCGCGGAGGAGAAACAGCCTTACCTTGACCAGGTCGAGGCTAATCGCCGGCTCAATGAAACGCAGCTTGAGGAATGGAGGGTTGCGGCGGAGAATTGGGATAGGCTATCGTTTGTGGTGAGGGATCAGTGGTGCGAGGAGAACCCGTATGAGCAGTGGGAGGTGCCAGGTCCTCAGTGACCAACCAATGTATTGATCTTCGCCTCCAGCTGGGCCAATACCAACCTCCAAGCTACGGGCTCTGGCTGGATTTGTAGACGTGCTGAGATGATATGAACGAGAACGCTTTATAAGAGATGGCTGGAGATTCCTTTTGAGGTAGTCGATCTGTATTTTTAGAATATGCGCACTGGGGAATGACTTCGATATCCTTTTCAAAGGAGATGACTCCTGTACAGGTCATGAATTTGGCTAGGTCCAATGAAGCACATATAGTTGCTATCTCAAACAGCCGAATCCATTCTAAGGACACAATCTTCAAGATAGAAATCCTAGTACAGCTGGGTCTTCAAAAAGCCCTTTTTCTACTAATATGGCTGATTCGGGAACGATCCAATTGTTTCCCCTTATCCTTAACAGAAAGGGGGCAGGGAGACGATTATACGTATACTAATACCAAAGAAGAAAGGCCAAAAGTCTTTAATGCTGGGCATAAAAATCCCCAAACCTTTATTGTTTTTGCACAAAGCCAGTGCTCACTGCACATCACAAAATTCATTACAGAGGATCACCAGATTAGGGAAATCAGCACCAGGTTAGAAACTAGACCGTAGGTAAACAACGAGATAGGTGGGAATTTCTTAGACATGGTGTTAATACCACCATTTTCTAGGAATTAACACTATATTAGAACCCAGACCGCAGGCCTAGAGTGAAACAAGTTCAAATTTGTTAAACATGGTGTCAATACTACTAGATTTTAGAGACCAACACCATGCTAGAACAGAGACTGCGGCCAAAGAACGAGACAGGTGAAAATATCTTGAAGATGGTGTTAGGTTTGCATTACCTCGCTTAGCACCAGATTATAGAGAATGGGACCAGCTTAGAAAGAACACCACAGGTTTATGATGGAATAGGTGGAGATTTTTTAAACATGGTGTCAGTTTGGACAGCCTGGTTAATATCATCCACCAGGTTACAGAAATTACCACCGAGTTGGAAAAGGGCCTGCGGGCTCACACTGGTTAAAGCGGAAATTCTCAACTCAAAGGTCTTTCTTCAAGGACCAGATAGATCTATGAGATACTAGCATTTGGTCGGTCTAAGAATTATTGCCTTAGATTCAGCTCAGTGAGGACCGGGGCACTAAGCCGGTATTTTGCAACTCCGGGTTAAGGGAGTATAATGAGCTTCTGGGGAACATCGACTGGGCGAATAGTGGGTTATCTTGTGCTGTGATCTCCCCAGAGGGTCGCGGTGGATCGAGAGAATTGTTAATTAGCATGCTTGTATAGCTGACGATTTGCGTTTCGACCGTGGATTGACGAATCCGACAACGCGGATTTGCTGAGTAGAGGTTTCTGGCTGCTATGGTTTCTGGCTGCTATGGTTTCTGGCTGTGGTACTGCTTTGGTAGAAGCTCCTCTTGAAGCTCTAGATTCCAGTAGGCAGATGGGTTCACCACACAGAGTACTACTCAAAGTTTTAGAGTTCAATGATATCTTATCAGATGAAGCCGATTGCTTTTATCCCTCTGAATGGAATATTGAGAATATCTAAGTCTATTTCTATCGAATCATCACATCTAGGCAATCAAGTCAAATCCACCGAGACAAGATCCGATGGGAAGAGCCGCGATGCGAGGCCCCGAGCCCAATAATCCGTGACCATGAGGGGCAAAAGAAAAGAAATAAAAAAGGGGAATATGCATGATGGATGGGATATATCAACTGTCCACTATGGGATCATAATGCCTAGGAAAGGCGAAAGGAGGGGAAGGCGAGGTATCACTTAAACGTGGGGCTTGGGCTCTTCACCAATTTCCGAGATGAACTTCTCGGCTTCGAGAGCAGCAATGCAGCCGGAACCTAAGACTCAGTTAGCAAAATTCTGCAAAAAAAAAAAGAAAAGAAAAGAAAAGAAAAATTATAGGGCTAATGTAGAACATACCGGCACTGGTGATAGCCTGGCGGTAGCGCTTGTCCTGGACGTCACCGCAAGCGAAAACCCCCTCGACACTGGTGAAGCTGGTACCGGGCTTGGTGATGATGTATCCATCCTCATCCAGGTCAAGTTGACCCTTGACCAGAGCGTTGGCTGGGTCGTGGCCAATAGCGTAGAAGAGACCGTTGGCTTCAACAACCTCCTCCTTGTCATCGGTAACATTCTTGACACGAAGGTGGGTCATGAGACCGTTGTCCTTGGCCTCACCAATCACCTCCGTGGCAACACAGTTGTAACGCACAGTGCACTTGGGGTGAGCGAGCAGACGCTCAGCCATGACCTTACTAGCACGGAGCTTGTTCTTGCGAACCAGGACAGTAACGTGGCTACCGTACTTGGCCAGGAACATAGCCTCCTCGGCCGCCGAGTCACCACCACCGATCACGTACAGAGGCTTGTTACGGAAGATAGGAACAGCACCGTCACACACGGCACAGGCACTGATGCCGTTCTGCCAGTACTTTTCCTCGCCGGGAAGGTTCAGACGGCGAGCGTTGGCACCGGTGGCGATGATGACGGCGTCGGCGGTGCGGGTAGGAGGGTCATTGGGGCCATCGCTCCACTCAGTCCACATCTTAAAAGGTCGCTGCGAAAGGTCGAGTTTTGAGATAGTCTCGGTGATGATCTCGGTGCCGAATCGCTCGGACTGCTGGCGCATGTTGACCATCAGCTCGGCGCCGCCGATGCCGTTGGGGAAACCGGGAAAGTTCTCGACGTCGGTGGTGGTAGTGAGCTGGCCACCAGCGGCAGTGCCGTTGGCGAGCATGCCCTCGTAGAGGACAGGCTGAAGCTCAGCACGCGACAGGTAGATCGCGGCAGTGTGGGCGCCCGGGCCGGAGCCGATAACTGGACTAATTGTCAGAAGACTGTCTGACGGCCAACTTTTCCCTGGCCGATCAACTTACTAACTACTTTGGAGTGGGCCATTCTGGCTTGGTTCAAGCAATTGACGCGCAGGGGCGTCGACAAGGGCTGCGAAAGGACGGAGGGGGAGGAGGGGCCTGTTGGTGGATTGAGGCGGCGGCAGCAGTGAATCCCAAAGACCGAAGGGCGGCGGGGAAACGTCGGATCGTGGAGGAAAACAGCTTGAAGGTGTTGGAAGGAGAGAGGATTAAATTGGGGAAGCGGGGGGGGTTATGAGATCGGAAATCCGTGAATAGCTCTCGCCGGCCAAGAATTATTCATTGGCAGCGCCGAGGCCCCTCGCTTTCTAAGCAGGACCCCACGTGAGCAGTCGAGACCGAACTCGCACTCCGTGGAATCACATCACCTACCGCGCCCGGAGCCCGGCACCGAAATGTGGCTCAATGGGGTCTCATTTCTGGGCAGAATCTGGGTGGAGCAGATTCTTTACCATTCTGAGGCTTAGTGAGGGGATCTGGAAGTCCTGGCCTCTTTTCTTTGCTTAACTAACTGACCTGGGGGCCATTCTTCGGCTTAGATAATGAAGAGTTGCCGCCTGAAATTTGGGGCTCGACAGTAAACGGGTGGAACCGCACTAAACCCTTCTTGGGCTATCAATCAGATACTAGAACCGTTTGCTTATCTGCCATTGCCAAGCACACAACCCGTGCCATGTGAAGATCCCCACTCGGGTACATACTGCCCCCAAGGTTGTATCTTGCACGTACTCGCAACCTGAAAATGTTATTGGCATTCACCAGAATATTCTCTAGAGAGTCAAGGGTGACTGACACCAAAAAACATCTCTGAAAGCATTGGCCTAGTTGACGTTCTGTACCCCATTTGTAGCCGAAGCTGGGAGATGTAAAGATGGTTTATTGATCTATCTATGGTTTGCTAGATGAGGGATTATGCACGTGACCAGCCGTCCTGGCTTGTGCGGTGACACCATTCTAAGGATTCGAAGGCAACCTTGGAATTATCGAGGAAAGCTATATCCACACCAGAGTCAGATAATGAAGCCGGCTTCAGTCAAAGAATGCTTTCGATTTGAGTCGTACCAAATGACACGACATTGAACGAACAATTGTATAACAAACCCAGATGCATCCTCTCCCTAATGCCAACAGGAAAGCCACGTGCGAAGTTAGGGCCATTACTAGCACGGACAGGCCTACCAAGGAAGAAGCACGCGACAAGTAGGGCAAGTATCGTTACGTGTAACCCATGGCGTAATGCAATGATCATGGAACCAGTGGCCACAAGGAAGAACGGTAACATGGCCCTCCAGGTCCACGGTTTCCATACACATGCTGCAAGGCAGGTCTTGGCTGTCCTGTGGCGCAGACTGAAGGATGTCCCAGAGTCGCATTCTGACCATCACAAGTGGGATTTACTCTCCTTGACTCTGGTTTCCATGACTGTGATATTGGTGGGGACTCTGGCTATGGCTCTAAATATGACTCTGGTTCTGGCAAGCGATTGGCCTCACAATATACGGAGCGGGTATTGGCGGCGGAGTAGGCAAGTTCCTGCCAAATTGAGACCTTGATCTCGAATCAGAGGAGATGTTGGCGCTGTGTTAGGAAGACAGTGATCCTTGTCGGGTGAAAGATGGTGGTATATTACTGTGCCCGCATAATGTACAGGACAGCCACCACAGCAATAGGTTTTCCGGACTTGCAGAACATCAGATCAAAAGTAGGAGTGGCGCGCACCATTTTCAGAGCTTGGGTTAGCTGTCACTCATACTTCGACAAGGGCTCTTTTCAGACTTGGGTCTTGACCAGCAGGTCCTCGACGACTTTATATCTGCATTACAGTGCTTGTAGACTCCAAGTAAAGCATATATGCGTCTTTCATGCGAGGCCACCACCATCATGGAGGGGTGATTCCCCATTCATCGATCAAGAGGTTTGCCCACCCTCGAATTTTACTGTGACTGAGTACAAGGTGCTATTGAGCCTTTGTGGGGAATGGATGACGCTGAGCTGGCTTTCTATGTGAGACACCAATATATCCACGGCATGTGACGCACAAAACTCTTAGTCACTAAAGCCTGAAACATACTTCAATGAGCTTAGGAGAGTCAAGAAGGCTCGGCGTCTCTCTGGAAACATAGGATACTTACAAGCCTCTTATCTCCAATACAGACAATGACAGACGTCGAAATTTAGAATTAAATTCTTGTTAAAGCCTAATTCAAATGCGCTAAAGGGCCTCAGGTTTTGTATCAAGCAGAAGTCTCAAATCGAGAGCCAGCGTAAATCGTAATAGTGTACATCAAATCATTCCAAACCACTTCTTCCGCGGCCGGACAGGTTCATATTCCTTCTCATCATAATCGTCTTCCTCGTCCTCAGGAGACGCGTCTACAACAGTATCTGGGGGAAGTCGCTGCGACACCTCCGTCCCCGACTCGTCGCTTCCATAGTCATAATGTTGCGACGTAGACGCAGCCGCATTCGCGCGGGTATTAACAGCAGTGTCATGGTCTTCGTAATCGTCAGATGCCTCCTCATCTTCTTCATCGCTGCCCGCAGCGTCCGCGTTCTTCTTTCGGCGCGGCACTCGGAGCCACTTGCGCCAGCCCTTGACCACCTGCATCGGGGGCGGGTCGTACTCGGTACCCTCATATTTGAGTGCGGGGACTAGCAGCTTATATGGAACTGTGATACCGGATGGGTCGTGCGGGCTGATTTCCATGTTTAGTGTGATGGCTAAGCCGCCTTCGAGATCAACGAAAGTGCCAACACCATCGTCGCCTTGCTTGGTCGATTTCCAGGTGGCTTTCTGGCTAAGGTTGGTTGGGCGGCGGTGGAACTGCCCCGGCTGTGGCTCTCCCTGTCCTGCACCTGGAAAGTAGCTATCGCTGCTCTCGTTGGGGCGGGAGATTGGAGGAGCGTCGACGCTGGAGCGTCGTTTGGGGAACCCGCTATCTCGGCCCATGCTCATGGTTCGCGTAGGTGGTGGACCCCGATTGGACAGTCGGCGGAAGATGCCAGGCTTACTGGCGGGAGGAGGTCCTCTATCGCCACGGCCTAGCGAGAGAGTCCGTTGGAGCACGTTGGGACGTGCCTCGGTGGGAGGGGTCATTTCTGAGTCTGGGGTCGCCGGGGGTGTGGTTCCTGGGAGATTCTCTCGGATAGAGCACCAGTTTCGGCGTGGGAGAAGACGCTTGTTATTGCGGGCCTTGCCATCGACGTCTTGGGTGAAGATGGGGATGATATCTTCGTCGGTATTAGAGTCCATGTGGTGAACAGTGTTGCGTTTGTTGAGCATGTCAGAGATCAAGTCTGTCTCTGGCGCGTCTGCAATGGCAGAGGATATGATATTGGGCATGTAACGGTAATCCTTGTCTTTGTTTATTTCCAGCTTGGGGTTGGAGTAGAACTGGCCGATGGCAGCCAAGTGAACATCGCCGCTATCAGACGTTAGTATCACTAAGTCTCCAGGGTACTGCACAGTCACCTACCTTAGAATAGTGACACGAATAGACTTCTCAGCTGCAAGATCTTGCAGATCCTCGATCAGGTAGGTTCGCTCAGCTTTAAGCTTCTTGCCAGCCCAGTGGTCATCGAAGACCTCAACTCCTTCGACTGTTCCAGATCGATTGGTGAGGCCCCCCAGCATACCCGCCTTACCAAGTGACTTGCGGCTATTCATGAAGTTTTTGAGCATTGGCTGGAAATAAGTTAGCAAATGACTGTCATCAGATCGTTGAGTACATACCACGCGAGGATAAGCAACCGGTACGCTGGAAAGGACAATAAGGTGCTTCGTTTCTCCCCTGTTGATTTCGTGATGGCATCGGTCCCAGATGAGGTCGCATGTTTCTTCGCTAAGAACCTCTTCGTTGGTGCGTTCGGTGCGACAGTCCAGTCCCAAGAGAATCATATCGTGGCCTAGCGACATGAACAAGTTGCGACTCCTTTGCCCGATATATGGACCGGGCTGGGCCCCCAGCACCCAGCTAGGCTCATCTGCTTCCGTCTCCTCAGGCACACTGTGATGCTGGAACAACAAATAATATTTGAAAGCGATTCTGCCCAAGCCTGAAATAACCATACTCTTCATGAAATCTTCATTGTACGAGCCGTAGCCTTCGAAGAGCTCATGATCGTTCCACATGTTGACCATGGGAATCTGCGAATTGGCAAGGGAGTAGAGGCCTTGTGAGAACCACGAGGCGTAGCGTTCCAAGTAGAAGTCTTCAAGCTCAGCACGGAACTCCGCTGTGAAAGATGTTCCGTATCGCTCAGCAGGATTCTTAATCTTGGTCCATTCACTGAAGAAGTGAGAGTCGGTAATGACAGAGTCGTTGAATATCTGGTCACCACCACCAATCATCACATGAAATGGACGAGTTTGGTGCTCATTCAAAACGTCACGCCAAAGTGGATCTGGTCCACAGAAAGCATTCGTGTCCACAGATGTGCCAAAGCCATTGCCAGTATGGTACATGATGTTCATTGGCTGGTTCTTCGCAGGCACCCAGAAGCCAAGGGCCGGCCCTTGGTTGATGCGATATGCAATGCGCTGCTGCGACCCGCTGAGGTCAATCTCCAGATTGAATCGCCAGAATGTGACATCTCTTGCAGAGTCGGCATAAAGGCGGACTCGGGGAGGTCTCGGTACAGCTCCGCTGTTTCTCCATCGACGGAATGGATGCGGTTAGAAGGGATGGGTTGCTTGGATCCATCGTTATCAATGATGCTTGGGGAAAGCTCATATATGCCATCATCGTTCTCGACCGCCGACAAGTCCAACTCTTCCTCGATGTAGTCGATTGGCTTGACATAAAGCGGCCTTCCATCACGTCCAACCTTCATGAGACCGGCAGTGGGGTCGATATACTCCGGTGCAAGTTGGACACCATCTTCCTTACTGATCTGTGCTGGGGGAGGAGGGAGAAGATTCATGGGTTGTGAGAACAACCGTAACGTAGGCGGAGTGGCATAGGAAGAGCGAGAATCTTTAGTGACGATCAGAATTGAGCCTCGCCAGGTTTCCTTCTCAATGGGGCCTGAGGCTCCGTCGGCTTGAGTCTTATTGATTCCCGTGTATCGTAGCAGTGGGCCGCAACGTAAGAAGAGCTTTGGTTGGAAGTTCTTGTGCTCAGTAATACCTAGTAGAGTTAGCATTGCTTGACGATAACACGGGGGATAGGGTCTTACCAGTTAGCTTTTGCGCCGGCGTTTTATAGTTCTTTGGCAAGGCCCGGCTCTTCCTTCGGTTGGACGTGCCGCCACCCTCCCACCAAGCCTTGCTCCGATCCATATCGATATGTTGGAAGTCAAAGTCCGCAACCTCGAGGTGTGCAACTGGTGCATTTTTCCACTCGAATATAGGTGGTGGTGTCGGAGGCGGCATATCAAATGAGACCGATTGGTTTTTCTTCGGTTTCGTATGTGACTCCACACTTCCGCGAGCTGCACGAGCCGCCGGAGGCGTTTCAAGCCTCTCATCACTACCGAGAATGGCGGCAGTCTTTGAAGGTGCTATCGCGATAGGAGCCGCAATCTGCACAGGCTTAGGAGGCCCTCGCTGGGAACCTGAGCGCGGGATCGGGGGGTTCCCGTCAGCTGGCCCAGGTTTGGCTAGACCACTCATGGTGACCGCTCTTCGATGGACGGTTTCTATCTTTGCAGTCTGTGGAACAACGGCTTCTGCACGCGCATACATTTCTTCTGGGCGGCGCATGTCTGGATTCTGGGGGGTTTAAGGAAGCGGCTCTGTTATGCCGGGCAGGTCCTGGCGGAGGTCGCGATCCTGGTCGAACGGCTCGCGGGGCGCCTTCAACAACAGCCTGCTTTCGAGTGCTACGAGGTATATCTTGAACGGGTTTGTTCTCAGGTTGTAGCTCTCGCTTGGTGCTGACGGCGGCAGCAGCGGTAGCCGCAGCGGCAACTGCCTGCTCTCGCTCTGCCTTTTGTCGAGCAATTCTTTCTCGGGCTCGCATCTCAGCCTCTTGGACCCGCGCACGCTTTTCTTCTTTTGTGATGCCATTGAGAGTGAATTCGAGCTTTTGCAAGGGAGATCGGTCTGATGCGAAATCCTTCCGCTGTGAAGTTGTTGATTGTGTGGTATTTGAGCGGCTTAGAGGCGATGCCACAGGAGCACTGTCTGCTGCTGGTGCCGCGGTTTGTTGCACAGGTTCGTCTGGCTTTAAAGGGAACGAATTTGGAGGAAGACCTCGCGGCGTGGTCGATTCATCATCCAATGTCGGAGAGGGGTCGAGCAAGTGCACATTGTATTTGGGATCATCAACCGGATATCTGCTAGCCTTGGCTGAGTACGATCGGTCTGGCCTACCAGAAGATTTGGCTGCCTTTGATCTGGCTGTTGGGTGCTGGTCTGAATCCTCCGCTCCGGTCAGGTTTTCATAGTTCATATCATCGTGAAAGTCCGGTCCGGCTTGGTCGCTGGTCTCTTGAGGATGCGAGGTACCATTGGCCGACTCCGATGGAGGATAAATCGCGGCGCTAGCCATTCTGTTTTATTTGAGGAGGACACGAATGATTCTCGCAGTTTAGGAACTGATTGAATTCGGATTCACGGATGCAAGCGTAGTCCCAACTAAAATGGCTTTAGTCAATACAATATCACAAGACCTCTCCTTGAGGCCGCGCGGTTTGCGGACGTGCCAAAGGTGGACAGAGCACAGGAAACTCACGATACGATTGAATCGACAGTGCCCAATGCCCGCCGCCTGCTCAGTACATCATCCGAGGCTAATGTGCGCAGATCTCCGTATGTGGCAGGAGAGTGTAATACAAGGAGCAGAAGGACGCAGAAAAATACAAGCGGGAATTGGCCCGAAAGCTTCGAAGAATGGAAGAAAAGAGGAAGGGGGAAAAGCAAGCAGAAAACGGAGCTGTCTATACATTAGAATAACCCGGTGGCTGGTGTGCCCAGCCTTCGCGCGGGGGCCTAACGCAGCCATTGGTGGGCACCGTCGCCGATCAATACGGACAATTAACGGTCAAGGGAGAGCATCTAAAGTCGCTTTTCGAATAGACATCGGATTGAAATTCACTATCGATCATACTGCTGTGGGTTTGACGTCCATCGAAGTATACAATGGAGCTGGAGAGACACAGGTTCTCCGCCGTTAGCACGGTTAAAACTGACTATACTAGCATTTGATCTGATCTTGCCTATGAGCCGTGAAACTCACGGTGGATCTGAATATAACTAGTTTCCCAGGATACTTCCCTATTGACGTCTGAAACTACATCAACATATATGCAAGGGTCGGACTAGGAGGTCCTTGCAGCCGTTTGCGACCGCAAGAACTGGGTGGAAACGAACAAAGAGAATTGAGAATTGAAGAAAGACGAGATTATGACTTCGGATGTTTCAATCTTAAGGCTGCCCTGCCACGAGGGCGTAGACCGCAATGATCATGCCTGGCAACAGTCGGAATGGTCGATACAGACGTACTTGTACATTGACGTGCTAGACGTACTCGTCCCCGTACCCAGCCCCGACCCACTAGCACCACTGGCAGGGGGCCATTTCTCTATTGGAAAACGTGGTCTTTGTCTTTTGAGGGCCTATTCGTCTCACATTGATTTTGGTCAGTGAACGGTGAGCAGCCTCAACTTAGCTTCAAACAGTAAATTGCAAGAACGCGCCCCCTAACGCAGCGTTCAAGTTCGAAGATTGGTCGATTCGGGACCCAAAGGATCCAAAAGCTTTCGTCCCGTGCAGTTCAAGGGCCGACGATCCTCCTATTCTCAAGAACTCTTCTTCTCCATCTACCCCCCCTACCCAATCCATTTTCCACGAGTCGGTGTATGAATAGTCTGGAACTGTTCATGGCAGTAACGTCCTGCTCCGACCGAGATTAGATCGCAAGATCGAACACTCCGACCTCCTTAAGCGCCATCCCGCCCGCCCAACATGCGTATCGCCGGCAGCATCGCCATCGCTCTGGGCTTCGCAGGTGCTGCTTCCGCAAGCCTTCATCCTCGCTCCCAAGAATCCCGCGACTTCTTCGCCCTACACCTCGATGCTGATACTTCCCCCGACCGGGTGGCCCAGGTCCTCGGTGCCCGCCACGAGGGCAAGATCGGAGAGCTTGCGGGCCACCATACATTTTCGCTGCCGCGCGAGAAGAGCTCCGATTTCAACGCTTTGCTAAAGGAACTCCAGTCTACCCGGAAACTACGCCGGCGATCCGGCCTCACAGCTCCACGAAATGCAGACCCCCTCGAGGGGATTCTGTGGTCACATAAGATCGCGCCTCCAAGGCAGCGGCTGGAAAAGCGGGCTCCTCCTTCCTCCTCATACATCGCCTCTCGATCGAATCCGTCTTTGTCAAGTAGAGTTGACCTGACGGCACAGAATGAGATCGCCACTGAGCTAGGCATTACCGATCCAATATTTAAGGACCAGTGGCATCTATATAATCCCTTACAACCGGGCTTCGATCTGAACGTGACAGGTGCTTGGTTGAATAATGTGACTGGCCAGGGTATTGCTGTGGCTGTTGTCGACGATGGGCTTGATATGGATAGCAAGGACCTAAAGCCTAACTACTTCCCTGAAGGTTCATGGGATTTCAACGAAGGTTCCGCCGAACCCCGTCCTCTGTTGCGTGATGATAAGCACGGTACGCGCTGCTGTGGCGAGATTGCTGCAGCGAAGAACGATGTTTGTGGAGTTGGAGTCGCGTACGACAGCAAAATTTCGGGAATCCGCATTCTTTCAAAACCAATCGATGACGTCGACGAAGCGAAGGCTATCAACTACGAATTCCAGAAGAATGACATTTACTCCTGCTCCTGGGGGCCGCCGGATGATGGCGCAACGATGGATGCTCCTGGCATCCTGATAAAGCGAGCCATGGTCAACGGTGTGCAGGAAGGCAGAGGAGGAAAGGGCTCCATCTTCGTATTTGCCGCCGGCAATGGTGCTGTGTACGGCGACAATTGCAACTTCGATGGGTATACAAACAGTATCTACAGCATCACGGTGGGTGCGATTGATCGCCTGGAGAACCACCCGACCTATTCGGAGTCCTGTTCGGCTCAGCTTGTCGTGGCTTACAGCAGTGGTTCTGGTGATGCAATCCACACAACTGACGTGGGCACGGACAAGTGTTTCTCAGCCCACGGCGGTACATCCGCTGCAGGCCCCCTCGCTGCAGGGGCCGTGGCCCTTGCACTGAGCGTTCGGCCTGAGCTGACCTGGCGCGACGTCCAATACCTGATGGTTGAGACTGCTGTGCCAGTGAACGTGGATGATGGCAGCTGGCAAGATCTTCCCTCTGGAAAGAAGTTCAGCCACGACTGGGGCTTCGGTAAAGTCGATGCTTCTTCACTTGTGGAGAAGGCTCTTACTTGGGAGATGGTGAAGCCCCAGGCGTGGTTCCATTCGCCGTGGTTGCGTGTGCACCGCAGTATCCCCCAGGGCGATAAAGGATTGCTCAGCCGTTACAAGATGACCCAGGACCAGCTCAAGAAGGCAAACCTTGCCAAGTTGGAACATGTGACTGTTACAATGAACATCAATCATGCTCGTCGAGGTGATCTCAGTGTAGATCTACGCAGCCCATCTGGGATTATCAGCGAACTCAGTGTTGCCCGGAAGTCTGACAACGCAAATATTGGCTACGTAGACTGGACTTTCATGTCTGTCGCTCACTGGTATGCATCAATTTCCTTATTCAGTGATGAATTACTAACGAATATTTAGGGGCGAATCGCCCGAGGGTGAGTGGGAAATCATTGTGAAAGATACCCAGGTCAACGAGTTCAACGGCGACTTCATTGACTGGAGGATCAATTTCTGGGGCGAAGCCATCGACGCTGCCAAAACGCACCTTCACCCATTACCCGACGAACATGATCATGATCATCCGTACGAGGATCCTCATGACATTGCCACTGTTAGCGTAGACCCTGGCCCAGTCAAGACCGGCGCGCCTGAGAACATTGATGACCACCATGACCGTCCTATCAACCAGAAGCCCACTAGCACGCCAAAGCCCACAGTGACGCAGCCCGGTGATGCTAGCAAGCCTACAGACGAAAACCCCACTGATGATGAGCTGGAGGTGGTCAATCCTTCTCCATCTACCACAATCAGCAACCCTCCAACTCCTAGCAGCAGTTCTGGCTCGGATTATCTGTCTTCTTACCTCCCCACGTTTGGTGCCTCCAAGCGCACTCAGATTTGGATATATGCCTCATTTGCGATGATCATCGTTTTCTTCATCGGTTTGGGTGTTTACTTCCAACTCCAGCGAATCAAGCGTCGTCGCACCAACCCCAATGACGACTACGAATTTGAGATGATCGAAGACGAAGAGGAGATGCAACCGATGACCGGAGGGACCGGCCGTACTCAGCGCCGCGGAGGCGAGCTTTACAATGCATTCGCTGGCGAAAGTGACGAGGAAATATTCAGTGATGATGGTCACGATGTGTACCATGACCGATTGGCTGATATCTCGGAGAAAGACAACGAGGATGATCCATCCCCTAACAGCGGTCTTTTGTCTGAAAAGCCATAAAGCCATTTGTTGTATTTGTTTGCATTGGGCTGGGCTGCGATTAGTGCTATCTAGGACTACGTATCGATCATACGGCATCTCCTATCCTCTTGGATTGTTAGGATAGGAAAAGTGGATGCCTGGAGTCTCTGTATATCAACCAATTTTTCACGACCAATAATATCGGGGTATTAGAGTGAACCAGTCGAACATCGCTTTCCGATGAGAAAAAGAGTCGGGCCAGCCTGTAGATCTACCTAGGAAAGACGTCCGGCAGTACATGTAGATAACACCGGATGCCTGCAACGCGATAAAAGACGATGACGACGGGGCCGCTCGGCTACTCCGCCTTGGGGATCGCCGATCATCTGAAACCCAGCTCAGCTCTCACTCCGCCACACCCCACTATTCTGTAGTTTCTTGTCACTACAAGCTTCTCTCTGACCTTGACCTGTCATCTACGGTGCCTTTAGCGTGAAGCACGCAGCTCATCTGCCGGGTGACAACCGGCTTACCGCTTCCCCGCCATGGAGCAACACGACGACTTCGACAATGTTTCCTGGAAGCACGACGCAGGAAGCGATGCCTCTCGGCCGACGACTTCCGGCACCGATGCGGAAGAGCAACATACACATGGTAACGATGCCAATGGCAAGCAGAGAATGAGCTCAGCCCATGAGGAACCCCAGGCTGGCCCGCTAGCCGACCCTATCGACCTGGCAGGCATCGGAGACGGCGTGCTCGAATGCACCGTCGACAGCCCTCTGAAGGAGAACGACGGAACAAAAGACGCATATATCTCTTACTTGGTGACAACACATGTGAGTGCCTTTGCGCCGGCTCCCTGTATCTCTCCAAAAATCGATAGGGATACGATTGTTGCAAGCCTGTGGCGTCAACATGGCACGAGGCCGGTAGCTTACCTAAATTTATAGACCGATTTCAAGTCATTTCAAAGTCCTGAAGTCAAAGTGCGTCGGCGCTTCACCGATTTCTACTTCCTTTACAAGACCCTTTACCGTGAATACCCAGCATCTGCCGTTCCGCCATTGCCAGACAAGCACAAGATGGAGTATGTGCGAGGAGACCGGTTCGGCTCGGAGTTCACTACCCGACGTGCTTGGTCACTGCACCGCTTCCTCAAGCGACTGACTCTACACCCTGTTCTACGAAGAGCGCCCCTTCTCACGATCTTCCTGGAATCGCCGGACTGGAATGCGCATATGCGATTACACACCACGCGCGGGTCAACCAATACGAGTTCCGACACTGCGTCGACCAAGATCTTCGATAACTTCACAGACACATTTGTTAATGCCTTTACAAAGGTGAATAAGCCGGACCGCCGGTTTATCGAAGTCAAAGAGAAGGCGGATAAACTGGATGAAGACCTGACTCATGTGGAGAAGACCGTGGCGCGGGTCGCGCGGCGTGAAACTGATCTGGAAAGCGATTACGCAGAGTTGGCAACGCAGTTTCGTAAGCTCGTCCCTCTAGAGCCAGCAGTCGAGGTACCATTACAGGTATTCGCAGCATCCGTTGAGGAAACTGCACGAGGTATGAAGGGTCTAAAGGATCATACCGACCAAAACTATCTTGGCTCCCTGCGCGACATGGAGGCGTACATCTCGTCTGTCAAATCCCTCTTGAAGACACGCGAGCAGAAACAGCTTGATTTTGAAGCCTTAGTCGAATACCGCAACAAAGCTGTCGCCGAGCGAGACTCGCTGACTGCTAATCCTGCCGCCTACTACGCCTCAAACCCGCTCACATCGTCTCCCGCCTCTTTTATCCGCTCGAAAATGGAGGACATGCGCGGTGTTGACCATGAGCAATCGCGACGGGAGCGCGTTCGCAAACTTGAACTGCGGATTGATGAACTTACCCGCGAGGTAGAAAACGCAAGGACAACGTCCGAGATGTTTGACGAGGAAGTTATGCGCGAAGTAGCCGATTTCGAGCGTATCAAGGCGGTCGAGTTCCGTGACTCGCTAGGTAACCTTGCAGAATCGCATGTCGGGTTTTACCAAGGCGTTCTGTCTACTTGGGAGCGGTTTATTGCCGAAATGGAGGGAGACCCCGAGTATGTACCGGAGGAGTCACTAACTCTGGGTGCTCGGTAGACCGGGGCATTTTTCTTTACAGGATGGGTTGGGTATAGCTGTTGTCTAATTTCCTTACGTAGCTTGTCATTACGAATCATACCCGAAATACTCCTAGCCTTCTACATAAGGTTGATATCAGGCAATAGTTGCTAGTACCATGGCACGTGCAAGCCCCATCTTTCAATTCGAATTTTTAATCTTCTTATGTTGTCATACATTCCAAACATTTGACTGGAAGAAAGACTTGTGATCGCAGAACGTCTCGTTTTATTTTGTTCCCATGGGGTTTGTAGTTGGTTACTTGTCGCTATTCGTATAAGCTATTGTCTGTTTGCTCTGTTTGCACCCGCGGCCCTCTTCCATTATCGTCCCATGTCCGCATGATGTCGATGCGACTTTCAAACACAATGCGTTCAATTCCAAGAGCCGCCATATTCCCGTATGTCTGCGCGTCGTGCAGACATGATGTCACCGCTGGACTACGTCGTCTCAGCACCAAAACTACTCAAAGCCCCGAGATCTACGACGTAGTCTGCGTCGGGGGCGGCCCGGCAGGTCTAGGATTGCTAGCTGCACTCCGTAAGTGATGCGCCTGGACTTAATACTGGAAATAGGAAATATCAGACTCTCACAGCTTGTAGGAGCCTCTCCCGTTACCTCTAAGCTCAAAGTCGCCCTGGTCGAAACACAAGATCTCCGCAAAGCCCGCGAGTGGAGCCTCGATTCGACCCAATATTCAAACCGAGTCAGCAGTTTGACCCCATCGACTGTTGAATTCCTACGAAGAATTGGTGCTTGGGAACACCTACAGCTTAATCGTGTACAGCCCTACCAGGAGATGCAAGTATGGGATGGTGAGACCGGGTCGCGAATATCCTTTGACTGGTCTTCGGAGACACCAGCTTTTGAGAACTTGCGCACTGTGGCTACCATGACAGAGAACTCAAATTTGATTCGCGGTTTGTTAGAGAGGATTGCTGCCTCTGGGGATGAGAATTTGACTCTTTTCTCCAATACCACCGTTGCCTCTATCGAAAATGGGTCGGATACCCAAGGCGATGGCCCAGATCTTTCGGCCTGGCCAGTCCTCTCAGTCAAGCCAGTGGGCCCAGCTGGAGAGACTCAGCCACCTTCACAGATTGCCGCAAGACTTCTCGTTGGCGCAGATGGGATCAACAGCCCTGTTCGAGCATTCGCGGACATTAGCACGCAAGGTTGGGATTACAACCGACATGGAGTCGTAGCCACCCTTGCCCTTGAGGATCTCGGTATCCCTTCAAACTCCCACACTGCTTACCAGCGGTTCCTCCCTGCTCTCGGAGGTCCCATTGCTCTGCTCCCGCTCCCCGACAACCACGCCACTTTGGTGTGGTCTACAACGCCCCAGAACGCTGCGTACCTCAAATCTCTCTCAATGCCAGCTTTCATTGCCATGGTCAACGCAGCTTTCAGACTGCCGATGGTCGATCTGAACTACATGATGGGAATAGACAAATCTACGTCGGAGCCGAGCACACACGAAGATGAGCTTAGCTGGCGCCTCCAGCACACGCCACTACCATCTCATATCCCGCGCAAAGCTATCGGTGTACAAGAGGGAACCGTCGCATCGTTCCCTCTGCGCTTCCGCCACGCTTCCCAGTATATCTCCCCTCGTGTTGCCCTTGTCGGAGATGCAGCGCACGTGATTCACCCGCTTGCTGGGCAGGGCTTAAACCTCGGCCTGGCGGACGTCGCTGCGCTGTCAAAGACGATCGAGTATGCGGTGAGTCATGGGATGGATATTGGCGATCTTTTGACTCTTGAGCGATACTCATCCGAACGCTATCTGCCCAATGCTAAGATTGGTGGTGCTTGTGACCTCTTGCATAAGCTGTATACGGTCCCTGGTCAAAACCCCATTGCCTGGGCACGGAGCTTTGGCCTGGACGTGATTGATAAACTTCCGTTCGTCAAGTCCTTCCTTATGAGGAACGCGGAGGGGTATTAGATTTGATAAAAAGCCCAGCTGGTCATGTATTGATACTGTACATTTAGTTTCATTTCGTTTGATTAAGGTAGAGACAAAATACCAGTCGTCTTCTCAAGCCATTACAGAGCGCCTGGTGGATTTGGTGGACCTAGTGGTCCCCGTAAACAAGATCCACATCCTGGGATCTGTTGACATAAGTATAGTTGTAGAAGCTAACCAGCATAAGTGTCGTATACAGCGAGAATAGAGTAATAAACCAGAGAGCAGAAGGGATCCGGGGGTAGAGTATACGGCCACCATCATTAGTATCCATTTCTCGGAATCCAATGGAACGATATAGTGCCTGTAGGCGCCGGTAAGGCCGAGGTAGGTCTCTAGCTGTTTTAGCGTTCGAGGGAATTTTAAGCTAGTAATGGCTTGGAGCTTATCGACCTTGGTCGTCATTCCCAGTGAGTCCACCTGTTGTCCAAGCAAGGTGATGTAGGGAAACCCGATGAATACCTTCGTGGGCTCTAGATAGATGTTAAACTCCTGTAGCTTCTGGAGCAATAGATGAAGGTGCTCGACATGAGCTTGGAGGTTGTCGGGCGCCGTGACTATATCATCGACGAAGACCCGACACCATTCACGGAACTCCTGTAGGATATTGTCCATGGCCCGTTGCACGTAGGTGACGGAGTTACAAAATCCCATTGTAGCCACTTGGAACACCTCTTGGCCGCGGTATGTAATCACCGCCATCTGTCCCACATCGTTTGGGTGTACTGGCCACTGGTAAAAGCACCTGGCGGCGTCGAATACGGACATGTATCGCTTACCCTGGGTGATAGCGATGATGTCGGCTTGGGTTGGCAGAGGTAGATATCCTTGACGACCAGCTTGTTCTGCGCCCGAAGGTCTATCACCACGCGACCGACACGCTGGCGGTTGCCATTGTCGTCGGTTTTTCCATTTCCATACGACAAACACTGGATATCCGCTTGGTGTATGCGACTCGGGCGCGTTTCAGCTTGCCGTCAGCTTGGAGCGAGTCGAAGAGCTTATCGATCTCTGCGCGGTCTCCTGTACCACATTCATAGATTTGTGGCTTTGGTACCTTGTCTTGCCATTCTCCCCAAAGTTACCAAATTGTCTTCCGTCAAGACAATACATCCCCAAAGTTAACATGAACACCAGGTGGAAGCTGGAACCCGGTGAAAGCTGCTACAGGCAGTCTGATCTCATTTGGAGTAGGTATAGACGATATATGGCTTTCAAATCGGACCGTAGGATTGAGACCGTCTCGAAAGATAGTCGGACTTTCAACTTCAAGTTAGGAGACGCTATTGCTGAAATGCATTGTCTACAAGTTGATGGTCGGGCCTCACTACTAGCATAGGAGGAAAACATAAATATCTTGAACCGTAGGAAGCAAGAATGGAGTTTCCTTTCTCCCGATAATCTTATATGTAAAAGGAACAACTGCATGAGAACATGACAGTGTTCACACAGGTCGTGTTCAGTACTTGACAGAAGATACAGGTTTACAATGTACCTTCAGTCGCCAGAAAGATGCAGTAGACCAAGCCACTTTGGGGCCAGGCCAGGCAGATGTGACCTGTAGAGTGGCACGGTCCTCCCTTCCAGGCTTCGCTTCGGAAATGTAAAGTTCATGCCAAGTTTAGCGCGAGCGGGCGAATGAGGGGTAGTGGGACAGTCGGCTGACAAAGACAAGGATCCCCGGATTTTAGCGATGATCTTCGTCTTCCTTCGCGATTACGAGCCCCGCATACTCTCTTCGCCCAAGGCTGCATTGCTCCAATGGCCTCAGAGTCTTGATGGTCTTGGAACATGGCCGCGGCACGGAATAAGGGGCGTGCCAGGAATGCAGAGCTCGAAAGCAGCGCTGCGATGTGTTCACACGAGGTATTCCTTGTTTGAATTGTGTTCGCCGAAGCTCGGAGTGCATCTTCGTTCCTAGCAAACGGAGAAGGTGAGCCCTGAATCTCTTCCCGCGAAGGCGGATTTTGCTAACTTCGACAGTAAATATCGCCAGGACCACTTGCAACCACTGCCACGACGCGACGAACCACAAAATGAGGAACCGGAGGCCTCCGCGTTGCAGCCCCCACGCTCGGAGAGTCCTGTTGAAGAAAGCACGAACTTTGACCGTATCGCTACTGCAACGATCTCCGGGTTTCCCGAGTGGGACATCAATCTACTATGCTCAATACCGACGCCCTCGCCCAACTCTCTGTCCGAAGAGTCACCACCTTTCCCGCACTACATCAAGCCGCTGCCTGGTAGTACTAGCCTTGAAACACTAGCTATACTGTCGTCGGAGGGGGTGTTTGAATTTCCTCCTATTGACTTAGTGCGAGAATACTTCAAAAGCTATGTGCGATGGATGTATCCCATGTGCCCGGTGGTCGATCTGAATTTTTGTCTCGAAGCTTTGACCAACCCCAAGAGCGGAAAGCAGATAAGTGTGCTTCTCTTCTACGCGATCATGCTAGCAGGGGCCGCATTCGTAGATGAAGCTCATTATCGGGCTTTGGAATTCGAGTCTCGTATTGCGGCTCGTCGTACGTTCTTTGCGCGTGCACAGGTTGGTTGCAAATGCTCATCATCGTCGGGCTTGGACTCGGACTAATTGCCGATAGACCCTTTTTCACGCAAAAGCTGAGGATGATAGATACGCTATCATTGAAGCTACAGTTATACTGGGTCATTGGTATGAGTATGATGATTCCCCAGAGGATACCTGGTTCTGGTCCTTTGTTTCCTTCGCCTTGGCCCAGTCATTAAAACCCGAGATTTTCGGTGACCAAAGCTCGGACAGGCACAGTCCACAGGAAGCGAAGACACTTCGGCATCGGAAGCAGATATTCTGGTGCGCCTTTTGCAAGCTTGTCCAATCGTCTATTGGGATGCGGCGGACCCCCCACCCCTTGCTGAAAGCGACTAATCTGCCACCACTCTTACTCGACGACCTGACTATTGACCTTGTACGACAGGAGACCCTTGATGCCCTCGGTGGGTGTGATTTTATGAGTAATGACCACTACGTACAGCTTAACAATGCTCTCCATACGCGCCATACCCTCCTGTGCTTGCTTTTGATTGAAATACTGTTTTCATTTTATAACGCCGGGGACAGCCCGGACAGAATAACAGGCCGAGCAAGTAGGCTCAAGCCTTCTAGTCCAGATTTTCCAACTATTCAGCAATTTGATGCAAAGTTGAAAGACTGGTTGGACAAGATACCAGACTGGCTAGCTTCCGACCTCTCTGGAGTGACCAATGACAGTGATGAGCACATAAGCGGGACTCTTGCCGTGCATATTGCCTACGTTCGGATGTTCTACTATCTGACCATTATAACACTTCATCGGATGCACGCTCAGGTTCAGAAATACCCAAAGAACCAGGGCGATAGTTTGGACTCTGTCGCTCTATCTCGATACAGAGCAGACATTGCAGCGGACAGTATTGCCCGAATGATTCCCCTTCTTGAAGAACGCGACCTCATAAAATATTTACCCCTTAGTGGAGTCACATCTCTGCTCAATACAGCCATGTACACCCTGCAGCGGTCCCCTACTGAAGATCACTTCTCGCAGATGCTGTCTTTGAGCAATGTGGAATCTTATGCCAAAGTATTGATATCGCTTACAGATGTTCACCTTGCTGCAAATTACTCCCTGTCTCTCCTGAACTTTACCCTGCAGAGAAGCGAGTTCGATTGGTGCCGTCCAAGCCTGGACTTTATAAGTGCTTACTTGCAAACCATCGAGGCTCCTGTTCCTGTACAGAACAGTTACTCACCGTCCAATTTACCGGATAACTCTCAGAGCTGATCCTGCTTCCCAGTTCCAGCAGACAAGCCTAGCACGTTCCAGCTTCCCTGGTGCTGGAACTACGAGGTTGCACCGATTGATGAAAAATTTCCCCGTTTGTCGGTGGAATGTTTGCATCCTTCACTGGAACAGCACTGGAAATGGTCTATTGACCGCACTTATTGCCCAGCGAGCAACTGTGCACATATGGTGGATCATGCTCACCGGGACAGCGTCTACTTCGATTACATAGTCATATTTTGATTCGTGTCTCGAGTGATAAGATTGCTTGGTGAAAGAGAATCAACCAAGTACAAGGAAACCGTAACTCCAAACGCCGGGGTCAACCATCATTGCGGCTTAAAGCTTCTCGGCGAGCTTCTGCCAATTGAAAAACAGATGGAGCAAAATGAACACTGAAATCATCATCTTCATCTACGACCGACTTTCAACTCCTTGTCTCCCGGTCCTTGTCAAACAACCCCCGCCGTCCCAATCTTGATTGTCAGCATCAAAGCCCAATTCTGGCATCAAAGCCCAATCTTGGCTCTACATGGAGGCTCGTCGCTATCGTCGCGTTATCCGCTGCCTGAAGATCCAGTCGCTATCAGCGTCGGTGTCACCGCCCTCCGGGTTGCTGATAGAATCAGCTGATGTAGACTCCCCTTCCTCCTGTCCTTCGGGCTACTTGTAAGGGATCTTCTTTGGCCAATTTCTGCCCTTTACCATCTCCTCACGGCTCTTTGGACTCCTATTCCTTCTGGCCGGCCTTCTTCGCAGCTTGCGTCTTACCATCTTTGATCTGCAACAAGCCAGCAACCGATTTATTGGATCGACCCTTGGCTGTGTCGCTAGAGAGTGGTATCCGTCGGCCTGTCTCAGACTTCGGTACTTCTTTCTGGACAGCCTTCTTCGCAGCTTGCGTCTTACGATCTTTGCTCTGCGATAGACCAGCAGGCAGAACTGGCACATCATCAACTTGGTCCTTTCCTGCATTGTTAGAGAATTTCTTCGAGCCGGCAATCGAACTAGCAAGAGGATCTTGGTCGCCGCTTGATGCTGCTTCGCTCTTTGATCCCCTTTGGACGGCCGGTCCTGAACCTTGCATCGCATGATCTTTGCTTTGCAACATGCTAGCAAACGGGTTATTGGATCGACTCTTGATTGTGTCAGTGGTAGGTTTATCCGTATCGCGGGCTTTATTCGTTGGCGGTGTTGTCTGGACAACCTGGCCGGCGTTTCGGGTGTCATCGTCTGTTCTATGTGATGAACCTCGATCCGGGACTAGAGCATTGGCCTGGTCAGCTGTATTAGGTTCTTCCCGAATAGCCTGACCAGTATCTCGCATCCCATAATCCTTGCTCTGTGACGAGCTAGCAGACGGAGCCGGAGCAACCTGGCCTTCTGCATTCCTCGGGAGTTTCTGATCCGCCAAGAAGTCCTCGATCAGATCTTTGGTCGTCCTCAAATTATGAATCATCGTGCTCATCTGACTCGGCATATAAACGAGGTTATCCACATCAATCGTGACGGCCCGGCCCTCGCGACTAATCCTAGGACCCTTGGGGGCCGGCGGCCTCCCAGGCTTCGAAATCGCCCCGTCGGCAACGCGCGTGGTACTGGGAACATGTGCACCCCTCGCAGCCGGTGCAGTCTGCTGCCCTGTCCGGAGCGTGCACTTCGTCGCCCCACCCGCAAACACACAGTTCATGCACGAGCCACGGAACTTGGTTATACCTCGAATCGTAACAGTCTTGCAAGAGGCAAATGGGCCCAGTCCCTTGTAGCAACGCTCACACGCCTCGCCGTCACCATCTGTAACTAGTGTCCCGATGCGCTGGCCCACTGCGGCGCGGAGACGGGTCGTCGTGTTGATAGGACGGTAGTGCGGCTCCCCGGCTTTCATGGTCCAGTCCACGTCTGGATCGGTGTCGTCGAGGGCGTCGAAGAAGGATCTCTCGTCAGGAGAGGGTACGTAGGGGTATTCGGGGTTGCCATTTCTGTCGACTCCTGGGGGGCAAGTCTCTTCTTCCACTGAGATACTCACGGGGTGGTGATTGGGGCTGTTGGACGGCCACCTTCCCTGATTTGCGAACTGGGGATGGTGAGGGTGTTCTTGTTCTTTTTCGTTGCCGGGGCGCTGCAGGTCGTATCAGCGCTCGTGCTCCTTCTAACTGTCTCTCCTTTTCCCTTTCCCCATCCCGTTCCCATTCATCTGCAATGGAAGGGGTAGGTGGCGATGTCGTTGCTGGTATTTGTGCCCACGGCGCCGCCGACGTTTGGGATGCTGTTGATGCTAGCGGTGAAGCTCTTTCTTGTGCCAGGGCTGTCTTTTTGGCGCCGTGCTGGTCTTTGTCCTTACCTCTGCCCCAGCCAAGTATACCTCCGGCAGTTGGAGACCCCTCGGCTGAGACAGCACGAGAAGGGCTAGGGATAGCCGGGGCAGGCGCCTTGTCCTGGGCCTGGGCTTGGGATCTGCCATGGGCTGTGCCTCTCTTAGGTCGATCTGTGGAAGAGCCTCTCTTCCTGAACATAAACATGCTGGTTCGGTTTTCAAAGTTTTTGGAATGGAAGGAGAAAGAGGCTTCAGGCGAAGATTGGCATTTTGCGGTCAACATCAGGGAGGTCTGGCGACTCTATATATGTATGCATCCGTTCAAGTTGACGAGAGCGACCTGTTTCTTTAGTTCGTTGTTTTGGCTGCGATGTTTTCTTTTGTTAGTCTCCTGTCGAATTCTTTCATGTCGAATTCTTTCAAGTCCATTCTGCCTTCGACTATACAGTGAAACATCGAGACAACCCCTAATCCGAGGATCTTTGACTCGACAAAGAGGTCCGAGGGCTGGGTAGGGCCAGGATAAAAGAATCTATTTCCGGAGCAGTGCAAAGACCATGAAATACATCTTTTCATGAAATCCGAGCGCCCGACTCGACCCGAAGAATGCCCATAAATTGGATCAATTTCCCAGGATTGAAACTTTGTTCTGGTGAAACTTTTCAGTTCAGGCAGGGCGCATATATGAAGTAAATTACGGACGTAAGAAACATACAAAGACCGGCCGAACCTGTAAAAAACGCGGCGATCCCATGCGGCTGTAATCTATTGCTGGTGGGCCGAGTCGGCCCGTAGAGTTTCTACCGAATGATGCCGCATTATGTCAGCAGGCCGGTCTGCCCAGGTGCCCACGGGTGGGTAAGCTGGCACAGCCTGGTCGATCAGGGACCCCTGTCATTCCGTTCACCCGGAGTACTTCACTAGATCCGGTAGTTGGTGTGTCCGCCCACCCCCCTTACCAAAAGACAAGAATGGAATAGTTCAGTTCAATGTTTGTAATGTCAGACCTCGCTTGTTTCCCATTTTGATTAATGCATATATGGTATAATAGTACAAAACGCCAGTAAAGACTCATTCCGCTTCGGGAGAAATAGGTTCAGGATCCTGCGGTGCCTGTGATAGTGCATCTGCTGCTAGAGCCTGGCATGTCTCGGTCATCTTTCGCAAGTCGCTTTGCAGATTGCCGTCGCGGTAAACTCCTGAACCCTTCAGCTGCTCTCCGAATTGTAGGATGGTTTGCTCCATCTGCTTAATTGTATCCTCCAACTTCTCCACCCGCGCTTTATTCTTAACGAGGGTTTCTCGCGCGCGGTAGCGGTAGGCTCGTTGGGCGATGCGGATTTGGGCGCGCCGTCGCTAGAAGAAACAGAATTCCATGTTAGTATGGCTAGTCTTTTTTTTTTGGTCTTTTTTTAATCATGTGATGGCATGCGCAATACCTCTTCTGGTTGATCGTCGAGAACCCCGTCCACGGCCATCCGTGGCCGTCCTCGCTTCTTTTGTGATTTAGTTTGGCTTACGGTGCTCGAGGCATCGCTTTTCCGAGATGACTTTGACTTAGACTGCGCCGGCTCTTCTTGTTCGGCAGATGAGCGGCTTTGCGCGGGTGTGAACTGGGTTCGCGCTGGGTGCTGCGGCTCTATGGTGTAGCCGCCCCATTTTTGCGTCTCGATGGGCTCGAAATCATGTGGCATTTCACGGTACATTGATTCTTGGAGAGGGTATGAAGAGGAGGAGAGAAGAGCTAGAAGCTCGGCGTTGGCCTGAGGGTTCATCATGGAAGAGTCGAAATGTTGTTCATGGAGGGAGTCGTTGATGCCAATTGGTGAGTGTTGAGGGGAAGGTTGCATTATGTGAGGATGGGCGTGCATTTGCTTTGGCGCAGCGGGCCATTGATAGTAACCGGCGTAGGGAAACATGATATTATTCTGGGTGCATGGTCTTGATGTGCGGCCAGTATAGAACTCAGCGGAGAGCAACGAATCTACGTCGGACTGGGTGGTGGAAGTAGAATCGCTAAATGAAGATGGTGAGCGGGATGCCATGGGGGGGGGAGGATAGTTTGAGTTGGAGAAGACGTGCGGCCCCGTCAGAGAGTTATATAAAGCAGCAATTCAAGAAGATCGGGCATGATCCACAAAAAAGAATGATCCAGGAGAGAAAGCGCCCACGCAACAACGTGGGGCCCCTGCCCAGATCTAGAGATTGTCCGCCTATCCAACCCCTACAATTAAGCTTTGTGTATTACTCTTACATACCGTACGGGACGTGCCACCCTGCCTGTGCGCACCGCCCACCCCCCCCCTAGCCGGTAATCTTCGCTCGATATACAGTACACTTCCTCGTCTCTACTCCGACCCTGACTGTGGGGAGTGACAGAAAACAGGTCTGGACAGCCTGTCAAAGTGGAACCGACCTGCGGGTAGTATTTGCCTCCCAATAGAATGCGCAGAATCTGCCACACGAAACAGCCACTGCCATGTGCCTCCGCATTGAGGGTGTACGGTTTACTTATTGCAGCATTAGCCTGGCAGCTAGTGCCCATCTATTCATGGGGCTAGCCAGCTAATTACCAATCTATTCGGCTTATTGCAAGCCACAATCTTCCAAAATTGAGCTGCCGGTTGTTGCATCGCCACCTCCAAGGGGCTACCGTTCGCAGTGGTCTGAAACGACGGGGTGAGACGTGTTCCCTCGAACTAACGGGGTGGAGATCTCACTTCGACTGAAAATGCGAGCCATCGGACCCCCGATTTTGTAGGGTGAAAGACTTGTCTTATCGGGGCGTTGGGCATCGTTTGGCAGCATTGTCAAGATGGGCTGGATAAGTCAAGTGTGTACAGCCACCCTACTCAACGACCGGTGCTGTATAAGAATAAAGGAACAAAATAAACTTCGGACAAGCACCCACCTCCGCAGGATCCCAGGGGAGCAGGTTGCCCACTCTGTACTCCGTATTCCGCAGCCCACTCGGTGACTCGAGTGGAGAGAGGATCGTCAATTCTCCGATAGAATGAGCGAAGCTGGCTCCACGTAAGAAAGTTAAGTCACCGCGCGAGAGCGAATCAGGGCAAACACTGTTAGGGCTTATGTTCCAACTTTTTGGCTCTAAACTGTAGATCTAATTGGCTGACCCGCTCGACGGGGCCCTTCTCGTGCCTGTCAGAATCCGTAGAGTACATCTGGCGCATGTCCTCTACTAACTTTAGGATGTCATCTCGACCAAACTGGGGAGACCCAGCGCTTCACCGTCTGTCTGCGTGGCCTATTGTTCCGGGCACTCTGAACGGAGCAATGGTTAGATCTGGATAGGAAACCGGTTCCTATATTGAACCTAGCAGGAATGTAGCCACAGCACTTATCAGAGCTCGGCAGGGGCTCCGCAATCTTCAGCACCACATTGAAAAGTACTTGTGTATACAGGATACATATCGACGCTATGGCCCTCGCAACGGAAGACGCCCGCCGTGGTGGCGTCTAGTCTCTGATGGGCATGGTCAAATTTCGCCAGCTAACACACTTAGTATGGATGTCCGGAAAAAAAGAAACCAAAAACAAAAACAAAAACAAAAAGCTATCAGTATCTTCACTTTGCTCTGCTGTGTTCTGTGGTTGGGCTGCAGATTTGAATGCTTGTGTGTTCAAGATTTGCGAAGGAAATTGCAAAACGTCGCCCATTGAGATTATGTCGCCATACTATCCGAACCTCCATTTCTTATGAATCGACCTTATAAAGGCGCTTCGTACAGGTCATAGGAGTACTAGTACTAGTAGGTGCCTTACAGATATCCAGGAGCTCAACCTAGGTCAAGATCCTACATAAACAATGTTCTATTTGCGACTGCATAACCATGTGGCTGATATGCGATGTGTGCTATGTTTGAGGGTAGATCTACCCGGAGGAGATGACTGAAAAACAAAACCTAACGCCTATATATCCGGATTTTTAGGGCTCAAACCTGGGTGGCCTGGACTTTCTCAGTCAGCTCAGACACGCCGTCGGTTTCCTTCTTTTTGTTGAGGCGTGATTGTAATTCGGGTACCAGCTGAGCCAGTTCAACCTCGACACCCTCCTTCTCGGGGTGGTCATCCTTGAGTCCCATCTCCTTAATCTTAACCTTGCCAGCGGCCAGCTCCTCTTCGCCGAGAATGATAGCAAAAGGAACGCCGCTTTGCTCGGCAGCCTTGAATTGTTGTGGAAGCTTGGGCTTCAGTTTATAGGAGAATTCAGCCTGATAATATTGTTAGTTGCCTATCCCAATTCTCTGCAGGGTGTTAATCGTCCTTACTCTGATGCCAGCGCTCCACAGCTTCTCGCACACTTGCATGCGCTCCTTCAACAGACCAGTGAAGCCCTTTCCACCAAAGGCCATGACAAAAGCATCCACTTCGCTGGCGCGAAGCTGGTTGGCATTTTGCTCCCGCTCAAGACGGGCTTTGGTAATAGAGAAAATACGGTCGACACCGAAAGAGATACCCACACAAGGAACTTGCGCCTTGGGCAGGAACATACCCACGAGATTATCGTAGCGGCCACCAGCAGCCACACTACCGACACCAAGGGTGGGGTCATTTGATCGGTCATCATCTTCAGAGGCCTTCTTGTCTTTCTTGACGAGCTTCTGAGCCTCCGGGGCTCCAGATTGCACGGCAGGGGCAGAGCCTTCGGTGACAACCTCATAGATAACGCCAGTATAGTAATCCAGGCCACGAGCCAGTGACATATCGAAAGAGATGTTCTCTAGAACACCAAAGGCTTCCAAGTAGTCCATCATCAGAGCCATATCGTCCAGACCGGCCTTAGCAGACGCGTTAGCGGTAAGCGCCTCGTCAGCGAGGAGTTTGTCCACCAGCTCGCGCGATCCCTTATTCATAACATAGGTCTCGATCTTGTCCGCAACAGCTCCATCCAGACCCTTCTCAACCATCTCCTTGCGCACATCTGCCCACGGCATCTTATCCAGCTTATCGACAGCGCTCGAGATCGGACGGACCAAGTTCTCGGGCACTCCGCACACAGCAAACATTCCATCCAAGATCTTGCGGTGGTTGAGCTTGATGGTGTACTTGCCATTCCATCCCAACTCCTCGAACACCTCGCTCACGATCCGGAGCACCTCGGCGTCGGGGACCATTGGGTCGAAAGCGCCCGCGATATCGAAGTCACATTGGTAGAACTCGCGCATGCGGCCCTTGCTAACAGCCGGCTGGTCGCGACGATAGACCTTGGCGAGGTGATAGCGCTTGATGCTGCGGATATCGGAGTTCATGGCGAGCCAGCGGGCGAAAGGGACGGTCAGATCGTAGCGCAGGGAGCAGAGCTCGCCCCCCTGGTCCTGCAGGTCGTAGATGAGCTTCGAGTCCTCGCCATACTTGCCTGCGAGGATTTCGCGCAGCTCGAAGACGGGGGTGTCGAGGGCTGTGCCGCCGTGGCGCTTGAACACGTTGGTAATGGTGGAAAAGATGCGGTCGCGGAGAAGGGCGTCGGAGCCAGCCCAGTCCTTTGTCCCCTTGGGGGTTTTGAGGGTGAATGACACCTTATCCTTGGGCATTGTGTCGAGCGCGCTGGAACGAGGGGTGGAAGAAAAGAACCGCGTGCGGCGGGGGAGGTTTTGGTGGTGGGGGATGGTGGGGACAAAGCGACAAATTTGATTCGAGCCGGGTCGCAGGCTTTGGGCAGGGCAGGGCGAATGAGTCAGAGAACCAGTTGATCTTGTGCGATTGCACTCAACGAGGGTTCGTTGGACAGAGCGCAGACGACTCGAGTGGAACGTCATCCAAGCAATGCGCAATTGACGAGAGCTGATGGCTCAGGAGGTCGATTGGGCGTTTCCTTTTTTTCTCAAGGAGTTTTTCCGTCTGGTCCGTGCATCGTGTGTACGCGGAGGCGATGCAAGTATACTCAGATCAGTGACATCAGTCAACTTGAGCGATTGTATACTTGCCATTATCTGTGAGCACAGCCAGATTTGGCATTTGAATCTTCCAATGTTGTTCAGCCACTCGGTTATACCCCCGAAGCATGCCGCTCTGTCACGCAGGACGCACCCACGATATATTCGTTAATGCATCTTCATAGTGACTGGAATACACCAATCACTTAGAAATATCCTATCACTAGAAATAGCAAGAATATATATAAGCCGAAGATAAGAACAAAACATGCTAATTCTAGTACTAAACATTGGCCTCTATGACATGAGCAAAGTCGAGTACAGGTCGCAGATAATACAATTTGAAATCGAAAATAAGCCCTCACAAGTACTCCATGTAGTACTGAAGTAACTTGAATATCATGGGATGAATGAGGAGATATTATATGCTATGCCCGTCTTCACAAGCATATCATCGGGGGGAGTTATAATGCCACATAGTAGAATTTCGACACAATTCCAACATGAGATCCAAACCCGATCGGACCCGCCACTTGATGCTGGAGGAGAGAATACAGAAGATTGCTGAAAGGCTGATCAGAACATTTAGGTTACAGACCTGACCATGGAAGAAGGGGAAACAACAATGGTGATGCTACAAATAGCAGTGGAGCCAAAGACGAACCAGGGGCCGCGTCTCGACCATGAAAGAAACCGCTAGTGAACAAGATCTACACGTCATACATGTGTCTCTCGAAGGATCTGAGCTGTACCAGGGGTATCATCATAGTTCATTCTCAGTACTCGAGGCGGTGCACTTGGCAGGGTTTCAGACTCGGTATGAAGAGATGGAAAGAATAATCATCAAATATTGACACAGTTGTTAGGCGTATCTTATTAGTTTAGGAGAAGCGGAATCAGAAATAGGGGAGCAATGGCAACACTTCCCCTTCTCAGCCTTCGAGCGTATGGTCGAATCTACTGGTTCCTACGGCTGATTTTGAGTCCCCTTAGCCCCAAGGAATGGCGGGCTGGGCATCAAGGAGCCAGAGCCCCGCTCCGCCTAATTCGCATGGTTCAACTTCATTTTCCTCCATATAACCAAGCATATCGCCTCTGCAATCACGGTGTCTACCATACTTTTACTCTAAACCCTTGCCACTTCTAGAACATAATGGTTCTCTATCGTCTTGAGCGCCCTAGCAACCATGGAATTGCAGCATACGATATGACTCTCCTTCGGAGGACACCTGAACCGGCTGAATAAGGTGCAAGAACAGCCCATGCCAGATAGATCTTTGAATTTCGAATTCTCGGTATCCCCAGAGCGTTAATCCCCAACGTGCTAAGCTGCTTGCCTTTCTTCAGTCGCAATGCACAGCCTAGAAATCATCGTGCTGTATGTGTTGGTTGATAAGAGCTTACTTGCTAGGTCGTACGGCCCAGTGGGTACCTGGAGTGTACTTTAGCTTTGCGGCGGTCTAAACTCTCCTCGGACTTTGGGTCCTTAATCAGGAAAAAGGACACGCGACCAGAGAAGACCATATTGATAATTTTCTAATATCATCTATTGCACCGTACTCTTCTAGTAGACCCGCGGGCGATTCAGGACCCGAAAATTACAGGCATGGATCGAGATCGGGCGGGCTAGGCGCCTGCATTATCTCTAGACCGTGCAGCTTAGCCTCCCTCAGCTGCGACGATCACCAACACTGCGGCTGTCGACTGGGCACTGGAATGGCCCCATTTGCTGCTCCCTAGACACAAGCACTTACTACCTTGAGCCACCATGCCGGATTATGGGGTCAAGTACTTTTTGAAGCTGCATGTCGTAACGCAAAGGTATGTGAGATGGATGGTGAATGCTTGATGCAGCCTCAATCCGCTTGGCATCGCTGGCCCCTTCTGGCCCCTTCAATTAGCTGGCTCTTGATTCGCAATATGCCGAGTATACCCATGGGGTTCAGAGTACTCTGGCGAAGAAATTTACAAGGCTGGGGTCCCAGTCATGAGATTACCCGCCCCCGCCGGGCGTAGGACGATGCAGATGCAGGGCGAACCGGTGGAACGAAGGCCACCCACTCATCAACAGGTTTGCAGCAGGGGTTAGGGACCAATTCTCCCACACTGTTTCAGGACCGTTGGGTATGGAATGATTGAATAGCGAATGATCAAATGGGAAAAAAGACGCAAACCTAAAGATCCACATGCTGTGCGCCAAGCGCAGATACCGATAACAGCAGATACCGAAAGGATGATATGTATAGTCTCTATTGATACCACGATCTGTGATTCCAGGAGAAGTATGGGGGTAGAGCAATAGAGTGACGTGCGTCGGCAGTCTAGCTCGTTGTCTGACCTGGGAGGCGTTCGGGGTCTAGTGTTCGAAGGCTGGAGGGTTGACGTAGCTGCCTGGCGGACCGGGCGCGGATTGGTCTCTCCACAGAGCAAAAAAGCCATATCCAACCTATGACTCGAGAGGCTCAGCCAAGCCAAGTCAGTATCGCGTGCTATCTGACTCGCCAAGCATCAGGGCGCAGTCGGTCCATACCGAAGTGATGCTACCTTCCCAGAAAGGGCACCGTAGTTGGATCGATTTGCGTGCCACCCCCACCGTGATGTATCGGTTATGTGGCACAGGAAAGCGCATCACTTTGAATCAATTAGAGCAGTGTCTTTTCTACTACCCACTCCCAGGTCTTAACCAATCTGAACACCGCCCCTTCTCTACTAATGACCGGCTAGCGCCAATAATCAGAAGGGGATTCAGATCTCGACTGTATCGAGGTTATCGCAGGACCCTTGCGCACATCTGCAGGCCTTCTACGGGTAAGAGGTACGAAGGGGGTTTAGTCCTGCGGTGTACCCGATGGTTTAGCGCGCTGGCTCCCCGCAAGGGCAGATGTTCCCATACTTCTTGCGGTGCCGCCGATGGCGCACTACTGCGCACTATACTCTAAAAGCCATGGCCCGACAGAGAGGTGCTCGGAAAGAGGCCGTCGCGCGCGGTTCTTCCGTTTCTGCCGGCACCGGTGTCCAGGCCGCTCGGGAAACTATAGAGCAGAACAGCGCATGAAACAGGATAGATGCATATTCTTTCCTTTTTCCCTCCTCCCCCTTACTTGGACGCCAGCGACCAGGTCATTTTCCCTCCCCGCATAGAGGTCGAGGCAAGGATTCGGATCGAAACGGGCTTCGACCCCACCGCCACTATGAGTCTCCATGACCGAGACGGTCATTGGCGGAAACGAGACGCCATGCGAGGGGCGGACACATGGCCCGTGAGCGTAGCCAATCGCCGGGCAACGGTTAATGGATGAACTCTGGACCAAGGCCCCCATCCCTCCCGTATCAGAGTCCTTCTCGTTTTGTTCGTCCATGGGTATTCCATGGGGGTTCCCCCCTCTGGGGGAATAACGAACCAATGACCACGACATCGCCTCCTCCCGGCTCCGAGGCCACCGGACACCACACAAAGGAATGCGCAATTTTGCGTCGCATTGAGAAAATCGGCGATTGGAGCAGGTACCTGCCTTAAGGTGGTCCACGTGGCTCGAGCGGAAACCTAAGGCTCCTGAGTGGGTAAAAAGTCAAGGCCGATGCGGAGGGCGTTTCTGGACGCTTCCGCTGCATGACTTGCGCGAGTAAGAAAACCGGGGTTTACGGAGAACGGTACTTTGGTGATACTGTATTGCCCATTCAGAATGGGAGGAGAATAAACGCAAGTGTATTATAGAAGTCAAATGGGCTACGCCCGGAGGAAGCTATATCAGTAGTCATCCAAGCTTAGACCAGATAGTCCCCTCCCCTCCCATTACTCTCTCTCCATGGAACGCCACCTCATTCCGTTTCTCCTCCCCAATCTCTCTTTCACATCTTTCTCCCCCTTGAATCTCGCCCCCCAATACCATTCCCCGTATGGTGGTGCTTGCGTTTCAAGCGGTCTCTCTGTTCCCCGGACGCCTCCGCGACTCACGCCCAGACCTAAAGCGAAACACTTTTCCCCGATTTACCCCAATCCCGCCCGCGACTCTCAACCACCATATGCTCTCCGCGACCAGCCGCGACTTCTAATCCCCCATGCCGCCTAGCGCGAGTCTCTTTCAGCGATCATGAAGGGGTTTTTCGGCTCCAAAAGTTCGCGGGGCAATGGGGTATGTCCGAGATCCTGTAGTGACGAAACATCATCCCTCTTGCCTCTTTGCTTCGTGGCACAGCATCCGCCTCCCCCCCTGCGCTACTTGTTACACGATCTGGGCCGGGTCAGTCCTTGCTAATTACGTGAATCCGACATAGGCTTCGACCATTCCTTCACCCGTCCCTGCTCCCGTCAAGAAGGACCCCCAGGCGCCGCAGATAAGTCCGCTCGAGAAGAGGCTGAAGGACATGGGCCCTATACGGGTTGACGGCAGCGACAAGTTCTTTGGCATGGAAAATGTGAGAGCACACTCGCTTCAGTCCATCCCGAGGCTGAGATAAGACCAACGTGAGAGGCTAACCGCAAATTTCTGCCTGTGAAGTACGGCAATACGTGCTACTGTAACTCGATCCTCCAATGTCTCTATTATTCCGTTCCCTTCCGCGAGGCTGTCATCAACTACCCGCAGCGAACTCCGGTCGAAACCCTCGAGGCTGCCCTTGCTCAAAACCTTCGATTTCAGGACCCCAACGCGTTCTTGGAGGCGGAGGCCTTGGCGGCTAAACAGAAGGTGGTTGCCGCGTCTTCATCCAGACAGGCCGGTGTGACCCCCAATCAACCCCAGAAGCCCGAAGACAAAGAATCGCCAGAATACAAGAAAAAGGTCGCCCTGCAGACCCTTCCGATCCTGGAGACCAAGAACAATGCCTCCAGCTATGGCATGTCGGAATCGCTCTTTACGTGCCTGAAGGACATTTTCGAGTCATTGGTCGGTAGCCAGTCTCGTATCGGAGTGGTTCGTCCTCAACAATTTCTGGAAGTCCTACGTCGGGAAAATGAAATGTTCCGGACAGCCATGCACCAGGACGCACATGAGTTCTTGAACCTGCTTCTCAACGAGGTGGTATCTAATGTTGAGGCAGAGGCCTTGAACCAGAGCGTCGGGAAGCCTCTCCCTCCACAGCCCTCCGAAAGCGCAGACTCACTTGCTCTGAATGGAAGTACGGGCTCTAAGTCGCCGAATACGACGAGATGGGTTCACGAATTGTTTGAAGGAACGCTGACCTCGGAGACCAAGTGTCTAACTTGCGAAAAGGTATCGCAACGAGACGAGGTATTTTTGGATCTGTCGGTCGATTTGGAACAACATACTTCCGTGACCGCTTGTCTTCGGAAGTTCTCTGCTGAAGAGATGCTTTGTGAAAGGAACAAGTTCCACTGCGATAATTGTGGAGGCCTTCAAGAGGCAGAAAAGCGCATGAAGATCAAGCGTTTGCCTCGCGTCCTCGCATTGCATCTCAAACGTTTCAAGTACACCGAAGATCTCCAGCGACTCCAAAAATTGTTTCACCGTGTGGTGTACCCTTACCATCTTCGCCTTTTCAACACAACCGACGATGCCGAAGATCCGGACCGGCTCTACGAGCTTTATGCCGTCGTTGTGCACATTGGTGGCGGTCCATACCATGGCCATTACGTGGCGATTATCAAGACTGAAGATCGCGGTTGGTTGCTCTTCGATGATGAGCTGGTGGAACCGGTAGATAAGAATTATGTCAAGAACTTCTTTGGTGACAAGCCAGGGTTAGCTTGTGCATATGTTCTCTTCTACCAGGAAACCACTCAGGAAGCCGTTATGCGAGAGCAGGCCCAAGAAGACCAAGCTTCTGCTGCGGCTGCCACTGCGGCATTCGCAGCAGCGGATTCGGCGAAGGCAAATGGCCATGCACTTTCTCCTGGGCTGCATCATGTTCACAGTGCTAGCCAAGTTCCTTCTGATGACCTCAATCGTTTTCTACCCATGAATAAATCACTGAGCGTTCCTTTGATGCCTTCCCATCCAGAGTCCCCTGAGCCCGAGGGGACGAGCCCACCAACATCTCAACCACTAGCGCCGCCACTCCCACCCATTCCGGACGAGGAACCGTCTAAACTCAGCCCGAAGAAGAGCGATATCCAATCTCGCAAGGAAAAGGCTCGGGAGGAGAAGGAACGACGGCAGGCCGAGAAGGCTGCTGAGAAGGCCGCCGAGAAGGCCGCGAAGGAGGAACGAGAGCAACACGAACGGAACGAGCGTCAACGGCGAAAGGAACAATATCAATCTCGCATGGCTTTGGCCAGAAAGGAGGAAGAGGAGATGCGGAAGGCTATTGAAGCAAGCAAAGCCGACGCATTTGATATTGGACCCGAAAATGGATCTCCTCGCAAGTCCACTTCCAGCCTCCCCGGGATCTTCAAACGAGGGAGCCGCAGCCTAAGCCAAAAATTGAGCAAAGAACCCCGAGTATCTCTGTCCGCTATGGAAGGGTCGCCCCATCCACCACCCCAAGTCCCAGAACTCCCTTCTCACGAGACGGGAACTCCGAGGCCCCCGTTGCCTCGCAAAACAAGTGCAGATATCTCCATCCCCAGGTCCTCCTCTCGAACCGCCTTACCTCTGGTCAATGACCAAAATCACCACCACACCTTCACCCACCACCATACCTTCCACTCAAAAAACGACAGCCGCACAACCCTCAATTCCCACGCCCCCAATGAAAAACATCCCACCGAGAAGCACGGCCATACCAGACGGTGGCGGTCCCTCAGTCTCAAGAAGGCTTAAGCATCAATGTCCTCCAGAAGTCGTTCTCTGCATCTACCAGCCTCCCGGTCGATTCCAGCGAATTTTTCGCACCGAGATACCCCCTCTTATTATGCACATATGAGCGATTTTCTGCACATAAGTTCGGGGAATGTATCATCATTTCTGATCATGATTTTCCATCTGCTTGTCTTCTCCCATTCCTCCCACGGAATCGCCACGGCTTTCCCACGGACATGTGTTTCTAGAGCCTATTGATCTTTACCTGCCCCCTTTTCCATTTTTCCCTTTTACGCATCTTATCTCTTATCACCGCCGCCTTTGTCCTTGCTGCTACTACTGTAACATCGTGACATGGTAACCACGCCGGTGGAGAGACCCTCCCCTGGCGCAAAAGAGGGCGTTTGGTTTTTGCAGTCCTGGCGAGCTTGGCCGGGCTTGGAAGCTTTCTGGCGCTCTTGCTTCTTGTTTTCAGCCATGAGCATATTTTATCACATGTCTTGACGTACTTTGCTCTATTTGCAATGGATCACGGTTGCTGTAATACAGCATTGATCCATCTCTATCGAAGATGGTTTCTTTAGTTGTAAACAAGAAACAATTCAACAAAGTTAAATAATATGCTCTCGTTCGTAGTGGCAATATCTCGGCTAGTCCTTGTATATCTACATTTAGAGAGCCTAGTGAAACCAGCACAGGAACGAATGTTTTGTCTCCGGGCTTGCTCGAGGCCTAAAAGCACTGGCTTCCGGTATCTTACTATCCGAATACTCTACGCCCGAGACATCTATTACTCCAGCCAACCAATAAGAAGCCACATCTATCCTTGCAAACATTGTCCTTGTAGAATGGCGCTTGATTGTGGTCGTGGCGAGCTATAAAGAACAGATATTGCTCTGGTTCATAAATCATTGTTCAAGGGGAGTGCAGGCACGCGAGCAATGCAGGCCGCCACTGTTCGCGCACACGGACTCGACGAGTAAGGAGGCTTCGCGGGGTTCATCCGAGGATCAATTCGTACACAATGATGATTGTATTAATGGCGATCAGGGGTACTGCGGTTTTCCGTGTGTTAGCTGGATAAGAGATGGATGATCGTGGGACCGGGGATCCATCGGTGGACATGTAGGCGTTCGATGCCAGTGCGCATTTACGCAGAGCAATTGCCACACCGTCGCATCCACGCTGGGGAAGGGTGCGTTGACATACTCCGCATTACTGTCCGCACGCTGGCAATCAGATTGATCGTCTTGGCCTTCACGCTGGTGCTGTCGTAGGCGGCGCCGAAGCCGGGGTCAACCTGGGTGTTGCCCCATCCAACTATTTGTTTTCTTTATGTTAGCTCGGTGCTAGAGACTGTGCCCGTAGTGCGCGTGGTTTCGAGGAAGGACGTACTGCGAGCGAGGAAGCGGTCCTCGGAAAGGATGGCAATCGCGTTGATGATAAGAACGGCCGCTGAAAGAGAAGAGTTTTGTCAGTGTGTAGGCACGAGTAATGCATGGAAAGGTTCTCACTGTAGAGGAGACTCCCGAAGAAGAACATCGTTGCGGTGAGGGCTGGTGCAGGTAGTGCGAAGTGGGAACTTGAAGTGATGAAGGCGAAGGTGCGGGAAGCGCCAGATCTCCGGATCAACAACCGCAACAGCCACCATGAAGCATGGTTAGTGCAATGCCCACAGTCCCCCACGCACGAGGCTAACCAGGTTTAGGGGTTGCGCTTCTCGTCCTGCTTCTGGCAGCTTTGATCGTGCTGCATGCTGTCGTTGCACCGTACACGAAAGTCGAGGAATCATTTCACGTCCAAGCTACCCATGACATCTTGGCCTTTGGGCTGCCATATGAGAAAGGCCTGGAGTATGTCAACTACGACCATTTTGTCTTTCCAGGTGCCGTTCCCCGGACTGCGGTCGGCGCAGCAGCTCTGGCGAAGGTGTCACAGGGTCTTCTTGCGTTGAATGTCGACATTGACCACCAAATACTCTGTACGTGTATACAACTATACGACTTTCTTCTGGCGTGAAATACTGAGTTTCTGCAGCGCGGGTGGCTCTCGGTCTCTACAATGCACTTGCACTGGGTGTATTTGCACATGGGGTCTTGCGCAGCTTCGGCCGGACTGTAGCTGTATGGTACCTCGTCCTTCAAGGCAGCCAGTTCCATCTGATCTACTACGCTTCGCGGCCGTTGTCGAACATGTTCGCCTTCGGGCTTACGACATTCTCTCTGCGATTTGCACTTCCAGACAAGCTCCCACTGAACGCAGCTAGATCGGGACTGCACGAGAATGCCGGCCAGCTATCACTCATCCTTCTTACCTTCGCGGGGGTGGTATTTCGTTCCGAATTAGCAGTCCTGGTGGCCACAACGACTCTGTACCTTCTCGCCTCAAGACGCATAACACTGCTCTCATGCATCAAGGCAGGGCTCCTGGGATTGAGCCTCGGTCTTTGCACGACAGTACCAATCGACTCGCAGTTTTGGCAGCGCTGGCCTCTATGGCCCGAGCTAGAAGCCTTTGTCTTCAACGTCGTGCACGGCCAGTCCTCGGAATGGGGCATAGAGCCATGGTCCTTTTACTTCCTTAATGCTCTCCCTCGCCTCCTTCTCAATCCTGCAACGTACCTCCTCGCTCTCCCCATCGCCCTCCGCCAACCCGCAACCCGCCACCCAGCCCTCTCCCTCCTAACCCCCTCCCTCACCTTCGTCGCCTTGTACAGCTTCATGCCGCACAAGGAATGGCGCTTCATCATCTACATCATCCCGGCCCTCACAGCCTCCGCTGCCCTAGGCGCAGGATACCTCTGGACGCACCGCGCGCGCTCCCTCTTCGCACGCACAGCATCCAGGCTCCTCGTCCTTTCCACACTCTTCTCATTCCTCCTCTCCACCTTCGTGCTCCTCCCCGCCTCCGCAGCAAACTACCCCGGCGCGCACGCCCTGAACGCACTGCACCGCTACCACGCGCGAACCGCGCCGGTGCAGGACACCGACGTCGAGCCGGATAGTGTAACTGTCTACCTCGGTAACCTGGCCTGCCAAACGGGCGTGACCCGGTTCCTGCAATTGCCTGATTCGCACTGGGTCTACGATAAGACGGAAGACGAGGCGGCGAAGGCTTCGTTCGAGTTTTGGGACCGGTTCGACTATGCTCTTGTTGAGGCGGGACGGGATCCTACTTTCGCGGATGACGATGAGGTAAGGTTGAGGGCTGCGCTGCCGGAGGCGCAATGGGAGGTTGTGGAGGTTGTGGATGGGTTTGCGGGTGTCTCAGTGCTGAGGCCTGGGGTGCAAGCGGATGGGGACGCTGAGCGATGGGTTCTTCGGAGTTTGGGTGGCGAGTCTGCGGCTGGGTTGTATGAAAGAGGAAGGGATATTGTGAGGCAGGCTGTTCTGAGGGGTTGGTGGGTTGAATTGAAAATGAGGCCGAAGATCAAGGTGTTGAAGCGTGTGTGAATGAAGATGGGGGTGTGGTAGAAGCTTTATTATTTCACTTTTTATATCAAATAGTAGGGGCGCTATTTGGAATCTATATACCATTTCACCTCGCTACATACTTCTTAATTACTAGGCAACTTTACAGGGGACAAGAGCTTCAGAGCTATGTTTCCCATCCATTTTTTTTTATTGATATGGCTTAGATGTATCAACAGGTCGGCTACAGCCAAAGTATACGCAAACAGGGTATTATGTATCATGACAGGTTTCAAAATCGGAAGCTTCAGACCTCACAGACCACCAGGTGGGCCCTCGAGTCTCGCCATGCGCGACTCCAGCTCGCGCACCCAAGGCTCCACAGTCTGAACGTTCGAACGCAGAGCTTCCTCGCCCTGCGCCATCTTCGCTTCCACAGTTGCAAGTCCTTCCCGCCACTGCTCGATCTCAGATGCCATCTCGGCGTGGCGCTTCTCGAGCTCATTGAGTGACTCTGCGGCTTGTGCGGCACCAGCATGGCAAGCGCGAAGAGAGCGGAGACGCTCCAGTACGCTCGGAAGAAGAGGGTGCAAAGATTGGATGGTTGGGAGCGTGGCGTACAGGGCCTGGATCTTGGCTGCATTCTCGTCGTCCGAGAGGGAGCTGTCGCCGCCAGCGCCGGCATCGTCAGAGCCTGATGCGGTCATGCGCGCTGCTTGGGCCGATTTGGCGGCGTCTGCTGCGCGGCGCCGGGCAGAAGCGAGATTTTCTGCATCGGTGGTCAGCTTCCGGATTCGAGAGGACATGGCTTCCAGGTGGGGGGGTCGTCAGGCCGGGAACTAAGGGCATAGGAGCTCCAGTTCCTGGAGCGTTGCCAGCGAGCAGGCCAGTCAGAGCACCTAAACGCGAAGTGAGCTGATCCAAGGCTGGTAAGACGGGCTGCAAGGCGGGCTCGTTGATTCCGTCGCCAACGAATGGGTTTGAGGAGCTCGATATCCCCATTGATGATTCTAGAAGCGCGAGGCGGCTCTCGAATGCAGCTGCATGGGACAGGATTCCTGGTGGTGGTTGTGAAGTACCGACCTGTGCTGTCCCAGCGGAAAGAGTGGTAGCCTTATCGGTGGTAGATTGCTGCTGCTTAGGCTCTGGCTTCGCAGTAACATCAGCTGCTAGCTTTTGAGAAAGCGCAGCAGCGGCCGAGTAAGACGTGTTGATTCCGCGGGAGGTAGCATGCAGATTATCCAGGGCCCGACTTAACTCTGCAACGCCGTCGCCCAATTCTTCTTGCGACTTTGCTGGAGACGTAGCTTGGGTATCGCCATCCTTTGGCTCATCCGCCGCAGCTTTGTTCTCCATCTCCACTCGTAGATCCTCCACCTCTCGTCGCAAACGAGCCAGTCGACGCTCCACGGATTCGTCGTCGCTGTCGCTTAAGTCGCCCAGCTCCTCTGTTCCATCTTCCCGTCTCCTTCTTCGACGCTGACTCTTGCTCTTGCTGCGGTATGCTTGTCTCTTCATGGAGATACTGTCTGAGAAGTTGGCATCGCGGGCGTCCACGGCGGCGCCCATGAATTGTTCGCGCGCTTTGTCTGCGTCGATACCTTCGCGATCGATGTCGGAGGTATTGGTGTCATCGTGATCTGATTCAGTGCGGATTGTGGCAGTCTATGTTTGAAGTGTCAATCAGCATTCTGCCTCGTGTGATCGCGACTGGACCATGTCAAACTTACGGGTGCTGTTGAAGCTTCGTCGGTCAGGTCAGGGGTCTCGTAAATATCAGGGGCGGGGTCCTAGGAGTCGTTAGTGACATAACCTCGGTATCATCTGCGAGATGGCATACCAAGTCCGGAAGACCAGCATATTTCTTGTTAAAAGCCATGGCTGTGTGACTGGGGTGAAGTCAACAACGCGAAACATCTATAGCCTGAGCCGTCTCCCGCTTTGAAGGCCTCAGGCACAAAGTGCCTGTGCGTAGTAAATATCCGACGAACCCCCCTCCGAACTATACAGTATTGGTCCTGTGTATTTGACCGAATAATATTTCGCAGCTCTGGAAGTCGATTGGGAACAGCATCTTAAGCTGTCAGTAAAAAAACACCACGGCCCCCAAGGCTTACATACGAGGGGAATGGCAGGAAATGCTTCTCATACGAGCGCTAAGTGGATTAACAGGCTTACGGAATCTAATTAATACTGCCCACGTTCTGGACGTTAGTCTTCGAGGTTTCATTGCGTGACAGCGAAGTACCAAACTCTGAGTACAGAGCTTTGAGTTTCTGGAAGGACATCGCCCAGGTTCCTACATACGAAGCGATACTAGGGGTGTTCGATAGTTGAGTGACCCAAGCCAGATTATTCCAGACGGGCTTCAGGAACTTGGGCCTCTTCATCTCTACAGAGGACGGCCAGCTCCATGTATCCCAGGCTTTCATTGGTTAACCTCATCCGTACCGGCCTTGTCATAAAGTGACTCGATTCCGTGGATGGGCTTAATTACGAAGCTACGGACATAATTGGCATAGCATGCTTTATCTAAATTTCAAATAATAGGAGGACTGCGTCTTAAAATCTACCACCCGAAGGGTGGATGGAACGGATGCAGCATCTACTGGTAACCCCTGGGGTTTCTCTAGATGCATTGCAAGGCTGCAGGCCTGCCAGCACGGGAGCAGTATATGCAGAGACGAGCCAGATACGACATACCTTACGAATCGCAGACACTTGCAGGCCATAAGCCATTGGAAGATCTTGGTCACTAGCCTTATGCCCGTGTCTCTATGTTGTGCATTTTTATTGTGTATAACTACAAGGCAGGGAACTATACAGATGCGGGTCATCCCGTGTGGCGCGCTCGATGGTGGCCTTGTCGCCTGATCTTATCGTCACATTCGCACGTGTCAGCCTCGGAATCGAAGCACATGCATTTCCAAATTGGCAAGTATATAGGAACTTCATCCTTTGTGTGACTTGTCCTCTTGTACCTTCCTCTTCGCATTCTCAAGTCCCATATCTGCCCTTCTAGCCTCAAGTTCGCACTCAGTACAATCGTGATATTGAAACCAAACGGCCTTACACTTCACCCCACTTCCCCCACTTCAGCTCTAACATACAAGATGGCTGCCCCCGCAGATGCCACGATCAAAAACCTCAATGGAAAATGGGTGATGGTAAGTTCAGTGCATCGAAACTGCTATGTTTCTCCCGCCAGCTAAAGTTGCGAATACTGATATCTACGGGCGCAGGACTCAACTCTGTCCGATCCCAGTGACAGCATCCTTGCTCTGGTAAGTCCAACCCAACAAGCACCCATCCAAAGCAATTCCTGAGGAATTGAGGTTGTGGTTACACAAGCCCGAGGGGAGAAGCAATTTAATCTCGACGAAGCATCCCTGCCACCCCAATCCTCCCCAGCCCTCTTCTACTCCACGAAGAAAACAAATACAACTAACAACGCAACAGCAAGGCATGAGCTGGTTCCTCCGGAAAGCTCTCCCTTACGCCACCGTAACGCTCTACGTCAAGGAATACCCTGACTCCTCAGACCCCAAGGTGTACCACATCGATGTCGACCAGGTCATCACCGGCGGTATCACGGGCACCAAGGAAGCGCGCACCCTGGACTGGCAAGAGCGCGATCACAAGGACGCCATCTTCGGCACCGTAAAGGGCCGCTCTCGCTTCCTGCGTGCCCGCAAGGAGGACGGCGTGGCCCGACCGGCCGTCGAGTTCTGCACCAAGGCTGGCGGTGAGGAAGATGCGCGGCTGCAGAAGTTCCTGCGCGGCGAGACGCTGATTGATGGATCGGCGAGCCAGGGGTTCGAAATCGATGCTGTCGGTGATGAGTTCGGGGAGGGTGAGGGCTTGTTCTTGCAGAACTTTGTGGATAATGAGGAGAGTAAGTGGACCGCGGAGCAGATCTGGGGGTTTGAGATTATTAACGGGGAGCGACGCCATACGCGCCGTGTGGCGGTTACGAAGAATGGCAAGGTGGAGATTGCTCGTTTAGTCTACTCTTATGAGGGACCTGTTGAGTAGAGAGTTCAAAACTCATATAGCCGATTGCTTGTGTTCGGGTGCTATTGACTCCTGTTTTGCCGTTTAGGGTTAATGGGCCGAGCATTTATCTCGGGGTTGTCCAGTCGAGAAATTCTAACAAATGAAGAGTTTCGTCATCTTATAATTTGTGCAATTGAAATGCTAGTGAATATTAGTGATAGTCGGGAAACTCAGCGATGGCGGACTCGGACTCGGAACCTGAGCTTTGAGAGCTTGTTCACATGAACGGGGAAATCACATGAACGAAGGAGTCTCTCACACCTGTCGTTTTGCATCCTCGGATGGATAAAGACTAATATCAGACTAATTGAGCATAATTTATCCAATTGAGGGGGAATGTGTGCAAATTGCCTATCCCTAACACGTCGCTGCAAGCTTACTACTTAGACAACGCACGCCGACTCCCATGATCCGGTTCCATAACTCAGTTGGTTAGAGTGTCATGCTAATAATACGAAAGTATCATTGGCAACGTGAAAGTCGAGGGTTCGACCCCCTCTGGGACCATTCGATTTTTATCTTTCGTCTTTTCTCTTTTTCTCTTTTTTTCTTTTTTTTCCCAGTGGTGGGGGGTGAAGTGGGGACAGACTCGGAGGAAATGGAAGTACTGGTAACCCGTGTTGAGTAATGTATATTGACATCGCAAGCGTAAGCTACATTTTGGTTATCATAAATGGAATAGGTGTGATCATAGAATGTGCCAAATCAAGAGTGTGTAGGCATCACAACGTTGGCCTTAGTGCTGACGGCATCCTCGGCCTTCCAGTGACTGGTGACGGTCTTCTGCTGTGTGTAGAATTGCAAACCGGGCTTGCCATAGAAGGTATTGGCACCGCCACCGGCGATACTCTTCTTGTTACCGGTGAAAGAGAACATAGGAAGAGGGACAGGAATGGGGACGTTGATGCCAAGTTGCCCCGCCTCGATGTCCTTCTGGAAGCGTGAGGCAGTGGAGCCGGAGCGGGTGAAGATAGCGGCACCGTTGCCGTACTCGTTGGCGTTGATCAACTCGATGGCATCGTCGAGGGTGTCGACGTGCAGACACACCAAGACCGGACCGAAGATCTCTTCCTTGTAGCACTTCATGTCGGGGGTCACGTTAGTGATGATAGTGGGACCAACCTATACATTGCGTTAACGGATGCTGCCATCTGGAGAAAATAGCATGTTTGAAACTCACGAAGTTACCATTGGGGTACTTCTCCGGGGTGTAGCCACGACCATCAAGCAGAATGGTAGCGCCCTCGGCCTCAGCACTAGCAATCAGATCCTCAATGCGCTTCTTGCTCTCGGGACTGATGACAGGGCCCAGATCGGCTCCTTCCTCGAAGCCACCATTGACATTAAGAGCTTTAGCACGCTCAACGAGCTCAGGAAGCCATTCCTTGGTCTCGCCCACCGTGACAAGAGTGCTCAGAGCCATGCAGCGCTGGCCAGCAGCACCAAAAGCAGCACCGCTGATGGCGTTCAGGGTCTGGTTCTTGTTGGCATCGGGCAGAACGGCAGCGTGGTTTTTGGCGCCTAGGTTGGCCTGCACACGCTTTCCATTGGCAGAGCCACGGGTGTAGATGTATTCGCCGGCACGGTTACTGCCAACGAAGCTGATAGCCTTGATAGCGGGTTCATCAAGGATAAAGTCCACAGTGCGGTGTTGGCCGTGGATAATGTTAATAACACCGGGAGGGAAGCCGGCCTCCTTGGCCAGCTCTGCCAGGATCATGGCCGCGCCGGGGTCACGCTCAGAGGGCTTCAAGATCAGTGTGTTACCAGTGACAGTGGCAATGGGGATGCACCAGAGGGGAATCATGGCAGGAAAATCTTTTATCGAGAGGGTCAGCATGCAAATCATCTGGTTTACGCCAGAGAACAGAGGTAATATCTCTTTCACTTACTGAAAGGGCAGATAGCCGCAACCACACCGAGAGGCTCGCGGTAGCTACGGGTCTCCATATCCTTGGCCACCTCAAGGACCTCGCCAGTCATGAGCGAAGGAATGCCACAGGCGGTCTCGGCAACCTGCAGACCACGCAGGACGTCACCGCGGGCATCGGCAAAGGTCTTTCCCTGCTCAAGGGTAATAGAAGCAGCGAGGCGGTCCCAGTTCTCACGGATGAGGCTAGTGAACTTGAACATGATCTGCTGGCGAGCCATGATACTGGTTGCACGCCAGGCAGGGAACGCCTTCTCGGCCGACTTAACAGCGGCCTTGAGTTCCTCATCCGTGCTCTGAGGAACGCGAGTGACGAGGTTGTTTGTAGCAGGGTCATGGAGGTCAATCCACTTGGTTGCCTGGGAAGACACAAACTCATTGTCCAAGAAATTGGTGGTGTCAATTGGCTTGGCAATCTGTTCGTGGGAGGTTGGGTACTCAGTAGCAGTGCTGGCGGCGGAGGTAGTCGAAGGTGCAAGTTGCTGAGCAGTGGCATGCAGTCGACGGGCGGCCGACATAGCCCCGGGCGTCGAGATGGAAGCCTTGGAGGTCATTCTGGCCGCTGGAGTAGCAGTGGCAAGAGTGCGGGCATTGGAGGCCCTCGCGATAGCCGGTGTGCGGGGAACCGAGCGAAGGGCGGGGATAGATCGAGCCAAGGACCGGCGAGCGGCCATTGTTTGAAGAGTTGATAGAGGGGGCAAGGGGGTGGTTTCTCCAAGAGCGAGAAGGAAGGCGAGGAATTCAGAGAGTATCGGAGGGGAAGTATATAAGAACAATGCCTAGCTACGGATAGCTGTTGTTACCCCAGGCCCGAGGCTAAGGAGAGGCCACCGCCTACAATCGGAGTCCCCAAGCTCGATAAGAGAGTTCGGCACTACCAGCCAATCGTGGTGCCCTGTCAGATCGCCGAGAGTGCCCGCATTACCCGATGTGGATCTGTGAGATTCGCGTTAAAAGGTGACTATTAGGCAGGGAAATCCGGTAGGTCGCTTATTGTCCCAGTCTTGTTACTCGAATGAGCACCCGTGGAGGGAGTACCTTCCTTATACAAGTTTGTAGAGAGAAACGGTTTCTTGTGAGTGGGGTGGAACTCCAATCTAGAATTCCAAATCATCCCGTCACATTCAAAACCCATGGTCACAATACATTTGAGGTCATACAAAAGGTATATCGGACCTCCATTCAGGGAATCTCAAGACTAGCTAGCATACTACTACACAGGTCACATGATAAACATAAAAAGGCAGGGAATAAGGAATCAACGCGGGAGGCTATGCGATCTCATTGTGGTTTAGGGTTTGTCGGGTGGAGCCTCATTTTTACTCGGCCGAGGAACGAGTGTTGCGCTTGGTAGCGCCGCCCTTGCCGGTGTCGGCGGAGGAGCTGCTTGCTGCGCTATCCTTCTCCTTGCCACCGCTGGCAGGCTGCTTGCCCTTAGGAGCAGGAGCAGGGCTGCTGGCACCAATGGCACCGACAATGACCAGGATGGAGGTGAGAAGAATGGCGACCAGGCCACCAGCAACCTCGGGCACAGTCTTGACAGCGTGAACGGGGTCCTCCTTGGCGAGGTTGATGAAGTAGTCAACCTTCTGGCGGACGAAAGTCACGGGGTCCTCCTGGAAGGTGACAGTGGTGCCAGCGTCAGGAGTCTTAGGAGCAGGTTTAGCTGCCTCCTCCTGAGCCTGCTCAATTGGGTACTTAACATCAAAGGTCTCCTTGCGGAGCTTCTCAGCGTCCTCGACGGAGTGGCCGATGTAGATGTTGTCGAACAGGATATCGTTCTGCATAGTCCAGATTTCGAAACCAATCTGCGAGGGGATGTTAGCATGCTTGATTGCGGTCGGGGCTTGAGCTTGGTCCAAACTTACAGCACCCATAGGCTCGAGGTTAGAGGGAGTCTTGTCCTCGAAATACTGGGGGTTGGGAATCTTGCGAGGAGCCCAAACGCCCTTGTAGGCAGGGTTGTCGATCAGAGGAGCAGACCACTTGCCCTTGTACTCGGGGTTCTTCTTCATGGGACGAGTCCACTTGCCACATCCAGAGACTTCAGCGCACTTGGGGTTAGGGACAGTAGGGGCGATCCAGTCGCCATCCTCCTCATCATCCCAGTCCTCGGGCTTCTCAGCCTCGGGGTCAGGGATGCTGGTGGGCTCATCAACCAGCCAGTCATCGGGCTGCTCAGCCTCCTCGTCCTCAATTTCGAAGGGAGCTTCCTCATCCCAGTCCTCGGGCTTGGTGGCCTCGGGGTCAGGGATCTTGGGCTCGTCAACCCAGTCAGCGGGCTTCTTGTCCTTGGGGTCATCAATCTCCTTTTCGGGGTTGACGGGAGGGTTGAAGTCCTCCAGGAGGCTGCCCTCCTTGACAGACTCGCCGTTGACGAGGATCTCGAAGGTCTGGTCAGGCTTGACGATGAGAGTGTAGAGGGAGGTGACCTTGGAGGTACGCGCGACAGGAGGAGTCTTGAGGTGCTTCTCCTCGTACTCCCCGGTCTTGGGGTTCTTGTGGCGGAAGATAAAGTGGACCTGGTTTGAGAAAAGATATTTTGTCAGCATTGAACGCGATGAAATTATCGAAGTATCAAAAGGAAACCATACCTTGTTGGTAGCACCGCACTTGTCGGGACCGAACATGACCACGTAAGGAGTGGCGTTGGAGAACTCATCTTGGTGCAGCTTCTTGTTCTCCTGGAGGAGCTTCAGGTAGGCACCACCACAGACGAGGGAGTTCTGGGGCTTAACCTCATACTGAACCACCAGGGTTTTGCCCTTGTTATCAATCTTCTTGGGGAACTTGGCGGAGATAGCGTGGTGGGCAGCAGCGTTCTTGACGACCAAGCCCTTGTCACCGTCGATTCCCGGGAAGACAGTGGGTTCCTCCACGGACCATTCGCCCACGTAGGCCCAGTCCTCCTCAGACTTGGGGTCGTCCTTCTTGGCATGCGATCGCTGCCACCGGGACTCCCAGTCCTCAGTGAACTGTTCCAAGAAGGGAGCCTTGAGAGCGGTGGGCTAGACGTGGCTGTTAGATGGTCCTTTGTCCAATTGAGCATAAGTAGCAAGTGTTGGGATTATCATACAGTGAAAGTGGGCTTCTCAATGGCAGCAGTTCGATCGGCGGCAGCTTCAACCTCCTCGGCATGGGCGTAGCCCATAAAGTAAGCCGAGGAGACTAGAGCCGTGAATGCGGCATCGAAACGCATCTTGAAAGGACAACAAGAAACAGCAAGGCCGAGGTAGGTGAGGGATGGGAAGTGGACACCTGTGAGGAGAAAGCGGAGGTTATATAGAGCGGGAAGATGGAGAAGGTCCAGGTGGCCTCTTCCATGAAAGCTCCCAATCGGGACTAGGGCGGCGCCCAGGTACACTTTTCGATTGCTTTCTATTCCGCGGCGCCGGCCTTATGGCTCCATTATTCCTATTCTGATGTGAAGAAAGAAGCTGCCCTCTATTGAACTTTAAAAATAGAGTCTCCAACCCCACTGCGATACCTGTAAATATTCGTTGTCAAGCAAAATGAACATGATCTCCCTTCCCGTCTCGTCAAACACTGCGCGCTTGTGTAATAATGCGCGGAGCTGCAGAGCCAACCCCACTCGGTCCGTCTGATTTCAATGGTGTCACTCGTTACACGCTTTTTCCTAGTCATTCCACCTGACCCAGCCCATTGTTATCTGTCTCAAGGTAAGCCAATTGCGCCAGACTGGTCGCAAAGACCTCGAGGGGTTTCGGATGCCCCCCCTTGTCTCTCCCCCTTGGCGCTTCCCTCTGCCTCCCCCGCCCAGCATACAATCTCCATTTGAATGCCCGATTGCTGACTGGCCAGGCCACCATGTGTGCTGATGCGGAGAAGACCGTCGCGGTCAATAACGACCATCTAGTGCAGTCTGACGACCCTGAACACCCCGCAAACCTCATTCCAGCGCTGTGCCGCAACTTTTACAACTGGGGTTGGGTGACTGGTACGGGCGGAGGGGTAAGTTCTTAAGGTTTTTGCGCGGAATTGCGCCATCGGCCAGCTAAACAGCTTGTCCAGACATCTATCCGCCAGGGCGATCACATTTTTCTTGCTCCTTCTGGCGTCCAGAAGGAATTGATCAAACCTGAGAATATCTTCGTTATCCAATGGCCAACCACCAAGTACCCTGCCACCGAGCGCAACTATATTCGCAGGCCCCTTGCTCTGAAGCCATCCGACTGCACGCCGCTGTTCCTGACGGCATTTGAGCACGGGGCTGCTTGCTGTATCCATACACACTCTCAATGGGCAGTCCTCATCACTCTGCTGGTAGAACGCGAGAAGGGCCCGGACGGATGTTTCGAGATCAACAACATCGAGCAGATCAAGGGTATTCCCAAGGGCCGCGGTAAAGGCTACCACGGATACCACGACACCCTGAGTGTTCCAATCATCGAAAATACTCCCTTCGAGGAGGATCTGACCAGTGGTCTGGAGGCTGCGATGAACAAGTATCCCGACACCTATGCGGTGCTTGTTCGGAGGCACGGAATGTAAGCGCAATCTCAACCCAAATATCTTTGAGTATGAGTCTTAACCTAACTGTTTCCACAGCTATGTCTGGGGTGACACCGTGGCCAAGGCAAAGACTCAATGTGAGAGCCTGGACTACCTGTTCAAGCTAGCTGTCGAGATGCACAAGCTTGGCCTCCCTTGGATCAAATAGGTTGCAGTGCTTGATTAGAGCGCGGTACCGCTCGAAAAATTAGTTATTACCAGCCATTTGTAAAGATTGGCTGGCCTTTCGGGGTTTAAATCGAAATGATGTGACGTATTATGATAGTCCGGTGTTGTGATAGTATTAGGAAAGCCTGTGGTATAGAAATATGGCTTAACGTCGGACTTTGCCTGATCAAAGCACGTAGCTTTCCTTTGTCAGAGGCTGTAGAACCATGAGAAGCGAATACTTGACGCCAATGGCATAGAATGGGCAAAGTTAAGTGTTCAGATCAGTCGCACCTTGGGGGGTTTGGATCCCGTGAGTGACTAAGACCGCGCGGATCATCTCAACTAAAGTTACGGCTGTGCACTCCACCTCCAAGTGCCAGCTTCACCAGTCCCCTCCTCCGCACCCCGGAGCTCCCTCACAACCTCTTCGCTCTCTCAGCCTCTGTTCTCCACTCCGATACCCGATTCCGCCAATACTTTCTATCGTCATCCGTCAACAATGGACCTTGACGGCGGTGACTCCCCGTGGGGCGGTAGGCAGACCTCCCGCAGCTCTGAAGATGCGATCTAATCTGAAGAATAGATGAACCCTCGCGGTCCGGTTCCAGCCATGGAGTAACTCAGCCCGAGACTAACGAACTTAGTACGTTCTGTCGGACATTTACATCGTTTCCAATCGACCCCCGCTAACATGCGTTCATCCTTGCAGCTTCCGCCGAGCCCGCACTCTCCGAGAACAGGGCCGAGGTTCGCACACCGAGTCGACGAGGTGCTCGCGCAAACCGAAAGATCAGTGCGCAAGCGACCCGGCTCGAGGCTGTCGATGACACCGTTGATCCTCTTGGCCCTCTTGGAGAAGCTCCTGCTGAGACGATCGCGACCCCAACTGACGAGGCTCCAGCACCTCCCCAGAAAGAATCACTAGCCGCTCGTGGCCCCCAGCCTGCTTCGACTTTCGCTCAAATCCCTGGTGCGACAGGATTGGCCGGCTCGGTCAATCTTGAAGAGGATGGTGGCAGTTTCAGGGGACCCCCGCCTGTCCAGCCTGCGGCGGATGCAGATGGCCCACAGCGGCAGACGCAGCCAAGTATGAGCGTGGAGCAGGCTGCGAAACCTACCTTTGAGATTCATGTCGGAGACCCACATAAAGTGGGAGACATTACAAGCAGCCATATTGTGTACCAGGTCCGAACAAAGGTATGCATATTCTTTTCAATGTGAAGGGTAACTCTTGCAAGCAAGAGCGAGATACTAATCGCATGCTTGGGCTACTCAGACTTCATCGAAAGCTTACCGCCAGCCCGAATTCACCGTCACACGCCGCTACCGCGATTTCCTTTGGCTCTACAATTCCTTGCACAACAACAACCCTGGAGTGGTGGTTGCTCCACCGCCGGAGAAGCAGGCAGTGGGTCGATTCGACACTAACTTTGTCGAGTCACGAAGGGCAGCGTTGGAGCGCATGCTTAACAAGATCGCCGGTCATCCAATCCTCCAGCATGATGGCGATCTCAAAATATTCCTTGAGAGCGAGGCGTTCAATGTTGATGTAAAGAATAAGGAAAACCGGGAGCCTGATCTAGGCCAAAGCAAGGTATGCTGAGCTCGCTTGGCATTAATGTTGGTGGGGGGAATAAGTTTGTGGAGCACGACGACGTAAGTCATTGATTCCACACAATTGTTTCTGTCAAATTTCTTACATCTGCCAGTGGTTCCACGACCGAAAGATCTACCTTGATGCGCTAGAAAATCAACTGAAGGCCCTACTGAAGTCCATGGATACCGTCGTTGCACAACGGAAGGGCCTTTCTGAATCCGCGGGTGAATTCTCAAACTCACTCCATGCTCTTGCTGCTGTCGAACTCTCACCCGCTCTCTCATCTCCCTTGGATGGCCTGTCAGATGTTCAATTACGTATTAAAGAGCTCTATGAACGCCAGGCCCAGCAGGATATCTTGACCTTGGGCATCACTATTGACGAGTATATTCGGTTGATCGGCAGTGTCAAGACCGCATTTTCCCAGCGCCAGAAAGCCTTCCACAGCTGGCATAACGCCGAGTCGGATCTCTCGAAACGCAAGCATAACCAGGAGAAGCTTCTTCGACAAGGCAAAACACAGCAGGACCGTCTCAACCAGGTTAATGCTGATGTCGCGGATGCAGAGCGTAAGGTGCATCAGGCCCGGTTACTTTTTGAGGACATGGGCCGCTTGATGCGGAATGAGCTGCAAAGATTTGAGAGGGAGAAGGTGGAGGACTTCAAGTCCGGGGTGGAGACTTTTCTTGAGAGTGCAGTGGAGGCTCAGAAAGAGGTAAGTTTTTGCTCATGCTCCAGGAGTCGGTGCATTTCTAACCCAAATTTAACAGTTGATCGAACTCTGGGAGACCTTCCTTCTGCACCTCGATGCGGGAGAGGACGGAGTGCCTTACTACATACCACCCCCAGTGGCTGGCGAGCCGAGCGAGCCCACAGCATCAGAGTCTACACCATCCCATGCGGAAACAGCCTCGGTGGCTGAAGACGATTGAGGTCGATGCTTATCTATGGCCAATAGTCAAAAATGGCCGAACCTGTTCCTGGCACGTATCTTACCGGTCACTATGCAACGGTCTCACTCAATGAGTACTATTAGCCACCTCAGTGTCCTTCTATTTTGTTCTCTGCGACTTTTCCTTTCTTTCTTTTTTTTATTCTTATGTCTGTCCATAACTCATGGCGTATTGTAACCGATACCATAATTGGGACTTATTGATCTGAAGACAGAGTCTTCTTGGACTGCACATGAACTCGGTACGAATGAAAACAAATGGTTGCATGTCATTATACCTGGGCCATTTGTAGAGCAGATCTAAGCAAGAAGCAGCTCCCAGGGATTATCTCACGAGGTCAACGCGGAGCTTGCTTATGGAGCTTATTGGCAGTGGATCTATTTTGGTACCGCGCCAACCCCGATCTGGCAGAGCATGTTGATCTAAATTAATAGGTCGGCTTAACTCCGAAGATCGCCTCGACTGTTGCAAGGTAAATCACATTTGGAAGAAGAAAAGAGAGGGGGTTGAGACTAAGACAACACGTCAATTTGACAGTTACTGTGACGGAGATTCATAACATTACCCCTGTCAGACAGACACTACGGACGATTCAGCGAGAATCCTGCTCTTAGCGTCTTTCCCAAAGATAACAGCCTCAACCCCGGGTTGGCTTGGGTGGGTTTTATGTGGGTTTTCTGTCTTTTCCGCCCCAAAGCTAAGCCAGATTGAATAGTAACCTTTCGCTTTTTTGGAAACATACGACTCGACAGTGGAGACAGTCCTTTTCTTATCCCTGGCTATTTAACTTTTGTTAGCACCCCAGTGTGGTGCTGACTCGTTTTGGCCAATTTTCTTCACCTCAGGTAGGCTCCAGGGCATTTTAGAGAACAGTCTTCCTCGTCTGTGACTCTCTGCTCAATATGAGTTCTGCCCCTGCCAGTGCTGCTGCCACTACTACAGCAGCGCCTACTACGACTTTTATCCCTGCTGATTACAGCACTGGCCCCGACTTCGAGGGTTGGTATCTGCAGACCACACGTGCGTACAAAAACAGCACCCCGAAACGCATGATTCGGCCCTAATTTTTCACAGCGCAACCAATTTTTTGTGGTGGGACCCTTACCTACTATACTAGCAGCACCTATGCGCAATGCTACGATCCCTCGTCGTCGGCGCCTATGCCTACGGGCTGCTCTGACACCTTATTGTTGATGGCTTCAGACATGGCTGGTGCTTGGTATGTTCCTACGCATTGACGCCCTGTCGCTTCGAGGTATTCACATGAACTAGCGACCCTGCATACACATGTGGCTCTTACAAGATCTATCCAACTGAAGGCGCCCCTGATGACGAGGGCGTCACGCTATACAACTGCTTAGCCAACTGGGCCGCCGACAGCATCTATAGATCGCTGCCGGCCAGATATGTTTCCGAGACCGCAGGCACGGAAAAGACCGCCACAGCAACAAAGCAGTCTATGACCAGTAAATCACCCGACTCTACAACCCCATGGCCTCGATCCTAACATTCTCTCCTAGCTGCCAAACTCCCCCACAGCAAAACCGCCTCAATCTCCATGCCAACCGCCACTGGCACCTCGTCCAGCAGCTCCGGCATCTCAGGCGGCGCCATTGCCGGTATAGTCGTCGGGTGTGTCGCAGCTGTCGCCCTTGTCGGTCTCCTCTTCTTCTTCCGCAAGAAAATCATGGCCTTCTTCGGCAAGGGAGGACCTCACGCCGACGGCGGTCCAACCTGGTCGCCCGTCGAAGCGCCCCCAGGTACTCATTCTGAGATGGCTACGGCCGAGGGTACGGTGCCGCCCTCAGAGATGTCTTCCGAGGCGAACGCTGTGCATGAGATCGGGTCGTCACAGACTGGCAGTGAGGGACGGCCTGCGGTTGTTCATGAGTTGAGCTGAGAGCACTGGTCTTGTGACCTAACGAGCATTATACCCGGCGTTTTGACTTCCTATACCATTGTATCTTTGTATTCTTGATGATCGCTTTACTGTGGAGTTTTGAGTTGGCTTGTTAAAGGGGCTGCTGATCTAATGCCTAATGTCTTAAAAACGTTCTATGATTTGAAATCGAGAGTCTCTGTATTTAAGTAACCCTTGCCCCTGAGATCTACTAAGCGGAAGATTAATAGAACGCATTTCATTCCACTTGAAGCCCGCTCCTCCGGACTCCAATGGTTCAGATGGACATGACCTTTAATATTCAACCCGATAACCATAATTTCTTAAAAACCGAGCGCTGCTCCTCCCTCGAAAAAGGTCCCAAGTGTATACTATGCTTAAACTCGGGATTCTCACGAGCAATGAAGAGGGTGTTTCATCAGGTCGGTTAAGCTTGGATTATTGAAGTTGATGGCGAACAATCTCTATTCTCGTTTTCGTAGAACCATCTTTAGGATTGGAAAACAAGCACCATAGCTAATCTTCCAATTTGTAAATTGTTATAAAGGATTAACACGGTTCTAGCGAGTTCTAGAATACATATCTAGCCTTCCGCGTGACTTTTTAACGTAGATCCACCGAATGACGTATCCTACCAGCACGAAGCGCGTCGCGTCGGAACGAAAACAAAGATAAGCGAGATCAAAAAGGCAACAGGACTCGAGCTGTATCCTTCCACCATCAAGTCAAAAGAGCTAGTTACCTCGCGTCTTGTGAAACTTGGGCACTTGCTATTACATGCAACATCCCGGACTAGAATCCACAATGACGGATCCCGTCGTTAATGAGCTGGCCAAGCTCAACAAAGCAGTCAGCAAAGTATCAAGAGAAGTTTTGGATCGCCTGGTCACGGCACTTATTCAGACGAATGTCCCAGCCAGAGAATTTATCAAGAATGGGCTTTTCGTTCCCGAAGATGACGTTCCTCGGCCAGGCAGTCCATCTTCGCCCCTGAGCACTACATCCGGGGAAGATGAAGAGAACAAGGGTGAAGTTTCGAAGACCGACAGGCCTCCCTCTGAAACTGCCCGTCCTAAGAGACTAAGAACTCGTTATGCGCTCTGCCAAAACTGCAACGAGGAATTCGATGTGTCTGAAAATACCCAGCAGAGTTGCCGGTTTCACCCAGGTATGCACAGAATAGCAGTTCGATCAATGATGGTACTATGGCGCTATCACTGGATGTGACTGACCTGCAAATTGTCAGAGGAGTCCGTCCCTGATTACGACGACTTTTTTGCGGACCATGACGAGAATTGTCATGGGACAATTGATTGTGAAGAAACCCGCAAAGAGTATCCCGAGGGCTTCATCTATGGATGCTGTGATCGCAACGGCGAAGAGGAGCCCTGCATGACGGATTGGCACCGGGAATATGTTGAATATGATAGCCCGAAGAGGCGCAGGTTCTTTTAGGCTGATTTTTGAAGACTTCTCAAGTTGCGATTCGTCCATTGCGTACGAGGCGTCTCTCCTGTTCGCCCTAGATGTATCCATTTAGTGTATCCATGGATTGAACTACATCATGCAACCCCAAGTTGAACACCGTATGGAATCTTTGGGCCAGGGGATCAACTATTCGGCGGCCTCGTGGCCCTCAGCTGTGCTTATCCCATAGTTATCTTGTATACCACCATACTTCCGCATATGTTCCATGGCAGCTCCAGAAACTGGCTTTTCAATTCAAAGAGTTGGGATTGGATAAAGTGATGAGATTCATCAGGAACCGAGAGGATCAAGACATCAAACATATGAGAACTCCATTGAATTGTGTGTCATTGGTCGGGTAATGAACAACTTCTGATAGTGTAGACCCTAACCCTTTCCCGACCCCATATCATCTCAAATTTCCCAGGTTTATTTTCTGATCCTAGTATCGCACAGAAAATGGCGTGGCCACTGCCCAGAGAACTAACTGCCCGCATCGTGTCACTCCTCGAAGATCCATTGACTAAAGTAGACACCAAGCTCGGATTGGCTCAATATGCTTCAGAGAACGCGACTGGCAGTACATCGTGGAGGGGCGAAGCTGGGCGAAAATCCAGGTCAAGACAGGAACTAATGAGTCCGAGGAACCAGATCCGCATGATGAATGGCCGGAATACGTGAGAACAGCACTCGAAGATCGCAGCGGTGAGCCCTTCCGAGAACTCAGTGTGCCAGGTCTCTTCAATGAGTTATATACGGCTGTGGGCCGAGCAGCATTGTGTATGTCCAAATTGGGGGATCTGCGCATGGACACAGAGTCGGGAAGAGTTCATCATCGGTTCAGATATTCGACCGAAAGCGAGACACGCGCATCTCGGTCTGACGGTCTCTTCCAACCTGAGGAAGGAGTTCTGGGCCTGTGGAAGCAAGCGGCTTCTGAAAATACTGGTCAATCTCTCACAGTCGAATTGTGGGATAATTAAAAAGGCACGAACAACACCTGTTGCCTTCTAGGAATGTTCAAAAGTTGATGACCTTGTATTTCAACTGTTCTCGGTTGAGGCTTTCGTCTTTTAATTTCAAGCAGCGATGTGCATTTCGACCCCAACTAAATTCTCCAGGTAATAGAACACTACGAGGTGTCTCGTCTTTACGGTCACTCTCTGAAACGCACGTACTATATATGACCGATTATCATATAACGAGGTTAGCGGCATCTAAACCTCCTATCCTTGACTTGAAGAAACAAGCCTGAGTACTCGGTGATCAAATCAGGTCAGGCTCAGTGAGCGGAGCGGGCGTTATGCTGTGTAACTGATGATACTGTGTACTCAGTGTATGAAAGCAGAGGGGACGAGCACTAGAACGAAAAGAGGCCAAGAATTACCAGAACTTTTCTTGGTATATATGCATATTGTACAGAAAGGTGGCGCGGAAAGGAAAAAAAAAAACCCAACTCCCAAATGCCTTATGATAAGGATCTTACATTCCGGTCAAAGACACAGCTCCATCAGGCTAGGAGCTTTCCGCCTTTAGAACCGCTTCTTCTTCTCGGGCGGCGGCGCTTCCTGCTGTCCAAAGGAACTAATCAAATCGAGCAGGTTATCCTCCTCTTCTTGATCCGCCGCCTCCTGGGCCTTCCTCGCCTCCTCGGCGGCCTTCTTCTCCTCGGGACTCTTGGCCGCATCAGCCTCGGCAGGGGCATTCGCATCGAACCCGCGGCCGAAGCGCGCACGGAACGCAGCAAGACGGCCCGCCTCGTCGTCTTCGACGTTCATCAGCTTGCTACTGGACGGGTTCCACAAGAGCGTGTTGCGGGTGTCGCGGGTGGAGCGATACACGGGGGAGGGGAGGTGGTGCGGTGCACGAAGGCGCTGCCGTCAGAGAGTGTGATCAGCTGCGAGAAGGTGTAGGGCCGCTTTGGGCGCCGGAGAAGCGTCGCATGGCGGCATTGCGAGCAGATGAATGTTGTGGCTTTGCTTTGGCTGCTAAGTTGGCTTAAGGGCAGGATGCTGCTCGTGCTGCTCGGGACGGAGGCCGCTGTTCGGCGGAGGCTCGTGTGCATTGACATGGTGGTGGCGTGTACCGAACGCTGTCGAGGGGTTGAAAAGGAAGGGCTGAATTGGAGCCCTGAGTGCCGTGGTTTGTGGGGTCCCGTACAAATTAAGGGACGCGAGGCGGGGGTAATGGAGGTTGATGCTATTCAACTCGTAACTTCGGGGGAGAAAATTGTCTGGTTATGTAAGCATATCGGGGTTTTTTTGCGGACGAGGTCAACTATTCCGCTGCTTCGCGTCGAATCTCACAGTTCAGATCACGATTTGAATCAAGGCCGTCTGCTTGCTGCTGGACTTATTCATTCTGTCTGTGGCATCCTGTGCTCATCGCCAGGTGACCATCCATCTTGCCCGGCATCATGAAATTAGTCCCGCGAGCTGCGGCCCGGAGAGCCCTCGGAGGTGAATATCTTAGGCTTTGAACATGAACCGCGCTGGAAACTAAGATACAAACTTTACAGACTCTCTCTATTCATTGCCTGTAGAGCATAAATTATCGCATTCAACTCTCGCCCTCCAATCCCTCTTAAAACAGCCACCTTACAACCAACCGTGGCACCCTCGACGCCGAACAAAGCACTCGTTAGCTTCCTCCGCTACCAGGCGCCATCCCTACTCTACCAAAGCGGATAAATCCCAACCCCTAAACACGCCAGAACCCTCAAAACCAGCCTCGATATCAGAACACGTCCGTCTCCTCATGCGCCGCGTCCCCTACCCCGTCGCCATCATAACAGCTACAGACCCCTCCAGCACCGCAGACACCTCCTTCCGCGGGATGACCGTCTCCTCGTTTAACACAGTCACTCTCTCCCCACACCCATAATCTCATTCAATGTGCGCCGGCCATCGGAAACCCTCAACGCGCTGCTCGCGTCAGGCCGCTTCTTGGTGCATCTCCTGGTGCCGAGCCCGGAGACAGCGACCCTCGCGAGGGATTTCTCGAAGGGAAATATTACGCTTGCTAGTATGTTGAGTGGGCATGGGACGTTTGAGTTTGGGAAGTTGGAGGGTGACGCTGAGCAGCCGCTGCCTATGTTAAGGCGGAGAGAGGCTGGTCTGCCGGGTGTTCACTTTCCCTTTGTATTTGAGTGTGCGCTTCTTCCGCAGAAGATTGATGTTTATGATCATTCGATTGTGCTGGGGGAGGTGGTGAGGGTTCTTGAAGGGGCTGAAGTGGAGGGTGAAGCCGGGCGGCTGTGTTTGACGTATGCTGATACAAAGTTTTGGAAGATGGGAGAGCAGGTATAAAAGAATCTATGGATGGGTTTTCATTTGGGATACACGCTGTTGGTTGGGATCAAGGCTTTTGGGTGGCTTCCAGTGTTGCTATATACCCGTCACCAATGCTGATATGTACATATATAATCATGGATAGAGTATACACTTCTAGCGGGTTGTTAATCTGCTCTGGTTTCTAAGACGAAGTGTCGACAGACTCGAGAAATGCTCGGGAATATAACCATGGTATGTTCTGTCCATAGTCCTACAATGGTGGCAATAAGCCCGATGCCCTCCCACCTGAGACTAGAAGAATACCAGGCCCAAGGAAATAACACTAGGTTCAGAAATTCAGAAATGCGTTCAGCACGACATATATAATTATTCTTTACGTACATTCACGACGAATTACTCTAAAGAGCCAGTTCAGCGTAATATTCACCGTTGAATTTTCTATGTAAATCTAATGTCCTTCCACTAGAGCGAACCTAGTTGTACAAAACAACGCCCGGCTCAAGAACATATCACTAGGGTTTAGAAGATGAGAGAGTGATGGATAAGCTAGCATACTCGTAACCAAAGACCTTCAAGCACGACTTCCGACGATTAGTACTACTGCGGTACGTTCCGAAAAATAAGGCAGAAAATACGCGATCTAGAAGGCAGCGATTTGTCCGTAGCTCGTTCCACCACTTCTAGGTTAGTAACTTGAAGGAGCCTCAAGTTCACCAGTCCAACTTCGAATGTAAAGTTGAACCTAAAAGCAGATCCGTCTGCTACTGGTAGGAAGTAGGAGGGTCCATGAGAGGAAGAAGGCAAGATACTTCCAAATCTCAAGTTGTGTGGGGAGGTTTGAGTCTACGCTGCAAATCTTCTGCTGAACCTTTAGGCCAACTGGGGCACTGTCGTGTTCAATTACGTCTTACGAAAAATTCCAGCACATTGACTGAGGGGAGAGCGGAGGAATATGGAACAGGCTTTTAGTTCTCTAGCACAGAGTGATTCATCCCACTTCAGGATCTATCCAACCTCGCAGTCACGCGAGATGCCATATATGAACAGGACCTAAGATCGAGTTCAAGCCTTGCACAAACTCGACGGCGACAATAAACATGACGGGTCGACAGAAGAAGAACGACGACTCACAACCGAGAGGTGAGAAAGCACAGGTGCCAACATCAGCGAAGCACGGAACACACGCAAACGAGAAAACAAGCATGAGACTACGACGTAGCCGTCATGATCATTGTTCGCGAGTCGACCTGGGGCTGCCGCTTCCACTGCCGCTACCACCACTACCACTTGCGCTGCCACTACCGGCTCCGCTGCCACGGCTTGCTGCCCGCTGAAAAGGGCTCAGCATGGGGCGGCCACTCTGGAACAGCAGACTATTTGGCTCCGATCCGGACCGATGCTTCTCGGAGAGGAGCTCGGATAGATCGAGTTGGAAGGGAGGAATGCCCTTCGCTTCAAAGTAATCCGATCCGTAGAGGCTGCTGCGGGCCGATCGATTAGAGAAAGAACGGTCACGGCTACTCTCATTCGCAAAGTAAGAAGTTGCATTTGCAAACGGAGAAGCAGGGAATTGGGGCGGTGCATCCTGGACGGGGCTGGTTGGGTGCGACAGACTTGCGTGGCCAGGAGACGAATCGTGTTGCAGAGGGCTAGACCTGGCAGGGGCGAAGCTCAGTCCTAGGTGGGAACGGGTGGCAGGAGCCGTTGTGGCCGGCATATTAGCTTCCGCGAGAGGATTGGTGCCAGGCAAATTGCCTTCGGGTGTCAGGGGACCCGTTTCCATGAGCATTTGCTGCTGTTGTTGCTGGATAGACTGCTCAATCGCAGAGGCCTGTTGCCAGAGCTGGTTAGTGCGCAATTGGAAATCTTGCACGCTCTGGGTGATGCTTCCAAATTGTTCGTGGAAGCTGGCTTCTAGCTTGGCCTGATCCTGCTCGCGTGCAAATTGCTCGGCTGCTCGTCGTTCTCTCTCGTTGAGCCCCTGGGCATTAGCGGAAATGATGCGTTCATACTGCTCGTTGACGCGAGTACGGCGGCTCTGAAGACGTTCGCGCTTCTGGATGACCATGCTCAATTCCGACTCCAAAGCTGACGCTTGTTGAGCCATAGCAAGTCGTGCGTTTTGCACTTCCTCCTTGGCCCCGTTGAGGCGTTCTAATTCGCGGTCAAATTCGGATTTTTGTGCAGTCCACTGCTCCATCTCCTCCTCCGGAACAGTCTCCATGCTGTCAAGCTGTGCCTCAAGCATGACCGTCGCTTCCTCTGTCTGCTTGATGTTGCGCTCCAATTGGAGCGAACGCTGTTTTTGTTTGTTTTCGTCAGTGCCACTCTGCAAGCGGTTGTTGTAATTGTCCAATTCCTTCCGAATCTTTGAAATGAGAAGCTTGTGATCATTCTTTGCTTTTTTCAGCCGAGAGCGTTTCTCGTTCAACTTGGATTCGGCATTGATGATAGAGTTCTTAAGGGTTGTCGTGGGAGACGAAGGACGATAATGCGGCTGAGGTGGTGTCGGCACCACGGAAACTGCTGCGGCACAATTGCTCCGGTTAACTCTGCCTCTAGTTTTTTCTTTACTACGGGCTCCAGAAGACTCACTTTGTTCTGCGTCAGTAGTGGCGGGCGTCTTGACGCTCATAGAACAGATTTCCTCGTCCGTATCACTCCGCACGAAGGTGCACGTATAAGCACAATTGGGAGCAAGACCAGAGATCTCACCCCGCCATTGTACCATATTCGGCCCCTTCGTGGAATCCTCAACACGACCAATCGTAGCAGTAGCCCATAGAGCGCCATTTACACAGACGTAAAACGGTTCCATATCTCCATCCACTTGTGAGTCGCATGAATTCGAGATCGTTGAATCGTCGGTGACATCACCGGCAGCAAACTTGATCGAAGAACTTTCCACATCCGTAATCCAGACCAATCCATCATCAAGAGAAACACCTTGGAGATCCGTCTCTGTCATCGGAAGTCCGCGGGCTGTTTTTGAGCAGGTTCGTGAATGTTCATATTCTCTCATGACCGTCACCTTTGTGCTGGCGAGGGCAGCCCAGAAAGGTTGTCGACTTCGAACTTGATTAGCTTGCCTTCGGCGTTTCTTGGCTGAAATGAAACGATCTTTTCCATCCTTCAACTGTCCATCGGGCCCAATAAATGAAGACGAAAGGCTCGCGGCAGATTCTAAAGCAGAATCGGCTTGCCCTTGTGACCCGGCCGATGCCTCGGTATCCACACGCTTTCCACTCCGTGACGGCGCGGGCGACCGATTCCGAGCCATAGATCGTCGTGCCATTGCTGTCCCCGCTTGTGCTAGAATATGTATGGCGAGGAGACTCCGTAGCCAACTCGGTGACGTTGGCGGTTCGGTGCGGCGAAATTCGGCAGGTAAAAGATTTGAGTAATGAGTAAGTACATCCGGGCTAATGAGTTTTGCAAGACGAGATGTCCGACAACAAAGTCTTGTATGCCTTTGCTGCTGACGATATGCAGGAGCAGAACAATCCCAACACAGAGACCATTGACCCCGCCATTTTTTCCGGACCCTCCGCCGCCAAGGGTAAAGGCGACTTGGACGTGAGCAAGGTCGATTGCAAAGTTCTGGGCCCACGTCCACATGAAGAGGCCCCAGAAAAGAAGGCAAAAGCCATCCATGGCTATCATCGTTCCGAGAGATGGCGTACCAGCCGGACCCTGAAAAATATCGAAATTCGAAGATAGCGAGCCCGCGGCCGCACCGCTGGGGGGGCATGAATGTCAAGGACGCAAAGAGGAATTGAACCATAGTAAGGACCATCGGGGGAAGCTGTAACAGAAAGATCAAGATGGCGATGGTGTCGTACATCGGGCATGACTTGAGGATTGTGGAGGCAAGTTGAAGCGGGTTGATCGACGCGTTGGATCCGGAGCGTTTGACATTGCCATGACCATTGCGAGACGACGACCCTGCGATACCCCCATTGTGCGCGGCGGCCCCGTTTGCCTGGCCGCACGCCATGTCCACACCCTTGCTATGCCCGTTTACCACTCCACGCACATTACCGTCCACTCCCAACTCGTCTGTGCCTTGATTTGCAGTCGTAGGCGCGAGAATTTGCGTGTCGCTCGAAGAACGATTGGCGGACAGATCGAGAAGCGAGGCGCCCGAGCCAGTAGCGGAGCCGTTGCTGGGCGAGCCGTTGAGTTGGCTGCTTGATTTCTGCTTGGTCACTTTCTTGCCGGGACCGACAAGGCCATTCTCGTGTCGATTGTTCTGACTCTTTCTACCTGCAGCTGATGGGCGTGGCATGGACGAGGGAGTCCGATACCCAGGTCCGAGTCAGCTTGGCGGGACGGGGCCAAGGACTGGAACCGGGGCTGGATAAGGAGAGAAACGAGAGAATGAAGATAGAGTGAGAGAGGGGAGAGGGAGAGGGGGTAAATCTCTCCCACGTCCTAAATCGCGATGATCGGACGTTAGTGTGGTGGGGATAGGGAGAGAGAAGTAGGAAAATGTGGTTACGGAAGGGAAAGGGAAAAGTCACGGAAGCATGAAGTTTGAAGAGAGAAAGGATTGGAGCCGAGGGCGTGTCACGTATGGTAAAACAGCCTGTCGATCATGCAGGATTGGGCAGGCGGTACTTGCCTCCCGCACTTGTGCACTGCCGATCTGGATGTACTTGATGCAGTATCTGGAGCGGTATCGTCGTAATTATCGATCCCAAAATTTCGGGATTTCATCATCTTTTTTTCTCTGGTATTAATCTCTTTACAGTAGTTTATGTTGGTGGGGACGAAGCGTGCGTTGTTTTGCTAATGATATTACGGGTTAGTTAGATGATAATGTATTGTCGTATATAGATCGCAAGTTCAATTGCATCTCTCGGTTCCCTCTAGGTTGTGTCTTCGTCGACCATTGAAGTCCTCCCTCTGTTTCAGGTATTGTACTATCTATACCATTTGCTGTCCCCTGTTACTCCTTGAAATTGACCCGGGCCTGGGAAATTGGAAGTTTCTGCAACCCCAGACGCAAGAGCTATACTAACCCTATAGCGGTATCATACCCGCAGGGGGCAGAGGCGCACATGTATCTAACAATCCAGATTACGTTTGGAGACCGTCAATCCCCCTCCATTTTGATGATCACTGACCGACTCATCCTTTCTGCGGGGTCATCTTTGCGGCAAGGCCAAGGGGCCTACATGGCGGCACGAGTCTCTACTAGCTAAGCCATCCTTATTGGGGCGATTCGCACACACGCGGCAAGCGAACACGCAAAGAAGAGTGCCGCTAGACCGACGGGAGGCCTCAACCGTGCCGCTGGCACACCGGGCCAGAGTTTTCGCTTCGCAACAGGCTTTGGGCACCTTAGGCCTTGGTCTCGTCTTTTTTCTTCCTTTTTTCACATAGGGAGGCTCCGCATTGTCATGGCTAGCTCGTGAACCTTTCAGGGTCTTATCTGCAAATCAGGAGCGCGGAGTGGGGGAGAGGGGCGGAAGATTGGAGAGGGCGATGCACCGATCGGGTTTCAAGAAGATCCTTCGAGGTGGCACGAGGCCGAAGTAAGCCTGCAAATCATTACCTCGGAAGATCTCCTCGGGGCCTCATTTCCAAGTGGACACATGAGAGCTAATTCGACCCCTCCCAGACTAAGAAAGACCAAGAGGACAAATGAGTTCTTGGCATCAAGGTTTCACGCGTAGATCAGGCACCGATAGGGCAAGGATCAGCAGTGCGGTTTCCTTCGAGGCTTATTCTGTCCGGCTTTGCATATGGGTGACTTGGAGTTTTGGGAAACGCTGCGCATGCCAAACTTCAGCCATCTACCCCGTCCCCAAGCCAGCACATTCCATGATCTATTTGAGGCTGTCCGGGACCTTGCACAAGAGTGCGGAGCTGCCGTATCGCGCCACTTACCTAACGTGAGGGCGAATCGCTAGTCCGGACGGGGTTCCGGGCCCGAATCAACGGTTTATGCTCCGCCGATCCTATCCCCTAGCACGGGGTTATCACCAATTGTTATTTAGCCTGGGCAACGTACGCTACCCCGCACATGCATTCTTCCTGTAGGGAGCGTATCATACGGACCTTATCTGTATGGGCCCACATTCTAATGACTATACCCCAGCGAGCTGCATAGGAAGCAAGGCGACTCGTATCGTCAAGATTAAGTTCCGAGACTTGGTATTGTGATACCAGGTGCTTCACCGATCCACGGTTATTAACCATTGTCCTGATAGTTTAAAAAGAGCCTACCGCTAATTGTCGATCATTCTGGCCGGTCTATTCGAGCCAGCAGGACTAGTTCACGTAGTGGTCCATGGAATCTTGTTAACACTGATTGGATGTGTCTTTCGACTTGCGATGAGCTCAGAGCGATATCGCCCACTAACTCCCCTTCAGGTTCCATTTCTTGAATATGAAGAAACGCCTCTTTCTTCCTCCGGCCTCAGGCATCAATAATCCGAAGAGCGTTGGGGTAATTAGCCACTTCCTACTAGGGCTAGGGTCCTTGGAACATATTCTTCATTTCCTCGGGCGCAAGACCCTAATCTGGGGGAAGAAGGAAGTAAGAATAGTAATAAGACCGGCGATGATGACATATACAATACGGCCTCGGTGCTTGATGGTCACGAAGACAGTTGCTGCAAATTTCCCTCCTGCGTGGTTGGCGAGGATGGTATCTGTAACGAGCTTTCTTTATGAAACATCTCAACGGGTGTTTCATTCACGTTTTCCTAGATTACCGCGCCCACGTATCTGGTTCTTGGATAAGCGTACCCCGGCAGTTATGCCCAAAGGAACTTCCTTTATTTGATACATGACAGATCTAAAAGACGAACCCTGTCAAATTTGTCTCATTTTCCAAGCTCCATCCTCTTTGAATCAGATCATTCACCCTCGAAGTATTGGTGAAACCGCCATAAGTGGCCAGCGCATGTACCTTACGCTCAATCTCCTCTCTGGATGATTATCAGCCACAATCCCACGCTCGGAGGGTCACTAAGACGAATAACTCACTTTGTTAATGGCAGCTCAGGGTCCCCCTTCGCAAACTCCGCTGTCTCATGGAATACTTGACCAGACTTGGTAGTCACGATAACCGTCCCTTGCCAACTCTGCGGGAACTTGCTATCAATTTCCGCATCATATTCCATTGTTACCCGCCTCTGGAACTCCCGCAAGGTCAGATCCTTCAGATCTTCCTCTGTGAAATCTGTTATCATAGCCTGTCCCTTCTTGGCTGCTACCGCAAGAACAAACCCCATCGAGAACTTGCTTTGGTGCACCGTCTCACCCTCGCCACTCAGCCCGAGCACATTCAACGCAGCTTGGTATGTCCGCGTAACTACGGACTCAATATCTTCAAATGCGACCCCATTCTTCTCCATAAGGCTCAGAAGTGCGTCAACGCTGGGATGGGTGTGTCTACATGAAGCATGCCATTTAAAGCTCGATCCTAAAACAGCCCAATCAGAGCCCAGATTCTGATCGATTGCCTCGGGCTTTGTAGTCCCCGGCACTAGAGCAACGCCCATAGCCCGCGATCCTTCAAGGATATCTGCAGCACCGAGAAGTCCGTCCCGAGCAGAATACGCAGCAAATATCCCGTCGAAGCACGCTTTGCCGGTATGAACTTGTTTTGAGTGTGTGGCGTCGACGAGGAACTGCCACAGCCCTGCTGCCTGTGTCCCCGCTGTGCCAATGGCAGAGAGGGTCTGTTCTGCATCAAGTTTCAGGAGATGGGCTGTCGCGGCTGCCACGCCGATGACACCGCCAGTGGCAGTGGTGTGGAAGCGCTGGACAGTGTCAGCAAAGTGGCAGTTTGCAGATGTGTACAACTTACTTCGTAGTGGCTTTTTCCTAGGTACTCGCCGACTCGGCAACCCACTTCGTAACCCACGACGCATGCAGCAATGAATTCCTCGCCTGTGGCGTCTATTTCCTGTGCAACGGCAAGGGCAGCGGGATACACAACCGTGGCCTGGCGGGGTTAAGTTAATGCGGTAAGAAATTGAGCGTATCGGAAAATTCGGGGCTTGGTTGCAGGACTTACGGGATGCATGATACTGCGATTATGAAGATCATCCTGCTCGACAACATGCGACGAGGCTCCGTTCACTAAGCTGGCAAATGCAGGACTGGTCTTGAATCCGAGCGCGCCATCCACTAGTTCGCTTTTGCCGTTGGAAGGTCCCATAGTAATAGCAAATCGTGCGATTGCTGAGATGGCGGGGTGGTTGCGGCCTGCTATTGTACAGCCTAACCAGTCCAGGAAGAAGTCTTTTGTTTTTTGGACTACATGCGGCGGTATATCGGCATATTTGAGATTGGCGGCCCAGATTGCCAGATTCTGGGTTCGAGTTGGGTTTCCCTGGGCGGATGATGCTGGCTTTTGAGCCATGCTGCGTGTTCTGGTGACCGTGTTTAGTTTCCGCACGAATGATATTTCGACTTGTCGTGATCCTCTTCTGCTCGTAGCGCTTTACATCGACGTGTATGTTTGGGGTGGATCGCAGAAAAGGTTCTTTGCTCTTTCGCCGTTCAGATTGCTCCGAGGTAAACCGGCGCTGGGCCAAATAGGCGACTTTACTGGGTGGGGACAATCTTGGTTTGGGGTCTTCTAAGATCTGGGTCCAGAGCATATAACCGGGCCAATGGGTGCAGCGTGTGTGGATGCGGGGTACATCTCAGAATGTTGACTGTCTTGTCGGCATTGGAAGCAGGGATTATTCTACAGCCTCAAAGGGCTCATTCAATCAGCTCCAGTATGTCATCATGAATGACCACTGTATGGAAAATATTCAGGGACGAACCCTGAGTCAACAACTCTTTTGGTTCCGGTATAGATATATAACGCAGCGAATGCGTCCTGGGAATTGTGGAAAGTTGAACTATCTATGGCCGTATATCTCCATCAACTGTGATTATATACAATGTCTGATGCCAGATCCATCCCCTGGCAAGCTCCCAGACAGGATCCATATGGCCCGCTCTTGAATTTTCTATTGCTTTGCTGACCCAGTATCCTCGACGGCATCGGGGCGGTCCCAACTTTCAACCTCGAGAGTCCGCACTCGATTCTCAATTTTGAGGATCTTCTGCTGCCATTCTAATTTGGACTTTTCCTGGAGCTCCCAAATGACCTTAAATTGGTCATATAAGAAAGGGGGTAACTCGGGAGTCTTCTGGTTCTTCTTATAGTCATACGTCACGATGTCCTCGTGGCAGCGAGCAGCAGGTCGTTGGTGAGCCTCTGACAAGATCATAACCTGAAGCTGGAAGGCGGATTGTGAAGCGAGATGTGACGACGGATCGGGGATAAGCTTTTGATAGACAGTAATCTTATCGGGCGACTTCATGGGCTGCGAGCTATGTTAAAGGGGTGCGATGGCTGGGTCAGAAGAGAGCCATACAAATTTATAGTCAATCTTTATGCTTCGCAGGATCAATCCAATGCCTGTTGAATTGAGGAGATTTAACCAAGCTTTCTTATTAGCAGGATCAATGTGGATGCCAATGTTGCGGGTCCAATTTACGCGCGCCGTCTCTGCGTATCTGGCATAAGTGACATTGTTGACATGTCCTGCAGAAAAGCTCTGCGTTAGCTCTGTATTCCCAGGGTTGGTCGAGGCAGACATTATTGAGGTTGTTCATACCCTATCATGCGCATTAGTCCATACCCAAGTAAACAGAAAGTTTTATGCTTACCATAACATCCTAAATGTGCAAAAGAAACTAGGGTTAGCTCCATGGCCCTTTTAATACTGCCGAAATGCATCTGTAACATACCTGTTCACCCCATACAACGTTATGTCGGAACAAGCTCCGCCTCTTCTCGTCGGTCAAGAATCCTTCGCTTCCAGCTAGCAATTCTCGCCAGTTGCGCGCTAAGAGCTGCATGATCTTGCCGCCTTCTTCCACCTGTTCCGGTTTCAGCCCAAACATCATGCACTTCCCGACCCGTCTCTTTATCATTGTAAGCCATCGCGGATCGATGGTGTGCGGTCTTGCGGGCGTGGTATCGGTCGAGGGGTTGGCATCATGCGTGGTTGGGGTAGTTGAAAGCGAGCGGAGCGGAAAGGAGCCAAAATACCGAGGCAACTGCCTCTGAACAGAGCGAGTGAGCATGGTGTGGGAGCTGCGAAGGAGGAAGTCACAGGGAGGATCAAGTAAGTCGATAGCGGCATTCCCGAGCTCGGGCCATGGGGTCGGCTGAAACCCCGCGTGCTTAGGCGGTATTTACTATGGCCGTGGTGATCGCCGAAGAGGTCAGACTAAGTAGAAGCTTCATTCTGACCTAATTAATCAAGTTGATCCAATTTTACTGTTACTCTTTTCTTTCTCAGAAATGCCGCCTTATTGGAATCGACCAAGTACAACACGAGCTGGCGGCAAATTTGCCGCGGTTCCGGGAGGACCTCCGCATTCTTCACGTCATAACTTCCGAGAATATCCAGTTTCAACTCTTTCATAGCATATATCCCGTCCGCAACAACAGAGGACAGCTGGACTGTCTTCAAACGAGTTGAGCATGGTCAACGCCGAGCTGCGCAGGCAGGTCGTCAATGTGTACAAAGGTGGGGGACCTGGCAGCAAGCCCCGTATATTGCGCTAGCTGTTGACCTCTCGCTTACGGCTCTGCAGAACTCCTTTTTCTGGGCCGCGAGTATCCTCTAGGTTATAAATACTTTCGAGATCGTCTCCACCGAGCTTTTGCAGGCCAGGCCCATCTCCAAGACGAAGAAGAGATCCGCAAAGGCATTGCAAGGGCTGAGTTCGTGAAAAAGGGTATGTTCTTCCATTCCCTGAAGTCTATATACTGGTTCGATGTTTTGAATCCAGTCAATCAAACATTCGCTAATACGTCGTGCAGAAGTTGAAGCACTGTAAGATCCCCCTGCTCCTAGATCTCCAGCCAACACTCAAGAGAACTGCATCCCTGTATTCAATTATCGTTGTCCTTGAGGTGGAACCTGAATTGAGGCAACTGGCATGGTCGATTTCTTCTGTCTCTATATCTGCATGCCGCTATAGGCAAGATTTCTCGGCTATTCACGAAAGGATTATCATTCATCATTGCATCATGCGACCACTTGCTCCACGTGTACAATTTTTTCTGCCCGGCACTGACGTTCAATCCCCAGATACTACCTGAAGCGGTACCGGACGCTCAAACAGCGGTATGAGGCCGCTTGAAAGATCAAATATTCCCGCAGACCTCTCGACAGAACTCAAGATCTGAGTCGTGTATTCCAGAGATCTGGAAGAAAGGATAGACATTTCTGAAATCGAAAGATCAAACACAGCAAAGAACACACATGAAGCGAAGATTAAGTAAAGAATATAAAAAGAAAAATCTTGGGGGTATCAACAACACGAAGCGCACTGAATGCAATCCCACTGCTTTGCGCCCAACAAAAAACAAAACAAAACAAAACAAAACCGGGATTTCAACGATGGTAGGGGGTTTTATTGTTTTATTTCTTTTGACCCCACCAGGCACTCACTTCTAGACACTCGCCACTGGTAAGGCCGCCTTTTTGGAAGAGGTCCGAGATCATGGAGGCCCACCATCGGTCCCATTCATCTCTTCCCAAACCGCTGGCTTCCATGAGCATGGGTTCCAGCCCCTCGATCATCTGGACTACCGTAAGAAGCGCCGTCTTCCGCAGAGAGACCTGCTCCTGGTTCAGCGTCTTATGCGATCGACCCTTTGCCTCCGACGCGCCTTCGCGCTCCCAGCGCAGATCGCCGAGCGGAATTGCGATGCGCCGGCTGTCCACATTCTCAAGCGCATCACCTTCCGACTGGAAAGACATGCCAATCGTAGCGCAGGGTAACGCCGATAGTTTGCGGCGGTCGAACGATTTCTCCACCCACGAGTTATAGTCCACGAGGTATTTGTTCTGGGCGCCGGTGAACGGCGTCGCGGAAGTGAAGGTGTATGTGGCGGTGGCATCGGCCACCTCTTGGCCTTTTGATGCGGCCTTTTTGGCGGGAGCCGGGTTTGGCAGTAGAGACCGGAAGACCCAGTCGGAGTCCCAGACTTCCAGCACGCCCCCCGATTTCAGTACGCGGAGAGGCTCTTCCAGCCCGTTGGCCATCTGGGCGGGGCTGCAGGAGCACATGCCGGCGTCTTTAATAAAGACGAAATCGAAGTATTCGTCCGGGAAGGGCAGTCGGGGTCGGCGGAGGTCATGTCGTTTGAATTGCCAATTCACGCCCTGCTTGCGCAGGTCTGGAGCTAGTTGTACGAAGTCGATTCCGGTGAATTGGACGTTTGGTTGTTTCCGCTCTGCGAAGTATTCGTGGCATAATCCGGACCAGAGGCCTGAGCCGCACGCGATCTCCAGGACACGCTTTGGCGGGTGACTGTTCAAGTGGGGATTGCAAAACGGGCCGCCGAAAACGCGGAGAAGCATCATCGTGCGCAGGATCTGCCGGTGGATCTCGGGCTGGTCACAGGGTAAAGGGTAGAGGTTTTCTGGATCGCGATGGTAGATTCGGTCCCCCATCTTCGCGAGGGGATAGTGCGAGTAGTCCGTCAAGGAGCCCAGGGAGGAAGACGAGGTCGCGCCAAAGGTCGAGCTCAGGTTAGAATGGAGATCCGACCCCGAGGCCGTTGCACCCGGTAACGAGGTGGTTCCCACCGTTATTGGTTCCATGGAAGGCTTGGTGTGATCATCAATGGGCCCGGTTCGATTCATATAGAGGATTTCCGGTCGTTCAATGTGGTTTCGCGGTCGTATGCATTATCATGCAATCCAGAGATTTCTCATCAGCCGTGACACATGCCTGTGGTCTCGTATTCTGTACTTTGTTTCCTTTCCTTCTTTACTTTTTCTGTGCTTTTCTCTTCTCCCCTCGGGTAGGTGATAGGTAGCAAAGGTACTTTTGCGAGAAGGGTAGAAAAAGGAAGGGAAAACGCTGGGATGCCAGAAGGATTCCGGCCGCACAAGCCAAAAAAAAAGGACTATTAGGGACAAAGAAAAGAAGAAAAAAAAGGCACCTTGGAACCCAGCTCTGGGGAACCGCCCGTTCTTCAAGGCGCAATTGGGAGAAAAGTGCAGAGGACCTGAAGATGGGCGTCGAATCCGTTTGAGAAAAATATAGGGGAGATTGAAGATTCCAGATTTCCCTCCGCCGTCACTGAGGGAGAGAAGGGAAATATCACGGCCTGGTCCCGACCCCTGGCTCAAAAGTGACATTGAATAGTATCCACACCAGGTCTTTCACGTAATCCAGAATACATTTTACAGAAGGGGGCAAAGATGTAAAACAGCCAAAACTTCCGCGGGATTGGGGTACGGAGAGCGTCCGCCCAATAACAGGCACTAGTCACGTTTCGGCTAGCCCGAACGAGCGATAGATTGAAAACCCTGTGTAGGCGCTTGAACGCGGGCTTGGAATCCTGCTGGGACAACTGGGGAAAAGGATGAATTCCTCCGGTGTATCTTCTTTCAGCCATACTCCCCGTGCTGCTCTATGTCCACGGGTGGTGGTTAGCGTTTTAGTCATTGACATCATGAAGCTTTCGAAGCCACGGATCACTCGGGAACTGGGTCAGTTAAACTCTCGGATTTCAGTGTTTCTGGTTTTTTTTTTTCTTTTTTTGGTGCTGGCCTGGCCGGAAAGGGCAAACGGTTGGTAACACTCCAAGTATAAGGCGCGGATCTGATCCGACAATTCCTGCTTCTAGCAATGCAAAGCACCATGGATTTATACTTCTAAAATCCATGCCATAGCAACAGGGCAATAGGGAAATTTCGTTGTACTCCAGCTCTTTCCAATGCCTGCTACAAGTACCCCTCTTTGAAGAGGGGTATGCAACCCACAGACTCGAAAAGCATTTAAAGTCCTCCAGCATGGATCCTGCTCTGGCGCGTGCATCGTGCATAACACACGTGCAGTAATCTTTACTGCCGGGACTGATGCGTCCAGGGACTCAGGGGGGTGTAGTCCGTGTCGGAGGTTCTTTTCCTTCCTTTTCTTGCAGATCGGAACCTTCGTCTTACAGCCCTAAGCCCTCTCAAGGCTCCAAAATCACTGGCCATGCAGCGCACATCTCCACATGATGTAACCCGCGTTACCGGCGGGATACGGACGTGTGCGGGTGTCAAAAGTACGTTTTAAGGAGACGGCAATTGACAAGTGGCAAGGATGTTGCCAAACTGTCTTCAAGAGATCCTTGTCATCCCCATTATCAGGTAGCCGGGTCTGCAACTATCGCTAGTGAAGCCGCCGGCCTTGCTATTTGGTACCGGTTGGGTGCTCCGGACCTCCCCCTGGGATTAGTTCCAGGATCAGATAGCATCCAGCCCGTCCATGTTCCGGCCCGACAGGGTCCCCGCTCTTCGTACTCCGCTAACGCTTGGGGTTCTTTTTTTTTCTTTTTTTCAGCCGTCTTCAATTTTTGCAGAAATTTACCCTCTGCAAGAGCTAGGATCACTTCCTGCAGACCCGTTCCCGACAGAAGGGGCCGATCATGGCCCACCTGGTCCGTAGTGTATTCTAGAGCGTTTCGCGTACCTCGAATCCGCATCCAATCTGAACTCGGTGGCTGATGATGATAGCAGTGTTCTTTGTCCTAGTTTCCACCTGGCGTCGCTCATGTGAACTATCGGGGTTTATGAGTACGAGGAATTCGAGGTATCGAGTCCGATGACAGGGCAAACAAGATCCAGCCACAGTGTTCATCGGTCGCAATTAGTTTACCTTGACTGTCGGCGTAGTATCATAGGGGGGCCGATTTCCTAACAAAGGTGGGGCTCTGTTTCGCAAGTGTCCAGTCCTCTCAGATGACCCTGCCATTCTGAAATTTGCGGGCGTATAATTGGCGATTGTTACTTCATTCCTAAATTTGGGGTTGAGGGTGGATGTTTTGGGGGCATCTTTTTATTGGGCTTTGCCGGGGCGGCTATCACGCAGCAGTCCGTGATTTGGCTTGGATCAGCGTACCGCGTCTGATCTACCCCAATCAGCCTCCGCTCGTGCTGCATGGCTCATGCTGCTAAGTGTGGTCTAAACTTTGGTGGAAGTCTACTGGAAGGCCCAAGAGGTGAGGGCAGAGAAAATTTCGCTCAGGCTGGAATTTGTGCACCGCTAGACTGAAATCCCACTCATTCAATATTGATAAAATATAGGCGAGTTACTTGACACTATAAGATGAGAGTAAGCAGTTATTACAAATCTGGATCGTGAAAAGGTGCTCAATGACACGTGCTTCGAAAGACTCATCAAATCAGATGTTCCAGTTCAAGCGTCCCCTCCAACCCTCCCCTTCTCCCCCAAATCGAGCGATAAACAACCGAGATCCTCCTTCACCATCTCAATTATTGGCAATTGTCAGGTCACCAGTCCGAGTCATGCGGGTAAACTCAAATATTATCTGAGAGTCGGGCCTCAAGCAAAGCAGCAAAATCGAAGCTCACGATCGCCATTCGGTAATCAGGTTCTGCTGTCTGTGCCCAGCTAGATACTTTCAAGTTTCCGTGGCGGATTCTGGGCGAGCTTGAACCTGCAGTGGGAGACCAAGCATACTGAAACAAGTCTCAAAATCTAGAGTGCCGTCAGCATAAGACCACTCGGACATATCGAAACAGAATGCAAAATGAAACCGGCGTAATTGTACAAGACACTAAGTAAGTCGTTACCTACAGGCCTAGTACGGGCCTATTAGTTGATAGGCCGGAAGTAGCTTGCCCGGCGATCTCGATGATCTCAGATCCCTATTCAACCGTTGCAATGCCAACAATCGGTCCGAATGCTTCGGTCTCGTAATATGGTATTTCCTTGGTGAAGCCGTAATCACCGTCGGGAGATACTGCTGAGGTGAGAGCGGAGTAGATGGGACCGGGCGGTATAAATTCTCACTCCCTTGGCTTGGGCATCCGCCGCCAGTATCCCCAGTTTGGCTTCGGCAGCCGGCGAGATGACTTTAGAGGGATGCTCAATCTTTGCACCGGGGAGAGGATCTTGGGTCCCAGAGTAGCAGCAACGACACTTGAGTCAATGACCATTATATCGGTGGACATGCAAATCTGGCCGTTCTGTTTCGTGAGGGGATAGAAAAGAAGCTGTTCTTGAAACATACGACTTCGACGGAAAAGAGCTTCTTCACCTTCTTCACTTACCTTCAGAAATATACTTTTGACAATCTCTTGCGCTGCCAAGTCCAGATTGGCATCCTCCTGGCACAATTGTGAAATCCTTGCCTCCTAGGTCCCGTATGAAACCAATCAAAATTTGGTTTCAATCACCATCTCCAACCACGGATCGTTGTATGAACTTAATTAACAATTGACCAGGCTTTTCCCCCATCCCTCATCAATGGCCTTCTCACGATCATATTCATAACACCGTATATGAGTGGCAGGACCGCTCCACTGGTTGGGGCTGTGGCTGAATGGGAGTCCCTTTACTTGTGTGACCATTTTGACGTCTCTCGCCTTTTGAATGAGGCCGTGAGCGAGATGCCAAAGATTGATGTTAAGTAGACTTGCATCTGGCCTTCTGGAAAATGGAAAGACCTTTTGCTAATGCTCCTTTCTGTTGATCATAGACAAAGACCGGGCAAGAGCCAGTCCGTTTCAACGGCCACAGCGGCACGGGTCGGATTGGTGAGTATTCTGTATTAGAGACTACTGCCTATTCGATGTGAAATAAAACATACCATGGAACAGCTATGATGACAGCGCGTGAGCGGCGTCTTCAAGCATGACAAACTTGTCGAGCCCCATTGCCTAGGCCTGAGCCATTAATGAGCGGCCACTTGAGTGTCTTTCCACCGAAAATGATTTTAGTGAGAATTTTCGGGAATGATTAGATTCATGATTCGGTGGACAAGAGAAGGTGGAAAGGTACCTACCTGCGTCAAGAATTACTTACATTGGATCCAAGTCTGCAAACTCGGCATTCATATCAACAATAGCCCTAATTCCCATCAAACATTTCTGCGAATCACCCACCAGGCTAAAACTTGCTTTTCCAGAATGGGCTACCGATTTTGTGCATGACCCTGGGTTCTGTGTCCCCAATTCGACTGGGCATGAGGACGTCGAGATGCGGAAGGAGCTGGGCGCGAGAGACTCTACGGAGGCAGCAAAAGATCTGGTTAAGACGAAATGTGGCATAGATAATCCTAACCGAAATTTTGGGTTCATTCATGTGGCAGGAGAAGCTATGCCATGGTAGCTGTGAGCATGACGCCTTCCAAGGTCTACCCTAGGTGTTGGACTTAGTTATGTTTCACTTGAAGCATTATGATCAAAGGCTCAGGATGAAACCGGGGAGAGCGCACGACATTGAGGTCAGTCACATACGAGCTTTCCGTCAATAATGGTATTAGAACGGCTCATCAGCCCTACGATTTGCAAATAATGGATAGTTACTAGTTTATACTTGCTTTGCTTACACGTTCCCTGATCTACTTGTAGTAAATTATTACATGGCGTATTTCTAGAGAAGATATCTTCTCAAAATATACTCTCATCGCATCAAGAATGCACTTTCATTAGGCTGGAGCCGTATCTGTTGTCCACTGGATCCTGCCTAGTGATAGCCTTGGTAGGCTTGGCCCCGCATGGGTTAATCCGGAGGCGCCTAGCTAACGTCGGCGATATGAGCTCTGAGCTCTGATATTCAATATTGTTAATTCATAGCCCTCACTTTCATTTGATATGATATTCTCTTCCTCGCCCTTTAAAGACTCTTCTTCCCCTTTCCTTGCATTGAGGTATTTTAGAGCCCAAGTTTGAAAGTTGGCAGATCATTTGGTTGAGTCTTGGCAGGTCAACTTCCGGCAGTCACGTGGATATACTCCCGCCTTCGATGCAAACCACCCAGGAATGTCATCTTGACCCAGCGCCCGATCTGTCTCTACCTCTACGCCCCATACACACAATCGCACCCATTAAGGCTCCTCTGGGCGGCTCTTCGAAAACTCAAGGCTTTGAAAAGGATACCCTGGTTGCTCTGGCAAGTCCTGGCCGAGCTCTTCTTCCTGTGATTCCTCCGCCCGCCCTCCGCCCTTCACCATTACTCAATCTCGACTCGGAACCACGAAACCGCGACTTTCCATCCTCCAGAGCTATTCTGTGGCTGCTCACACCTCCTGTGCTCTTTCAAGAGGGGCTGCGAAGCCATAGGACTCTATGTGGAAGAAGAGAAGAGACCGCATTCGATCCTCTACTCCTCTCCTCATTTCCTCGATCTCGTCTCCCACGCCGCCTGCCCGCTTCTCGGTTCCTTCCCAGGAAACCCAGCCACGGTCTCGTCTGCCCCGTTAGATGGCAGATGGTACCTACAGGTTCCAGCAGCCTGGGGCCGGGCAGTTTTACTTCCAATCACAACAACAACACTCGCATCCACGCCACCTTCAAAACGGAACCAATTCTCCAGGTCGGCTCAAGCTTAGCAACGAGACTCCCTCACCCTCTAGATCACCTTCCGCCAACCAATCTGCAGCTCTGAATCGATTCAACATGTACCAGAATCATCAGACCCAGCATGTCATGATGAATGGTGGTCAAACCCACCAACGGTTTGGCATGCATATGCCGAAATTTCAGTCACAAACTCACCATCCTCATCACGCCCCGCAACAGCATCACCTTAATCACCACCCTCAATCCGGCCACAATCTTCACCAGCACTTTTCAAGCGCGGGCCTAACCTCGACAACCCCTCACTTCACTCCCAGCCATCTGCAGAACGGAGCTTCAGCCGCAGTAGACGATGATGTGGACGAATCGAATGAATACTGGCAGGAACAACGTCAACTTGGCAATGAAGCTCGGCAGGCCAATTCCCCTCATTACCATGCCCGCCTAATGGCCAGCCAAACGCGGGGAATCTCGATGGTGGCGAATCAGACAGAGACACCCGAGAAAGGTCTTGACGCACGAGCGGGCGCCAGCTCTGGCAAGCTAGCTCCGCGACCAGGCCTGTCGGGGATTGACTGTGGTGGACAAGGCATGCGGGCTTTGGCTCCCTCCCTATTCAATAACTTCATGTTCCTCGAAACTCTCCATTTGAGCTACAACAAACTGAAGGTCCTCCCGCCTGAGATCGGCCAATTGCGAAAGTTAACTCACCTTGATCTGACTGGCAACGAAATCAGCGAACTGCCTGAAGAGATTGGCATGTTGACTAACCTTCAAACCCTCATTCTTGTTGACAATAATATTCGCAATTTCCCCTACGAAATGGGCTATCTCTACAGGCTGGATAAATTGGTCGTCCCCGGAAACCCTCTGAATGAGACCTTGAAAGCTCAGATCTCGGCGGGCGGTACCAAAGGATTAATCAAGTATTTGCGGGAAGAAATGCCTGGTGAGTACACTCTATTTCATATGACTGTGCCGGAAGATTTATGCTCACAATCCATACTTTCTTCAGTTCATCCGCCTCCTCCAGAACGAGACTGGATCATTCTTGACGAGACAGCAAGCTCGACCAACAGCACCGCGGAGAAGATCACGGTCTTATCATACAACACCTTGTGCGATGCCTCTGCTACTCAGTCTCACTATGGCTACACACCCTCTCGCGTTCTGTCCTGGGAGTTCCGGCGCGAGCTGATTCTCAACGAATTGCGATCTCACAACTCAGACATTGTTTGTCTACAAGAAGTTGCGCAGGGTAGCTACAATAACTTCTACCGCGAGAAATTGGCATACAGTGATTACAAGGGCGTGTTCTGGCCTCGTGGACGTGCGATGGGCATGCCCGAGGATGATGCCAACACCGTGGATGGATGTGCCACCTTCTACAAGGGAAGCAAGTTTATTTTACTGGACAAGCATCTCATCAACTTTGGCCAAACTGCTGTCCGACGACCTGACGCCAAGGGCCAGGATGACATTTACAATCGGTTGTGGCAGAAGGATCACATTGCAGTTGTCCTGTTCCTTGAGAACCGCCAGACAGGTGCCCGTTTCCTGGTTGTCAATGCTCATCTCTATTGGGATCCTGCTTTCAAGGATGTGAAGCTCATCCAGACTGCAATCTTGATGGAGGAGATCACCAGGCTGTCCGACAAGTATGCGAAATGGCCCGCATGCACCGACAAATCCGCTTTCCGATTCTCTGAGGCAGAAACCGACGCGGAGAACGCCCCGGTGGTGGAGCCTGCTCCTTCGATGGAGTACTCTAGTGGAGATCAGATTCCATTGTTGATGTGTGGTGATTTCAACTCTTCGCCAGGGTCTGCGGCGTACAACTTGATTGCCAATGGCGGTCTCAACGAAGATCATCCAGATCTTGAGAATCGTCTTTACGGTAACCTGAGCAAGGTAGGCATGACGCACCCGTTCAAACTCAAGTCTGCCTATGGAGCTATCGGTGAGCTCAGCTTCACAAACTATACTCCCGATTTCAAGGACATTCTCGACTACGTGTGGTATTCATCCAACACACTGCACGTCTCTGCGCTTCTCGGCGAGGTGGACAAGGAATACCTTCGACGGGTACCTGGTTTCCCCAATTTTCATTTTCCTAGTGATCATGTGGCATTGTTCGCGGAGTTTACAATTAAAGGGAAGAAGGGTAAGGTGGTGGAGGCGGATTTTGGGCCGCAACGACGCTGATGGACCGGTGCATATCGAATCTTTGGTGATGGGTGTTTGTTTAGTCGGCTTCTTCATGTTTTTTCTTTTTTTTCGTTGCTCTTTCCTTAGTTGATCTCGGATTTCTGGAGCCAGTGGGCTGCGTCCTCTTACCCGCTGTGTTTTTTGTTTCCTGTTACATTGGTATCTTATTTTCTTTCTATCTTTCTTCGCTGTTCTTTCTTCCCAACCTACCGTGATTACGACGTGTCTATCGTTTCCCTTCTCTCGCCTTGCTTATCCCTCTCCCCATGTCTCGCGACCTCTACCTGCCGCCGACGCGCCTTCTTCCATCTGCACTGGCCTCGGCCTCTTAAGATCACTGGAAATAGCCTCCGGCGTGGCAGTCCCGCTCCTCTTATGAACCTTGTCTTGTATTCTGTTCTTCACGTTGGGTTTTCCTAGTATCTCTCGGTTTCGACATCTCACCTAATCTCTAACGTCATCTGAGACGGCTTCACGATGCTTAGGGGGGGTCGGTGTTCAGGTGGAACAGGTGGCCGGAAGGCTTTGAGGTTGCTCTTTGTTCTTATCTGGCGAACGGTGTTCTTCCACTCATGTACTTTTGTTTTGCCGTGCTTTCGACGCAGCTGAGAATAGAGCGTGGCTATCTTATCATCATCATCATCATCATCCTCCTCCTCCTCCTCAGTAGTCGTAGCCTCGAGATCAGAGGGATTTGGTGGGGGTTTCGTTGTAGGTGTGTGTATGTGTAAGAGTCCTGGTAAGATTAGTTTCGCCTGAGTACGCACACGCTCGGCATCTTAGTCCTACACTTCTACTCGTTTTTAGGGTTGAGAGATTCATGTTCAAGTCATAATCGAGATTTATATGATTAGCTTCTTTCCGACCCATACGGATTGGTCAATCTAAAAGTCTACAGTTACATGGGGGAGATCGGTATATTACATAGTGTACAGGGTATCAAAATGACGAGTTCTCATCGGGAGTCCTCAATGCGTCGCCAGACGCCAACAAAACCTCCACCAAGCGTCCGCAAGCCAACTTTAGGGCGGCAGACCATCACGGCGTTTTCATCGACGGCGCGACTTGGAGCATCCATGGCACTCGAAATCTCGTTCGTGTCCTCGGCTTCGGAGGCTTCCTCTGGGTCCGCATCCCGGGTTTCCTCGCTTTCCGTCGCATTCCAAGTCGAGGGATCAGAGGCAGACTTCTTCACGGCCAGACGAACATCCCAGTTCCGGCCACCGCTCACACCGGTCCCCAATTCGACCACTCTCTCCATGACAAAGGCGCGGTCCATCTCATGGATTGTTCTTACGCAGTCCCCGATCTGGGTGATGCTAGGCGCAAAGACAACCAGCCGCCCGTCTCGTTTGATAATATCTTTTACGAGTGGGATCCGCTCGTGGGCAGACGGCATGTCCAGAATCGCGCAAGTCAAGAAGGGCTCGACCGGGCGCTTTGCAGCCCGCCGAGCGACTTGCTCGTTGATCCATTCTTCCACGGCTCCGACGTAAAAGTCAACTGTGCCTCCGTATATACCCCGGCGGAAGCCCTGGACGTTCTGCTCGGCTAGTTTGGCGAATTTCGAAGAGACGTCCACGGTGTGGATTACGGCCCCTCGCTCTGTTCGCCATGCGTCCCATTCCCGTTGGGCCTCAGCGTCTGCAGTCCCTTCATGCTCCCTTTCCGGCGATTCCTGCTCTTTGGGATTTCGGTTTCGATTCGATACGTATTGGATTTGGGATTGTGATGGTCGAGGCGGTGGGATTGTGTTGGCGGCGTGCAAGGCTCGAGCCAAGTGGAGCGTCAAGGACCCGTGTCCAGTGCCAGATTCGAGAATCTCTAGTGGTGGCTGTTTGTCGCCGGATACCGGTGGATTGACGTGTATATCAAGGAGGGAAACAATCAGGTTGGCATCGTGCGGGTAGATCTGTTTGTGCGGGTTACTACACTATTCTCTGCGTTGGAAGACTGCTGTAGGGTAGGTGGAAGCGCATACTGGTGTCACATAGCGAGGAGTAAGGGTCACATATTCGTCGAGCGTGGGCAGGCTCAATCGAGTGTCGGGGCCTGTACAGTGAGTCAGTCGTGTTCGGATAAATCTGCACGGCGATCCTACCTTTATGTGCTTGGACAGCGTCCCACACCCGGCTGCCAATGATGCGACTGTGTTCGAGATGGCCGCGACGAAGATTGGTCTTTCCGCCATGCTTTAATGGCTTCGTTAAAGAAGGGTTCTTGGTATGAAGCACAGCTCGGTCCCCCTCTGCGCGCGTTAGCTTCCGTGTTCAATGGCCCGCAAATCATGTTAGGTACCTCGAAAGATCGTGAAATCGGTATCAATGGATCGAGAGCGAGAGACAGCAGCTGGAGCCGCTGGTACGCCTGAAGCACCGAGGCCCAAAACCCGTTGCAGCGAGCGCAGCAGACGAGCCATGGTGCTTAGAATATCTCGATCAGGAAAATCTCGGCGCGGCGATTCCAACGCGAAGCCCCACATGCATTTGTTCCCCAGTCTTATTCGGCGGTGATTCCCCTCGTTCACCGGGGGACCCCTCGTCGCATTTCTCGGAACTGGTTTTTCGATTCTGCAACTTCTGCCACTTTCAAGTTGCACTTATCCGCCGCGATGGGCTCCACTTCGCTACCGTACATGGCGACCCAGCCTAAGCTCATTTTCTTTACCGACTTCGACGGCACTATTACTGTTGAAGACAGTGAGTAATAGATCGATCCCTTTTCGCTTTCAATATTTACTTACCAATTAAATGTCAGGCAATGATTTCATGGTACGTTTTGTGCTTCTATGTGCCCGTCAATACATCTAACACTGGGCGCAGATCGACAATCTTGGATTTGGCGCAGACCGCCGGAAGCAGTTGAACGAAAAGGTTCTTGCTGAGACATTGGGCTTCCGGTGAGGGTGGGAATATATCGAGAATTCATGAATAAAGAACTGACAAAGTGGAATTACAGGGACGCTTTCTTTGAAATGCTCAACAGTATCAAGACCCCATTCGATGAGTGTATCAACCAGCTGCTGCAGAACATGAAGCTGGACCCCTATTTCCTGGAATTCTACTACTGGGCGAAGGAGAACAATGTCCCTATTGTCATTCTCTCTGGTGGAATGCGTCCAGTCATCCTTGCCCTTCTCGAGAAATTTCTGGGTCATAAGCCCGATAGCCATCTGAGCATCGTCTCCAACGAGGTCGTTAGCCGGGACGGCAAGGATATCAACAGCGAGGGAGGCTGGAAGATCAAGTATCACGATGAGAGGTATATATCTAGCCTAGGGCTTCTGCGCTCGCAGGATAAAGTGAAACAAGTGCTGACGGGTACGCTGTAGCTCTTTCGGCCACGACAAGTCTCTTGAAATCAGACCCTATGCTGCTCTGCCCGAAAACGAGCGCCCCATTCTCTTGTACGCCGGCGATGGTGTTTCCGACCTGTCAGCTGCATCGGAGACCAACTTGCTTTTCGCCAAGCATGGCAAAGGTAAGGCGCACTGTGGACCTTCTTGATTACTTGAAACTGACATGTTCAGACCTGGTGACTTTCTGTGACCGTCGAGGCATTCCGTACACCACCTTCAAGGATTGGTCCAGTATCTTCGCAACCACTAAGGATATCCTTGCGGGCAAGGTGTCTCCTAGCGAAGTTGCCGCCCAAAAGACCGCATAGATGTATAGAAGACGGGTTGAGCTAATTGGATAGAATACTAGACGCGGTTGAAACTATTAGAAACACGACTAAGGGACTGAATGAAATAGGCTATTAAAAAGAGTAGACCTTGGACTGCCTGCATAATCTAAACCCCGTAGGCATACTAGTCATACTAGAGTGATAAGATTTCGTCATTAAGCTTCAGACCGCCTCCTGAGTCTATACTAGTATCCATTGCGGCGCTGAGCCTAAGAATATCCTACTTGGAAAACTTGGCAACCTAAATAGGAGACTCAGTGATAGGAAATTATATTGTCTTTGTTTCAGGACCGTCCCACGCACTAGCAGCGTCCTTGCGTGCGAGGGGTCCCCGGGGAGGTTGCCAAAGAGACTGTATATACTATGAGGCACAGATGAGAGTCATTGGTTGTACCATCGGTAGACAAGAAACCAGGTTTTTGCAAGTGCGCATAATGGGTAAAATGAAGAGGGGAAAATGAATTTCTAAAAAAAAGAGAAGAAGCAAAGACCTGCAGAACTAGGAACATAAACACTAGTACGGGCTAAATTAGCGTAAAGCGGAGAGAGTCAGGAGTTGGCGACCGCCTTTGGGGTCCAAGCGTCAACACTGTCGAACTCCCGTCTGAACCCTTTTTCTCTTCTCCCCCATCTCGTGTTTATATGATCCCATGGTTCGATGAGTTGACCTGCACAGTTCGGTCTTCTCTTGGCCTGGAATCGCGACCCCCGTTAACCCCCCTGGTGACATCATGCGACTGACTGCATCCGGGCTCATTTCTAAGTCCTTGCCAGGGTGATCAATTCATCATGGCTCGCCGAATTGTACGTATATCCCGTCTTGATAACGGAATCCAACGTACTGACCCTCTTTTCATGATAGGTGCGGACCGGCTTGCAGCTCATCTTGATCACACTCTTTATCTTCCTCGCCGTCGTGTTCCTCGACAATCGTTTTCGTGTCCTTCCAACCTCCATCCATGGCCACCTTCCTATGCACTACTCCGGGTTTGTGGTAACGGACGTGACTATAACGCAATGTTCATCACTCAACCCATTCTCTAATTGCCAACTTGACCCAGACTCGTGGCACCGCGTCGAAAAGGATCTTTACCTGCGCACAGGGTGGACCTCGACTGCATATGTCCAATTCCAGAGGAAAAAAGAAGAAGAGTTGGGCCCCGAAGATAAAGTTCTTGTTGATTTGAAAATCAGTCGCCTCACTCCGCCGAGCGAATACACTGCCAAGGGAGAGACCGAGGCCTGGGAGCAGCGTCCTGGTGGTATTTGGCTCAAGAGAACCGCATCAAGGCATGCGAGTGACTCGGGCAAGGCAGTGACATATATAGACGTGCTATTCGGAGCCGATGCGGTGGACCCCCGGCCAAACTGGGAGATCAAGGATACTCCCTTGTTACTGGACAGCTGGACGGAGAATCTGGAGACTCGTCTTAGTATCCGTCGAGGAAACCCGACCAAAATGAAGAAGCCCGTACCGAGAATCAATGATAACGGAAAATTCAAGGTCATGCAGCTGGCAGACATCCATTTGAGCACAGGTCTTGGCGTGTGTCGTGACCCTGTCCCGGCGGAGATTGTCCCGGGCCACAGATGTGAAGCCGACCCGCGTACATTGGATTTCATCGAACGGCTTCTCGACGAAGAGAAACCCGATATGGTTATTTTTAGCGGTGACCAGGTGAACGGCGAAACATCCCCAGATGCTCAAAGTGCTCTATTCAAGTCAGTGAAGCTAGTCACTGACCGCAAAATCCCCTATGCTGCTATTTTTGGCAACCATGATGACGAGGGCGATCTGTCCCGAGAACAGCTCATGAATATCTACGAAGACCTTCCGTACTCTCTTGCCACCGCAGGCCCGAGGACATCGATGGGGTTGGAAACTACATTGTGGAAGTCTTGGACCGTGGCAAGAGCCAACACTCTGCCCTTACATTCTACCTCCTTGACACACATTCTTACTCCCCCGATGAGCGCCAATTCCGGGGCTACGACTGGATCAAGCCGAGTCAGACGCGCTGGTTCAAGAACACTGCCCAAAGCTTGAGAAGAAAACACCAGGAATACACACATATTCACATGAACATGGCCTTCATCCACATCCCGCTTCCTGAATACCGAAGTGAAGGAAAATACTTCAATGGCCATTGGGATGAAGCTCCCACAGCGCCTGGCTTTAACTCCGGCTTCAAGAATGCCCTTGAAGAAGAAGGCATTCTCTTCGTCAGTTGCGGACAGTAAGTAGCCTCGGTTCATCCCTATTTATGTCAGTTAACTAATCCTCAACTAGTGACCATGTCAACGACTATTGCATGCTCGAGCGTGACGACAATGATAAACCATCCCTTTGGATGTGCTACGGCGGTGGCGGTGGCCTTGGAGGCTATGGCGGCTATAATGACTACGTGCGCCGCGTCCGCTTCTACGATTTCGACATCGGCCCAGGTCGCGTAACAACCTACAAGCGTTTGGAGTATGGTATGACCGAAGCCAAAGTCGATGAGATGATCATTGTCGATGGCGGAGCCGTAAAAGGCCCGGATGAATCGGCCTAGATAAAAGCGCGTTCTTTCTACCGCCTCGAGATAATATTGGCTCTCGCTTCTGTAGACTATGATTGCGACGGCTTACCATGCTGGCTTTCATTCTCTTACCTGTACATATACCATCGTTTTTGGTCCTTTGCCCGCAAAGGTCGGCGTCCATAGGGTGTTTGTTGTATTGAACATTTCAAATATCATGCATTCTGAACTCTCCGAGTATTGTCTCGATTGATCTTTACCACCACTTCTCGTAGAAGACTCTCTTTCTCCCATCTCGTCCGAGAACCCCGTTTAGCACTTCGACCATTTCATCTGTCATGCTGGGTGGTCCGCAAATGTAGGATACGGTTTGACTTGGATCACCACCTGCCACGACGGCATCGATATCCTGCTTGTTGATTCTCCTCGAGTGTATCGTAAAATCCGTCAACCCGTCTTGCGAGAGTCTCCCCGCGGGTAGATCAGTAAGGAAAAGTTGCAGCGAGATATTCAGCTTTCGAGACTGTTTTTGGGATTTTAAGATTTCCCGTATGCGTGGAACGAATAGGATTTGATCTAGGATTGTTCCCAGAGGTAAAGATTCGTGTCCTTGAGGCAGACGGCTGGAATATAAGAAGTGAATACTGAGTTGGTGAGGACCCTGCCACTCATTGTGAAGATGGGAGAGAATGGATATAAGCGGACTGTATTCCTGTTAGGAAATAGGTGTCTCTGCAAGGATCGAGAGCTAGGGAAATGATGAACACTCACTTGATACCCACTCCGCCGGCGACTAAAAGAACGTTTTTGACGAGGCTAGATTCAATCCCACTTGGTGGCCAGGTGAAGCTTCCGCCAACGCGGATGTTGACTTCTTGATTGATGATCTCTCTTTCTGGTTTCCATAGCCATGCGGCAGCAGGATTAGAAGGTGAGTCTTGCACAGCTAGTTCCACGTGCGCCGAGGCGCCTTGAGCATCTGCAGGCGTAGACGTGATGGTAAACCCGCCGGCATTGGTGATGGAAGGGATATGAACATCTAGCCACTGACCGGGCTGAAAGGTGAATGGTTGTACATTATCCTTGTGAACACATGAGCTTGTATACAGTCTGTCTTGGCCTATTGGAGCATACCGTATGTGCAGGGATACCAAACTGCAGAAGTCGAATCGAGGGGTTGGCCTGCTCCACTCGAGTCAGGCGCACAGGGTACAGCCCCTGCTGTCGGGGCTCTGCAGCCGTTCGTAGCTCGTGCGGAATCGAGTCCTCTCGCTGGGAAGTCATGGGGCGGATCGTTATCGGAGGATGTACGCTACGTACAGAAGAGCGGGGTGGAGTCCGCCAGAAAGCCCCTCCGCCCCAGCCCGCCACTTTCATCCTCACCCGTGAATTCTGCTGGAGACGCATTGGGAGTCTGTATCATGGCTTCGAGTGATCCTGCAAAGCCTCCGGATGGCGAGGCCCCCTCGTATCATCCGTTGAATGACCACTGTACGTGTTCCGTTGCGGTCGGAAAGGCGCATGCGGGGGAAGCTAACTCGTCTAGTCGATCTTTCCCTAAATGACTCAATTTTCGAGCCTGGTCTATGCCTTGGCCAATTAGTCGACGATGGAAGTCAAAATCTTTTCAATGATGAAGATGTGTATTCGTTTATGCCTTTATCGGTCAATGGGACCGCACTGGCTCCCGACAGCCTCCAGTTCGGAGAGTCGTGGTCGTCTATTGAAGGGCTGTCGGATATGCAGGCTACGGCCCATGTGCAAAATCAAAACCAGATGTTTACTTCGAACTATGCTAGTCCCCTTGATAATTGGTCGTGGCGTACGCAGCCGCCTCTAGATTCTGAAGTGACTCCATCGAGCAATCTCGATCTCCAACAACGGCCAATGCATTCATCTGCTGGGAGGCGAGGATTACCCCGGCGGAAGAGCCGATATCTAATATCATCGGAAGGAAGCACAACCCCGGTATATATCCCGAATTCGAGTGGCTTAGACCCCATGCAGCGCTGGCAAGAATCTCCACCCGAAGATGAACCAGCGTCGATGACGGCAATCATGAATGCCATGGAAGAGACAACGGCGTCTCATACGGCAAGCGATAAAAGCAAAGTCAGATCATCCAGTGCCTTCCAAAACTACCGTCGCGCTAGGTCTTTCACTAGCGGCGGATCCAGTGCGTCGTCAACCGATTCGGCATGGTCGTCAGCTGGAACATCTCCAAGGAGCTCGAAGCATCGGCCTGCACGGGCCGCGGTCAGCAAGAATAAGAAAACAGATGGTAAGCCGCGTATATTCTGCTGTACCTTCTGCTGTGATAGATTTAGGACCCGGTATGAGTGGGTTCGCCATGAAAAGTCTTTGCATTTGAGCCTGGAAACCTGGTATTGTGCACCGCTCGGGCCGTCTGTGTTCTCTCCTGTCACTGGAAAGGAACATTGTGTCTACTGCAATGAGATGGAGCCTTCTCAAGAACACCTGGATACCCATAACTACCGCGCTTGCCAAAATGCCTCTAAAGAGTTCCGTTCATTCCGCCGGAAAGACCACCTCGTGCAGCATCTCCGACATACACACAAGATACAAGAAGTGCCCTTACTGGACGACTGGAAATTCGAGACTAAAAATATTCCCTCTAGATGTGGATTTTGCGACACCATCTTGGACACCTGGGATGCTCGCATCGAGCACCTGGCCCGACATTTCCGTCAGGGATCCACCATGAAGGATTGGAAAGGTGACCATGAGTTCCCACCGGCGATCACAGCTCAGCTCAAAAATGCCTACCCTCCCTATCTCCTGGGCTGGGAATCGGAGAGCATCCTCCCTTTCTCGGCCACTAGCTCCGACGTGCGTGATCAGTATGCGCATGTGATGTCGAAAACCACGCTCCAGGACGAGCAAGAAAGCACAGAGCCGGCGTCTTCAGGCCCTGTTAATCGAGATCCAACGAAGCTCGAATTCCACAACTTCTTGGCCGTTTTTACTCGGCACCTGAGCAAGTATGCGCGAAAACAAATGGAATTGGGAATCATCCCTACCGATGAAATGTTCCAGCAAGAGTCGAGAAAGGTGCTTTTTGACAGCGAAGATGCTTGGGACCAGACTATCGCGGACAATCCGGACTGGCTCTCTGCGTTTCGCCGGATGCACTGTGAATCTGAAGAGCCGGGCGATAAGAAACAAGATAAACAGATGAATAATGACCTTGGAGGCGAATGAAGATCGGTATATTTTTAATTGGAGTTTTTTAGTCTATCGTGGATCTCAGCTCAACACATTGCTTGTCTTCAGATAGTTAATCTTAATACTTACAGCACTGGGAATCGAATGTTCCTTACAAATCTAGGACCTAAGCAAATCCAAGAATCAGTATTCGTTCAAAAGCTACCCCCGACCAATACTTACCAAGTCATACCATGTCTCCCCTGCAAACCGACAAGCACTTAGTCCGTGGTTAACGAACCCTGCGCCTTCATAAAATTTGATCAGATAATCATGCGCAATCAGCACGATCCCGTCGGTATCTACCTGCGTCTCCTTGATGAACTCGATGTAAGCCTTTACCAGAGCCTTGCCCACACCGTTCCCTTGGTATTGGGGGCTTATGACGACAGAATGGATAGCAATAGTTTTGCCGTGGGGGTCATTTCCGATGAGTTGTCCGTCAACGATATAAGCTTGGTCCGATGGGCGCTCTCGCCAGTTCTCTGGCATATGCATCGAGCCTTCAGTGATCTCCTTTGTCGGAACTCGCATTCCGATTATGTGGCCGATGAGCTGCTCCTTGCCTTCCTCCCAGATGAATAAACCGAGGCATAGCTCTGGGGTTTGGTTGAGACGATAGATAAACTGCGTTGGAATCAACACTAAGGCCTTGAATCACACAGTCAGGTACACCTGATTCACACCTTTTCTTCCGAGCATTGCTCGTGTTCTGGGAATGCCCTTTCAACTACTGTGCACGACTTCACATCCGCAGGCGTCAGAGGCCGTAGGAGAGGGTCTTTTCCGGATAGCGCCGGGCTCTGCGTAAAGGGGACGACTGAAGGCATTGCGTCCTGTTATTTTTCTGTCAGTGGCTGTAATAGGGGTCTAATAAATGCCCGATCTTTTGTTCACACCCTACACCACACACCCTACTATAGCCCCACATCTTCCGCCCTAAGGAGCAATTGTCTGCGGTTTGGTATGCCGAAGACAATCCAGTCGACTTAAAACAACAGTTATACTTCATCCTTCGTTTCGCCGGCCTTTCCTCCTGCTAATGTTCATAGGCGGCATCCTTGGGTGCTTTGTATTAGTAGGAAAGTTGAGACTGGAACGTTGAAAAACTGATGGTAATTCGCGGGGTGGAGTTTGTTCTCGGGATCGCCTCGAGGAACACTTTTCTCTAATCTCCCTAATAGCCTCTGCGAGATTCTATTAATGATGCAATCACTCGTGATAAGATTGGATCTGGCATGGCGCAACAAGGCAGAATCGGAGATGGGGCTCGCTTAGGCTTTCTACAAATGAGGCTATGCCGCGACTTGGCGCGCTAACAACAAGACGAAGATATCAAGGCGGACATGTCGACTTCGCAGTAATCTCTCATCAACCCCAACATGTCCAATAAACCAGAGATTAAAGGAGACGGGCCGGTCAAAGACATTGTACTCGCAGCAGACGAGGGCCGCCTCGATGTTATCACAGCGCTCTTGGAAAGCGGAATAGATCCAAATACTGTCGACGAGACTGGGACCTCAGCTCTCCATAATGCAGCGAGAAGAGGACATTGGCACACTGCGCGTCTCTTGCTGGAAAAGAAGGCATCGCCTCGAATCCAGGACGGTAATAACGCAACCCCGCTCCATCACGCTATCAGGGCCGGCCATGCACAGATTGTTCGCCTCTTCCTCGAATGTGACCCCTCACTATCCGACTATAAGGAGGGTGTTTCATATGGGCCGATCCATGTTGCCGCAGTGAAAGGTTATGCTCGTATTGTTCAATTGCTTGTCGACTACAATGCTCCCACCCTGGAGGAAAGCGCGAGTGGACAGACCGCTCTGCATCTCGCCGCTGAGAGGGGACATCATGATGTCTGCGAGATCCTCTTGAAGCATGATAAACAGCTTCCTCGATCAGCTTGGGACCGTCTGTTTGGGCCCAGCTTGGAGGTCCACGCGAAGGATGAGGTAGGAAATACGGCTTTTGCATTGGCGGTGGAGAAGGGCTTTCACCAGACTGTCGATGTCTTCCTACGCTATCATCCGGAGTTGGCCAATACGAGCAACCGCTGGAAAGAGTTGAATTTCCATTTAGCAGTCGAGTCCGGACATATTAAGACTGTTGAAGCATTCTTGAACAATGGCGCGAACGTCGACATGAAAGGGAAAGAGGGGCGCCGAGCTCTTCATGTTGCTGTGGCCAGGCACTCGTTAGGGTATTCCATCGACGGTAAAGCTGACGCGATGATCGACTGTCTCCTTGAGCATGGGGCCATCGCTAATGCGAAGGATAATCATGGCAATTTGCCAGAATATCACAGCTCTGACCCGAAGACCAGAATGAAATTACGGAATCATGCAACCGCGCAGGTCTCAGGGAAGCCCGTTCCTCCGGCGCCTACCAGTATAAGCTCAGCCCCACCGCCTGCGTATAAAGCATAAGTCGAGAGACTTGATTCTCATATCGATAAGTCACTGTGTCTGTATCTATCTATATTTCCAGCAATATGAATTAAGTTTAGTCCTCAACACGGTCTGCTTCTCATGATACAGAACGTTCTCGGCTACGAGGAACCAATTCGCAGCCAGTACCGGGGGTATCGGGAGTGCTGGCAAATAGTGGCAGCACTACGAAAACGGTCGGAAGATCTAAAAGAGGGGAATTGTCTCAGAGAATACCGATGCGTCAGATCGTACGGCCTTCGACTATGTATTCTTTTGGCGAGTGGAACCGTTGGAATATTCTCACATAAGAGCGACCAATGGATTAAATATCTGAGACAAAGATGCGAGTGTAAGATGCAACTGAACTCTTGCGTAAGCTGATGGTTTGATGGCTTCGTGTAGCCTTTAAGCGCCGAGGATCGATTCATTGACTTGAAGACGGGAAGGGCCGAGACCACCTGGGCACAAGAGTGGTTGATGACAATACAGTCTGGGAATGGAGACATGCATTCTGCACATTATGAAGCACAGTTTTTGGTAACCTGCTCGAGAAGAAATCCATGTCAAATCCATCACGCCTGGTGGAAATGACTGTGCACAGTCAAGCTATCGGCCAATAGGGGACCATCTGGCGAGATGCACGCAGCATCACGAGGAACTTGATCAACTTCCAAACTCCACCGCGGCGCTTCGCTAAGTTCTCCTCCCTGGATCTCCAGACAGGGCCAGGTTTTCCGGTGTGCTGAAGTGCCCTCCGCAGAGCAGCTGCAGATCTGCCCCCTCGTCACACCAACTAGCGTGTGACGACCGACAGCTCATCCCGCGATTCGGGGCGCTCATTGGTGCGACCCCTCAGGCTGCGTGCTTTCGCTGGCGCTTTGCCGCCGTCAAGTATTGGCCAGATGCAACTCCCGGAAACACTCCACAACGCTATCGGCAGCATGTACGCTCGCTGATTCGTGCCCCGCCGTGCATGAGCATGGTCGAGTGAAGACTGTTGACGGGCCGCAGAGGTCGAGTGCGCATATCTAACGCCCGTCTTCCGGATCGCTCGTCTTCTGTTATTACCTTTTCTTCTCTCGCTTCTGTCGCTTCGAAACGCCCCCTTCAAAGGTCTTGGCTTGTTTTACAAGAAAGACTGAATGGTGTAGCCCAGCCGGACTGGCCGTTTCACAGCGTCTACTTTTCTTAATCCGACCTCCCTCGCCGCAACTATAATTGAGTCTTCATTCATCCCACGCTGAGGCTCCAGGCCTTCGACAGGATGCTGTCTTTCCCCGTTAAAGAGAGGGTCAAGAACTTTCAGTTCTACCGAGGATGTTTCTTTCCAAAGCAATGGCGCGATCGCAAGCTGATCCTCTACTTGATGGCTGCTGAGTTTCCGTTCGTGGTAGCAATGTTGACTTTGACTGGTGTCGCTTCACACGATACATACCAATCATTATTATGGAAAGTTGGTTACCAGAACGGATTTAACAGCTCGCCTGATGAGGCGATCTATGCGGCGGCCAACTACCGACCATACAAAGCTCCTATAGTATGGTCATCCTTGTAAGTTTTGCTGGGACCACAAACTCGAGCTTGCACTAACTCGACGAAAGCCTCACCACATACAACCTGGTCATCGCAGTATTGAGTGTCTTCTTGCTGATCACCAAAATCCCCGTCCACGCCCTGCATCTGTACTACCCTCCCATTGCAACGGCCATACATGCAGCAAGTACCACATTATTCGTGATCGCGGCATGCTTCCAGGCTGGCCCTGACATGTCAGATCCCACACACCCTCAGCCGGGAGCTCCATGGTATATTACCAAGAGCTGTAGTGTGGCGAAGTCCTCCACCATTATTGGATACTGCCGGCAGGCCAAGGGCCTTTTTGGTCTGACTATTGTTTTATGGTATGGAATTCCCACCTATGCGACCTCGCAATGACAGCCAACTGACTTGGTTAAAATAGTGTGCTATACTTCGTCGAATTCCTCGTCTCGGCCCGCTCCTGCTTCATCACCCGCGAAGAACGCCTGGTCATCATCGAGGAGCGAGAAGAGAAGAAAGTGGAGCGCGAGTTCGAAGAAGAAATCATGAAGTCGCCCTTATACCCCGCAACCCCGGGCTTCACCAACTTCCACCCCGGCATGATGCCCCGTACCCCCGGCTTCCCACCCATGGCCGCCCGCGGACCTATGCCCGCCCCCACGTCTCCTTTCGCAGGATCCTCTCCCTCATCTCCCTTCGGGCCTCGCCGATTGGCTTTCAATCGACTCCCCAGTACATCGTCCGATCTGCCACTCCGGAATAACAGCAACGACTCGACTCAACACATCGTTGAGCAGCCGAAAGGTGATGAGCCCCAGGCGGGCCCTGCTCCTGTAGCGCCGATGTACTTCCCGCCGCCGCCTAAGAAGGCCGCGAAGACTTAATTTATGAGATCGATTTTCATGTTGCATGCTTTAAACGGAGATACCAGATACCATCCTTAGTTGTTCACCTTCCCTGTGGAGCTTGCCTTTGGTAGCTCATTTCCTCATTTGCGAGGCTTTATTGCGTTTTAACTAGTCTATCCTTGACTTGGAACATCAAAATACACTAAGTACATATAACCCAGGGTCTGAACAAGTAACGCAATCCGCACTTACAAACATCTTCACGTTCTTAAACCCATAAACCCATTAACTTTCAACTCTTGAGTTGACATTTCGAGAACTTGAAAAGCGGAACGCGGAAGGACAGGTACCACTCAAGATCGAACAGATAAGAGACTAATATTTCTTCATACAAGTACCTCGTATATTGATATATCGCGCAAAAAAAGGTCATTCCCATAATTCCAGACCTTACCGTGACCTGCCAGCCAAAGGCGTAAAGAGTCACCATATTTATATCGCAGACCCAACGCCAAAAAACAATCATTAATCGTAACCTGTGATCCGGATGCAACAATGCAGAATTTCGCCAATCCAATGTCCAGCCCACCAGGGTGATCCCAATTCGCAAGCAAATGTTGCCCCACCACGAAAGGAATACAAGCATGCGAGAAGCTCGAAAGGGTATCGTGGCTTGACAGCTAAGCCAAAGAGACAGAAAGATAAGAAAGATGAATTAAAAATTAGGTCTCGCTCAGCGTCGTGGGTTGCGTGCGAGTGGCAATATTAATCGAGTTTCAAGAGGACTCTTGGCGTTTTTTTCTCTTTCTTGGACCACCGTACTAGAACAGAAAGAGTATAAGTATTGCGAAACGAAGGAAAAGTGAAAAAATCGCTCAAAATTGGGGCATGATAACTTACATCCGCAGGCGTTGCATAAGGTTTTGGGTCCGTTGGGCCCTTTTCTCCACTCAGGCGAGTCGGCTGTTTGGCAGTCGCTGCAGATATGCTGCCCCTTGAGTCTCTTCCGCCGATCCCCCTCCTGGACACTTCGAGCCTGGTCCGCGGATGTGGTAACATCGATATCGCATTGAATTAAACGGCCTTGAGAAGCCCCCGTACTAATGCCCTGGGACCGCTCGCCTTCGCTGTAGTGTAAACCCGTCATAACCTCAATCCCACTGATATGTGAAAGACCTTCGAAGGGGGCTCGGTCGTTGGAATGGTCTGGCACGGGACTGCCTTCCGAATCTTCTGAATTTGCCGCAACTGTTTCGCTTGATTCGTGGTCGCTGAGGATGCCGTGGATGGCGGAGGGGGTCTCCAGGTACGTCTTTTCGGGATCGCGATTGGTATAGGGTGTACGATTTACATCGGTCGCTTCCTTTTCTTCCTGTTTGAGTTTGGCGATCTGCTGCACTAAGCGCGCATTCTCAATCTTATGTTCAAGGAAGGAGTCGAGGAGTAAACTGCTCTTGGTCGGCTGGGGCCGGCACATGAGAAAGAATCCGAGACAGCGCTCTTGGGAAGCCGTGATTCGCGGCTGAGCATCGTTCGGATGGGCAATATGGGGGTGTCCGTAAATCTCGATCAGCGCGTAGGTGCTGCTGGTCTTCTGAAGCCGCACATGCGTGCGAAAGGTCCGATTTCTTGCGATGGCCTTGTCCATCTCCCGCTTGAGAACAGCCTGATCGTCATCATGAATGAGGTGGGCGAGGACAGTGCCTTCAAGCTGTCTAGCTGCACGGCCAGTGATCTGCTTCGCAGATGGGGAGGCATAAGTTATGCGGCCGCCAGCGTCGGTCAGAATTAAAAGATCCTTTATTTCTTCCAGCACAGTAGCAACCCAGCCGGGCTCATTCGAGAGGTTCGGGTTCTGGTAAGCCCCTGGGAGCGAGCCCGCCATCGCATATTGGCCGTATGTTGCAGGCGAATAGTGAGCGTCATGGGACTGTACCGAATAGCCGGGGAATCCTTCGAACGAACTGTACCGTCTCTGCGAGGTGGCAGATTGTGGATTGGAGCGAGCGTTCTGCTGGCTGGGGACCATTGTGCGCGAGGCCCACCCGCAGGTGCGAAACGTTATCGCGAAGAGAGAAGAGGGTACGAAAGTGAGGGATCACCTCATTCCCGAAAGCCATATAACAGATCCAAGAAGTCAGACCATGGTCTGAGGACTGAAAATCGGGAGTGACGAGCCGAAAGTTCGTTTTCCAGAGATGGCTCTATTCCGAACCCAAGGCCGGGGAAGCGCAAGGCAGGAAATATCAACCGGACCGCTCATAAGCCTGAAATTGGCTCATTGGCTGTTCTTCGCTGCGCGCCGATCGCGGGGCCGATTCCGGCTTATATCAGCTTCTTATCTTATCACGTGATCTCGTGTTGCTCCCGCGCGTAAGTGGAGCAAGTTGATGCATCAACTCTCGAACCAACGCTGCGGCGATCTGAGACCCAGGTTGATGGATTCCTGACAAGAGAACGGCGCATTCGAAGATTAGACATCGATCTATCTTCTTGCACGGTCTTCAAGATGTGAGCCTTTCGTCATTCAACGCTCACCGGCAGCTTGCTAATTCATCCGAGCAGGTGTACGTATAGTCTCCAGAGGAGTCGATTGATCTTTCTCTGCAAAATGGGGGCTGACTCATGACGGTGCTTAGCAAAAATCGATAAACTATCCATTCTTGGGTATGGCTTGGTCGGACTCCCTTTGGACTGACATCTTAACTTTCCCGCATATCTCTATTGGGTACTAAAGAGTGACGTTTGTCCAGAGTCCGTTCCTTCGACAACACACGCAGCGAAACGATCCAGTTCCATACTCCCCTCACCTTGATAGTCGGTTATAATGGATCTGGAAAGACGGTAGGCATTTCCACCAACCAGTCAAGGAGCCCTATAAGCTCATACCGTGCAGACAATCATCGAATGCCTCAAATATGCCACAACCGGTGATCTCCCTCCGAATAGCAAAGGCGGTGCCTTCATCCACGACCCGAAACTATGCGGGAGAAAAGGAAGTCCTGGCCCAAGTGAAGCTTTCTTTCAAGGGAACTTCCGGGGCCAAGATGGTAGCCACGCGCAGTCTGCAACTTACGGTGAAGAAGACAACACGGCAACAGAAAACTTTGGAGGGTCAACTGATGATGATGAAAAATGGCGAGCGAACTGCTATTTCATCGCGCGTGGCTGAATTGGATCAGATCATGCCACAGTACCTGGGCGTTTCTAAAGCTGTTTTAGACTCTGTCATCTTCTGTCACCAAGATGAAAGTCTTTGGCCAATGAGTGAACCTTCTGTCCTGAAGAAGCGATTTGACGAAATCTTCGAAGCCATGAAGTACACCAAGGCTATTGATAACATCAAGCAGCTGCGGAAAAAGCAGAACGAGGAGCTGGCTAAATTCAAGATCATGGAGCAGCATGCCAAAGAGGACAAAGAAAAGGCAGACAAGGCAGAAAAGCGGTCTGTCAAATTACAAGATGAGATTGAGGCCCTGCGAGAGGAGACCCAGGCAATGTCTAAAGAGATGCGGCGTGTAGCCGACCTGGCTGACAAGGCTTGGAAGGAATCTGAAAGCTACGCTCAAGTCTGGGGGCTTTAGAAGGAAAACGCATTGAATCCAAAAGTATAGAGACAACGATTGATAACCTCAAGCGGCACCTTGTCGAACTCGACGATTCTGACGAATGGCTGGAGTCAAATCTGGAGCAATTTGAGACGAAGCAAGCCCAGTACCAACAACAAGAAGAATCCCTGAAAGAGAAATACATGGAGCTCAAAGACCAAATCGAGCAGACTCGACACCGCCTGGGTCTCAAACAGGCTGAAAACGGAAAATTCGAGAACGACAAAGCCAATTTTGAGCGCCAGGTACAGCGACGGCAGACCATGATTGTAGAGATTGCTCGTGCAAACAACATCCGTGGCGTGGATGATCAAATGAATCAACCTGCTATCGATGCTTTCATGCAAAGAATTCGAAAGTCTCTTAGGGAACAGAATCAGGCCCTTGACCGTGTGAAGCGTGAGGCTCAAAAGGAGCTACGCGAGGTCCAAGACACTCTGAATGACATTGGTCAGCGCAAATCTGCTCTACAAGAAACCAAGAACGCTGCAAAACGACAGATCGCATCCAATGACAAAGAAGCGGCATCTTATCAAGGGAAACTCAACGAGATCGAGGTAGACGAAGGTGTGCAGTCGGCATTGGAGGCTAAGATTGAAGACATCACCTCGAGTTTGGAGCAGGCGAAAGATCGTGCCAAGACTGCTTCGTGGGATCAGGAGATTCAGCACATCAATACTCAAATCCAGGGCGTCGAAGATGACAGCTCGAAATTGAACGTTGAACTGATTGAATCAACGAAGAAGGCAGGCGATCTGGCTCAGTTAGCCCATCTCAAGAAGGAAGCTAAGGACCGAGAGCGCAGCCTTCAGACCATGAAAGGAGCACATGGAGACCGTCTTGCGAAGGTCGTTGGCTCAGATTGGCAGCCCCAGTCGCTCGAAAGGGATTATCAACACGCAGTGGACTCTGAATCGAAGCAAGTCGCTGATGCTGAGAAGCGTCGTGATGCGGTCAATCGCGAACTAGAGCAGGTTGAGTTCAAGCTGAAAAATGCGAAAAAGAATCTGGATCAGCGTCGAAAAGAGCTGCAGGATTGTGTCAAGGAGATCCACGATGCGGTCGATGCAGAGCCGTCTGAGTTTCCGCAAATCCTCACGGATCGACAGACAGAATATGAGTTGGCACGAAAGGACGCTGATCAATTCGCCGGTATGGGTTCCTACTTGAGCAAGTGCTTAGATGCCGCACGGGAGGCTAAGTGCTGTCGGACATGCTCGCGGGGCTTCAAGAATGACACGGAGCTCAAGAATTTCACGAAAAAGCTTGAAGGACTGGTGAAAAAGGCAAGTGGAGATGGCGATGATGGAGAACTCAGAGCGCTTGAAACACAGCTACAGAATACTCGCCAGGCTGGTACATTCTACGACACCTGGGTGCGTCTTTCAAATACGGACATCCCAGATCTGGAAAAAGAGGAACAAGAATGTGAATCACAACGTGACCAACTTCTTGACAAACTTGAAACACATGATCGGACGGTTGGTAAAAGGCAGGAAATCAAGAGAGAAGTTGAGGGCCTGTCAAAGACCGTCGCTACAATTGTTCGTTATGATGCGGAAATCAAGAAGATCGCGTTACAGATTGAGGAGTTGTCTGCTAAGCAAAATGAAGAGTCGGCAAGCCGTACTCTCGAGGATATCCAAGAAGAGATCTCCGCGGCGAGTGAAAAATCTCGAGACCTGAAAAAGGCTCTGGCCAGAATCACCAACGAGAAGGACCAGACCCGAAGCGAAATAAACAAGCTCGAGCTCCAGCTTCGAGACGTGAAGAGCAATCTGGACAACGCCAAGTACCAGCTGGAGAAGAAGGCTGACTTGCTTGGTCGGGTGGAAGAGTGCAAGAAATTGAATGCGCAGCAACGAGAAGCAATCGAGAAAGCAGATCGGGACATTGAGAATCTTACACCGGAACTGCTGCAAGCTCAAGCCCGTTATGATGATATCAGCCAACGAGCTGATGCACGCGAACGAGACTTGCAGCATGACATCACCCGTCTTTCAGAGAGCATTCACCAGTTGGATCTTACGAACGATGATATCAACTCGTACAACGAGCGAGGAGGCCCCGGTCAGCTTGAACAGAGCAAGAAAGAACTTTCTGACATCGGCGAGGAGATTGTCAAACAAGAATCCGAGTTAGGGGAGATCACTCAAGAGATCAACAAAATATCTGCCCAACTGAAGGACAGCGAGAACACGAAGCGCCAGTATTCTGATAATCTGACCTATCGCAGAGCAACACGGTCATTGCAATCGGTGTTAGTCGAAGTCCAAGAGCTAGAAGCACAGAACGCTGAAGTGGATCGAAGTCGCTTCAAGCAAGAATCAGAACGCTGGACCCGCGAACACAACGCTCTTGCTGCCAAGCAGGCTAGCAAGATGGGTGAAATGAAGTCCAAGGATGACCAATTGATGCAGCTTCTGGCAGACTGGAACACCGATTACAAAGATGCGGCTTCCAAATACAAGGAGTCACATATCAAGGTCGAGACGACCAAGGCCGCAGCTGAAGACCTCGCACGTTACGGTGGCGCCCTGGACAAAGCCATCATGAGTTACCATGGCCTCAAGATGGAGGAAATCAACTCGATCGTTAGTGAGCTGTGGCAGAAGACGTACCGCGGAACCGACGTCGACACCATCCTCATCCGATCTGACAATGAAAACGCCAAGGGCAACCGCTCGTACAATTACCGTGTATGCATGGTCAAGCAAGGTGCGGAAATGGACATGCGAGGCCGCTGCAGTGCCGGCCAGAAGGTCCTTGCTAGCATCATCATTCGTCTCGCTCTAGCAGAGTGCTTCGGTGTCAACTGTGGTCTAATTGCCCTTGATGAGCCCACGACGAACCTGGACCGTGACAACATTCGTTCTTTGGCCGAGTCGCTTCATGATATCATTCGAGCTCGGCAGCAGCAGGCGAACTTCCAATTGATTGTTATTACGCACGACGAAGAATTCCTGCGACATATGCAATGCGGAGACTTCAGTGATTACTACTACCGTGTGTCTCGAAATGAGAGGCAAAAGTCCATCATTGAGAGGCAATCGATCGCCGAGGTATGTTATAACCTGCAATACCTGAAATATTCTATACTAAGTTTTTCACAGGTCATGTAAATTTCCCGTCATTTTTATTTCTCTTACGCTACGGATATTCCCTTCATTCTTCTGTCTTTCTAAGTACTTTGCTAAAAACGGAGCCGGGCCTTGATTAAAAAGGGGAAGCATTTCATACCATTTCATACCTTGGAGTTTGAGGGTCAATATTTTACTCTAGAAGGCTTATAGGGTAGTCTTTTTATGGAGCTTTGAGCCTCGGAATACTCCTTCAAAATCATGATTTTCCTCTTTAGCTAAACTATTTGTCTGATATATGCCTACTTACATGAACCATCACCTAGTGAACCTAGGTACCTATAGCCTTACGAAATGACTAGTTAGTAGGTTTATGCTTAGAAAGCCAGTTCTGGAAATGGTTTGAGAAGGACTCGAAGGTTTCCAGTCCACTTTTGGGGCAAGTCTCAGGTTATTTTTCCATATGGAAATCCGAAAGACCTCTTGTCATCTGAAAGATATAGTCATATAAGACTCCGCGAAAGACTTTCTGATTTACTCCATATTGTAGATCTAAGTTGCCCCATAGCTCTTTCCAGCTAGTTTTCTTTCACCCGAAAGAGACTGAGTTACCAATCGTCAGGTCTAAGAGAGTTTTCTCATCTCGGATGAATCTTGAGCAATTGCGTATTCAATGCCTACATAGATATAATACACAAATGCTAATCTTCATCAACTCGTAAATCCATATCAGCATCTTCTTCGTCAAGAAGGGGCACAAAGCGGAAGTCAACAAAGCACACAGGGCCCCCAGGAGCCTTGACACCGGCTCCAACAGGCCTGCCACTAGGATGGCTGTCATCTAACTCCACCATAAACTGCAAGCTAAGGACTCCTTGTATGTCGCCACGAATACTAACTTTGTTCGCAACTAACATGGCCCGCGCAGCCTTGCGGACCAGCGCGAACCGATAGTTCTGTCGAATCCGCTCGCCCATGGAGCGAGGTGGCGAAACGAGGAATGTCTCCGTTACAGTGGGCGCGTTCTTAGTCCTGGTAGCCCGATTTCGCGAAGACCCGTCTTGGGTGAGGACTTTGTGCGTGCTTGATGCCTGGGTTGCTTGGCCTGCACCTCCGACTATTTCGTTGTGCTGGTCCACGGAGAACTCAACGGTGGACTCGCTGAAAGGGCCACCTGCGCCTGATAGAGAAAAGTATGGTTCTTTATTGGCGCAGGCTGATATTTTGAGGATTGTGGGGTTTGAGGAGTCGAGCTCGGCGATTGCGTTGTGCAGCCATGCGGACCGCATGATGATCTTCATGATTATAGCGTCCCGTTGGAGTGGGACGTCAGCCTCGTTGCCGTCGGGCTCATAGGTCACTAGCTCGCACGTTGTTTTGATGCCAGACTCGGTAATGGCGATGCTGAGCGGGGCGCCGTGGTACGAGTATTGGAGCGTGCATGAGCGGTCCATGAGGAGAGATGGGGCACTAAATGCGCTGGATGCAGGGTTCGTCTGGGGGATGCTGGTGTCTCTTGCGCCATTGTGTTCAGAAAGGTCGTTGATCCCAAATATCTTCAAGGTTTCGAGGAGAGCTGTCAAGGAGACGACGAAAAATGAGGGTATACTATCTCGTTGTTTTCTTCATTTCCGAGATTTTGCTGATCCCCTCCGTCCGGCTGAGGATTCAAAATGTAGCTCGTGAATAAGGATTTGTCCAAGAAGGCGAGGCCTTGTATTACTCGCCCTTCCTCGACGGAGAACCGAAGCCCCTCGGCTGTTATTTGAACGGTTGCTTTGGAAGCAAAGCCTATGCAGGAAAGCAGGGTATAGAGGTGGTGAGCATTATTTGTGACACCAACAAAGCAAGGGTCCATTCTGCGACGTGTCGATCGTCGACATCGCGGAAGAATGTCGTATAGGAGGTAGGATAATCATTGGTTCAAACTGCAGTGCCCTGGCAATGCAAGTAGCTTGTGTACACTACTTTAGGCAGGCGGAAACCTGAGCGGTAAAGCGGGGTGTTCGCAATACTGTAGACTTGACATCGATACAATTGGTAGAATATCCTTTATTGAACTCCATATAGCATGTCAGTCTGTGAAATACATGCTAGCAATAACAGGTAAGGGCTTGGGTCAGTAGGGCATTAGTCGGCATGGCTCTGAGTACCTAGGGAAATGCGCGTCTCGAGAGTTTATAGACGCCGTGCACTGAGATAAGTATAGTTATGCCAGTTTTCTCCGGCCCGATGTTTATCCGACCCCGGTCTTATCCTCAGCTTTGAAGACGCGACCTCAGTGGCATCCCCAACATCCCTACCATGGCGACTGAATCTCCGAAGAGTTAGTTGATCTTATAACTTGCCCAGTTCCCAGATCTATTGCTTACAAGGCGGATTCTAGATTCCAAGCGGAAGGCCTCCGAAGAGGCAGCTTCCCCAGATTCCCAACAACAGGCCAGTAAGAAAGCGCGCACAGATTCCCCAGAGAAAGAAGTTTGTGGCCCGGTCACCTTGGCACTGTTACAATTACTGATTCTTCTGGTAGGATGAGAAACCAGCCGTTAAACCACCCCTGCGAATCGTGCCTTTCCCGGAAAAGGTGAGCTCATAACCTATCCCGCGATCTGTCCCCACCTTCCGCACCACGGCGTGATCGCCTGGGCCCTCTATTGGAGCTTTAAATGCTGACTTCAGCTATCCTAGCCCGCTGTCCTCGAAGAGCGTAGAGGTGATATTGAGTTCAGAGTGGTAAACAATGATGGATCACATGACAGCTTTATAGTCCTCACAGGGCTCAAGTGTATCTTCCAAAAACAGCTGCCGAAGATGCCTAAGGACTATATTGCGCGTCTAGTTTACGATCGAGCACATCTATCCATCGCAATTGTTAAGCACCCCTGGAAGTCGTCGGGTATGTTCGTTGGCAATGTTTGTCAAAGTTCCATTCGGAGTTTGTGCTGATAGTTATGCAGAGGAATTACGTATCGTCCATTCAACAGCCGCAAGTTCGCAGAGATTGTTTTCTGTGCCATTTCATCTGACCAGCAAGTAAAGGGGTATGGTGCACACCTGATGTCACATCTCAAGGTAGGAGTTATTCTCATATAGAAAAGAGTTGGTAATTGACACCGGACAGGATTATGTGAAAGCCACGTCTCCGATCATGCATTTTCTCACCTATGCTGACAACTATGCCATTGGGTATTTCAAAAAACAAGGTTTTACCAAGGAAATTACCCTCGAGCGCGCGATATGGATGGGTTACATCAAAGATTATGAAGGTGGAACGATTATGCAATGCACCATGCTACCTAAAATTCGATACCTTGAAATGGGGCGGATGCTGCTCAAACAAAAGGAGGCGGTGCAGGCCAAAATCCGTGCTTTCAGCAAATCTCACATCATCCATCCCCGCCAAAAGAGTGGAAAAACGAGGTTCACGAGCTTGATCCTCTCTCCATTCCTGCCATCAGAGAATCAGGGTGGTCCCTCGACATGGATGCTATGGCACGGCAACCACGCCATGGTCCAAACTACAACCAGCTGCTTCACCTTCTGAACGACATGCAGAATCACAGTGCTGCCTGGCCGTTTACCCAGCCTGTCAACCGCGACGAAGTGCCCGACTATTATGAGGTGATCTTGGAGCCCATGGACTTGTCCACTATGGAAGAAAAACACGAGCAAGACATGTACCCCACTCCCCAGGACTTCATCAAGGATGCCACGTTGATCTTCGACAACTGCCGACGCTACAATAATGAGACTACACCTTACGCCAAGTGTGCTAACAAACTCGAGAAATTCATGTACCAGCAAATCCGCAACATTCCCGAGTGGTCGGTGAGTATTTAACATCCTTTTGTGTCTGTTATACACAGTCTACTGACTTTGTAATAGCATCTTGCGGACGGTCATTGAGCTTTCGGGTGGTGTATCACAGGAGTTTAGGTGGCATGGCGTTTTCAACCCGGATTAGGAATACCCTATGAATATTTCAGCTTTAGCGCCTTGGAATCAAAACCAAAAATATCAGGACCTACTGCTTTGCAGATAAATTTGAACCGTAATCATTGGGATCCCGAGGTCCTTTTTAGATTGTACCTGAACTCTGCCGAAACCTATGATGCAATCAGGAACCGTGTTTAATTTTACTGTGACAGGTGGGCCCGGAATAACATTCTTGCCCGTGTTTCATGACACGCAGAGGAGGCTGGCAACATTATGTCTGATCTGGCTCTGTTAACCCTTGCTTGAGAGCCTGGCATCGCTCGTTTTCTCCTCCCCCGCCTGATTTGGGTGTTTTGCTTCTCTTGTGGCTTTGAGCCTGGTCGCCTGGTCGCTTTGGTTGTCGTCCCATTGTCCCCCCCAGGGGCTAATTCGTTTGATCCGTCCGACTCTTATCCCAGTAATCACAACAACACCAACACCCATTTGCATTTCTGTTCGTCGCAACTATCTTCTCACATCCAAATACGGGCTTTCGCTCTTTCCAGCCTCTTGACTAAGGACTTCCCCCTTTTGATATTTGTTTGAAGGCCGGCGCGCTAGTCCTGCACGACCTGATACGCTCCTTACCCCTTTTGGGCCCCTCTTTACTTCGACCACTCGGTGCTGGAATTTTCACCGCTGCAAACACCTCCAAAACAATTCACAATGGCCGCATCCTGGGACAATCACTCCGAAATGGAGCATCGCAACCGTCTGCCAACGCTCTTTGAGGTCCTTAGTCGTCATACCTTGGCCCCCGTCGATCTTTTCTCCTTCTATATCTACATGCGCGACCAGCAGCGATCAGTGGACTATCTTGACTTCTGGTGAGTTGTGATTCTCAAGGAAAGATATGATCGTTTCGTCCTAATCTGCTTCCCCTTAGGCTTGATGTTTCCCAGCACATGTCCCTATGTCGCCATTATGTTCGAGAGCTTCGACGGTCTGTTCTCGTCGCAACCCCCGACATGGAGCGCGCCGATAGCATGCACTCGTCTGCCATGTTAGAGAACTTGGAGAACTTGGGGGACATTCCTCTGCAGGAGGCTGGCCCTTCGCGTGTCCCCGGGAGCGAAAAGGACCGGGATGCCAACCACCGTCTCTCTGCTTTCTTGCGTTCTGAAGGGGCCACCTCAAACCACTCGCCACAAAACAGCCTTGGCTCTCAATCGGCCCATCGTACCGCGTCCCCAGACCAACAACCACGCCCCAGTGAAGGCACTTTCAATGGGGACTCCCCAGGTCACACAGTGGCTCGTAACGACATTCGTGCCAGTGCTGAAAAGATCCTGTACACCTATCTTCTGCCCGGTTCAGAGCGAGAGATCATTCTGCCTGAAATGATGACATCTACCATAATCAACTTAATTGAAGATGACGGACGTGACGACCCTGAGGTGTTCGACCCCGCTAAGGACTATGTTTTCCAGGCCATGGAGCGGGATGCGTTCCCCGGCTTCTTGCAAGCCAAGGCATTGGGTAACCTTGTTCCTTTGAGCATTCTCATTCGCTTGGTTGTTGCTTTGGTCAGCTTTGGAGGTGGATTCTGGGCCGCTTTTTATGTGGTCTTGCGCAACAAGCCTCGAAACATCCGATGTTGGGTATGTTTTCGAAGCCCAGTGTTCTCTTCGGCCGCCTAACTAACATGCTACTAGGTTATTCTGCCATTCTTAGTCGCTTCCTATCTCATCGTTTCCTACCAGTACAAGATTGATCCTGCTATGGCCTTCCTGGGCTACAGCGAGTATACGTTTTTGAACTGGGCACCGATCCGCGAGCCTTACGTTCGACAACTCTTGAACAAGCGTGCTCTTGTCACGACAGCCATCGCCTTCCTCACAGCTGCCGCTTTGAGTGTCCTTTTCATCTTCGTCCCCGGAACCATGCTATGAGCCAAAAAGCCTCAGCTCGAAAAAAAATCATTCTCGCGACATCATTAGAGCTCTCTACATGACATATGTTGGATCCTGGAGTTGAGTCGGCACCATCGATGTTTCTGGTCGATGGTCAACCTCGCATCTCATGCGTTCATATGACTTGGGGGCGTTATGTTCTTCTTTTCTTGCAATCCCGTCTGGCGCCTGACAATGATCCTCGGCCCGCTTCTGTGAAGCATATCTTCGTCAGCAACTTTTAGGCAGAGCAGTAATTTTTAATTGCGTGCTATTCGTTTCAACCTCTGTCCCTCGGTACCCGTGCCCCTTCTCTTTGTCCTGTCTATATTGTCGTCTTGTGCGCATCTCGTTGGCCGCTTTATCTTCTACCAATACCCCTTTGTGAACTTCGAATATTTGTACTTATGCTCTCAATGAATCGTTGCCTTGGGAGGCTTTACGAGGACTTACCGATTATGTGAGATCTAGTCTACACCACGAAGACGTTGAGTGGGGACATCCAATCAGGATTATCATTCAGCCTCTATTTAGTGGAGAAGCGGTCATTAACTTCGTAAACGGCGGTCATCATGGATGCCGGATAAAATCTCGATAAAAAAAAAAAGAACACACAAACCGGTGGGCGGTGACCAGACACGCTTGAAATGGTGTCTGGCACCACATTCCCATCCATGCTTTTCACCAGGCCCAACACCCCATTCCGACACTTGACCCTCCTCGGTAAGAAGACAAGGCATACTCTCGGAGAAACAAAGATACACTAAGCCCTGCGGCCAACAACACGCTTGGAATAGCGACTTCCACGAGACGATCCAGCCCCCTCGTCAATATCCATGCGGGAAGCGCCCTGATCGGGCCCCTCACCCGGCTCCCAGAAGCCATCATCTTGATCAATCACATCTGCCTCACGCTTGTTGCTGCCAGAAGGATTTGCAGTAGCACGACCGTATGGCTTCTTTCCACGGGAGCCCTGCTCTTCAGTGGCCGGATGAACCGCGGAACTCGTAGCAGTAGCATCTTGGTCGGCTCGGCAGCTTGTGGCTTCATTGAGCATTGACTCATGCTTAGTGTTCTTTGCGGCCCGCTCTGATACGTTGTCCTTGATTCGGGTGCTCTCTTGGTCCATAGCCAATGTGACGTGTCGGGCTCGTGTTTCCCATTCGCTCAATACTCCGATCACATGCTGAGACTGTGAGGCGCTTAGAGCGTCACGGAGAGCTGCGACGGCAGTGATGTTCACAGTTGGCGGGGATGAGCATGGAGAGAGGGTGGCGGTGATAAGAGAGTTGTAGATGGCGTCGGTGACTAGAGTTTCGAGCTCGGCGTTTGTGGAAAGAGAAAGGGCAGATTTCAGGGTTTTGTAGGTAAGTGGCTTGTGCTCGGAAGCCAAGGAGATAAGGGTGAGGAGGCGTAGCTTGCGCGTTTGCGCGTCATTCATTTGGGGGAGGCCGGAGCTGCCTTGGAGGATGTGTTAGCGGGGATGTTTACGCGATGCGGGGAAGCTGGGAGGAGCTGGGGGGATCGGAGGCAGCTGGGTAGAGGGTGGCTGTACTTACTGGTGTAGTCCCCCCAGGAACCCGATGCAAAGATCTCAAGCAGCCTGTAATGGCCACGGAATTCGGCTGGGGTGTCAGACGAGCGGAGCGACTGGACCATCGGGGTCTCCAGCAGCTCGGCAAACACGTAGGTATGAGCGCTGGAGGTCGCATCCCGAACGATCTGGGCCGCGAACCGCGGAGAGGTTGAGTTACTGGAGGTTGCCAGTCCCAGGAATGGCTGCAAGGCCTCAAGGGCACGACTGTGAGCTTGGTCCATGATGATCTGCCGGTGCTCCTCGAACGTCGAACCTTGGGTAGGTTGATCTCCCTGGGCGGTCTCTCTGGCGGTGAAGGAAGGGGACACCAACTCTCGTCCCAGTTGCTTCCAACGCGTAACACCATGTGACCTTGTCTATCTTGGGATCGAGGCCCCATTTTCCGAGGCCACTCCATCGTGGCAAATAGGGAAGTTGGGATGAAAATATGATGGGAGGCCCCTCAGAACAGTATCATAAACTCATACGCTTGAATATCGAGGCCCAGGAAACATAGGACGGACGAATAGCTATTCGTATGATTCTTGGTACATACTAGTATGCTTCTATGGTTTTCGGTTCGCGTTACTGCGTATAGGCACAATTTGATTCTGAAGAAATAAGTTATTCTACCTTAGATTATTGTGACTGCTGCACGCTACTATTAGCGAAGAATACAATATGACTCTAGGGCCTGGCGAACGTCAGGTGACATCCCAACCTCATAGAGACTGCTGGTAGGGAATCTCACTGGAAGAACTAAGCTGTGGCCGTAAAAGGTAACTTTTGAGACTTTTCGGGAAGTTGAATACAGTAATGTGTTGCGTAACAGTGACAAAGGAGCTTCAATTCTGCTATGAAATGTGAATATATATTGAGACCCAGGAGATGGATAGCAACTTGAATTGGAAAATGACATGTGAGACCAAAGTTTAGGCAACCATGTGGTATTTCTTGATATGCCTTGCACTATATTTGCATACTTATAAGAGGAGCCGCTTCTAGGGTTTGGGATTTTCTAATGTACCTGGTGTAGTGAATTAATTAGCTCAACACAATATTTGAGTTACAAACTGCATATGCTTCTCATTACGAGTAGAATACTAAGGTTTCCCGATAGTCAGCTCCAACTTTAAGTCCGACCCCAACTAAACATGAGAGGCTGATGGTGCCAAAAATCAGAATCAGTCCTCGTACTTTACTAGGGCCTAGAAGTATTTTTCAGAATTTGATCCCACTCGAAGACCTGGATGTTTTGATTATTTCTCGAAGTCACCTTTTTTTCTAGGAGTGCTAGGGTAATTGCCTGGTAACTGCTTATACAGAAAGTGGCCCTCGGGCGGCGTTACGCGTGGATCACAGGTACGTGCACCCCGAAGTATACGCCTGCTAAAAACCGGGAATGCACGGCTAAACTATACTTGTATGCTCCAAGGAAAATCCTTGTAGCTGCTCGTATCTGCATGATCTGACTGGCCCTGATAGACCATTCCACGCAGGATTTGTGTGCTTATGGAACCGTGGCTAAGAGTTGCACAGAGCTGGTTCTTGCTGTGCCCTTCGACTCTGTATCTGAAACAATCTTCAGCTTCTGACACGCCGATGTCGTTTGGGATTTGATCAGCCCACCTTGGACAGATCCGCTTTCAGGCCACATGGAAGTGAATGTCCCGGGGCATTGAATGCATCGAAGATGGGAGAACTCAAGCCGGCACATCCGGCCCCTTTGTCCCTTTGTCATTCGCTTATGTCGTCCTAGAATGCATTCCTTAACGCGGCGGATCCCTCCCGCCCTTCTGCTGCGTAATGTCCTCTCCACTTTTCTTCGCCCATTTCCACGTCTTCTTTATTAAACCCTCCCCTGCCTCGAGGCCCTGGTGGCGAAGGTTGCTCGTATTCTTCCTACCCATCCGAGCCAGCGTGTCGTTGATCCGATAGCGCCCGTACTATTTGATCACGTCACAACTGCCAAGCGAGCACCTTATTTCCTCTGCATGCGCTGCGCTCAACACGTCCTTCATCCGAGGTCGCCCTGATGCGATAGACACTCCCTCCTTTTTCCCTTCGATTTCTCCGCCTGCCGCTACCTTTACGCCCCCAGGGGTGGTGCGCGACAACGCCTCCCTTACCACTATACCCACCATGGCCACCACAACGGTCAAAGTTGATGGCATGACGTGCGGGGCCTGCACGTCTGCTGTCGAGGGCGCCTTTCAAGGGGTAGATGGGGTAGGCGATGTTTCCGTGAGTCTGATGATGGGCCGCGCTGCGATTCAGCATGATCCGGCAATACTTTCTCCGGCTCAGGTTGCGCGCTTGATTGAGGACTGTGGATTTGATGCAACTATTCTGTCGACAGAGGAAAAGAGCACGAGTGCCAGCGCCAGCATACCGAACGGAAATGCGACACAGTCATCTACAACAACCCTTGCGATTGAGGGCATGACATGCGGTGCGTGTACGTCTGCGGTCCAGAGCGGCTTGACTGGAGTCGAGGGTGTCAACTCGGTCGATGTGTCGCTACTCGCAGAACGTGCAGTAGTCGAACACGATGCAGAAAAGATTACCCCAGAGCAAATCGCGGAAATCATCGAGGACCGAGGCTTTGGGGCTCGAGTGGTCGAAACGAAGACGAATGATGGGGATCAGCCAACGCTGACCGATTTGATTGAAACCAGACGTGGGCTCATGGCTACCACGGTATCTATCGGAGGAATGACTTGTGGTGCTTGTACATCCAGTGTTCAAAGTGCATTTTCTAACGTGGAGGGTGTTGTCCAATTCAACATAAGCCTGCTCGCCGAGCGAGCGGTAGTTGTGCATGATCCTACCATCCTGGGCACGGAGAAAATCATCGCCCTGGTTGAAGATGCTGGGTTTGACGCGTCGATCGTGTCCTCTGAATCGCAGGAGCCGCTTCCACGAAACACTCAGCAGCTGCATATGCATCTTCATGGGTTACGAGATGCCCAGTCCGCTGTTGCCTTGGAAGAAGCTCTACTGCAACGACCGGGTGTCAAGTCAGCCTCGGTTAGTCAATCCGAATCCTTGCTATCAGTCACTTTAGACACGTCTATGACCGGCATCCGATCTGTGTTCGAGTTCATTGAGGAAGCCGGCTACAACGCACTACTCGCCGATATGGACGATACAAATGCTCAGCTCGAGTCGTTGGCAAAAACGAAGGAAATCCAGGAATGGCGTCGCGCTTTCCTGACATCTTCTTCTTTCGCCGTTCCGGTCTCCGTCATCAACATGCTCTTGCCCATGTACATGCCCAGCATTGACTTTGGCGCTTTTGAACTTTGCCAAGGCCTTTACCTCGGGGATCTGTTATGCCTGGGGTTGACTGTTCCTGTACAATTCGGCATCGGTCGACGATTTTACATCACTAGCTACAAGTCCCTCAAGCACAAGTCTCCGACGATGGACGTTCTGGTGATGCTTGGCACGTCCGCCGCTTTTTTCTATAGCTGTTTCACCATGCTTGTGGCCATTTTCAGTGAACCTCATAGACGACCCAGCACCGTATTCGATACATGTACTATGCTTATTTCGTTTATTACGTTAGGGCGCTGGCTGGAGAACCGGGCCAAAGGTCAAACTTCTGCTGCTCTCTCTCGTCTTATGTCATTGGCTCCGTCCATGACTACCATCTACGAAGATCCAATTGCGGCACAGAAGCTCGCAGATGGCTGGACCGCCAAATCTGGGTCAAGCGATTCCCAGCCAGCTTTGCCCGAAGATACGACTGTGAACCAGAAGATGATCCCAACCGAGTTAATCCAAGTTGGAGACATTGTCGTTCTCCGGCCTGGAGATAAAGTCTCTGCGGACGGAATCGTCATTCAGGGCGAAAGTTACATGGATGAGAGCATGATCACGGGAGAGGCCCTGCCAATTCATAAAAAGAAAGGTAGCCATGTCATCGCGGGCACCGTCAACGGCACAAGCGCGCTTGATTTCAAAGTGACCCGGGCAGGCAAGGATACCCAACTCAGCCAAATTGTAAAGTTGGTACAGGACGCACAGACTAGTCGCGCGCCCATACAGCGCATGGCAGATATCGTTGCTGGTTATTTTGTCCCGGCGATTATCGCCTTGGGGCTGGTCACCTTTTTCGGCTGGATGTTTCTTAGCCATGTGCTTCCCCGCCCACCTCAGATCTTCACGTCAGATGACTCTGGTGGCAAGATCATGGTTTGTCTCAAGCTTTGCATTTCCGTCATTGTGTTTGCATGTCCCTGCGCCCTTGGTCTCAGTACCCCTACGGCGGTCATGGTCGGCACAGGTATAGGGGCAGAGAACGGCATCTTGGTAAAGGGCGGACCAGTGCTCGAGGCTGCTACGAAGGTCAACCACATCGTCTTTGACAAGACAGGTACGTTGACCACCGGGAAGATGAGCGTGGCTCAGGCCCAGATTGAGCCTCAGTGGACAGCCAACGACTGGCGGCGTCAGCTGTGGTGGCTTATTGTTGGCCTTGCCGAGATGGGCAGTGAGCACCCCATTGGTCGAGCCATCTTGGCTGAAGCGAAGACTCAGTCAGGGCATCCCGAAGATGGTGGCCTGCCCGGTAGCGTCGGCGACTTTGATGCTTGTGTCGGCCTGGGAATTTCCGCTGTCGTTGAACCTACCTCCAGTGCCGAACGCGTCCGCTACAACGTCCTTCTCGGAAATGTCCCTTTCCTGCGGTCCAGAAATGTGCTTGTCCCCGCATCGGCCAATCCTGAACCTTTGGAGACTGCAGAGGACCCCGACGGTGACGATTCTGAAAGCCTTGCCAAGCCTAACAGCGGCTCCGGAATGACACGCATTCATGTTGCTATCGACAGCCAGTATGCCGGCGCGCTTTCCCTCCTGGACAGCGTCAAGGACTCATCAAAAGCAGCAGTCGCAGCTTTACACCGCATGGGTCTCGCAACTTCCATGGTGACGGGCGATACATTGTCCACGGCGATGTCAATTGCATCTGCCGTCGGCATCCCCACATCCGCGATCTACGCGTCTGCGTCGCCATCGGACAAACGGGAAATTGTTGCAAACCTCCAAGCCAAGGGAGAGAGAGTTGCCATGGTCGGTGACGGAATCAATGATTCGCCCGCGCTGGCCACTGCAATGGTTGGAATCGCACTAGCCTCTGGCACCGACGTGGCCATGGAAGCAGCAGACATCGTTCTGATGCGCCCAGATGACCTCCTCAGCGTCCCAGCGAGTCTTTCCCTCTCTCGCACTGTCTTCACCCGCATCAAGTTGAACCTCTTGTGGGCCTGCGTGTACAATGTGATCGGCCTGCCCTTTGCGATGGGCATCTTCTTGCCTTTGGGCGTCATGTTACCTCCCGCGGCGGCTGGAGCCGCCATGGCTCTGTCGGGTGTCTCGGTCGTTTTCAGCAGCCTCCTTTTGAAACTGTGGCATCGCCCCTCGTGGATGACTGTCGAAAGTCTTGAAAAGGAGATCAGCTCCGGTGCATTTTCTTACGGCATTCGCACCCGCCATGCTTACAAGAATAGTTTGTGGGGACCTATCAAACCTCCTTCACCTTATGACCCTGCATATCTCCTGCGTTCGGTCACACACGGCGCTTCTACTCTGTGGTCGTCGATCACTGGTAAAAAGACTGCTGCTGTCCGTGAGGACGAGGGGTACATTCCTCTGCGGGCCATCGAATCATCTGTCTGAATGTATTATGTGCCGGTCAAGTAAAGGCGGGAAGGCGAGTTCTGCTTATTTCGGGATGTTTTACCCTTTTTTTTCTTCATTTTCTTTTGTCTAGCAGTCCTCAAGTTATGGTGATCTTGGATATACCACGGCGCATATGATTATGTGACATGTTTTGATACCTCTGCTGTTCAGCCGATTTAAAGGCATTTATCATTATCCCAAAGCTCGGAATGAAATTCTTTGTACATTCAGAAGTTTACTAGATCTTTCAATAGCGGAAGACACGATGGTGTTGAACACGCGCTCCTCACCCCGTTTATCGAGGCACAGGGTAAACCCAGACAAGCAGCTATCAACAGCGTCTGCGTAATTGGTACCACTCTCCTTGTGTACCCTTTCAACGAGCTTTGATACAGTCTCAAAGTTCGTGACTAGTATGTCCTGATTTTCATCATCCGGGTCTATCAGTTGATGCAGAAGAGACTTGCCCACAGATAGCTCAACCAATGCAATCCCTAGAGGTAGTAGACGATTGCTGCCGACGCTAGAATGCTTGGTTCGTGATTCCTGCATCGTGTCTGTTTAAAAAAGTTACCAGAATAGGTATATGTCATCGAATGACACATTCCTCCCGTCAGTACGTTCCACCGGATATTGTTGTGAACAAGCCGTGTGCGTGCTTGCGTGCCTCCTGGTAGGGTTTGAGAAAATAATACCTAGTCTGGCGCTTCTTCTTAGCGTCCTCTCGATCCGACTGATCGACGAGAGTTTTGAGGGCTGAGTTCACTCCGCTGATCTTCGCGAGGAGGTCATCGTGCACGGCCCCGATTCAAAATTTCGAAGTTTTTAAACCTGATAGGCTTCGGCAACTGAGGAGTGCTGGACCATGAATCGAAATCAGTGCCGGCCCCGACTTGGACGCAAAGAATCAAGTATACCAGGACTGACCTGATTTGACATGCCAGTCCCCTACGTTGTTAGATAGTCGTCCCAACAACTCAGAAAGAGCGGTTACGTTGTCAATGTACACGTCGTAGTCCCGGTTCAGCTTCAAGCGCAGTTGCTGTTGTAGATCTAGGGCTTTCCGTCCATCTCCCTGTGGGTCGCGAACGAGCTCGGATCCTTGTGATTCTCTTTCTGGACTTGTATACTAAGCCTTCTCTAGAATGACTCAAACGACATCGCCATCAAGGGACGGATCAGTGAAGACTTCCGAGATGAGCTCTTTCACCTCACCAGGCGTATAGTCAAAGAGAAAGTTCGAATCTGATCTTCGAGCTCGGTGCATCAAACCAGTGGTGATCGCAGCGTGGACAAAATTCATCTCGCCCTAAAGGGAAGCCCCGACATTCAGTTCGACGAACGTGAAATAAAAAGACAGTGGTCGCAACACCCACTACTGCGTACATGTATATTGTACGGAGGAAAAGCCTAAACCGAGGATGAAGAGGAGATCCATACTTGTAGCCAGTAAATGGCGGTTTTACTTCGGTCTCCTATGGTCAGTTTGAGCCAGGAAATCTTCACTGTACTGTCTATCACGTAAAATAGTATGTACGGGAAATTCTGCTGCTAGTAAGGGGGGGCTCTTGAAGGTCAGTTTGCCTAGAGATGTCTCAACCGCACCCAAATTTAGTTCAGCCATGACGAAAAAAAAACCGAAGCAATCAACTTCTGCTTCAGACATTATGTTTCCCTAACAGTCTGCTCAGGTCATCGAGTCCTACGATATGAGACATATATGAACGTCCTGCATCTCGATTCATGGTAGTACTGCAGACCTTTCCATTTGAATACGAACAGCATCACGGTTTAAAGGGCTTCCTCCAAATCCCTTTGTACTGGTCTCAGGTTGATCTGCACGATGACGTCGGGCGGTTCGTCTTATCATTCGTGTTCCCTCGATTGAACCAACCACACCCTCACTAGCGGCGGATATGGGTCCATCATACCCCTCTATCTGTGTGAGTCTGCGGGGAAATACTAATCCTGCTTCTATGGGAGGCTAATCCGACAGCCAGAATTGGAACCAAGCGCTGCGCCCACGACCATGTACCTAGACGTACATAGCAACTAGGAGGGCCGTAAGACTCACATGTAAATGACCTACAGCGGCCGTCCCCAAAATAGCAATGATACCATCCTTTTCGAAAGTCCCGCTCAATTACGAGAATATGTATATCCTGCCAAACTCTTGCAGACCACGCAGCATCCACCACTTTTACTGTACCCCTGCAACTCGAAACTGGCGCCTGGGATCTCGACTCAACTCCCTCTCCGATTACACTTTCCGCCGCTTCTCACGAGAGAAAGTAAGGCGAGGACCCGAACGTGTGGAAACCGTCAGGTTCGCCCATTACACATCCGTACAAGATACATGATTTTGCACTAGTCTGTATGTTGAGGCATTTACAGAAAAATTCCCGTCTGTTAGCCCCATTCTTGGGTCCTTCAGCGGGGCTTGCATGCAGCCCAGAGAGGACAGGTGGAGAGCGGCGCCCCCCCCCCCAGTCCCATGGCCCTACGAGTCTAGTGTAAAGCATCCAGCATCCAGCATACGAGCGCTCTACCCAAAAAAAAATCGAAGTCAATTGCCCATCGCGCCACGAGCCACAGAACGCCAATGATATCAATAGTCGCACCGTGCTCCCGTAAGATCCCCAAGATAAGCAAAGCCATGCCTCCCCCTATAAGCCCGAGCGCGTATTGCTCATGGGCCCGCTCAACATACCACCGTGCCCGCGCCATTCCGTTTCTAGCATCTCGGTGTTACACGCTTGCTCACCTGCGCCTCCGACTTCACCCGCTGAGTTCTGGTCCTCAGGCGGCTCTGGGCTGAGGGGTGGCGCAGGGGACAGGAGCCACGGATGACATCGTGCATGTCGGAGCACTCTGCTCCTTGGCCCCGAGGCCGTTACGACTAGGGAAATAGTTCCTTATGCTAAGGAAATTGGGCAGAGGCTATACTGGGGACCCGTGCGCCAGGCACGGTGCAACCTTACGAGATGTACCAGGATGTTGAGGCCTGGGGTCTATGGTCTGGTCGTGGTGGCTTGATGTGGTGTTTATTTGGTGGGGAGGCGCTTAACGGCTATTGGCGGGGCACGCTTCTCCTAGCCTGAAGACGGTTGAGGCAGAGCTGCTGATGACCGCATTGGCAAAGGGGATGTATGAGTATTACGAGAAACATACCTGTTTCTTTTTTGCATACCAGGTGAGACAAGAGACAGAAGCAGAAACAGCAGAGGTGCCAATTGAGGCGACGCGAAACCATTGGGAGGCCAAACGCGGGGAAGTATAGCGGGCATACCGGGTGCGCCTGGAGAAGCGAGGGGAAGGAGATACGAACGAGTAGGACAGCTACTTATTCGACGATGTAACAGATATGTAGGCAGACTAGGTTGTATCAATTGTACATCTATCTCGGCTCATCTGTTCCTTACTACCAATGCCCCCCCCCACGCCTGGGTATCACTTCAATCTCGGGGTGGTTTTCATTTATGCGGACATGTTGGCAGCGGACTCCTCAGGCCAGACGTCGTAGCCGAAGGTATCCTTCATGTTCACGAAGCGGAAGTGGCGGCCTCGGCCACCTTGTTGACAGCCTCGAAGTCTTCGTCGGACAGTTCGATGGACTTGAAGTTGGACTCAATTCGCTTGGGGTTCGAGCTCTTGGGGAGCACACTGTAACCGCGACGCAGACCCCAGGCAATCAGCACCTGGGCGAGGGTGTTGCCGCCCTTCTCGGCAATGGCATTGAGGGTCTTGTTCTCGCTGACCCGCTCCCCGGTGGTGGGGACCTGGTTCTGCGAGCCGAGTGGCGAGTAGGCCTGGGGCATGATGTTCTTGGAGAAACAGTAGTTCACCAGCTCAGTGTTGGGCAGGAAGGGGTGAATCTCGATCTGGTTGACGTGGGGTTGAATCTTGGCAAACTTGGCCATCTTCTCCAGCCCGGGGATGGTCCAGTTGGACACACCGATGGCCTTGGCCTTGCCATCCTCATACAGCTTCTCCATGGCGCGCCAGGTCTCCTCAGGGTTCTCGGTCAAATCCTTCAGGATGACATACTGCAACGGCGCGGGTTTGTTAGCGATCTTCTGGCTGCTTCTATGACACCGGAGGAAGCCAGCGGAGGGGGGGGAACGGGTTCAAGAGCTTACCTTTCCATCGGGACCGATCTTGGGCTTCTCCTGGCCATCCTTCTCGGCAGCGATGGGCCAGTGGACCAGGAACAGGTCAATGTAGTCCAGCTTCAGGCGCTTCAGGGAGTCGTTGGCGGACCAGATAACGTCGTCGTAGCGGTGCAGGTGGTTCCACACCTTGGTGGTGACGAAGAGGTCCTCCCGCTTGACGGAAGGGTTCTCCTTGAGGAAGTCCTGGATGGCATCGCCCACTTCACCCTCGTTGAGGTAGTACCAGGCACAGTCCAGGTGACGGTAGCCGGTCTTGAGGGCCGTGGTGACGGCAGCGTAGGTCTCTCCAGAAGCACCCTCACTGGCGAAGGTGCCGAAGCCCACGGCGGGCATGACCTTGCCGTTGCTCAATGTCAAAGTGGCCTTGTTAGACATGTTGGATCAATTCTCTCTTGTATCGAACTGCAGAGGAGAGAAGAAGAAGGAAGACAGAAATTATTTCGGTGGGGTGGTTAATAAGAGGACCGATGACGCCCTTCCAAGGTTGTTTGGGAGTGGGGATGGAGGGGCACCGCTGTCCGCGCTCTTCTTTCCCTGTATTTGGCGACGTACGATCTACTTCTATCCATTTCTCCGACTATACCAGACCCCACGGAGCAGCTCCGTTATGTGTCGATCTAGCTGTCTACATGGGTCATTGGGGGTGATTCTGGATGCTCTCCGTGCCTGGATAACGGGCTGAAGCTTTCGAAATTTCACGTAATTTTCAGAAACCCCGCCATGACATCACTTCAAGGCTGGCTTGACCCGTCGCGATCGTCATTGCCCTTCGATCTCCTGCAGCTTCCACGGGTGAGGGGCGAGCGCAACCAATGAAGGATTTGACATGGTACGGGCGGGGGTCTCACGATTGCCCAATCACCGTAACTGGAACCCTCTTCTGGCCCAGACCTTCGAGTTGAGCCAATCATCACACCCGAGTCCTATTGACTAGGGTTGTAAAGAGACTAGACCCGTTTGCTTCCTACCTCTCCCGCTATAGCTGCCTGTTGTTGCTAACACTGGCAATGACGATACTTTTTGGGCGAGGCCAAAGATACCGGCTTGAATGGACCCCACTTACGGTAATAATCTGGAGTCGCGAACGATACCGACTCTCGATCCTTGGCGCGAGTTTTGAATTTTGGGATAATCTATTCCCTGTTTGCACGTCCCTGCGCAATGATACCATGCCCTTCTGGGGAGGAACTTCTATATATACGCGCATTCCCTCTCCATCGGACGACCATTCGGTCTCTTCTCGCTACACCCCAGCTCTTCGTCTTTCAATCCCGCTCTCCCTATCCAATACTCTCCACCCTCGTCCCCATTGGACACTAATAAACCATAGACAGTGACTCCACTTGCTGCCCGCAGACCCGCTCTATACACTTCTAAATCCTTCCTCTTCACTCCCCCACAACCCCCCACGACAATGCCTCGTTATGACGATGCGGACTTTGGCGTGCCGCCAGCCAATCCTCCCGGTCGCCCTGCACTGGTGTCGCGCCGGAGTGCCGCAGCTGGTCTGCCCATTCCGAGCGGCGGCGGTGCCAACACAGTGGAGATCCCCACCACCCGTAGCGCGATCAGCGATGCCGCTGCGCTTATGCATAATTTGAGCTTGTCGCCATCTATGAAGGAGCGTCGTGGCTCGCGCAACTCGTTTGGCACTTCGCTGCCAATTCCGCGTTCGCCGCGGCGCTCCCGCTCCCGCATGCCCGGAGGCCCTGCGATCTCTCAGGATATTCTGGTCTCGCAGGTCCAGGATATGTCAAAGGAGAAGGTGGAGAAGGCGAAGAACATGGCTTTTGCATTCGATATTGACGGTGTGCTGGCACACGGCACCGAACCCATTGAGGAGGCCAAGGAAGCCCTGAAGATGCTGAACGGTGACAACGAGCTTGGGATCAAGATCCCTCACATTTTTATCACCAACGGTGGTGGCAAAACCGAGCAGGCGCGTTGTGAGCAGCTGTCTAAGATGCTCGAGGCTCCCATCTCGACCGAGCAATTCATCCAATCACATACCCCCATGCAGGCCTTGTCCGAGTACTACGAGACCGTCCTGGTATGTGGTGGGGAGGGCTTCAAGGTGCGCGAGGTCGCCGAAAACTACGGGTTCCGAAACGTGGTCCATCCGAAGGATATTCTGGCGTGGGACCCCACCATTTCGCCGTGGCGATCATTCACCGAGGAGGACCGCAAGCAGGCCAAGCCGCGCGATTTCTCCCAGATGCAATTCGACGCCATCCTCGTGTTCGCCGACTCATACGACTATGCCACTGATTTCCAAATCATTATCGATCTGTTGATGTCGGAAGACGGCAAGCTCCTGACCCGTGCGAAGGACCCGGTCGCGACTCGTATTCCTATCTATTTCTCCCAGGGTGACCTGGTCTTCCCTACCAACCACAAGGGCCCGCCACGTCTCACTCAGGGTTCCTTCCGTATCGCTATCGAAGCCCAGTACAAGGCATTGACCGGTGTCGACCTCGAGCGTGTCGTGTACGGTAAGCCCGAGCGCGCTACCTACACCTACGCCGACGAGGTCCTCAAGGCTTGGATGGAGGAACTCCACTCCGAGAACAGACTCCCGAAGAACGTCTACATGGTCGGAGATAACCCCCCAGTCCGATATCATCGGTGGTAACATCTACGGCTGGAACACCTGTCTGGTCCGCACGGGTGTGTTCCAGGGCAAAGAGGGAGAGAATGATGCCCACAACCCGGCCAACTTCGGCGTGTTCGATAACGTGCTTGATGCTGTCAAGGCTGCGATGCGCAAGGAGCTTGGAGACGACTTTCAGTTCAAGTGGAACCCGAAGGTGAACCCCGTGCTTCATGGCGATGGTGCCTCTGCCATTGAGTAGTTTCATTTGGCTTGGACTGTCAGCCTGCACCTTCCATGTCACGCCCATGATTGACGATCACAAATTATCGCCTGGTATAGATGCGCTCTATGAAGCAGGTATAGTCACAAACATACTTCCGACGGCATCGGGAGTTTCACTGCGGTGTTTCCTTGTCTTTCTGTTGCTAGACTTACGTTTTTTTGCATGTCGCACTTCTGAGCTCAGGATGTGGTTTGACTTTTGATATCCAGAGCCCTCGAGTGGCTTCTTATTTTCTCTTCTTGTTACTTATTCTTTCATATATAAACTTTAAATGGATTGGATGTTTTACTCCATTGCATCCCGAATGCTGAGTAGTCCGTCTGCAGGGCTCCAACAATATGGTCTGACCAAGATCTGTGCTACGAATGAACTGAAAAGAAGCAGCGGAATATGTTGTTGGTCACTCACCTGTATGTGACTGAGGGGGCATGCAGGCGGAAACAAGATCATTCGAAAGAGCAAAAGATCAAGAATGAAGAAGGGCTTCTCTGGGTAGGTGTTGTCCAGCTTCTTCCCCATGGAAACCACCCTTTGAATCCACAGCTTCTCACCAGCTACAAGGAACCGCCGAATCGTGGATCCGTTGATGTCTCGGGCCCAGGCTGTCCTCGCAGCACGCCTGGTCTCCTTATGTGGAACATACTCAACGATGAGTGGTGCCGAACCACCCACCCTCATGGCTCTATCAATCTAGGCGTCCCGAGGTGACGTCCCAAGGCCCCAGATAGTTAGTTAATTAGTTAGTTAACTAACGCGCTGATGTAAGACGAACTCCTGCAGTTTATCAACAGGAATCTCGAATTGCCCAATCTCCTCACATTTAACGGAGCATGAGGAAGCTCAAATAGCAGAGTAGGATGTGCCACACAATTATGTATTATGAAGTACATATATGTTGTGATAGAAAAAAAACCAGTGAGGCTCTCAGCTGCGAAGGATTGAGCCACACCGACGGACCCAGGCAGCAGAGCCGTTGCAGCCTAGCTCTGAGCTCTTCTCCAAACAAGTTGGTCGCCTTACCAAGGGCCCAAACACTAGATATAAGGACCGGCTGTTCGCTCGGAAATGGTGAATTGAATCAAACAAGAATTAATGACTACGAAAACCATGGACCCATCCGCCTCAAAATACCACGTCAGCGTCGGGATCCCACCAGCAACAGCCGACAAGGCCCTTTTGCTAGTCATACTCGCCGACTTCGACGAGGCACACAAGAAAAAGCTCATAGAGCATCTCCAGTCTCCGGATGCGAACTACGTGATCGAGCCGTGGTGCCCAAGCCCCTCGGTTCTGCGATTGCTTGCCCCCCAGACCGACCGGCGGGACAGCCTATCTACTCTGTACGCCCTCGCTATTCTGGCCCATCGGGCCGGGCGCGAGGGCTTCATCGTCGCAGATGAGGCTACTAAGCGCCGGGTTGAGGGCCATTTTCCTGTTCGCGGGGAGAGGGCAGTTATCTCGGTGGTGATGGTCGCCGTGCGCAAGGACGAGAGCACTGGCCGGCTGCGCGTCATTGTGAAGCGCGAGTCCATGCGTGGCGAGGATGACAGTGAAGAGGGAGATATCGAGGAAGAGGCCGATGGTAGCGAGCGCGAGCGCGAGCGCGAAGGCCAAAAATTTGATTTAAGTACTGCTCTTCGCAGCTTCGAGGTGAAATATGATTTCCAAAACGCACAGAGACTAGATAAGGAACCGGCGATATACTTCGAGCTTGGCTTCGAGCTTCACGACCCCGAGGACTTGCCTTTTACGCCGTGTACTGCTGATTACTTCGCATTCGAGGCGAGTACAAATGGGTTGGTGCAGGCTATGGCTGAGAGCACACCATTGCCTCCTGAGCTGGTGATGGACGTCACGGCAAGAGCCAATAGGCAGATAGGGGAGCCGATTCCGCTTCCTGAGGATTTGCAGACTGCGCACACGGACCCGGTTATCAATATCCTTGTTTGCTTTCCGACGACGGAGGGTCAGCGGGCAGAGTTGCAGGCTGTCCTTCAGAAGGCAGTCCACGAAAGGTTCGAAGACCTGGCACTCCAAAGAAAGAATGAGAAAGGGGATCAAGACGCAGATGAGAACAAAGCTAATGAGGGAGCACTTGAAGATGAATGCCAAGAACCCAGCGTCCGTCTGATCCCTTGGGAGAAGGATCACAAACCATCTCGCCGTGACATTACTATTATGCACGAAGGGCTTATCTCGAAAATAGAGTGGGAACATTACCGTAAGAAGTTCAAGGCGCCTTATATTCTGTCGGCAACCATTCAGGGCGAGGACCTTCTTTCATGCCAGCTGCTGTCCATTTGTGAAACGACGCTGGGACTTGGTGTTTATTGGACATCTCTGCGTGACATTGTGAAGCAGAAACAATGCAGTGATGAATGGGAAGCCTGCGGGAAATTCGAGGACAATGTGGAACTTCTTCCATATCCAAAGATCCAGACTGGCTTTGATAAGCCGTTCTATCCCACCCCGCGACCTGGGTATCCTGCCGGACGCTATCTATCGCTTGCCTTAATCTTCCTCACCAACAAGCTCACCCGCAGCCAGATCGAATCTATTTACAAAGAGGTCGTGCAACTTGGACAGTACGATGACCCCTCGTTTCGAAAGGTTGTCTGCCCTGTGCCCTGGAAGGAAGGGGAGGAGGACGCAGAGGATGGCACGGTTGAGGATATGTATAGGCTTTACCAGGAGTACCGAGAGAGATGCGAAGGATCTGTCGTGTTTGTTGATCAGCAATCTGCAGTTGATCACAAAGTCATCGTGACAGGGGCCCTGTCCTTCTCTTCGTACGGTCGACCAGATGTAGATGAGCTATTGAAAGACGTTCCGAATGCCAAGTTCCGAGGCTTTCAATATGGACGAAAGAAGGGCCGTGAAGCCTGGTGTGTGTGGGCTAACATCAGCCTTGGGAACATGGACATCGAAGAGTGCTTCGATGACGAGAGTGACGTGAACACTTATCTACGACCTGATTGGCCATATCATCATAAACTTGATGAATTTGGGGATTGGGTTGACTCTGACGCTGGCGAGGACGAAGGGTAAGGAAACGGAAACGAAGGATCAGATTGAGGACATTGGTCATCGGAGTATTGACACTTGAAGAAGAGTCAAATACAACGTGGAATAGTGTCGGTATCTGCATCCAACCCCTTTTCTTCTGGATGATTTCTACGAAGCTCCTCAAAGTACACACTAATGCCAAGATCAACCTGTGCACGTGTGCAGCTCGGGCCAGCCATGGATCAAAGACCCGGCCCGCACCTGCACGATGTGGTCATTTCGACCGTCATGAACCCACCTCCCGCCAAGCACAAGTAGAGGAGTCAGTGGAAAAAGAAGCCAAGGCTCGGCAACCCTGAATCCGCAAACTATTGTTTTGACCTGTTCATCTTCGCGCCAGCAAGGAGAATGCCCTATAGCCACACCGCCTCGTAGGATCGCCGTCTCGCGAGCCCTTGGCAGATAATCGCGGGCCAAAGTCCTCTCGGCGCAGGACTGCTTGCGCAGAGCTCCGAGTTTCGGACAGAGTTGGGACCAGCACCAGATGGCGACGGAGTCGGGGAATCTAACATCATGCGAGATCACGATACGGCGGGCCATCGCCCAACCTCGGAAGATTGTGCAGGACCTAGATAATAAGCCTTTGCCAACCCCATATTGGCAGACCAAATGGACATGGCGCTATTACGCGGACAGGCCAGCCGCGTGTCCCCCAGAATCGAGTCAATTAGCGCATGGGGAAGGAGGAATGCAGGGGATCGGGAGCACCTGCCGACGAGCAAGGTCCTCCTTGTTGCTTGGAAATGTCAATTGATGACTTGGCGTGGGGCTAGTGGCAGATCATGGGCTTTCGCACCGATGAGCTGGCAGAGCAGGAAGAGCGGGAGGTTCTATACTCCAAGGCCGAATTGGAGAAGGATCAGGTGATGGTCTATTAGGTAATTCCGACGCGTGCCCCCGCATGATCGGCCGCCTTGGCCAATCAGAAACGTCGAGGTTGTAGTAGCGGTTACCTAACAAGAACCCAAACGTGGTCCGGGGTATAGCGGGCTTGACTCGTCTGGCTTAGTTAGAAGCGTAAAGTGGTCTGTTGAGACCTGCTGACCTGTCGCTTGGTCCGGTTGGTTCCTTCCAAGACTGTGAACAACCAGCGTCGACCTGAGGAGATCCTCGGAGATGGCGAATCAAGAATGCATGGCATAGTCAGACCGGCTCGGAGTTACTGCACTAATTCGGATCTTGATTAGAAAAAATTATTTATCTTGCTGATCTTGGTGGCACTAGTTCCTGCCCGTTGAGGCTTAGTTCAGATCCAAAAACCCGGGTTCCCGTTATGTCATTTATTCGCCAGAAATTTCAGCATTGAATGAGAAAGAAAAGTCTGACGGTCTGAGATGCCGATACAGAGATCCTCAGAGTTCTGGGACTTTCTGCGAGATGCTTAGATGTTATGTAGTATAGTAGGCACCGGTCCGGCAAGGACGATACGCACCCGGATGCGGAATGCCATACATTCGCGGGGGGGCCAATGGAAAACGTATGGAATAAAAAAAGAACAAAATCCCGGAAAAATTCCAAAAAAAGCAAATCGAGGCTGCAGGGTAGCTTGTCCCATCGGACTAACCGTGTCTGGGTGGCGATGACTCTAAACTCAAAGAACCGCCACCGTTAGAGCCACTACTTAGACCACGCTTCGTGCATTCTTCACGTCCAACTTGATCATCACCTTCTGCATTTTGTCCTGGCTTCTGGCATACAAAGTCAGTGACTGCTCGATCTCGGGGACGCAGCCGCACCGCGACCGGGGAACCACACGAGTCTCCGACCTCGCAATCCTCCAACGGCCGTTTTTCCGTGACTAACAGCTTCGCGCCTTCGCTGTTTTTTTGACACCATTTTTGGTCCCCGCTCCGACTTAGACCTCGATCGCCTTCCCGTTTCTGGGTTTTCTCTTCCTCAAAAGCCCTAAACTTCCTGTGGAGTGGTCTCTCCGTTTCTGACCGGCCTTCCATTTCGGTTGGGACTTTTTGGGAAATCTGGGGAAATCCTTCGTTTAATTTGCTTTGCGGAATTTTCCCATTTTCGTTCCACATACTCCAAAGGCACCTTAGTGAACCTTGAGGCCCTTTATAGAGGGTCCGCCTGTCTCTCACCATGACTTCTCTCGCTTCTGTCCTGCACCTCAAGCCGACGTCGCCGCGCTTCACTTCGACCCCGACGAGTGAATCGCCACAGTCGCGCCCTCCTCTCCATCTTCCTGCGACACCTTAGACGGGTCCAGATCCAGCAGCCGTCGCCGCCCGTCGTTTGGCTCCATCAAAGAGGACGTGAGCGGTACGTGAATCTTCCTGTTGGCACCGGCTGAGGACTCTAATCTGACCGCTTCAGGCATTGCGCAATCCTTCGTGGACACTCATCGCGAGGCTTCGCCAGCATCGCCCACCTCGCCCACTTTGACTTCGCCCACTTCGACCTCACCCAAGGAAATAAAGGAGCCCCGCAAGTGGGAGCTTCCGGAAATGCAGCATTGCCCTGACTTCTGTTGCCCATGCGGTGGCTTCCTGGGGTGGAAGCAGATTCGTTTAGGAGGGAGGGGTCTGAGTCGCAGCTATGGGGATCTCCGTGTGTTGGGAAACTTGCAAGCCAAAGGCTGGGCCTGGGAAACTACTGACTCTGGAAGGGAACTACGACCACCTCAGGCCGACCTAGCTGTGGACCTCGCGCCTCCGCGGCCACCCCCAGGCACTTCGGCCATTGAGAAGCTCCCTCGAGAAGTTCTTGGTAAGAATCTCCATTTCCTTTGCCCCCCCCAACCTTCTACAGGGGATATCTAGTGTGTGGGTTACTGATTTTGTCCAGATATTATTATTTCCCACCTCGCAGTTGATATCCCGCCCAATGGATATACCCCACGAAACGTCGATTTGGTCTCATGCCTTCTAACTTCACGCACGTTGCACGCAGCGACTTTAAGTGTGCTCTATCGGAACATGACGTTCCCTCATTCCATCATCTTCTCCAAGGCACTCAACCATATGTCAACCTACCCAGCTTTGGGCACCCTGGTGCGTCGTTTGGATTTCTCACACTTCACCTCCGTTGGTCTTGGTCGTACCAAGCAGATGAATGCGGAGATCCAGAACTTAACCTCCAGAACCCTCTTGCAAATGCTCGATCTTCTCCCCAATCTAAAAGAGTGCCTGTTGCAGGAACATTTAGAAGGAGATATCAGCGTGGACGTGGTTCGGAAGCTCTTCATGGGATTGCCTAACCTGCAGGCAGTGGACTTGTGTGGCTGCTCTACCCAGTCATTCTCCCAGATCTTCCAAGAAGCCCTGACGGCTGGCCCGGCACTGCCCCCTGAGTCTGCCTAACTTGAAGCGGCTCTCGCTTCACGAATGTAGCTCCATCCCAGCACCTATGTTCGACCTGCTCTTGTCTCGATTGGTGAACCTGACGCACCTCGATTTGACACACACCCAGGTCAACGACTCGGCTCTTCTTGCAATCCCCGAAACCGCGTGTATCACTCACTTGAGTCTGTCTCGGTGCACTCGCCTTCGCCCGTCCGTCTTGGTTGAATTTTTGTCCACCCATCCGGCGGTTTGCGACTCTTTGGTATTCTTGAACCTCTTGACCGATGCCACTCGCTTCCGCCTACTTGAAGCGGACGACGTGAAGGCTCTCCTTCCGAAGCTTCCGCGCACTCTTCGATCATTGAACCTGGGCGGAGCACGAGTCACGTCTGAACATGTTCCACTCCTGGTTCCCCTGACCCGGCACCTAGAAGAGCTGGGCCTGAGTTCTGCGGACCTTTCGGTGAAGGATGTGAATCAGTTTTTCACTCGAACCCCTGAAACCGATCCTGAAGCGGATCCCGAGCAGAAGAAGCGCAACAGCACCCCGCTGCCTCCCAGCACTCTTTGCTACCTTGATCTTGCCAAGGTCACGCAGATGACTATCGGGTCCATCTTCAATTTGAACCAGTGCCTCCTCTTGACTGAGCAAAGCTACCCACTGCAGGTCATTGAGTTCAGTGAGAAGCTGATCAACCCTTTGCGCGAGCGTGCCAAGACTCAGCGTTCTTCCGTGGGCTGGACTGATCGAGAGCTCGGTCGCCGCGGTTGGTACGTGCGAGACCCGGCATCTATGCCCAATGTCCCAACGGATGACGGTGCTCGCTCTTGGAAGGTCGGAGCTCGGTGGTGGGGTATGCGCAAGATCCCCGTGGCAGTCGGAGAGGTCGGTGGTATCTACGGACACTACATGTTCAAGAAATGATGACTTTTTGCATTTGATGATACAGGAGAGCGTTGTGTTTATAAGGCTGTGCTTGGGAGTTTTGCTTGTCTCCTTTTGATATCTTGACTCTTTTTTTTTCTTTCTTTCTTTTTCTTCTTTTGCTTTTATCTTGTTCATCATTGCTGGTCGCCGATACCCTTGAACATTTTTCTTCTTTTTTCGCTTGATTTTCCCATTGGAATCTTTCTCTCGGCTTTTCTCTATGGGTGGCCTTGTTTCTCAATGATTACGAATGATGATATCCTACCGGTCTACGCATTTCGGCGCGCATGGTTTACGAATTTCGGCATTTGGCTCTTTGCTTCGGGTTCGTGTTCTGACCGCGTCTTTTGGTTTTGCATAGCATTAGGATCTCTCCAGCGCCTTATTCTCCTTTGCTCGGCGCTTATGCGGTCTTATCTTTTGGCGCTTGCTCACTCTACTCAGTCAAAATTCATGCATTCAAAAAAAAAAACCCTCGTAGATCAGAATTCTAATCCATTCCTCCTTTTAACCTAAACCTGAACTTGAACGGGGTGTTTATGCTTGATGGTTGATCTGAATATACAAGTAGGCCATAGAAAGGTCATACCATGATCGAGTCCATGGAAATTTAGATGCCTTGGACTCGCTGTATTGGGCTCGAACCCCTGTCTAGGTATTGACCCCCTAATACTTCCAAAGTTCCTGGCTGAAACTTTAAAAGGTCCCTGCATTCCTACATGGTAAATCGATCGGGTCAATGCCGTTTTCATGCTCTGATTTTATCTTTACTACTAATAATTCACAGACTCCACTCCAATTCCCTCTACACTGCCCCAAGGCCTAGCTAGTGCCTGGCCAGAGTTTTGAGACTTGGTATGGTACTGGCAACTGAAATAACGTCTTTGCTTTCAGTATGAGTTAGTTTTCATTCCGAATTTTACGAAGACCAAACCCCCCAGGCAAATGTTCTTATCGGTGAAGGCCTGGGCTAATCGCACGTGACTCTGCGACAAAGAGCTGCGGCTACTTTGCTATTCATTTCAAGCTTCATATGCACCGTCACGCCCCTCACACTAAAAAGCCCCAGCCCATCCTCTCAGCTGGATCTTTCAGATATTGATTTGTCCTGATGGGTTGTCGAGTCGTCGCTGCCCAGGACAGTGAGACCTGCCCAGACTCGCGACCATGGCGCCTTTAAGCGGCGCGGCGTCACTGAAGAAAAAAGATGGCACTGTGACGTTGTCAGAAGATGGGAAAACCCTCAGTTGGAGCCCAAGGGAAGCTGGAGGATCTGCAGTCAAGATTCCTGTATCTATCATAACAAGTGAGCATTTCCCCGTTCCAAACATCAAAATTAGCTGGCCGTTGCTGATCTCCACGACTCTCAGACTTGCAGCAGACCCCGCCTAGTGCCTCAAAAGTGATGCTCAAAGTTCTCGTCCAGCCACCCGATGCTCCTCCGAATACTCCGCCGGTCAACTATGTCTTTACTTTCACCGACAAGACAAATGCCCGCGGGCAAGCAGACGCTATCAAGGACGTACTCGGTCCCCTGCTGAATTCGGCGAGAAATGGAACCCCCTCGACCCCAGTCCCCGGTGGAGAGGGGATGTCTTCAGCTATGGCGATTGCGAGCGCGCTTACATCGGCAGCCACCGCGAAAAAACCATGGGATGACGATAATCGGCTCAAGGAAGACACCGATTTGCAACAGTCCCTCCTAAAGGCGAACCCAACTCTCCAAAAGATGTTCATGGATTCCCTACAAATCAAACCGGAAACTTTGACCTCTCGTCAGTTCATGGCGCAGTTTTGGTCGACCCGATTGCACCTTCTTCGAGCGCACGCGATCGAGCGTGCCCAGTCCCGCGGCGCCTACAACGTTCTTTCATCCTTGAAGCCTCGGGTCGAGGATAATGTCACACGATTGAATATCACTCAGGAACAGGTCCAACTCATCTTTGCTCAGCACCCACTCGTGAAGCGAGTGTACGACGAAAACGTACCAAAGCTGAATGAGCACCAATTCTGGTCACGGTTCTTTCAGAGTCGATTGTTCAAGAAACTTCGCGGTGAGCGCATCTCTGAAATGGATGCAACTGATCCGGTACTGGACAAATATCTTCGCGAGGATCCTAAGGGCCCTGAGACGGAGAATACCCACGTCCCGAACTTTCTGGATCTCGCAGGTAACGAAGACAACAACAGCCAACGTCGTGGAAATCGCCCCGATTTGGACATGCGACCATCTGGGGTGGATCGAATGCCCATTATCCGAACTCTGAACTCCCTCAGTGGAAAGATCATGGCCAACGTAGCTGCAGCGGATGGCGACCCTCACGCTCCAGCTGGGATGAACGAGGATACGTATTCGCAGCTTCGACTCCGAGACCTTGCTGGTGATGAAGAGCAAAATCGCATCACTCTAAATATTCGCGACCAGAGCCGCTTTTTCGCTCAGGCGCAAGAAGACCAAGAGAACCGAACATTTGCACAACAAGATCCTGATAAGATATTGAAGGCACTGCGCTTGGAAATATCGCGAGAGCTCCCTGCTGATGGCAATGCACAACTGCAGAGGCTTGTGGACCCTGGTGACGACGACGATGAAGAGATGGAGGATGCACCTACCAGCCAACGCCCGGTGGGGTCATCCGCTGCAATGCGTGATGCCTTGGGCCAGATTCTCTCTGCCGTGGGTGACCGCCGCAGTCAAATGAGCGAAACCTCCTCGAGCTCTGAAACATACGGGCTCTCCAGGGAGGTGTTTGATCGGGTAACCTTGACGAATGCGACATCAATAGAGTTCCTACATCAGTTCTGGCAGGCATTCCTCTCCGGTGACTCCGAGCGCGCTGGCGAAGTCAAGTCATTATCTGAATCACTCCAGCGCGCACTTGATCGTATCCAAGCGCTGGGCGATACAGCGGAAGAGGAGCGCCAGAAGGTTGTCACTCAGCAAAGAGAATACGTCCTAGAAGTACGCAAACGCACTGGGCGCAAGCTGAATACCAACTTCGATAGCATACCGGGTGGCATGAAGGCGGTACAGCAACTCCTCGGCCCTACCATCAGTGCCTTGAAAAAGGCATCTAGTCAGTACGCAACTGCCTTGGCCGAGGAGACTCGAGAAGCAGCTGCGGCTGCAGTTTAAATTCCTGGTCGAAAAGGGGTACGGCGTTCAATTGGGGGTTGGGGGTGCGCATCAGCGATTTGTATAATAATGAAACTTGCACTAGGTCTATGCTACTATGAAACTTGTTTCTCCCACTTGGGGCAAAAGAAGCCTTAGTAAACAAGCCGAAAGCAGATCGACCCAAATTTGCTGTTAGGGTGCCGAGGTTCCCCAGACTACAAAGACTCGGAGCGGATTATCGATAAAGATAAATGTGGCTTTTCTGCCGCTTTCTATCAACCTCTCCAACTCCCCCAACGCCAATCCCTCGGCGTCGGTATCGTCTTGCTCTAATGTGTTTTGGTAGGCGTTGAAATACGAAAGGGACCAATCTGTTGAGAATTGCAAGATGCTCACCTCCGGGTTGACCAACGCCCCGCTCACCAAGTCTCTCCTGGTCTACACTATCGCCTCTTCCATCGCCCTTTCCATCCTAGATGTGAAACACCTTGCGGTCATCCATGTGTCGCCACACTTCTGGCCGTATGCCCAATTCTGGCGCGCGCTGGTCTGGCAAGTTGCCGGCTTCGCGAATTCCACTGAAGCGTTATTTGCTGCGATGCTAGTGTATCACCTCCGCGTCGTGGAACGGGCGTGGGGGAGACGCAAGATGGCTGTAAGTCAACTCTTGTTGCCCTCAACCCCTCATTCCCACCGCTTGTCTCGAACACCGAAACTCATATTCTCTTTCAGACTTTCCTCCTCACCACCCTCCCATTCACCACTCTGCTCCCGCCGCTCCTTCTAGCTCTCGTCGCCCGCCCACTCTCCCTCAACACCTTCAACTACCTGCCCTCTGGTCCAACGGCAACCATCTTCGCTCTCCTAGCACAGTACCATGCTGCTATCCCGCATACTTACCGGTATCGCATCGGAACAACCTCTTCTCCCGCACCCTCCGGTTCAACCGGCGCGGATACCGGCGAGGACAATGCCCCAAACCCCCCATCAGCCAAACCCCCGACCCCAAGCTTAACGCTCCTGCTCTCCGATAAGTCCACCACCTATATCGTGGCCGCACAGCTCGCTCTCTCCCAATTCCCCGCCATGCTGTTCCCATCCGCGATCGGTTGGATAGTCGGCGTGGCCTGGCGCGCGGAGCTCCTGCCGGGCCTTTCCCCGTCGTCGGCGGGTTTCCGCGTCCCTGCGTGGGTAGTGGGCGAGCGTGAGCGGAGGGGCGGGGCAGGCAACGGTAGCTCAGGCAACGCGGCAGAACGCGAGCGATATGAGGATTTGAGACGGCGGTTAGAAGGTGAGGCTGCAGCATCTACCTCCGGAGCGGAGGACCCTGCAGGCCGACGCAGAAACGCAGCTGGTGATGGGAATGGCGAGGGGAGCGCCGGACTCATGGACCGTCTACGGGGTGCTTGGTAAAGTGTATGATAATATGATTTGAAATATGGGGCAGGATCTCTCCTGCCGTCCCCCTCCTCGGGGTTCTTTTCATCAATCGTATATTTCTGCACTGTCCTGTTTCTTGCTGCACAATCGCTGCTGGCCCTACGTATCTCTTTCGACCCTTGACAGTGTACATCAGGGGAGATAGTGCCCACAGGATGATAACAATAATTGCCGAGAGAACATGGAATATCGCTAGGATGTTGGGGAGTGGCATGAGATCTGATGCATATAGGTTGAAGATATAGATGACGAGGACCCCTGCCAACACGAACAGCGTTTCCTGCCAACCCTGCGCGCCATAACTTGGGTTTCGAACGCTGACGAGTCCGGGAATGATGGTCCCCGTGAGGAACCAGCCAGAGGCCGAGCCTACTGGCCATGCTAATAGATCACTGGGGGGCGCGAGAGACCCCCCCTCTCCTCCCCCCCCCCCGAGAACAATGACTCAACCGCGACGGTTAGTTATGACTGGCCCCGCCACGACGTATAAGAGACGCAGCACTCTCTATTCTGACTTAGAATCATATTCCACTGTTCCTTTTCATAGAATCAGGAGTGAGGTTCACATTGACTTTTCATCTTCTCCCTCGCCCTCTCACGACAGCATGGCCGCTGTAAATCCCGTCAGGGCTCCGCAGCATGTCCTGACCCTCCTCTCTGAGCTTCATAAGAAATCCCTGGAGCAAGAAGCCGTTCTATCACAGAAAAAGCGAGTCTTTTCCAGCGATTTTCTCGGGGACCTGGAAGACCAGCATTCCAAGGCCACTGCGAGAGAGGAATTCGATAAGTTAATGCTGGATAAGTTTATTGCTCTCGACGAAGACAAGTGCCAATTTGCGTACCAGCTGATTCATGCAATGGGTGCTACAAACGTTATCGAGGCCGGGACGAGCTTTGGAGTCAGTACGATATACCTGGCTCTTGCCGTCGCCAGCACGAAGGTCACCATGGGCAAGCCTGGCACGGTGATAGCGACAGAGAAGGAGGATGAAAAAGCACAGCTAGCGAAGACGTACTGGGCACAATGTGGCCCAGAGGTAGAGGGAGTGATTGATCTGAGGGTTGGTGATCTCCTCGAGACTTTGCAGTCAGATCTCCCACAGGTTGTTGACCTGCTTCTCCTCGACAGTAAGTGTTCGTCCTGGCCTCCCATGATCGTTTTTACTGATACGGGGTCCAGTCTGGGCACCGCTCGCTCTTCCAACGTTGAAAATCGTCCAGCCTCACCTGCGTCGAGGCGCAGTCATCCTTACGGATAATACTATCTCTGGCGCTGCGGGATATGCAGCGCTGCTCACGTATCTGCGCGACCCGCACAGTGGGTTCCAGAACATGACTCTGCCGTTCACTAATGGATTTGAAATGAGCGTTTACCTGCCGTAGACACCAGGGTTCTGGACACACAAATCTAGAAGGAAATCCAGTTCCATTTTTCAAGTCACGTCAGATTCATAAGATAAGTTCGTTTTAAGATATCAAGATTGAGTCTGATTACACGCACATCACGCCTTCGACACTCCCTCCGTCTCCGCAATGCGAACGACATACTTCACAGCCGAGGCTTTTCCATCCTTCAAGTCGCGCAACGCGCCCTGAAGCCCATGCAGACCACCGGGGCGTACTTCGTACGGGTGTCCCGAAAACCAACCCTGTGCCAGCCCACGGCCCAAGAGCTGGAAGAAAGCAGCCCCAAACTCCCGGTCACCGATGGTCTTCCCTTCCGCCGGGGGCTCGTGGACAGTTCCAACCATGACCCGGGTAATAGTGACCCCACTCGGCGGCTGATAGTCAACAACGGGGAGGACGACGGCAATTTTCGCCGGCGTGGAGAGGGCGGCGCTGAGATTCTGATAGCTGCCTTTCTCGGACACCGCATCGAACGCATGATATACTGGGCCACCGGCTGCTGCCTTGATCTTGGCTTGGACGGCTTCGTCGCCCTCCCGGTAGTCGACGATGGTGTCGCCCTTGGAGCGGTCGAGCAACGACTCGACGAAGGCGCTCCCGCGGCCCGCGACTGCGATGATGGGGTGGATGTTGGAGATCTTGGCCAGCTTGATCGCAAAGGCACCGACTGCGGTTGCGCCGCCGTACACGACAAGTGGCAGGCGCTCGCTGGTCGGGTTCCAGGGCAGCGGCAGGTTCAGCGCTTGGTAGTTGCCCAGCGCGGCTGTCATATACGCCAAGGGAAGCGTTGCGGCCTCTGCCATGAGATTAGTACTGAGGGACTGTAACGGGAGAACCGGGGAGGTACTGAATACGGACCTTCAAAGCTGGTCTTCTCGGGGATATGGAAGGTGGTGTAGGCGTAGGCAATGGCGTATTCACCATAGCTTCCGAAGGGGGTCCTCATTTCGTGGAACGCGGCCACTTTGTCGCCCTTTTTGAAACCGACGACATCGTCGCCGACAGCCTCGATGTATCCGGCGATATCGTCTCCTTGGTTCGTGGGACCCTTGTCAGCGAACCATGCGGGCACTTTCCAGTCCTTGGGGTTTGTGCCAGATACAACGACGCGGATGACCACCTGCCCGGCATTGGGAACTGGAACCTCGGTATCTTTAACAGCCACCGAGGTGGTTTGATCCACGAACGCCTGCTTCATGATGATGTCACAAGTGTATGATCAGGAACCTTTCAAAAGAGTAGACAGAAGCACAAGTATTCTAGAGTGAGAACCACAGGTGGGACTCCTCCGAGCTATGGGATCGGATTAAATAGATTCAAGGTGGAATTAATAATCTGTGCCTCCAATTATTAATGCTTCTCCCAAGGTGGGCGAACTTGCAAGCTTCATACATGGCGGGGCTTTTTCTGGTCTCCATGACGGTTTCCAGCCAATGAAGTCTTTCCTCCGTGCGGAGTATTTTTGGCGGGAGAGCTGCACAATTCCCGCGCATCCGAGAGTAATGCCGTTGCAGAAAGGCGGTAGCCGCTACCACTGCGTTTCCTGGCCTTTAAGATTGTGTGCAAGTTTTTGGACGGTCGAGTATACGAGCCAGTAGGGGCCGTTAGCAGAATGCGTCGACATATGCGATGTATGCGGTATATGCGAAATATGCTAGAGTTAGGAGCTAGAAATCAGGAGCAAGAAAATAATCGGAAGGAGTCAAGTTCGCACTGCGGTATCAGTCTCGCAACGCCACTATACAAATAGCGTAGAATACCACAGAGTGGCTTCTACAGAATTGATCGCGTTGATCAGGTTTTTGGCCATGCAAAGCGGGGCAGTTCGGCTGACCCTTGGACTTCCGAAAACTTGAAGCCTTCAGCCGGTTGAAGTCCAGCCTATAGTTCCAAATGCAATATAAAGCTATATTTGGCTCTTCAACCCTGGAGTGTGCTGGAGGGATCAAGTTCATGGTCCATGCGCTACTGCTGGTAGCGCTGCCGAATCGCCATGAAGTTTGACACTGACAAGAAAGAGCTTCCCCACCTAGATATGGTATTTCCGGGTCGTGCTATTCTATTAGCCTAGATCAGTGAAATTATCAGTCCTCTCTATAGCCCTCTCCAGGCCTGGACGAGTCCCCACGGAACGTTTATTGCTAGCGGGGGTTCGTCCATATGGATGAGTACTTTCGTCAAGTCCGGGCTTGATCCCCAAGGATGCGTTGCAGAGAACCACACCGACACTCCAAGCGACCTCTCGATTCACTGGTCATACTAGCCTCCAGATCATCCAGGTGCATCCAAATTTCTGCACGGTGCGAAGGCCGCAATCTTGCCGATCTCGGGCTTAGGCGACCAGGGGGGGCCCCGGCCTGAACGCCGAGCGGGTTGAGCGATGGAGGATTTTTTTTTCTTTTTTTTTTCCTTTTTTTCTTTCTTTTTTCGACTCGACAAGCTCTTGGAGGGAGAGCAATGCAGCTGGGCGGATTGGCTTGTCCATTCGTTAGTCGTATGTGAATTTCAACAACTCTCCGGGACAACAGCATGGGGGGTCGAAAGAATTCCTTGACCCCTGATGAGAAAGCTCTGCAGGATCAGTCGAATTTCCTGCCTCAGAAGCAGCTCGTTTTCTGCTTGGCGATCGTAGCGCTGGGCCAGCTGATTTCTTATATGGACCAGAATGGTATCTCCACTGCGCTGCCCACCATCGCGGCCGATCTGGACGCACGCGACACGATTTCCTGGGCTGGGACCACTTCCTTGCTGGCCAACACCGCCTTCCAGATGCTCTACGGTCGGCTCTCGGATATCTTTGGTCGCAAGGCAATCTTCATCTCGGCGATTCTGTTGCTGGCCCTGGGAGACCTCGTGTGTAGCCTCAGCACCAATGCCGCCATGTTCTACGTCTTTCGTGGCGTTGCCGGTATAGGCAGTGGTGGCATCACGAACCTCGCGATGATTATCACGTCGGATATCGTCAGTCTGGAGCAGAGAGGGAAGTATCAGGGAATCGTGGGAAGCATGATCGGACTGGGAAGTGTCACGGGCCCTTTCCTTGCGTCTGCCTTTGTGGAGCGCGCGACGTGGAGAGCGTTTTTCTGGATGCTCGCCCCTTCGGGGGTCTTGGTCGCCCTAGCGGCTTTCTTCTTCTTGCCTTCCAAGCCGCCAGTGACTTCGTTCAAGGAGGGCATGAAGAAGGTCGACTATCTGGGTGTTTTGACTTCTTCTGTTGGAACCATCTTCTTGCTGATTCCCATCTCCGGTGGCGGGGCTTACTTTCCATGGGACTCGCCCATGGTCATCAGTATGCTTGCCATAGGCGGCGTATTTATGATTCTGTTCGTCGTGGTCGAATGGAAATTCGCTAAAATTCCCATGATGCCAGGTAGGTTAGCTGATTCATCAACAAAAAAGAAAAAAAAAGCATTTCGCTTTCGCATTGCGCTGATAAAGTCTTAGTGGGTGTATACCGTAATCCGACCATCGTGATCTTGCTAGCCCAATGCTTCATCCTGGGTGCTGTGTACCAGTCAACGGTGTACTATATCCCACTATACCTTCAGAACGCCCACCAGTTTTCCTCGATCGTATCCGCGGCCCTATTTGCGTCTCTGGCAGGTATCCAAGCGCTCGTTTCCACACTCTCTGGTCTTTTCATCACGCATTTCAAGCGCTACGGCATCGTGATTCAGTTTGGCTTTGGAACGTGGACTCTGTAAGTGTCGATCTGTCAAATAAGTTCCTTCCGTTCACACTAACAGCGCTCGAAGTGGCTGTGGCCTGGCCCTGATCTTCAAGAAAAACACCAACCCCGGAATCGTCGTGGTGCCCCTCCTCATCATGGGCATAGGAATAGGATGCGTATTCCAGCCCATCCTAGTCGCTCTCCAAGCGCATTCAAGCAAGGCCCGACGCGCGGTGATCATCTCGATTCGGAACTTCAACCGGAGCGCAGGCGGTGCTTGCGGATTGGCAGTCTCAGCTGCAGTGCTGCAAGCCCGGCTGAAATCGACGCTCCCGCTGGACTACAAGTACCTGGCTGACTCGACGTATGCGCTGCCCGATTTCAGGGGCGGGGTTCCGAATGGGGTCCTGGATGCGTATATGGCTGCGAGCCATCTCGTGTTCATCGTCCAGGTGCCTTTGATGGGGGTGTGCTTTTTGGGCTCTCTGCTGATGAAGGATCGTGGGTTAGTTCGAAAGGAGGATCAGGAGGCTGATGCGCAGGCACAGCAAGGTGGGCAGGTCACCGGTCCTGAAGTTGCGGGTTCTTCTGAACCAAAGACAGGCTCATGAGCCTTATTTCGATGTAATCTGCTTATACAAGATATACTTTCTTCAAAATAGACGGTGGAGGATCGGGAATCTTCATCTGTTCCAAGAATAGAAATTGGTTCTAGGCTGATCTGTGGGTAGCAGCGCGCCTTGTCAACGCCAATCTCAAAAAAAAAAAACAAAACAAGAGTCTCTACTGGGCATTCTGCACCCATTCCTGACAAGCATCATACAGAGCCTGGAAAGCCGCATTCCGGCCAATAGCCCTCTCAAACATCCCCTGATCCGCGCGCTTGAAAGCCTCGAACATAGCCACCAGAATAAAATCCGCATAGCAAACCTGGCTCCCAAGAATGAAAGGCCCCTCATCCACCTTATGCTCGCTCAGGAGCTTTCCTGCGGCCACAAAGCCAGGCTCGGCAGCATCCCAGATCCCATCCCCAGCCTTCGCCTCCATCTCCTGCAGAGTCATACCAAACCGTGCCTCGCGAGTCTTCTCAAAAGCGGGCAGAGTGGACTCGTCGATGATCTCGCGAGCGACCAGGGGCATATATCTGGCGTAGAGAGGAAAGCAAGCCATGCGGACGACTTTGTCTGCTTCCGCCTGCAGAGCAGCGTCCAGGTGCAGCGAAGGTGAGGGCTGGATCTCCTCCAGTTTGGCGGCAATGAGAGAAGACTCTGTCAGCGCGGATCCGTCGCTGAGCTGGATCGTGGGCACGGAGTATTCAAAGCCCTGGTTGGATGTATTGGGAGGGATCCCGATTGACTCCAAGGTGGGTCTCAGGGTGACGTGATTAACCCAGGCAGTGGTATACGGGATTCCCTTATAGTTCAGAGCCATGCGAGTTTTCCAGACGTTGTAGGACCAGCATTGGTTGGGCTGCACACGTCGGGCAAGGTCGTAGAGGGTGATGGTTGCCATGATGAGAGGATGGAAATTGTTTCTTGTGATGGATTTTCAGGCAGGAGTTGGCTCATGGAATCATATTCTTAACAGGGTTGACTTGAGTTTTTATAACCAATTTCTAGAGGGCCGAACTGGCCTTTCTGGGTCATAGCTCTTATCAACGCCAACTAGTAGCCAAAATAGGCACATAGTTAGGGTATCCACAGAGCCTCGGCGCTAACCGGATTAAGGCAGTAGTAGATGGAGCTGTAACTTGTTTTCCGCCTCAGCCCCCCCTAAATATGTCTCCTGCGTAATCTCTTCCTCTGAAAGCGATGTGCTGGCTACGTAAGAGGTATCTGCCATTTTTATTCATATCCTATGACCTGGCATATAGGACACCCGTTACTTTGTCTATATATAATATTATTGAAGGCTGCTATCAATGCGAGGCGCAAGAGCAAGATCGTAGGACAGTCTGAATTTGACTACAGTACGTCCGAAGCACTAAAAATTATAATGACTTCTTACATCTCAAGCTGTATTACCATCTAGGCTGCAACTTCTCTACCCAGTCAATATAGCGCTCTCGCACAGCGAGCTTTCTCTCCCGAGGAGAAGAATAGAAAGGGAAACACTGCCATTGGCTTCTTGTCAGCAAGACGCCTTGGGTGACCCCCATCTCATGGCCCATGAACAGCCATGAGTGCTTGGGACCAGGCTGCTTCTGAAGATCAAGAAGAGACTGGACGAGAGCTTGAACGTCAGACTCAAGCTCCGGCGATTGATCAACCGAGACAGTTGCAAAGAGCCTTTTGACTACAATCAGACATTCCAAAGCCGTCCCATAGAGCTCTCGCCGCACAGACAGCTCTTGATCAGATGGCGAGAGGACCGACGTACGAGCGCAATAAGTCTTGTAGTCCTCCATCCAGCTCACAAGCGCCTGGTGCATTTCTTGGCATCGGAAGTTCAAGCTCGTTTGCAACTTTTCATCGAACAACCCCGGTCCTTTTGTAGCGCTGTCGATATCGTGCCACAGATTAGGAAGCCTGGGTTTTGGATTAGAATAGTATTCTGGAGAAGCCGGCCGTGGTTCAACCTTACCGAATCATGAGTGATCTTATAGATATGGCCAGCGAGCTCCTTTCCGTCAAAGTATCTGAGCCTGTATCCAGTGATTGATATAGCTCCATCCACTCAGGTTCCGCAATATAGCATCGGCTGTGGCTCATGAGAGAGTCAAAGACAATAGGTCCGATATGCGCTAGGAACAGCGCCTTATCAAAGTCATGTTTGAAGCGGCTAGGGGATCGATGCTTGATAAGGCTAATAGAGCCACGAGTATGATTTGCCCAGGTAGCACCCTCAGAAGGATTCAAGAGCTATCAAACCGAGTCAGTCATCGTATTGGCAATAGGGACGAATGGAAACCCACTGCATGAAGCCCAAGCAGCTGCGAAGCGCAGAGAGTCTCGGGGGTCAGGCTGGCATATGCATCGTCGAGGGAGTCTTGTAAAGATGTGAGAGCGGCCACATGCAGCCTCAGCTCTTTCGCCTCATTCCTTCGTTCCGGCATCAATATGCCTTGTATCCGAGCAAGTAAACAATCAGTGGCAGCGGTGAGACAATGGCTGCGGCCATAGCGACTTGGCACGAACTGCAAATAAGACCTTCAAAGTGAGATTTAGCCTGGTGCCCCAATGAGTGAGGTGTGTCATACATACCACTGGGAGAAGCCCAATAAGGAGCGTAGTCGACTGGGATCTGCAGAAAGGGCGGCGATAGTTGGTCTCCCCACATTGAAGTTGGTCAGCATGGAGAGGTCTTGCACGTCAACTTGAAACCTTGAGCGCACAGCCTCGTACTCGGTATACAGCCTCGGGAGCTCGAGAGGAAGAAGCTTTGCCTGGAAACCAACTTCGGTATCCTCAGTGAGTTCTATGGCTATGGCGTCCGATCCCATGTCTGCTTGATTCCCAATATGGACAGTAGTTGAACTTGGGGAATTTAGTCTGGCTGTTCGTATTTTCCCAGGGCGGGAACGCGATGCTTACAGATCTTTGTGGATCCGGCTACCTCCACGCCTCTTTCTCGTCAAGGCAACATTTCTCATTGCATGTTTCCGGACTGGGCTCGGTTAGTACAGGCAGTCTTCGTATTGTACGGGCACTGACTTAATGCTCTGACTTGGGGGTCCTTGGGCAATTCCGGCCCCCCTGATACAACGAAGCCCAAGCAGGTCTCAGGCATGGTATTTCCCTATGGGTAAGAGAGTGTCTTGGGAGAGAAACTCATATGCAGGCGAGGGCACCCCGTTATCGAGTCTGGGGGTGGGGTTGATTCTCGCGATCGTCGCTGGTTCAGATCCACTTTTCAGCCCCAAGCCCACTTACTACTGCCCCAATGTGGTTTAGCGCGAGTGGTCGCGGGTGGCCTTGCTCTTGTTCGTGTAGTAGTGGGGCTACTAGGAGTAAATTTGGATAAACCAAAGGGTGGGAGTAGATTCTGATATGGCGAACACTTTCAAGGGTTCGCCATAAGACAAGTCTAAATGTCATGTCAAAATTTGGTAATCAACTGAAATACATATGATACAATAAGGTCCCAAAAGCTTTCTTCAGTTGAGCAGGTACTGTTACCAAAACACGATACCTTAGAAAGAGCCATTCTGCGGAAGGTGCAACGTTGGCTGAGAATATTCAGCGTGAATTCAGTGGTGGCTGTGAAAGGAAGGTGCGAAGTAGCGAAGCATGTAAAGAACGAGAGATTACGCCCAATTTGCCTGTAAATGGGAAAGTACCAACGGTCCGCGCTCAGACTTGGAAGTACTAAGCTGGTTTGGGTTCAGTTACCATGATAAGGCGGACGGCAAGTCGATATGATAATAGTCTGCTCGCGCGAATGTCAGAATATGAAGAGCAAGGACATAGCACTTATTCCTGTAGAAGTGACATCAGAATTATGCAGATAGATGTCTCAGAGCAATAGAGTCACCTAGTTAGTTATGTTTGCTTTGTCAGCCACAAAAACCGGTCGGAGTGAGGCGACCTGAAAGCCATAAAGAGACAAGATAGAAATCAGAAGAAAGATGAGAGGAGTGTTCAGGATGTAACGAGGCTAACAAGCCGTCCCTGGTGAGTGACATGGCCGCACCAGGGCAGAGGCCAGCCAGCAATAGTGCTGGTAAGCCATGAGAAACCTCAGGAGGACTGTGACCTGGACTCCCGAGGGTGAGGTTGAAGTGATAGGTGAGTATCGGTAAAGTGCTCTGAGAAAAGGTTATCGACGCGTGAGAGCTAACATGTGATCGTGGATGACCATCGATGAGCGATAGTTTTCTGGGCAGTGATAATATCTGTCAATATAAGTATCGATGGCGAGTGTCAACATAGAGAGAGAGAGGTTAGACTATCGTTTACTGGGGGAGATGAATCGATCGAGAGATGGATCGATGCGAGATGTCAGTTAGCCTTTTGTTTTTCCACACTCTCACACTTGTGCAATCGTTTGACTTCCTTACTAGCCCCTCTCTGTTCCTCTTTTCCCCCACCTTGAGTGATACTACAGGTTGTGTCCCAAAGTCATAAATACAAATCCTAGCATGAAATATTAAGCAGAAACAGCCCGTCTTGTCTCCGAGTTCGTATTTAACTTGTATAAGACCCGTCTTGCGTATAATGCTCTGGAAGCAAGTCATGGATTCATTTTGGCCTTTTGCTTGATACAATAGGGGGCAAAAGTCCATGTGCATACCGCTTCACCTACCCCATCAAATACTTATGTATATTCATGGTTACATATCCTACACCACCAATCCTTATTGGATCATACTAAAATTCAACATACTGCATGATCAAGTTTATATACAGAGTTCCCTTGCTTAATATCTCGTATAATAGCCCTGGTTTGCATACAATGTATTCATCATTCTTCCCATACATATCAATCTTCGTCTGATCTAACGCATCCCATACAGCATCAATACACTCTTTTAATAGGCCCGATCCTCTTCAGATCTTCCTATATACACAGGGTTTTGAATACACAAAAAATTTATCGCTTTAGTATATTCCAGACCGGTTTAATAGGGTTAAGATCAGGCCAGTGTACAGGCCAATCTTGAACGTACATCCCATGCTCTTTAAACTAAACCTGTGTATCTCTCGCTACATGGATCTTTGTATTATCTTGCTGAAACTTTACTCTAGGTGATAGCGATGAAGGCCATAGGGGAGGTGGCGGAAAAAAAGATAAACGTGTGGGTGGTTGTTAGGTTGATGGGAATGGGACCGAGTGCACACAGACTTTTGCGCTGGTGACGGAGCATATTGGTTAGTGTTTTAGTGTTTCCCTTACGTCCTTTATAAGACGGGCAATACAGAACGAGCAATACAGAAGTATCTCGAGAAGCTAACTCCCTGTCACGAAAGCTTGTCCTACTGAGATACCCTTGCCCACTGGCTCCTCCAAATTGCAGACCCGAATTTCTTTCCCTTACAGACCGTTGTTCTGTGGGCTGTAAAGGATTGATTCGGAGTGATATATACTGAAGCTACTGGCAAAACTGCAAGCTAAGCCTTGGGCTCCCCTGGCAGTCAAGGAACAATTTGAAATGAATTCCCATTAGGTTAATGCCGCTGGAAATAGGTCTTCTGGTTACCGGGCAGCTTTCCGAAAAGACGGATATTGCCGAGCACAAAAATCAGAAAATCAAGAAAGATGACCCCAAAGACCAATGCGTACAAACTGAGTACCCCAATAAGACAAAGCAGAGTGATGATGAAGAAATCCAAGATAACGCCCACGAGGGAATATCCAAGACCAAGGGTCGCGGTAATCTGAGCCTGCTCGCGCCAAGGCAGCTCCCAGTCTGCCTCTTTTACGACCACCGTATCTGGCGACCTGTCTAGCTCGGCCTCTGTAGATGGAGTAGGAATCATTTGACCAGGCATCTCGTAACAAGTGTTCGTCATTAGAACGGAGGTTTGACTGCAGGGATTTGTCGCAGGGATCGTTATATGAAGGTTGCGGTGCTGTCGCTGAAGGCAGCATGAATTTTGCAATTGATCCATCTTTAAATGTCGAGGCTATTACCGGCATACGGCATTTGGTTTCTGCTTCCTGAGAAGGGAGGATGAAGAGAAATCACGCTATGACGGCGGGATATGGGAGCGCACAATAACATCATAAATACAGTCTCTGTCCAGAACGGGATTCGGCCCTCCACCTAACCTGACCAAGGCCTTGATAGGGATAGCTAGACTTATATACAAGATCTGTATGCGGTTATCACAGGTTGCTTATATAGCTATTCTTCCACATTGCTATGACGATTCTGGCCACCCTGTAGATACCTGAGGAATATGGCTTAGTTCGAGCCAGTAGACCTCCGCATAGTCTGAAAAGGGACTCCCATTACCGGCCCCAATGGGCTATATGGCCCTTTGTCTTCTAAAGCACATGGGCCTGTCATGGGCATACGCCCTGGGGTCCACAGCCTAGCCCATTTAGTGGGTGGGGGCTGGGCTATGGGCTTCTGTGGGCTATGCAGAGATCTACTACCTGGAGCGGGCATTGCGCGTGGCTTAGCTCGTGGTCGGCTTGCCAGAATAAAAGCCCAATGGCTCCTAATTGGATTCTTTCTAAAAAAAAAAAAGTCTCCGTGATGACATGGCAAAACTCACTGTACAGCAAGCGATCGCGAGGGGAGATCTCGGCGTTAATCTGAGCGGGGTTCATCGGCGTTAGTCCCGCCTCGACCCACTTTTTTCATCGGCGATAATTTGGGATCTGTGGCGGGGACAAACTAATAGGAGCAAGACGTATTATGCATGGAGTCTAATGCGTCATGGCGTACTGTGAAAGCTACATTCGCCATCGGACAAGATGTGGCATAACGCCGACGACTGCAGGTATTTAAATTGGGCCCCGTTCATCGCTTCGAGAAAACAGATCCCCGTCTGAACAAGTTGCACCTTCATAAGAGGATATCTATACGTCGAACCGACTCGGAATTCAAGATGCCTTCCCACGGTCAGTACACTGTTCAGAAGGTTACATACCCATCCCATGGGGAAACAATTGCTGGGGTCCTCTTCTATCCCAAAAATGCCACGAACCCGCCCGGCATCGTCGTAACCGGCCCCTACTCCTTCGTAAAAGAGCAAGCACCGCTGCAATACGCAACCCGTCTGGCAGACGAAGGCTACGCAGCCTTGATCTTCGACCCTCGCACCGTCGGCGAGAGTACCGGCGAGCCCCGACGACAAGAAAATCCGAAAATGAAAAACGAAGATATGGTCGCCGGATTGGACTACCTGGCATCGCGCGGCGATATCGATACATCCCGGCTCTTCCTGGTCGGGATCTGCCAGGGTGGGCCCGAGTCACTGGATGTGGCATCTTACGATAACCGTGTTGTGGGTGTGGCCTCCGTCACGGGGTACTTTCGTGACCGAGAAACAGACATTTACATGATCTGTGCTGGGTGCGTTGCGTGGAAGCCAGGGGCGGACATCGGCTCTATGAAAATGCCCACCCTGAGCAGGGAGAGGCGCTATACAAAGCACGACTTGAGCGAGCTCACAAAGCCCGTGAACTGTACGAAAAGACGGGCGAAGTGGTGTACCAGCCGCTGGTCGATCCGACGCCTGCTGATCCGGAGACAGGGTCCCTGGCTGGCTTGCCTGGGCCAGTCATTTGGTCCTGGTATGGGCCGTGGACCCTGAAGAACTTTGAAAACCGGTACACAGTGATGAGCGACGTGGATCACTTCGATTATACCACCGTGCCGGGGGTGGCAAAACTAAACAAGCCGGCGCTGATCATCCATGGGGATAATTGTATGAATCCGGCCTCTGCGAAGCGCCACTTTGAATCGATTCCCACGGGCCAGAAGAAGTTGATCTGGAACAACGAGGTTTCGCATTTTCAGCACTACGATCAGCCGGATGCGGTTGATCGGAACGTGGGAGATATTGCGGCCTGGTTTGCTGAGGTCAAATAAAGATCCAAACATCACGATAGGTAGAATTTAATTGTTGAGCTCGTTCAGCAGGCTCCAAAAGCTCGCATCTGCAAAGTCACCTTCCAAGTTCCACCTGTCTGTAGGACATATAAACGCATGTGACGGCAAATCATTCGTGGCGTCTGTGAAAGGCATTTGTGGTACTGAGATTTGTTCAAAAAAGAGGTCATGTGTTGGGCGTGGAGGTAGGACGGTCTCAAAAGGAAACTCTGAGGGCGCCCGGCGGGAGAGATCTGGATCGCGGTGCAGAGGTGTGGAATACGGATTTGCCAAATATGCGCCATTATTTTCGACCGTGTCAGACATGCCGAGACGATGCCTTACGCGATGGTACAAGCTGCATACCACGCCGTGAGCGACTGTAGCCATATCGTTGGATTGCCCGATGATGCCCAGCCTCTGGATTCCTTTTGCGACCACATCCAGACATTCTGCCTGTCGCTCCTGATTCTCGTTTGGGAAGACCAGACAAAGTGCGGCGATGAGAACAATCGCATCGAAAGAGGCATAGACTGGGTTGAATACCTTGCGCTGGCGTGGCTCTGAGTTTTCGAACATTCGTTCCTGTGCCCGGAGAATGGATATCCCGGCTTTGAGAGCCTCTGTGCGACTACTCGCCACAGAGAATATAAAGGGCCGGTGAAGTGTGAGGATGACAAGGTGGATGAGGGATGATAATCCGTCTCGAGCAGCAGGGAGCCATTGACACTCGTCTAATTGGTCGAACCTTGTATCTGGACGTTCCAAGCGGCACCAAGAAGGTAGAAGTCCAAGATTTCCCTTGATCTCCTCATGGATTCTTTCAACGATGGGGTAGTCTTGCGGGCTGGCACCATTACTGTCTATCAGATGAATGTCCTGGAAATATCGATATGCCACATTATAACCGGCGAGAATGACATCAAAAGGTCGAGGAGGATCAGTTTCGGTTTGCCAATGTAAGAACATTTCCCTCCCCTTTTCGTCCTCAGCAGTCATAGCGAAGCGGTCGATTTGGAGATTAGTGGCAATCGGTCGGCCAAGGACGACAGCCATGTGGATGTCCCAGATGTGCAAAACCACCCAAAGTCTGTGGCCCACGAGGCTAGCAGCATGTTCACCGCGTTTCAAGGTCACTGGCGACTGACCTGGAACAATCTTCCCGGTATGGAGGCCGAGTTCTTGCGCATCACGGATCGTTGCCCCAAGTACATGCCACGCTTCAACGACTCTTCCGCTGCTTTTTAGGAAAGAAGCTCGTAGTAAACCAGCTTGTACAATCGAGATTGTCATATCCTTTTTGCCCAACAGTGCGAGCAAGTCAGCCCCTCTTTCGCTGTATTCACATCCGAGATCCTGGTAGGTCATATTAGGCATAGTGATGAGATTATCAGTCGTTTCATCAGGAGGATGGAAAAGGAGGGCCTGTGAAAGGATTTGGAACAGTAGCGCCGGAAATACAAGGGTCTCGAGTGCCAACCTTCCAAATCCCTCTTGAAGGTCCGAGTAAGATATTTCTTTCCATGCGGCTAGGCTGTCTCTGAATGACCCCTCGTCAATTATGGCATACTGCCAGTTGATTTCAGCGAAGAACGTTTGGGCCAGGTTGTCGATGCAGGCCTGTGATGGCAGCTGACGGACCAGCTCTTTATACTTGCGGTTTACATCACTCTGGGAGGGCTGGGCCGCAGTACGGGAGCCAGATGAAGTGGGAGGCTGGTGGATGTACAGCTCGGCAGTGCGTAATAGACTCATAGAATGGTTTACGCCATGGCTGGAGTATCCGAAGTCTCGAATTCTCTCGTGGATGTCACCAGACCACTCCTGGTGCCGCTCTACAGATTCAAGAAGTGGTCTCCCACTTGAGCCACTGCTGGCTTCTGAAGGGCGGCTCTCACCAGAATGGCTTCGTGCAGACTGGCACCATTTCGATTCAGAGTCATAGTGGCAGAGATTCTGCCAATAGCCCGTCAGTTCGAACGAACTATCGTAGCCGAAAAGGTTATGCATACCTGTGTTCCTCTCTTGGCACAGTTGGAACATGGATACTCGCGATCACACTGTTTCACCTCAGTAACGTCTTAAGGCCGTTTATTTCCGGGGCTCCTACTTTTTGTTTGCGTCGATGGCATTCGATACAAGACACGATGGTCCGTTTCCTTTGTCGTTGCTTCCTTTTCACAAGAACAGAGCCTGTCTCTGTCACTGACAGACTCGGGGTCGCCATATTGTACGGCTATCCCCGTGAGCTGCGACACTTGTAAAGTCCCTAGGGCTCGGAGGAATGCAAGAGGCTCTGAGGGCATGGGGTGACCGCCTGCTTCAAATACCCCCGCGGCCCCACCGCCTAATTCATCCTGGCGTATAGTAACTACATTGGGCTCATTCAAAGCAAATCGATTAGTTTCTCGTATTCTATGTGTGACCATGGAACTGAATTACTTTTACCTTCTAAAAGTTCACATATTACTATAGAAGCTACCAGGTAGTCATCGGACAAATAAATTTCAGCAGTCATTCTCAAATTCCAAGACAAGTTGATTCCCACACCATTGCCACGAGAGGATCTTGGTGACACAATAGGGCAGGGCAGTGAGTGCATTGAGACCCGTGATGGAGGGGAAAGCCGCTGCTGGAGTCAGCGCAGAAAGGGAAGTAGTCGGAGACGGCGTCGCGTGCGCGGAGGCTACTGGAGAAAGCTAGGAGAGGGCCTAAAGCCATTGGCTTTGGGAGATTCTACAAATAGAAATTAATATAGAGGACATTCAAGATCGAGTAGAACCCTAAGCCAGCAAAGCCGCATGGTTCAAGGGCGCTAGAGAGTTTGGAGAAATGAATTACGAGCTCTAGCCTAATCGTTTTGACCGCCAAATTCGATGATTCACTGGCTGCGATCAACAATGTTTATCTTTAGCTTCTAACTAGGTGCTTCGGGGCACTATGACCGCATTTCTATCCTCACCAAAGGGCGCATGATTTTAGGCGTTCAAGGTCTCTTCTATTCCAGGCTTCCCCACCAGTAGTGTGGATACCAATCTCTGCTCAGGGCTCCCCGTGCTGTAATGAGTAAAATCGGAAGCGTATTCTGGTCTTTTTCACTATACACATTTGATGGCCGATCCCGTAGAAGGCTGTCCTGGTGTCTATGCATTTCCTTGCGCTGCTGCTCTTTCATGGTTTGGGTAAGAATCGATTTCGGAAGCCCGCACAGGCGGAGGATCCTGGTAGAGCTCCCGTGGACCATGACTGTCTCCCAAGAGTTCGCGCGGGCCCTGGATGTCGCCTTGCATTTCGCGCGGGGTTTGGTAGTCTCCCGGTGCCTCCTGGTAGGCTGATTTTGCCTCGAGCTCCATGTCTTGTTGCCGAGAGGGCGCTTGTGAGAATTTGTCTGGAAGCGTGGACTCTGTGACCCGGTGGTCCAATCGAAGCGCGTCTGAGTTGAGGATACTCATAAGCAGCTCTGCCTCCTTGGGGTAAGGAACCTCTCCGCCGACAAGCTGACGAGCCTTCAGCTTGCGCTCGTAGACCGTTTTGTTTGCATAAGGGTTCTCGAATGTCAAGGTCAACTCCCCCCGAAACACCAGCAAAAATACCACGGGATTTTGAGAACGAATAGAAGCCGGACAAGCCTCTGGCCCCAAGCATGGCACCGTATTCTGCACTCCGGCCAGTTACAAGGGCCGCCGAGGCGTTTAAGCTAAGGCTCGCGCTCGGCATGTGCATAACCCTCGCGACCGCTTCGTCGGTACTTAGGACGAAGACAAAATCCGTGAGTTCGCAGCCAATACTACATACGCCCACTCCGCAGAGAGCAATGGCCGACGGCGCTGACCAGTTGCCGTTGGGCAGACGAGACACCATAATCCCAGAGCCGAAACGCACATTTCCGAAAAAGCCAACTCGAAAGACTGTGCAGATGATTAGGACCTAGCCTCGAAAGTCAGTTCGAGATTCATGCGATTTTGGACACTTGTCGGGATTCGTTGTCTGCAAGTACCTTGGCATGACTCAAGATCTTCCGAGGGATACCGCCATCACCGACAATCGAGGGATTAACGAATGAGTTGATGATTTTGGCGGCCTTGCGACATTCACCTAGGAAGCCGGTTAGCTGATGATTTCGTTAGGCTGGAAGGGTACCCACTCGATAAGGATGCCGGGAAAGGGTTATGGAACGGATTGCGGAGACCCTGCGGTTCTTTGGTGCTGGTCAACATCTCCTTTCACGGTCTCGCCAGTCACTGGCTGTGTACACTTCAATCTTTTGTCGCGTCTCTGCGAAGGCTGGTGGTCAGATTCTCGTTGCTCGCCATTCTCTTGGCGACTAAGCCGGAGCGGATTCTTTTCCCGCTCGACTTGGGGGCCTAAAGTCGCTTGTGACTAAATTTATCCCCACATCGTGATAACGCGATGGTTTCGCGTTGAAGAGAAAGGATCAGATTCAGGTCCTGTTGCGCAGGATTATTACTCAGGCCAAGGTCATTTGGATGCATCTGTCTCTCCAGATGTGCGTATTCAATCTGTTCATATTAACGGAGATTTGCCATATGACCCTCCCGGGCGGGTTGTGCTGTTTGAAAGGCTTCTGATCGATGTTAATTCCGGTTCGTTGAGACGCCCATGGATGAGTAAGGCTGATTGGCATTAACAGAGGTCAAGATCTTTAATTGAATGTAGGTCTGTTTTGGCAAGATCCATTTTGTTGGCAAATCTTAGGTAACAGGAAATCTGTTTTCAGCCTATGCAGGCCATGTTTAGCAGTTTGTTTACAAGTGGAAACTGGTTGATATATGCATGATCAGGTGTTATCTTACAATCCGGGTGTATAGGGCGTATCATGGTGGAATTGTCCAGATGAGAGCCTATTTTTTGTCCCATAAATGTTAGCCGTCAAAGGTTGTATGCTTACTTTTTACGTTGTCCCCCTGGTGTATATTTATGGACTCTGGCGTGGGGGCTTTTTGGGGGGGGGGGTAAAAAGTGGGTGGGTTTCCAGTAGAATTTCAAGGTTCCAAAGTTCCATGAAGTAAGGTAGTATACCTACCCAAGCCACTTGAGCCTTCCCGAATCCGGTGAAGACTCAGCGTACGCATTTGATGTTTGGCATTTCTGCCAGTCAGACCAGGTGAGGTCCACATAGAGCGAATTCTTGCACTTGTGAGCATATTGGAAATTGGGAGGGCTGCAACCTATCTTCCAGAAGCTGGTCAGAAGCTTTCAACGAAGATCCAGGAACACCAAGAATTGTAGATGGCCATACTCAACACGATATTATGTTATAATGAAGGATCTGATAGCGCCACACCTTTCGCCCTTTCGGGAAACGGACTAAGAAATGATACGGGCTATTCGTCTTATATAAAGCGGGGTAATGGGGTAAAGAAGACGAGCTTTTTGATTTAGCATGCTTTGAATAGACTTCCCTCGGGTCTTGATTGCTTGGAGGGTATGGGATAGCCATCTCCAGCTTGCGCAGTCAATTGCTACTCCTAGTGACAGCACTTAAGGGGATAGCCCAGGGCCAATTTTCTTACAAGTGGATATCGTGTTCAAAATTCATCAAGGAGGTCAGGAGAGCTCACCCTAATCCAAGTAACTTACTATTACATTGGTCGACCCGGGCTCCCTCAGTGGATCAGGGTGATTATGGAATGACCACTGATCGGCCGAGCCCTCGTGAAGGTATAGTCGGACATACCTAGAGAACAAAAAAGATCTAGTGAACTCTGAAGTGGAGGGAAGCCAAGGCCTCCAATCGGCTATCCCCGTAGTACGTATGCGCTGATGTGGCCGCGCATGCCTCTTCACGCTAAGAGTAGAGAGCTCCACCGCCCTAACGTATGGCTTTCTGCAGCGAAAATGATTCTTGGAAAATGCTTTTGAAATTATCCGTGTGGTATATTGAAGATGAAAGTAACAGTAGGGAAAACAAATAAGGCCTGCTCAGAACCGACAAGAAATGAAGTTATAAACCACAAGGCCTACATCGATAGATTTATATATCAAGCCCAGTTCCAACTGCATCTCAGACAAGCCCGGAGTCGCAGGCGGCTGAACCAACAAAAGGAGAAAAAAAAGGTGAAAATTACATATTATCCCGAGCCACACAGCGCACAACTTACTACATAACCATCTAGCCCCTCCAGTCAATCTCCACAGAGAGACGAACCGCGCCAGGGAAGAGGTTTCCACCGAGGCCGTTGGCCTGGGTGTCCGAATAATAGGCATTGGTCACAGTGCTTCCGCCGGACGAGATACTGGAGCATCTGGTGGCGCTGTTGAGAGCGTCGCAGATTCGCATGCCCTGGACTGGATCACCACTGGCCTTGGCCGTAATGGCGGAGACATCGTATCCGGACCAGTATTTATTGTCCTGGTTACCAAAGTCAAATTCACCCCAAGTAGCGGAGTACTGACCACTCCAGTTCACAGGAATAGTAGCTCCCGCGGCGGCAGCCCAGCCACCCTGGGAGTTCTCGTCGAAAGCCCAGTACCTGGTTTCACCGGCCGCGAGGGTGAAGCTGTGGCAGGCTTTGCCGAACCAACCGTCCATTTGACCGTCGGGGCCAATCTTGTTCCAAATCTTGACGGTCCAGTCCTCGGTGTTGGAACCCGTGAATTGGACCACGTATTTGTAGGAGCTAACGTCCGAAGCAGAGACTTCCTGAATGTTGGAGCCGTATGGGATGCCAACATTTCCGACGTAGGTATCGACGTTGCTGCTCAAGTTATAGGGAGTACTGACGCCACCAAAGCCAGAGGTAGAGAAGACGCCATCAGAAGGAACTGAAGTCCAATCGGCAGATGCGCCTGATGAAGTGGTGCTTACGATCGAGCTGGTAGATGTCGTTGCCACCACTGAAGTGGTGGGCTCGGCAGTTGTGGTTGGGGTAGAGTCAGGCGTAGAAGTGGAAGTGTACTCGGAAGAAGACGTAGAGGTATACTCCAAGACGGTGGTGGAAGTCGTTGTTGGCTCACTCGTCGTTGCCTCGATGGCTGCGGTACTGAAAGTAGTCGATTCACAAGGGCAAACAGTCACAGTCAGTTGGCTAGTGAGCGTAACCGTCGCAACATCGCGAGGATGATGGGCGTGGCGGCGGCCATGGCTCTCAACCCGGGCGAGAGCGCTGGAAGATAGAGCTGCCAGCAGCGTCAAGGACTTAGAGAAATGCATTGCGACCAAATGATGGTTTGGCGACAGCCGAAGACCGAATTGAAAATAGATAAGGCTTCCAAGAGCGAGAGAAAACGGATAATCGGTGAAGCTACACTATAAAAGAGTGCTAGTGTAGAGCACCTTTCAAAGAAAGACTGAAGTACAGGACTTCGCCAAAGGAGAGAGCGGGTGTCTAGAGAACGATGGATACCGAGAAGAGCAAGCAAACGGGGGCCAATTAGTTTAATTAAACCATATAAAAAAAGCCTAGTCCTGGTCAGTAGATCGCCTTGCATGCGTATTCTGGGGCCACTCTAGGCACACGCTAAGCACACATAGGGCTCGAAGTGGCCATGACCGGGACGGCGGAAACGCCTTAGTCCAAATTTTGCCCCAAATCTGGCCGGGTGTAGACGGTGGATCAGCGCTAAAGACGCACGCTGAGGAGATGAGACCATCCGTAAGCCACGCCCAGGATCCACCGCGGGACTCGATCTCATTGCTGAAACCATATTCGTTTTGGAGTGCCACTGGCCGCAAGAGGCGGTTTCTGCTTTGTACATGCCTTCCGGCCTTTATTTGAGCAGACGCCTCTATTTTCAAATGACCCATTGGTCTATTTTTATGGGTCTAGGCCCCAAAGCGCGAAACAGACCCAGTGGTGTGGCTTTCAGGTACCGCTACTCTCTACCGGGGAGGAAATGCTTAGCAAGTGGGGTCTCGTCCAATCACAGAGCCAATAAACCCCCCAGATAATTACTTGTCCATAATAATAATAATGATAAAGAAAACCCGCAGCCATTTTAAAACGAGAAGATTCTCCACTCAGTCCAATAGCCACGCGATGGCCTACGCCAGCTATGGGGGGTGTTGGCCGCGTACTCCCGCGAGACCGCACATTATGTGGTGCACTCGGCGCTTAAATGCACAACAAAAGCTACCAGTTAATATGACCGGTCCTTTCGGGCTCTTCAGACGATCTTGACAAACCGTCTGATGGGTAGGCTGAGTGGTATGGGAAATGGAATTCTTTAGAGACCGCCAGGCTTTTAAGGCGTTTCAAGTTGATGGAACCAGACAAAGAACGGATTTCCCCCAAACACACTATGCTATCAGTTCATTCGAAAAGCGCTCAGAAGGGGCCGCGACTCATTTGCCATGACTTTCTACCGAGAGATATACCTGAGCCTGATGATCTTCGTGTTCGATCGGCAGTCGCCCGGGCTATCTGGAGATCAGTAAGCCCATGCACCAAGGTTCAGTAGGGCTGAACATGCCATCGCGGCCAATCACACACTGGCAAGCCCGCTCGCTTTTGCCGAGTCCAACTATGGCGCCCATGCAATAGCCTTTGTTTATGACTTATGATGCAGGTCACGGGGGTAATCCCGTAGCCGATTCGAACTTGAAGAAACTATCATCGGGACAGCGACAGAGGACGACACTTATAAGGAAGTCACACTGTCACACCAGATTATATCGGGAACTAATGCAAGCTCGGCCCCTGGATGAGACGCGGAGGTTTTGCTACGCGCCCAGTGCGTTAGGCTGGTCTGCTTTGTCTTTTTATGCATTCTGTGCACGGCGCAGAAGACTCCCGGTAGTACTTTGGATCAATGCCTGCAATGGCAACAAGACAGTCCATAGGACTGAATCAGAAGGCTAGACTTGGGTCCAGCCCTTATCTTGCAGCGTCTTATCACTCTATAGAATCTAAGCATGATCAGCTCGTGGTTGCACTACTAGGGCGCTTCTCGCCAAGCCTTGACCAGAGCTGAGTATTTCAAACAAGGGACCTGAGGCTGAGCGAGTCGCCGACGCTGATTTCCAGGATTGCTTGTCCCGCTGAGACTTGCTGATCGCTACTTATTTTGGCCGGCGGCGGTAACGCCGACCGTTCCGCTGCGGGTCTCTGGCCTAAATTAGGAGACGACAGATCAGGAAAGCCTGCGGCTAAGATGTACTGGCAGACACTGGAGACATAATTGGTATATCTTTGCTATGCGTTGCGAGAGCAGCAAATTGAAAGCCTTGAGGCTCAACATTCAATGGGACGACTGAAGCCAACATGGCCTCGGCCATAGGAAATCCTCTAAACTGGAAACGCCGTATTCGAGCGTACTCTCTTCGTAATCAACGCCCATTGCGACCTCGCCGCATGTTGTCCTTGCACTCGTTACAATACCATTTCACTGCGCGATGTTAGAGGACATTCGAACGAGGCAGACGAAATAGTCAACTTACCATTCTTGCCTGGCGGCTTCGTCAAGCCCACGCAAGACAGATGGAACCACTCGCGCGGACAAGCATCGTTATCACAAGCAACCATCTCGCCGAAGCTGATCTCGTTACAGTAGCAGTAGCGGGGTTCACCCTCCTCGTCTTCGTCGTCGCCTTCGTGAATAGACTCCTCGTCAGACGGGATAGCCGGGGCCGGAACGGTCTTTTTATTCGTGCGCTTGGCAGGGCCCTCGGTATTTCGGGTGGGGCGGGTTCGGGATGGGACTGGCTCCGCGAAGTTCGACATCAACGGCGTGGAGGTCTTGGAGTTTCTGCCCTTGCTGGGCTCCGGCTCTACTGATTCGGTAGGGCGTCCGTCTAGCTCGTCGCGGCGAGTGCCAGCCGGGACAGAGACTCGACTACCCATGCCGCCTTCATAGTCGTGGTGTACATCGGGGTTGCCGATTTCAGGCTTGACGAGGCCATCGCGAGGGGTGGATCTGGGGTCGGCTGCTTTTGCTGAGGACGAATATTAGCAAGACTTTCGATCTCTACTCCTGGAAGAACCGGGACCACTTACAGGTAGTGGGCTGTCCGACACGGTTGGAAGCAGAAGATGTGGGCCGCTGTCGAGAGTTGCTGGTGACCCCGGCATTCTGCTGCGCGCGCGAGGTTTGCGGTCGTGCGGGGCCCGGACTTCGTGGCGCATTAAAAGTCCCGATAAGCGGAGAAGGTGGAATCGCTGGAGATGCCGCGTTGGAATTGCTGTTGGGCCTGCACAAAGCACTTGGTTAGCAGTAATCGAAACAAAGAGACAGAGAGAACATACTTCTTGCGGGCGGCAGCAGTCCCAGAGCTTCCAGCATTAGTAGCACGGGACCGTTTCTTGTCAGCGTCCTTAGCAGCACCTCCTCGGCTACCCGCGCCGCTGGCTGAGCGATCCATCGGCGTACTCATTTCTACGGCAGGAGGGGCAACCACCTTGCGACGCTTCGGCGCGGCACTTGGTTCGCCCGAGTCCACGCGCGATGTCTTAGTTGCTGTCTTGCGCGATCCACGAGTTTCTTCATAGTCCGCGTCAACATGACCCCGGCGCTGTTTACGCGCCATGACGGCCTCGCGCCGCGCCTCACTCCGACTGGCTGCTTCGGCTTCATGCATCGCGTTGGCAATATCGTGTCTGTGGTTTACAGCCTCCCGCCGTGGTCGCTCATTGGCAGTCGTCTTCGTGGTGCTCTTGTTGGAGTATGCCCAGTGTGTAAGACTACCCAAGCGAGCCTCCTCACTAACCTCGCCCGCGATGTAAGGGAAAATGGTATCTAGACGGAGGATCTGACGGTCCAATTCCTCATTCGCGTTCGATATAACGTGGTTCTTCTCGTCCGCAGTCATCATAAGATCGGAAAGGTTCTGTCGGACGCGATCGAACAGAAGGCGGCGATTTTTGCTCTCGGAGGTCTCGGGGGCTTGGGTGAGCTCCTAAAGAAAAGGAAAGGAATGGTATTAGTATAGACTCAAAAAAGCGTCCTGAAGCACCAATACTGGGGATTCGCTTACCTTAGGCATAAAATCTTCGCGAACCACCCCTCCCACAATAGGCGCCGGATGCGGAGGGTATGGAACGGGCTGTGAGTCCAACGAGAGCTGCAGAAGCTGCAGCAGGTTCTCCTCAAGCGCCCATGCTTTCGCATCCACTTCCTTCAACAGAGAGTTATGTCGGCGGAACTCGCGTGGGAGGGCTGTTATCGCGTCCGTAAAATGCGTGATGGCAGGGTAGAAACCGTGAGGAACAGGGGCCTCAGAGGCGATCTCCGTGGTCGAGCCGCGACCAAATCCGAATGACGATCTGCCAATCGTCTTGGAGGTTCGGGAAGGGTTCGTACGAGTTTGCCGGGCCGATTGTCGGAGTCCCTGGCCCTGAGGATTCAGGGCAGACGAATTAATAGCGGACATTGCGAATAATTCAGCTGAAGCCGGAGACGGCACCGCTTTCCGGACGAGTTTGACGTGACAAGTTTGATGCAATGGGTATGGGTGCCAATCTTAGTAGACGCGGGGTTATAGCGGAGGTCTGGCAGCATGAACCGACATGTGGTACCTCGTGGAGTAGCGGCAATAGACCGGTGAGGGTCAGAGGGTAGCTGGAAGTTTTGCGTGCGGAGAAGAGCGCATCAGGATCCGGTGGATTTCGGACTGGATATTCAGGCACCACTTCGATTTGTCATCGCCACATGCCTGACGTCAACCTTCGAGGTAAACAAATGGACATTCGTATAAGCGAAAGCATATATATAGCTCGCCCAACAAAGAAAGGCCTGGGGATGTTGCATGATACTTGTCATGCAATCTGGGGAAAATAAACTTCTTTCTGGAGTTCGGAGGAAGTCGCGGAAGATATAACATTGCGGGCAAACGAAATGCACCGAAGAACTCAGAGTGTACCTCTTACGTATAAAGCCAATATTCCTACGGCCTGCTGGGTCTATTCCTAGGTCTACTTGCTCTGCGGTTGAAATCTATCTCCTTGGCATTTACAATGCTCGTCAGCACCTCAACTGTGGCGTTTCTTACTCTCCCTGTGGTCCGGACTGCGGCTGGCCCTCCAGACTCGGAGGGACTTAACCCGCGTAATACTCACTGGAGAGTTTTACTTTAGCTAAACTTACATGTATCAGACAAAACTGTTATTTTACCTGACGGAGTTGTTCCAGAGGTGGTTTATCAAATCGTAAGCGTGACATATGAGGATCCTCAGTCTTCATCTCAGAGGCAGCTATCTAACAAGAACCGCTTTAGTATTATGGCAGATCTGCCGAGCAGTATAACATTATTCCAACCCCGGGCACAGAACGGGCGCTGCCAAATAGTTGCCTTCTTAATAACTCTATGGGTAGAATAGGAACCTGCCCAACTCAGGTATTGTTGATTCCGTATAGTGTACCGGGACTGGATTTGCACATGGCAAGAGCCCGAAGCAACGTGGGTTTGTGTTGCTGGCTAATAAGCGCTATACCACTACCAGCATCCAAATAATATCAATGACACTAGATGACGCATCCATGGCCGTGTAGTCCTACAAATATGCCCAGATTAAGTCTCGGAGGGCCTCTGGGCCGCACCCGATCTGGATATCCAAAACGTAGAGCCCACGGGCATTGATGTAGACTCTATGAGTTCATGCATCTGCTACTAACTTCAAGAAATCAAAGAATCATATATATTCGCTTATAAAAACCAGAATGGACTACTGGCTTACCCCGGCAACGCCCATAAGCACAATCGGGCCCTCGCCCACTCTCGCCCAACAAGGAATCTTCATATTCGACGAGACAGAGGGCGGAATAACTTACCTCACCCCAGACGAGATCTACACCGCAACCCCTGATCTCCCCGAAGAAACCCTCGATCTCATCGGTTTTCCGAACCGAGCCAAAGTATGCGCCTACCTGAGCGCCCTCCCAGAACACCAGAAATGCATCTGTGAAGTTCTGCGCGGGCTAGATTGGGTGGAGAGCGATATCTATCAGATCATGGTCCCGCTGGAGGAGAGCCAGAAAGGGATCCGAGAGGAACTGAAGAAGTCAGGGCGGACGAGGGCGGAGATTGAGCGGTTGGATAACCTTTGTTATGCGGGGCTGAGCATTTCGGCGCAGTTGAAACGGCCGGGGAAGAATCGGGGCGCGGAGTTGATTCAGATGGAGATCTTCTTGAGGGATGAGATCCTACGCAGGAGGCGGATGATGCTTGGGGAATTCATTACGAATGAGGGGAATGTCTGTCGTGTCCCTATGCGTCTGAGGGCGGGATCTGACAGATTGGTGGGTGAAGAAAGTGTTGCTCCTCTTGAAGCTCCTCTTGAAGCTCCTCTTGAAGCTACTTTAGAGTCCTCTTGCGAGGATGCCTCTTGGTTTAGAGTGTAATGTTGAGGGTGGACGCCTCGATTCGTTTGAGATGCGGTGTCAGGATCTTGTTTGCTATACAAATTTTGCTACGAGAACAGGAATGGAAATACTGTGTGCGTTATACCAGATTGAAATGCCCTGAACAAAAATGAAATTATTGTATTTTACAAAAAAAAAAAAGCCACGGGTTCTACGTATAGATGGGTCCAAATGTCTAGCGAAGCTAAGACAAATCTTGTACACCACAGGCAAGAACTGAATCAAGCTCTCATGCACATTAAACGGGGATCGGTACAAAGGGAATTGGACGCAAGCTCCCAAGGTGCACCGTCAAATATCGGAAAGCACAACGCGGCCACACGCCTCAGGCCAGACAGGCTCATCATCGTAACAGCTACAAGAGCGAACTTACTCGCCCTTGAGACGCTCCTGGTGGACGGAGAAGGCATCCTGTAAGAACTCCTGCTCTTCCTTGAGATGAGTAGCCTTGAGACCGGTAGCGACGGAAGCGCTAGGGGCACGACCAGCGTACAAGACGTGGCGGCGGTTGTGGTGCTCGGTGGCGTTCAGAAGAGTTTCGATACGAGGCTGGGCGTAGGACCAGGCACCAGCGTTCAGAGGCTCTTCCTGGGCCCAGACAATGTCCTTGGCATTGGGGTAGCTGTCAAGATTCTCCTTAAGTTGGGCCCAGGGGAAGGGGTGCAGCTGCTCGACACGGGTGATCGCGGTGTTGCGGATACCGTTCGCTTCACGGTGCTTCGTCAGAGCAGCGTAGACTTGGCCGGAGCAGAGAATAACGCGCTCGATCTTCTCGGGCTCGTCAATAGCACTACCGTGGGCGGGGTCACGAATGATCCACTGGAAGTGGGACTCGCCACTGAAGGCATCGAGGTCAGACCGGGCAATGGGGTGACGCAGAAGAGCCTTGGAGAAGAAGATAATCAAAGCTGGAGGACGTTAGTTTAGGTTCAATCATGAGAGGAAGAAAAGGCAAAAAAAAAAAAGAAACCAGACGGAAAGAGGGAACATACGCTTGCGGAACTGGCGGTGGATCTGGCGACGAAGGATGTGGAACAAGTTGGAGGGCTCGGTCATGTAGGCAATCTGCATGTTGCAGTCCTGGTGCTGACGGTCTAGCTTGTCGGCAGAGGGGAAGACACGGGGTTCCTCGTTACACAGCTGGAGCCAGCGCTCCATACGACCGGAAGAATGTTCAGGCCCCTGGCCGTCGTAACCGTGGGGCAGAGAGACAACCAAACCGGAACGCTGCAACCACTTGCTCTCACCGGAGGCAATGAACTGATCGATAATACATTGAGCGTTGTTGGCGAAGTCACCGAACTGAGCCTCCCACATGACAAGAGCCTCGGGGGGAAGTCAAAGAGTAACCGTACTCGAAACCAAGGGCACCGAACTCAGACAGGGAAGAGTTGGAGATGACGAAGCTACCCTGATCCTTGCTGACGTGCTGCAGGGGGGTGTACGTAGCCTCGGTCTCTTGGTCGTGGAGGACAGCGTGACGCTGAGAGAAGGTACCACGCTCAACATCCTGTCCAGAGATACGGACGTGGTAGCCCTCGTCGACAAGGGTACCGAAGGCAAGAGCCTCGGCAGTGGCCCAGTCAATACCGGTTCCCTCGTCGACAGACTTCTTGCGGTTGGCAAGGATACGCTTCAAGTTCCTGTGGAGAGTGAAGCCCTCCGGGGCGTCGGCAGCGCTAACCTTGTCGGCAATGTTCTTGAGGGAATCAGGGCTGACGGCAGTAGGCAAGTGAGGAAGAACCTCAGTAGCAAGCTCCTTAGGGGTCTTGAAGTTGTTCCAAGCGGAGGTCAGCCACTCCTTTCCGGTAGGCTGGTAGTCCTTGCTGCGGTCGAAGCTGTCGTTCAGCATGCCCCAAACCCACTTCTTGTGCTCATCAATGTCCTCCTTGGTGAAGGTGCCCTCGGTGATCAGCTTCTCCACGTACTTGTCAAGCTGAGCCTTCTGGGAGGCAATGCGCTTGTACATAAGGGGCTGAGTGAAAGAAGGCTGGTCAGTCTCGTTGTGACCCTGCTTACGGTAGCAGACGATGTCGATGACAACATCGCGCTTGAACTCAGCACGCCAGTCAGCAGCAACCTGGCAGACGTAATTGACGGCCTCAACATCGTCACCGTTGACGTGGAAGACAGGCGCGTCAATGGACTTGGCGATGTCCGAGCAGTAGGGGTGGACCGAGCAAATCGGGGGTCAGTAGTGAAACCAATCTGGTTGTTCACGACGATGTGGATAGTACCGCCGGTCGAGTAAGCGGGAAGTGAGTGGAATCCCATAGTCTCATAGACAACACCCTGAGCAGCAAAAGCAGCATCACCGTGCAACAGGACACCCATGGCAGTGTTGAACTCGGTCTCGTCCTTGTTGTAGTGCTGGATGGCACGGGCCTTACCCAGCACGACGGGGTCCTCAGCCTCCAAGTGAGAGGGGTTGGCAACCAGCGACAGCTGGACGCGCTTTCCGGAAGGAGTGGGACGCTCAAAGTTCATACCCAAGTGGTACTTGACATCACCAGATCCCTCGTCGGAAGGCTCGGTAGAACCAGCGAATTCACTGAAGATGGACTCATTGGGCTTGCGGACGACGTTGGAGAGAACATTCAGACGACCACGGTGAGGCATACCAATGACAATGTCCTTGATACCGTAGTCGACACTGCGGTCAATCAGAGCCTTCATACCAGGCACAAGGGTCTCACAACCCTCCAGACCGAAACGCTTGTCATTGGGGAACTTGGTGGCAAGGAAGGCCTCAAAGCTAGAACTCCAGATCAGACGGTCGAGAATACGGCGCTTGTCGTCAACGGAGTATTTGTATGGCTCAGGGATCTCGAAGCGGTCACGAATCCATTCGCAAGGCTTACGATCGGGGATATGGATGTACTCGACGCCGTAAGAGCCACAGTAGATCTTCTCGCAGGCAGCAATGATCTCGCGCAGGGTCATCTTTTCGCGACCCTCGGTGACGAAGCGAGGCAAGATACCGGGTCCAAGAGCGAAGGATTGGTCGAGGTCGCGCTCGGTAAAGCCGTAGTGGTCGAGCTCCAACTCCTTGGGGTTTTCGTAACCAAAAGCCTCGGCTTCTCCACGAATGCCGAGAGGATCGATCTTTGCCTTGTGGTGACCACGGGCCTGGTAGGCGCGCACCAGCAGCTGGACTTTCAAGTGGTTTGTGACATCGGTACCGCCGGAGAGACCAGCGCCAGGCATGTCCTGGGGAACACCGCCGGTAGGGGTAGGAACGAGGGTAGGAGGGGGAGTGAAAGCACGGGAGATGGGCATGTTGCCATCTTCCATGTTCTTGAAGTAGGTCTGCCACGAGATGTGCACGCTGGAAGGATCCTGCTTCCACGCAAGGTACATCTCATCGACATAGTTGGCAGTGTTACCGGAGAGGAAAGAATCATTAGGGTCCTAAAATCACGCGGCGGAATTAGTGAATGTTTCGAAAGGGTCTCCCTGCTTGGGCGCATCGCAGTATTGAGTGGCAGGCGATTTCAAATATTATCCAGGGATTGATAGCTTACCACTCCAGCGCTAGCACCCTCCGCGGACGAAGCGTAGAGCCGGGCGCCATTGGGGGCACGGTCGACGAGAGCAAGAGGGCGGCGGGCGGCAAGGCCAAAACCAGGGTTCTTCGAGGCCAAACGGGCGCTCGAGGCCAGGTGGAAGGACCTCCGGGAGGCCTTCAAAGCAGTATTCCTAAACATTGCGGGATTTTTCCGTCACTCAGGACGTATCCGTGACGTGTGGAAAGGAGTTATGGAAGACAACGATTCTTGGACTCGAGGGAATCGGACTCAAAACGCGTGTCAAAGACCTTGAACATGTTTCTATTAGCTGACAATCCATACCCACGACTCAAGTCGCCAGACTGTTGTTATTCTGCCGGCCAAACCGGAGCCAACGGAGCGGAGACACGTACAGGGTTCTCAGCGCAAAACAGGTGTCGACGATTATTGCCGTAGCACCTGTATAGAGACTGAACTCATCAGAGAGCAGAAACTCTGCTGATGAACAAAAGTGGAGTGGGGAGGAGTAAAATGAATTAACGGTAGTAACGAGGAAGAGCTACGAAAGGAACCTGCAACTTGGAACTTGGGATGCGGCCGGTGCGCTGACTCAGCAGGTGCCGCGGACGGATGGATGGGGTAAAATGTGAATAACAGATTGACAACGGATTGTCGCCCTGACAATTATAGCATGAATCAAAGGACGAAAGGAATTTTCTGTGGAGTCTGACCCTGGACTGGTCGTTTTGATTTGTTATGGAATTTTACGAGGCACCAATGGCTTGGCCATTCGGCGCGTTTCGGTCTTCTGCGGGTGTCTTCGGCCAATCGGATGTTGATTGGCTTGGATGACGGCACTGGCTGCCGGTTGAAGTCATCGCCATACTTCATCCTCATCAAATGGCCCTAGCAGCTTAGGCATCTTATGTTCTCAAGCTAGTGTTCTCTCGTGGCAGGCCGCAGAAAATAATGCAAATGATGAAACAGTACTAGACCGGAGAAATTCTCAATCGTGACATCGTGAAACATGGTCCAACAAATCCGCCTGATGCAACATATAAGGAAAGAAAGGTAATTAGTATGTCCATATAGAGAAAAAGAAAAAAAAAATAGAAGAGATATCGAGAGGCAAAAGGAAGAAAAAGGGGTGTGATGCGAGGAAATTACAGCTCATTGAAGTGTTGAGCTGCGCCGGCACTCGGCAATTCTTCTTCGAAACCGGCGTACATCGGCCCGTTCGGCGGGAGATCGGCAGACTGGCCCAGCCGGTCCTTGAGTGGCGATGCAGTATGAGGAACATTCTCGTCGCGGGGAGGCGATACACCAACCGGCGCATCGTCAGGGAAAGTGCGGAAGTCGGAAGGGCTAGCCTCTGAAGCTCCAGTGAAGCTGCCGCGGTTGGAAGACGGAAGGGGATGAGGCGGCGGGCTTCCGGCACTGCTGCGAAGGCTGCCATTGCTGCCTCCCCATGCACCACGACGCAGCTTCATGAGAGCACTCAGGGTCATTTCATCGTCCAAATTACCCATGTCGACCAGCTGCGCGAGGCCCGGGCTGGCAAGGGCCGGGTTGGAATGAGCCCCGAGCGGCGTCTTGACGGAAATCATTGAATTGCGATTGCTCCATTCGCTTCGTTCAGTGATTGGGGTCAGGCTAGGCTCTTGGAATTTGCCCCGGCTGCTGAAACTACGGGACACTCCTTCCACACCCCGGGGCCCGAAGTAACCACCATTGACTAGTTCAGCGTTAGAGGTACCGTGGGCCTGAGCGTAGAAGCCAAATTCTTGGCCATAAAACCCCTCATCGTCGTTTTCAAGTGCCTCTGCGTTGGCAGCTGCAATGATTGGATCATCAAAGTATCCATCCTCGTCGTAGAAGTAGTCATCGTTACCGCCATCGAAGGGTATCATGTCTGCGTACTGGCTGAGACGACTATCATCAGACGTCAACCCTGGTTGAGAATCGTCCGTTTGAGAAGTGAGCGAGATACTCTCCTGCGCCAAAGACCGACTGCTGGTGCTGAATGTACGCTCAAAGCGACTTGGACCGGCTGCTTCATGAGCTGCAAATGCCAAGGCATTATGCAGGACTTCCAAGTTTTGCTCCGTGAGCACCCCGCCATGGGCTCTGGCAGGGCCCATATTTGGGATTGGATCACCAAGTGGCCCGCGTTTCAAAACATTCACTCCGTATTCACTAGCCACACTGGGCATATGCTTGAGACCTTGAGGGGTATCCTCTTCGTGTAGAACGTCTTCGTCCAAGATTTCATCATAGGCTCGGCCCTTGTCCTGTTCAGGCTGCGGTACCTTTGCTTTGTCAACCGTTTTACGTTCGTAAAGATGGCTTGTCTCGTCATCAAATATAGACTCGTCGAAGCTTTCACTCTGATCATCAAGGCTCAGGTCCCCAAATTCTCCGTCGTCGAAGTAGAGGTCATCGTCATCGTCCGCAAGAGCCTGAGTCTTTTCAGTTCGCATCCTATATGGCTGATGGCCTTCGGGATTAGGAGTCTCCGCCACTGAAGTGGATGCTTTCAAAGTTTCTTGGCTAGCGACATGGTGAGGTTGATTCTTTTCGTTGTGGGATAATTCAAAACCTCCATTGTATTGACGAGCAGGGTTCAGCGATTCCTCACTAGCAGAATGGCCAGGGGGCGCCATGGTTTCAGCTGGCGCAGGAGTTATGGGACTTGCAACGACAGGTGATAGGCCCGGCACGGCCCATGACTTGAGCTCCCCATTGATATTGCGAGAAACCATAGGTGCTGAGAAGTCATCATCCTCGTCGTCATAATCGGCATTGACTCCTGGAATTTTTTCTTCAAGGTCATCATAGTCATCCATCATATCATGATCAAAGTCTTCGTCAAAGTCGTCGAAATACCCATTTTCAAGCTTCAGCTGAGCTTCCTTGGCCTTGTGCTCTTTGTGTCGCTCCTCTAGCAATTTCTCCTGAACGGATGATTCAACCCCGCCCATATCGAAACTGAATCTAGATGAGGCGTTGCTTTTCAAGTGCTTGGGAAGAGTTGCTGCTGGATGGGGAACATGCGGAATGGTATCCTGGTCAGGTTGCACTATCGGACCACTTGGTTTCCCCAGGCTCATACTATGCTCGGGAAACACATCAGCCGGTGATGCTGGCGGAAAGTCTCCGGGAAGCTCTGCTGGGAGGTTTTCATAATGACCATTCCAACTTGGCGCCTGGTCGGGCAATGCAGAGGGCAACTTTTTAGCGAACACCGGTATTGACTTATCGTAACCCGGTGGCGTCGAACTCGTCAGAAGCGATGATTGGAGATAGCCTTTATTTTCAATTTGAAGCACTTTCTGATTATCTTCGAAGTGCTCCTTGAAAACAGGCGAGTGGTCACTGTGTGGCCTGGCTTGCCCATTCCATCGACTTGCAGGACTCAAATCTTGTGCGCTCAGCGCATTATTACCATCTCCTGCGGTAGCTGAAATTCCAGAGACATTCCTCCGAGGTGCTCGAGGTGCAGAGAAATCATGAACGATTTTCCCACGAATCCGCGGATCATAATCATCCGGTATGGCTGGCACTAAGGTCGAGGTGTTGATTTTCGCATCTTCGACTCGAGAACCGGCCATTTGCGACGACCGCCGACGAGCAAGGAGGGACATGGGGTTCAAAAGATGGAGCATGGCTTTTCCTGACTTGTGATGTGTATTATCCATTATGTCGCGCTCGGGCTTAGTTTCCCTTTGGGACGCGGTTGCTTTCTCGCTCATGAATTCCTCGGGGATGCTTTGATCCGGGATTGATTTGATCCCGGGCCTGCGGTGGGCGAGCGCCTCTGGTTTTCCAACGCCTCTGTTTGCAAAGCTCGAGGCCCCTTGAATGACAATCGGAAGGGTGAGCCGGCTTTAGAATTCGGCTCGCCGTCACCCTGGTCTGGCCGAAGTCCAGAAATGGAGAGCTGAGAATTGTTTTTCTGCGACATGACGGCATCTTGGGGACGATACTCTTCCGGACTCGAGTGAGGACGATATTCTTTTTCGGATAACGGGCAAGGGACGGCGAGAGATGCGGAGGAAGAGAGGGTTGCTGTTGTATTGAAGGTCAAGCTTAGCTTGGATGGATCATTTTCGAGCGGAGAACCACTCCATGGTGGGGCATCGTGCAATGGGGTGAAACTGATCGCATCTTCAATGTTTGGGGTATCAGGTAGCTCCGGGAGTTGTGGAAGGGTGGTGAGTGGGCTCTCTGGGCCATTTGCGGGCGATGGACCGGGGGGTAGAGATGTTGGTGTTGCCGCAGCGCGGCGATGATCGCGACGCCAATATGAGAAGACGGTGGAGGGAGGCATTCTTGTCACGGAGCAGACCTCAGGAGCTGCCTAGTCGAATATCTCAAGGAGCGGAAGCCATCCTGATCTTGTTTAGTTGTGGATGGCTGGCATTAAAAATGGTCAGGAAGGCTGGTCGGTCTCACATACCACTGGTGGGGCTTGTAGCGGCGACCCCGAAAACGCCGCTAGGGAGACCCGTGCGGTCACTGTTGATCAAGTGTATGAATAATAGCAGGTGGTGAATACAACGCGAACTGCATAGTAAAAGGCAGACAAAAAGGGAGCGGAAGATCGGCCCCAGGCAATCGTAATGGGCTGCAGCTCCCACGGTTCCAAGGTTTTTCTCCCCACTCGTGTTACGCCAATCGAGAGCTTCATGGCGTCTCACAACATGGGTGGCCTAGATCTATATTTATATCCATACACAATATGGATGCATCATTTGGTCCCTTGCTGAGAAAACACTCAAGTTGTTTTGATTTGAAGACTACCTCTTGGTAAGATTAGAGTAAACCGGAAACCAAGTATCCCTGCTTCAAATGTTGGACTCGGAGGAAAAGTGAACATACATGTACAGACACTATTAGTCCAGGCGTGCAGTCTACAAAAGAACCTGATCAACCACCAACCAGGCCTTGGAGCAGATTGATTCCAAGTTATAACATTTGAAAACACAAAAACCTGTCCTGTCTATATTGCAACTTTCTGTTAGTTCTGAGGTCATCCATATTCTCCTAGCCTGAAGGACTCGGACATTTTCGGAATGGACAAATGCGCAGAAAGAGACTTACACCCACGACCAAAGAATACATAACTAGTCAGTTGTCTCAAGTTCTTAGCCAGGGCAAAACCGCAACGGATCATACATTAAATTATTTGTACTCTACATGCAAATCCTCCCGCCCGCCCAAAAAAATGGAAAAGAGAATAAGGACGCCTGGAACGACAGCGCTATGAGTGAATATCAAAAGGGTTCAAACCCATCCTAAGTGAAAGAAAATAGCCTAGCGAATACTCTGCCGCCAGCGGTCAATCACATCACGCTGGGCAGGATCAGGCTGCCTTATCGTAGGCGGAGCGCAAGCACTGGGGGAAGGGTAGCCCATATTATGCATAGCCAGCATGGTACTATTGTAGCCATACATACCGGGGTTCACTTTTGCCGGGGAATAGCCCATTCCGTAGCCGTATTGCATTTGCTGGGCCATTGGGTACTGTTGTTGCATTTGGTAGCCCATGTGAGTAGGGAGCCGCTGCATAGACATTCTATGGTTGAGCTGGTTCCCGTACTGCGTCGTCTGCATCGTCTGCATTGTCTGCATTGTCTGTGGGCGTAGGAGGTCTTGCGAGGGCTTGCGGGGGAGATGCATTGATTGTCGCATTTGTGGGAGGGTCGCCATGCTATTGCGCATTCGAGGGTTCTTTGCAGCATTTGGTTGGGCGCCCTCCTTTTGGAGACGACTGCGGCGCTGCGCAAGTGTCTCCTCCTGCGGTGCGACAGGAGCTGGCTCTGGAGAGGGCTCTTTGAAGCGAGTATCGAATTCCGCTAATAGGTCATGAGAAAAGTCGCTTTCAGTGGGATCCTGCCCCTTCATGCGCTTCAGCCTTTCGGCTAGAGTTTCTACTTCATCTTCATCTTCCTCTACACCCTTGGATTGAGGAAGAGGTGGAGGTCTAGTGGAATACATGGTGACTGGGCGCTTCTGCGGAATAGGCTCTCCTCGTAACCTAGCCCGGCGTGTACTGAGAGGCTCATTATCTTCGAACTGTTGTCGCCCTATTAGACCTTGGGGGTTGTCGCCTTCTTCTTCTGTCGCCGATTTCTCGGGATAAAGCAGGGCCAGAGGAACATCGTCATCTTCTGGAGCGTCGCGACCATCCCAAGCTAGGGTGACAGGACGTCGTCGCCTCTTCTCACTCTGTTTCTGAGCGATGGTATCCATTTCTAGAAGCGTTGTAGGGCCCCCATTCTGACCAACGTGCCCAACTGTTGGCAGCGCAGTGCGGCGACGCATTTTGAGTTCCTGCTTGCGCATCTCTAGCTCCGCGAGGAGGGTATTTGGTGGCCCAACATAATCAAGTCCAGCGTCTCCTCCAGGAGCATACTCATCGCCCTCGGCCTCGGACCCAGAGTTCTCGGTATCATGCTCACCTCGAGCGTGTGTCCACTCGTCCTGGGAGGAGACGGAGCTGTCGTCGCTCGATTCTGAACTGTGTTCTCGCCTCAGGGGACGGGATTTCTGTTTTTGCTTGGTAAGGGTCTTTTCCTGTGCGTAAATATACGAGCCAACATGGCCCGCATAAGGATGATCTGTGAAAGCTGACACCGGTGCATTCGCCGAGGCATCGAGGATATCATCGAGAGTTGCGACGGCCGACTCCCCTTTCCTGTCCAACTCAATAGTCTGGCTAGGTGGTTCAAAGAACACACTTGCCCGCAGTTGAGGTGGAAGGGCTGACTTGCGCTTCTCTTTAGAGGCGTCGCCCACGACGTCCTGCCCCGATTCGGCCCTTCCAGATGCAGCTTTCCGGTCTTCGGCCGCGATGTCATTCAATATTTGGGTTCGACGCTTTTCGCGGTCTGCGACGGGTGGCTTGCGAGACAGCTTAGGTGGTAGGTTCAGAATGCGAGGGATTGGTGCGGGATAGTACACCATGTTCTCCCCTGCCTGAGGCTCTTTATGTGATTCTTGATTGCGGGCGAGCGGTGGCCGATTGATGGACACTTGGCGTCCGGAGCTCATCCGATCTGACGGTGCGTAATGTACGCCGTCGAAATCGGTAAACAACGTTCGTGCCTGGTGATATGTATCTCCTGACGCAGCCGTTGGTGGGCGTTCGATCTCCTCCGGAAAGACTTGTGCATCGTGCTGACCGTAATACCGTTCGACGGGGTTGGCATAACTTGGGAGTCGCGGGGATGTGACCGGAAAGTTCGAAGGAGAGGAATGTGGACCGTCAAGCTGGCCATCTTCGTCGTGAGCGGGTTCGGTGACCTGGGCCAGGCGAGACGCCCCGGATACAGATCGCTGGCGCGTGGATCGGGTCGATCCATGAGGAGAAGGTAAGGTAATAGGGGAGAATGCTCCATTCCGCATAACGACGGAATTAGAGGCTGAGCTGCAGGACTGTCTTTTCTGTTCTTGATCCATCTTGCGAATCTCGCTGCCAATGTCTGCAGTGCTGGAGCTGAGGCGTTCAGCACTCAGTTCTAAGCGCTCTACGTTTCCGATGTAGGCGCCCTGGAGCGATTGGAGGTCGGGCGTAGGGTGACTGAGTGGAATGGATACGTTACTGGAGGCGCTGCGCAAGGGGGTCCCTGGGGAGGAATGTCGCGCGACAGTAGTGTTTAGCGGAGGGACCTGGTGGGGATCATCGGGGGAAGGATCCGCAGCATAGTCATCGGCCTCGACTATCTCGTAGCCGGGGGCAGTCATCGAGCTGATGATGGAACTCAACTGGGCCAGACCGCGAGGTTCTTCTGGAGCAGGTTCGAGATGAGGGGCTCCGCCAAGGTGGCCGTGATCGCGAAGGGATTGGAAGGCCCTGTGGGCAGCGGGTGTCAAATCGTCTGAGTCTGAGTCGGACGCGACCTCATGGTCGACCTGAGCGACGGCGTTGTACGCCATCTTCTGGGCCTCGAGGCGCATCCAGGCACAGTCTGGTTTTGAAGGGAGCAAAGGTTGGGAAGATCAGCCACAGGCGTTCGCGGGTTGGTTCCAAGGAAGATTCGAGAGGATCAAAAGGGACCAGGAACAGGGGGAAAAGGTTCAGGTACTGGCGATGTTTCATTTGTGTCACGAAGTCAGTACTAGTGTATACCAGTGGACTGAGGATGATTCTGTTAATTCTTTTGCCCCCATTTCACTTAAATCTGCTGTTCGCCCAGTCCACCTTCGGTCCAATTTCCGGGTTCTAAATTTGGAAGCGTCATACAAATGAAAACAGGCGAGTTCCTTGGAATGCGACGCCCGCGTACTTTACCGTTCCTCAGCACGAAAACAAGGCATAACTCACGATACTATGTACCACTTTCCTACTAGTGCAGCGAGAAGACCTCCATGTCTCAGACCTGTCAAGTAATTCCCATTTGACAAATGGGAGGTGCAGCCTTGCACGGTCTAGCCCGGCTACCCACTTCTGGGCTTTTTCTTTGGTGGGTCTGTTGATGGGCAAATTCGAGTTCTTACAGAAAGGAGAACTGGGGAGGAAAATAGAGAAGAAAAATTATGTCGAGCCTTCCTGAAGGCCTTTTATCGGCTGACGTGAAACCACATGGATCACCCCTTGCAAGGTTGGCCTCAAATCTCTCTGATTCTATGCTTCGAAACATTGGGGAACCGCCAACTGGTTCCAAGACAGAGACTCGAGCTGCTGCATTTTCCATTGTCTCATGAACGCTGACCAGGGAGCCTAACTTCGGTCTTATCATGCATCAACACCAAATAGCCTCGAGGATCGGGATTGCGACCACATAAATCTCTGACCATAATCAAAGAGTATGTTTTGCTTTCTTACTTATCTATGGACTCTGGCCGAATGAGATTCGATCCGTCATTCTATGCGACATCTATGTGACCCCTACCACGTAATTGTCAGCCCTGCAAGGGCGATCGTCAACCTCAAACTAGAATTGCAGATCTTTCCCGGTGATATCAATATTCCACAGCCTTAGACGCTACAGCGTTGGTTCATACAAACTTCAAGAGCAGGCTCACGGCTCGCATCATAATAGGTATTAGGCAGTACTATCATAAAATTCATTTCCATTGCCCAAGTAAATTGGCGATCCATACGGTATTAGTACTAGTATCATGGTGGATATGATGATGCCAGGGTGTTGTATGGTCCCCTTCTCGAACGGGAACAACCACGGGCGAATAACGTATAACCCACAAAGTCAATCGACGGTCATCCAGAAGGAGAGCTCATGTGTCTTAATTTGTCTTCTAATTTCAGCGAGGGTTCCGAACAGAATCAACTGCTTCTACGCGTAGCATACTTCTGATTCTCAGCGCCGTCAGCTTCCGGCTCTGGGGAGGTTCAGATGGCCATAGCCTTAGAAGTCAATATTAACGGAAAAGACGACTGCGCAAACGAGTTTCTGATGGGCGATTGGGAAGCCATACCTTGCACGATCTTCAACAGCGCGGATGGTGTGTCTGGTGGCCTGAAGACAGACTGGGCGGCCCTTGGCTGCGAAGCAGGTTCTATGTTGCATCCGCCCCCCAATACCCTTTGAAAATTCATGCGGGCAATTCCAAGAAGGCTTTAGTGGCTCAAGATAGGCTCCCTGATATTGATGAAAAGAAATTACCAGAGTTCGATTCGGCCGCCCAGGTATGGCTGCTCAATGGGGGTTCGATACACTAACAAAGTTCTTCGTGGCCTCCCCGGATGAATCGACGGCGGGAGAAGTCCCGCAGGGTGGTTATGAGGCTGTCTCTGACTCTTGACTCTTGAGTCTTGATAGGATGCCCGAAGAATTGCCCCATCAGCATCGTCGGTTTCTGGAAAATTACCTTTAGTTTCCGGAAAGATTTCCGACAAACTTGTTTTTCTTCTTTTTCTTTTCTTTTTTTTTTTCGTTTTCATACCTTACCCCACCCGGCCAAAAGTCTGTGTGCACTCGGCCCACTACTATCACCCTAACAAACAACCACATGTTCATTTTTCCTTCTATACCACCTTTATAGCCTCGATCATGTAGATAGGAAGACCTGAAGAGAATTGGGCTTATTTCAAAAAGCATATTCATACTATACAGAATATGTTTGGCTAGACGAAGATTGATATATTGATGTTGAGTATAGGAAGAAGGATGGATAAATTATATAAGAACCAGCGCTATTATACAAGATAATAAGTGAGGGGAATCTGTATATAAATCTAATCTGATTTTTTAGTATATTTAATTTTAGTATGATCTAATAAGAATTGGTACTGTGTAACCATGAATATACATATGTATTTGATAGGGTAGGTGACGGGGTAGAAGACGGAAGCGGTATGTATATAGACTTTTGCCTCTTATTGTATCATATTTATTTCAGTTGATTATCAAAGTGAACATAACCTTTAGACTTGTCCAATAATTAAGCCTTCAAGGGTTCATAGTGGACTGGTCATACAACTTTTGCAATTTGGATCCGGCATATTTAGGATCACCGCCCAGGTCCATTTCTTACCATCGCTCATAATCAATTTCTTGTTCCATAGTGACGTCAAAGCCTTCCTCTAAGCACCGGAGCTGATCTATCCTTCATGCGCAGTGTTAGCCTGTGCCCAATCTTCAATATGTGCGACAATGAATCTCGCACGGCGCCGGATGTTCTTCACCAGCCAATGGTCGAACAGTGCCATTATCAGCCTGGAATTTGACTGCTTTTCTTTGTAGGCAGCAATCGTTGCCTTCACAGAAGAAATGATGTACAGGCCTCTTTTGGCACGTGTCAAGACTGAGATCAAATGCCCTGCGACAGAGGTGAATCCTGGCCGGTCAACGATCTCGAGATCCAGGACGACAATATCCGCTTCCTAGCCTTGGTAGCAATCCACGGTGGCAATTTTTACTTTTTGAGCACCTAGTCCAGGCTTTTCTGTATGTAGTTTCATCATGGATGCTGGTGCAGCTTTTCTTGAGCCGAGCAGAAAGCCAAAATGCAGATGTCGCTGAATTGCGGGGAAGGACACCTTTGACCCGGTTGATATTTCAGTAGCTTTTGGTGACGAGGGCTACGACAGCTTGAATGTTTTCTTCGTTGTAAGAAGACATAGTGCTGTTGTCCAGTTTCTGTATACCTTCGGGGATGTCAAGAAGGACCATTTTGGATTTTGCTTTGAACATGTACTTGTTAAACCAGCGGACAGACCTTGCGCTGCTATTGGAGACATGGCTGGTGGCAATGTGTTCTGAGGCAACTTCCGTAGTACGTCAATTTGGGTCCCGCTGCGATATTCTTATGCATGCGGCGTTGTTGGTACAGGGCTGGAAGACTGATTCCAGGAGCAATGAGTCGATAGAAGAACGAGGCCGTCAGCTGTGATCGAAACGGCCATTTTTCATTCGAAGCCAGGACCGTTGGATATATCTGGAGGTGATCACCCATGAATATCGTGACCTGGAAGCTTGGTTTGTTGGCAGAGTATACCGAGCCAAGGTGGGCCAAAGGCGGGGCTCGGAAATGTGACTGGCTTCGTCGATAACAACATGGCTGGCTGTCACGTATTGCACCTAGAAGGCGTACTATATAAAGCGTGACTGGGAATATCCGCACATGAAGTACCGTATGGTGGTCTTTCGGCTCAGTTGATGGAATATTAGCCTAGGAATGCTTCTACACATTATTTTAACTCTATCCAACCAGCCTGGAATATGTTAAAACGCTAAATTTCTTGTATATCTCTATCTTGCATGGATCCGTTTCTCAATCGATTCGTCTCCCAAGTACATGGTAATCTAATCTCTCCCTCTATATGTTGACACTCGCCATCGATACTTATACTGACAAAAATTATCACTACCCAAGAAACCATCGCTCATCGATGATCATCCACACTCACCTGATATATTCTGAATGCTCCTATCATCTGTCTTGTGATTTCTATCTTGTCCCTTTATGACTTTCAGCTAACCGACAGCTACGGTGGCGAATCCTCCCTCATTCCAAACAGTTCCAGATCAAGAGCCCAACTGGCTATGTTCATATGGTATGAGTTCATGACATCATGTCATTTCATGTTCCTAATAGGCCTAGGTACGACGCTACCATTGCTTTATTAGCGCGCGACGACTTCGTTCTTCCATTGTCGTACCTAGAAGGCATCCTTTCGACATGGTAAAGCTGAAGGATGAAATTATCTAAACTTGCCAGGTTGCCAAGAAGAATTCGTGGTCATAATGGCCATGGTTGCAGGGCTTGCACAACAACATAAGACAGCACTCGAAGAGCAGAACTTATACTTCGTCATATCTGCTGTGAACGAGGTTGAAAATGCGCTCAGGCATGTACCATTTGCATACCCACTGTTCGACCCAAATCTGGATACCGAGGCTCTGGACGTCGCCAGGGATCGTTATCACTACAGTGAAGCTTGGCGAAACGCATTTTTACTCTACATCGAAAGAGTCTTTCGCTGGAGACGGGGAGGGGCTGCTCCCGTTAGCGCGAAATACATCGCGCGAAGTATCATGGAGCATGCTCGTTGCATCAGGAAGGAAAATACTTATCAAAAGCAGATATTGTTCTCCATATTCCTTGCAGGGGCCGAGGTGGAACGAGAAGAGGATAGAGACTTCTGCGGGCGTATTGCTCATGGTGGACTCGCATGTGCGGCTCTAAGATGTTCATTGATGCTTGTTCGTTTTGTGAAGAGATCTGGTCAATGGCTGATGACCCAAATTCCGATGGGATATGGTGGGGGACCATTATCGATAGGCGTTGTTCCCAGCCAGGTCTTCCCTGCGACCTCAGGTCCTACTTGGGTGATTCGATTTGCTCTGCTAAGCTTTCTTGTACTTTATTTGGAACCGGGTATGGCTGCAGTAAAGAGACATTGCATTCGGTAACCTCGCGAGATTATCCTAGATTTCCTTTCAACGCCCAGCTTCCCTTCGACGGTGTAGCCAATACAATATGAGCACTGCTACTAGTAAACCTAACGCAGCGGAAGTTGGAAGATCTCTATAGTAAATCTCTGACCGGTAGTTACTAAGTTGTCCTCCACACCTATAGCTTCTCAGCTCGGTTAGACTTGCCATAGCTGAGAGCATAACTATACGCTGGGTCGTAGTGCATAGCCCAGTAGTAATCCCAGATGCGCTTGGTGATAGGGCCAACCTTTCCGTCATTCACGGGGTGTCCATCCAGCGAGGTGATAGGCAAGATTCCACCGGCCGTTGTGCACATAAATATCTCATCGCAGTGATAGACCGATTCCACGGGAACAAACTCGAGATGAACCGGGATGCCATTCGCGCGCGCGGCGTCGAAGACGCTCTTCCGAGTCACACCCTCCAGAACGCCGCGCTGAGGAGTGTAGATGGCACCATCCTTGACAATCACGATATTGAACCCAGAGCCTTCGGTCAAGAATCCGTCGCCATCAGTCAAAAACGGATAGTCTGCACCGCGATCTGAGGCCTCAAACAACCCACGCGTCAGATCGCCCCATTGCAGATTCTTGACGGTCGGGTCCATCGAGCCAACGGGCGTCCGGCGAACAGTGCGAGTGATGATAGCGCGGCCACCGCCAGGCTGCATTTCCGGCTGCATCACCCACACGTACGGGAGGATGAATATGTACAGGTTCTGCTGCTGAAGATCCGCGGCCTTGGAATCACGGACACCGACAGATCCCCGGGTGACAATCAACTCGACAAAGGCGTCTTTGATTTCACTCTTGGTGGCCATCCCTTCAAGGATACGTTTCACTTCTCTTCTAGACTTCGGCAGCTGCATTCGCAATTTCCCGCAACTCGCTTCTAGCCGGTCGAGGTGATCGTCGAGGCGGAAGAACCGGCCGTCCCAGATAGAGGGCACATCGTACGTCAGGTCGCCGTGCAGAAACCCTTGGTCTCTCAGAGGAATTCGCGCTTCCGAGAAGGGAATTAGTTTTCCTTCTACCCAGGCGATGCCCTTGGCGAATGGGTTTCTGCTCGCTTCGAGAGTGGCTTTTCGTGCAGCGTAGGCGCTGAAAATCTGATTCATGGTTGTCATTCTGATTGCTTGCTCTAATATTGACGGTTTAAGAAAGACAGAAAAAGACAGAGAGAAGAGGAAACGAACGCTTGCTTGAGATCGCGAGTGGTTGGTGTTTGGAGTAGAAGCTTTCCTTTAGAAGCGACGAAGAGTTGGCTCCCGGGACAACACTTGCTTGACAGAGGCCTTGTTAGTGGACGCGTGCACCAATCATTTCCTCGGTAGATATCATATCTCCTTATCCGTATTCTACCCATTACCCAATACTGCGTAATGGCTGGAATTTGACCTCTAGCTTTGAGGCCATGAGGGTTCTCGCCTTCCTAAAAGGGCAAAATAATAGTTACCCCACTCCTGACAGGGAAGGCTCCATAGACGTCGGGGGCGTCACAAAGCGCAAAAGGATCGAAGTGGAGATCCCCGAAGCCAAGCCAAAGTAAGGACACCAGCATTTCAATTTACTCTGCCAGGCTCGGAATCAATACTAGCCCCGCGCATACAAGTCGTAGGAGATGTGTCGCGGTGGCTGCCTGTACGCCAGGCTACGCGCACAATTCCCCGCCTGGGGGGGGTTGGTTCCTATCTAACCAGACCAGCCCATGTCAGCGGGCTGTACAGGATCTCTTATTTTAAGGAGCATGCGGGCACTTCCTTGAGTCCATTTACGCCCAAGGCTTCCCTTTTGCCTTGCAATGATTTCAGGACACTCACAGCCAATTGCCACTCCAAACCCCGAAGATGGCTATGTATCACGAAGGACAGACCTTGACTGACTTGGAGCTAGAATCTGTTGGTCATCGGCGTGAGATGCCTCGCCAGTTTTCCATCTGGTCACTTGGTTCCTTGTCATTTACACTGGCCTGCAGCTGGCTGGATACTGGCTCGTCAGTTGGTATCAGTCTGACAAAGGCATCTGCCTCCAGTACTTTGTGATTGCTGCCAGTCGCTGGAATAATGACGATGATCATCTCGCTGGGAGTGGCCGAGCTAGCGTTTGCATATCCTGTCGCGGGTGCTCAATACTACTGGTCTTTCATGGTTGCCAGTCAAGACTATAAACCATTCGCTTCCTATTTGGGAGCTATCTTCCAGCACAATGAGGAGCTTTCATTCAGCTGATTGAGTCCAGGAATGCTTGGATAAGTATAATTGGGTGGTGGCTTGGGGCAGGACCTGTTAATCAGGGTTTTCTTTTGCTGATAATCCCTCCAGCCACTGCCTGCTCTCGCACTCTCTGGGCAGTACCCCGCGACAGGGTAATCCCTTTCGGCAAAGTATGGATGTGAGTACACCCAACCTTTGAAATACCCGCTAATGCGGCACTTCTGTCTGGGACCTGCGTTACTGTATGTGTTTCACCATGCCACTGCTAGATTCTTGCTGACAGAAATAGATATATGGGGTAATTTTTATTGGAGCCACTGCAGCCTTCACATCAATGGTCAGTGCATCGATTATTTTCCGACAGACCTCCTGCATCATTACTCAAGCAATAGCGTTGTATCGAGGCCGTAAGGGCATTCTGCCAAAGCGATATTTTGATCTAGGCAGGCTTGGTACTCCAGTGAATGTGATTGCAATTGCGTGGATGATATTTCTGGAAGTCTTGTATTGCTTGCCGACTTCCATGCCAGTTACGCCGCAAGACATGAGCTACGTTTCTCTTGTGATTGTGGCTTTTCAGCATCATCATTGGGATATGGTTTACGAACAAGCGGAAGAGCTGCGAAGGTCCTCGTGTGGACTACAATGTGCTCTACCAGCGAAGGATGGAGAGTCTTCATGGTGGGCTTACACTCGAGGCAGCCACTTCAGAAACAGGCAGCATTAAATCTCAATGTGCAAAGAAAGAAGTTCCAGGACGAGATTATTATATAATTTTCTGATTATCGTATAGAGATTACTTTTTGATGTCTAGGAACAAGGCCTTGAGTCAAGCGCTTCATGCTATCACTTTAAAATCACCAGTCTGCTATTAGTTTCCGCAGAGAGGTTCTGTGGCATTGGTTCTTAATGCCTTCTCGAAAGTATATATATACTGAAAATATGTGGCCACCATAGTTGAGACATGTGCTTCTTTTTCACAGCAGGCTTGCATAGCAGATGTTAAGATCTCTTAGGAGTGGCGTACTGATCCTATCTAGAAAGAGACAACAAAAAGAGTTAGCTCAATCATGTAATTTCGTAGTCTGATCTTGGAAATTGTTTCTCGTTTATGCTTTCCAGGGGAAGAAGGATCTACAAGGTACAGAAGTAAGACTATAGGAAACTTTCAAGGTTCGTCTGATCTTTTTGCAAAACAAGGACTTCCCTTATTTAGGCTAGCTTACACATTCACTACGAAGGTACAAAGGCACGAGGATAAATACCTCAGCAATCACTGATTGTTGATCTTTACTTCCCATACATCACACACCTTTGCGCGTCCTATCAACGTGTCAACCTTCGAACAGAGAGCTTCTTGGTTACAACCATCGCAAATCCGTCGTCCTCAGTGCTGAAAATGTCAGTCCCCGCACCCCTCCTGATGGGGCCGGTCCTGCCTCCCCCAATAAGCATGTCGTCGTCGTAGGGTGAGTAAAATTTGCGCCTTTTTCAAACAGTGTCTAAGAGTGCACTTTCGCTAGCGCCGGTGTCATCGGCCTGACAACAGCTTTGCTTCTGTCAGAGCTGCCTGGCTACAGCGTCATTGTCATGGCAAAGCACATGCCTGGTGACATTGATATCGAATATGCATCGCCTATGGCCGGTGCATGCTTCATGCCGTATGATTCGAATACCCCGCTCCCTAATCTTTCCCTAATAGTGTCTTATTAGCTTTTCTGCTCCTGGCACCGATAACGCATCGTGGGATGGCTCCAGCTGGTATCAGTTTAAAAACCTGGCACTCAATCATCCCGAGGCTGGTGTCTCTTTTCAAGGTAAGTGGGGCGTGTCTTATGTGCAGATCCTCGCTAACAATCTGCTAGAGGCTGAAGTTCGGCTGCGGGAGGAAGACTTGAACCATCTTCCTCACAAGTGGTATAAAGAACTGTTCAACCCAGCACCATGGTGGAAAACTTTCGTTCACGATGTAAAGAACTACTGTCCTAGCTCGATAGTGCCGAATACTCACTCCTCATGTCTAGTTCTTACGCACCCCCATGCACAAAAATCCCCCCCGGGATAGTCCAGACAACGACTTTCAAAACCCTTGTCATCAATCCCTCCGTCTACCTCGCCTGGCTTGTTGCCAGATGTATTGAAAGGGGAGTTGTTTTCCAACGCAAGAAATTTGAGCACATCATCGAAGTTAAGCTGTCTCTCCCTCATGATTCAGTTTTTGCCATAGTCAACTGCACCGGCCTAGGAGCAGCATCGCTTGGAGGTGTCGACGATCTTAACGTCATCCCAACTCTTCAACAGTTCGTCGTTGTCAGTAATGAAGCGTCTAAGTTGATTTTTACCTCTGGATCTTCAAAGACCGGTGATGAGATGTGCTCTGTCATGAATCGCCCTGCAGGTGGTGGTACCATCCTTGCAGGCCCTTGGCATTTGAGCCACTGGTACCCTCAGGTAGACCCGAATGCTGCCATTCGCATCATGGAACAGGCTCTTGAGTTGGACCCCTCCTTAAATGTCGATGGCAAAGGCATTGGAGGCCTCAATATTATGAGTCACGAGATTGGTATTACCGCTAGCCGCCCATTGGGAACCCGGGTCCAGATGGAGACTCTCTTCGACACCTGGCTCATTCACAACTACGGCCATGGAGCTGCTGGATTTCAGAATTCCTTTGGCGCTGCCTCAGCTTGCGTCAATTTCATTAACAACAATCGGGATATTGACCCCTTGACTCAAGTCTAAGTACCTCACAATCGAGTACTTGAGGAAGCGAAATGCTTTTAATGACCCACGTTAAAGAGACCGAGACCGAGACCGAGACCTAGGGCAATACTTCAAGGGGCGGGGATGTTTCGAAAAAGAAAACGGATGATAATGGCGGATTGAATTTGAGTGGTATTGAGATTAGGTCTTACTGTTAGCATACGTCAGCGGTCATAGCCGGAGGCGGGGATGTTTCGAACAAAAATGGATGGTAACGGAGGATTTGATTTAAGTGGTATTGAGATGAGGTCTTACTGCTAGCGTACTTCAGAGATCATAGCCCGTTCTGAATGGGATTCCCTTGATATGCCAATCTAAGCGCCTCATAAGATAAGGGTTGGTGCCCACGTGACCACGCGTCACCGATAGAGCCGCGCGCCGCGCATGTCGACCAACACATCCCACGATCGGGGGGGGTTACAAGCTTCTAATGCCACAAAATGTCATATTACGATATCGATTCTATTTTGACTGATGCTCAGGTATTTGTCCAAATCTGTGACTCCGACCATTGCGCCCATTACCCCACATCAAGCGTGACGACTAATACGATCTAGAAACTGCCGTGTACCTTCGAACTTGAAGTGCCTGGACTAGGGATCTTGGAGGGCAACGCAGGCGAAGATGTACAACTCTTGGTGGCCTCCTGAATATGCCTGTGGCTGACCACGATGCAGATAAAAGCAGGAACACGTCTCGATCTCCCATTATGGCTGGGTGAAATGCTTTCGATCGGGTAAGATCCAAGTATAGGCGGCGCAAACGCCCTTCTGCGCGACAAAATGCCAGACAAACACTGATCTCGTTGCAGGGCTCGACTCGGGACCTCGCGTCTAGTCACATTGGATATGCCAGAGGCCCTTTCAGAACGAGTACTCAACGCCCTCAAAGCCGATCCCCGCACCGTCGACCTCCGCTCCTTGGCACCGCATTTTTACAATCTCAGCGAGCGTATCCTGGAGCTGTTTGAGGAGGAGGAAATGGTTGATATCCTGACCGATGTGCGTTGCAGACCCATATTAACTTCCTATCCGTGGATCTTTTCTGACAGCGGCGAGCAAGACCTTCAAGAAGCGGGCGGCTGAAATCGCTGATCATGCGCATAACTCCCGTGGCGCAGTGGGAGAAGGTGTTGAATTCCTCCGAGGCCTCGACGAGACTGAGCGACAACGTACGTGTGATCCTCTACTTCCCTCAGTGACATATTACTGACCTGCGTTAGTCTTCCGTGCTGCTCATGACCGCGCCAAGGAAATGCGGGCTTGGGCCGGACAAGTCAAGCGAAAGTAAATCAGAGTCCCCCCGACTCATAATGTGGTGTCGGGCTCGAGGCTGAGCTGGGCTCGTCTTGGAGGCTGTCATGAAATTTAATGAGACCCATCATGACATTGCATTCCGCAACCATTATCCTACCCGTATACTGTGGAGTACTGGTCAGTACTGGATCGGCTCGAGTCTGCGTCTCTAATCCAGGCAATGCATGACGGACGATAGATTGGCTGTTGACATCGACGATCGTTGTAATTACATTTTGGCTACTACACCTGCCAGAGCGAAAACGCAAGTACCGACGACTACTAGTAGATCCCGTAGACGGGTTCAATGGGGTGATCCTCTTATGGAGATAAGCTTGCGTCAGTGGCTCCCGCAGGCGGGAAGGCCAATGCCTAAGAAGCGATCGCGTGGCTCCCCCTTTTCGACGTTTCCTGTCTCCTCGAAATCTACCAAGACCTCCCTGGTCTGTTCGTCATACTAAATCCGACACAAAGAAAGTTTCAAAAGTACGCTGTGCGTAGGAGTCTGTGCTGGAGGAGCGGGAGCGAGCTGTCACACTCCAGACACGAACCATGTCCATCATTCATTTCAACCTGCCACTGGTCACAGTCTAGCAATCAATAGCGTGGGGATCCGTAAATCGGAGAAATCTGATTTGCCCCTGAAATGAGACTTCAGTGATCATGGTGGTGGGCCTGCGAACCCAGCAAGGGGAATCTGAGACCGTCTTGCCCCACGGGCACCATCCGATTGGGCCCAATTGATGTCAGGAACAGCAAAGGAGAACCCAGCCTCTAGTGGAGCCAGCCATAACCATCCTATGGCAGTCTAGCCTCGGAGCCGGGAGGGCGAATCTGACCAGGTCTATGAGTGGGAACAAAAAGGAAGAAGAATAGCGGCAGGGAAGCCTTATCTGGCTCTTCGATACTTCCATTCTTCCCCCTCCTGCATTCTTCCTCTCAGGGCCGGGCCCAGCAACAGCATTTGCATCTGCTGGTAGCGGGGAGATGGCCCCGAGTCATTCCTTTTGAACTCTGTTTCTGTTGTTGTCTCTGCCCAGGGGGAGAAAAAAAGCCTGCATATATCCCATGCGCCGTGCGACACATCACAACTCGATTCATCTCCCCTCACGTTACGATACCTCACTCCTTTCAACGCTGTGCTTTGGAGTACGCCGTAAATCGCTGGAACCAGTGGATCGAAACCGTCTTTGGAACGCCCCCCCCCCCACTCGTTCTTCGAAGCTTCCGATTTGCGTCCATATCCCGCTGCACCCCTCGCTTCTTGCAGTTGTGCCAATTCCAAAATCCTAGGCTATCCGATACACTGTCTAGGCCCTTTCACCCAATTGCCGTGCGCCGTGCGCCAATTGATTGATTAATTGTCCGCCGCTAGTAGTGGAGCCATCTGCAATAGACGAGCTGGGACGGCTGTGATTTGTCCCTTCGGCGGGCGACTTACATTGCGTCAAGGATGCGCATGAAGGAGTGAAAAATGAATACCATGGAGAAAAAGACCCAGAAGCGGAGCTCGTCCGTGCAGCGAGCGCCCTCGCGCTCGAGGGACCTATATGATCCCAAGGGGTCTCCCTCCACACGAAGCGTCGCGACTCAGAAACGCTCGAGCAGTACGAGTACGTCGAATAACCCCTTCGCACCATTCGCGGACGCTTGAGTCCTGATCTCATTGCGCCTAGTCGAGACTGACCAATTCGCTTTCAGGCCGTTCGGATCGAGTACAGCACCCAACTCTGACTCGTGTCAAGGGCCGAATCAATATGTATACTCCGCCGCGGAACAGGGCTGAAATGTCCTGGCTGAATGACCAGTCTCCGGTGCAGAGTGGTGTGAGGACGCCTTCGGAACAATACAGTGCGACTCACCATCGACCGGATGATAAAGCCGATGCTAACCCTCGGCATTCCGTAGGGACACCAGAGAGTGGTACTCCTACTCTGGTCAACCCCACTTCCAGTCTTTTGCAGGATTTGCTGAAAGAAGAACGAGCTCAACGTGGCTCTCGAGGAGCCCCTTCAGAACATTCCGTTGACAGTGCTCCTCACACACCAGAGAGAGGTCGGAGCCAAGGAGAGACCGGTCTTGAAAAAGGACGTAAGGCCTCAGAGGTGTCAACTGCTATGTCCCGTGCACCGCCTGAGATGGGTATGCGCGAAATGGATCAGGTATGGATGAAAAGAGAGGCATATGGAACTATTGAGCTGACCTTCCCAGTACGTCTCTAAGATGACCAAGTTGAATTTCGACCTGAAGCTGGAAATATTCCATCGGACGCAGCAAGTGGGCATTCTAGAGAAGAAGGTTCAACGAATGGAAGAGATGGAGGAAGAATTACAGCGACTTCGTAAATTAGAGGAGGAAGTGGTCGAACTTCGCGATTGTCATAAGCGGAACAGCGAGTTGGAAGCAAAGAACCAAAAGCTACAGCATGACCTTTCGACAAAAGACAAAGCGATCTCCGAGGCAGTCGAGTGGATCTGCAAACTCGAAGCTGAGAACGACCGACTCAAAATGAGCAGCCAGGCTTCTCAGATATCGCTGAATCGACAGGTTTTGGACGGTCCGAATGCATCGCCACTGAGCCGAGCTTCGATTGACATCCCCCAGAGAAGATCGTCCCGGCGAGGGATGGCAGCCATGACTTCTCCCCGGCCTGATAGCAGTGATTCTCGACATCTGAGCGTCGTACCCTCATTCCTGCGGTCTGACAATCGGAGCACTGCTACCCTACGAAGCCTATACGCTCCAGATACTAATAAGTCACACTCCGCTTTAAGTCAGTTGACCAACACGGAAAGCTTCCACAGCATGAACGAAGCTATCGAGCCCGAGTCTCCCAGGCTGAGCGTCCTCAGCGAGTGCAGTGAACTGAATCCATTCGATACGCCCTCAAGGCAGGACGGCTTTGATAAATTGAAGATTCCGATCCGCAAGGCTTCCTCGATTGCGGCAAGCGCGGTCAGCTCTACCCTCGAACAAGAGGAGAGCAAAGACACACGTATCGACCGCTGGATGCAGGCTCCTGCAGAGTTCCCTGATACAGTTATCCGAAAGCGTCAGCATCGATCGATGTCAGAAGCCTCAAGACACGATCTCCCGGTCTTGGTTCAGGACCTATATTCCAATAAACCCCGTGGTCGCCCACGCCTTGATACTTCTTTGTTCGGAGGTGCCAAACTGCCTCCGACTCCCGATACAATGAGCACGGCATATGTAGCGGCACACAATGGTTCAGATGGAAGTATTGCCGCGGACAAGAGCCCCAAGTTCGACCACCATCAGTGGTTTTCTACCCGACCTCTCGAACGCCGTCGGTCTGCCGACGAAGTAGCGACCCAGCGCAGCTTCAATGGCAGTGACATCACGAACAGTATGCAAACCAACTGCAGCGATACGCCTCGCCTTGGAGCCGAGTCGCAATCTCCCACAATTTTCCCCTTCAACACTGTGGCTCCCAAAGCAAGTGCCCTGCTGGGTCCAGGTAGCCCGAACAATCCAATCCCTGACCCCTTTGTTGAGCGCCGTGCGGACAGACCGGGCCAGGAATATCATGATATCACAACGCCAGTTCAGAGCCCGACAAAGATTGTAACTGCTCAACCACAAGCTGACTGCGACTCGCCCCCTTTGACGCCCCAGGACTGGATTGCGGCCGCTAAGGAAGGCCCACGTTCGAGGAAAACTGCTGGTCTGCGGATCGAAGCACAGCTGTCACAGCCTCGTCGGAATGTACTAACCCAGGCCGCCTTCCACGACGACGATAGCATCGCGTCATGGTCGACTGAGGCTGAGGTTCCTGGAGTGCCAACACTGGATATGGCAACTCTAGATATGCTCGAGCAGCCAATTCCAGAACTTGCACCGGTACCTGAAGTACAGGATGACGCCGGGCCCGACCAGCGCCGGCGTTTGAGCTTCCGACCACCTTTCTTCAGCCGCTCTAGTCATAGCAGTCGGCGGCTGCACTCTTCACCGGTGCCTCAGGACTTTGACGACGATGGCGACGGTGCCCCATCACCTATCATCCCAAAGACTCGAAACGCAGCTCCACGTCGTCCGCTCTCACAGATCATCACAAACTCCAATGAACTCTACTCATCTAGCCTCCCAACGTCTCACTTCGAATCCAATTTGGACGGGTTCGATGGCTCCCGGTCCCTCCAGCAACCGTTCCCAGAGGCCAGAGGGGAAATCAGAGAGATCGGCATACCAACGCATTCCGCAACCATGGCCGTCCGCCCAACGACATCGCAAAGCGGAGACCACAAGCGCCGCAGCTCGCTGGGTATCTTCGGCTGGATGAAAGGCGTCAGCGGAAAACGCTCCGAGCCCAACACTCCGGCCGTTTCTGACAAATTCTCCGAAACGATCCACCAAGAACTGCGAGCTCCGCGCCTCAAGCACGAGCAGAGCTTCTCCACCGTGCGTGCTCCGACCCCGGATTCAATGCACTCCCCTTCCCGGTCCCGACCTGAGACATCCGGGCCCGCGGATGATCCTTCTCGACGCCCACGCTATATGGGCCGTCGTTCTCGCAGATTGCAGTAGTTGAGCCCTGGTTGCCAATGCTGCTCTGCTCCACCCTGTACTCTATGATACCCCTCCCTTGTATACCTAGCGCGACCAAAAATTATTAGCCCCCGCTGGATGTGTGCGCTGAAGAAACCACCGAGCTGCCATCTGGTGGAATCTTATCATCCTTGGTCCATCTTCCTATTTAAGTCAAATGTTATGTCCCCCCCTGTTCTACTGATCTTTGTCTTTGCCCTGCTGGCTTCGGGGTGGCGTTGTTTCTCTACGATGACAACAAATGGGCGGTTTATAGTCAAGGAATTTTATATTTGAGCTTTTTCTCATTCAATCGCATAGTTGATTATCATTATTTTCCCTTTTCTTTATAACGCCATCAATGATACTTTTGGACGTCGCTGCCAATCAATTTTGTGGAATATCAAAGTCTTCCAAGACGTCCGTATATTAGAAACAAAGTCACCAAACCCGGTAAGACTCGCCACTTGCCCATTAAAATTCATTGCCAGTATAAGAAAACGAGAAAAAAGAAAGAAAAAAGAAAGAAAAAATGCCAAATAGATCACCACAATAGCATCGAAAAAGATCCAAGATACATACCTAATACCACTCATTCCCATCCTCCCCGAGCTTCTTCCCCTTCGGATTCAACGAGATAACCCTCTGGCCAGGCAACGTATCCGCCGTAAAAGCCGCCTCAAAAATACTCGCAATCCCACGCTTCGAATACGCTGCAAAAGCATCATAATCTTGCCGGTCCCCATTCACAGCCCCCCCACTCAAACCCCCGGGGCGACTTTCCATCCCCCAGATCGGTCCACCGCGTCACAACGAGCGTATGCCGGAACACCGACCCTCGCGGATCACTCTTATCCTCCGCCAGCTTGACCTCGATCAGATACTCCGTCGGACACTCCGGGCACCGCCGCATGGGCCGACAGAACCCGCACAACCTCGTCAGCGCATTCGGATCGAACTTCTGGCCCGCCAACCGATCTTTCACGCGGTGTTCTATGCCCTGCAGCCCGCCCGTGTCACGCGGTACGGGGATGTGGCCCAGCGCGCACTTGCAGGCTTGCATGAGCTCGCCGTCGCGCCAGTGCGCGCATGCGCTGAAGTACGGCCAGTAGTCTTCGCGTGAGAACAGGAGCATTCGCTGCGCGGAGGCGGGGAGGCCGGGGTCGGCGAATGTTTGACTTGTAACCCGCATCAGCAGCCGGCCGGCGTGCACGTGGAAGCGCGTGTGGTGGGACCATTCGTCGCGCGACCAGCGGCGGCCCATCGATGACACGGGGACGCCGTAGTGCGGGCCGAATTGGTGGGCGCGCAGGACAAGCTGCACGAAGGAGTAGGGGATGAGGCGGCCATGGGTGATGCGGTGGCGGGGCTGGGGGTTGAGGATGTTGGTTGCCTCGGGGCAGACGAAGAGCGGGTTGAGGACGTGGGCGGGGCGGAGACGTTCGGCGCCTGCTTGGGTGCGCCGGTGGTATTTGCCGCAGGGGTAGCAGAGGAGGTGATGGGGGAAAGATTCGTCGAGGCGGACGAGGAACTCCAGGCGATGGTCGCGGTTGTTGGGCGTATCGAGGACCATGAGGAAGCGAGGGCCTAGGTGGCGATAGAGGGTTTTGGAGGAGATTGTGAGGCTTGCAACGTCCGCTGGGCTGAGGTAGCTTGCTATGCGCACCCAGAGCCGTGATGGGAGCTTGGCGATGTCTGCTTCGCCTGGTGGTCGGTTTCTATTGTCGATGTAACTCGGTCCGTAGCTGTCGTCTGGCTCAAGCAGGCCGATCGTGTGGATGATAGTTGTGTAGTCCTGGCGCTCACCCAATTGGGTATCCAGCTGCGAATGTGCTTCTTTATACTTCAGTCTGTGGGCTTGTAGGGGTGCAAGGCTAGGCATTGGTGGTGGCTCGTCGGCGCTGGGTCGGGGCATGCGCAAGTCTGACGTTGACCGACTGCCAATGCTTCCCTTGCGGAGAGTCTGGCGGGATTTTTTGGGGCGAAGGGCATTGGAGACAAATGACCGGAAGCCAGACTTCTGGCCAGGGCTTTCTGCAGACATATTGTGTCGTGTTGTGATAGTGTCGAAAAGTCGAAGTTGAGGTCGGAGGTCGGAGGTCGGACGAAATCAGGTTATCGCGGATAAGAAGTGGGATAAGATAAGCACCACAACCAAGTTAACTAGGAAAAACGTCTTCTAGAGCGGGCCGCGACGGACCGGCGAGCCAAATACCCTGGCAATGCGTAATTCTTACGATATTTACGAGGATAATTTTAGGAGCTTGATCTTTGAAATGTTTTTAATCCAGATCGATTATACGATTCTTAAGTGGTATCTGTTACAGTACATGTGGACCATCCAGTCCCACATGGAGGCGCTTACTGGAAGCGCTTCTCGACGGTCTTCCAGTTGATCACATCCCAGATGGCCTGGAAGTACTCGGCCTTGCGGTTCTGGTATTGCAAGCTAGATATTCAGTTAGTAAACCGAGCTCGGGGATTAGACACAATCCACTCCGTGCGGTTGACTTACTAGTAGGCGTGCTCCCAAGCATCAATACCGAGCAAAGGCTCGAACTGGCCAACGACGGGATCTTGGTTCTATACCGGCTGTTAAAATTTATAGCTCTTTAACTGGCAGGGATCAATTCCACTTACAGCGTAGGTGCGGATGCTGATCTGCCCGGTCTGCTTATCCTTGACCAGCCAAGCCCAGCCGCTTCCCTGGATACCGGCCAGAGCAGTGTTCACCTTGCTCTGGAAGTCCTTAAGGCTGCCGAAGGTGCTGTCGATGGCCTGGGCAAGGGCGCCAGAAGGAGGCTCACCACCACCAGCGCTCTTGGGGGCCAGGTTCTCCCAGAAGAGGGTGTGGTTCAGGTGACCACCGCCGTGGAAGTTGATGGCAGGCTTGAGAGCAATCTGGGCGGCAATATCACCCTTGTGCTGGGCTTCCTGGAGCTGCTCAACAGCAGTGTTGTAGCTGTTGACGTAGGTGTTGTGGTGGTTCTTGTGGTGCAGCTCCATGATCTTCCCAGAGATAGAGGGTTCGAGCGCACCGTAGTCGTCTGATTCAATGTGTAAGCCAATTGCCCAAGCCTAAAACACAGAAACCAGCTGCACTATGCCACATGAGAGGGGGGGAGGGGGAGGTCCAACTTACAGGAGAGGTCGGGCAGGGTAGCCTTGCCGCGGGTAAAGGTCAACCCAGCGACACCGGCCTTGGAGGAGGCGGAAGCTCCGGCGCGGAAAGCCACGCGGGTAGAGTTTGCGAGAATAGAAGCCATGTTGAAGAGTATAGGTTGGATACTACTAAGCAGGGCCAAAGACCAGAGAGGGTATCAATTGCGAAACAGAACGAAGTGAGGAATGGGGTGGAGAGACTTATAGCTATGAAGTAACCGAGCTAAACGTCATCTTGTTTTCGGGCGTTCGGTCGCGCGTTCTTCCGGTCTCCACCCGTTACGGAGGACATCAGGCGCCATTGGCATTTTGGTGCATATTTTGGCCGGCAGAAAGCATGAGCCAACATTAGGAGTATTTGTATTAGATATTTGTCTTTCCAGTGTATGCCTGGTAGACTCAGGTTAGTATTAGTGTTCACGGCATCTGCGTTGTGGACTGGCATTTGGGTTGCCAAGCTGCACTTGCTGATGTGATGTCAAATTCGACACTTTTCTTCAGGAATCGGGCGGTCTATATCGCCGGAGATGTGAAGGGCTAGAGCAAGATTTGATTCAATACAAACTAGGCCACGAACTGAGTTCGATAATTCTAAAGAAGACAAGCTCTAGGCACAGATCTCCCAACGCCATCATGCCAATACCGTGTGTCACACGTGAGGAGTCCTGTAATTTTGTTGATGGTGCTTTTGGACATTAGCAGTAATCGATTTTATATCAGCCTAGCGGTCAACATGGCACAAATCCAATTGTCATTGAATTCTTTACCGGCAAGGCCCGATTGCAGACACATGACAAGGCATTGCACATGCACATGCACGTGCACCACCGCCTTCATATCACAGTTAAAGCGGTCACGGATCGACACCCATTTGGTAGGCGGTCTACAAGAAGAACCGTGCACAAACTCTATTCTTGTTGCCTTTTCCCCGCTGGTAATTAAAGTCTTCCGTAGCTCTCCACCCGTTCCACATCAATTGCGCGATCGAAACGCCTCAACAAGTGCGATACTTCGAGATACCCAGGCGTCGTTCGGTGGCCCTGGTCCATGGGTGAAACTGCAGCCATGGACTCACCATCGTCGCATGGTCAAAAGCGCAAGGCGAACGAAGAAAGCTCCGATGAAGATGCGCGCGCAACTACCGGCTTTCGTGGCTTCAAACGCGCTGTCCCGCGCTCCGAATCACCCCCTGCCATGGGAGGCTTAGGAAGCTCGAACCGAAATTCCTGGAATAATGCGGCAAACCAAAGCACGGCGTCTCAAGGAGGTGGGGAGGATCGCGCAGCCGCACTGGCGGCGGCGGTGGTCGCCCCGGAGCAGCTAATTCGTTTGCTGCGCGCATGATGGCCAAAATGGGATACGTGGAAGGTCAAGGTCTTGGATCTCGCGGAGAAGGTATCGTCAACCCCATCGAGGCACAGGCACGTCCCCAAGGTGCAGGCCTAGGTGCTGTCCGCGAGAAAACAAAACAAGCACGGCAAGAAGAAAAGCGCGAAGCGGCACGCCGTGGCGAACGTATCGACGATAGCTCCGACGAGGATACTCTCAAACAGCGAAAGATAAAGCGCAAGCTGGAGGGTGAAACCCACCAGGGTCGCAGCGGCCCTGGCACGCCTACTGCGCGGTCCAAGCCCAAGTATCGCACTGCGCGCCAGCTGGAAGAAGCGCTGGGAGGCCTTGAGGTGCCGAACGTTTTCAAGGATATGATAAACGCTACGGGCAAAGAATTCAAGGGGATGGAAAACCGGACTCAGTTCCTTACGGAGGGAGAAAGTCAACGCGCGCAGCTTGAAAGACGTCTTCGAATGGACATTGAAGCCGGTGCGGATGCATGGAAGGCCCAAAAGGACCGAGAGAAATACATGGAGGAAGAAGAGGCGAGACTCATGGAGGAGATTGATGAATCGGCCGCCGAAATTGATACGATGGAGAAGTTTCTCGCCGCCCTAGGAGATTTGAAGATCGCTCAACAAGACGAGATCAGCGAAACGAAATTCGATCAGATGGTTAGCAAGGTTCAATCTCTGGCAGCCACGTATCAGGCATCCATCGAAGAATCCTATTTCAGAGAAGCCGCTGTTGCGGCATTGCACCCAGTCTTTAAGGAAGCCGTGGCGATATGGGAACCCCTGCAAAACCCAAGGTTCCTTGTTAACTCTATGGAACGCGCCCGCCCCATCCTATGCTCCCGAGAAGAGATTGAGGAGCCCCTTCGCCAGCGACAGAAAACGACGCTCTACGAATCGATTTTCCTCTTCATTTGGCTGCCGAAAGTCCGCAGCGCAATCACGAACCATTGGGACGTGTATGATCCCTCGCCCGTGACTGATTTGATGGATGCTTGGAAGAGTGTCCTCCCGGCATGTGTCTATTCCGACATTCTGGAACACTCCATTGTCCCAAAGCTCGATGCTACAATGAAATTGTGGAAGCCAAAGCAAAGCCGTCGCGAACATGAGAGCCAGCAGGATGGCAAGTTCCCCTATTGGCTGTTTGCCTGGCTTCAATATCTTGGTGACCGTCATACCGACCCGAAAAGCCCTAGTGGCCTCATGGCTGATGCCAAGAGAAAATTTCGTGAAATCTTGGACTCGTGGCCTCTGCGGAAGGGTCTTATCCAAGGTTTGGAGCTTTGGCAATTTGCGCTGGGCTCGGAGTTTGATACGTGCATGATCAATCATCTGCTGCCCCGTCTTGCCCGGCACCTGCGCGGACACTTCACCATCAATCCCCAGGACCAAGACATGAGGGCTCTCGAGAATGTTCTACAGTGGCACGAAATGTTCAAGCCCAACGTCCTCGGTCTCTTGTTTGTCCAGGAGTTCTTCCCGAAGTGGCACGAGATCCTTTATCTCTGGCTCACCAACGATCCCAACTACGAAGAAGTGGGCGCGTGGTTCTCTTGGTGGAAGACTCAGCTGCCAGAGAAGGTCAATGAGCTCACCATTGTAGATGACGAGTGGAACAAGGGCCTCAAAACCATGGACCTTGCCTTGCAACTCGGCGATCGCGTGGCGGCCGAACTACCAAGACCCGTTGCCACTGCGTCCGCTAAGCCTCCACCCCAGAAAGGCGCCACGGCGGCCCCTGCTACAGCGGCAGCATCTACTGTACGTTCCAAGCCCCGGCAGCGCGAAGTGGAGGACGTTTCTTTCAGAGACATTGTGGAAGCCTGGTGTGAGGAACAAGGGCTTCTCCTGATGCCAATTCGAGAGGCACACCCTGATAATGGGCAGCCTTTGTTCCGTCTTAGCAAGAACGCGACGGGCAAGGGCGGCGCTATTCTGTTCCTTCTAGGTGATGTGATTTGGGTGCGAAACAAGCGGAGCAATGATGTTTACATGCCCGTGGGTCTGGAAGATCGCCTGATCGAGTTTGCGGAGGGACGCCAGAAAAAGTAATGTGATACGATGACTCGGAGGGCAAAACACATCTACGGATGACATCGACTTGTAACTATTCACACAACGTTATGCGTACCACCCCGGAGACCAATGAAACATGAATCATCTTTGAACCCTTTTCCAGGGATTGTCAGGGAACCGATTGAGCATGAGACCTCGTACTAGTCCACGGTAAAAGTAGTATGAATAATGATAAGACACACCGTCCGCGCGGCATGAATCCTATAACCTTGAGGACCTTCCCATGACGGCTTTCGGGACTTGTCATTTGGACCTTCCAGGCATGCTAGGTAGGCCCAAGATTGCGGCTTTCTTGCGGCTGTACTGGTAATCTGGAAATGGAATTTGGTGGCGCATGATTGTTTTCTTTACACAAATATGTTGCTACAACTCGATTGCTACCCACTAGAGTGGTTCCTTCATCTGTTTTAAATGCACCGACTTAAATCAAATTTTGATCCAATGCCTTGCAGTAGACCCAACAAGTTCCTTCACTTCGAGGTCCCTGAAGCCAAGCCGGTTAGGGTCTTCAAGTTCCCGTCCTCAACATCCTGTCCCCACACGTTAGCGTCTCAGCGACTCCTTCTAGAACCTTCCGAGTCGTCGACTATGTGGAAGCTAGTAGAGCTAGTAGAGCTAGTGCGGCCTAGCAAGTCTCAATTGGGAAGGTTAGAAATTGACTGGGTACTGTTTGCTTGATACCAGGGTGATCCTTGAACTGTCGGCCAGCAGCCCGCAGGCATGCGTAACCAGCAGCGCTCAGCTACCGAGCAGTTGTGGAGTGTGTGGATCTGCCAAGCAACGGAAATTAGACAGACGGGACACGAAGCTGGACCTTTTATCCTCAACTGGACTTTGACTAGGAGGTTGAAAGTAAGGCTTTGCACTGGGGCCAGAAGAGTCTAGAGTGCCGAAGTTGAGTAAGCCCGCAGAAGCTCCGAGTCTTTAAATGCAACCAATCAGCAGTGAGGACCCACTCAGTCAATGACCACATCCATGGTCGGGTGGGTGGGGCCCGGATGTGTAGATCTGAAGTTCTGGCCAATAATACGCAAGCTAATGGTAATCAGCCTGACAACCTCCACCAATAATAGTCTTCGGATTTGAGCGGCCGCGCACGGCTGCGGCTGCATGACTGCATCAGTGCGGGAAACCTGCAACTCAACGGTTGACGCTGACCATTGCCGAGCTGCTGATTGGTGGTATGCAGGTCTAGTTCAAACCGTCTGTCCAATGTTTAGTGGTTTTTTGTTGCCTCTTTATGGACGGAGACGGCGGGATTGCTAAGACCGGTGACGGTGGCTACAGGGCAGGAATTTAAAAAGGTTCGTGCTGGAAAGGGGCTTTCCAAAAGACCAAAAAAAAGTGTCCTGTTTATCATTCCATCATTTCGTTGTTCCATTCTTGTGTCACGGCTTCAACCTTTCGACGTATTATTGGAATACCCCTCCCTCTCAATCCTGGCTTTCCACTTCTCTCAGCTTTTCCAAGCGTCGGGGTATTCGGAATATTGCTCACATCTTACTGTATTCTTGTCTCCGGATCGGGCGCACATCTCCGACCCTATCTCCGAGTCCTTGTTGCGCGTTAAGTACACGAACTTCAGGACCTTGTGCAAAGCTGCAGATCAATCTTCTACCTTCTAGTTGGTAAGACCGATCTTTGCAAGATGGCTCTCCTTTTCATCAAGCAAAAGCTATTCCCTACAAAGGGGTACCAGAACCTTTCAAGTATGTCGAAGCCTTCAACAAAGATACATCGGGAAAAGTACTAACCGTGATTTGTGCAGCAAAACCTCTCATCGAACATGTGGACGATGAGTCGACTGTCCGCGCTAATTCTGAACGCGACCTTGAGTCCCAAAGCCACCGTTCATATGACACCTTTGGCAACAGCGCGCCTTCCACCACCAGCAACGCCTCCCGAGCCCGCATTAACCCGCGCATTGTCTCGGATGCCATCCTGGGCTTATCGGACGGGTTGACTGTGCCTTTCGCACTGAGTGCTGGTCTCTCTGCACTCGGGAATACCAAGGTGGTGGTTCTCGGTGGCTTGGCAGAGCTGGCTGCAGGTGCCATCTCCATGGGCCTGGGTGGATATGTCGGGGCCAAGAGTGAAGCGTAAGCGTGCCTTTTTCCGTATCAGTCTTGGATGCTAGCTAACAAACCCCAGCGAATCTTATGAAACCACGGTCCGCGAGACCCAGAAGTTGATTGAGAGTGATGGACAGGAAACCCGGCTGATGGTGCGTGAGGTTTTCGCGCCATACGGGCTCTCCGATACTGCCCTGGACGAGATCACTAGTGATTTACATGCCTCCCACGAGCGGTTGCTGGAGTTCCTGCTGGCCTTCCATCATCGCGAGTCGGCACCTGACTGCAACCAGGCTTGGATCTCGGCTATCACTCTTGCTCTGGGATATTTTGTGGGTGGTTTTATTCCGCTGATTCCATACTTCATCGCTTCGCAGGTGATCGCCGCCTTGTACTGGAGTATTGGGGTCATGGCTGTCACCCTTCTGGTCTTCGGGTACTTAAAGACCTGTGTGGTTCGTGGATGGTCTGGTCGCGACAACATTATGGCAGGCATCTGGGGTGGTGTACAGATGTGCTTTGTTGGTGGCGTCGCCGCAGGGGCTGCCATTGCTCTGGTTCAACTGATTGACACCGGCAGCCCTTAACTCAGCCATCGGTGGGCAGTGAAGTGTACGAATTGCATGGAGCATCCCCGTACTTAAAAAGCATGGCGGGTGTTTTTGTTTATCATGACTCATGATCCTTTCTTTTCTTTTGCTTTTCTGGGAATTTCAGACCATCTCATAGCGGGCGTTTCGGCAGGAGAATACAAATCCCAACCTGGGGCCTCAATCAGAAATATTGGCTATTGTAGACATTAGCATACATAGTATATCCCGAAACGCTATGGGGGCAGAAGATCAAACAGAAAAAACAAAAAAGAAAACATCTCATCTCAACCCGCTAAAGCCTTCTGCACCAGTGACTGCGCCCGCTCCGACAACTCGATCTTAAGAGCTTCTGCCCTCCCAGCCTCCGACATCTTCCCCACGTCTTCTGCAAGATCCCAATCATCTTCTCCTCATCGCCCAGATCAGCCTCAAACTTATCAAACTGATCGTCCAAGAACACCAAGCAGGCCACATCCTCCAAGGTCTGCGTGTCTGGATCCCCCTGCTTCAAATCCGCCTTGCGCACCAGAGCCCCTACCCTCGCCGCCTCCTCGGCATCATACCCGCTCTCCCGACAGATCTGCTCTGCTAGTTCAGCTTGCCGGCGCTGCAGCCCCGAGCGCCAGGAGTGATACCCGATCTTGGTGGCGGGGTAGGAGCTGCGCGGGACCTCCCAGCGGCGGAGGTGCTGGGCACGGATCGCGAGGCGCAGGAGCTCCGAGGCGGAGGGATCGAGGCGCTCGAGGTAGCCGGTCATTTTCTGGGCATAGTGCAGCTCGTAGGGGATTGCGGTGCCGTCGGCCTCGACGATGTTGGGGTCGTCTTTGTGGGCACGGTCGATGCGCTCGAGGGCACGGTCGTACTTGGACATTGCGTGGCTGTGGTAGGGGAGCTGTGGGGGCTATCCGTGGAAGAAGAGGCATATGGTGTAGGAAGCTGGTCCAGGTATTTTGTTTGAGGAACTGCCAGAAAAAGCGACTGATAAGGGCAATCGTAGTGGGGTCGCTGCCAATATCTGTGGGTCCGATTGGTGCCCGGATCTATAGATTCATACAAGTCCTGTCGCAACATGCGCCGTTACCACCATAAGACTACTCGCTTATTTCTTGGCAAATTCATGACTGTTTTAATGTAAGGCAGACATAGTAACCCGTGGACTTGATTAACTTGTTGGTTCGTCAATTAGTGGGTTAGTTGACTGGGCTAAGCAAGCCCTAGAGTGGGCAGAATGGGTGACTAATCACTGGTTCACGTGACTCGTGGCTCTAGTGTCCCCTTGTGGAAGCACGCTGCTGCGAGTACACCTTCTTTCGATTGCCATTTTTTCGCATCTTTCGTCGAATACCTCCTTCTGAGCTTTCCGCCTGAAGCGAGTTTCTGCTATATCCCTACTTTGTGCTGGGCCAGCTCCTGAAGACTAATCAACAACTGCAGGATTTATGGCAGTAATTCGGAAGACGAGTGAAAATACATACATATTCCTCGACATCAAGGATTATACACTCGACGACAATGATGGCTTCAATCTGCATGGTCTGTATCATTCAGGTGCTCCGAGCTGCGGGCTCGGGGCTCTCGATAAACTCCCGCTAGAAATAATCCACCTTACAATTATTCTCCTCGACCTTCAATCACTGAGTGATTTTCGACGTGTCAATAAACAAGCGAAGTTGATCACGGATTCGGATCCACAATACAATATGATACGCACTCATGCCCCTGCCTCAATTCGCGGGAGTCTCAACATAGGGACCGCTCGGTTTTGCTCCTGCCAGGACCTTTATGAGACACTATCTACCGCGGAGTGTGACATCTGTGGAGATTTTGGTGGCTACTTGTACTTGATCACATGCCGTCGCGTTTGCTTTCTCTGCTTTACTGAGGAAATCGACTTTCTTCCCCTCATGCGGAAAGACGCAATCCGCAAGTTCGGCCTTGATTCTACACACCTCGCAAAGCTACCCCACTTGAGAAGCCTTCCTGGTTTTTATTCACCACGACGAACAAAATGTCGACGTCGCGAAATTTTATTCGATTATTCAAGTGCACGACAACTCGGAATTGCGGTCCATGGGTCCGTCAGCTCCATGGAAAAGTACACTTCAGAAATGGCTCGTAAGAAGGTAGAGGCCTTCGAGATGAAAAGGTCCCTTCACAGGGGATACGGAGCAAATCTGCGACAACCTCGAACTGAAGACCTCTTCGACGGACGCAGCTCTAACCCCAGGCGGTTTTTCGGTATCATTCGTGCTCCATTCTTCAATTTGGGAACGCCGTCCGCTGATTGGGGCTCTCATTGCGTTGCTTGCAAAGCTCATCACTATTGCCGGCCACTTCATTGGCGCCGAAAGTTTACGCTGCCCAGTTTCCAGGAGCATGTCAAAGAATGTGGCGAAATCGTAGATGGGAAACACATCACTCTCTCGAGTTAAGCAAGCCCAAGTAGATACGAGGTCCCACTAACCTCCGTAGGGCACCGTATGTAGAAAGGAGCGCTGAGATCCGACCGCTTGGCTCCAAGACCGGCCAGCTACCCTTGAGACTCAAGATTTCTATCTGAATGGGCGCTCGTGTCGGAAGGGCACCACCAGTGGGGCTCGGCGTACGCCTATGATTGCTGATTCTTGTAGGCGTTCGGTCCCGGCCACGTGTGGCGTTCAAATGGGAACGGGTTTCTGGCAATTTTCAAAGGCTAAATGGGGCTGGTGTCGAGGCTTGCGGCGTGGTCTCTTTCCATCTAGTCTTAGGTCGGCTAGATCCGCAATTGATCTAGTAGATAGGACTGGAATATGCTTCCAGGATCTACGACAGGATTGTTCTATGGTAATCCCGCCTGCAAGTTCAGGGTTACTTGGCATATTATTCTTTACCTCTATTCAATCGATTCACTAGGACAGGCCGACGGAGCAAGGCTCTGGCCGAAGTATCAAACACAGAAGGGCAGCCAAAGGCCCCTCGGAATAATAAGAAATAGCAGAGTGGGCAAAAATGAAGAGGTGCCCCAGACTGAATGTTGTCACAAACTCATCGGAAAACAGAAACGCAAAGGCCAGCCATTACAGCAGTGGAAATCTCGTAAGGATTTGCGTGAACATATAGAGCAGCAGGGAGAAAAAAAACAAACTCAGAATCACAGAATAAAGAAAAAGAAAGAGAAAAATCAAGCAGACCTGGGTTAGACAACGCAATTCAATTGAATCAAATCGTATTCGTTGGAATACCCTGTTTCCCACCCCGCTAAACGCCGTCCGTTAGATGAAGCCGGGTATATCCAGCACCGTGATGCAACATGTACTGAGAATTTGAAGAAGAAAAAAAAATTAGTCAGAAATTCAAGACAGGGGACGTGGAGGGTTTTGTCGGATCATCCATAGGAACGCTCGGGCTGTGATCTCGGAGCGTTGTGAAGATAGTGAAATCGACGAGTGAATAAATGCGATGCGATGCTTTTTTTTTAGAACTCTGGGGTGTGGGTTTTTATCTGGCGCCAATTCCGAACATACCAACCCCGTAACTGCCGCTCCGCTCGGACAGGGGGGTTGACACCTTGGTGGGCATGTGTTCCTGTTGTGGCTGAGATTAGCATTAGTTTCCAGGCGGAGAACACCAGTATCTCGCAAGGGCTCCGTACCTTCTTCCGTTTCTTTTTGTTGCTTCCCTCGCTACCGGAAAGAAAGCCGGTGTCCTCCTCATCATCTATGTAGCCTTCGCCGTACCCCACGAAGCTATTGTCATCGTAGTTGCGCTTACGACCGCGAGTGGGGCGTCCTCGTTCCGCGTCTTGGGATGTCGGGGCAGGACTGCGTCCTGGTAAAGCGGGACGGCTAGGAATTGCTGCGGGCTTCTTGCCACTATCGCTCGCGCCGGCCTTGGTGGGTTTTTCATGTCCAAGCACATCCTCCCAGAAATCGTTATTCGGCACAGGGCCAGGCTCTAGTTGCATGGCTTTGGCATGCAGATCTTGGAGTCCCGAGTCCATATCCGCGATCTTGATCTGCTTTCCAAAAACCTTCTGGTTCTGCCATTCCTCCTCCGGCCACAGCGTTAAATGTCGCAAGCTACCAGGCGCGCCGGGTTCCTGTTTCACAGCCTTGTTCCGTCCTGCCAGCCCAAGTCCCTTCAATTTCCCCTCGTACGACTTTCTAAGTCGATTGATTTTCTCGCCTGTGATAGGGTCCATTCGCGCGACCGATTTTGCGATGGAGCCTAATCCATAGAGAGATATTAAGTCCATTGAAGGATCCGGACCCGTGACGGTGGGCGCTATCAAGCCACGAAGAGCACAGTGTTAACAAGTTTGGTTCCAGAACGAAGAGAAGACAAGAGGTGATCACACGACTGTCCAACTACCAACCACAATCAAACTTGGGGGAATCTTACAGCTCTTGCAAATATGGAAAGCCGAGGTGAAATTTTCGTTGAGTGCGTCCAGACCGAGGTTTCGAATGTTCAGTCGGGGCGCGGATTCTTTATCCACGTCCATGGCGTCGTTGTCTGCAGAAGGTTGGTCGGCAAAGTCGCGAACTCCGGTTTCTGGCGCGACTACCGATTGCTGCTGCTCGTGCTCACTTCCGTTCTGTTCTGGGTTTTTCTGATCCTCCTCCATCTTCCTTGAATCGTCCTGGGTTCCACTCGTGAAAGACTTGTGCTCCGGCTCGTCCGATGAAGGCGCATTCATCGGGTACCCACTGACACTGCTGGCGGGGGCGGGGAAAGAGTTGGTCATGCTCAGAGTCGGCTGCTGAGAGACCTGTGTAGACATGGGTGTGGGAGAGGGAGGAGAGGTGTTGGGGTGTGTAATCGCCTGGTCGGGTGATGCCTGCGAGGATGTAACGATTGAGACATAGCTTGGATCGCTGACCGACATCAACGGAGGCGATGTCGGGGTCTGGGGGGATATGATCCGAGTGAATGAGCAGCTGGTGATTCTCTTTGAAAGAACCAGCAGCGGGCGAGGAGGGCGAGAGAGGAGCGGCGTGAAATGAAATGGATGGGGCACGATCCGACATGAGAATCCGGCCAAGAAAGCTCTCTACCGGGTGATGGTCCAAGGTCGAAGACTCTTCGGCCACAGGGCAGAGATTCCGAATCGTTTCCGACAAGAGCGCTGGCCGCTGGAGAGGGGGGTTTCCCGGTCGATGGTCGACGGTCGCTCAGGTGGGCGAGCAGGTCATACCACGGTCTAGGCCGTATGCATTCCACGCGATCAATCTAATCCTTGAATGCCAGTGTGTGCGATCGGGGGGGGGGTGGGGGTCGTGATGGATGGCGAGGGGGAAGATGTGGTTCCAGAGCGTCTGGATCGAGAGGTTGGAGGCAAAACGGGCCGGCCACGTGACCATGGAATCGGGCCCAAGCCGTCCTACCAAATCGAGTATCAAGTACTTCGTATATCAGAGGAATATCAATGGTGATCTCGAAGAAGCTTATTCCACCTTCGCGAGCAAAGAACTGGCTATGCCAGTGAGGAATATCCATATTTAGCGTTATTCTCTTCGTCCTACAGCGCCAACCTTAGTCTCGACCTCTTTATTCCTGAAACAAAACACCATATTTCAGCTTTCGCTTAGATCTTTGTTTCTATAATGAATTTTCAACGTATGTTGTGCTAGCTCTTGGCCATGATCTACTAGTATGTGTCGAACCTTGAAGAACAGCCAAGATTGGCTCCATCAGGAATTGCCCATTAAATCTTGAGCTAGATATGAGCTGTGATTATGTCAAAAGTGACATCCCAGTCGAGGGCAACAGCACTCGCAGTTCGGTATCAATAATAGCAATGATAATAACAAGAAAGAAGATAACAACAGAAGTGGAAATGTCCGATCGCCGTACCCATAAGACTTGTGTCCCCAATTCCCATAGCACCCGCCCGAAAAGCAAGAAGCAAAGCAAATACCAAACACGCGCTAACATATGTCTGTAAAGCCAGTTCCCTAGCTCTCTCTGCCAGTCTCCGGCTGGGTTTCCTGTCTCAAAGAATCGGCAGCCTTATGATTGGTAGAAAGCGTGGGATTCTTGAACTAACTGAGCTGATACATCCGGGATATCTTGTTCCAGGGAAGCCATCAACTCAATTTGCTCCTGTTGGCTGAGGGTGCGCTCACGCCTTGCTGGAACCGGGAACGGTTCATGGAAGTACTGCGAAAACTGATCCTCAATTGTGGTTGTCCAGTGCATAGGATCAACCGTAGCATCAATATAGGCTAGGTGGCTGGCAGTGGTGGATGCAAGAGAGAAATTGGGGTCCCAGCCTTGGAGGCCCGGAACCACAGACGGAATCGCATTGTATGGAGTATTGGGGTCGACAGAAATGTCAGGGTAAATGACGCCAGTATTTCCATAGGCTCCGGTTGCGCCAGAGGCTCTCGTGTTGGGATTGATGGGAGACTGGTTCAGATTAACGGGGGGTTGATTTACCCCAAACGGAGGTGCTGAGACTCCCGCTGGGATCTTAAAATCTTCAACATGTGCAGGAGGAGTCGAAGCTGGGAAGGAAAATGGAGGGTCGGCCGATTGGCCCCGGGAAATTGTGCCGGTGGAAGCACTCTCGCTGCTCATGGCTGGATTGGCTGTCCGATAGCTTTGAGCGTAAAACGATGACGTGGTTGTGCTTGAAGGTCTCGACATCGCTGGTGGAGTCATAACACCCTGTGAAGATGTTGGTGTAGGGTGGCTGGAAGGCGAATGGACAACGAAAGATTCGTCCGTGCTGTATGCCTTCAAACATGCCGTGACAAGTCGTCGATACAGCAGGTATGCGGACATCACACCCGGCCATCGTTCGGCAGAGTAGACGATGACTTCTAGAGCCATGTCCAGGTAGGTTTGGACCTCCTCGACAGGATGCTCTTTCCGGATTTCCGGATACGACAATGTCCAGAGAATTGTATTGAGCGCCATGAACAATGCTTGGGTGAAAATCCACGTTAGATCCACAGATCCGGTAACCATCTGCTCTTTATGCATGACTATATTGTACGTCGACGCCTCAAAGCAAATCTTAGCAGCATTGACAGACGGTTCAGGTATTTGCGGCGATGGTCGGTACATCAGTATCACAATTGTATTGCGTCTTCCTTCAAACCTGTCGCCATAAAGAACGCTCGATTAGCTAGTCACGACCGGAAGCCTGGGGTGGTATTCAAGAACATACCATTTGACATTCATACCACTCCCGTCGTCATGTTTGGGGCAGCTATCCAACCAGCGGTCGATCTTGTCCATCATCTGATGAAACCATGGATCCTGGTCATCAACTGGGGTATCCGAGGGATTCAGATAGAGCTTTCGCCGGGCTTCCAGTTGAAATAGACGCATTTTGAAGAAATGAACACTGATACACTTGCTCAGGACCGGTTTGGCTCCCGGGGTGACTCCCTTCGCCGTGATGTAACGATCATCAACCAATTCGAAAAATTTGACATCGATATTATCGTGTGTGACACTATAGCAGCTCGCACGGCCCAGCGAGTGGGACAGGCCAAACTCCATGGACGTAACGGCCCAAAACAATCTCCGCCGCATGTCAACCTCCAGAGCGTTCAAAGCCTGCCCGTTCGAAGGCTTTGTGATGGTCGCTTCTTCCGTCAAGCCTAGATCTTGGCAGAGCTTGACGGCAGTTCCTACCACCCAGTATGCCGCGGTTCGGGTGGGAGTTAGCATGGAGTATTGGGCTATCATCACTAAGCATTGTAAGGCCCTAAGATCCATATTCTTGAGGACTGGATCCAGGTACGGCAGGGCGGCCAGGTAATAGCTATCTGCCAGACCAGCATACTCCGGGCTCATCTTTTGCATGCTCACGGCGATCGCCATGCGCAATTGAAAATTATGACACGGATCGGTTGATCCGTCAAAAACCTCTTTCGCCTCTCTCCGAAAACTGGGTTCATGTAAAATTGGGAGCATCGCCTGGGCTACGGGCAAGCGAATGAGTTAGCCAACAATTGTTCTTTTTTTCTTTCTTCTTTTTTAAGAGAAGCTGTGGGACTACCAAAGCGTGTAATATACCTTTCACCATGAAAACATCGATTAGTTTGTTGGTCAGGTTTACGGGTGGGAGATTAGGCTGCGGGAGAGAGCTGATCATGGGATACACCTTCGATGTCGGCTTCGAATCCTCCTTGGCGAAGGCAGCTTTGATTTCCTGGGCGGTCAACTCGGGCACAACATCTTTGATGCTTTTCGAGTCGGTATTCTGCTTCGCCATCTCCATCACTAAACGAGTCATGGCAATTCCGCTCGATGGGCCCAAGTACCGAGGTTCATCGTTTTCATGGAAGCGAATGCGGCCGGCGCTCCGAACCATCAATCCAGCATCTGCCGAATGTTTTACATCTTTCTCAGCCGCTGCCAGTTGTTTCTCTAAAGCGCGAGCTCTTTCTCGGAGCGAGACGATATACGTGCGTGGGATGGTAGTGTTCCGGGTGGAGTCGTAATAGACGCATTTTGCGTTGCTTCGCTCGCAGGGCACACATCGAGGGAGTCCGGGATCGCATCTTGATTTCCGCTACGGCATTCCAACGAATTAGCTCACATAAAAGAGGATCTCGTGTCCCAGGGATCGCCCGGGGCGCGGGAAGGCTTGAGCTTGCCGAGGGGCACAGGGCATCCTACCTGGCGGCATCTTGTACAAGCCGTTAGAGTGTGGGCGATGCGACCATCAGGCGGCTCATGCGAGGACGATCCCGGTGAGATCTGCCCGGGGGGGGAGAACTCAGCGGCATGGCTCTATAGACACGAAGAGTCGAAAGGAGGAAGTCACATGCGATGGAATTTCGAGATTAACCTCGCCGGGGCTCTTCGTATCGATCCTCCAATGGTAATACGCAGTGACATGGTCCGGATCCGAGGAAGGATCAAAATCGGCCGGGCGGCGTTTCAATGAGGGGTTGAAATAAGCGGGCCACATCAAACTGCCAAATTGGAACCGCAAGGGGGGCGTTGAATCTGGGCCTGGACCTAGATCGGGACTTGGTTGGGGTCTTGGGAAGGAAAGGAGTTTGGAAGCGACGGGAGGGACCCGGCTAATGTGTGGGGGTGGGAGGAAGGCGATTGAGGGGAGAAGGAAGGACAAAGGGAACAATGTCCCATAAAATGCATCTGGCCATTGAAACCTTTTGCTGAATCATTGGTAGTGCAAGTTTACAAAAGACCAAATGTAAGGTGGAATTAGAGTTGGAATGTCGAGCCTGTGAAAATGAGTTAAGTTAGATCAGCGCGTTTATAGAAGAGGCTCTTCCAGCTCCCGGCATTTCTAGAGAGCACCAGAAGCGTACTTGGTAGCTTGCTACCAGATCTATCTGAGAGAGTTCATATCGGGCAGCATGAAAGGGAACGACGGAATGTGATGGCCCCATCGTCCATGATCGATTGGGCGAGGGTCTTGGGTTACTCATTCCTGCTCCAGCTTCGCCTTTGACGCTTTTCTCCCCGACTCGATAAGCGGGTGGGGGTATTTCCGCGCTTTGAAGCCTGCGATAATAGCCCCCTCTTAGACGCATTCGCGCATGCAATTGAGTCCCCAGGAGATAATCACTACAGTAGTTTATAGAGTACAGGCAATTTGAGGAGATAGTACCCAAAAAATGGAGGGGACTCATGATGCCCAGAATGAGAGAAAATCAAAATCAAAATCAGAAAGGAATGTGACGCGAGAGTGTAGGAAGGGCGTGTGGTGTGAGGGTGCCCGCCCCCATTGGGAAGATCTGCTGACGCAAAACCCGCCCACTCTTTAAGGTCTCCGGGGTTTCCAAGGCTTGTCTCTGCGATGAACACGCCAGCATGCCCTCGGCCACCACTTTCTTGGACAACCCTTTATTGAAGGTCAGTCGGCCCGTCGCCGCGTGCTCGCGATGCAGAACCGCCAAGATCAAGTGCGATGGCAAACTCCCCGCTTGTTCGGCCTGTGAAAAAGTGGGCAAAGCCAGCACCTGCTCCAGCGCCAGTGACGAATTCGCCAAGGGGAAAGAACGCAGCTATGTGGCTTCTCTGGAGGGCTACTGTGAGAAACTAGAACGGAGGCTTGCGCTCCTTCAAGATCGTCAAAGCTCTCTACCCGTCGAGGAGAATGGAGTGGCCCACGAGGTGTCCATCACTGCGGCGTCGCCAACCGCCCCTACAGGAACGGCCCACCGCCGCGAAGTGTCTGATATCGACGATCTAGTGGGGGATTTTGGCTTCCTGTCGGTCAACGCGACCTCGCGAGACTTCCACGGCATCACTTCGAAGACCAGCTTCGCCAACCTGCTCTTATCGGTCGCGACTGTCAGGTATCCACCATCCTTATCTGCTGCCAGCTCCCTCCCCGCGCGCCATGAAGCAACGCCGCTGTTACAATACTACTTTGAAAATGTCTTCGTGCAGCTCCCGTTCTTTGTCGAGACCAATTTCTGGACCTCGGTTGATGCCGTCTACCAATCCCAAGGCCGTTTCGCCAAACCCTTCGATCATTGGATACTCCGCATGGTTCTGGCGATCGCTTCCGCATCTATCTCATATCAGAGTAACGACAAGAGCCATCAACGTGCGCTGACTCTCGTGGCAGAGGCCTTGAAATACGCCGAAGAGGTCCTTCGCCCTGGATCAATCATAGGAATCCAGGCAATTCTATTACTGGCCCAATATGCATTTGTAGACCCCGCTTACTTCCGGAGCTGGTATCTGGTGGGCATGGCAGTTCGCGTCGCGATAGACCTGGGTCTGCACCAAGATCCTCCGGTAGAAGTCATCTCGAATCAGTCTAAACTCGATCTCCGCCGGCGCGTCTTCCATTGCCTGTACAGCTTAGACAGGTCAGATTTTCCTCATCTGCAAGGGTAGATCCCTTTCCGTACTAACATGTCTTTTAGGGGAACGAGCGCTGCTTTACAAAGAACCTTTTCGTTTTCAGATGGCTCTGTAAATGTCTTAATGCCCTCATCCGGTGCGGCAGAGACATCCTCAGACCAAAGTCATATATTCCTCCGAAGTCCCGCGCCCGCCCTCCACATTGTGAAAATCCGCCAAATCCTCTCAGCAGGCTACCAAGATATGTATTATAGCAGCCGTGAACCATCACCCAACCCCATCGTCCAAATCTGGAACCTCTGCTCCCAAACCCGCGATTGGTACCACCAATGTCCCAAAAACGCCCCAAGCCACTTTTCCCTCCTCTACCGCCTCGAGCTTCTATATACGATAACAGTGCTCCTCTCCCCATCCAACCGATACCCCGTTTTGTGTGACTACAATAAAGCGGTTCTCTTCGACCGCTGCATGGACTACATCAGCCAGATTCACCAAGTGCTGGAGAATCCTACCGCGCTCCCCTTCCTCACCTATCTCGACATCCTGCGCGTCCAACAAGTCGCCCGTCGCTTCATCGAGGTGCTCTCCCAAAATTTAGACCTCCTCCTCAGCCCCTCTGTTCCCGTCCCTCCCCCGGTTCCCGCGGGTACACCGAGCCCGCCCATGCTCGCTCAAGAAGACCGTGTTAGCTGCCGCCCGCGCGCGAGGCGCTGTCTTCACTACATCAGCGGGCTCTTGGGTTTCGCTGCCCGGAAGTGGGACCTGCGTGAGCCGCTCGAAGAATTCCAGTCCGAGTCGGCGGCACTGGTGGAGCGTCTTACTGAACCTACTGCCCACGAGATGCCGCTGGCCGGCCCTGCGTATTCGGCTTATAGGCTGGGTTGAGAGTTGATGGGTCTATATTTGTTCTTAGTTATTATCCCTGGCTGGCTTCTGCTGGCATGTCGCATTTGGGGGACTGTTTGCTGTCCTAGCATCTGGCGTACTCGATACCTTTTCTTTCTTTTGACTGCTTGGCATGATTCTGGTTATTGTAAGTCTTGTAAATTGAATATAGAGCCACATTCCGCATGTTAGTGATTACTTGGATCCCACGGCAGCTTACTCGGGTACTCAAAACCGTCCTTAGAACTAAGTTTATCCATCATCTTATACTAGTATAAGCCAGACGTTACAGATGGGGGCTGTCAATAGTTACAAGCTTCCAATTTTACACCGCAGGGTTATATCCTTCTTGGCACATCTTTCCCTGACACCCAATCTGGAGGTGACAAGATCTTCAAGCCTCGCAAGCGTCTTCGCTGCTACTATAAGTATTAATCAGCCCGAAATATGTGGACTAACCTTAAGAAGGACCAGGCAGTACGGCTAGTGTCTTCCTCTCTGAAGGTGATATCCCCGAGCTCCTAGCAGGAGCGCATACATGTTCAAGTCGCCATAGAGCGTCACGGTACTGTTCCAGCAGGTATCTACAAAATATATCGTCATAGTCCGATTTTGAGTCCCCAGACGAATGAGATCAACAGCGGTTGCGCATAGATGAACCCGCGAGGCATTCAAGATTGGCCAGCTAATGTGGGATCAGGGCTCGCTGGCGGAACTTGCATACCAATTGGCCGTGGTGGGCCATGGGCGAGAATCAATAGACACACCCAGTGTCTTATCTATGAGAATGGGGCGGCAGCACGACGAGGGAAATTAGTTGACTATTGAATTATGAGGTCCTCTTAGCAAATGAAACAGGGCCGCGCTCAGATGGTCAGTTCCAAAGGGACCGCATTGTCCACAATCAGCCAGTGAGGCTCAAGGGAAAGAGTAGGCCCGGGATGGGAACGTGCAGAGCTACAACACCCGCGCTACAAAGTACTACTTACTACGAGGCTGTCAGCGGGCACATACAGGACATCCAATTCAAAATACTGAATATGAATATTGAAACGGACTGCCCCGAGAGCAGAATACCTCTATGAACATTAAGATTAATGGATTGGCCAGATAGAGATATAGAAACAAATATAAAGATCGGATAAAGTACCCCGACCTAATCTTTGAAAGGATTCATCAGAAAATAACCGTTCTAGGTTACCCATATATGCACGAAAGGTGGGGTATACACAAGGCTCCCGAAACGCTATCCATTGCTGCGTAAAGAAAAGCCGCCGCTAAAACTGAGCAAGAGGTTAATCCCGCTTACAGGTTCTCACCGAGGGTCTGGACGACGGCGCCAACGGGGGTGGCAACGGAAGGAAGGCCAAGGCCGGTAACGAGCTGGGCAACCTCGGGGCTCAGCTTGATGAGGAGGGCGGAGCCATCCTTGTGGACAACGGTAAGGAGGCCCTCAGTAGGGCCGGCGAGGTCAGAGACGAGGTCACCAACGCTGCCAGCGGTCTTGACAACCTCACCGGCAGGAACACCAACGGAGGGGAGGCCAAGGCCAGACAGAAGAGCGGTGACGGAGGGAGAGAGCTCAACCAGGAGCTGCTTGGCGTTGGGGCCGGTGACAGTGAGGATCTGGCCGACAGCGGGGGTAAGGTCCTTGACGATCTCACCGCGCTTCAGGTTCTTGCCGAGGGTGGCAATGACAGTGCCAACGGGGACACCGACAGCGGGGAGACCAAGACCAGAGAGGAGACCAGCAACTTCGGGGGGAGAGAGAGATGAGGAGAGCACCGACGTCAGCACCGACAACGGTAACGAGACCGTTGACGTGAGGGCCGAGACCAGTGACGAGGCCACCAAGGCCGGAGGCAGAGGCAACGATGGAGCCGAGAGGGACACCGAGGGCGGGGAGACCAAGGCCAGAGACCAGGCCGGTAACCTCGGGGCTCAACTCAATGAGCAGAGTGCTAACGTCGGGGCCAGCAATGGTGAGAACGTTCTGCAGCTGGGGGCCCAAGTCCTGGACGAGGTGGCCGTTGGCGGCAGCGGGCTTGGAGGCATCTTCACCGGCGGGGAGGCCGAGAACGTTGGTCAGGTCACCAATGGTGGAGACAACGGGGAGCTTGTTCAGGCCAAGCTCGCTGGTGAGGTCGCCGATCTTGAGGTTCTTGACGAGACCCTCAACACCGTCGAGGATGGAGGAGAGGCTGCCGGTGACATCAGACAGACCGGCGAGACCGGTAGAGGTAGGGGCGGCAGCAGCGCCCATGGCAAGAGCCAAGGTGACAAAGGAGGCCTTCATTGTGATTAGGATTAAGCTTGAAAGAATGACTGAAGTCGGAGACTTGTATAAAGAGTGACAAGAAGGGTGGGATGGGGAGGAGAAAGAAGAAGTCTGGCAGTGGGATTCAGCAGCACCTGTATTTATACACCATTGACTACGCGCTCGCCTCCTGATAGCAAGAGACCCTCCTTAATCTTGCCCCGATGGTGCTGGCGGGTCAGTCTCCATCGACCATTCTCTCTTTTAGTGCTCCAGCCCGCTCCTCAATGAGCGTGGTGAGGGTGGAACCCCCGCCCGATCTCCAGCGTCAAACCCTAATCCCAGATTGGAGATGAACAGCTGCTGGCAATTGTCATCACTGGATCCTGCTCTCCTGAAAACTGTGGGCTTTTCCCAGATTTGGAAATTATAGGGGTCGCTACGTAAAAGGAATCGGGAGGGCCACGCCTGGTGGGTGCACTCGTCAGTAAGAGCGGATTTTCTAGTTCCTGCCTCCGTACAGAGAATGATGCCATAAATGTTGGCTGGTTTCTGCCCCAAAACATTCCAGAAGCCCTAATCCACGGCATAGATACCATGTTTTCCGCCAGTCAGAGATCGAGGATCCGAAAAGAAGCCCACCTAGCGGAAAATCAGGGAATGAGTCTGTGTACGGGGTACGAAAGTACTACGGAGTAGCACTTGACAATTGCAAAATGATCAAATAGGCTTCTCTTCCATATTAAGATCTACAGGGACATCGCCAAGGTGGAGTGCAATCCGATCCACCCATACTCCCGATCAAGCCCTGTGGCTGGCTAGCTGAGAGCTTATATGGGCCTAGCACCACCGAACTACTCCGGCCCACATCTCAATAATGCCGCTGATCGAGGGATTAGCTCCAGGATTTTGAGCCCTCCTGCTCCGCCCGCCCGGATAGAACCAGATTTACTACGTAAATATGCGTTCAGGAAAAGGATCTTTGAGCTCTGCAGATGTCCTGACCGCGATAGTCGACCATCCTCGTCAAGCTCACTTATGCATGGTTGCCATATGGTACGCGTACGCCACTGAGCTCTCTCTGAGACTTCAGAGCTTTAGATCCCCACGGCGGAGGGTTTGGTGGCGGACGCTTGGAACCTTGTAAGGAAACTTAATCGCGGTCCAAGAAAGGGCAGAAAGGCCCGAAAAATCGGGGAAGCTGGAGAGAAAAACAACCCGCAGCGCTTCAGCCAAGGCCAATCATCTGGCCTCGGGGCCGCGGTTCTCCACTATGATATTCTGCTTCAGGTACGATCTTCAGGGGATCATGCCCACCGCCCCCATCTGTATTCAGGTACAGTAAACAATACGCAATATTCTGTACCCGCACCGCCCCATCTTGGCTGTCAGGCCTCTTGCCGCCCCATATTCACTTTCCCGTCTTGGATATCATAGGCTGCTGGAGTGGAGCATGGAGCGGTGACAAGCTGAGAGTCGTTCAGGAATAAGGGCAAGCGGTCCCGGCGCTTCGGTGCCTTTCGGTACTTGATTACATTTTGAGAGCCTTCGTCGATCGAGAACGGAGCATTTCTTGGGACGTCGGCCACCTGCATCATCCACATCGTCATCGAACTCGCATATTTCCGGTTTATGGTATACACGCAGCTCCCACGCAGACTTGCTTTCAAATAGCGTCCGTTGCACGTTCACTGTTGGGCGTGCAAATATCAAATTTAGACTTCTACCATTTCAATAATAACCACTCTTGGGAATTCTATAGACTTCTTTGATTTGTTCCTCTCCACGTCCCGAGTCCATTTTCTCCGTACCGAGTACTCTGTGCCTTTTCCCGGAATTGCATCCCGGGAACATACAAGATATGGGAGTCAATAGGAGGTCGATCTTGGGAACGGCAAGCCACCGAAATTCCCCGTCAGAGAAACGGTGAAACGGGTCCTTTTGTTCCAAAGAATAAGTGAGTAGTGCTCTGAATATCCCAATTTGTGCGCTGTTCCTGACAATGTGACCTTCTCAAGTGCTACTCTCTTTTAGTGGAGTATGTTAGCCCATCTTAGGCAAGATGGCTGACCTGTTCCTCCCATGACTGGCTACACCAACCTGATTAGATCCTGATCGGCCCTTACATAGCGCATTTTGTTGGACGGGGAGACCTGAGTGTCCCACACGACGAATCCGTGGGTCTGGAAGAACCATATCCAGGTGGGTCAGCTTAATGTGTCGATCTTATACCCTGCAAGGAACCCTGCTGTCAGAATCTTGGCTCACGCCAGCCCCATCGGTTCTGCCTGGTTGATGCATCCTAGTGTACATATGCATCCTGTTAACAACGGTGGGAAAAAGCAAACCGCCAAAAACGGTTTCGATGGAGGTTCGTACATAAAGCCTACTCTAACGGTCCGGTAGGGCTTTTGAGCACTGAAAATCTGTTCATCCCCATACCCCAATGGCGCGGGTAAGGTGGCGGATAAAGACCCTGCCCGGCGGGCGGGGATTAATTTAATTAATTCCAAATCGTCCCACTAGCCCCAGCCCTAACCAAGTCCTTCTGCGTACCCTTGGAAATCCAGTATACCTCGTACTATTAAACCACCACTGACACTGGCATGTGATTGTACAATTTTCACCACCATCAATAATGGGATCACTGTGGGCTTCTATTGCGCAAGACGACCTTCCGTAGTGTTGTCCGCTTGGAAGCGTAAACAAAAAAAAAAACAAAAAAAAGTGGCCTGAAGCGGGTCGGCTTCGCGGCAAATGACAAATGCCGCTCGTTCAGGTCCGACTACATTATTCTACCGGCGATGGCGAATTATGCACCGGAATCACTTCAGCCGCTTCCACATGTCTCGTTCGCTGTTACCCCGACGTCCCGTAAGTAAAGCCTGGCACAACATCAGTTCAGAGCATCGCGCCTTGGTCCCCACGAGTCAGCATCCTGCGATCCACCGTTCTGTCCAGAACAATCTACGGAGTGCGTCCTCGGAGTTTGCTTGGAAGGCCCACAGCTCCGTCAGAAGGGCTAATCAGGGGCTCTCCAGACGAGATGGGAGAGTTGCGCTGAGAGCCCCTGAGCTGGTCGACCCGACTTCGCCTCCGATGCCGATTTGGTGGCACCCAAATCGATCCTTCGGTCGCACGGACAGTGTATAATTCCACAGAGGCGATACGGATATGGATCTTCGGGTTCGAGTAATTCATCGGCGGGACCGGAACGATCTACACAGTATTATCTGCTAGCCATTCGCCTAGCGTCTGGCCGAAAATACAGTCTATCGTGCTGGGATTAACTTTGATCGGGGAGCACCGAAGCTGATCTGGCAGAACCCGGAGACCGTTCAGCCCCCAAATGGTGTAGTTGTCTTGCAGGTTTGTCTTATCGCCTAATAAAGGAACGGTCACCACGGCCTAAGCCGTTCTGCGTACCTAATGCAATTCCAGGAATTCCGCCATCCAATCGTTTTCGAACCCTTCCCACATCCATGAGTCGACGTTGCAATCTGCTTCGAATGGAAGAGCAGGGCGTCGTTGTTTGGGGATGCGTGCCACGGTTCCACGAGCAGAGGCTCCCACTTCCGTTTCAGTGAAATGAACAGCTTAGCTGTCTGCTCGAACATGTTCTCCTCCGGTATGTCACTTGATGGCTTGGCAGCTGCCTGGAAATTCGAGACTGCGGCGTCGATATACTGCCGAATGTCGGCGATACTTTGGACATGACCCTTGGCCCACTCAAGGTGCTCCAGCGTGGAAAGTTTGAGCAGGTCCATTAAAGCTCGGTTGAGCTGGAAGAATGAGATAATCGACGCACCAAGATAATTCTCGGGTGGCAGACGTAACCAAACATCTAGCAAGGATTTGGCTGCTTGGACCCCCGAGCCTAGAGCTTTGAGGCCATCGATTTCGGAAAAGTCCTGTGTGGCGAAGCCGAATGACAGTTCTTGGATGCTGAGTTCAGCATTGAGGAGGTACACTTGTACCACATCTAGAAAGCATCGGGATATTTAGCACCTCAGCCAATGTAAAGGGGGTGAATCCATACGGTTATCATGGCAAGTATTTGATATTTGGTTCTTGACAGTCTCTAGCTGCGTCTGTCAAAACCCAACCGCAAAAGACGCAGAGCTTGGATGTTTCTGATCGCGTTGAAACATATAGACCCTGCCCACAACTAGCTGGATCTTTACCAGGGCGACGAGAAGCTCCTCTCCCGGGCATTCCTTCATCTTGTCGAAGGCACTGAGGTTCTCCATCCATGGGGTCCAGCGAAAAGACTCACCCTTTCCAAGCATGGACTCGATGCTTTGAGGTGATCAGCTCAGGCCACAGAGATTATGTAGAGTAATTTTCATGTTGCTTACTTGGAGCTAATGAGGAAGCAACCAAGTACGGCGCGTCTTCCCCGAAGGATACAGTGCGGACGGGTTCTGTTTTCAGCTCGACTGCGCGGTGGAACATTACAAGTGGGACATGCCCTTTGTTATCTGCTTTGTTGAGATTGAGCTCAGAAACGGTTCCGATTAACATGTGGTTATATAGGCTCAAGAATGGCTTCGGGGAGAAGGTTTTCCTTTCGGAGAGTCAGCATCAGTTATGGCGAATATTTACAAGTAGATCATGGAATACGCACCAAGCCATGAACGTCATGATCCCAAGCAAAAGATCGAGAGTCGGAGAGCGCTCTACAAATAGTTTCTGGGGTATTGTATCGCGCAGTGTTGCGAAGACTGATTTTCTTGCTGTTAATCGGGGTTATATATAGCCTGGATGCATACCCAGAAAAACGGCTTCTCTGCAGAGAGTTGCCGTGGGCTAATGTGCGCCGGAAGAAAGACGAAAGGCAGACACCCTAAGTTTATATTCCGAAATCTATTCAGAATCTCGACATCACTCAGGGAGATAAAGGACGGAATGGAATCATTATAAGGTGGGGCCAATGGGGATTGTTCGAGTCTCGGGTCCTCTTGAACGCCAGGAGAATTTGACGTGTTTGGTGTACAATAAGCATGGGGGCTGCCCCGCATTTTGTATTCTGCTGGGAGACTGCGAACCGGAAGGCGCAATATTCAGATTCTGTCCTTGCAATGCTGAGATGAGGGAACCGAGTTTGGCTTCTACAGCTGAAAGCCGTGATGCCGCCAAGTCTATGTTGCGTTTTCGTATTTTCTGCGCGGGCTGACACTCATTACCTAGACGGTCGCATCTATCAAATAAGTGTACGAATCTCAAAGGCTTATCTTCGATCATACCTTTCGCAGCTCCCAGTGGCAGGCAAAATGCATCTACATTTTGCCCGAACGCAGCTAGCACAAGCATGGCCGTAATGGGCTGGGGATTTAAGTGGGGTTCGTGTCGAATGAGAGGGAGATTTGACCAGCCAAATACCGAGAACAGAAGCCAGTGACGGACAGCAGCATTTTTCTAGCACATAGAGGAGTTTGAGTCCACTTCTCCGAGCTGGTAAGAGCCGGAGTTCAGATACAAATCCGCCGTAACGCGCTGACTCGAATTTTGTAACTCTGAGGCCCAAGCGGAGTTCCACTTCTGATCTCCGGTGAGTTTTTCAACAGCTTCAACAGCTTCTATTGATCCAACGAAGAAAATACGCCTCGAGTGGAGTCAATTGGGGTGGCTTGCGTGAGATCTCCTACGAGTCTGTCTCTGACTTTCTATGGCTGTTCATGCCAGCTCGGCCTCTATACCCCGCAATGCTTCGCCCTTGCCCGTGAAATAACTCAGTATTTCAAAGCCAATGGTGGGGGCTTTCTCCTGCGTGAATGAGATCGCTCCAAGCCACCACAGAATATCATCACCGCCATCAATGATATCTCTGATGGCAGGGAGGAGACTGGAATCCTTGTCAGGAAAGATGTATTCCTCCATTATGTCATTTTGGAGAGTTCTCATGTTATGCAGGTTTGAGGTTTCTGAAGATCGCGTTTGCTTTCTCGCATGCCAAATCATACAGGATGTTCTTGAAGTACTATACTCCGGCGCCTACATCCATCCTTCCAGAATTGAGCGTAGAAGGCCTAGGGAATGACAAAGATGAGACATGGCCCGAGGTGTGCGAGTGGGCAAAGACTGCCTGGCAAAAGCACGGAATGGATATAGAAAAAAACTTGGATGATCCCTCCGGGTTGACACCCTCGAACCATAGAGAGAAGTGGGTGGGACAGCGATCTTCCCCATACTAGTCGGAGCTAGAGTTCATGCATTATCAATCTCGCTCGATAGCTATCACGAAAATTTGCAGAATATTCAGATACGCTCATTTCCCTAAAGTCGCTCCTTTGCCCAGTCGCCCAGAAAAGCCTTGAACTTGGCTGAATCCAGGATCTCTACTTCGGTCACCTTTCCTGTTTCCGTGACTTCTCCATTAACCCGTTGGTAACGTGCCAAAGTTGGAATTCCTGAGACATTCCAAGTCTTACGGTACAAGTTATCTGGGTCTTTCCATCTATCGTGCAGAAAGGAGAATTAGTATGCAAGAAAGAGCGGTGATGGCTTGGTCCTTGGGGAGGACGAACTCGGGTTTCTGACCGACCGTGACGAGTCCTACAGGAGGCGTCTCCTCGGCCGCAAATGCAGCCTTGATATGAGGCAGCGCAGCACGAACATCCGGGCACCATGGTTGGCCTGTAGCAGGATCATCGGAGGAGACAAAAGCAATGAAGAGCATCGAATGGGGCCCCTCTGGCAATGGGATGGACTTGGCGGAGGCCGGCAGTTTGAAATCCGTGATAATGGGCATCTTGACTCTGTTCTGGTTGCGCCAGCAGTAGATTAATGGCGTTTGGTCGGGGAGCGCTGGAAGTTAAGGTGGCTTAATGTAACCTTCAAAGTAATTTTGATGCCACGTTTCTTGAGAGGTCCGAGGAAATTCTTCATGGTGGGGCAGAATCACGAATCGCTCTACAACGTTTGAGATCGAGCACACCACGAGCTCGAATCAAGAGGAACTTGATCAACTACAATCGACTGAAGACTTATCCAAGATCCCAAAGGATAATTAATGAGTTTATATGCGGTGAGGATATGAGAGACGAAGAACCAGGTTGTCTTTTCACTTAAGACCACCAAAGCAGACAGCCTACTATACTACATATTTTAACCGTTACTGGAAGGAATATGTTGGAAGTTGCATTTCCTTGTCTGATTGATCTGAACTAGTACTAGCAAAGCAAGCTATCGGAGTCAAATGGCGAGTGCTTCCAAAGTGGTACAGATTCGAAACCGTTTTTTGCAACAGTTGGAGTAGAAGGCCGACATATCCATGATGTTGGTATATAGACCTTACGCGAATGAGGATTCGAACAATACTGAATTTGAAGTTGACTGGAGCAGAAAAGAACCAAATTTGGCACAGTTCTCCACGGGGAGGACTTGTCGAATCTTCTAGAAAAATGGTGAGTTGAGAGCGCTGCTTCAAGACATCTCATTCATGGCTGCGTTTTTTATAAAGAGATCCTAGCTTCTACTTACACCGAACTCTTCCATCGGACATCAATGTCCGGAGCAGCATTTACAGATTCAGATCGGGTGGAGCGGGAAGAAGGCAGAGGGATGGGGTGCCTCGCCCCACACCTCTCGGAATGTCAATTCTCGCGTCGCTACCTCTAGCACCGCGCATATTCACGGCAGGGCACCATGATCCCCCGAGCTCAAAAAGCCACCCGAGACAATCGCCCCGGAGCCAGAACATGCAAAACATGTGCTCCCTGTCGGCAGAGGAAGATCAAGTGTGACGGTACGCGGCCGTTCTGTCAGGAGTGCCGGGCTCACGGCTCGAGCTGCGTGTACCCGCAAGATGCTAGGCGAGATCCACGGCCATCGCGAGCGCGCATCCAAGGCCTCGAGGCGGCCGTCGCAGCAATGCTGGAGCACATGAAGTCGTCTGGCATCGTCCCGTCGCATGCCAAGCTAGGCGACTGGCTGCCGGAGGCCGCCGCAGATGTCGGCTTGGCTGAAGCCACTGATCTAAGAGGCCACCGGGCAGAGGGTCAGCCATCTGAAGAAAACGGTATTGACTCGGCTGGGGCTGCCATATCACTAGAGACCCCGGCAATGTCGACCGGCAGCCTGATCCAAGATAACAGTCTCCCGCTTTCTACTCCGATGGGCAAAGCCGGCGCCATAAACCAGCACTGGGCTCGAAGGACCACCGACAGTACATATTCTCCACTACGCCTCGACTGGCGTGGGCAGGAGTCATCCAGGGCTTCCCACACTCTCTCACGCCCAACGTCTGTGTATCCGAATAGCGAGGCTCTGTCAACCCCGATCAGCTCACAGCCCTTTTCCCACTTGGATAGCCAAGATGATTCAGGCATGTCACCTTGCGAAGCTCGAGTCGCCGGAGTGTTCCATGAACACGGCTGTGTCAAGTCTGTTCATGGTCTCGCCAGTATCATGAACCCATCATCTCAAGCTCAGCATAATGAAAACATTTCAAAAATGAAATGGAAGGGAGAGCGAGCGGTTTCCGCCTCCAAGGCAAGGCTCATCAGTAATGCCGCTCTACAGCGACAACGGGGGGCTTCGTATATTCCAACAACCGTCAAATACCATTGACCTCGATGGCTGTGAGCCAGAGTTAGCAAAGCATCTCTTCGATATCCATTTTAATCGGCAACACTACGCGTACCTCGTATCATATCGCCCGGCAATAATGGATAGCCTTGCCAACGGAGGGGGCCCGTGGGTCAACAAGTTATTGCTGAACGCGATTTACTTTTCGGGCGCTATCTACAGCGACCGGCCCTGCCTCCGAACTGACGGGGACCCGAGCAGCGTTGGTGCTCGATATTATACGCGCTTTCGGCACTTACTAGTGGACGAGATCGATAAACCAAGCATACCCACCGCGGTTGCCTTATTACTCGCCAGTGCAACCCTGGTATCTCAGGGCAGATCCAGTGCAGGCTGGAATCTCTCTGGGACGGCATATCGCATGATAATCGATATGGGCTGCCATCTGGCCCTCAGCCCAGACTACCAGAGCAAATCTGCACAAGACTACGGCCAGACCCTCCGTCGGGACTTGGAACAAGAGATGCGTAAACGGCTATACTGGAGCGCGTTCATTACAGATGCTACGCAATCGCTCTACCTTGGTCGGCCAACTATGTTGGCCTCAGTAGAGGCGAGGGTGCCCCTGGTTTTCCTTGATACGTTCGAAGAAATGGAGGAATGGGCACCTTATGTTGACCCCCCAGTCTCCGGCTGTGCCCCCACCTCCTTATGTGTCTCAACCCGCTCACGCCGAGTCAACCTTTACGTACCTTGTTCGACTATTCCAGATATCCGTCCGTATTACAGAGCTCTACGGCATCCAGGCGATGAGATTTACGTCAGAGGAGCTTCAAGATAGGAGAGATGCTGCCTCCAAAGAGCTAGATCATTGGAGCATGACGCTTCCAGAACATCTAAGATTTGACCCGGAGGGACCTATAGTACCTCCACCTCACCAGATCACGCCACAGTAGGTTCACGATGCGACTCCGTTATGGCAATACCGCTGACCGTTCTTGAAGTACGACCTGCCACGCTCTCAGAATTCTTCTCCACCGTGCTTTCTTAGAAGAAGGCCATCTCCGCCGTCATTGCGACGAAGCCGGCAGAAGACACAGCGAGGAAGCTTGCATCGCGAGTGCACTCGCCATTGGAAAGCTGGTCCGAGTCTACCGGAAAGCGTTTACACTACGTCGAGCTCCCTTCCTTCTCTCTTACGCCATATATTCTGCGGTGATCGTCATCCTGCGACAGGAAAGGCACGATCGCGGACAGTTCACGGAGCTTATTTCATTCTTTTGGACTTGTTTGAGTGAACTTCAGCATGGCTGCAATTCCGGCCTGGCAAAGCCATTGAGCGTCCTAAGGGACATGGTCCATGAGTTCCAACTGAGTGTTCAAAGGGGCGTCCAGGGCATCGATCACCTGACTCGACTAGACGAGACGTTCTTCCCACCAGACGTGAGTCAACATTTTGGAGACTCTGCGGTGGAACAAAATCCTCCGGTCGATGCGTCATGGCTTCAAGACCAGTTCAGCCCGATGGAATCTTTAGAGCAGACCCTTGACGCTTCCTCGCCTGGTTTTTTGGCGTCTTTGAATCAGCTCAATAACGACATCACTCAAGATACTCTTTATGGTCTTTTTGCTCCGCCACACGCCTTTCCCTAGGGGTAAAGTTGGCATGGACCATTGTTTATATCATCCAAGCCAATGGGAATTCGAAGTGCCATAAGAAAATACTAGTGTACTCAGGCGTTCAATGATTCAATTCCTCAAATATCAATTCAGATCCGAAGACAGCGACTGGGAGATTGATTGGAACTGTGTCTCGAATCCAGTGGTCGTGGTTCGTTGACCATGAAAATGCAAAATATCTGGATTGTGTCAACTGATTCATAAATGGCGTAATCAAGCCAGATCATTCGATCAACTCTCGTAACTGGTAAATTGCGGAAAGTTGGGATGTTGTCTGTTGAGGCTCCAGTAGCGCTTTTATGGGCCACCGAGCAAGGCGCATCACTTCCAAATAAGCACTGGCAATTCGCCTAACCCATTCGAAGAGGGTGAATCCTTACTATTGGTGGTACTTTCCCAATATGGGGTAATGGCAGTCACTACCGCCTGAGGCATGGGGATGCGCGACCTCGGTCACGGGGCTCCCTGACATGTGAACGCTCTGGGCACGTCCTTGGCATTTCATGCCTTAGGCTATTAATCCGTGCTTACGCTGTGTAATATCATTGACTTTCAAGGGCGGTCAGCATCTCGTGCATGGCCTCATCTCCAGAGTTCCAAGTATATTAGTGCATCCCAAAATGGCGGGTCTATCTGTTCAAAAGTTCACCCTCGTGTTCTTCGCACCCTCTTCAGCCGTGGCAGGCTGCAAAAAGGCCATTTTCGCAGCCGGCGCTGGGAGATACCCTGGGCCAGGGAACTACACCGAATGCTGCTGGACTGCGCGAGGCATGGGACAGTTCCGACCGGGCGATGCAGCCAATCCCAACATCGGTAAAGTCGGTCAGCTGGAGGAGGTAGAAGAGGTTCGGGTCGAGACCCTCTGCGTCGGAGAGGATATCGCTAGGAAGGCAGTGGAGGCTTTGAAAAGGTAGGCCCTACCCCTTATATTCGACTGCTTTTCGCAGTGGATTTCTGTGCTTATACTAATGTGGTCCCACTAGCGCCCATCCTTATGAAGAGCCGTCGTATAGCGTCTACCGGATGGAGGACTTTTGATCGGAAGAGAGTTCGGACCCGTGCGAATTGCGACATTTCATGGATCTCTGATCAGGCTGTTTTTGAGCCCCACTTGATAGGGTTTTCCTCGCCCAAACACCCTTACGACCTGCCTCTGGCAACCCATGCTGCTTCGATATCAAGGCACGGCGTGCTCTCCTCCGACATCTGATACATGCAAGCTGCCGAGTAAAATTAGCCTGGAAGTCTAATTTAATATGAGAATTCCCCTGACAGGGAAGATCTTTTCCCGAAAAAGGAGTAGAGGCTTGTGCGGAATAAATGAAACGCCAAAGTCAATCCCGCCGCCACAATATGGCCATGAACCTTCCTACTCCGTCTAGGATGCCAACTTCGAGGACTTGGACCGCCTTACCCCAGACTCCTTGCTCTGCTGATGAGTGGATAGTGGAAAAGCATGGCAAAGTGGAGCGTCCAGGCAAAACCATTAGTCAAGGATACGATTAATCTCATCAATTGCCGAAGGGGCCCCAGAGGTCTTATCTGAGCACACGAGCAATTTTCCTTTCAAACCCCCAAGCCAACCACCACGGTTCTATTTAAAGCACTCCGAGTTTTACGGGGGGCGAAATGGTCCTTGAATTCATTAAGGGCCCTCAGCAAAGTCGCCCCCCTTCCAAATGTGCGTAGTCATTGAACTTGGAAGACCCTTGTCGGCCGTTATCGGGGGAATATGATTTGTGCTCAGCAGCATTGGACCATGAAACGCTCCTATCACGGTCTGGTTCCGCGTTGTGGAGAGTCTTACAACCATCTTAGCGCCCCCACCACCAGCGCGCGGTTGAGCCAATTGAAGAACATTTTTTATCGACGATCGCGTCCTCTGTTGGATTCGCCGCCACCTCCTTCCCGTACCTTTCGTCGCTTATCTGACTCTTTAACTAGTACGAGCCTCTTCCCGTTTTTCACCCGTTCTGTAAACCTTCCCCATCCGGGCCATCCGCATAGGAGGCCCTTGTATACGGTCCTCTTCTGTTCAGATTTTTCTTCCATACTGCTAGTCCTGCCCGAGGGGGGCAGCTCGTCTTTTTCTTCATGAGCAACTTGTAAACTTCCTATTTTTGTTTTTTTTTCTCTCACTGGCTCCGCTCTCATCCCCTTCGACCGATCCGCCACAGATAATATGCACACATGTCCAGCATCACCAATGGCAGTAAGCCCAGCCTCATTGAACGAGCGAATTTCGAGGGCTTCGCACAGCAGACCGCCGTCGCTGCGCTGATCGGCATCGCCTGGTATAATGCTCTGGAGCTGATAGTGCTCTGTTTCGCGACGTTCAAGCGGTATGGCGGGCTCTATTTCTGGTGTCTTCTGATCGCCTCCTTCAGCATTATTCCTTTCTGCCTCGGATATCTCCTCATCATCTACAATGTCTACGACAATGAGTTTCCTGTAGCAATGGAGCTGGTGGCCTGGGTCGGGATGGTAACGGGCCAGTCTCTAGTCCTGTGGTCACGGCTGCATCTTGTTGTCCAGAGCCCTCGAATTCTTCGCATTACACTCATCATGATTATTGTCGATGCTATTGTCCTCCATATCCCGGCTGCTGTGCTCGAGCTCGGGAGCCATTCGAATAAATCAGAGCTCTTCGAGCGCGGGTTTAATATCTTTGAGCGTGTTCAATTGATTGGTTTCTCGGTACAAGAGGTCATTCTGTCTTGTTTATACTCTTATGAAGCGGTGCGGTTGCTCCAGCTCCGACCACGGGGCCATTACCGGGGAACCCTGGTTCAGCTGCTCGTGATCAATTTGTTCATGATTGCGATGGATGCCGCTGTGATCGCCATGCAGTTCACAGGACTCGATGATGTCCAATTTACTCTGAAAGCGATGGTCTACAGCATCAAACTCAAACTGGAATACGCCGTCCTGAACAAATTGGTCGTCTTTGCCGAGATGAGTGGTAGCACCTCCATGCCTACCGATCTATCGGATTTTGTCGACCTTTCTTACCATACGCATCCGCCAGCGGATAGCGACAGCCAAGCGCAGATCTTGGACGCAGCGGATCGAAGTCACTGCACGCGAGTATCACAAAAGCAATATCCGCCTGCTGAGCCGTGACACTCTATCCAAATACCGGGTTCTCTACCTCGGTGCCTTAATGATATATGACTGTAAATATAATATGATGCCAATAAATCAGATTTCTCAACGGTTCAATGATCTAACCACATGTCGCTTGCGTTGCTCAGTAGTCGGCTGTACGGGCCAAAAAGGGAAGCTTTCCCCTCTCGTCGGAGGCCGCCGGGCATGCAGCGATAGCTGTGCGATCTGACATATCTCTGATCCCACACCTGTGGACCCGCGCTGGGGATTATATATACCAGGATACACCCATACACCGCTTTCCTCAAAACTTACACCAAAGCACCAACATGGCCGACTTACCATCACTGACTCGCAAGCAACTCCATAGCGCCGCCCAAAGATGCCTCGCATTGCAGCGCGACGGACAAGACCTGCACAGCAAGCGACCATTCGCAGCCCTCCTTCTCGCACCAGACAACGAGACGCAGCTGATGTCCTCTCTGTCACTGTCCCACGTCCGCCATGCAGAATGTGAGCTCGCGCGCAACGCCGCAGACAACTACTCCTGGGACTATCTCGCTCGATGCACCATGGTCTCGACATGGGAGCCCTGCGCCATGTGCGCCGGCACCATCTACTGGGCGCATATTGGACGGCTGGTGTATCTGGCTTCGGAGAAGACTTTGCAGCAAGTCATCGGAGCGGGTAATCAAGAGAACCTTACGCTCGATCTACCGTGTCGTGATGTCTTCAGAGCAGGTCAAACGGGAGTGCAAGTCATCGGGCCGTTGGCGGAGGAGGGATGGGAGGAGAAGGTGGTACGGGATAGCGAGCGCTATTGGAATAGCCGATGAATCTGGGCTTCGGTCACTGGATGAAGTGGGTAGTCCAAGATCGACGTGGAGAACTGGGTCGGTCATTGATATGGAATCACTCCGCGCGATGATTTTGAGGTCCTTTCGTAGACGACATGCAACACGTCCACAGTATACAGTGGGATCGTCAGGGCAATGCTCCTCTACATAATACTGTGTTGTGCAAGTATTTGATTCCTTCAGTGCTTATTTCATCAGTAGTATTGTTGAAGAGTAAGTGTCTGGCAAGTCGGGGATAGATTCGTAGAGATCTGTTGATCATGGCCTGTTCAGAAGCAAATGACATGTAGGCCACAAGGCGGAAAATTCCAATAGCTTGGTTCTCCAGCATCAGTTTTGGTGGTGGGGGGAAATGAATAAATGCCAATTTCCATCTCCTTCAGAACTCCACAGTGGAGCAAGGCAAAGCTTTGATGCCCGTCGTCAAGGTCGCGGAAAAGGTATCCCAGACAATTTGTCAGGGCTCCCAGCGCTTTACCCCTTTGGCTTGTGATACGCGCTGCCAGGAACGGGCAGGCTTGACATGCAAAACCCCAATTGCCATGCGACAGATGACAAGGACCATGCCCCAGATCCCTTGTGTGGCTTAGCCCTAGGTCCACTAGTAGGTGGCTGTGTCACTATGCAAAGCTTGAGCTCCTGCTGTCTATAGTAACAGCAGCAGCGGCTCTTCAATAACCGCCCTGGCAGGGCGAATCAATCGTCGACACATTGGCAAGGGCAGTTACTCGAGCCAAACGCCACCGTCTATGCAGTCCAAGCCCAGTGCCTTTCGCCGTTTGCATCCTTTCCGGTGATTATGTCATTGGGCTCGGTTGACGTCAAGTTGATGTGGAGGTGGCGTTTCCAAGGTACAAGTTTTGAGCTGAGCTCCGCGACCCACTGAAGTCCCGCTGAGAACCACTGAGGGTCTCGGAAGGGATGAGCGAGAGTGCCAAGAGGGCTGGCCAACGCGATCGGTCCTTGAAAAGCTGCAGATCCTCGCCCTCAACCTAGTTTCCAGGCGCACAAAGCTATAGCCAAGCTAGTGCGTTTGGTCCTCGATTCGGCTAGGGCTGGGGCGGGTTTTCATGTGAGCTTCGTGGATCGAACTAGACCAGCACCATCTGGTGCTTTCCTCAATCTCTGTAACCTTGTAACCTTAGGGGGCAAATTCCGAGAGCTGCTCTCCTGATGCTCCTGACCTGCCAGCGCGCTTTGTACAATCCCGAGTGCTGGCTCTTGTCTTCAGGCACATGACTATCCACCGTGTGTACTCATAAGAACATATGCAGAATGGCCACTAATACAGAGATATGGACGCAAGATTAGAAGGCGAAGACGTAAACCATTGGAAGGAACGGCCATCCGCGACTCACACCACCATGACGTCACGTTGTGGTTGCGTAGGAAAGTTAAGTGTACGACGTGCGCTACTACGTTATTACCCCGGTGGTGCAGATCTTTTCACGGCTTGTTTAAGAGACTCAGTCCATCCCTTGTTCCCTTCCCATTTCCTCCCTTGAACAATACCCTCCCATTCCTGTGATACCCCCTTGTTTCAACGATTCGACTCCGCTGTAATCGCTAATTCCCCTTGTACGTGTTTGTCGCCCATGCAAACCCCCATGTCCGTCGCTGACCTCCCTAGAATACGTTTCCCTTCCTTTGCTCTTTGGAATCCTTACGATAATCACGGTTCATCATGTCTGTGAACGTCCCCGTCGACCCTAAGCAGAGGGACAAGGTATGTGCAAGCTTTCCAAGGCTCGTGTGTCAAGGAGGCTGACTCAATCGCGTCAAGGACATCAACGCAAAGCTCCAGCTTTTCGGGATCTACCATGGTGAGTGATGTCGCAATCCCACGACCCAAATGTCGCGCGCTTGTCTAACCGTGTCCTCTCCAGCCTTCAAGAACAGCAAGCTGCCCTCGGTTAGTTGCAGATGCCCCACATCAGGCCGTGTCGCGCTCCATACTAAACCCACCCTTTCCTACAGAACAAGCAGATTGATGTCGCCTTGAACTCCGCCTTGAACTCCAAAGCCCTCACTTCTCCCCCCAAGGACCTGTCAGAGGACGGCCAGGTTCTTGTTCAGGACCTGCGCGATGTAATTGAGCAGTCCAAGAAGCTGCTACTTAGCAAGAATGAGGGCGAGCTCCTCCAGGAGTTCATCTGGCAAGCCCAACAGATCACCGCGGGTGATGTCAAGAACCCCAATGTGCCAATTTCCAAGGAAGATAGCAAGCAGGATGGCCAGAAGGCTCTCGAGGGCCTCAAGACCCTCGGAACGCTTCTGCTCACCAACGGAGAATTCCGAAAGATCCGTAAGCTTTTGAGACCTGCGCACATTCCAGTCCTGTCCAATTGACACTAATACCATCCAGTGAGCGATGCTATTGTTCTCTTGCGCGACCTTGCCGCCGATGCTTCCACCAAGGCCGCCGACGCGATCCGCCCATCCGAGGAGCAGCTTTCCCAGGTTGACAATCCCGCCGAGGAGAACGTCTGGCACGAGAAGCCCAACCTCTCCAAGGAGGAAATCAAGAACCGCCTGAAGAAGAACAAGAATGTATGTGTCACTCTCATCGCGAGTCCATACCGAACAATACTGACATGATCTGAATAGGACAAATCCGGTCTTGCTTCCGACTCAGTTGCAGAAACCGCCGAGACTGAAAGAAACGATGCCTCTTCCGTCACCCCCCTCCGAGGCCAGCCGTCGCAAGAAGTATGCCAAGCAGACCAAGGAGTTCCTTGAGGAGAAGTTCCCCCAGGAGCGCCGTGACCAGGCCATCTGGCGTCTGAAAAAGATGGTCATTGAAGTCCAGGGCCACGCCGATTACCAGCAGGCCATCGAGACGCTGCTCGAGCTGGCTGAGAAGTATGCCGGTCATGCAAAGACTGTTGGCCAGGATACCGGCGCTGCTGCTAAGGATTGGCGTTCTGCGGGCCCCGTCCAGGTTGCCGAGACCAGCCTGCGCACCCTCATTGAGCGTTTCGCCAACAACACCTCCCTGGCGGACTTCTTCGAATCTCTGAACAATGTCTACCGCGACGCCGAACAAGACCCTGAGCTGCGTGGCTGGTTCAGCAAGGTGGACACTTACATTCGCAAGTGCCTGCGTGAGCAGGGCTTCATCATGGAGGACGAGGCTAACAAGCAGTGGAGTGAGCTCTACGACAAGGGTCGCTACCTCCTCCGTGAACGTTACCGCACCCACACCGACAAGATCATTGACGAGATGAAGTTCATTGCCGACCAGTTCGACAAGGACCCGCTCAACCAGGCCCTCGCCCAGTCCTTCCAGAAGCTCTTCCACGACCTTGGTCATGATCGTAACACTGGTGGCAAGCAGGCCTTCAAGCCCCACCTTCTGCGCGACCTGCGCGATGTTATCATTCCGGGCATCTTCGAGAACGTCCGCTATGTCCCTATTCCTCGTATTGAGGTCCAAGACCCCGCCGTGGACGTTGTGGTCGAGAACCTCGTCATCGAGAGCAACAATCTGTTCCCCAATGTTGTCGAGTTCGGTAGCGACAACTACTTCCGCTGGGGCCGCAAGAAGGTTGCCAACAAGCGAAACAACAAGATCATGATTGCTGCCTCCGGGATCCAGGCTGACCTGCGTGACGTCAGCTACTACATCGACAAGAAGCAGGGCTTCCCGTCTCTCACTGACACCGGTGTTATGGACATTCTGCTTGGCGGCGAGGGTTTCAGTTTCAAGATTGCCGCCTCCACTCCTGACGAGAAGGACAAGGCCCACTTCTTCAAGGTTGACAAGGTCTCGGTCAATGTCAAGAACCTCAAAATCAAGTTGAAGAAGTCCAAGCACAAGGCCCTCTTCACCACCTTCAAGCCCATCCTCTTCAAGGTCATCCGCCCTGCCGTTGAAAAGGTCATCGAGGCCCAGATCCGCGAGGGCTTCGAGAGGGGCGATCGCTTCTTCCACGAGATCCACACTGAGGCCCAGAAGGCCCAGGAGGCCGCCCGTGAGAACCCCGAAGACGCTCCCACGATCTTTGCCCGCTACGCTGATGCCATCCGTGCCCGCACCCAGCGCAAGGCCGAGGCCGCCCAGGCCGTCGTCCAGCGCGACACTACGGTCAAGACCGCGCTGACTTTGAAGGACTCCATGTACCCCAACATCAAACTCCCTGGCGGCATCTCTACCAAGGCGACCGAGTACGTCGAGCAGGCCGACAAGGGTGAGAAGTGGGAGTCCCCCATCTTCAGCATCGGGCACGCCGGTGAGTCCAAGGACATCCCCGCCACTGGCTCCGTCGCCCGCAAGCCTCACGAGACTGCCGAGGACGTCGCTGGCGGAGCTGCCGGTAACGCTGCCGCCGCCGGCAGCAGCACCACCGAGACCAACGGCGCTCGCGGCTTCTCTGACGAGGTTGACCAGGCTCTGGGCAATGAGAAGGTCGCCGAAGTTGTCAACGGCACCAACGGCACCAACGGCACCAATGGTACCCCTGCCATCGCTCACTAGAGCAGAGCAGTCCACGAGTTGTTGTGCCGGAATGCTAAAACAATGAAAAACGACCTATCTTCTGCGACCCGGGTAGTTGCTATTATCTCTGCTTATGCCTTCCTGATTCTTGCTCGGATCTTTTCATGCATATCCGGTCCTTTCTCTTTACTTTTTTTATTCCCTTACTCTGTTTCCTGTGAATTTACGTCATGATTTCCCCTCTTGCAATCTTGTTTTCTGTATGACTACATGGTCTTTCCCGTCGGTAGCCTAATACATACGCGCAACCGCTCCTTCGCGCTCAATTTTCTTTTAATCCTCTTGTTTCACTAGGGCCTAGTGTAGATCGATCATCGGAAATAAATCTGATCTGATAAAAACAACTTTCCCCGCAGCATGGTAAGGTGGACCGCCCTTGGATCCGCTCCCCACCTTACCCGTCTTAACATCCACTCGCATGAATTTGTTTAATTGGTCCAGGGTAAAACAGGACAGAGTCTCTAATGCGTATGTTGCTTAATATAGATTCATCACGAAGACATGTGCCAACAATTATAGAATTATCTGCTTACTAGCAGCCAGAAAAGTCATTCATCGTTTAAAGATTATAGAACGCCAGACGCTGTAACCAAGATGTGAAAGCGTCTAAAAAACCAGAGCCGTTCCGGCACGTTTGTCTATACCCATCCCTATATGAACAAAGGAATAGCTTGAGGCTCTTTACATCTGCTCGAAGTACTTCTCCCATCCAAGCTCCCGCAGCTTTGTGCCCTTCTGCTCCATGTTCTCGGCACGAGCGGCCTCGGCATACTCCTCCACCTTACGCTGGATGGCAGGGTCAAAAGAGCCCAAAATCCGGGCTGCTAGGAGCGCCGCGTTGATGCTGTTGTTGATTCCGACAGTTGCGACGGGGACCCCTGTTTTTATATCAGTTACCTTGCTTCCCAATACAGAACCGAGGAGATTTATGGTTTATGCTTACCGCGGGGCATCTGCACAATGCTGTACAAACTGTCCACTCCATCTAGGGAGCTGCCCTTCACGGGAACTCCGATGACAGGCAGGGCTGTGTGAGCAGCGGCCATACCGGGAAGGTGGGCAGCACCACCAGCAGCCGCGATGATCACCTTGATACCCCGGGCGGCGGCCTGGGCGGAGTATTGAGCCATATAGTCCGGGGTGCGGTGGGCAGAAGTAATCTCGACTTCGGGCACGATGCCGAAGGTCTTTTCCAGGAGCTTCAGACCTGGTACGAGGGTCTTCAGGTCGCTGTCCGAGCCCATGACGACGGCTACCTGGGCGGGGGGGCTTGGGAGCGCCGGAGGCAGCAGCCTTGGTCTTGATATCGGGGCGCTCGGCGCGCATCTTGTCAACGACGTCGATCAGAGGCTGGATCAGAGTCTCAGCCTCGAACATGGTCGCAGCAGTAACGGTGACATGGCCCATCTTGCGGCCTGGCTTGGCAGCGCCCTTGCTGTAGAGGTGGATGCTGGCATTCGGAATCGAGAGCGCCGCTTCAGCCGCCTTGAGGTGGGAGTCTGGGGTAGCGCCACCAATGATGTTGAGCATGATGGATGGGGTGCGAATCTCAAGGCTCTTGGCCGGGATGGGGAGGTCTGTGACCGCACGAATGTGGGCGTCGAATTGCGACAGGGCGCAGCCTTCGATGGTGTAGTGGCCGGAGTTGTGGATTCGGCTGGCGATCTCGCAAAGCATCAGGCTGTTGTCCTCCAGCAGAAACATCTCGACACCGAAGGCACCCTTGCCTTCAAAGGCGGAAACGGCCTTGCGCGCGAGGGCTTGGGCTTCCTCGTTGATTTTGTTCGAGACGTTGCGGGCCGGGGCGTAGACGAGCTTGCATATTGAGTCTTCTTGGACGGTCTCGACGGTGGGGTATGAGAGGACTTCGTCCTTGGTCTTGACGACCATGACAGCCAGTTCCTGCAGGAATATATTAGACCATTCGAACTTTTCATGGGGAGATCTGGGTATGACGAACCATCTTGAAGTAGGCCCACTTCTCGGCATACAGTGGTCGGTCCTTGAGAGCCTCGAGAGCCTCGGGGATATCTGCTTTTGAGTTTACACGGAAGTTACCTGTGATTCTAGGTTCAGCACTAGGTTCGTCTTAGGGCAGCAAGAGGGGGGGGTTTCTGGATCCTTACCCCGGCCGTCATAAGCCATTGTCTTTGACTTCAACATCAATGGGTAGCCCAACTCCTCTCCAATATTTGCCAATTCATCCGCGGTGCCCTTGACCAGTTCCCGGTGGTCTGCCATGGGAATACCATATTTGCGCAAGTGCTCCTTCTGGTTAAACTTGTTCTGAATGGTCCGAATAGCCTGCCAGCTTGGTTCCACCCGAACCTCTGAAGCCACTTCCTCGAGAGCATAGGTGTCGACATGTTCAATTTCGGCGGTGATAACATCGCAAGACTTGGCCAGTTTTCGCACGGCCTCAGGATCCTTGAAGGAACCAGTGACATGGCCGTCGTGGAAGCTAATCTGCTTAGCTGGGGCGTTTTCGACGTCGAGGACGTTGGCTTGGATGTTTAGTCGATTGGCAGACTCAACCAGCATGCGGCCCAGCTGGCCGCCACCGAGAATTCCAACCTTAGGAGAGTTCCACATTCTGTCTTGCGCGAGTTCAATTGCCAGAAGAATTCACAATCGAGTCATAGTTTCCCGCGGGCTGCCCCTCCACAAAAATTCGCGGGCAAGTCACCTGACGCTATCGATAAGCGCTCGATGCGCCAATCGGAAGCACGGGCCACCGCCTCGTGCTCGCACTGGATCGTCACGTTCTTCAGGTCGACAGCGCAGTGATGTCTTTGGGTAAGTACTGGGATCAAGCTCTCGCTGGGATAGCTGAAACTGACTTACGGGGTGAAGATGAAGAAGCTCTTGAGGCAGTCGCCAATGGTGGCTCAATAGACCAGTACGTGACGGATTAATGAGAGCGACACCACGTCCAGCACGCGATACTGACGCTCTCCTGCGCAGGGAAAAATGGGCCAACATGGTTCCGTCGGTACTGGAAAGGTTGGAACATGTACGTTCATTGTATGCGATCAAGTTTCTTCGCTCTAATCAATCGCCCAGATCGTGTACAACCTATTCCCCATGCCCAAATACCCAGCGGCTCCTGCCCAGCAGTTCTCCCAGGACTTGTCAGAACTTGGCGATGCCAATACCTCCGGTCTCGAGAGCAGCAATAAAGAGAATGCAGCCCCCAGCGACTCCCAGACCGGACCGGAATCGTCTGCCTCGACCGAGCGCGTCCCGGATTCTCAGCTTCCGTCCGACGCTCTTCCGCCTCCTCTCGCACTCCTCTTAAGCTCCATTCGCTCGGCCATCCAGATGTTCTTCGTGGAGAAGCCGCCTCACACTATCCAGAGATTTGCGGAGCTTATCTTGCACCCAAAAGCCCACTATCGGACCCTTCCTGCGTATCTTCGCGCCGTGGATCGCGTCGTTGCCGTGACCAGTGCCGCCGATGTTTTCCCTTTCTATACCCCAAATAGTACCAATGTCGAGTCGAATGGCCTCGTTCACCCTGCTAATAGTGCCGGCACTTACCTCACTCCCGACTATGCACATGGTGGACTCGGAAGCGATGAATCGCTTGGCGGAGCTCTTCTTACTCCGATTCCATGGCTTACCAACGCGACCTTCGACTCCGAGGGAGGCAACGCAGTTGAACCGAGTAAGTGTTTCAGTTATGGAAGCCCGGGTTGATGCTCACCGATGTTTTAGCAGTAGAAGTTGTATCCCATCTAGAAACGGCAGAGCCGTCCGGAGCCGCAACGGCGACAACGGTGGTAGAGGGCGATGATGTGCTGCACACGGTTACTTCCCCATCTGCAGAGACATCTGATGATGTTCCTCATGCGCGTGGCCCGGCAATAGTTGGTGTGGAAGATTTGGGACTGCAAGACGGACGGGGTATTGAAATGGACCTGGTCGAACAGAGCGGAATGCTGGATGGTGCATCGAATGCCCGGCCTTCCGAGGGAGTGACCACCGACGCGGCTTCAAAGGATGAGCCAACGAATACGCCCGACAAGGACGGCGACATCGTTCTCGACGATGGCAAATCCGGCGAAGATGCAAAGGCCGAGGTCCCTCAGGCCAGTGAGGCTGCAGAGGCAAATGTGGAAGCCCCGCCTGTAGAGGCTGAGCAGAAAGCGTGATTATTCTAGCACATGTGCTTTGCATTTGAATTTGTCTTGCCTTTTGCCGCTCTGGCTATCATGACTGATGACTTAATTACTTCTCTTTTGAGCTGATACTTCTCACTTGAATCGATTTTGCAATGGGATGTGTTCTGAGACTGTTTGCGATGGGTTCCTCGGGGCGAAACTAGAGGGGGCTGAAAGTAACATTCTGAGCCCTTTACATTTCATATCATTAGATGTAATCTGAAATAGACTGCTGAGCTGATAGAACTCAAAGGCATATGGCCGCTACTAGGAATACCTGACAGTGGGGAAAGGCAAGACTATGAACCAATTATTATACAACAAGCTGAGAAAGCTCTAATACTAGCATATCAGACGCTCAATTTCCAAATGAAATCAACCATTCCTTGACGCCAATTCCCACCCAATCATTTCACCCTGAGTCTCTTGTGCTGGTCCCATGTGAAGAAAGGGCCTAGGCCGTCTAGCTCCTTCTGACCTGTTCTTGGAGGCCTGTCGGAGCGATGCCATTCGATGCGGATGTTTCCTCTACCATCCGGTACGACATAATACTTTTTGGGCGCCGAGCTGCTCGAGGCTGGGAATCATAAGGTGTGAGATACGAGGACGAGGGATAGATCTACTCAAAAAAACGACTGAGAACGTAACATCTCCGTACCTCGTGAAGCACCCGAATTTGACCCCTTAGCCGATCCTTTCGAGGCACTTTGGTGCGGGTTGCACGTGTTACATGGCAGGATATCACCGTAGAAGAAATGCCACCATCTGTGCGAGGGGCCTCGGGAATAAAGAGGTCTGGTGGCCATCTCAGGCCCTGGAATGGCAGTCCGGAATGGACGGGAGCCTGAATTTCCACAGGCCTGGGGCCCCGAACATCTTAAATGCTATAACCGGCGTAACAGAGGTGCTATGAACATAGCAAGGGTGCAGAAATCATCCCATCACGCAGAACAGGTGGAAAGGACTTATTGGGTAGTGTCTGGGGTAGAGGGTTGCCTCGGGCATTCATTTGCTCGTCACGAACCACTCCGGGAGGAGGTTGACAGAAACCACAGTAATTGCATTGGCGGGATGCGTCCATCCATTTTCAGACATCCGTAGGTGATTTGATTGGGCGGCACAAGTGCCACGAGGCAATTTTGATTCGTCGATGGAAGATGCTGCTACAACAAGATGACAAAGAAGTACCAGGTCGGAAGGAGGCCGGAAGAGAGACCCGTTGAAATTATATGCCCCCTGGAAGTTGACCTTGGACGTTTTGAAGTTCCAGGAATCAGCGACTAGTCGAGAGAATACCAGCCAGGGTTGGTTGGCTGTAGCCTTACACTCGAGAATAGGTGACGTCCCCAGAAGCAATCAGAAGCAAAAGCTTCGAAGTTGAAGAAGTGACACAAGCCTGTCGACGAGACTGACCTGGAGTCCAACATCGAGATTAACTTTTGGATGACCTCGTTCATCTGTAGCGAAAGAACATGATATGGGGCCAGTTTGCAGATGGTGTGCTGGCAGCATGCAAGTGAGACCAAGTTTCCCCCACACAGGCGCCCAATAAACATCCAACTAATCCCCACACCAGATCTTGCTTTCCAACTTTCTGCGAGGAAGGAATGAGGCAACAATATCACTGCCTGAGATCTGCATTGCGAGAACTCTGGAGAACGGAAAGATACTAGTATAATCGAAATTCTAGCATCTGGCCGAGACTAGCCTACACTTTCTACTCGTATGGCCTATATTCCTTCCTTTACGGACAGATTCAAGCAAGTTTTATCTGAGGCTTCTGTGGGGACTAGCCGATGTTTGTCAAGTAGCCAAGAAGGCTATTGTAATCGCTTTAAACGCAAATTAGAATGGAGAATAACCTTCAAGGCTGCAACTCCTCCCGAAGGAGGCGAAATCGCGGGAGACCTCTCAACCCCATGTTCACAGGATTCCAAGACTCTACTGCTCTGACACTCCGATTCGTAGCGTGACAGCCGACGCCCTTCGAATCCTGTCATGGTTTGATACTCCATCCCGCGCATATCATGCGGGAACCTATTCTTCCTCTCTATGAGGCTGACTCGTAAGAGGGGTTGTCCTCAGACTTGCTATAAGTCCAAGGACGCAAATTCGTTGCACGCATCCAGGACCCTCATTCTTGTGAGGGGGTCCTAAGAATCATTAGAGATAAGATCATAGGAGCTTTTCATAAGAGCAACCATACCTTCGCACTATGTCCACCATCAGGAACCCAAAAAAGCTCCGATTTAACCCATAGCTTATGCAAGTCCCAAGCCGTCTGCGCAGGAGCAACCATATCGTAGCGGCCGTGAACGATAGTTCCTAATTCCTCATGAGAAAATCCGCAAACACCCCCTGACCACTCATGGCCGACTCACCAGGAATATGCTGTATCTTCGCCATATTCTCCGACTTCAAGATCTGCCCCTCCTCCAACCAAAAATGATGCACTGCATAATGCGCCTCCATAAGCGCATGAGCCAACGACCACTCTTCATCCTCCAGCGCCGCAAACCCCTCCTCATCCGGAATCAAAGACCCAACGCTCAAATCCCATCGATTCCATTCGCGCGCCGCCGCAATACGCAGCGCTTGGTCTTCCCCCGTCAGCAGCTTGTAGTAAGCTGCGACGGGGGCATGGCGCTGACTCCCCGGCAAGAAATTCACAAAGGTCTCCCACGCCTCGGGGAAGACATTCGCTGCGCCAACCCCGCCGTTCAACCACGAAACTTCCGCAGCGCGAGTCGTGAACACGCCGCGGAGGACCATGGCACCGACTTTGTCCGGGTACGCCTGGGCGTAGAGCAGCGCGAGCGTGGAGCCCCAGGATCCGCCGAACAGGAGGTGCCATTTGGCGATCTCCAGGTGCTGGCGGATGGCCTCGATGTCGGAGACCAGGTCTGGGGTGGTGTTCTCGCGGAGTTCGATGGCTGGTGTGGATTTGCCGCAGCCGCGCTGGTCCATGAGGACCACACGGTAGATGGCGGGGTTGAAGTAGCTGGTGTTTCCCTTGGAGGTTTTTCCGCCTGGCCCGCCATGGAGGAAGATGACTGTTTGGCATTAGAGCTTGGGGGTGAATGGCGGGGTCAATATATGCAATTGAGTAGTACCTGGTTTACCGTCTGGCTTGCCATATTGTTCGTAGTGCAGGTGATGCAATGTGCCGACGGCTAGGGTGCCGGTGTCGAAGGGGTCTAAGTGCGTGTATCCGTTCATTTTGGATGGTTTACAGAGGTGGATTGAGCCATCCCTGCGACAGATAAAAGTGCTTGCGATTTGCACGCGTACAATATGAGTAATGCGTCCCCCCCCCCGGCCGATAGCGGCTAAAAGGCGAATCGAGCTAGGCCGCCTCTAACTTCCAATCAGGGTAGCCAGCTGCAATTGAGGATGATCATATGGGCTACATATCCAGGGAGTCCAAATGCTAGTGATAGTGTGATTCTATGAATAGGCTAAACCAACCAGATGGGCCCGTCACAATCACCCGAGACACCTATAAGGATTAGTGTAAGAGGCTCGTGTCTAACGACATCGGCGGCAGAATGGAACAAGTAGGAAGATGGAATTGAAATGAGGTCAGGTAGAAAATCCTAACAAAGAACTAGAGCAACGACATTGGTATCTTGAAGCCCAGCAAAACTCCTTTGCGAATGACGGTATAACACAGCAATATGCTACTCCGGGAATGAATCATCCGAAGGGTTCTTTCAAAAAGAAAAAGAAAAAAAAAAAAGAGCTAGAAGCAGGGTCCCTTTTCCACCGATTCAAAACTACAAATGCACTCCCAGCAATCAAGGTCGAGCTCGGACCCGCCGAGGCATAGGAGTGCAGCCTGCACTGGCCTCGAGCGCACTCTTGCGCTTGTTCCCTTCTGACTTGGCAGTTGAAGTGCTCCCGCTTCGGGTAGGAATTGAACTAACAAAGGACTGGTCCTTGGAGATAGGGAGCATAGATGAGGATGCTCCCGGAGATTTGGGAACCAGCTTGCGACGTGCCTTGGTAGGGGTCGAAGGCCCCGAGCTGGCATCAACTGGGCCTGGTTGGGCAGCTGGCTTGCTAAGGCGGCCACTTCCAGTCTTGACGGGTGTTCCTGAGATCTTGGACGACTCTCCCAGGCGTCGCACACGTCTCGACCGTGATGTTGCGCTGGGTAAAGCAGGAGCAGGAGCAGGAGCAGCGGTTGGGAGATCCTCTGGCACAGCACTGACCATCTCTTCATGCACTTTGCTGCGGCTGCTACGATCACTGCGTGATACCCGCTTAGCTTTAGATCGCAATTTCGAGGATTCGGTATCATCCTTGACTTCTCCAGCCTCCTCCACAGAATCTTCCGAGACCTGTGCATCGTCTGCGAACTCTACTAGTCGTGCATCGTTCCAAGTAACATTTTTCTTTAGAGATGCTTTTCGTGACCGAGCACCCTTGGCGTTCCGCTCATTGTTGCTACCTTCAGTCGCATCTTGATAGTCTCCACTAGCCATCATCTCCAAGACGTACTTCGGAGAAATAGCATCGCCGCGGTTTTGTCTGGTATGCTGCTTGGTGGCCAGGGCCAACTGCTGAGCCTCGGTTCGCTGAACGAAGATAAACTCATTGCCCTTCGCCCTGCGTAGTGCAATAGTATTACGAACTGCAGGAACCTTGACCGCAGGTGCCTTGACCCTAGTGCTTCGCCGGGTAGTTGGGTTTGGGCTACCCAGGTTGACTTCATCTTCAATGTGCTCAGTGGTCGTTTCTCGCTCATGGGATTCGTCACCCGGGATGATATCGATATCGCATTTCGATGGAGAAACTGGCACTTTGATTGGCGAGGGAGCATTCGTGTCCAAAGCCTCCAAGGCCCAGCGCGACCGTGGCGTCATACCTTCCGTGTTGACGACCTCTTCTGGGCTAGAAGACTTCTCACTTTCGACTTCTTGGCTCATCATAGCTTTGGCGGCACGCTTAGCTTGAGCCCGTGAAACAAAGCTGTTGAGGAGTTCCCTATCGTCCCCGTCGAGAGAGCTGCGCAGAGCAGACCTCACGAGGGTTCCTTCTTGCTCTTGTGTAAGTTTCTCCACGTTTGCCGTTGGAGGAACAGGGGTGGGATCGATGTTCTCAACACTCGATACGGAATCATCGCCATTCCTCGGTTCATCGGAAATTCCAGGGGGACAGATTTCTTTGCTCTGGCCATCTGGGGCCTGGAAGGTTTGTTCTTTCTTTTCATTCGCGCCACCTAGAAACACGGGTGCTTTGTTGGGGGGCTAAGATGGTACTCAAAGCTCGGGGCGAGTCGGTCATAGCCCAATCGCCTTCGGAGTCTTGTGATTTGTCTTCGAAGATATTGATGGGCGCATCTGGTAATTTGCCTGCGACCCAAGTCAGGAAACCCAGCACCAGACAAGTGTGCGATCTTAAAAGACTTACGTCGTTTGCGAGAATCTGGTAGCCATTGTGTCTCGAGGAATGAAGCCCCTCGCTGTTTCCGTTCATAGTCGCCGTTTTCCTTGAGCTCGTCATCAACCCTGAGGCGCTTGACCCCACGGATTTGGGTGTCTTTGGAGGAGTTGATGGCAATCTCAAACGGGTTATTGCCGGTAGCTGATGCTGACTGCAAGGTTTGCATGTTCGAAAAGGATGAGTGGAATCGCTTCCACAACTTCTTCGACTTCGCTCCACCGCGCAAAGGAGTCGAGGGTTTGCGTTCCCACAGTCGGGGGATGGCACGGATAGCTTTAATAGGGGAGAAGCTGTATGACGTCGCTGGTTGTTGTTCTGCGGTCGCCCTGATATGCGCAAATAAGCGCGTCAAGTCAGTATGTTGTTGCTACTATATATATATGTGTTGCCCTATGCATTGGCGGTCTATACGTTGTGCGCAGACTCGCGAGCCCCTGAATTCGATAGCGCAAGCAGTCGACAGAGGTTGATTGGGACAAAGAATGATTGACTGGGCTAGCAAAACATGAGAAAGGGACGACCCACCATTGTTGCGCCTGTGGCAGAGCGGGATCAGTACCCATTGTTGTGGACGCGTGTGGAATGTGTCAAATGGTGCCGGAATTCAAAAGTGCGACAAGAGTAAAATAGATGATCACCGCTACTGATAAAATAGGTAAGGAAATTAGGAGATGCCGCTGAAGGAAACTCAAAGGGCTAGGATGAGAGCAATAAACATGTTCGAGTGCGCCGAGGAGGTTTGGAGGGGAAGATGGTTTTGATTTGGGCGCCGTCACCGCAAAAGTGGAAGGAGCCGTGTTGTCCGGCCAACGTCGTTCGTGGCACCTGCCACTAACCCCGTTTGGCTCTTTCGTCATCCCAATTTGGTTAACTGTCTTAACCGAGCATGGTCGACTGGAGACTTGCAAGTCCTTGGAATTGTTCGGATCATATAACAGACGTCCCTGGTATACATCTGGGATGCATTAGAATGTTGGCCATGAGTAATAGAATCACCAGTATTAATGAAGAGAATAGTATATATATTTAGTACTAAGCCTGAGGGCAAAACGTTGAGCTCGCTTATACCTTGTAATCTATGAGAGACAAAGGTTGTTCAGACACTGCCTAGTGAAACGCCATCAGCGAGAAGGTGGAATGAGCAGCCCCAATAAACAGCTCCGAAAGTCAAGCACTCCTGTTCAGGCCTTTGTATGAAAGCTCTAGTACGATAGTACATTTATGATTGGGCCTTGGCGTGGTAGACAGCCGTAGCATGCTATGTTTGTTGCCTCTCAAGCCGAACTCCATTCTCGTAATCCACCCAATTGTGTTGCTCAGGGAGACTATCGAGCAAAAACCGATGGATTTCAAGGACAAGAGCAACGCATTTGAGTACTCCGAAGTCCCGCGTTTGGAAGTCACAGCCATATAGACGTAGATAGCAGTGCTCGACGAAAAATCATTACTCATCATTCATGTCAATTTTGCCTCCAAATGGATGAAGCGATTCTATTGCATATCGCGCTCATCGAAAGGGTCTCCAAATTGATCTGGCAAAAATTGTCAACACTGTAGGACGATAGAAACATGTGGACTTATAACATACCAAGCGTGAAGTCCCGATCAATGACATGCTCCCATGCCCGCTGGGACTCAGCCTTGGTCTTCCATTCCGCGGCTTGCTTTGCAATCGCAGCACCTGATGCCTCTTTGTCCGTTTGGCTTTCCTTTAGGGCGTCTCATCTGAGAAGACCCGAAGGTTTGCTGCGGTTGCGACCCTGGCGGAGAGAGCTCTGCGGCGGCGACTGCCGAGGATTGTGCGAGGCGCGTGGGTGTGCGGGCTCCGTGGTCAGGATTATCGGAGTCAGAGTGGACTGAGCCTACTGAGGAGGCCATTTCAGAATCGCCATCTGGATCTCGTCGATCTGTTTGCATAGTTAACCAAGTGCAACGTGATGTTGAAGTGAATGTGGAAATGATTAAGTCGAAGTCAGCACAAGAGGCCTAAACCACCGAGTGCTCCACTTCTCACCCCTCGCAAGACTAACCTACGCCCATGACGGTCTGGTTGAACAAGGCGGAAAGCTCAAGGCGGAAGCTCAAGGTGGGGGGGACAATTGAACGAGCGGACGGGCGGAGGCGGAGACCCTGGGGCGGTGGCCGCTTTTGGGCTCGATTTTTCTTTTGCTGTTCTTTCTTCCTTTTTGTACTCGACATAGCGCAGATCGTGGGCTTTCAACTTTGGCATCATTACTTCGGGCCTCATAATTTACGCAAGCTACTTCCTTCCCTTCTGCTTTCCCAACCTGTTTCGCGCGCCATGAACTACGAATCTGAAGTGCCCGATGCATGGGATGCAGACTGGCAGTCCCAAGCCGATGTAAGTCTATATGTTTTTCAGCTGGTTTCTTTGAAGCCTTTTGGGCAAGCACGCAGATTCACTTTTCTCCCTGATAGGTTGAGAATATACTGACCCAGTTGAACAATCACAGACTCTAGCGACAAAGCCAACCCCGCCCGAAAAAAAAGTCTCGTCGAAAATTACAAAGGCCCAACGACGAGCACAGCAGGCGGAGTTCAACCGTCAGCTATGGGCTGAAGCGTACGTGACTTGAAACATCATGCAACTACAAAAAAAACCATTGGAATTAATGCGCGTCGCAGAGAATCACCACAGACATTCCACTTCGTTGAAACGCGCTCCGATGTACCGTTGAGGCAAGATATTAAGCCGGCTGTAACACTCCTCAGTCGCCGACCACAAATAGCAACCCGGACCCGGCAGCAACCGTCAATTGGAATAGATGCAGCAACTTCGGGGTTTTCGCAACTCGGGTTAGAGGGTGAGGAAGGCGACTCGGACGAAGATACCAAAAACGCAGAGCCAACGCCCGAAGAACGTCAGGCACAAGCGCTCAAGAACCGCGAGGAAAAGCAGCGCAAATATGAAGAAGTGAGAGAGCGGCTGTTCGGTAGCAACTCGGCTAATACGTCGGGCGCTTCCTCTCCAAGAAGCACAACTCCTCCTCGGCAAACACAGCAAGGCGAGGGAAGGGGCAAGGGCAAAGGTCGCGGGGGTGGCAGAGACTACCAGAAGAGAGATTCTTCGTCTACATCAAGCAAGTCAAGGCATAATAATCTCTTTGATCCATCGAGTCCAGGAAGGTCGACCGGATCTCTACAAAAGCGGGACCGTCCTCAGATCGAACGAAACGACTCCGACAAGCAGACTGCGCCGCACCAACCAGTGCGCAGCCCACGAGGTCCCGATGCTAGTGGCCGAGGTGGCTTTAAATTGAACAGAGGCGCTCGAGGAGGTTGAAAGGCCCTCTCTTGCTTGTTGAATTGATATTGAAATATGATTGTGCTACGGCTGTGGATGTGAATCCCGACACAGGCGTTGTGCTCACCAGTTCATTATGGGAGGCTGCGTCCTGTATTGATTGCATTAGCAAGCAGCGACGTATTCGGACGGTTCTCTGTTATCAACCGAAAAGTCAGCAACCTGGCACAGTTCTCCTAGAATTTTGGTGAACTTACGGGCATATCGCTCATAACTGTCAAGATACAGTTCGTCCGTGCTCGTCGTTGCCTGAATATGCTCATCAGAATTGATGGCCGCTACCCACGAAGCCCAGCGAGTACCAGGCTCGGGGTCGGGCCAGCCTCGATAGGGTTTTAAGACTCGGCTCAGTCGAAGAACCCAGGGCGCGGCTTGGATATCGACAAACGATGGCTGCGAGCCCATGAAGAATGGGCCACAAGGATCCGCTGCCACGATCAGCTTGTCGAAGGCCTCTTGAAGCTCTTGCGCATTCTCAATCTGTTTCTGCTGATCCTGTTCTTGCAAGACCCGGTAAAATGCCGGCACAATGTTTCGGTTGATCTATGGCTTATAAGCATGTGCGTGATCCTTTTGGTTTAGTTCTCTTACATGGTCTGCCCAAAGCCGGCAGTGGGCTCGCAGCTTTGCGTCTGCGGGTAGAAGTGGCGTGCCGATGTTCAGATCCTCGAGCTACCGACATTTGTGTCAGTGATGGGGAGATTTGAGAAATAGGTCCTGGATGATTCCGTACATATTCCATGATAACACTGCTCTCATAACACCCCCAATCGCCGTGGCGCACTGCTGGAACAAGCCCCCGTGGGTTTACTTCCAGCAATGCTTGAGGTTTTGCATATGGATCTATCTCAATGTATTGGTACGAAATACCTTTCATCTCCAGTGCGATCCACACCCTTTGAACGAAGGGGCTGGGGAAGATTAGCGCCAGGAATCAGATTTGAGGGATGGCTCATCTGTTGCGAAACTGAGGAACTCACCAGAAACAGCTTCCATAGAGCTGGAGAGGGTTCTCAGCAGAGTGGTTCAGCGCTGTTGTAGCTGCCAGGCCCGTGGCCTTGGTATGGTATGTTTTCTGATTCAAGTCAGGCATGCTTCGAAACTGCCGAAGTATCAGGGATCAGTTCAAAATAAAATGAGACAGAATAATTGCACGATCAAAAGGCACTGTAAGCACTTTTAACCCGGACTGCAACAGAACAAAAAATGTAACGAAGTGGGTGTTTGACAGTGACGTAGCCAAGTTCTGCGGGGACAGCCCGGGACTCCGGGATTCGTGCTCGCCCGGGAAATCTACATACCGTGAACTTCTTCTTCTGTTTGTCTTCTTTTAGATACTTTCGTTGGACAGTGTTCTTTTTGACTCGATCACTCTCCTCGAGTGTATGCCGATGACCGCCACTCACTCCGTCATTCTTGCCGTTGGCCCCGTTGCCGTTGACTCGCTGGATTGTAAAAAATCTCTCGCCGTTCGCACCAAGTTGGCCTTGTGAAAGAGCTGGGGCTGATTCCAGAACGCCGAATGGCTGAACTCCGCTGGTTTGAACCGGGAAGAGCGTATGGACGCCTGGCTGTAGGTTTGCTGGCATTGATTCAAACCCGCCTGTTGAGTCTACGCCTGTATAGCCTGGTAAGTACTCTGTGATCTTGATCTTGACGTCGCAGAGGTCCCTTTCTCGAACGGTACGCTTCCGTTTCTTCTTATTTGGATCGTCAGACTTGGGGGTTCCCGATGGTCGGCCTTTAAGCCGACAGTCCCAATAGTGCGACACTAGAGGCCTGCGTTTATACCGCTGCGTTGAACGATGTGAGTAGACGTTATCAACGTGGGGAAAGCAGGTCTGGAATCTATTGAGACGAGACATAGTCAGTTATACGGCAAAGTGGTTCCAAATTTCCACTCGATGGCGACAGGATTGGAAAGGGAACAAATGATCCATAGTCACAGCCCAGGCATAGCCCAGGGCTACATAAGTTACGTACTGTTCTTCTGTCAAGGTAATAGTTTCGTCGACATGGAACAACTTGTCTCTCCAGTACTCCAGGTCTGGCGGGTTAGGAACCAATTTCATACCTTGCAGGTGTCCTGCAAAGCTGGGAGATTCGGCCCCATCGGTAACCAAGGGACCAAGTTCAGACTGCTCGAAAGCAGAACCATCTGGCTGGAGAAGCGCGATCTCTTGCTCAGTTGCATGTGCATTATCGGCTAGTCTCATTGCGTCTTGAGCTTGGGATGCATCTTGAAGAGCGTGAGGGCCGTCTTTATTCAGAGATCTAAATGCAGCAAAATCCTGGGAGCCAGGGTAGAAAGTTCCGATTTGGTTTATCGCAGAAGGCCCAACCACTGGTATACCAGAAGCTATAGGCCGTGGCGATGGGGGATTCATGTTGACGGGGCGCTGCTTTTGGAGGAAACAAGGAGCGGCTCAAGCGGCGTCGTGTTTCGGAGCGTGATAAGCTTCGCGTCATCTGGCTTATCGTGCTGCGACTACTACATTCCCAGATCTTCTCTTGAACCCCGATACCCCAAGGCCAGTCAATCAGTAAGAAGAAGCTGCAGTCTGGTATTCTAGTATGATGAATTAACAGTTTGGAGTCGTTTGGCCTAACGCCTTGGCCTATTGTAACAGCAAATAACGTCTAAGTGGTGGTTGGCGTTGAGTTCCGTACTAAAAGCCTCACCCCATTCGACATAGCTTACCCAGTAAATCGCTTTTTGTCTCCTACTACCAGTATCACTTGTTGCCAGCCTGTTCTAAGGAAATGTTACCGAAAATCGGTTAGATTGTAAAATAGTTACTACCCCAGGTTATTTTCCGTTCAGATCATCCAAGTCACTATGAGTATGCCTCGCGTCGGGATATGTGAGCGGGTAAGAGTACCACTTTTACATCGTGCGCTTCTATCGAAGAATTCTCAATTCGCTACTAGTACTTGATAGTAGGCTAGGCAGGAAACCCCATCGACATCCAGCCTATGGCATAGGGAAAAAAGGGTCAAGAAAAGTCCTCAAAGTTTCTTGCCCGCATGTTTCTTGGCAGCTTCCGAATTCGAGAAAGGGAAACCAGCCGTTCTCTTGTCAGCGCCTGTCCTCCGGCTAATTTTTCCCTCGCTGGTCGCGAAAAGCACACACCACAGTGCAATGGAGGCCAGAAGAGAGTTGCCCCCGACAGCCATGGCGAAGACACCGTGCCCTCCGGTAACATATCGCGTATAGGTATAGAAGGCTGAAACGGCGTGGAAAAAGAACGTGATAATCAACGTTGGTTTGGCGTACGGTGCTTTCGGGTCAGACTCTTCGGCAGTGATGGGCTCTTTGACTGCCGACGTTAGTGGAATTGACCCGGTGAGCATCGCTGTCATAATCGCTATGGTCAAAAGGCCGATTCCGAGGCTTCTCGCGAAGTAGACTTCGATTGCTAAATGAAGTACAGTAGGTTAGTGTGGCGCAGTTTCATGGGCAGAGCTAAGGGCGTACTCGTTGCTGGCCGTGTTTCATCCAGGAGCAGTGCCACTATCATGCTGGGCATAGCAATCAGAGGCACACTCTGGAGCGCGAGCCACGCCGAGGTGGAGTAAGTGTAGATCTGGAAGACCTGGGGAGCAGAAAGTTAGCGACTGTTATTCTGATATGAATGGTGTAGGCGGGTGTCTGGGCCACTCACATCCATATTCTAGTTTGAAAGGAACTTTTTTTTTTCTCGTTTAGATATGAGAAGATGTCCAGGAGGCCTGGAGAGAGTTAGGTGCGGTCATAAAAAGTCATGGGGCAAGCTCGAAGCTCACCCGCTGACGTCATGTAGCTTAGCCAAGTTCTGCGAGCGAACTTCGTTACCACTGGACATTCGAAGTCTATCTTGTTGAATTAGGATTATGGATAGAGCCTAAATTATGGCAAATGATTTGATGGAGTTGCCGGAGAAGCTCTGCCCCCAAACCTAGGAGTCGTTCATCCATGCCGGCCAGTCCGTCGTATCCTCGCCAGCGCCTCTCATTAGCGTATCAAAAAAGGCCAAGTCAATGCCCTCAAAGGCCCACTCATCAACTCCCCAAATATTCACATTGTTTTCAACCTCCTGCAAGGGCACCTGAGAAATGTCGTTAAATGCCTGATGCCCTTGAGCTGGAAAATCGGCTGGATCTGTAGATGTTGATGCTGGAATATCCCGCGAGAGAGAGTCTGTTCTCTTCGTAAAAGATTGGGTGGTTTCCCGGTCCATGGCCTTTTTGGGCATCTTATTGCCCATTTCTGGATCGAATGGGATATTGCGCTTGGCCCCATGCATCGATTGGGCTTGGCTTTTTGGAATTCTTTGACTATCCTTCGATACAACGCCCTCGCGAGTGATGTTGATGGAGCCGAAGTGAGGCATCGAGATTTGTAACACGCCACCGTTATCTGTAGTTCTCATTTCGTTGTCTCCAGGGGGCTTCTGGTCGGAGCCTTCAACTCGACATGACTGACCCGAAGCTACTTCAGACTCAACCTCCATTAGTCGCCGTAACAAATCAGCAGTCTGTACACTCAGTGCATCTCCATAGAGTCGGCTAATTTCCTCCATGCTTTCTTGTGCCTGCTCGACTAGAGCACGGTCACTAGGTCGCTGATGTGCCAACAGGCTCTCAGCTATCGACATTTGCTGACCTAGCCCTTGTGCATGGTTGAAGGCGGGCGAGCGCTTCCGTCCATCGATATGGGCAAGTAGTAGGGTCATAGCCGCTGCCAAGCAGAAGTAGTTCACCGTTCGGCAGCAAAATGCGATCCGGTTGAAGCTTTGGAACATGAGAAAGCGAGAAAGCACCTCGCGAGCCGCGTTGACACAAGTTATTCTAGAATATTCGTGTTTTTGGCCATCCGCGGAAGGGCACAGAATGTAAGGCAGATGAATATGAATGAGAAGGTTGTAGTGGAACAGCTGGTGAAATATCCGTCGCATGTCCCAAAACATCCCCTCCGGATCAGCTGCAGTATTTGCAAGATTCGGTATGAGCCACCACCTGGATGGAAGGTATGCTGCTGCCTTTTGGAGCTCTCCATCCAATTCCCGAGTTAGAGTGTAATCCTGAGGACTTGGATCTGATTGATTTCGTTCCAGGACTCGAGATGTTATCGCGCAGTGGATTCGGTCGAGGCGGCTCATTGGCGTGTCTTTGGCGAGTACGGAATCCGAAGCCATGCTTTTGTCCAAGCTAGCTTGTGGAAGGCCTAGCATCAGGCAGATGTATCGCTCAATGGATAGAATGCGAAACCAGATCACTTCCGGGTATGCTCTCGTTTTCTCATCAACAGCATCGCACTTGGCCAGACTTCCTGATCGGTGAAAGCCCATGAGTTGCGCAATGGTCATGGCTCTCCTGATGGTTATAAGGCCCTTTCTCAGTCTTCCATCATTAGCTTGGTACCAGCTCCCTACCATCAAGGCATCTAAACCTTCAACGCAGCTTATGAGCTCGTCGTTTGCCGAGATGAAAGTTAAAGCAACGTCCACGAGTCGGTTCTTCATATCTTGAGGAGCCTCCGACAACCCTTCTATTTCCCCATAAAACTCCCGGGTGGAGATGCTGCAAGAATGTCACAATGTGGAGCATGAGTCTTGCTATCAGAACGGGATGGGCTCTCGGAGATGGTATGCTGAATACATCCTCCAGAGTCTTGTTTCTGTCAAGACGGTCATATGGTGTAACGAGCATTTGATAAAAGAAGGTCGACGTGTTACCGTTCCCTTTGATGATCATCTCAATGTCGCGAGAAATTGGCAAAGCATCGTATAGACTCTGTGATATTTTCTTCATATCTTTTTGGCCTCCCGGGGCTTTCTCAGCTGATGATATCTCAGGCTGAGAGTTATCGCTCAAAATACTCATACCAACGGTGTCATTACTCTTTTGAGCCGATGGATATCCGGAACCTGACTCTTTAGATCCTTGCGCAAGAAGCTGTTCCACCAAAGCCTCGACTCTTACGATACGATCACCCATCTGAAGACTTCTGTCCATAGAAGAAGAGACCTGCTCCGGAAACTCTTGACTGACACATTTAGCCCCGCGGCGCTGACAGCGAGTACAGGCCTTATCTGTGGATAACGCAAAGGTGCACTTCATCTTGCTTCGCCTGCACTCCCAGCAACTGCGGGTTCCTCTTCGCACCTTTCTTGTCTTCGTCTCCGAGGCACTCTCCATCACAGCTTCTTCGAGATGACTACTCAGAGGACCTTTTTTGCTCGAGAAAGACATTTTCCTGTCGTCTTCTCGCGTACAGTTAGCTTCGAAATGTACTATGGCAACTGAGGTCTCTAACCAACGGTAAGTACCTGCAGGCGAGCCTGGGATCAAGGACGGAACTCGAGACGCTTTCAGGCCATTCGCGTTCGAATGGTGTAGGATCTTGCAAAATAATGTCCGCAGCGGCAAAATCCCATCTGCATCTGCTTACTCCCCTGGCCCGGGGACTGAGTCGTAGCAGTGTTGTAGCAATGGTGCTTCGACCGGAGACTCGGCGGACGAACGCTAGGCGTCCCGGGATCAGCAAGTGGGGCCCAAGTAGCCAAACTATGGATTCGTCCGACATCTTACAGTTATGTGTCCCGCGCATCGGTCGAGTGGTTCTAGATATTGAGTATAAGTATCGCGATGGAATCTCATGATTCTTCTTTCCAGCTCGAACACAATCAGCACTCGAACCCTTATATCTATTATCCAACCATAAAATCACCATGGCGAAGCATTTCAACGTCATTCCCAACGGCATCTCTCGAAAGCTTGAGTCTTTCACGTTCCAAGTCCCCGAAAAGGAGTTATTAGAATTTAAAGAACTCCTGAACCTGTCCAAATTGGAGCTTCGACTTGGTGGAATGCTCAAAATGATCCTCAGCTCGGCGTCTCCCGCCAATGGTTGATCCAAGCCAAGGAGACCTGGCTCAACAACTTCGACTGGCGGAGGCATGAGAGATATATCAACAGCTTTCCCAACTTCAAGATCCTTGTCAAAGATACAGAGGCCGGCCAGATTGACATTCACTTCGCTGCGCTCTTTTCTAGGAAAAAGGATGCCATCCCGGTCGTCTTCCTCCACGGCTTCCCTGCGTCTTTTACTGAGTTCTTACCGATGCTGGAGCTCCTGACAGACAAGTATACCCCGGAAACTCTTCCTTACCACATTGTCGTTCCTTCACTACCAGGCTATGGGCTGTCCGGCAGTCCAAGCGAGGATGTTGAGATGTCGGTCAATCAATCTGCGCGCCTCATGAACCAGTTCATGATGGACCTCGGGTTTAGCGATGGCTACGTTGTACAAGGGGGTGACCTTGGAAGTATGATCGCGCGTGCCATGTCTGTTCAATATAAGGAATGCAAGGCCTTGCACAGTAAGTGCCCGGATGATGTAGTATTAAGGCGACCACTAACGACCCACTACAGTAAACATGTTGGTCCTGAACCCGGATGAAGCAGTTCCATCTACCGAGCTGCTAACTTCAGAAGACCGAGCGATCCTGGAACGCTCGGAAAATGGCGCCAGACAGGTCTTGCGTACGCGCTGGAGCATGGCACACGGCCCTCGACTGTGGGATTGGCGATATCTGCAAGCCCGTTGTCGCTACTTGCGTGGTGAGTCTCTCGCTTAATGATCTTTATGAACAACTTTCGCTAACGTCCAATCAGGATTGGTGAAAAACTTCTTGAATGGACGGACCCGCGAAACCAGTTTTCTCTGGAGACTATCCTCAATTGGGTTGCTTTCTACTGGTTCACAGATACGTTCCCACGTAGTCTGTATCATGCGACTCTTGTCAAGAGCATTATGGCGAGAGAGCCGCTTCCCATCACGAAGGAAAAGCCTTTGGGATACTCGAAATTTGCGTACGACATGGTTGTACTGCCAAAGCCTTGGGCTGAGATATTGTACCCCAATCTCACCTTTTTCGAAGAACACTCCGAGGTAAGTGTTCAGGGCTGAATTGCAAAGTCCGTTCGGATAATTGCTGACTATTTGATAGGGTGGCCATTTTGCGAGCTTGGAGCAACCGAAGGCATTTTTGGAGGACATTGAGGAATTCGTGCACCGCGTCCGGGGTGTTTTCACTTTCGAGTAGATGGCCTCCTCAGGTATTAGTGAAATCGAAGGCCGATAGGAACTTTCATTTTTATTTTTTTCGAACTTCTCTCATTAGGCATGGTCTCAATAAGATTGACTTCCAGTCTTCAACATATAGCTGATTTTATTTACACGAGCAGGGTTTTCCTCAATGAGAACCTACACAAGGGCCCCAAAAATTTAGCTTTTCCAGTAGAGGGAAGGGCCTAAAACCTCCTATAGTCCAATCCCTCTCCTCATAGGCGTGAAAGCTTCATGTGACGATTCACATCCTTGTAAAGGAGATAGCGGAACTTTCCAGGACCACCAGCGTAGCAAGCCTGGGGACAGAAAGCACGCAGCCACATGAAGTCACCAGCCTCAACCTCCACCCAGTCCTGGTTAAGACGATACACTGCCTTCCCTTCCAGCACATAAAGACCATGCTCCATTACATGGGTCTCGGCAAATGGGATCGTGCCACCAGGCTCGAACGTCACGATAGTGACATGCATATCGTGGCGAAGATCACTCGGGTCGACAAAGCGGGTGGTAGCCCAAGCACCATTGGTATCCGGCATAGGCGTGGGAGGAATATCCTTCTCATTCAGGAACAGCGGCTCAGGAGCATCAAGGCCCTCGACAGCCTCATACGCCTTGCGCACCCAATGGAAACGAGCAGTAGCCTTCCCCGCGTTGCGGAGCGTCCAGCCGCTGTTTGGCGGCAGGAATGCGTAGCCGCCCTCGGTGAGCGTGTGCGACTTGCCGTCTAATGTAATCGTGACTTCGCCCTCAACCACGAAGATCACGCCCTCGGCCGCCTTGTCTAGCTCAGCACGGTCACTGCCTCCGCCGGGTTGCACTTCCATGATATATTGCGAGAATGTCTCGGCAAACCCAGACAGTGGGCGCGCGATGACCCACAACCGTGTCTTGTCCCAGAATGGTAGGAAGCTGGTCACGATGTCGCTGAACACGCCTTTGGGGATCACGGTATAGGCCTCGGTAAACATTGCGCGGTCTGTCAGAAGCTGCGACTGCGGCGGCAATCCGCCTGTTGGCGCGTAGTAGGCACCGACCTTCTTGTCGCCCATTGTGGAATTAGGTTGCTGCAATGCACGTGCGACTATGCTATTGTCGGGTGGAGCTCTCTCAATCGAAGGAATGGCTGTGCTGTAGCGGAGTAAGATAAGGAAAAAGCAAAGAAGCTAGAGAATAAGACTCCCCCGCACGTTAAAAATAAAAAGAAAGAAATGCTGATTCTCCGACCCACACAGAAATCCCGGGGTTGACCGCGTACTCGGGAAACTCCGAGAGGCAAAGCGACCTCTTTATACCCGCCGGGAAAGTGGCGGTTGCGATAAGAATGCCCCACCGGGAGATATGGTGGTACATAATCTGCTTAGCGATAACTACTATTGGGAGAACGTTTAGGATGTACGGTGGCACAAAGGGTGTGTTCTGATCATGATAAAATTCAAATCGATGTAGCGCCGTACTATTGCATGACTCCGAACCCAGACACAAAACTCCTTCCACTGAGAGATCAGTGGCCCATTTGATTGGCACGTAGGTAGCGCATGAAACTGTTATCCGCTTCAGTGGCTGGACCCTGGGAGCTTGAGCCTGAAAGAGCTTGCTTGTAACGAGCAGAAAGACCTTCGTCATCCCCATCATCAGGGTCGGCGCCGTACTCTTCTTCGCTGTCGTCCTCGCCATCAGCCAGACCTCGCTTGATGATGTCGTCTTCGTCATCCTCCGCTTCGCTAACAGTCTCAGGTCCCTCGGGCCCGCGGCGTGCAGACCCAGAGACATGCATGTCCTTCATCAACTTACCAAGCTCGATTTCCCGCTGTGAATCCTTGGACTCCTCACGCTCCTTCTTCTTGCGTTCAAGCTCAGGCTTGTAGTCGCGCTCGAATTCTTGCTTCTTCGTTTCCACGGCCTCGAAGAACTCGTCGATACCGTCGCCAGTCATGGAACTGACCCCGATAACGTTCAGATGGCGATAGAACTCTTCCAGCATCAAACTCATGCTGTTCAACAATGATCCCATATATCCGCTACCCGCACCGAATCCACCAACGCTGCCCTCCCCTCCGAAGGCACCGGATTCTTCTTCTTGTCGTAGAGCTTCTTGAAATTTGTCAAAGTCCGTCATCCACTCTTTCGCAAACTCTGCATCCTTTACATCGGTCTTGTTGAACACCAAGATCATCGGAAGCTTGGTCTTGTACAAAATACTGCAAGCATAAAGCATATTACTCATGAAAGTGCTGGTGGAGCTAGCACGAGGAGTGTCGATGACATATGCAATGACCGTGGGAAATGATGACGCAAGGGTCTCGAGAAGAATACTTCCGGAGGCACTCCAGACAAATACCTCGATCTGGCCGGGTGTGTCGACCAGAATATGCTCGATCTTTTTGGTGGGATTTTCCGGATTCGGGGCAGTGCGCTTCTCGAGCAGAGCGATAATTTGGTCAACCTTTGTCGCGAATAGATTCAGAGATGTCAAGATTCCTCCGTTCGGTCCGAGATTGTATTGCTTCATCACTTCTTTGTAGTTGATTGAATCGCGGATATCGATATTGCTCTCAAATGGTACAGAGTGGACTGCGGGGTCGAGGTTAAGGACGTAGGGCACTTTGTTCTTTGAGTGGAGGTGGGAGTTGATCCGCTGCATGAAGGTCGTCTTGCCTGAGCCTGTATCAAAGAAAGTCATTAGCCTTTGATCGAGTGCTTTGAGATCACTCTATGTACCAGCCATGCCCACGCAGACGACGGAGACTGCCGACGACGCCATGGTGAGAAACTGATAGCTGTCTGAGCGGGAGAGAGGCGATGTAGAAGGAAGTATTCAGAATTCAGCTGGGATAGCTAGATTACAACCTTGCGGTGCAGCGTTGGTGCAGGTAGTAAGTCCCCTTTTTTTTTCTGCAATTCTTTTGGTCGCGGGGAAGAGGCGATCTGCCCGCGCCTGGACCGCCCGGCACTAAGCTAATTTTTGGCCTGCGCTCTTGTTCTCCCCTTTACACACCACCGAATCCAAAATGACGCTGGAGGACTTTGAGAAATCGCTGGCCAAAGATCAGGAGCGGAGAAGGGAGAAAGGTGATAGGGACCGACATCATCGCGACCGCAGCAAGGATCGATCGCGACACCGTCACCACCGCTCCAGTCACCATCACCGACGCTATTCGTCCCGATCTCGCGACCGAGAGCGCGACCGAGACCGGGATTCTCATCGCCATGACGATGACAGGCATCGACACAAACGACCCCGACACTCAACAGACCATGGAGATGATGATGACCATACCCAGAAGCGTCGGCAAAGACACTCCAGTCGGGACCACGACGATCCCTCTGCTACGGTGGTACCAGAAGAACCGAGTGGCTTGAAGCGCGATTCTTGGATGGAAGCTCCGTCAGCCCTCGAGGTTGACTATGTGCAGCGCCGCCCTACTACAAAGCTGGAAGAAGGAGTCAAACCTAAGATGCTTTCGGCGGATTACGAACTCAAAATCCACAACAAGGAGCTCAATTCTCATCTTCGTGATTTGAAGGAGGGCAAGGACCTCGAAAACATTGCAGAAGAACCGGCACAGCATGAAGTGGATTATACGTTTGGTGATGCCGGAGCTCAATGGCGAATGACCAAGCTAAAAGGTGTCTACAGAGAGGCCGAAGAAAGCGGCAGACCCGTTGACGAAGTCGCTCTTGACAGATTTGGCGATCTTCGCTCATTTGATGATGCTCGAGAGGAAGAGATCGAGCTGGACCGCCGCAAGACCTATGGCAAGTCTTACGTTGGCAAAGAGAAGCCAAGTGGAGAGCTGTTTCAAGAACGAAAGATCAAGACTCTAGGAACGAGAGATCGCGGAGAACATGTTCGTGATCCAGAACAAGAGTACTCAGCAACGGGCCAGGGCCAAGAAATGGAGACCGAACCTCCTGTGAACACTACACAGATTCTGGACCAAACCGCGCTGAATCGACTGAAGGCTCAGATGATGAAGGCTAAGCTGAAAAAGGCCCCCGATGCAGCCGAGCTTGAGGAGCGGTATAACACCGCCGCTGCCGCCTCAATGGCTAATCACAAGGAACCGGATGTGGTGGTTCTGGGAGTTCAGCACAATCCCATGCTGGCGGGCCATGGAAACGAAGTCAAAGCCGTCGACACAAAGCGAGGCCGTGAAAGAGGCCAGGTCCAAGAAAACGAAGACATGAGCATTGAGGATATGGTCCGTGAGGAGCGCAGGACCCGGGGCCAGGCAGGGGAGAAGGGCAACAGCTTGCAGAACGGATTGCCAAGGACGGCAAATTCGAAGTCAGTATACAGATTGTACCCATGAATCATTCAACTCACAGCTCCTAACGTTATTATACAGAATGAGCTCGAGTACCTCGACGACAATGCATCTAAGCTGGCTAAGAGAGTCCACCGCTCAGAAACCAATCTCATGAACTCGACAGTCAGTGAATTTCACAAGATGAACAGGATTCTCGACAACTGCCCCCTTTGTCATCATGAGGATACCAACACGCCACCTCTCGCTCCAGTTGTGTCGCTTGCCACTAGAGTATATTTGACCCTGCCCACGGAGCCCGAGATCAGTGACGGCAGTGCCACAATAGTGCCAATTCAGCATCGAACTAATCTCATAGAATGCGACGACGATGAATGGGAGGAGATCCGGAACTTTATGAAGAGTCTGACCCGCATGTACCATGACCAGGGCCGGGATGTGATCTTCTACGAAAACGCAGCCCACCCACAGCGCAAGCGTCACGCCTCCATGGAAGCAGTCCCATTACCATACAGCCTCGGAGAAACAGCGCCTGCATTCTTCAAGGAAAACATTCTCAGTACCGAGGGTGAATGGTCACAACACCGCAAACTTATCGACACGCTCGCAAAATCTAAGCAGGGGCTTGGACGATCAGCGTTCCGCCGGATGCTCGTGAAGGAAATGCCATACTTCCATGTATGGTTTGAGCTTGATGGTGGCCTCGGTCATATCGTTGAAGATGAGAACCGCTGGCCTCGCGGTGATCTGTTTGCGAGAGAAACGATAGGCGGCATGCTGGATGTTGCCCCGGAGGTTATCAGACGACAAGGCCGTTGGCACCGAGGAACTGATCGCAGGCTGGAGGGGTTCCGAAAGCGCTGGCGGAAATTTGACTGGACTCGTATCTTGATGGAAGAATGAGTGCGCTGTTTCGGACTTTATGGGCTGAAAGCGCAACCAATGTAATATAATATGGCCTCTTAGGTGGTCAGCAATGCCAGAGCAACCATGATTCGTACAATTTGAGTCTATATAACACTATCCTCCTAAGGTCTTCTGCTTTGATAGTGCTAGAAGCTGAAGAGAGCATGGACTCGGGTCCAGTAATTGATGAAACGTTGAGCAGCGAAACTAATGGTTTCAAATACTTCTCCCGTATTGTCGACGTCAACTTACCAGTCGAAGAGGGGCTGTCAGCAACTTGGAAGGCCTCTCGACAAAGCACTCATGTTGTTGCGGGGAGTTAGCCGTGATAACGGTGAACGTGGGGCAGTTTAATACCCGCTGGCCAGTGAGCCGGATCTCAGTGACTCTTATGGTTAGATTAGGATTGCGCCCTTCCGTTGACACGCTTCAACTTGATTTTTTTTTTCCAGCGTTGGTCTTTCAACTTGTACGTTGAAACCACCGCTTCTTTGCTGTGCCTACTGAATTGAAGTACTGCTCATTGCCTTTATAGGTAAAGTGACATGAAATAATCTATAATTGAAGATTAATATTGACCATGCGGCTAACTTCAACGTTATCAAGTTATCAGTGTCTAACAACGATTGACCAAGATGAGCTCCCAGCCCAAAATTCTTCTTCTTGGCTCTGTTGACCTGTAAGCTACCAGAGCAGCTCTTGCTGAGCAAAGCTGACATTCGTCAACCAGTGCGAAAGAGGCTTGGAATGCACTTAGCTCACTTGGAGAGGTTATACAGCCAACTTCGACAAACCGGGCAGATTTTCTTCAAGAATGCCGGGATGGGAAGCTCGACGGCGTGGTAGCAGCCTACCGTACCTTCCATTCAACCTCCGTCACCGGCTTGATTGACCAAGAAGTGGTAGATGTACTACCTAGCTCTCTTAAATTCATTGCCCATTGCGGTATGCCTTGACATTAGGATACTATGGTTCACGAAAGACTCTCTTTGTCTAATATTTGTTTGGCAGGTGCCGGATATGATCAAATCGACGTTCATGCCTGCAAAGCCCGCGATCCGCCTATACGAGTCTCTAACGTTCCTACGGCCGTAAACGATGCCACGGCAGATGTGAACATGTTTTTAATTCTCGGTGCTCTTCGCAACTTCAACACTGGCATGCACGCCTTGCGCGAGGGCAAATGGCGAGGCCAACCTCCTGCCACTCTCGGGCATGACCCGGAAGGCAAAGTCCTTGGAATATTGGGCATGGGTGGTATCGGGCGCAACCTTAAGAAGAAAGCGGAGGCTTTTGGGATGAAAGTCATCTATCACAATCGCGTAAGCTGAGCGAGGAGCTCTCTGGAGGAGCAGAATACGTCACCTTCGACGAGTTGCTTGCAAGCAGCGACGTACTCAGCTTAAACCTGCCGTTGAACGTAAGTCTCATACTGCTGGCATTGAAAGATGGCGACTGATCAAGCCAAGAAACACACTTATCACATCATCGGCGCTGCTGAGTTTGCCAAGATGAAGGATGGGGTTGTTGTTGTCAATACTGCTCGTGGCGCAGTCATGGATGAGGCTGCTCTTGTTGAAGCCCTCGACAGCGGCAAGGTCTTCTCTGCCGGTCTTGACGTTTTTGAAGAGGAACCAAAGGTTCATCCGGGGTTGCTCCGTAACCAAAACGTGATGCTGGTACCCCACATGGGTACTTGGACTATCGAGGTGAGTTTTGTATCCGTCTTGGTGTGAATATGGGGGCTGACGGGGGTGATGTAGACCATGACTGCGATGGAGGCATGGGCAATTGAAAATGTCCGACTTGCCTTGGAGACTGGCAAGCTCAAGAGCATTGTCCCTGAACAGAGCGACCTGCAGTAAGAATTTTCACCGATATTTAATAGAAAGTGCCGGTAGGTTGGTGGAAGGTATATTCTACGTACTATGAACCATTTATGCTTGTTTAGATATTAGCAAATAGAGGATGGTGTTCATCAGCCCGAATTCCTTCGTAAGGCGCTTCGAAGTGAGAGAATAGACTGGAATCTCATACTAAAATTCAAGACCGGACATGTCCGAGTCCTTTTGAGAATTTATGGTAAAGGATGAAGTTCGATGTTTGAATACCCCCACAGCTTCTGCATCGGGACTAGGCGCATGACGAAAGCTTGAATACTCCAGCTGCGGCTCTACATCATCCTAGCCCTGCCACCGCAACCCCCACCATGGCCGAATACTGGAAATCAGCAGTGAGTTACTTCATTCCCTTACTGTCTTACGATTGGCTAACCCGCGATCTTTCTATCGCAGCCTCGATTTTGGTGCAAACAATGCAAGATCTTCATCCGCGACACTCCCTTCGAGAAGACCCAGCATGAGGCCAGCCCCAAGCACCAAGGCAACCTGAAGCGATTCCTTCGTGACATTCACAGAAATAATGAAAATAAAGAGAGAGAGACGCAACGAGCGAAGAGCGAGGTGGAGAGGTTGCGACAAGCTGTCGCGGGCGAGTCTTCCACCCCAGGGCCGGTAGTAGTACCCCTGCGCCTGCAAAGCGGACGGCTGTTTCTGCCCCCGTTAGTCAGGAGATTAGCGCCGCTGAGAAGAAGAAACGGATTGCTCAACTAGCTGAAATGGGCGTTGCTGTCCCGACGAGTACCGCGCAGACTTGGCTCTTGCCGGAAACTGGCAGACCGTCTCGGAGACAAAGATTATGGAACCGGATGAGGTGGCTACGAAGTCTATCGGAGTGCGCAAGCGTAAACTCAACGAGGAGGAGGTTGATGAAGAGGGTGAGCCACTGGAACAATATGAGCACAAAGGATGGGGGTCGCGGATGCGATCACATCCCGTTGGTCGTCAAGACGACGATGATTTGGATGCGCTTCTTGCCTCTACAACAAACTTGAAGAAAACGAAAAACCCTAAGACTGGAATGGGAAATGAGGAAGCTCCGAAACCTGAAGTCTTACCCAAGTCGGAGGAAGCACCAGAGCCAACTCCAGAAGCAGCCAGCACCATCGCGATCAAGACCGAGGAAGGAGTTGACACTGCATTGCCTACCAACGAAACGCCTGCCAGTGAAAGCGCGCCTGGAGTTGTTTTCAAAAAGCGAAAGCCCAAAGTTATGAGGAAATAATCATTTTAGTGTTGGCGCTCGGAGAAGCGCCTCATAATCATTAACCCATTATTGATTCTTAGCGGTGCGTCAGCTGCTCAGGATCTGGTGCCAGACTCCCTTGTCAGCTTTTTTGATGGGGATTATACCCAGCCTGCGCGTGCAGAATAGGAGTTTGTGAATAAAAGGAAATCGAGGCGTTCAAAATTTTACCTTACGATTGATGACTTTGAATGAGATCTCGATTGGATTACCTCCAAGCGCTAATAAGTAATCGCGACGAGAGACTCTACTAGTTTAAGCACTATGGATGGTGGTTGGATCCTATTGCATATAGCAACATTCGTCGCATGTTGTAATTTGTGTGAAAATCCCGGACGAAAGCCTAGTGCTAGATTGTGAAATATAGAGTTAGCTCATATTTTTATCCATGGTGGTGCTAAATGAATAGCATTGCTGTATAGACTTGCCACCCCAGTAATTTTTTTTTTCTGGAGCGGAGTCCGACTCGTGGATCGCCGGAAAAGAAAGCTCCTTTGGTTCATTCTCCAACTTCGCGCAGTTCACCTTGAGCGGCCACCGATCCAAAATCCCCCACAATCCACCAGGGTTCCTCGGTAACTCGTGCTCCTATCCATCTACCCACGTCTCTCAGCCTTCATTTTTGGTAAGTGCATCTATTTTGAAGCAATCCTCCCGTCTACAGCCCGATGAACCTGCGTTCCCCTCTGGTGTCGCATTTCTTTCCTGCACGCCCAAACGCCCGAGATGCCCGTCTCCGAGAGCGTGCGACCGAGTTTTCTCTACAGCGGAGGCTATTGAGTTCCTCAATGCGCCTAATAAGTCTGGCTCTGCTTGAAAGCGCGGTCGCCAGCGGGGCGAAGCAGCTTACGGGCCAAAAGAGAGGTGATGGGATAACAAAACCTCAAAACCCCTCATTCGAAACAGAAGCCGTTGGATTTTGTTTCCTCGAGACACCCTGCTTGATTGATTAGGTCTTCTCTCTCGGCTTCGCATCTTTTGAGGCGCGCCTGGCGTCTTGAAAAGTGCAATTGCTCTCCGCAGTGTTGTTTCTCAAAGCGCCAGTCGCATGTCATATGTCACGCTTCATTCCACGACGTCTCGGCATTAGGGCCGTATTGTGTACTTTCATACTGGTTCGGGGAAGCAGCCAGACTGTGTTTTTATTATGTTTGGCATTATTGCATGGTGGGAAGTGAGAGGCTTCAGCTAACGTCTTTTTCTTCAGCAGCAGGGAATAAATGATTTGCCAGTCCAACCTCGATCAATTCGGTGTGTTACCTCTTCTAAGCAACAAACCTCACAACCTTTGACGCCCCGATTCGGCCATCTTCATACTTGTCCAGGGTGTCATCTTCTATTCTGCGGGCATTGACCCTGCGCTTCGATTGAAATAGCACAATTTCAGAAGGCTACAGTCGCCATTATGGCAGAATCCGCGGACACTCCGTCTGCCGAGACAGTGAAAGCCCCGACCGAGGCGAATGGGGTTGCATCTCAAACCCCGGCAACTATGGAAGGGTCGTTGGATCAAAGCAATTCAGTGCCAGAGGCCGGCCCCGATACCTCAGCATCATCCAGCGAAAGCAAACTCGAAACCGTGGAGCCAACGACCAATTTAGACCAACCAGATATTGCCAGCGCCCATGATAGACCCAAAGAAGCCACGACAACGAACCCCATTGAGCCTACAATAGAATCCACGCTTCCCGAGATGGACTCTACCATCCAAGCAATGCACACCTCTCAATCGCTACTGGATGCCAACTTGACCTCGTTCGATTCAGCCCTGCCATCCATTGGTTCCTCGGCCGCGCCAGACCACTCACTTCCGGCGATCGATACGACCTTGCCTTCATTCGATTCTTCGCTGCCTGCGATTGGCACGGACATCCCGACAATGGACGACCACCATACCTTCGATGATAGCCATTTTGACGCGCATGATTCTCAGACCGGGTCTGCTGAACCGCACAACGGTCACTCTCTGAATGGCTCTACTCATTACGATGCGCCGTCCAACGGGGACTTTCATTATGCGCAATCTGACGGGCAACAGCCACCTACCCAAGCCCAATCTCAACATCAGTTCCAAGCTACCCCTCAACCTCAACCTCCGCAAAACTATCAACCGCAGAATCAGGATATGTATCACAACCCAGGCTTCTCGACGGTAAATGCAAATACCAACAATGGCCAGGGGCAACCTGGGCAAATACCACAAGCCCCAATTGGATCGCCCATGCCTCCGATGTCTTCGGTGAGCCAGTATATGGCTGGGTATCCGTCGCAATCGGGGATAGATTCGAATGGTATGCGCTATCCGTTACCAGGGGACCCGAACAAAATGTTGTCCAGTGCAAGGCATAAGAAAGAAGTGAAGCGGCGTACAAAAACCGGATGTTTGACTTGTCAAAAAAGACGAATTAAGGTACGTTTGGAGAAAACAATCCCTTCATTGCGCGGAGGGGCGGAGCTCGCTTGTGCCCGCAGACCCCGCCATCGTCTATTTTGCTCCCGCCTAAGCCCACCGCCCTTCTCTCACGTCCTTCCTGATAAGATACTAATTTTTTCTTTTTCTTTTTTTTTCTCTAGTGTGACGAAGGCCATCCAGTCTGCAGAAATTGTGTCAAGAGCAAACGCGACTGCTTAGGGTATGACCCTGTTTTCCGTCCCTCAGCATCCACACCTTCCGCTATTCAACCTGCTCCAAATAATCCTCCGCCTTCCCTTGTTGTTAATCCTCAAGGACCCCTTCCACCAGCTGCGCCCTCATATCCTTCTGCCCCTCCTGGGTACATGCCAGCTTCCTCACAACCCTTTGCGCCTTCTCTTCATTCCGAGTCTCCGGGCGCTTCCACCGATCAATTCGATCCTGCGTCGTCGGTCGATCGTTCAGTGGGCCCAAACAGCACTCAAGCTTCGATCAATATGCAAGCACCCACAGATCCATTGCAACAAGGCTCTGAGCAGCCCTACAAAGGTATTGTTCTCACCCGGACGGCTATTTTTGCGCCCTCCGACCTTTCTTCGAAAGGTATTATATTTGTTAAAGAAAATGGAACTAACATTTTGTCGTTCTAGCTAAAGCTCTTCATGTCAACGATTTGATCAATCTAAGAGGCATTGCTCCCCTGCTCCCCATCCCATCGGAGCTTTACCCAACGGCCGTCTCGAAGAAATACAAGCTGTTTTCCTTGCGACCTACGCTCCTGCGATTGACAAGCTTTTGGAAGTACGATGGTATTCCGAGAAAGCTCTGCACGTCCTGATGGCAGACGAGCAGCTTATGGCAGACTATTCGGCTTTGATTCAAGCATTCAATGACTGGAATCTTCAAGATGGAAATACTCTGGCCCGATTGGAAAGTTTCGAAGCATCTATTATCTGGCGAAGCATGGCGTTATGTCGACAAGCACAAAATGCAGAAACTGGGCAAGCAGGGTCGGATTGGAATCTCCTCGTCACATGTGCCCGCCTGAACGCAATTGAAGCTCTCCTGACTTGGAACCACCTGGAACAAAACTCCTTGTCACGACCTCTTGGAATGGATGCCGCTTCTCCACCGACCCCACCTGATCAATTCATGCAACGACAGCTGGATTTCTGGAGCGAAATCGGCCAATTTCTCACTCTTCATGACAATGAAGCTAGCTCGGCCAAGGAAATTGATGATACACTGGGACGGTCTCGCACATTGCTGGATACGTACGAGAACCGGGATATCATTTACTCCATGGCTATTGCGCGCCACCTCGGCCAGAGACGTACCGACTTTCCTAATAATCTGCCCAAGATTGGGTACACCAACGAGAAGGAAGCGGGGACGAAGCTTCTGGTTGCTCACAAGTTCATCGAGGAAGAAGCTGCAGGCAAGGGAACGACCCAAATCTACAAGCGGATTTGCTGCATGGCTGTTCGCTCGTGGTGGATTGCTCGCGAATAAAAGTTCGGCATCGAATCTCGTGATCTTATTTCTCCAGGCTTCCAACCTATGCATACCCATAGGGTTTCCTAGGGGTCCTCCACGGCCCACTGTTACAAAAGCATTTATCTGGCGTTCGGAAGGCGGTTCAGTGACTTTATTTTTTGATCTTTCATATCCCCACGGGTCCACCGGGCAGCGAGCGAGGACAACGACACGGTGTTTGCGGCCTTTTATTCCTTCCAGTTTCTCCGGACGAGCCCTTGGATTTTTTTTTTCTTCCTTCTCTGTAACTTTGTGCATACACCTCACGTCTCTTTTCTTCGGGACGATTCATACCCCATGGGTCCATAGTATTCAATGGGCCAACTTTTTGCAAGTTGATAGTCGAAGACAGTCTAAGATAAATCAAAGATCAACCTTCTTCCATATCCACATGACCTCTAGGGCTAAAAGATCCTGGGGCCTGGTTCGTAATGTAGTTCTATTTACCGGGAAATCTAGTATCGGTCCACGCGGATCTTCACTTCGCCCATCTCACCCTGGAACAGATATCCAATATCTCGCAACGAGTCCACGAGCTCCACCTCCCGCCTCACAAACCGACTCGCATTACTCTGTTCTAATGATGCGTCTTGTTCATTTCGAGACATTTCATCCTCGCTATCATCCGCCCAGTCCGCCTCGTCAACAGTCTGCTTCGCCACCGGATCCCACTCGTCCGTCTCCCAGACCAGCTTGAATGAAAATGGCTTGAGATCACAGGTCCGGGCGGCAATCGCTTTGACTTGGTACGTATTGAAAGAGTTCGGCACTTCCTTCACTCGCACCGGGCCGGAACCATCAGAGACTCGGAACGCCATCTTGACTAGACGTGCCGCAACGGAGCGCGGATGGACGGCCCTCTGGCCCGATCCATCGCTAACAAGAGCTCTTGTGATCGCCGGCTCACCGTAGATCTCACAAAGCTCTCCATAGCGGGGATGTGTCGCTATGATTCGCGAGAGCTCTCCTTCCGAAGCGGCGGAGAGCTCCTTGCCGATGAGGGAGAGATAATACATTTCCGCATTGGAGCGATCTTGGGGTGAGATCTTACTGTAGTTGAGAACCTGAAGGCTCGGCGGGAAGCGAGATAGAGTAAGCATGAATGCTTCGTCGACGGTCATGGGCTTCGCGGCGCTCATAGAAGCTGTGGCTGCTGCGACGGATGGTGGGAGAGGTGATTGGTCGTAAATGGGGTTGCCGGAGATACGGAGGGTCTTGAGGCCTGGGAAGATGGTGCGCATCCTGTTGAGGAAGGACCAGGATGAGATATTGTTCCGGGAGAGGTCGAGAGACTGCAGAGTCGCTGGGAATTGGAAGTCAAGTGTTTCTTCAGTTGGATCATCGCTAATGGCGAAGATGTTGTTTCCGCGGAGGGAGAGATGCTCCAGATCCGGTAGCTTGGATAGTTCACGGAGTGATGATATTGAGGTGATCTCATTGTTTTCGAGAGTCAATGAAACAAGTGAACATGTAGGTGCACAGGCAATGCTGGTAAGCTGATTGGCGGAAGCTGTGAGGGAGGTGAGTGCAGGGAAACGAGTTGATGCCTCTGCGATCTAAAGGATATCTTGATGAGTAGGGTTGTCTTTGACATCTCATGGAGCAGCTCACCTCTTCCCATGACAGTAAAGTCTCGTCCAGATGCAGCTCCGAGACACCTTCAAAGGCAAAGCCGTCTTCTAACGGTTGGAAACGGTTGCCGCTGTATCGAATTAGTACTCAAGTATCACCGAGATAAGTTACCTCTGTGGGGTCAAAGGGTAGACTCACTTCAAACGAAGCCTTTTCAGGCTTTTCAGCTGGTTGCAAATTTGCCAAGCATCTCGCCAACGGCTCAGAAGATTCCGACTAAGATCCAACTCAATTATCTTTGGGCAGGTCGTTGCGATTTTTGAAGCTGCTGACAGAACCTGATCTTCAGGCTGCTCATAGCTAGAAAGTACACCTGCAATGCGGAGCCCGTCTAATAGCACAATGCGGAGCTCCTCTAGCTCGGCGAGTTGCTTGCGGATTTTATCGAAGCCGACCTCTTCGACGACTTTACCGCTGATTTGGATAGATTTGGAGCCGGGGCCTGCATTCGAAGAGACATCTGCCTTATGTCGCTGCTCAAACTCTGAAGCGTACTTTTCATGAATACCCTCGAGGAAGCTCCGCGGGGGATCTGATGGCCTGGAGGGGCGAACAAAAGACCCCGCTGTGTCGCTGTAGCTGTTCTTGCCTAGTGACAGTATTAGCTGGTGTTCTACTCTAGGAAGAAGAATGGCAGCCATAGTCCCTACATGTAAAATATCGAACTCCTTTATGCTCTCCTGAATGCTTGCCTCGAGTTGGGTCGTCCCATTCGACGCCCAGCCAGTCGCCGGATGTGCCCTGGACTCCGCCCACATAGCGAATTGTGCACAGGTGACCGTCAAAGGACCGGCGCTGGCCTACCGCGCCCAAACTCATTGGCACAGTGATAAGGAAAAGATCTTGTTTTTATGGCGATTTAAGAAAAGAGTCAAGAGACCCCGTTGTGCCAAACCCCCGATTACATAACCCCGCGTTCGAGGCCCAGGCTCGCCTGCATGAGATCCATGATCCATCAAGTTTGGGTTAACAGCTAATGACATGGAGGAAATGGGGAAGCTCAATTAGCATTAACATCAAACGTAAGGAAAGGAAAAATGGATTCATCTTATTAGAGTCTTGTCCAGTTTCTCAACCTGGATGTCGCGGCTACACGGCTTAAGGTCAAGTGATTGTGGAAGGAGAAGAAAGATGGGAAGGAAAGTTTACAGTATCTGGGGGGGGGAAGCTTATGGGCATTTAGTCTGGTTGATTTTGCTCTATGTTAGTGTTCCTTTTCGAAATTGGGTGGTAGAATTTGGAACTAGCTGGAATGACTACTGGTAAACCTCAGTCGAAGGTTACATTGCTAGTAGCAGGTGCATCTCCAGAACGCAAAAGTCGCTATATTATCACAAACTTTGGATCAGGGAAGGGGGAGTTATCACTGAAACGCATTAAAGAACAGAAATTCTATGCGCGGGGGGTTTAGCGGGCCTCGGGGATATCAATGATCAGATATGAGCTATTAGACGGGTCATTCCAAGGTAAATATAAGGAAGTTTGCAAGAACCAAAGTGCAACTATTCCTACTGATGGCAAATTCATGATATGTGTCTATCTTGTTTCTTTGAGCACTGCACACGCGAGTTGTAGTTAATGTATACATCATGTATCACGTGCCTATATAATGCCGGCAGTGGCCGCCTTTGCCGTTATCATGACCGCCACGAAGATTTGTATCTTTCTCAATCAACCACAAATCGTCTGCATTATGGATTACCAGGTATGAGAAAACCGCGTACTTTGGATTATTGTATTATGTCGACCATTTCATTTTGACTAACAGTTTATCAGAATCGTGCAGGCTCCAAATTCGGTGGCGGCGGTGTCGCGGACCGCTCCGCAACGAACGCTGACCGTCGCGAGCGACTGCGCAAGCTCGCCCTCGAATCAATCGATCTCGACAAAGACCCCTACTTCTTCAAGAACCACGTTGGAAGCTTCGAGTGCCGCCTCTGCTTAACCGTTCATCAAAACGACGGCTCCTACCTCGCTCACACCCAGGGCCGCAAGCACCAAACGAACCTAGCTCGCCGAGCTGCCCGCGAGGAGCGCGAAGGCAAACAAGACCCGTCTTCGCTCCCAGGTGCCTACGGCGTACAGGTCAAGAAACAGACGATCAAGATCGGCCGCCCCGGATACAAAGTCACCAAGATCCGCGACCCCCTCACCCACCAGACCGGACTGCTCTTCCAGATCTTTACCCACGAGATCACCCCCGGTGTCACCCCCCGCGTTCGCTTCATGTCCGCATTTGAGCAGAAGTTGGAGACGCCGGATAAGGACTACCAGTACCTGATTTTTGCGGCGGAGCCGTACCAATCTTTCGCATTCAAGCTGCAGTCCAAGGAAATTGATCGACGTGATGGCCAGTATTGGACATGGTTTGACGAGGATAGCAAGAATTTCTGGCTGCAGATTATGTTCAAGACTGAGCGCGAGGAGCGTTTCACTGGTGTACCTGGCTTGGCTCCTCTGCGGACCTGAAGGTTAGGTCATCTTATGCTTTTATTCTTCTATTTTTTGTGTTTCTTTGATATCCGATCTCTTACAACAAAATGGGATGCCAGCCGTGGGATGGAGTTACGGAGTTTAGGAATTTGCTCATGAACCCTTCAAGTTCACCCCTTCAGCGATACCTTGCTTTTGCAAATCAAATTACACTCCAATTTTGTCTAGTTCCAAGGCTGTATATCTATTCAAAACCTCCGAAGGAGAGTCCAGTAACGAGGGCTACCAATTTCAATATCATGAAGAGAAATCTTTTTTGAATTGTGAAGTATGGGATGCAGATAAAAAAAGACCTCGCATGCAAATATCTGGAACTTGACCCCCGTCAAGGGAGCCCACAGGACGTAAACCATCACCATCATGTAAAGCGTTGAATATCAACAGCTAAAAACCAGGAGACCGCGCTTAGGGTCATGATTCGGGGGAAAAATGGCGCTTGATATGCTGAATGACTATTCGTGTCGACAGATCAAAACATTCTGAATGTCAAAACAGGCGAAACAACGGACAGGAGGAAGCAGCAAGCCCTGCCTGCTTTCTTCGAATTTTCTCCAACGTTCGATCGACCCATTGAGAGTTTAAGAACAAAGTAGGAGAGTAATCTAGCTTCCCTGGAAAGCGTTGAAAGCCTTGTATGTGTATCCGATGAAGGGGAGAGACATCTCAGCCTCCTGAGAATCCGGCATAGCACGAGCCTGCGCACGGTGAATAGCGCTGGTGTCCTCTTGCGGGATCTCGTCAATGGGGAAATACGACACATCGATGTTGGAGCTGAGGCGGGGCTCGAACGGCGCACGAATTTTGCGCAGCTGCTCCCATACAACGCCGCGGAAAAAGGGATGGTTCTTGATCTGGGTTGCTCCTCCGTGCTGGCCACCCTCGCTACCAATACGGTGCTCGGGGTCGCACAAGAAGCTTCGGATCAAGGACTCGGAGTCATGTGAAAGCACCATCTCGTCGGGGAAATAGAGGCACTCCCGCCAGTTCACGATCTTCCGGTAGGTATCGGTGGTATCCTCGGCACAGAATGGAGGCCAGCCAACAAGACATTCGAACATGATAGCACCAACGGACCACCAATCACAGAGGTAGGTGTAACCTTGGCCGTTGAAGATTTCGGGGGCAATGTAATCTGGGGTTCCGACAGTGGAGTACGCCATAGCACGTCGAGACTTTCGCCACGTGTTGATCTGTCCACGGTTGGAAACAGTCAAGTTGATAGCATCGTTGAAGTAGCCGGAGTTACGGTTGCGATCTTTCGATGTGGAATTCTTCAGAAGATTCTGGTAGTAGGCGTTATCGTGAGTCTTCTTGCCACCGGTAGAAAGACCAAAGTCCGTAAGCTTCACGTGCCCGCCGCGGTCTAGAAGAATGTTGTCGGGCTTGATGTCACTAAACGAGGGAATTAGTAGGAGCCCTATTGGAATAGTTTCTGGGTTGTCCCCAGGGAATGGGCGACGTGTTACATACCGATGAAGGAAGCCAAGTTTGTGAACTGCCTCGATCGCCATCACGACCTCGGCCATGTAGAATCGAGTGATATCTTCCGAGAAGATTTCATACTTGATCAGCATGGTCATCAAATCACCACCGGGCAAGAACTCCATAAGCAAGTACAAGTAAGCCGAGTCTTGGAATGAAGCGTGCAGCTTCACCAACCAAGGGTTGTCCTTCGAGTCCGCTAGGATGTCACGTTCTGCACGAACGTGTGCTAGCTGGTCTTTCTTGAACATCTCAGTCTTGATGAGAGACTTCAGAGCGTAGATCTTGCCATCGGTCTTGCGCTGCACCAGTTTCACCTCACCGAACGCACCCTTACCAATGATCTTGATGGTTTGGAAGTTCTGTGGGGTTTCCTTAGTACGAAGGAATCGAAGGAAATCTGACTCTCGCTTGGAGATCGTTTCGGCATCCTGGCGTTTCTTCTCGGCTGGCACGTTCGGGTCTCGGAGGGTCTTATCAAGGTCCACCGATCTATACAGAAAAAGTGTTAGTATGAAAAGGTGGTAAGGCGGGTTAGAGAATAATTCCCCACGCAATACATACCGCATATTACGATCCCGGGCTCGCTCAATGTTCTCATGGAAGAACACAGTGACCAACTCCTTTGCTGCCTTGCCCCGTTTGTGCACGTTCTCCGAGTAACGGTCTGGGAAGCGCTGCAGCTCTTCATTCTCCGCCGGCGGGCGAGGGCTGCGAGGCACAGGAGGGGCTAAATGCGCTGCTTGAGCCTGGCCCTGAGCGGGGGATCCACCAGCAGTACGGGGTCGCTGAGCGGGCGAATTTGTCCGATTGAAGAAGCCTCCGCGGTTGGCGTTCAGATCCTGATTAGAAAATTGTTGGATCAGGCCATTAGTACCATCGTTGGCATAACCCATGCGGGTTTGATAGGCGGGCTGAGGGGACTGCAGGCCCTGTTGCTGAGCATACTGCTGTTGTTGTGCGTATTGCTGCTGGGGAGATAACGGGTTGGGAACAAAGTAGCCAGGCGCATATGCTGGGTTCGAGGGATCAATGTACTCTGACTGCCCCTGGTTTTGATAGATGGGTTGGGGGAATGCGGAGGGGGTAGCGGATAGGCGCGGCTGTTTGCCGCGTTGTAGTTGCGGTCATTGTACCCGTAATTCATGTGCTGGCGGTTATTATTAGGGTCCATGATGATGGTACGCCCGACTCCCAGAAATTGAGGGCGATGAAGAGACTGGGCAAAGGTTGAGGGGGTGGGGTGGAGAGTGTGGGAAAGGAGAAGGCGGGGAGTTTTTGAAAGGAGCGGTGGCTCAGGAGAAGCAAGTCCCCGACTAAACATTTAACGCCCCCCTGGATATGTTTCGCCTAGGCGAGCCAACCAGTGAAAGATCTCTATTTTTCTCGCGTCCTATCACGTTCCTCAGCCTATTGCTGGTCTGTCTGGCTGCGTCCCAGAGCAACTATTCTTGCCGCTTTACTTTCTGGCGCTTTCGAAATCCCAGCCCGAGGGCGCATAGATGTGATGGGTCGGGGCGTCGGGCGATTGGAGACACGTACAGACGAACCCCCTCAGCCATTACGAGGGGAGAGGGGGCAGCCCGACATTGGGTAAGACGAAAGTTTGGATGCATTCCAATCGACATAGTTGTAATACTCAACGAGATCTCGTACTGTCAGTTTTTAGTTTGAGCAGGTATGGGCGAAATGGGCGAAATGGCTAAATAAAAGCCAGCCACCTGATTGTTTCAAATCTCCGCGGGATGATGGAAAGTCCAGCAGGAGCTCCGTAAACCCCCAGACGAATCTTGGACTCCAGAAATCGACCAAGTTACTCAAATATAGAAAGAGCGAGCATTCCTACTATGAAGTGGCACGTGATACGGATCAACTCCCGCGCCGGGACTCGGGCAACTTTTTTTCGAGCTCGAATCGCTTCGACAGCAAGAGCTCAGCTGCCCATTAAGGAAAGACAATGGCAGACTCATCCGGCTCTGCGCCCTCGGGGGCTACCAAGCCCCAGGCGCCCCCGAAACCACCCAACCCGGTGTTCAAGATGATGGGTATGTTTTCCTTTGCGCGCCAGCTTGAGGGCAGACCGCTAACATCGGCGCTCTATAGGACTCCCGAACATGCGCTTCAAACTTCCCTCGCGCAACTGGATGATCTTCCTTACCATCACAGGCTCCTTTGCCGGCGCCATCTGGTATGATCGAAGGGAGAAACGCCGTGCGCAGCAGAAGTGGTGTGAACTTGTATCCCATCTGCAAGATGAGCCATTGCCCGTTGAAGAGATGCGCCGCAAATTGACGGTTTATTTATCGGCACCCCCAGGAGATGGCCTACGCACTGCTCGCGAGCATTTCAAGGCATATGTCAAGCCAATTTTGACCGCGGCGGCCTTGGATTACACGGTGGTCGAAGGGCGACGCGAGGGTGATGTGCGCGCGAGCACAGCGGAAAGCATTCGGAAGTTCAGAAGAAGGGCTGGTGAGCCAAGTTCAGCACCTGAAGAAGAGGGCGTCGAGGCAGCGATTCTGGCTACTCGGCAGCACATCGGTGTCCGCGATGAGCCCGGCCCCAAGGGTGACTTGGTGATTGGCCGTCATACCTGGAGGGAGTATATCCGTGGCTTGCATGAGGGTTGGTTAGGCCCAATGGATGCGCCAGCTCCTCCAACTGAACCTACACCCGAGGTCGTGGCAGAGGAGACGTTGAAAGACGTCGCGTCTGGCGACGTCCCAGCCGAGGTGCAAAGCAACCCTGACAACTCGCCCCAAGAAAAGCAGGATGAGGCTCCCAAAGAGGATAAGAAAGAAGAAGAGAAACCCGCAAAGCCTGTGGGCCCAACTCCTGCCTACATTAGTCCTGTTGATTATGCCTCCGCTCAACTTCCTCGCTCAATTCCCCAGTCCTTCGAAGCTTCTGTTCCCGTCGAATTCCCTCACATCCTCGGCTTCTTGAACACCCCTATCCGACTATACCGTTACCTCAACCAGCGATACGTTGCCGACAGTATTGGGCGCGAGGTCGCCGCTCTTATTCTTGCCAACCGCACTCGCCCTTACCGCGACGGGTCGTCTGGTGCCGACTCTCAGTGGACTGGAGCCGATGCTAACCTGACACCTTTAGGAGATGACTCCGCCTCAGGCTTCGAACGAAGCAACTTCGAGCAGTCCGCTGTCCTAGAAGAAGAAGAGAAGGACTGGCACAAGTCTGTCTATAAGCGTGAGGAAGGCGATGAGCGGGAACGCGTTTGGCTGGACGATATTGTGATTGATCCCCGTATTGCCTCGCGCATGAAGCTCGCCGTGTTGGACCCGGAGGATGAGGCCCGCTCCAAGCGACTCGCCGAAGAGGAGGAGTACATCTTGGGCCGGGAACGGCCACCACCTGTCTCGTTCTGGCAGAACTTGTGGATCAAGTACGGCAATGGGGAAGACGAGGAGACTCGCCGCAGGAAGCCTATTTATGGGAACATTGATGAAGAGGATGCATAGAGTTCTTGGTCTGCAAAGATCTACCCACGATCCCTGTGCTATGTAATAGAAGGTCGTGCTTTGTTTCTATTTCGTTTCTGGCATGGGTGTCATCCAATTGCATATCCACTCTCCTCGGCTTGTATATTAGTGGCGCATTTCATTTACTGGAGTTATGTACATTGGCAACATCACAATCTAGATATTTGACCGATTGACGTAACTTGAACTATTATTACTCCTAGGATGTCTTACTGGATCTACGGATGTAGTTATTTTTGATGTATCAATGCTTTTTGTACATTCGTATAGTCTTCATCTTTTTAGCTTTTTTTTTTCTTTGGGTGCCAGCAGGGACATGTAGCGTGGTACTGACTGTCACCTCTCCAGGCCCACCTAGCGTAACCACAGACTCCCTTCTATACTAGTAAGTGGCCCTTTGAACAAGCGCTTGCAGGCAGCGGCTAAGAAGCCTCCTTTGCAAACATCTAACCAATATGTAGCCAGGCACATAATTATGGAACTAGACAGCGGTACACATGAGTTGAGAGCTGCTCAGTTCAGCTGGAAGGCGGAAGCCTCGGGCCACTTCTTGCTGGCCTTTTCAGCAAAGGCGGTCTTATCACTTCCCCATTCGCCCAGGAGATCCAGGCCCGACACGGCGTCGTCAAAGGAGATCTTGAGCGCGTCAAGAGAGGCGACAAGATCTTTCTCACACTGGGCCTTGGATTCTTTGTCGAGGAGCTGACGGACAGTCAGTGCGGCCTGAACGTGCGATGCACTATCCTTGTTGGCAGAGAGGTAAGACTCGTTCCACTGTGTGAGGTCCTGAGACTTGGGAAGGAGCTTCTCAAATTCAGGGTTTACAACCTCGGCAACCTGAGGAGCGAGGGGTTCGGCGAGAGAATCAAGAGCTTTGCGGAACTGCAGTAGTTGCACGTGGAGGGTAGGGTTTGAGGGATCAATAGCATGGGCAGCGGACAGACACTTCAGGGCAAGGGCATGTTTACCTAGAGCAACAGTTAGCGTTTCCGATCTTCATTTCTGGCGTTCACAGCGAATTTACCCCTTCGGAGATACACTTCAAAACCAAGAGTCTGGGCTTCGATGTTCTTTGGGGTGAGCTCCAGCAAAGGAGTCAGGAACTTCATTACATCCTTCAAAGGCTCCTTGGTCTGGACCAAGGTGTTCCCTAGAGGATCTTGGTCCTCCTTCTTGACTTCTCCATCGACAGTGCTCTTCGCATTCGCGGCCGCAGCCTTGCGTGCCTCACGCTTATCGGCCTCGATTTTTTCGAGCCGCTGTTGCTCCTTCTTAGCCTTCTTAAGGGCCTTCTTCCTTTCAGCATCATCTGTAATCTCAGTGCCATTTGCGCCGCTAGTGATTGGTCCATGGACGAGATCGGGCTCGTCGTGAAGAAGCAGATAAGCCTTGATGGCAGAGGTAGCAATTCTGGCGTAGAAGGGGTGTTCACGCAAACGATCTTCCCAACGGACCATATCCACATAAGCTCTGATCATACCCTTGCGCAGAGAGAATCCGTGGAAATCGAACTGATCCTCTTGCCATGTATCAAAGATGTTGTAGACTCCGTGAATACGCTTGAGTGCAAGTCCAAGCTTCTTCTGGCGCAGATAGGCTTCGGCATCCTCTGTCAGATACCACACGCACTGCATCTCATGCAGGTCACCCATAGCCCCACCAACAGTCTCGTTGCGAGTAAACTTGCTCATAAGATCGAGAGCCTTGTCGTTCTCATTATTACGAAGCTGGTATTTCGCAGCCTTAGAATTGATGTATCGGTCCTTCTCGTCCAGCAACCGGGCCTTCTCCATTTCCTCCGCAGCCTTGGCTGGGTTTCCGTAGTGCTTCCAGATGCGTGCTTTGGTCAGTTGGTACTCCACAGACTTTGGAAAGAGAGCGATAGCCTTGTCTGCGTATTCAGTGGCCTTGGCGAGGTCACGGCTGAGGCGGTAGTTGTAGTGTTGGGCGAGAAAGTAGTAGGATGAGGCGAGAAATTCATTTTCTGAATCGGACGACCCATTAGCCTGTGCAGCCTTGCCAGAGACATACCCTTCGACCAGGGCCTGAACCGTATCGCGCTTGGCAGGATCATCGTAGAGAGACTTAATGTTAGCAAACAGTGAGGGTACGCCCTTCTTGAGCATGCGCTGCAGATAGGCGTCGACCGCCTGCTTGAAATCATCGCCCTCGAGGAAATCTAGAGGGATACGACGGGCAGCGTCGCCGCGGGGGGTATTTCTCCACCCATTCATCGTATAGAGCCTTCAGGGCGTTGTGATCGCTTTCGGCGATGCCCTTTGCGAGGATCAAGCCATTGTAATAGACAGAGTTTTCAGGGTTACGCTCCAACAGTGCTGTGTATGCCTCAGCCGCTTCCTCCTTGCGATCCAGGCGAAGGAGATAATCGGCCTTCATCTCCATAACCGCAAGCACATCAGTACATCTGTAACCGACTTTTTCGAGATGCTCCAGCGCTCGCGCTAGATCCCCTGACTCCGCAATAATGGTGTTTTTGTACAGTGTCGCCTCTGAATGCTCCATGTCCGCCACTGGTGGGGTGCCCTTCAGCGTATCTTCGAATGTTGTCAAAATCTTCTCAGCCTCCTCCAGATCTCCTGATAGGTGGTGAGCGATCGCAAGGGCTGTCCAGTTCTGACGGAAGTTCGGGCGAGCCTGCAACATAGCTGAGCGGCTCTGGATGTAGCCCTGGTAGTCGCGCATCTGCATCTGCAGCAAAGCTAGATCCCGCTGGATAGGTCCAGAGTCAGGCTCGATTCGCAGGGCAAAGCGGTACGCCTTGATGGCCTCCTCATAGTTTTTCTCTTGGCGGTATAGAAGGCCGTAGACGTGCCAGGTGATGTGTGACTTCATGTCGTGTCGTAGGGCCTCCTTCGCAAGGGCGAAAGCCTCCTCCGACTGCCCCAGGTGGCTCATGATAAGAGCCTTCATCGCCTCGGTATCGCCATGGTTGGGGTTCTTCTTTAGAACCTGGTCTGCCGTTTTAATGCCTGTTGCGATGCAGGTGGGATTAGCTCAAGATCTTCGGGTGCATCAGGGGGAGCCGGGTCAACCTTTCTTGTACTGCTTCAGCTCAAAGTTGCGGACCACTTGACGAAACAAGGCATGGTCCTTGGGGCTCAATTGCTGCGGCATGATGGCGATGGGGAGAAATTGAGTTGTGGGAGGGAGGTTTCAATGTGTGCGGGGCGCGACTTCTCCGAGTCCGATCTTGGCAGAATCAACGCACTGATAAGGGACCGATAAAGTATTGCACAGCAGCACCGCCATTGGCGCAATAGCACTTGTGCAGAAATGGATTTACATGTTTTTCTGTAGCTTCTGAAATGTACACGGACAGTTTACTATATACTTGCTGGGAGAGTTTTGTCATGCTATGACAGGCCATTAATAGTACAGTTCAAATGACTGTCCCGATGCTGCTGCTTGAGGGACCGACATTGAAATATCAAACAAGACCATGCAGCCATACGCAATGGCCATTCTGTATATATATGTATCACTGCTGCTTGCGGCGCCAGTCGTCTAAGGCCTCCTCCCATGATGAAAAGGACCCTCCGCACCTCTCATTCACGATGCTCCAGGTCCGTGCCCGGATGATTCCTTCTACAGAGCGTTGGTTGCGTATCAAACTGGCCAGAGACTCCGTCCTAGCTTCTTGTGGGAAGAAACGAGCAGAATATGGATCTAGTCGCTCGTCCACAACTCGCTCCCGGTCTCGTGCAGATTCGGTTTGTCGCAGCACCAAGTCCGGATCCTCGGGATCAGGGCTGGTGGCTACCCCGGCACAATAATTTAATACATCCGAGCGCGTCTGCCATGATGTAAATAGCACATTATCTTTGAATTCCCGGCATGCTTCTTCGTCGATGCTCCTTTGGCTTTTCGAATGGGTTTGTCGCATGGCTGTGGAGGATGGATCAAATCCGTTGCGGGCCGGTGTGAACAAAGCATTTAGGTTTTGGGTAATCGAGTCATCGATAGTCGATCGAGATAGCCGAAGAAAGTCTGGGGGAAATGTATCAGCACCAATTTATGAGGTACCAAAGGAACCATGATCGTCGTGCACACCTTGAAGCAGTCTTTCATCGAAGCAGAACTTAGGCGTCAGTGCCGGGGCCTGCGTAGAAGAGGCCTGTGCCATGTTCTCCCTTGGTCCCTCCTTGACCCTCTCGCTGTTTTTGGCCCAGAAAAGATCCAGCTTGATTATGAACGAGACTCGGCAACGGAATGCGTTTCGGACACAAGAAGGTGCAGTCGTTCACAATGTCTTGCCGTGAGCAAGACTGATATGGTATCGACCGAAGGAAGGCTTCCGCAATGGTGGTTGATTGTCTAACTACTCGAAGTAGAAGCTCCTGAAAAGATGTTACGTGACTTGGAATCGCCGCAACGCATGTCATTTTAGCTTAATCGGGGATAGCTCCTCAATGATCATGTGACAGTATTCCAGTTCATACTTGCATCGAGTTTCTCAAGTCATGTACCACTTGAAAGCTTGAAAGAAGATTGCCTGTATTGATTTAAAGAAATATTCTGAATATCTAAAAACAAAAAGAAAAGTAAAAAAAAGTAACAAGAAGTTTGAAATCTTGCAAAGTCAAAAAGCCAAAGCCCATCCAATCTATAGAGAGCAAGGGTTCGTCGCCGCCATCTGACTGGCCGCTTTCGAAGCGGTCAACGCTTATCGCAGGCCGATATCGCCACCGATGACAAACCCGCCGCGCTCGTTGGTTACTTTTTCGAGATAATTTATCTTCACTAAGTTCCGCTTTCTATTCTTCTTCAGACTTTTGATCCAGATCGAACATCTTCGAACTTTGCTCTACCATTGTACAACTGCAGTTCCCTCAAAGCGCAGCTCTCTATCTCCTGTGCGGGGCTCCTGTGTTCGAACTCGACACCCCGCCACCATGAGCGCCATTTTGTCTGCGGACGACCTGAACGATTTCATTTCTCCAGGCGTGGCATGCATCAAGCCCGTGGAAAGCCTTCCGCAAAAGAGCACCAAAAATGAGGTATGGAGCTCTGGTATCATTGCTTGTAACTTTCGCTCATATATTCTTTAGAACCCATACGAAGTAACAACTGAGGACAAAGTCGAGCCCGAAAACCTACCTCCTGCGCAAATATCTTTGACCGACTGTCTTGCCTGTTCTGGATGTGTCACATCAGCAGAAGCGGTCTTAATTTCCCTCCAGTCGCATACCGAAGTCTTGAACACCCTCGACGCATCTCCGGAGATCCCATTAATAAACTCGGCGCAGGGTACAGTTCTAAGAGATCCAAACGAAGTACCCGGCGGGAAGGTCTTTGTGGCCAGTGTAAGCCCGCAAGTGAGGGCAAGCCTGGCCGCTACATACGGAATATCGGAGAAACATGCAGGGTACATGATTGATCAGTTCTTGCGCGGGCCGAATGGGTTGCGCAGCGGTGGCCAGCATCGAAATGGCTTTACTTGGGTCGTTGATACCAATGTCATGCGCGAGGCTGTCTTAGTTCTCACTGCCGATGAAGTTTCCGAATCTCTTGCTTCAGATGGTGCCACTACGAGCAGCGGCGGTCCGAATGAGATACCCAAGCGGCCAATTCTATCATCCGCATGCCCTGGATGGATATGCTATGCAGAGAAGACTCATCCGTTTGTCCTGCCGCATCTTTCTCGCCTTAAGTCCCCTCAGGCTTTATCGGGGACATTTTTGAAGACTGTCTTGAGCAAATCGCTTGGGATCCCACCTTCACAGATCTGGCACTTGGCCGTCATGCCATGTTTTGACAAGAAGCTCGAGGCAAGCCGCGAGGAGCTGACAGATATCGCTTGGCGAGAGCGAGATGTCTCCAACGGCACAGAAAAAATTCAAACTGTGCGCGACGTGGACTGTGTGATCACGAGCCGCGAACTTCTCTCTCCTCGCAGACTCAAGAGGCCTTTCACTCCCCCAGTTACCCCTTCAGCCACTAGATTCAACCTATAATCCTTCGTTCCCACATCAAACTCTCGACTCCTTCATCTCTTTCAAGCAATCCCCGGCCGAACAGTCTCTCGCAACAGGAACATCCGGCGGATACCTCCACCACGTGCTCATGACCTTTCAAGCCCGAAACCCCGGAAGCGAGATCATCACCAACAGAGGCCGCAATTCCGATGTCGTTGAGTACATCCTCATGTCCAAGGAAGGCCAGCAGATCCTCAAGGCAGCCCGATACTACGGTTTCCGGAACATCCAGAACCTAGTCCGGAAGCTGAAGCCCGCTCGAACTTCCCGCATGCCCGGCGCAAAGCCCGCGGTCAGCAGACGGCCAGTCGCATCTCGTAATGCAGCATCGGGCGGCACGGGATCCGATTACGCGTACGTGGAGGTCATGGCATGCCCAGGCGGCTGCACCAACGGTGGAGGCCAGATCCGGATCGAAGACGCGAGGGTTATCGCTAGCTCGTCGCTGCCAGCAGATTTGACCGTCCCGTCTGAATCCTCGAAGCCGTCTCCTCATGAACAGAGGGCGTGGCTTGCGCGGGTGGATGAGGCGTACTTTTCGATGGAATCTGATTCGGAGCCTGAGTCTGAGGCTTCGCTCAAGCTTCCCTCTGTGGAGAACAAAGAAGCTCGTATCCAGGACGGTCTGCGCAACTGGTCTCAGTTTACGGGTATCCCTCTGGCTAAGTTGGTGTACACCACGTATCGCAAGGTCGAAAGCGATGTGGGGAAAGATCCTAGTGCGGATGTTGATACGACGCGGGTGGTGGAACTCGCTGGGAAGATCGGTGGTGGATGGTGATTTTTCTTTTTCCTTACTGCATTTTGAATTATCATTGCATGGCGGCAGCATTTTTGAAGTCTTCGGTTGCATATTTCAGGGGTATATACCATTTTTGGAGGGGTTTCATTGCAGGGGCTCTTCTATCTTTGTTCTTAGATCAATGACAACTACATTTCTGATCCTTAATCCAAGCGTTGACTTCCCCAGTTTGTCCAATGTAGAACTTGAAGGATGAAATTCCATTGGCTTTTCCGTCGATGGGGGGGGGTTTCGCCAATTGCTAAATTTCCAAACTCAGTGATTCAAGACCTAACGAGTGGTGTCGATTACCAGGAGGCCTAGACCTCCTCCGATCGAGAATACGTATATCTGACGCTTTCAAGTTCAAGTTGGGCATCCGCATGGATCCCGAGTCGGGGTGCAGGGGTAACCAGACCGGCGATTGTATATGTGATGAAAGCTGCCCGACGAGAACACCACCAAAGCGCACTATTTCAGGAAGTGATGGCCAAATACAAATGACACCACAGTAATCAGATTTCACCGTTAAAGGTTTACAGATAGGGGTTAAGTCGAACTGCATACCGTGATTAGAAAGGATCGCCAGGCTGTGGCTGTGACTATTGGGCCCTCAAATACGAATCACGACGTGCAAGGGTGTTTCGCGCTTTGGGGCCGCCCCAGCACGCGATTACGAGCCCCTGTCTCCCAAGTTTCGGAGTGATATTCACGAAACAAATGCGGCGTTTTACCCTCCCAGATCAAGAATCTCTAATAGCTTTGTTTTTTTTTTTTGTTTTCATCTTATTTGTTGACGACCCCATTCCATATGGCATTTAAACTGCCCTCCGTTGAAAAAAGCGGAAGAGAATATGCAAAAGTCATTCATAAGGGACCACATGTAACTATATTTATAACGCTTGATATGTTCCTCCAGGCAATGTCCGTCATAACGCGCTGAAAAAGCAGGCAAGAATCCAAAGGGTATCAATAAGTGAGCTTAGAATTGCCGTTGATCATGGTATCCTTGGTGGGGCTGATCGTAGCGTTGTGTTTGGTGGGGGGCATCATAAGTATACCCTTGGCTGGGTTGTTCGTAGCCATAACCCGGATTGGGCTGATCATAGGCATTGCCCTGACTGTAGCCATAACTGCCATGGGGCTGACTATAGCCTACAGTGTGGTCATACGGCTGTGCGGCTGGCGCGTTGTGAGACGGGTAAGTGGTGACAGGCGGATACTCGGCCAAGGGCGATGCTTGGTCGCTCGTAGCCGCGGCAGGGTGGGCGTCTTGGGTAGAGGGATTGTCACCCGCGCCGGTGTATGCAGTCTGTTCCATGGGAATCTCGGTGGAATCTTCGTAGGTCTGCTTTCGGATCCTCACGTCGCGGAGCATGCGCGTTACAGCGTATCCGTCACTGATAAATTCGAATGGATTGCAGAACATGATCCAGGCATTGATTCCCAAAGGGCCCCCCCTGGTAGGATCCGTGCTGGTAGCGTTTGCGGGCCTGCTCGACGGGAAAGCCTTCGTTGGAGTCGGGACGCTCCAGCTTGAGGTCGGGGTGTTCGTGGATTTTGTACGGTTTCGTGTCGTAGGCAAAATGCATGAGGATGGAGAATGGGACCATCTGCAAGCAAATGATCAGGTTGGGTAGCCCGATCTTGATATCGGCATAACTGATGGTCTTGGTGGGGTAAAGAACCTTCGTTGCTTCGAGAACCATGAAGGCGATCTGGAGTTTAGGGTTAGACAACCTATTCGTTTATACCGGCCGTCCGAGATGCACCTTACCTGCTCGATAAAGATCAGGCCGACCATAAGCTTGAAGGCTAATAGTTTCAACAAAGGCTTCGCCTCTTTGCAGTATGCCTTGGTGTTTGTGTAGAAGCGGAAGATCGCATTAATAGCGAACGACACGGAGAGGTTTTGGAACACTTCAATCTATTGGTGAGGTCAGCTCATGCAGATGCTTGGGACTGTATTTGTCGGACTTACCCAAATGTGCCCATACTTGGGAGAATTCGAGTCAAGGCAATAGACATTCAACGACTGCGTCACACAGGCAGCAATAGCGCAAATAAAGACCACTAGCGGGTACTGGACCACACTGTAGTAGGTAAGCTGGTCGAAAAGTTAGACATTGCATGGATTGAATCATGGCTTGAGGGGAAATAGTCACCTTGAACCAAGACAGCCCCTCTCTGTATTTCCCCTTCTTGAAGCTCTTGGGCACCTTGAGCGATGTGAAAAAGTCGATCTTGTCTTGGTCGCGTGGCGCCAGGAAGTCGACGCAAAGCATGAGATAGGCGTAGAGAGCAATTGCTTGGAAGACTTCGACCCATCCGGTCATGTAGACATAAGTGCCGGGCCAAACAATAGCGATGAAGGAGAGAATTGAGTATGCCGGCAGCATGTGAGCAATTCGCATAATCCTGCACGTTGTTAGCGGACCTGACCAGAGTCTCTTGGAAGCGTAGATCTCCTACTTCGACTGCTCGTTCGGGTTACTGAATCTGAGTGCGTGCATAGCCATCAGACCATACATCAACACACAGGTGACAGCGGTACACGACCCCGACAGAATGATGTTGAAGTGATGGAAACTCAGGTTTCCGACGAAAGGCTCATTACTCTCAGTCTTTAAAATGACTTGACTGCATGATGCGCCGCTGTTGTACGCACGGGAGCTTAGAAAACCCATGTTTCCGAGTATATGCCAGCGCAAAAAGCACTCGCGCACACCAAAAGAGACTACGGCTTGTGAGAGATCGAACAGAATCAACAGCGGACCCCAAGAAGAGAATGGGCAGGCTATTTTAACCCCAATCCTTTGCCCCCGTAATTTTCAAGGGGTCGAAAACCCAAAGCGCCAAACCAGTAGGCGCCAAAGGAGACCCATGCGCTAAGACGTCGATCTATGGCTGGCTTGCCCCACCAGAAGCTTGTGTCCAAGCCAAGTCTGTGACGGCACAGCCCTGCGGCCCCTGCCACAGCCCTTCAAATTGGGGCCATATGCGAACAAAGAATCACATTTTGGTAGCCAACCAAGTGGCTCGAATTCAGCAGGGAGTCGAACACTAGCGAGAAATAGGTAGCAGCGTAACAGCCCGCGTTGGTACGCGTAAATGTGATTGGAATTGGTGTCGACCCGGTCTGCCCCCTCAATATTCACTCATGTCTTGCTAAGGCCCCCGGGTCAGCCCCCGGGTCAGCCCCCGGGTCAACCCCCGGGTCAACCCCATGCTAAAGAATTTTCGCTGTGTAAGCTCGTCTTTCAAGAAGTTCGATCCCTTCCAAGTCTTGCGAAAGTGTACGGAGCATGGAAACGGGGAGGGGAGAGTAGGCAGACGCGCCGTAGGTCGCGTTCACAGTACTCTAAACCGGCGCAGATATGGAGCACGAGTTAGCTTAAGGCGCGCCACTGCACATGTTGGCATAGCTGTGTGACTGGGTGGCGCAGTCCCTGCTAACACTAGACGGTGACCAAATTCAGGCTCCCACACCATGTACTGCTGCACGGGTCGGAGAGCATGTGGACTTTAGGGAACCTGGTCGACTTCAAAGACTTCACCGATCCCTCAACGAACTTCGCGAGGCTATACGTGTGCCAAGATCGCGACAATTGGTCGACGAACGCTCATTATGTCGAGGCTTGGTTGATTCCCGGGGTCTTATCAATGCCGCTGATGTCAGGTTGCACCACAGACTGGCACTGAAACCTCGGAAGCATTACTGGCCTCTAGCCTGAGAACATCAATAGAATATCGGGCCTCGATCCAGGAGTCGGGAAACCCTGGAACCATGAACGTCAATGACCTGATCGCCATGTCATCTCAGCGAAACCCCCATTCCATCTTTGCTTCATCATGATTGTCACGGCCAGGCAGGGGGAAAAGAAAAAGAACGATAATCGACAGCAACTGTTTTCAACACTTCCCGAGCCTCCTTCTGCTTGCCTCACTTTCCAAAGTAAAAGGCCATTTGACACCACTTTACTGGCTCACACCTTGTAAATGGATGAAAGCTATTCTGACTATTCTGACGAGACGGAATCGACAGTATTGTCAAAATGGGAGGACATACCTGATGACGAGAATGGGGTAGCGACAGTGACAGGCGCGTCTTACAGAATCAACGACGACCCCGGCTCGCCCCGCGGCCACGCCTACATATGCCACGACCAGCGCTTTCTATCCGTCTCAGCCCACCTAAAAGATTATTATCTTTTTCATTTATTGAATTGTTATGGTGACGAGACGGGTATTATCTTGGTGCGGATGATAGAAGATACGCAGCGTCTCAATCTTCTACTACAAAACCTGGGCTTTTCTCCCACTCCGATCGATAACTCGCTTCCCCAAAGAACGCACCTCGCATTTGTGAAAGCATTCCACTCGAAGAAACCGGCTCTCCTCATCACAACTCACGCTGTCGCCAATGAGCTCAAAATTCCGCCAGTCAATTTCATGATCTATTACGATATTCCTCCGGATCGACTGACATATAAGGATCAGACATCGGAAAGGGTGGATTTGGAAAAAGGCAAAGTCTTCTCATTGGTTGCTTCTAATGAGATGAAACTATGGAATCGCATTATTCGTGACCAGGGCTGTGTACCTCAGCTTCCACTCGACAAGGATGAAGTGCTACGCTTTGCGGACGAAGTCAAGACTGCGCAGAAGTTGGCCGCCCGTGATCCGTAGTGCTGGCAGTTAGATGGGCTGGTCGAGACCGAGGTCCACTGCACTCGGATCAAGGGCCTGCCTTTGTTGCTCTCATTCGCTTATTCGCTTTGGGGGGGGGTTTGCTTTCTACCGTGTGGGGTATGTAGTACTCATTGCTAAATCGAACGTAAACGCCACATTTTCAGGTCTCAGGGTGAAGCAAGCCGTAGTTATACGAAATACGATGCAGGCACTAGTATAACCCCAGCCTCAGCCACCGTCGCATAATCCTCGATGGCATTACTCTGCGGGGGCTTATTGACTCTCCATCCTAGTAGTATGATTCACAGTCGCACTTGGTTCTGCTCCCAAGGCAGCGATACCAGTAAGCTCTTGTATACCTCGAGGGCGGGTCTACGTTAGGTTGCCTTTCCGTGAGGACAGATTTCCATTAAGCTGCGATAATCATATTCTAGCGTCTCATCAACCTTCACTCATACTGAGCTGTTTGACATTTGTCGAAGCGGTCTTGCCGTGCTCGACCGATTCCTCTTCTGTCTCCGAAGGATCAGAAATAGGATCTACCGACAGAACTTCAGTGGCTTGAGCAGCCTTCTTTCTGTCCCATCGAAGTCCAACCTGGATGATAATAGTGACCAAGACTACAATTTGTGTTAGTAAAGTGGGGAAGACAGAAACGAAGCACTCAGCTTACTTGTCAGGACTTGTAAGATGGCGGCCCAAAGATACCCTTTCTTTGCAGCCGGGAAATCAGTGGTCTTCCAGACAAAGTTTGGAGCCTGTCTTGGTTTTAGCAATCTAATCAACTCTGAATCAAAATAAACGGCACTTACCACTGCCTGCACGACATATGCAAGGTCATTAGCCATGGCAACCAGCAAGGCACGCTTTTCTGTATCATCGGAGCATATCTCATTGATCCAACTTAGGATGAGAGGACCGGCGCCATTCTAGCAAGAGAAATTAGCAATTCTGCCTCGCTGGTCTTTGGATTGTGCTCGGTCGAAGCCATTTCACGTACTCCTGTTGCACTCAACCAGTAAACAGCCTTCCGGCCAGGTATGTTGCTGTATAAGGGCATCTGTCGCAGCAAAACGACAAAAATAAGCTAGAATCACGGTCAGTGCATTCTCAAGTAGCATGAAACCGGCGAGCTTACGGTCATCACAGCTCCTAAGTAAATGAAGGGCCAGCGTGATCCCTTAAAAGGTCCATCAGAAAGCCATCCCCATATAAAGGCAACAATGATGAAGAGACCATTCGTGAGAGTTGGTACTAGAAGTGTTAGTGAGACGGACTTTCCAAGCGATCGGCCATACTCACAGTTGTTGATATCAGCAACGCTGAAAGAAACCCCTGGCACAGGAGCGGGAGTCTTATTGAAACTTTTCAGCCAATAACCCATGCCCGGTTGAGGATAGCCGTTATTCCAAACGACATAAAGTAATGCTGTAAGTGAATGTCAGCTCGACAGCTCAGATAGATCGTGTTCGGATGATACGTACGTAGCACGTATGTATGCCAGCTGGAGAAAATCCTCTTGGCTTTTGCCACAGACCACGGCTCCTTGCCTGCGCGACCTATCGCCTTCATGCGATTGACTGATAGCCTATGCTCTTCTTCAGTAGTCCACCAAGTCTTAACACCACCCTGTGGTAAATTCGGGAAGAAAAAAAAACCCAGCCACCGCAAGTGGGAGAGTAATGATGCCATCGATGATGAAGAGCCATCGCCAACCTGCGCGACCGCTCACACCATCGAGGTTCGTGTAGGCTGCCGCTTGCAGGAAACCACTAAACAGCTGCCCGATAGATCCAGCGAGCCAGAAGATCATGGCTCTTTTGCCTATCTCTTGCGGGGTGTACCAAGATCCAAGGAGGTAATGAATTCCGGGGTAGAATCCAGATCTAATGAATGACCGGTCAGTATTTCTTCATGTCAATGTCGTAGATAGATACGATTCCACGTACTCAAAGAAGCCCACGAGAAAGCGAAGACCATAGAGAGCTTGGTAGCTCTTGACACTGGACATGCACATGGTAGAAATACCCCAGCCCACCTCGAGCTATCGTTTGTCAGGCTTTGTCCAGTTGAAATAGAAAACCTCTGGGAGGGCAAACTTACAGTGGGGATAACCCACCGTGGGGAGACCCGAGTCAACAACAAATTGGCCGGAATCTGGCCAATGACATATCCAACCGTGAAGACCGAGGTGCTGGTCACCAGTTGATTTCCGTACATTTTCAAGTCCTCCTCCATGCCACTAAGGTAGGCGTTTGTGACATTTTGTAAATCCAAGTTCTTGAGGAAATAACCAATCTGCGAATTGTTAGGAGACTCTTTGCCGGACATCGCGTGAACTTACAGATGCAAAGGTTAAAACAAATGCATCAAGCTTGAAAAGAAGCCATCTTTGGTCTTCTGGCATTTCGAAGGTGTCCCAGATGTATCCCTTCCATGTCTTGATCGGCTTCACCAACTGCCCCTGCGGGGAGGAGTTTTCTGTATCCTCTGCCATGTTCGCGAGTACGGATAGTTTTGAAGCTGTGAGGACCGGATAGCTTGATCTTTTATCTGAGATCGTATAGAGTATGATCGAATTGATATGGAGAATCACGTCACCTCATTGTGGAGGTACTTCCGAGAGTATGCTTATCGGGCTAATTTCCATCGACGATGGCTACCGGAAACTGTAAAGTATATAGAACAGAATTTCTCTTGTTATATCACCGAAATAAACAAAAAACTTATTGAACTTTATCAAGAGAATACTGAGGAGAATTGAGGTGGTCCTCCCTACATACCAGGGTATTCAGAGAAAAAATGTGGCTGTCAGTAAGAGAAAAGGGCCGAGCTGGTGCGAATCGCGTCATACTCTCTATAATTCCGCAAGTGCTCGAGGTCTCGACCTGTTATTTATGCCGACTGGATCATTGACCAAAATAGTGGGTTTAATCTGACGCCCGCATCAACCCTTTGCTGGCTAGACTGTTTCTCATCAGAACCGACGCTGTCAACTGAATCATACCGGGCGCTTCGACGGGCTCGGTAGGGTCCACTACAGGAGTTCGGAATTCTGGGACATCTAAATGGACCTCATGATCGCATAAAAGGGACATCGCCCTGTTTAATGTCATATGAAGACCCGATCACCCTTATTGGAACCTACTTCAAATTTGCAGTCTCTCGTGACATCCAAAACTGTTCTTACCGGGAAGAAACCAGCGTATTGCTATCCAAGTTTCAACCAGGATCAAGACTGCTACCCAAGATCACATACTGGGAGACCAAGCCAGATGAGATTTTAGGGGGAGGGGGGGTTTATGCGCCAATTTCCAAACCGGTCATACTCCTCGTTTAGCGATAAGCCGGATAATGCCTCAAGCAAGCTTCGACGGCTGCAAGGTAGCTTTCCTGTATCGCAGGCAAAGCCGCATGCTCTGTTGTTGATATTATCCTATAACTGTGAATTCCAAGTAAGCTCTGATTGATCTGATATCCTCTATCTAGCATCAGAGTTCGAATATAGCCGGTGACGGATTTAACTATCTTGCGGGCGTAGTCAGCTGCGGTACGTAACTACCTTTTATGTCTTTTGGGTCATGCTTTTCCCGAGCAGGGAAGAAAAATATCCGCTGTGATCTTTGGATAGCCACAAGGAGAGTAACTGATCTCATTCATTATTTCCCCGCTGGCCCACTACGGGAAGAATCCGCACGCTACTCATGGCGTAATCTTGCCATGGATGGCAACATCTAGTGTCCGACTCCGAATTGGTCGACTTGGTCGGTCGGAAGGTAAACTGTATCGAGAATGCCAGTAATCCCCAACGAAAAGTTAGCACTAGTAGTGAAAAAGGCAAAAATAATAATCACCTGAAAGTCGTAGCATGTCTAAAATTCCAGTTGACTACGAGTTTCGCCATCTTTCACCAGTACTGCTGGGCGCACGAGTTTCGTAACTTGTCGGCAGCTTTGCAGCTTTTCAAAAGAATGAAAAAGCAGTAAACGTACATCTAGTAAGATGACGGATGGAACATGACACTTACTAGAGCCCTGCTGATGTGACTGATTCTTGATTTCACTGATGCCCCGTGTTTCTATGGCCTTTCCATCGCTCAGATGATTGCGCTTCTGGGTGTAACATAGTTATGATAAGTTCATTATATACTACTATTCATGGCGCAACATATTTCGCATTGAGATCTGGAACTGCATGTTGCCGGGGAAAAGACCATTCTTTGGAGACAACCGAGGACGAAGGAATAAGAGGGTGGGCTTTAGATTTGCCCACCGACTGCGCAAGATTAGCTGCACGTCTGCGGATGGGAGCCAAACTCTTTGAGGGATTTTGAGGTCTGCGCTTAAATTAAGTTCCCAGGGTCTTCAAAGAATGAGTTGCCAAATAATGCCTAATGCCTCAGGTACCAGGTCGGTGTAGCTGGAAATTCATTGTTGGCGTATTTCCAATATTTAACTATAGATCAGCGTGTGGGGCTCTGCTTACTAACCACCCAATTGGAGCATCGCCGGCAAAAAAAACCCGGCAGTCATCTCGAGCTTCTGGATTCTTCCGCTGCAAACTCTCGCTCGTCTACTCGATACTCTTCCTCGCAGGCCGCTCCATCATCCCAACCGCTATCATGTCTCGCGAAGCCTACCAAGTTCCCTCGATGGGTACCCAGAACGCCTTCGGCAACGATGCCGGCTACACTAACGCGATGGCCACCGACACTCCCTCTGTGGTCTACCTGTGCGGCGAGTGCTCGGCGCGTGTGCCTCTGAAGCGCGGTGACCAGATTCGCTGCAAGGACTGCGGACACCGTGTGCTCTACAAGGAGCGCACCAAGCGGTAAGCTCTGCGTGGCTCTTCGAGCTTTGGCGTGCCATTTGATCCGAGGCTAATACGTTCATTTCCTCATAATAGTATGGTGCAATTTGAAGCTCGCTGATTTGGAACGCTACACATGAAATACTGGACCTTCTTTTTTTTAAGGATCCGGAGGGAAAATGAAGGAAGCGGAGTACTTGCGATCTCCCTTGCTTTCACATCGAGAAATGTTGCATGGGCTGGCGCACTAGGATTTTCTTTTATTTTTTTGCTTCAACATACCTGAATACCAAAGGATTGCGATACTTGAGAGTCCAGAGAGAAGAAAACGCTTTTTATCAAATTGGGGTAGTCTTTCTATGATCATCCTGGTAAAAGAACATCATGACTATTTTCTTGCTCATAACTCCTTCACTCTGCAACATATCACTTCACAAAATCCCACATTTAGATCAACGCAAATATTTACAGGGGCAGAAATGCAAAAGAGAATCGTCCCAGCCGAAAGTCCCCTCATCCAAGATGTCTGCAGTAGCCTAGATATCGGCGTCTGCTCACCCGGGAGGGGTAAAGAAAAGAAGAGGAGCATACTGGAAATGAAACCGAAAATCAGACGGCCTATGCGGGCTGTATCAGAGTCTGTTGCTGACTTCAATGAAGCTTTGCAACTGTGAAAGAGCTTGGCCACTTTCAATGGCCCAGCGAGCGCGGCGCAGGCCTTCCTTCCACCGCCCACCACCAGGGCCTCGCTCTTTGATGACATTTCCATCGTCCCCGGGGCCCATCTGGCTGGTCTCGGCTTCACAGATGCCAGAAGTGACAAGGAGAGCAGCAACATTCATGAGAACGAACTCCAAGATGGGGTCGTCAGGGGGGGAGCTCGTTGCGGAGGATGCTCATCAGCTTCATAGCATTATCACGGGGCATCTTACGCCCGTAGACATCACTCAGAGGATGCCGCTGTAGGCCAAAGTCTGAGGGCTGAAGCTGAAAAGTCTCGATCTTCGTTTTGAACGGAGGAATGGTGTCTTCGCAGCAAGAGTCATCGTCATCGCTGTCTGGATTGTTCTCATATCCATTAGACTTGGAGTCAGGATCGGGGACATAGTCCGGATTGGGATATTCGGAGATTTTCCAGCAATTGGTTGGTCCTGCACAACTAATCTCGTCCATATCTTCTTCTCCGCATACAACCAGGGCTTTCTTGGCACCGGCGTGTACAAGAGCATCAGCGAAGACTGGTCCCAGACTCTGATAAGCTACTCCAACGACCCGAGCCTCAATCGCCCACTCAACGGGGTTTGCTAGGGGGGCCCATGAGGTTGAAAATGGTTCGGAGACCCAGAGCCCGGCGTACTGGGTTCGCATACATCATGCCAGGGTGGAAGTTGGGGGCAAAGAGGAAGGCGTAGTTCGTTTCGGCGTAGACTCGGGCAATGTTCTCCGCGTTCACAGCGTCGATATTGGGTGGGACAGGTTGAATTGCCTTGAGAACGTCGGCAGAGCCAGAAAAAGATGTCTGTGCCCGGTTTCCGTGCTTCGCGGTCATCAAGAGCGGGGATGCGATAATTGACGCGGTAGTCGAGACATTGAAAGTGGAATGTGAGTCACCTCCAGTACCAACAATATCACACTGTGAGATGAGATCTCTGAATAAGTCTTCATGTTTCCCTTATATTTTCAATTGGGAGGTACGTACCAAACCCCCTTTGTAATCGCCCTCCGGCCTCCCCCGCGACTTCACGACTTGCTTCAGTGAAGGTTTGTGAATTTGACAGGCAGCTTCACGCATACGATGAGAACACAGAGCAATGACATCTGCCTGCTTGTCTTTTTCAGTAGAGTGGAGTAGAGTAAGAAGAGCAGCAGTCTGAATGTCTGATAATCGGTTCTCAAAAATCAATGCGAACGCAGAAGCAATGTCCTCGGCGCTGACGCGGATGTCGCTGGTGGAGGGGTACGCCAGGCGTTTGAGAAGGGGAGAGATAGAAACCACGGGGGGTTTCTCCTCTGGGAATGCCATTTTTAAAATCTTGAGTGGATTCCAAGCCGATGGAAGTAACCAACGGACTCAATTGGGATTATGGCGACACGCAAGGTCTTGTGTTGCTAGCATATGAGTCAATCTTCGAAAAAAGAACCCCTCCTACCGCAAAGCTATTAGTGCTGGCAGAATACCAGACCGCTAGTAGCACGCTATTCCTGTTTGGGAGCCAAAAAATATCTCTCGGGAAGCCTCGTCTTCCGCGGGTCTTTATCCACTCCGGGCAAAGTAATCGTTTCTCTTCCACACACAATCCTCCTTGGGTACACAATGCCTCCGCGGGTATCAGTTCCATCGCTGCGGCGGCAAGCCCTGCGCTGCTCATATGAGCTTCATTTCGTTCGTTTCGCGTCCGCGGCCGCTGCCCCGGCCGTTACACCAGCAGCACCAATTGAACAAATGACACGCTCAACTGCTCCAATTTCAAGATTTCCTCCCAGTCAGCCTCCGTCGCATCGCAACCCCGAATACCGCCGATCTCAGCTTTTGCGACAATATACCTCAATTCTCCGCACTTCCCCCTTAGTTGTTCTGTTCCAGCACAACAACCTGAAATCCATGGAATGGGCATCCATTCGACGCGAATTAAACAAAGCCCTGCAGAAGGTAGATGAGAAAATTGCTAGCGAAGGACGTACAGCGCCTGCGTTGGCCCCATATATCAAGCTGCAGACCGTGCAAACCAGTATTTTCGAGGTTGCCGTGCGCATTGTCGAGTACTTCCGGCCCAACGACGCCTCTCTAGCCTCAGGAAACCCACCAAGCGCCGTCGACCCTGTTACACAGACCTCTGCCGAGCTCCCGGCTGTTTCAGGCGCCAAGGATGATCCTTCCCTCACTCACGACTTGTCTCGCGCCGCCCACGCGGCAGTGAAACACCTGAAAGGCCGACACGAGCTCTCCCACATCCTGGTCGGCCCAATTGCCGTTCTCTCCATCCCAACCGTCTCCCCGAACACATGAAGGCCGCGTTGTCAATCCTCACGCCCAAAGAGTCTGGTTTCCCTGCTCCTACGCGGAGAGCCAACCCAGATTACCACGACCATGTCGTCCAGGTCGGCTTGCAGAAGCTCAATCTCCTGGCTGCTCGCGTTGATGGCAAGGTCTTCGACATTAACGAGACCAAGTGGGTTGGAAGTATCGAGGGTGGTATGGATGGTCTCCGCTCCCAGCTCGTCACTGCCTTGCAGAGCATGGGCTCCAGCGTTACTACTACTCTGGAGGGTGCTGGCAAGAGCCTGTACTTCACGATGGAGAGTCGGCGCAGCGTTTTGGAGGAAGAGCAGAAACCCGTAGGCGAGAAGAGCGAATCCTCTTAGATTGGCATCGTCATTTCCATTTCTTGTATAATATCTGTCATACTAGCAGGTTTCTCATCAACCTATGCATTTTGCGCTTTTTTCGTCCAGGATGGGTGTCTACGTGTATACTGTGGACAATCAATTTCATGGAAAACCATTCTCATATTTACTTCTGAAATGCTTCACCTATTCGGAAGCCACAAGAAATCTTAAAAGAGAAAATAAAAATACCCTCAATCACAAAAGCTCCTCCCAGTCTACCAAACTCACCGAAATTTCAACATCCCCTGTTCAGTATTTATTCAATTCTCTCGCATGCGCAACTTGCCATTCATTCCCACGATAGCTCGGGCAAGATCCCAATTGCCGTCCAGACCAACCCAGTCCGTGACCAGGATACCCGTTCCACAATCCCCATCGCCATCCCTATGGCGCCGGCAAATATAATCCGTTGCCGCAGGGTTCAATTTCGCCGCAATCTTCTCAGGCCAAGTATCAGTCCTCCAGAAGTTACTCGCGCTCAAGAAGTTGATGAAGAAGGGATACTTCTTCGCCTCAACTCCATTCTCCAACACCCCAAACGGATACTGCGCCTTTGCAGCCCGATCAATCTGCTCCTTGACATACTGGATCTTCTTCTCGATATTAGTAGTCTCTTGCACCTCGTAAAAGTCCTGGATACACAGATGACCGCTGGAACAAGTCGCATTCGGCGTGTTATCCGCCCACGAAGATCCATCGAGCCCCCAGCCGAACCCGCCGTGCTCTTTCTGCAGGTCCTCTGGCAGATTGAATCGGCGCAGTAGGATGATCTTGCCGCGTGCTTCACCCAAGGTAGGGATCTTGGGGCGTACCCACCAGCGCCCGCCGTCCTTCGCGTAGTGATCTTTCAGGATCCGGGCTAGTTGCTCGTCCTTGGCGTCGCCGGCGCCTTCGCGCTTCAGCGAAATGATCAGGGTCTCCGATGGGTTCGCATCGAGGAACTCGTTAACCTCCTTTATCAGGTCGCGGAAGTACTTATTGCCGGTGAGCGAGATCGGGAAGACGCTGTGGACGAGGATCAATTCGTCTCTGCTGGCATCATTGGGGTACTGGGGCTGCACACGGATATCGAAGAAGCGCACGCCGTTCTTCAGTTGCTCGCGGGGGCTGACGGCTTGACAGCGCACCGAGGGCGGGGCCACATGGCATGTGGGCGAGTTGTGGGTCCCAGGGATTGAGAGCGAAGAGAGCAGGGTGTCATCGCGTAGCTCGTGCATCCAGGCGTGCAGGTTGGAGGACGAGAAGATGGTCAAGAAAGACTCGGCCCTATTATAGATCCCCGTGAAGCGGAATTTGGGGTGCTCGGTCAGGGCCTTCATTGTGGCTGACTCGGTCGTCGGGACTGGGGTTTGGATCTGGTGCTGCTCGCCTCCGATCTCGAAGGTGATACGCATGCGCTCGTTATCATTGTCCTTAAAGGCGCGGCGCTCGGTCTTTTTGGTGCTGAAGGGCTCAATGCGAACATCGATGTCTTTGATCTCGTCGAATGGCTGGCTGTCAGCACTTAGGGCTTCGATAGGCGTCTCGACACGGGTGTGGTTTGTCATAAGCCGAGTGAAGTTCGTGGCCAGAGTGCTAATATCATCGCGCTTTTGCTGTGCGGGTTTGAAGCGCTCAATGCGCTTCAAGGTGATTGGAGTGCTGGTGTTGTTGCGGATGGTAATGTGTTCAGCTACCATGTTGGATGTTTGGCACGTATGATCGCTAGGAAGCTCGGAGGACAATGAATTGGGAGGGACTAGGGAGCTGAGGCTGAGCTGAACATGAGTTACCCCTCCGACCTACGGACGATCTCGCTGAAGCTGGGCCCCGCTGCCAAGCAGGCTGCCTCGAACAGATCACTGACGCTTCCAGCCTTTCCCAGCTCCTTCATTGCACCACACGGAGAAATGAAAACTCATTGCTGTGAAATGGATGACCTTGAGAGATCGGGTTCTGGAAGCTGCTGTGGAGACGCTCCTTTCCAAGGCGCCTGCTCCCATCCAGTAACGTAATGGCCTCGAAGCTACCACCTCGGCCAGGTTCAAATGCAATTGACCAAGACAGTGCTACGATAACCAGAATTGGTATGTTCAATGAAAGTTCCACCTATTGGGCTTCATGAGGCGCTCCAGTTATCTGTTCGTTCAGGTCCACTTGCCGCTTTTCTCTCCGGGTACAGTATACTAGTAGTGAGCGACTTGGTCCCAACAAGCAAGAAAATGGAAGTTCTTGTGTCCAGGCTCAAGCACTGTTCATTAATCAAGTCTCACAAATATATATGTCTCTATAGAAAGAACCCAAGAGGCGTTCATCAATGCTATACCAGTTCTGGTGATGGGCCAGGCACAAGGCGGGGCCGGAAAGTAAAACCCGAAGTAGCGAACAAGTACTGAGGTTGGTTGAGGAGACTTTCTGGGACTGTCCTGGAATTCTTGGTTTCATATTTCAACGCTTGGAATTGGCCTCCAACGATTTAGGAATTGCTTCCGGCCAACATCGATCCCATACCCTGTATTTCAAGGTCCATGCCGCAGCCAAAGCTGGGTTCCATGGACTAGGGGTGTTGCATGACCACGTGGACACCTACTCTCAGAAGAACGGACTGCAGTCTAGCATGGAGCTCGAAGAACTGAAGTTTGGATCTCTCGCCGTTTGTACTACCTGAAGGTGATCCGTCTGCCTTAGGTGACAGACTTGCGAAAGCAACCTGATTGATGGAGGTTACGAGACTGCTGCAAGCCCCCTACATGCAGATTCTCTCGCCTTATAGCCCCAATGCTATCGGTGAAGTTGATTGTCTCCGAGCTTCGACAATTTACGGACATTGGAAACCCGCGGAACCAGTCGTGTCAATCGCATATGAGGCTCGTGGACGAAGACCATCGTCCTAACTTCAGTGTCTGTCTCGACAACTTCTGTGGGCCAATGTATTCTCTCCGTCCGGCCAATTTCCGGGCGCAGACAGGGAGTTGGAGGCCTCTTTGAAGACCTCGGGAGCTTCGCTGAGAATTATCTGGTCGAGAAAATCTTCTTCACGGCATTCTCCAATGGCGAGAAGTTCGACCAACCCTTCTTCAAAGAAGACCTCGCTACATGGAAGGCGAGGCTTTCGGATTCACTCGGTCAAAAAATCCGCGCTCCTTTCCATTTGGGTCGCATTTCAGTGCATATATACCGACCACAGCGTTCCTCACGCTTGGGTTGCTTATAAGGGGTTCGAAGGGTGGGTTTTGCTCGAGATCCTCGACCGCATGCGAGAGGAGAGCAGCAAGCACAGAGCCAATGCTATCCGTGGAATCACGTCCTACAAGAAGATGGCTCAAAACATTCGTCCTTAAAACCATAGGTATAAGAATTCTACCTCTTGGAGTCAAGGGTTTCTAGATCTGTAGCACTAACATGCATAGTATTAATAGTCAGCAACATGACATATGCTGTTCCACACCCACTCAGAATATTAGACTCTTACAAAACTGCAATTAGCATCTCTATTGGTGCTTGATCAACTTATGGATATTCTCAGGTAATGGAAACATCGTACACTTCAAATGTGGGGTTGAGACCCCTTTCCCCGCAACTTAGACTGATATTTGTGGGGGCACATTCTACTATCCCCAACGTCAGCAGATTTCTACTTTCACTATCAACTGGCAAAAGCTCGGCAGAGCCCTTTTGAGAAAGATCACCAAGCGCTTGGACGTGTTTCCCGATGGCCAGCGACCGTTTTCGGCATGCTCTCCGAGCATCCCACGCAAGAAAGCTATCAAGGGACAATGTTGCAAGTCGCCCCACTCAGCGTTGAAACTATCTTATCTTGAGTTGGCTGTTATCTTTGTTTCTGCTTACCCGGGCCAGAGAATGAGAATTAAAAGACGGCCACTGCACAATTGGGTGGTGGGCTGAGCGTCCCTCCCCTCTTGCGGTCCTTTTTCTTTCGACATCTGGAATATTAACGGCCACGATGGGCGGTACTCTAGAAACAGATAACATCTCTCATCCCCCACCTTCTTACAGTCAAGCAATTGTCTACCATGACCCCGAAACAGGGAGTAATCTCAAGGACCCCGATGGAGCAGGGGCTCCTGAGCTGGCCGAAGTAAAAGATCTTAGGTATGTCGCATCCAAGTTTCCATAGTCTGTCAGAGTGACTCAAAAACGGGGACAGAAAGGGTTTACAGCAACGCCACATTCAAATGATTGCGTTGGCAGGAACAATCGGAACAGGGCTTTTTCTAGGGTCAGGTCGAGCATTGGCGAATGCGGGGCCAGCAGGGATATTGTGAGTGCAATACGATTATATCTCGGCCCACCAGAATAGCGCTGATTAGCTCAGTATGGGTTACCTTTTTATGGGTTTCCTCATCTCGGGCGTCACGCTTTCTATTGGAGAGCTTAGTGCGCTTGTGCCTTTGAGTGGGGGTGTCATTCGACCTGCTGCTTATTTTGTGGACCCTGCGCTCTCCTTCGCGCAGGGATGGAACGTGACATATCAATATTTGATCTCGATTCCAGCTGAGATCTCTGCAGCAGCGGTGATTGTGCAGTTTTGGGTTACGATTAACAACGCTATCTGGGTAACTGTATTCAGTGTTGTTCTGTTCGTCAGCAATCTCTTTCTCGTTCGGATATATGGAGAGATCGAATTCACGCTAGCGATCTTGAAAGTCTGCTTGATAGTTGGGATGAACATCATGGCACGTCTATACTCGTTACAAAATCGGAATGTAAGCTGACTTTTTCTGTTGCAGGGTCTTGTTATCACAGCTGGTGGTGGCCCTGACCATAAGCCGATCGGATTCAAATACTGGCGCGACCCAGGCCCATTCGTGCAGTACCTTGGCGTTCCCGGGGCTTTGGGCCGCTTCATGGGATTCTGGACCGTGTTTGCAAATGCAGCCTATGCCTATTCATCTGTCGAGACGATCTCTATGGCCGCTGCAGAAACTTATGCTCCTCGTCGAAATATTCCCAAGGCTGCTAAAAGAGTCTTCGTTCGGATTCTGCTATTCTATGGTATGTCCCATCTAGATCTTGGCCTCGGTACCTTTCTAATGATTCAAGTTATTTCGATTTTTATGATAACTCTCCTTGTTCCCTCAAATGACCCCAAGCTTCTCAGAACTTCAGGGACAGCATCTCAGTCGCCTTTCCTGATCGCCGCGACACGGGCTGGCATTGACGTGGTTCCCCATATTATCAACGCCGTGGTGTTAAGCAGTGCATGGAGCTCGGGTAACTCAAGTAAGCCCAGAGTTGGACCTTCTACTGAAGAAGTACTAACGACAGACAGCTCTACTTAGCGGCTCCCGTATTCTTTATGGTCTAGCTCGCGATGGGCTCGCCCCAAAGTTTCTCGCCCGCACAAGCCGCTGGGGCGTTCCTTACATGGGCGTCCTGGCCATTGGCGTGTGGATGTTTCTCGGATACATGTCAGTGAACTCGTCTGCATCCACCGTGTTCACGTGGCTACAGGACTTGGTAGCATGTGCGCAGATTATGAGCTGGCTCGTCATTTGCACAACCTATCTACGATTCTACTACGCTCTAAAGAGGCAGGGTATCTCCCGTCGCAGGCTACCGTGGAAGGCTCCATTCCAGCCTTTCGGGGCGTGGATGACCTTGATAGCGCTGCTGATTATTCTCCTCACGAACGGCTATACTACTTTCATTCATGGCCAGTATGTTTTCCCTTTTTGGCCTCCAATATCTCATTTGCGCTGACACTTTACGCAGCTGGTCTACTGAGACATTTATTTCCGCTTATCTGGATATTGGGATTTTCGCCGCGCTTTACTTTGGCTACAAGATCTGGTACCGTACCAAGATTGTGTCGTTAGATGAGTCGCCTGTTGCTCGCTACGTGGAAATTGCAGAGAATGACCCTGATCCACCCGAAGAGCCCAAGTCGAAGTGGACTTTCTTGACTCTCCTTTGGAGCTGAGGGTAGATCAGTGTCGCCTGTTTCGGCAGTGCTAGTCGGCCATTATGGTAAATCGAATTTGCTCGATCTATGGACCTCAGATAGAGCTACTAGTACATGGTGTAGGAACGAAAGAAGCAAAAGGTTTTCCTCAAAATCTGCTTGTTGTAGCACCACCGTACATTTGATTGAAATCTAGCACCCGAACACATTATGGCTTTCCCTCATGTAACTCTTCCCGCAACGAATTTGCTTCCTTCCAAGATCTTGCGCCTCCCCGAATTCATTCAGACATAACGACTTTCATCTCTGGAAACTCCGATGGCTGTTGCAATTTACTAAAACTTCGACTTGACGTAAAGAAAGATTTCTGAAGACATCCGCGTTGATGGGTAAAGTATGCCGCATCCTTATTAAGCGGGCTGGAAACCGCGTGTTTGAGCCTGATTCACTTGACGGATTATCGAGTCGGCGGAGGACAGGAAACTCAAGATGGTGTCATCCAGCAATTTCGGGTTTTTGGGATTGCAGGGAATGTTCGAGGTCCATTGACGCATAGTAGGGTGATTGTTCACTGCCTTGACGAATTGCGCAAATTGACAATATTGGGATGGCGCACTGTCGGTGGTAGCGCGCACAAGAGCATCTCGGTTCTGCTTCCAGACTGTCACAAAGTCCAGTGGGGACTGGTTCGGGGTAAAGACATAGTCCGTCCAGTTGAACCAGCATTGAAGGACTGCGGTCATCGAAGGTGGTCCATATTGAGCACAGATGAAACGATACGCGTCGGAAGCACATTGGGCGTTCATGATTTGTGCTTCAACAGCTGGAGAAAGGATGGATAGCAGTACACACATGGCCAGCGAGTCGAGTTCTTTCCATTTTTGAATCTTGAAGTTAGGCACGGTATAGCGCTCGTGGATATGGCGGTTTATGGCTTCGTTGGTGACGGCTGTAGGGTTCACATTGCCATGGCTCGCGATAAAATTGCGGATGACGTCTCGAGAAGGCACAGTTTGCGGAATATTCGGCATTGGGGAAGGGATTTCACCGTTGAGCATTTTCCAAACCGCGCTTCCGCCCCTTTTGGTGGACCAGCGAAGGCGAAAATTCCAGCTTTCGAAGTTGGCCTTGCCAGTGAGCTTGCCCACAAAGTCAGCAACCGCCTTCGGCTCTAGAGCCAATTTTTTCTGCTCCGACTCTCCTGTGTATTCAGGTCCAACAGTGTTTTGAGGCGTGGCTGACATTGATGCGGATGATTGGAGAAGTGAAGTGCTGTGATAGGAAACAAGTTTTAAACAACAACTTCGAAGTATAGGTGGACTTCGCGAATGGCGGTCCTTTTTCCATGGCAGAATTAATAAACACTAGCTGCTACAATTTACGTACTTCAGCAGAAAAGGTACTCCCAATTGGATATGATTTGACAGCATGCTACTTCTGTACTCTCACAGCCTACTTGGCTTGATATCTTCGCTCTGACCAAGGTTTTCTTGAAGTTGACGGTCTCCCACTACCAAAGGCTGGGCATCCTGCAAAACATAGACCATACGAGCCCACTCCGTCTGACTTGGGTTACGCCACGCGTGCATCGTGGCGCGTTGCACTGCGATGTCCCCCCGTTTTAAGAGTCGGGTTTCTCCAGAGTCAAGCAACATCTCAATCTCGCCCTCGAGAACAATTCCGTAATCCAGACTCTGCGTGCGGTGCATCAGGCTAGGAGCACCTGGGGGCAAAGTCTACCACTCGGCAGACTGTACCTCCAGGGCTCACGAGGCCCAGCTGGCCAGATGCCATCTTGTGTTCATGCGCGGTAATGTCACGATCGTTGTTCAGATCTGCAGGAAATTGCGATGTGGTATACATCACGTTGAAATCCATCGAGTTCTTCTCATGTGGACGCCAGGCTCCGGGGCCTTCTGATTGAACGATAGCCTCCCCTTTCTCGTTGTGCCCGGTTATGAAACGGGTCAAGACAGGCAGATTTGACAACTGGGTCGTTTTGCTTGACTTCGCCATTTTGGTTGGGAAATTGAGTGGGAAATCGAATATTTCACTTATTGTCCTGGGCCCCGTTGTGCGATTTCTGCAGTGGGACTAGAAGGCCTATTTATGCCTGCGGGGTTCATGCAGCGTCGAGTCGAGCCTTTTCTTTGTAGTAGGTCATCTGATCTGCATGCGATTCACGTTTGAACTCGCGAGACACTAGCTTGTAGGGCAGGCCTATATAGCCCAGGGCTTGACCGCAACTCGAAGCAAAAGCAAGCTCCTTGCATCGATCTTCAAGGGTATGGGAAATATTCGTGAGTCCTCTACCGGGTCCTTCCAGAGTTTGAATATCCTTAACAAATCTAGCTGGTGGAGGTCGATTTGAAGAACTTCAGGTTGCACAAGCGATTAAGTCAAGAGCTGGGGTCCTTATCTCAGCTGCGCTGACTCATTGGAGTAAAGAGACCGCATGCTGGAATTATTAGGCTATCATGGGTTGGTATTAATCTGCGTTCACATCGCACCGACAACGGTACGTCTGAAATGAATCCCTCCTGCCGGGTGACGGTCGGAAGCATCAGCCATTTGAAGACTGCGCCTGCCGCGTAAGCTTTACCGGAAATAATTTTAGCCAAGAGACACACTTGGCTTCAAAAAAAAAAACAGGTCATGGACACAATGGCGTTAGGTCCTGTCCAATCGAACTTCGTGATAACTAGACAGTGGGTGCGGATCTTCACGCTAAGAGATTAGCTGCAGGACAAGCTTCGACATCCAGCCTCAGCCTCGTCAGCACTTTGGCACGTGTTTATTGAAGCGCTCTCTCTCGCTTGGGACTAGAATCTCTAACTGCGCTTGGTATTCAGGCAGGCCCAGATCCAAATTTACATCCTGCCATGGCGTCGAGCTGATGGCTGGTTTCCAATGACTTAAATATAGCCACTAGGCCCAGGTCGCAGAATTTTGCAGTCCACATTAGGCCTCATTTGTGTCTTATCTTCCCACGTATCTTCTTTTTTTCTTCTCCAGAATGACCATTCCTCATTACGGCGTTTGGGCTTGCACACCTACGAGCTACGAGGCTCAAACCCCTAAGCAAGACCCAAAGTCTCCGCACATCTATCTCCATTTCACGGATGAATCCTCTGGCACATCGAGCAGGAAACTCGAGGCCGCTATTAATGTCAAGTCCACCGGCAAAGACAGTCGTCTGGTGTTCTGGGTGACCCGTAACTTCAGCAACCCCATCACTGAGCAGCTGTCCGAGCTTGAACTTGGCTTTCATCTTGCATCCTCGCCAGGTTCGAGTGACACAAACTACGAGAGCTACGGTAGTCACAACCATGGTCACCACAGTCACCACGCTAGCCGTCATCACCATGAGCGCCATCAGCAGTCTAGACTACAAGGCCTCGACTATATTCGGACCCCGGGCCTCGTTGACATCAAGTCCGGTCAGGTACTTCCTGCCGATGCTTCAGGTCCAAACAATGACATACTCGACAAATTGGAACCTATTCTACAAGACGCAATCAGGCAGAAGGCTACAGCTTTTATATGGGGTTCTTCGTATGGATCTGGCATCCATGACATTCACATGAACCAGGGTAGTAAGCCTAGCTTCTCTAATGGAATTTACGAGGATGGCGCGCTGTTTTTCAAATTCCCCGATGGCCATTGGGAGGCTGTCTTCCTCGCCTTTGCATCGCAGAGGATTCCAACTAATGACGAGGGCGAGTATGAGGAGAACAGCCAGTCCTTGGCTTCCATCCTAGGTCAGGACGCATAGATAGAGCTTGAAAATAAGAAGGATCTGATAGTACTAAAACAGAATTCAACTTTACTTGGATTTCGCAAAGTTTCCTGGGTAAAAGATACAAACAGCCTGCACCGACAAGTCCCGTGTTCTTAAAATCCCAACCCTTTGAAGATTGTCTCCAAAATCTCACATCTTCTTAAAAAAACCTGCGGAGATGAGCTCTCTGGAGGGCCTGGAGGGGACGATAAATGATAACTCGGCATGCGGGGGACATCACGTGGCTATCATCGGTTACCGTCGGCGCAACTGAAAGCACTTCGACAAGATAAAGTCCACCCCGCAGATGGGATTATCTTGCTCCTTTCGCAATTCAAGCCTTTCTCTTTGCTTGCTGGAGTTGTACTATCATCATGAGCTTCATGCGTAGCGGGGGAACTGTTCCTCGGATGATGCGTCCCTACCGAGCCTCCAGTCTTCTCCGCATTCGCAGCCCCATTACTCCCGTCTCAAACCGAGGGTTCCATGCAATTTCGTCTCTCCTGGGTACAAAGTCGCAGATTCTAAAAGATGTCGGAGAAGGTGAGCTTTGGGTCTGAAGAGGCATGCATAGAGTGTTTGTCGCTAACGGACCTTAGGTATCACCGAGGTTCAGATTATACAGTGGTACGTCGAGGAGGGAGCACACATTGAGGAATGGAAGCCATTATGCCAATATCAGTCAGATAAAGCAGTTGATGATGTGAGATCTTGCCATGGCATTTATTGTGACGCAGTTAATTGACGGGCTCAGATTACATCTCGATATGAGGGAGTGATCAAGAAACTACATTTCGAAGCTGACGATACTGTTCCCACCGGCCAAGTAAGTCTTCGCAGACGAGAAGAAAAGAAAGGAAAAAAAAAACATACCAAAATAGTGCTAACATTGAGTAGGCGCTTTGCGAGATCGAAGTTGAGGACGGCAAATATCCTGACGATCACGCTCCTTCGCCCCAAGCAGAGCCGGCGCAAACTGAGCCTGCTGCCGAGGCTGCAACTGTGGAAGCAATCCATGCAGCCGAGCAAGGAGAGACCACACACCAAGAAGCTCCTTCAGAAGTCCCGAAATCAAAACATGCATCCCTCGCTACACCGGCTGTCAGGGGACTACTCAAGACTCACGACATCGATATCCTCAGTATCAATGGAACCGGCAAAGAAGGGCGTGTGCTGAAAGAGGACGTCTTGAAATATGTGGAAGCAAGGAAATCTTCCTCCGAATCACCTTCCTCCACAACCTCAGTTGTATCAAAAACTCCAGACACCCGACAGGCTGAGACTGAAGCCAAGCTCACTCCCATCCAATCCGCCATGTTCAAAACCATGACCAGGTCTCTACAAACACCACATCTTCTTTATGCCGACGAACTCAAAGTCAACGACATTTCATCCATCCGCAAAAAGCTGCTCAGCGATGCCCGGGACCCCAAGAAAATTACATTCTTGCCTTTCGTCGTGAAAGCCGTCTCACTCGCCCTTGACGAGTTCCCCATTCTCAACGCCCGCGTCGATACTAGCACCCCGGATAAGCCCAAGCTAATAATGCGCGCTAAGCACAATATCGGCATTGCTATGGATACACCGAGCGGGCTTGTCGTGCCGAACATCAAAGACGTTGCTAGCCGATCAATCTTCGACATTGCGGCTGAGATCGCCCGCCTTAGTGCCCTAGGAAAGAGTGGCAAATTGACACCGGCTGACCTGAGCGGAGGCACCATCACCGTATCAAATATCGGTAATATCGGTGGGACATATGTGGCACCAGTTATTGTCCCCACAGAAGTGGCCATTCTGGGCGTGGGCCGAACCAGGATTGTTCCTGTCTTTGATGAAGACGGGCAGGTTGCGAAGGGAGAGCTAGTCAATTTCAGCTGGAGTGCGGATCACAGGGTCATTGATGGGGCTACTATGGCGCGCATGGGTAATCGGGTACGAGAGTTTATTGAATCGCCCGAGTTGATGCTCCTGAACCTGAGATAGACATCAAAAAGGCGGACATAAGATGGCCATGATAATATCTTGAATGAATGCATATTCAACGCAACTAGAGTTTTCGCTTACAGTGGGAAATAATGCAAAATTTATATCGGCAAGGCACCGTAGGATTGACCAAATCTGCTATGCTGTTTGCCCCGAATCACGGGGGTATCAAAACAAACGCGCCCTTGAGGCTTCTTGTAATCACGAGGCAAAAATGCAGTTAAACCAAATACGCAAAACCAGAAGCAAAGCGCTAGTGTGTCCGACATGGGCACATAGTTACGGGAAATCACCGATTACTCAACCAGCCAATCCGGTGTAAAAAAATCACCCAAAAAGAAAAAAAAAGAAAAAAAGAAAGAACAAGAAGAACCCCTAAGACACCAAACAGATGAAACCCGAAACCTATTATGCAAACGCCCCTAACCTGGAAAGTCTAATTACTGGTACTCGGCCAACTTCGCAGCCACAGCATCCAGCACACTTTTCTGAACCTGCTCTGGGGGGGCCCTCGACATCGATTGTGATGGCATCCCACTCGTCCCTCGGCTCTTCCAGCGCCGCCAACTGAGACTGCACCATGTCGCTCTTCATGTAGTGTGCTTGGCGCCGAGTGACACGCTGCATGAGCGCGGCCTCTGTCAGCTTCAGGTAGACGAAGTGGATCTGAACGAGAGGCGAGCCGTAGGCCGCAACGCGCATGACGTCGCGGTATTTCTTCTTTAGGGCGGAGCAGGCGACCACGACGCCGGCTGGGGGGTGGAAGTCATTTCTTTCAGCAGGCGAGAGGGCGTCTATGGCGGCTTGGCGGAGGGAGATCAGCCAGTCCCAGCGGTCTGCGTCGGTCAGGGGGATTCCGTTGCTCATTTTGTCTTTGTTGGCTTTGGGGTGGTACTGTTGCGAGGATTGGTGTTAGTTTCCTTTCTTTTTCCCTGTTTTTCTTCTGAGCTGCCATTCCCTCCGATAGGTGGGAATGGGCCCTGGGCTTGTAATTCGTAGGGCTGACTTACATCATCGCCCTCTAGAAATGGCAGATCGAGCTCTTTGCGAATGGCTTGGCCTACTGTGCTCTTGCCGCAGCCCGCGGGGCCGGTCACTACCCAGATGTGCTGAATAGGGCCGCCGGGTTTCTCTGGGGCCAATTCGGTGGTCACGGAGGCTCCGTTTTGCTGCATGCTGGACAGATGCGCTTTGCTAGAGATAGCAGATGCCGCGGTTACGGATGTGGCCGGAGGTTGAGGTGGCTGCCCAGCGGAAAGCATGTTGGAAAGAGGACGGCGGAGAGGCTTTCAAAGGATAAGAGAGCAATTGGCGATTTCAGGAAAATTGGCCGGTGGAAGGACCGGAAGTTGCCTGGATGACGGAGTAGATCCACGGAACCGGGGTACTGTATAGGCAGGGGTATAGGCTGTACACAGGCGTGCTGTTTGGGGAAGTTTTATGGTTTACTTTCTTTTGGGCTGAGGCCAGGTTTAGTAGTCCGGAAGAAGGGAGAAGAAGAGAGTCGCGCGACAGCGGCGAACCCTACTTATTTCAGGGACAAGTATGACGGTGGAGTCGGCGAGAAATGAAGAAAGCAGAAGCCGAGTGGGGGGAAAATTGGTACAATCGAGCGCTGTGGCGACTCTGATTGGACGAAGAAAGGCAGATTCATTACCCGAAGGGTTGTGCGGGATGAACAGATCGATCCACGTCCCCCCGGGGTACTTTGACGCAACTCGTTTTTTTACCGTCTTAATGGGCCAAGGCATGAACGGGCACGTTAGCCCCCATCCACTGCCCGGGTGAGGCTTGCTGACTATTGGTATATCAGCTTATTCGAATGATCCTTGGGTGACATGGAATGATGTCACTGTAATCAATTACTTGTCCTTTGTCTGGGAGTTTCGATGGTAATGAACCCCCACGCTAGCAGACACCGCCAGTTTGGAACGTTTCCACCGGCGGTGGGTCACCTTTGAAGGCACAAACACAGCGACTCTGTGCAGATTTCATGAGCACAAGCGTACTGATAACTGGGCAGGTATTGGAATAAACTTAAGCTAGTTGACGTGGAAAGCAAACATTGCCCTCGGGCAGTCATCGTCCGATTACCACCTATATCGCGGTCGACATATTGCCATATGCACTGGCAAGCGGTCAGACCAAAGTTGAGTACAGCACCCCAAAAAGCAAATGTACATAGTCACAGCCGCTGCATTTAGCTTCGGCTAGCTCGGGATAACAGAAATGCCCCCAAAGTATGCCGGCTACGGACCGCATAGAAAGGCGGCAGGGTTTTCCCTCCCCTCGGACTCGCCTATGGAAGTCTAAAAGTCCGGGGAAGCAGGGAAGCGGGGTTCAACCAGCTTAGGGTATGCGGATAACCTCGTGCGGATCTGAGAGATCAAGCAAATACCTTGAATGACTTAGCGCTGCTTCTTCTGACAGCATCTCAGGAAGCAGAATCCGTCCTCCGCCAGAGTCAGATAAAGAGATAGATAGACAGGAGCAGGCCGTTCTTTCTTTTCGGCAAGACGCCCACACTGTTAGTATTCTAAATATCAATGACTCTGGCCGTAAGAACCTTTTTTGTGGCTCATTGATACAAGGATCGAAGTTGGTACTATTTGTGGTGCTGATGGCTTTCGAAGTTTTCGAGGGGGTGCACTGTTTCATGGGATATACATCAATGAATTCGGGAGTTGTCTCAAGCTGGGAATCATCTCCCGATTTTCAGCCCAGAAGGCATTGAGGATAATTGTTAGTTCTTGAATGAGTAGACACGATCTGCTTTGGGAGAGATATTGCCCTAGTCCGTGCAGATCGTCTCGAGAAGTTGAAGCATGAGTCTGACTTGCCACGCTTCTATTCTCACAGGCAAACTAGGATTACATGGTCAATCTATTCAAGCAGCTACGTATCGCACACTATTACTTTCTGATGGGTATGTCCCAATGACCTAGCCGCAATCGCTATGGATTGGGCAAGGGTCCACGGTCGCGCGACCTGGCGATCGTGTTCTCTTTGAACAGCAACCTTTCCAACCCCCAAATATTGATTCCATGGGTATGCGGCTTTCGTAGAGTAATATGGCCAAAATCTCTCCTCAAGCCCTCTCTCAAGGAAACTTAAGCGTCGATAGCTGTATTTCGACATACCTTTTCGTAGTTAGCTGTCTCTGGGGCGCGCCGGTGGGATCTTATGTAATCGGCAAGGCCACGTTCTCGATCTCCGCGTGAGCTCCAAAGCACATCTCTCTCCCCCACACCATGGCGTCCCTCTTCTTCTCTACCCCAGTCGATATCGACATTGTCCTTGATGATCTCGATGACCGTCAAACCGTCGATGTCAAGCTTGACAAGGGCCGGCGCGAGCGCGTGCCCCTTTATATGGATGGTGAATCCGTGAAGGGTGCTGTGACGATCCGGCCCAAGGATGGCAAGCGATTGGAGCATACAGGCATTAAGGTGCAATTTATTGGCTCAATTGGTACGTCTGACATTCGATCTCCATGGGGTCTTCTCCCGAGATCCCGCCGTCGTCCAAGTCGACCTAGGGCTTACCAGGCTCCAGAGATGTTCTACGATCGAGGCAACCACTATGAATTTCTATCGCTCGTCCAAGAACTGGCCGCACCCGGCGAGCTCCTCCACCCTCAAACCTTCCCGTTCCATTTCAAAAACGTCGAGAAACAGTATGAATCATACAATGGCATCAATGTCAAACTCCGCTACTTCGTCCGGGTAACCGTCTCCCGGCGCATGGCCGACGTCATTCGCGAGAAGGACCTCTGGGTTTACTCATACCGCATGCCTCCAGATGCCAATGCGCCGATCAAGATGGACGTGGGTATTGAGGACTGCCTGCATATTGAGTTTGAATACTCGAAATCCAAGTACCACCTCAAAGACGTCATCGTTGGTCGCATTTACTTCTTGCTTGTGCGATTGAAAATCAAGCACATGGAACTGTCAATCATACGCCGGGAAAGTACCGGGTCTCCGCCAAATCAATATAACGAAAGTGAGACTCTGGTTCGTTTTGAGGTACGCATCATGCACCGCTGATCTTAAGCTCTCAGTATGATAAGAAAAACGTCGCTAACATTGTTGTAGATTATGGATGGCTCACCTTCTAGAGGTTAGTTTCTGCATTCAGGGTCCCTCGGACTCCACCTCCAAGAAGCTATTCTGGGGCATTGATACAAAGGGGAATGTTCAGCATACTGATTGAAAAATAGGTGAAACAATCCCCATCCGTCTCTTCCTTGGTGGATTTGACTTGACTCCAACATTCCGCGACGTGAACAAGAAGTATTCGACACGGTACTACCTCAGCCTGGTGCTGATAGATGAAGGTTAGTCACTACTTTCCCACCCTGCATATGCATACAAGACTCGGTCCGATCCGCGGCGGCAATTTTATATGGTGTCCAATCACACCAGGGGGGGCATCTGGCTGCGTGTGACAATTTGTGACACCGTGGATTAACACCACGTCCATGCCGAATCCGGAAAGAAGGTCAGATTCTATACCTTTGGTTCATGGAGGATCCTTATCCGATCCCTACCATGATACTATCTGTCTAGTTTCTCTTCCTTCTTCCCCTTCGACTTGATGGTGTGTGCCTCGTCGGTGTAAGGCTGGTGTGTGGTCTACAAGTCTTGTTACATAGCCGGTCGGCTTTTGGAACCAAAATACTCGGCCCGTGTAATCCACAGCGGTTTTACCCCCACACTAAACCGTACTGGGAGTTCGGCTTTTCTCCACGGATGAACCATGACATCGAATGCAAAACAAGTTCTTTCTTGGTATGCTTGACCGCTAACCATACATCATATAGATGCCCGACGTTACTTTAAACAGTCTGAAATCCTTCTCCACCGACAAGCACCCGAGATTGCCGCCACACCGCAGATTGCACAGCAACAACAAATTCAACAGCAACAACTTCTTGCCCAGAATCAGCAGGCGCTTCCACCGGGTTCTGCGACTGCTGGACCAGGGCGGGAGGTTAATCGCCAGCCGCAGCCTCCTACCAACCCGCCTGTTCCAGAGCCCGCGGCGGCATGATTTCCTTTTGCCAGCGGTCAATCCTTCAGCAAGAGCAAAAGGAACAGAATGCTTTTTTTAGACCACTTGCTTCACATAATACCCACGTCACTTACGCACAAGATTCGCATCCTACCTATCCAGCCAGTCACACAACGATATCACTCTCTAGTCTACCGATGTCGCTCTATCATACCTCAACCCAAGGGTTCTTCTTGATACAAGCAGTAACTTCCTTGATAGCGATATTCCATAGGCAGCGTCTCCGCTGCCTACTTGCCCTCGTGGCTTAATGACTTGGGCAAGCTACTTGTAATATACTCTACCAGTAGGCATGAGCTCAAGTTCTTCAAGTCCTGTATGTTCAAGTCCGTTTATTCGTTTTTAGCACACTTCACTATGAGTGTTCATTAATAAAACCGGGTCTTCAGAAAAGACTGAGAGTATCCCGGCCAGTCTACAATCAATAAGTTACTAGCAGGCACAAGAAGGGGCCATTCTGCGGAATTGCAAGGCAGGACCTATGAATCCCGGGCTAAGAACTCGCCAGAGCACCAAAGGACGGGAATAGATTGGACTTTCAACAAATCCGCGCCATGCTGATATGCAGATAAGAGAAAACTGTACATGCTCTAAGAAATCGTAGCAAGGAAAACAGGTAGACGTGTTCACGGTTCTCCCGGTTCATGAGGGTCCTATCGATAAAACTCGACTTTTAGAACGTCGAGCCTTCAGGTGGCTGGGGGAGCTTCTTGTGCTGCGGAAGGGCCATATATCTAGAGACGTTTGTCAGATTTCATGATCTTGTTTCCCACCGCGGGGCATGCGCTTACCGGCGAAGCTCGATCAGAACGGTCTCCATTGTATAATCGCGCTTCCATTGGGCGAGACAGGGAAGTTTGGTGGGATCAACCTGAGACGAAAATTCTGTTAAATTCTTTCGATATATATGGAGTAGTGCCTTTCTTCCGTACCTTTCCTGACCGCTGGTCCACACATGGAATGTTGACTCGGGAGATAAATTGGATAGTGGGAGGGTTGTCAGGATAGTCGGGACCACAGTGGATATTAACGCTGTATATCCGGTTCTCATGGACGCTCTATCGGAAAGTCTGGATCAGTAACAGGCACGCGACTGGTATGTGCGGGGCGATACGGACATGGGGGGGGACCGAGGATTGTGCCATTCCAGTTGCTCATCATCAGATCCTCGCCATCAGCAAGACCGTAGGAGCAGGATTCTGTTGTAGCGATAAGAATTAGCATGGCCTTTAGATCAACAGAGGGAAGGTTCCCTTACCTGCGCCCAATCCTTTCTCTCCCTTCTCTAGCTCTTCGAGCAGCCGAAAGTTTCGAGGTACCTTGGCAGCCATTTTTGACGGTGATCGGAACAATCGAAACAAAGCCCCAAGTGGCAGGTTAGTGGTGAGGGCGAAGTAGTGACATTAGGATGAATGGAGGGGTACGGTACTCACTGCAGCGGCAGCAAAGAGCATCACGTGTGATAAGGTCTTATCGAGGAATCTTGGCGCTTGGAGATGCCACGGGGGATTTGTTGACAGACTTTCACTCCTGATCTCAGAGTTCACGGCAAAATACAGGATTAGGGACATCAGACAGAGCTTATGTCCATGCCCTGTGTGGCCCAATATCATTTGTGATCAGTCTCGCAATTATTGGAGAACAAAGGCTTAAGGAGCTCCCCGGGTTTTCCACGGATCCGGCTTTTGGAGATCCATTACCGTTGGCCATGCTTTAATGCATCCATAAGACCGGAATATGTCGTCTCAATTTCTACAGACGGAGCTGGCCAATCTCATTCGTGAGTCTGGCCGCAAGCATTCCGACTTACGACATGTGAGTTGAGACCTGGAACGAATCCCTTAGAGTCATAATGCTAACGTGGTCCAGGCCGCCGAGCAGTCGCTGAACGAGCTCAAGGCATTGCCCTCAACCTCCGAGGCTCAAATAGCAGCAGGTATGTAGCTTATGCTAAACATTTCACGCCTTTTTCCTAACTGGTTATCTAGACCTGGTCCGAAAACCTACATTTGTGGAGCCATTCACCATTGCATGTCATACTCGCCATGCGAAACTCGCAGGCATCGGTGTGATATGCCTGCAAAGATTAATTGCATCCAGGGCCCTTCCTTCTCATCGCCTGAAGGACGTCCTTGCTGGCTTGCGCGAGACGACAAATCTAAGTATGTCTTGTCAACGAACGTGGTAGTTCTGGCCTGCTGATCATGAATAGGTCTTGATATCCAATTGAAGATCTTGCAATCTTTGCCCTCATTACTGCAATTCTACTCAGATGAGCTGAGTGGTAGTCTACTCGCGAATACTCTAGAGATCTGCGCAACCTTGCAAGCCAGCAAAACCATTGCTGTTAGCAGCACAGCGGCAGCCACACTCCAACAACTGGTGGTGTCGACTTTTGAGAGAGTGGCGAATGAAGACAGTAAGTGATTATTTACTCAGATATGAAGAGCAATGCTAACTCATTACCAGAGCTTCCCAGCGATGCCAAGTCCACTAGTACTGTTAAAGTGGATGGTCGGTTTGTACAAGTAGGCCAATTCGCTTTTGATGCGCTACAGGTATTTCCCGCCTCCGTGACACTTGCATCATTTATATTGACTTCTTTTGCAAGGTCCTGGGTGATCTTTGCCGCCTCGTCGACGGAGAGCAGCTACAGTTTCTCTCCACAAGAACTCTGGCCCGTCCATTTGTCTTGGAACTCATAGAAAGCATTATACTGAACAGTGGCCGCCTCTTCGTGGACCATCCCGAATTATCACAAGTCTTAAGAACTCGCTTGATTCCTTTATCAATACGCTGCCTGTCAGAAAGAAACTCTTTTTCCCAGACAGTTCGAGTCGCAAGAATCTTGCTTCTGCTCTTGAAGCGTCACATGTCTCTTTTAACCACAGAATGTGAAATGGTGCTGGGTCTTCTCACGCATCTGCTAGAGCCTGATGGAACAGCGCCCTGGAAACGTGTCTTGTGTATGGAGTTGTTCCGGGGTCTATTTGCTGAGCCGGGGAGTTGTACGTCAGATCTACTCGCTCTACGACGCACAAGAAGGCCGGAAGAACATTCTTCGCGATTACATGGGCTCACTTGTCAAACTCGCTTCTGAGAAGCCCTCGTTGATTGGTATGAGTAACCAGTCAACCATCCCGACCCGCGCGGAACACTCGCGAACTTTGACGGATGAGCAACTGGCCCTTGAGGCTGGCGGTGTGGTTGGTGTCATCGGCTCCTCTGTCCCACCATCCGAAATTAAGGTCCCAGGCATTAGTAGCCAGTGGAGTGTGGTTCGAACACCGTATATCGAACTGCTCGATAAATCGGAACCGCCCTTCCCCCTGAAACCTACATTTACGCTCTTGTGCTCAATTGCATAGGCAGTTTTGCTGAGGGACTCGCCAAGTTTATTCTTCCTCTGACAGTTCCAGATATAAAGTCGAAACGTAGGAACCGGTTAGGGAATTCTGAGGGTCTCGATTCTGCTCGTCCCTCCCAAGACGTCCAGTCTGCAGATGCAGCGCGAGTGCAAGCAATATCTTCCTCGGCAAAGTCACCTGTTCCTATCAATCCTCTTGAACTCAAATCGCACATCCAGTACTCTGCGATCGAGTCATGCGCTGGCATTATCGAAAATTGCTGGCATGCTGTTCTTGCCACATGTTCTACTTTCTTGCATGCTTCTCTCGATGACGAATTTTATCATAACCTCGTCCGATCATTCCAAAAACTCGCTCATACAGCGGGCCTTCTTAGACTCACTGTTCCCCGGGATGCATTCCTGACGACCCTTGGAAAGGCAGCCATGCCAATCGATATGAGTACATCTGCGTCTGGGCCATCCGCAAATCTCCAGGGTAACGAGACCCCTCAAAAGAAACGCAAGAGCTCGGATTTACCCCGCACCAATTCAATGCCAGTTGATGGTTCAAGTTCACCGGTCTCTGAGGCGCCTAACGTATCGTTGAGTACGAGGAATCTGCTCTGTCTACGAGCCTTGATTAACTTGGGTATCGCACTGGGCCCCATCTTAGACCAGCCGGCCTGGTCTATTTTGCTCGAAACGTTGCAATATACTGGGCTGGTGATTGGCGTATCATCCAGTTCAATAATCAAGTCAGCCAACGCGTATGCAGAAAACCCGGCCTCTTACGGGAATGATGTCCCAATGGCCAACATGGGCACAGAAGTCATCGCCGTACAAGCCGCCTCCAGTAAAATGTTTGAGAGCACGAGCGACTATCCTATCGACTGCTTTAAGGGTATATTGCTAGCATTGCTGAATCTTTCGTCATTCACTTCGCCAGATTATCAGCACGAACCCCCCGATGTATCTGATACTCCTCGCTCCCCTCAGTCATTTCGAAGACCCGGCCATTTGCACCAGAATGCGCGGAGGGTTTCAAGTACAGTGGGCAAGTCAAGAGTACAGGATGAAGAGCTCAAATTTGTCCTTTCTAAGGGTAATGAGCTAGCAAACGCCAATCTCTCGAGGCTGTCGTCTTTGGAAGAGGCGGATAACGAGGCTTGGGGACTTCTAACTCGAAGTTTGATTGGAGTATCTGCAAATACTACAATCAGCCCCAACCTCAGATTACAAGCTAGTAGTATCCTGAACTCTTTGGTTTTCTTGACGATGAAACCAAGAGAGGGCGACAGCGAAGAGATGCAGAATAAGGTTCAAACAAGAAACTTGCAAACTCTGAAAGACCAAGTTGTTTCTATCTACTCGTCAGATCAAATCTCGTCCATGTCCCTCCCAACAACAGTGGTTGAGATACATGAGCAAAGTTTGGAATGTCTTCAAAATATTCTAGAGCAATATGCGGAAACGTTCAAAGATGGATGGGCTCTTTCCTTTGACCTGATCTCTGGAGTTTTCCCAGGGATTGCGAAGGCTGAAGCAGGAGACAAACTCACTACTCCTACCGAGCGTAGAAGCTCTGGACTTCCGGCTGGGCCACGACTCGTTCGAGCAGCGTATAAGTCGCTACATCTTGTGACCTCTGATTTCTTGTCTCTCCTCCCGGCGCCGTGTCTCTTGAGCCTGGTGAACTCCTTTTCAAGCTTTGCTTCCCAGATTCAGGACTTCAACATTTCACTCACCACAACCTCGTTCTTCTGGACCGTCTCTGATTTTCTTCAGGGTCAGATAGAGAGGTTTTCGATTGAGAGTCACGTTGATGCTTCAGTTAGTGAAGAGCATCTGAGCCAACTCGCTTGTGATCAAGATTTGTCCGTTTCTAGGAATTCCCTTTGGTTGCTACTGCTTCTGCGCAGCGTTGATATTGCAACAGACCCTCGATCTGAAATTCGAAACAGTGCGATTCAAACATTGCTCAGAATCTTCGATGCATATGGGCAGCAACTTTCTCCTAAGGCATGGCGACTGTGCTTGAATCGAGTATTGTTCCTCATGGTTGAAAGGATCGATAAAGCTGTTCAAACCCCGATGAGCAGTGGCGGTGACCCCAAAGCATGGATTGAGACGGCTGTTGTTACGATCAAGGGAGTATCTAATCTGATCAACAATTTCTTCGACGCTATCGTCAGCGATGACGATTTTGATCAGTCCTGGGCTCGATTTCTCAAACATCTCCAACACTTTGTAGGCCTGCATGTGCTGGAATACAGCGAGGCCACCTTTTCGAGCTTGTCGGCCATTCTTGCTCTGGTGCAGATCCCTACTAGCCTCAGCAAGGGTGCACGCCAATGTTCTTGGGACTTGTGGGCAAATGGTCTCCCGACTCCCAGTGAGTCGCAGCTTGACCTTGAGAAGCCGAACCAGGACGCTGCATTGGCCTACCTAAAATCGTTCCAGCAGATCTATCGCCTGTACAAAGACCACTTGGCTGCAGAGGATATCGAAAGGGTTCTTCAACATCTACGCCTCCTGGTATGGAACTCCGTGTCGCCGCCCTATTCTTCAGACCTTGATCGTCCGTCTCCTGTACAAGCTTTGGTTCTTGATTGTATTCGAAGTCTTTGCCTAGAGAACGAAGCATCCCAGGCATCCATTATCCTATGTCTAGCAGATTTATCTGCCTCAGCCCTCACTCGATGGGGCCCCGGATATGACTCGAGAAAGCCGGCCTTCGTTGCTTTCTCTAAAGACACTACTGATCTCATCAGCTGGTACATTGGCGAGATTGGCATCAAGCAAGATCTCTTCACCGATGGTACTCTCACAACAGTGCTTGATCGCCTTGGTGTCCCCATGGCTGAAAAATACACCTGGAAAGGAAAGGACCGGGAGCCATACATTTGGCAGAAATCTACGACTGCATCCTTGGATCTACTACAAGCAGCAGTTCCCTTCGGTGAGAAGCAGTACAGCAATGCCAAAGATTCGGAGATTGCGAGATTCTGGCAATGCGTTGTTGATATTACCCACAGCATTGTCTCTGCCCATGGTTTCCAAACCCAGCAACTGTCTAATACTCGAATTCTTGCCGATGAAGCTTTTGACATCACAGCCTTCAATCGTCTAAAGGCACTGATACTCCCATCGCTCGGGGCGTCTGTGATCCCAGCTTCGATCCGTCGCGATTTTGCATGTGCACTGTTCCACTCCTCGTTCATATATCCACTCCAAAGGCTCGATCTTCCAAATGTCCCAATTGAGCAAGATCCTCTACATGACTTCTACAAGATCCGACCCGGTCGTACTTTTGACCCGCCTCCAACTCTTCGACCGCGGATGGCCTACGCTGCTGTTGACACATTAGTCCAGCTCGCAGCTACTACAGGCCCGGATACTTCTTCTCCCGAAAACTGGGCTGCTCTGGCGCAGTCTGTTTCTCCATACCTTCTACTCCGCTGCTCCATATCACTGAAAAGCTTTATCGCCGATCAACCTCTCCGTGGCTTAATGCCCCAGCCAACTTTAGCACGCAAGTCGTTGCTTCACCTTCTCACTCATATGGTCGAGCTCAAGAGCGATCCGTCGGCAATACCGGATCCTCCTATCGTTAGAACCATGGTTTCAACTACGAGCTCAAGCAATGCTTCGTCTCATTATCGAAAGCACCTAGAATGGTTGTATCCGATTGCTGTCAAAGCGATCCAGATCGCGGGTAAGGAACATGACGATGGGCTAGTCCTCCAAGCTCTAGGGAAGGTGATGGATAGTATCGGCGGCTCCCGGTGAACTGAATTTGGCCAACACACTTGCTGAATTCGATTCGCAAATCATGTATTCTTTCTGTATACCTGAAACGAAGTTTAGATGGGCGTTTGAAGAATGATCCCCATTATCTTTGGAACAAGGTCACTCGTCATTTAAAAATCACTAGCGAAAACCCCTGTTCAAAGGATATCTACTTCCATTTTTATAACCGAGCACTACCTTTAGTAGTAAATGATAGACTGCCCTCTCATGCTGCTGATCACCCTATTTTGCGATCACGTGCTGATAACGTATCGCGCCTGGTCAGGGCTGCGACTTTTTGACGCACGTCGCGCTTCGTTGTCAGCGCGATGCATCAGGTGGTCGTACCCAAGAAGTCGGGGATTCACCGTTTCGCTTGTGAGGAAAAATTCTATTGTGGAGTTACGAAAATTGACTAACCGATGCGTCACTAGGTTTGGCGCTCTATAGAGCGCTCCTCCGACAATGCTCCAAGTCAGCCAGCGACAATAACGCCCCATGGGCTCGCCCGACCAAAACTCTCGTCAGACAACGATTCCGAAAATACAAAAACCTCCAGAGTCCATCGCAAGTACAAAATGCTTTGAACGCTGGCTATAAGGTACGGCCTCGGGACCCTGCTCTTCGCCCGTGCTAGCGACTGATAATGTGCCGTGCATAGACATTTGACCTACTTGAATCGGCTTCGAGAGGGAACGCCGATGATGCGCAGAAGATCACAGATATCCTTGCTCAAGCTAAAGCTGCCAAGGTGGAAAAGGCAGCCAGACTAAAAGAGTACACTGAACTCAAGCCCGTACCGCCTCTCTCCCGTTTAAAGCTCCGAAAGCAAAAGTCAATTCAAGCTCAGGAAGCCACTCAGCGCCGACATCCAAATGCCACACCGGTCCTTGATCGTCCGCACCGAGTAATTTCTGGCAAACGCAGGGTCCCTTTCCTTGTGAATGCCCGCGGTGTACCCTTCTTGCGCTTCAAGAAACCACAGCCTCGGAATCTCAGCGGTGTCATCCGTAATCTACTTGCCAAGCGCTGGCGCAAGCTCGAGACGCGCACTCGATTGTCGGAAGAGGTTCTTTTCGCCGAAGATGAAGAAGCATGGGATCGGTTGACATTACCTACCTCGTCTAAGTCTGAAGAACCCTCTTGGTCGACGGCTATCCATACTTCAATTCAAGAACTCAACCACGCGATTCGAGTGTGGGATGAGAGGAGAGGTGCTATGGCTGAGAAAATGTGGAATGTCGTACTGCAGGAGCGGGAGTTGGCAGAGAAAGAAGAAAAGCAAAGACAAGCCGAAGAGCAAAATCAAGTTGATCCTAAGAACCCAACAGGGGGCATTCCTCCTGAACAGCAAACAAACGGCTCCGGAAAGCAGAGAAATGCCGCTGCGAAGAGCCCGAACCAAGCTGAGGCTGAAACTTTCTCGAAAAAAGCATGAATGGGCTCTTGCCCTTGACCAGACGTCCCAACATTGGGCTACGATTAACAGCAGCCATATACAGGCCATCACTTTCGAGTGATATTGAGAATGCTTCTCAGCAAATAAATAGACTGATTATGCTGGTTTCCTGCCATCTGTCTCTAGAGACCTACAAGCCCTTCCTTGCATGTAGATGGACGATCACCCTCCCTAGGCATGGCATTGCAGCCTTTCGCAAGAGCAGTTGCGAACACTGGATGCCACAGTACCGAAGCATGCAAACTGCCCCAAGCTCCAGACAGACTCATCATTTGTACATTATGTATTTTTATCATATCATCATCACAAACTACTTCACATACCACTATATCAGACCTCCCGTCCTTGGCTCGAGCCATCTCGGATAAGATAAATCAATGCGCTTTAACGGCAACTTTGAAATGACTAGTTTTATGCAATTGGTAACTCGTAACGACATAAATTTGCGTAGCTTTATGCAGTAACCTTGAGCTTCTCAATAGGGGCAGAGCATCCTCGCCTTCTTCATCATAATCGCCCTTACCAGCCAACCCTCTCTCCCATAGTTGCCGGCCAGTAAGCTTCTTTTCCTCCTTGCCAGACTTCTTTTTCTTGTCCTCGGCTTCCTTCTCCAATTTTAGGCGCTGCTCCTCCTCCTCGATTTCTTTTTGGAAGTTTGCGAGCCACTGGGTGAATGTCTCCCGAGTAACTGGTGTCCCTCGGAACTTCGCATTTTCTTCTTCCTCTGCCTTGGCTGCAGCCTTCTCCTGCTCAGCCCGTACCACGTTTGCGCGCTCGACCATGAGATTTTCGGCACTCTCTTTCAACGCGCTCACAAGGGTGAAGACCATTGCCATGCCCATATTCTCTTCGATAGTGGGCTGCAAGGACTGGAGAAGGTGATCGCGGTCTTCTTGGATATCTAATCGCGGGTTCTTTGGAGCGTTTGGCGGAGCGCTGATGCTGAGTTCGGGGGCCACATCAGGGTAGTCTTCTGGATATGACACTTCCAGGAATATCACCGGCTGCTCCTCTGATTCATCGTTGCTCGGGGTCTCCAGAGATATCGAGATCTTGTATGCAGTTTCGGATATGTCTAATGGCACCAGGTGTTAGATGTTTCCTGGAAGCACGCGCCACGATCAAAGCCTCCCTCCTCACCTGTGATTTCCTCTGGGAAGATGGAGTCGAGCACCTCGCGCTCCTCAACTTGATCTTCGCGACCCATTGTGATCCGCCCGCGGACTTGGAGGGGTAATGGAGGTGGTGAGGTAGATATGGGTAGGAAAGTCTCGGGCCTGGACAATTCCGAGTACGACTTCTTCAATACTTGAGATAGGAACGGTAAAGACAGAGCGGAAAGAACTATTTCTCGAAGAAGATCGTCTATTCTCCACGAATCGAAGCGTGGGCGACGCAGTAATTGCGGTCCCGCATGCAAACCCATCAAACAGCCTCAAAATTTTGGGAGCTTCAACTTTTTTTTTAGATTAATTCCGCAGTTATCCCCGCTTCTCTACACGGATTTTAATTTCGCCAGCCTGATACAAGGCGCGTTTCATTCGATCCCAATTCATCCGATAGATACCGGACCTGCCATGGGAAAACCCAGACCTCAGAAGAAAAAAATCGTCGAAATCCCGCTCCAAAACCGTCCTCGGCCCCGGTGGCTCAGTCTCGAAACAGAAAATGGCCCAAGAACCCTCTCTTCTCCTTGACCAGGCTACAATCCTCCTCCAGACCGGTCAAGTGGAAGCTGCGCTTGGGAATGCACAACAGGCGCTGGAATTATCGCCGGAAGGCAACGCACAACTCCCCGCATTGAACCTGCTGGGTGAGATCAACGTCGAATTGGGCGAAATCGATACTGCTAGGGAATATTTTCTGCGTGCCGTGGATTTAGATCCAAATGGCTCAATAGCGGAACCTGAGGGCGGGGGCGCAGAGAAGTTTTTATGGCTCGCTCAATTGAGTGACAAAGGTGGTATGGACAGTGTGCAATGGTTCGAAAAGGGTGTTGCTTCTTTGCGTCAGACTCTGGAGTCTCTGGAAGGAAGAAACAGCCCTGAAGATGCCGAGAAGATCGAAGAGAAGAAGGTCAAATTGTCAAATGCGCTGTGTGCAGTGGCGGAGATCTATATGACCGATCTTTCGTAAGTTGTCCACCGATTTAGCAAAGGGCGGGCTCGCAAGTAATAACATTTCTTTCAGTTGGGAGGAAGACGCAGAATCACGGTGCGATTCCCTAATCACAGAAGCTATCGCAGCCACGCCCGAGGCACCGGAAGTCTTGCAAACGCTTGCATCTATCCGAATCTCACAACTGCGAACCGAGGATGCCCAGGCGGCATTGAAGAAGAGCATTACTCTGTGGAAAGACCTCGCACCGGAAGACCCCAAGGTTCCCGATTTCGCCGTGCGGATTAGTCTTGCCAGACTTCTGATGGAGGTGTCTCTAGAGTTTGAGGCTCTGGAGGTTCTTGAACGACTTATCCTGGAGGATGATCAGAGTGTGGAAGCTTGGTACCTCGGCGGCTGGTGCTTGTATCTCTTGGCTGAAAAGCAGCAAGCACCCAAGGATCTCCAAGAAGATGACCCCAACGATACCCCACGACATGCATCTTTAGTTGCCAGCCGTGAGTGGCTCAAATCGAGCCTGTCGCTCTACGAAGTACTACAGTATGAGGATGAGCGCCTCCGGGACCATGCATTGGAACTAGTCCAGGCCATGAACGAAGAGATCGGTGAAGACATGGACGATGAAGAGGAAGGTGAAGGCGAAGGCGAGGATGAAGTGTTGGAAATAGACGCAGACTCAGATGACGACCATGAGATGGCGGATTCATAGACAAAAAAAAGTAGAGTTGTGACGACCTGAAACGAGAAGGGACTTGCCCCTTTGTCTCTTTGTTGATACCTCTATACCTCTCAATATAACTGATGACCCACGAGCACACACTCCTCCCACAGTGCAGTTCTCTCCGTACAAATAGACCAGTTGTCGTCGGCGACCTTGCTCCTTAATCATCATCGCCACATGAACTGCCTCGGCCCCCGGAGACAGGTTTATCCGAGCAATCAGATACCGAGAATTTGAGCGACGCTCAGCACGCGTCAATCGTCGAGGTGCTAAAACTCCTGTAGGATGGACGTGGTACCAGCGCCAAGCGGGGACAATCCCGTCAAGACCCCCATGGTCGAAGTGGAGACCGTGGAGGCTGTAGACGCCGCGGAGTCGGTCAATGCCGAGATGGTCGCCTTCGAGGAGTCATCCGAGTACGAGACCGACAGCGATGATTCAGGCTGGGAGGCTCTCTCTCAGGATGGCGATACCGTCAAGCTGCTGCGTGACGAGCAGCTGCGTGATGGCCTTGGTATGTGCTGGTGCTCCATGGCACCCTCAGCCTCATCTATCCCCCATTAGCGGACTCCGCCACTTTTTAAGTAGCCTTTACTAACTTTTTGTGCCCTTCTATAGTGCCCGGTGCGTGTACACTCGATGAAGCGTTGGCATTCCGCAAGCAACTACATGCGTTGGGGAAAGCGGCCTTTGTTAGGGAAACCATTGCGCGCGAGACCGTGACTGCAAAGAAACTATGTACGGCCTTCGGTTTCCTGCCGCCTGCCTTTCTGGAGGGTGCGCCAGACGAGGCATACCATCCGCTCCTTGCGATCGCGATTTCACGGGAGTTCTCTAAGCGTCCGAAGCTCCCCCAGTACAATACCGTCGACGATGCTGTGCGGTTGCTTCGGGAGTCTAAGAATATCATTGTTTTGACTGGCGCAGGTGTATGTATATCCATGGAGGAACTCGTGGAGGAAATCCGAGTATTAACCATTATTATCTGCTATTACAGATCTCAACTAGTCTTGGGATTCCTGATTTCCGTTCCAAAGATACCGGTCTCTATTCCAAGCTGGAGCACCTGGGGCTGAGCGATCCCCAAGAGGTATTCGACATCAACGTCTTTTCGGGAAGACCCGAGCATCTTTTTCTCAATTGCCAAGGATATCCTCCCTACAGAGAAGAAGTACTCCCCGACTCATGGATTCATCAAGCTCCTGCAGGACAAGGGGAAGCTTTTGACCAATTACACTCAGAACATTGACAACATTGAAGCGAATGCCGGTGTTCTGCCGCAAAACATGATCCAGTGCCACGGATCCTTTGCGACCGCTACGTGTGTCAAATGCGGGTTCAAGGTCTCCGGGGACGCGATCTTTGATGAGATCAAAGAAGGGAAAATCCCCGAGTGCAGTGCTTGTCGCGAAGAGATTGCCAAAGATGCCCTCAAGCCGCAAGGTCTGAAGCGTAAGCGTAGTACAAATGGACAGCAGAAGGACCGCAAGGAGTATGAAGATAGCTCTGACGAAGAGGACTACGATATCCCGACTCCCGGCGTGATGAAGGTAAGCCTCTTTTATCTTCTTGGATAGCCTCTAACCCTTATCTGCCCTCATTTGCTAACGCTCACTTGCAGCCCGATATCACCTTCTTTGGTGAAGGCCTCCCCGACGAGTTTGGCCGCCGCCTTTTGAACCATGACCGGGAATTGGCGGATCTGGTCATTGTCATCGGAACGTCGCTCAAGGTAGCCCCCGTAGCAGAAGTGCCGGGGATCTTGCCGCGTGATGTCCCCCCAGATCTATATCTCGCGTACTGTACGTCCTCCCCTTGTCTCATTCTCCTTTCCACAAACAAGCTAACTCGTCGCTGCAGCCGGTATCGCATACCGAATTTGACATTGATCTGCTGGGCGATTGCGACGTCGTCGTGTCAGAACTCTGCCGTCGGGCTGGCTGGGATCTGCAACACCACATGATACCCGCGGATGAGAAGGTAGATGTTACTCCCGTAGAGGGATACGAGTCACGACATGTGTTTCAGGTAGTCGGCGCATAGCGGGGTTTCCGGGTTTCGGTTCTCTAAGGGTTGGAAGGCGTCAAGGTTCTTTATCTCGGCTGGCCAGCACGGTCGTTTATCATTGCCTCTTTTTTAGGAATAGTATTGCCTGATTGGACATAGTCTCTTTTAGGGTAGCAAAAGCAGCTATATCATACGCAACACAGTTCAAGTTTCATAACGGTACATAATATTCGGAAAGAGCTACACCATCAGCATTTACACCCCAGTAGATAACCGCCCTCGCTGTGCTCGATGCCTTCAGGACATACCAGTTCTTGATATATATTCGGAATTGAGCAGTGGTCGATATTTATGCGGCTCTGTATGTGATGGCAGCTGACAAGCAATGTTTGTGCTGATAGGGTCTATATGTACATACATGCGTGTACTGCCAAAGTTGGACTCATACACACTTACGACTCTACAGTAGAGTATTACTGGTGGCTTTATCTCAAAAATGAAGTTTGTACATTCAATGGCAAGAAACACAAAGGCCGCACGGGCTTGAGGAACAAAGAACGAATGTAAAATCACAAGATTGAAGATTCCAGAAAATACGCAGAAGCTCCAAGATACAGGACTTGTTCTCGAACTCTCATCTTGTAGAGATACTATCGAATAAAAACAATAGGACAGAAGGAAATCCGATCTTCGGGTATCATATGACAGACCTGCGAGACAAAAGACAAAAAGATACCATAGGGAAGTGAAAGAAAAACAACGAAAAACCCAAGGTAAAGTAAACGAAAGACAACCCCATATACCCTGGTCTCTATCTGGCACGCGAATTCCTTGTGCCTGCATTCAGGTAGTGTTTTTGTCCACCCTCATCAATATACCAACGCCCGTGGTTGTTTGGGTTGGCATAGAAATTCGAAGGGGTTGTGCCGACCCAACCAAAAGATTTTGGACTCGAAATCCCTTGACATGCCGAGCGTCGGACACGGGATGTTTCCCCAGGGCATGCATGGAATACGTGTTGACCTTGACGTAGTCGCTCTTGATGCGATAGATTCGGATTCTCTGGTGCTATCTGTGGCGGGAATCGTACAGGTGGCGATCCCGGGCAAGGCGGCGACATAGCTGTACGGAGCTGCGTGGGAGCCATCGCTTGTGGCTTCTGGACTCTTCCTGGGGATAGAGGAGCCAGGGGGTCTTGATCCAGAGCTTGTAGTGCTTGTGGCTGAGGGAAAGAACGGGCTTTCCGCATCGCGAGCAGCTGTGCTTGTCGTATTGCATGCACTTCAGCAGGCTGTAAAGGGACTAGCTGGATAAGCCCCGGATGCCCTGCAATAGGCTGCATCCGCATAGGAACGTATGATACTTGGGGAAGCACCTGGTTGTGTTGCATTTGGGTATGTGGCATTGCGCTGGAATTTATTTGACCCGACGGCATGCGAGGTACTGGTATCATTTGTGGTGGCGGTAGCAGCATCCAGTCTGGTAAGACTCGATTATTCCCTTGCTGCGGGGCGCCTTGCGACAATCAGACCTGGCGCGGGGACTCGTGGAGGATAGCCCATTGGGAATTGGTCTCCGGCTGCGTGGATCCACATTTCAGGGTTGGTTGGCGATGGCGAAGTAGGTAGACGTCCGACATGATGCATCTGTGGATTCTGGCTCATACTACTAGCTGGGATTGCAGGAGGTGGCATACAAGCCGGCTGCAGTCTATCTGTGTTTTGCTTGGATTTGGCGTAGTGCATGGCCTCTTGTTGTTGAACTTGCTGTACTTCAGGGCTTCGCGTATGCAAACGACCCTGCCGGATCAGACTGGGCGTCGGGCAAGGAGTCCCTGGAGACGAAGGCGAGGGCGATGAACTTCCGAAGAAGGGGTCGTTGGAGGAACTCAAAAAGGCAGGGCCGGTTGGAGAAGTGGTCATTTGGGGCACATCTGCGATATCAGGAGCTGCTGGGCTGCCCATGCCACTCTGCAGCAGGCCATCTGGTGAAGACTCATTGCGAGAGAGATCGAGAAGTGCAGGGTTTATGGTCTGAGTCTGCAGTACGCTTTCAACATCCGGAGGGCTGAAATTGTTCGCGGCCCTTTTATTATAATCGGTCAAGTGTTTCATCAGCGTGAGGTCGTCGTCATCCAAGCCCACAGAGAAGTGGCTAGGCGCAAGGAACTGGTCGATCTCATCAAGAGTCATCGAAGAAGGAACTCTCATCTCTGGGAGAGTAGCCAGATCGCAAGCCATGATATCGGTAGCCGAGTAATGTTCGGTAGCACGTGAAAGGATAGACGTTGTGACAATAAAGCGAGAGCTATGAGCTAGAGGTAGCTATGAGCTAGAGGTAGCTAGAAGCAATATTTGGTAAAATGAAAGAGCGAAGAGAGAGAGTATGAGAGAGGAAAATGGAAATTGTGGGGGAAAAGTAAAATGTGAAGGTCTGCATCAAGATGAAGGTATTATGATGCATCTGGCGTCTCAATTAGCCCACCGATTTCAATAAAGGTTAGGATCTCATGATAGTCGCTCCCTGGAACTCCCAGCAAATGACGTGTTTTGGCCCTTGCTGTCCGCTAGTAGAGCACAAATCGGGAGCGGCGACCACAGTTAACCCATCTTTCCCTTCCACGGCTTGTCTATCCAGAGCCGACGCGGAAAGAATAAACCAGAATGGTGAAGACTCTGATTTTGTAGAATGAGATCTGTTCCATGCCAGCATGGGTACTGTATCAGCATTCAATTGTAGGTAGCAGGTATTGAGCCCAGACTGGGCACAATAGGGGCAATCGCAGTAATACACAGCACGGGGGAAGGAGTGCCATGATAGACCAACTCACATTAAGGACACGAGCAACTGTAAAGTCCATTTAGAAGAAGAGAAGACCCCGCCACTTTAAGCTTATTAAGTCTGTGGCTTTTGAATGATCTATATTTGGCACTTGATAGCGACTGAGGTAGGGATCAATGTCATCATTGGCAGAGACCCTAGGAGAGCCAATTTGAACCATCCCGATCCATTCTGACAATTCTCCACAGCTTTCTTGAAGCTCGAGTTCTGAGGCATTCTCTGAGACCAGACCTGATAGAGCTGGAACGAGGATTTGCTCATAGCTGGTCTGATGCGGCGTGCAATCAATCCACTGAGGATAGTGCTTATTGATTGGCTTGTTTCCTAAATTTCCGTCAGTGGCACGTTCTTGCTGTTTGAGGCAAATGTAATTACCGTCGTATCCAAGAGCAGCCGGGTCAAGGTCGCAAAATAGCCATGCTATGGACTGGTCAAGGACGTTCTTGAATGCCCAAACAATTCTCTCAAAGCCTTGCTTGCCATGCAGCATAGACGGCAGCCGGAGATTCAACTCGATGGCTATAGTGATATCAGTATCTTGAGTATCAAAACATTCTAATGCATTGGAATAGAATGTTAGACTTACCGAACCGTTCTTTTGCATGTTTTCTGCCGCCGCTTCGAATCGGTTTGCCATTTAATCCAGTTCGCTCGTAGATTTCCCTTCCGAGCTCTACTCGGAGAATTCCTGCGATGACATTCGTCAGATTGCATTAAAATGGTGGTGAGAAAGTGCTTGGGGGTATGAACCATCTCGTAGAGTGTACACGACATCTGAGCCTGTTAGACCCTCGGAGATCATGAGGATGTTCCCTAATAGAAAATTAATCAGCATTCTGACTCTCTCAAGAACTTCCGATAATAGACCACTAAAAATCGTGCAATAATGGTCTTGACAAAAATACCCTTTTTAATGTACTCATTAAAGAATTCCCTTTCCAAAATGTCTTTTGGAGACATGAACACTCGGGCACAACGAGGTTTCTCGAGCTGGCTATCCAGAGCCGGTTTGATCGCACTATAGATTTTCTTAGGCAGGATCACTTCCACCTATACCTAGATGTCAGCCATGTTGGTCAACTGAGGGTCAATCTCTGACAAGAGGCTATACCGTATGCAGAAAGGGGTGATGGACAACTGTTGAAAAGGGCGGCTTCTTGGTCGGTACTTGCTCAGGGTCGATGGATGCGGGGAGTTGCACGACTTTGGTGAAGCATATTTCGCGTCTTGACGCGCTGTCTTCAAAGTCCAGCATTTTTAAAGATACCCGAGGAACAAAAACTAGCTACTGAGCAGATTGTGGAGGGTGAAAGGGCCTTTGGATCGAGGAATTTTGAGGAAGAAATTGATGTTGGATTAAGCTCGGCTGTATCGATACCGTATCTGCACGATGGAGCCATTACCTGCACATACCCAGCTTGGGTTGCTACCAGGTTATGCCAGTAGATCCACGGACCCATGGATGACGATACTTTTCTTAAACCAGCCCATATTCTTTCGAATTGAAATATGTACTAGTACATTGGGTGTATTCATGTTTCCTAAGGTTGTTTCGCCACAACCTGTAACTGGCACCTGCTTCCATTCCTGGGCTTCAGAGAATTCTGAAAAGGGGCAAGCTTGCAGTGCTCTGCTCATTGGAGACTGCTCTGATAGTAAAGCAGGTATTGAAGAGGATTTGAGTACAGGGGAATCATCCGAACGCGTCATATTGTTCTTGAAACGTCATCAAGTTCCATACTACTAACTGAACTGCTCGAGAACATGTTATACTACCATATATAGTGGGCATAATCAAAGTGACCAGTAAGGACGGTGTTACTTTAGCAGGCTATTAACAGTACTGAAACTCAATGCGAGTACATCCAAGTTGTTCTCGGCCTAGCTAGGCCTTGACTGGCTAGTAAACATTGACAATACGGCAGAGACTTTGGAGCACAAATACCTAAAGGCGTCACCTAGAAAGCAGTGAAAGGGTCAATCTCTTCTGCTATCTTTAGCCCAGGGTCATCTGACAAAGTGTACCTATTGACAAGCGCTTTCTTTTTGACCTATTGACCATCTGCTCCTGAGTCCCCTCCCACTCAACCATCTCCATCACCCCAACATCCACCAGTACATCGTTTCGGCTCTGTTTTTCTCTTCGCTGGGATCTCGAACCCATTTCGAAATAGTCTCTCTTCGAAGCCAAATTTGACAAAAAAAAAGGAAGGAAAGGAAAGGGGGAAAAGACCCCCCGAGGAAAAAAAACTGAATCCCAAGGTACAGTGCTTCTCACTGCCTCAGGCCAAGAACCAAAGGCTTATCCTAGCGATAAAGACGTCGCGCGCCGGCCAGTACGGGTACGTCCGCACCCTCGCGGGATTTACGAGCTTCGCAAAAACTCAATTAACCGCAAAAGCTACTAGGTCCGACACCTCGGGCAACCGAAGTGCGCTGCCAATCATGGCCCCTCTCCCGCGCGCAGATATGCTGGCGAAGGACAAATTCTCATATGTCTTCGGCGGGGCGAGAATTCAAAGCTACAATGATCCCGCCGCACGGGGCCCAGGCTCTCACACGTACGTCGCGCGAACGCTCTTTTTGTCCTGGACCTGACGAACTAATGCAATTGTAGGATCCGTTCTTTGGCGTGGAACCCTCTCGGCCAGCTAATTGCGACAGGTTCCGCCGATCGAACCCTGCGCATCTGGAACCCCGAGCGTGCTGCTGCGCGCTACTCGACTGAGCTTCGTGGCCACTCAGCTGCTGTCGAAGCTGTACATTTCAACCCCGTTCGTGACGCCGAACTGGCCAGCTGCTCCGCCGATGGTACGGTGCGCTTCTGGGATGTCCGCTCCAAGAATTGCGTGAGCCGGCTGGATGTCGGTGGAGAGGCATTCACCCTCTCGTGGTCCGTTGATGGCAGCACCATGGTCGTCGGAAGAAAGGTAAGAGACCTCCAGTCTCCGGGCACTCCTTTGAATGTGAAGCCTACCAATAACGAACAGGATGACATCCTGATCCCGATCGAAATCAAATCGCCCTCTACCCCAACCATCCTCCCCGACGGTAGCTCCGATTCCTCCAAAACCACCTCCACTTACACCGCGCTCTCGCAATACCCCCAGAATGTCCAGACCAACGCCACGACGTTCTTCAACGGAATGTCTACCGAGGAGGACCCGAACCTCTACTTCTTCGCCACAACCGGAGAGGGCGATGTCAAGATCATGACCGTCCCCTCCTTCGAGACAGTCCACACCCTCAAGGCCTCCACGTGTGCCTGCGCCGCTGTCTCCATGGCCCCGTCCGGCCGCTACCTTGCCATCGGGTCAAGCGACTCCCTGATCACCCTGTGGGACACGACAGACTGGCACTGCTGTCGCGGGCTCGAAGGCGGCGCCAATGCGGCTATCCGCGGTGTGAGCTGGAGCTTTGACGGCCGCTTCCTCTGCGGTGCGTCAGATGAGCCCGGCACCGGTGGTCATGGCTTGGATATCTTCTATGCCGATACTGGAGAAATCGTCCACACCGTGCCGCCGACGGGGGCTAACGCCACCATTCCAGCTGTTGCGTGGCATCCATCGCGATATTGGTTGGCCTATTCGACCACCAATGATGGGCCCAGCGGAACTGGTGGGCTGAAGATTGTTGGGGCCGGCAGTACCACGCTTTGAGAGGAGCGTGAAAGTACCTCCTCTGACAAAAGTCTCAGTTTGACGACGTTTCCGCGTAACGAGGTAGCCCGTATGCTTTTTTTTAATACCCCTGCTTTGAATTGATTACAGACTTTCATATGTATTCGTACTTGGAACGCGTCCTGCAGAAGTAGATGTAATGGTAGTCGATTGGTGTCGCCCATAGACCTGAGCCATCTTTAGCTAGTCTTCCTGTCCGCCAGACGATATTAGTATCGCTTGCATTCTACTAGCGTTCTCCAGATCTGCCTTGTAGCTTGGCGCTTGCCAACACCAGTACGTTGGGATTCAGTACCTTAGAAAGTTCGCTGGAGACGAAGTAGAAGCATCTTCGTTGGGATATGAATATGCTAGCCGGAGTGGAGATGTAGTTACACTGGATGTCGTTCATCATTATAATGGTGCTGGAGAAAAAAAAAAGAAAGAAAGAAAGAAAGCCCAACCCTGAAAAGAAAATGAAAAACATCTAGGACAGATACTCCGTCCACCGTTGTTGCGCCAAACGGCCATGATAGCTGGAATTCCAGAGTACCGCGAGACCAGGAATAGAAAAAAGCCAAGCTGAAAACAGGAGTCTGTCAGCCGCTCCAAAATACTGTTTTCCTGAAGGACTGCTTGCCGAGATGCCGTAATGTACAAGAAATCACCATAGATTTGGGCGCAGCGAGAATTCGTTGGTACGTGGATGAATGCCTCATGCAGTTCTCGGTGCCTGAAAACCCGGGCACGTGCCTGCATGGAGGCTGCGTAGAGGCGCAATTAGTTCCACATCCACCAGTCAAAAGGTTCATTAGGGATAAAGAGCGATGATCGCCATGCGACTATTAGATCAACAGCATGAGCTCAGAGTAGAGTAGAGATTGTCCCAAATTCGGGATATAAAGGCTGAAAAACGTATTGTGTTCAAGATGGACGCCATGAATCCCAGCCAGCAGCGTTGCCGCTGCTGCTCAATATTTGTGCCCATTGGGCGTCGCTCAGGCCATCCACGTTGACACCGCCAAAGTCCACGTTGCTTATATCCGCGCTCGGTGTGGGCATGTCCCAAACAGAAGGCATGTTAAAGGCACTACCAGATCCCGCGGTGAGAGGACCAGTAGTGTTTGTGGGGTAGGATTGTCCTCCTATTTGAGGTGACCCTGAGCTTGCGGGGGAAATGTGCACTGGCTGGTTTTTGTCGAAGACAGTCCCAAGTCCTTGTTTGGATTGACCGGCAGTGGTTTTCTGTGGATTCCGGTCCGGCGATGGATCATCGAATCCCGATATTGCATAAGAAGTGTTCGATGACGAGTTCAAAGTCGACGGCGTTGGATGGTCTGATGGTGGATTCCTCTCGCCCAAGCCGAAATCAGCCGGAAAATCCATGTCAATATCGGTGGCACCTAATGAACCATTGGAGTTGGCATATCCAGCCGTATTCTGAGATTGAGGGAACATGTGGTCATTCTGGGGAACCTTGTAAGCACATATTTGGTTCAAAGAGTCTCGTTGTCTATTGGGTAGAGATGTGTTGATGCCCGTCGAATTCGCAGCTTGGTTAGAGCCGCCTGTTTTCGTCCCATCCAGTCCACGGCCATTCTGAGCAACCATGGAAAATATCGGTGGACACTCGACTGGGTCAGGAGGGAACGCTTTCTGCGTAGTTCCCAGTTAGCTTCTAGAGACTTGACCAAGGTTGGTTTCGAGCACGTACTTTTGCATTCAACGCGTAGGCAACATTGAATTTTGAAGGATTAATAGCCTTTATTCCAACCCCCTCAAGATCAACATCGAGCTGGACCAGGAATGATTCAGTCAACGGGTTCTTGACCTTCATCGCGTTCAATGCTCCAACAACAAATTGCAGCGACGAGAATACGGATGAATCATCAGGTCGCGCCTTGAGATACTGAACAAATACCCGTGCTGCAATGTATAAGCAGAAGGACATGAATGGGTTTAGCTGTAATGGATTAGTACTGTCGCCTGTATCGATTTATCGCTCGACTTACAAGTGTTAAATCCACGTGGCTAACCATCTTCATGATGCTGGAGATCTGGTTTGCTGCCACAAGGCATCTGCGTTTGCTCTCGGTGGTAATTTGATTAGGCATTTTGTTCTTCTCGGATTTGAATATGGCAGCTTGATGGAGACAGATGGTCGATGTGTGGATGCTCATATTAGCAAAAATGACATTTACATCATCCATTCCGCTTGGGAGCCGAAGGTGTTCGGGCAAAGACAGCGCAATATGCAGAAGTATGTTGTCATGGCTCCTGTGGCGCTTCCAGAATTCTCCATTCAAGTCGTGATCATTGTCATTCGCCTGGGGTCGGTGAAGATGAATAATGTTGCGACCAAAGAGACTTGAGAGTATCACCACACATGCAAATGGCGACAGGGTAGAGACACCTTCGCCAGCCACGATGTCAACAAGGCGGAGTGTGCGCTGTGGCTTACTCTTCTCGAATGACTCTTCAGAAGCCGGGAGGTTAGTCATGATCTATCGAAAGGTCAGTCATCTGAATCTTGTCGTCGGTATAGGCCAACCCACATCCTGTTCATCAATTACCACCGGCCACCCGGTTCCAATGCTAGCATACCGGTCAGTGCAGAAGGCCATCCAGAAGGTGCGTCGGCGTTCTTCGCGCTCAGTCCAGTCCTTTGGAGGAAGTATAGCCTGCTTGACATCAAGCCCCATTCCGTCCAAACGGTTAAGACCCATCATGAGTGCAAGTCTGGTAGCTTTGCCAACACTCAACCACGCACGCGGGAAGTAGATCATCCGAAATTCATAGGCTCCTACAAGAATCCACGTTTGACAGAATCCTAGGCCAACCACCGATTCTCCGAACCCTTTCATCTCTTCCATCTCCGCATACTTTCGGGCTCGCTGGTAGAAATGAGTGTGCAAGGAAAAATACTTGTCAGTCACGGACGCCGCATGGCACCACATGATATAACGGAGGCATATGGGCGGTCGCATGCCAGGTGCGAGGTTCAAATTGGCGAAATATCGGGGTCGATGGATGATTGGCATTATAGGATACACCTTTTCGAAGAAAATGTTGTCGCTATCAAATGTCATTGGTAAGTCATGGGTAATTCTGATCGAGTCAGATACGACTTACAGCTCCTCGACCACTTCTGGAGCTGGAAGAGGCTCCTCCAGGCCCAGACTTATCAAGTCCCAATGGAAATCAGTGGTTACGTTAGGAATGGTATTAGGAATGGTATCTGCAGGCTCATTGGGAATACTGGTCGCAGGTGGGAAGAGAGATTGTTGCAAATCGGCTGCATTCAGGTTACTAGCGTGCTGGGATAACGAGGCACCCAGACCACCCCCCCAGTCCAGCAATATCGGGTAACGAGAGGTCCGCTTCGTTTGGGAAGGTCGCGGCGAAGGCATTCTCCTGCGCTTGTGGTGGGGAGAGACGAGGTGGATGATCTGAATCCTGACCTTTTAGAAGCGTTTCAACCTGCGCTATTAGAGGTGGAAGAGGTTAGTAATCTCTTAATAGCCGTGGTTGATTCTGACTTCAGATGACTGGCCTACCTAGCCGTGCTTCCAATTGCTTCACATAACCCCGCTTCGGGCCACTCTTCTTGCGCACTTCATCATATGAGCATTCGTGGCCCAAGCGAGAGCAAGTCCCACAACTTGGTCTCTTTCCGTCACATCTGAGCTTTCTCCTCCGACAAACAACACATGCAATCCGCTTCGGTCTAGGGACGTAGCTTCCATCTCCATGGTGCGTGTGGCCGGAGCCATCGTCCTGGAAGTGATTGTCTGCTTGAGCAGAGCCTTGCCCTTGAAGATGCTGCGGTGTTTCTTGCGAAAGAGTGGAGGCCGCAAAGTTCTCCATGGCCGGCATAGGTCGCAGATCAGGCCGGGGTCAGGAATGACAAATAGCGAGCTATCCAGGCCCGATAAGAACCCGGCCGCTTATGAGCGAGGCGCACAAGATAATGGGGCACAGGTCGACATAAGTCGACGATATGCGAGCCTGACGCGAAAGGGGTCCCAATCCGCCAGAGTCTGGGGTTATATGGAGGCGCGGGGGAGCAGGACAAATCGAGGGCAAAGTGGATGACGGTGGTACTGGGTACGTTTTCGTATCAGGAAGGCTGAGGAGGCTGAGGTCCTTTCGCCCCAATCATACCCAACCCCTTTACTCGCGCGATTTACCAGCTACGGTCAGAATTTTCGATTGCTTTCTATCTGAAAAGAAGTTCATATTTAACGTTAGAATCAGGGACTAGGTGCCCCGTAATTACTGGGGGGCGCCGTTAGCTCATTGGCGCATTTTCGTAGGAGGGGTGTACACGCACGCCGCTGCCTGAAAAAGCTTGGCAGAACGTCGATCGACCAACGTCCACCTGCTTATGTGCTCTCATATCAGGCCACGCAAGTACAAGGGTCTGCGCTCGGGCTTCTTGGAATATACAAGATTAGGCAGTTACGGTATACTACACTAATGCACTTATACAGAGATTACCACAATACGGAGGATATTCTATGGGTTTTATTTTGTGCCAATGACAATAGGCCATCATACTATACAGCCCTGTTTTCCAAGCTCCCGCCCATGAAATAGAAACATAATGCACAGTAGATAACAGAAAAATGGGCGATGTAAGAAAACAGGGCGAGATATCATACAGTGATCACCATCCAAAAAGGAGAAGGGCGCGGAAATGAAACCATACAGGAGTCCCGAGATGAGTAGAGAAAGCCAGTGGCCGGTCTTCCAAGGAACTGATGCAGCGACTCTAGTTGTAGCCACGACGGCGTTGGCCCTGGTTACGGGGTCTCGGGTGCACGACGGCTTTGTTGACCTTCCACTTCGGACGGGTCTTGTAACCAGATTTGGTCTGAAGTAGTGTGCGTTAGTAAATGCGTTCGCGTTGTACAAGGACTTCCTGGCGAGGATCACATACCGGAATACCCCATGGACTCTTGGGGTCCACGTTACCCTTCGACTTACCACGACCACCACCGTGAGGGTGGTCCATGGCGTTCATGGCCACACCACGAACAGTGGGACGAATGTTCTTCCAACGAGAACGACCAGCCTTACCCAACTGAGTGTAATGGTAATTAGGGTTACTAGCAACACCAACAGTGGCACAGCAATCCCTGTGAATAAGTCGAACCTCACCACTGGAGAGACGGACAGTGATGTGTTGAGCAAGGTGATCTTGTCGTTGTTTCTCGTTGGCTTGCTTCTGCTTCTCCCACGCCGTAAGGGTCTTCTGCTCTTCTTTTTCTGGCCCTGAGGTGTCCAGCTCTTTCTGCCGAGAGTCACTTCCTTGGCAATGACAGTGGCATACGTGCCTGCACTGCGACAGAGCTGGCCGCCCTTGCCAACCCGCAGGCCGACATTGAACACAAAGGTGCCAACAGGGATCATATGTAAAGGGAGACAGTTCCCACGCCATGCAGTTCGGGCTGCTAGCACACCAGGATCCACGCTCCCACCCATGCTCTTCCACAAATCCTCTGGGATACCAGACATGTAGCTTTGCACTACCTCACCTGCCCGCATACCGTCGGCTGCAATAATGTAACTCAGCTTACCGGTATCCTTGTTCCGGAGCAGTGCAATGTGAGCAGTGCGGCCCGGATCATACTCGATGCGCTCGACCAACTGGGGACCGGGGTCCATACGCAGGAAGTCAACGGTTCGGATTCGGCGCTTGTGACCACCACCCATGTGTCGAACAGTGACTCTACCGCTGTTATTACGACCACCCTTAGCGTGGCCACGTTTGGGGAAGGTCAATTTGTGAACAGGACGGCCCTTCCATAGGTGGTCGTTGACTGGTCGGCGCAAATGTCGAATACCGGGGGTTCGGGGAGTGTATGTGCGCAAAAGGACCCCAGATTCATCACGGGTTGGAGGGGGATCGAAAGCGGCGGCAGAATCAAACGCTGGTGTTGAGGCTGCTCCTGGAGGGGTCTCTTTTTCGTTTATAACAGAGGCGAAGCGCCGAGCTGGAACAGATGGTAAACACCTGAAAGGCAGCTGGACAGCCCGGAGGGCGATTCGGGGTTGAAGCATCATCTGGAGCGCAGGTCGATCAGGGAAATGACGGGGAAAACCGGATTTGGTGTAAGATGAAGCAAATGAGGACACCCAATTGCTTCCAAAAACACGAGTTTCTGCCGCAGACTCGCCCTGCGCTTCTTTGGCTCTGTCTCTCCCGGGTCCCCGTGCTGTAGACAAAAAGTTCCAAACGGGAGCTCACGTGAGGAGCACCGCCCGTAGGCACCGCCACTGGCAGAAAGGGCGTGGCGCAAGTATTTCGCGTCTCACCGCCCATCAGGCCAAAAGTACCAAACGGGAGCGAGACGCCAGAGCTCGGTTGCCCCGCGCAACGGCATTGTTTTGCTCCGCGACTCACGCTTCAGTCCGCGCCGCGTATCCACCATTACCAAATACAGCCCCTGCCTGCCACATCTTCTCCCCTGCATTTTTGGATCGTCTTTCCCACTTCAAGTCCGGGAAAATTCCTCGATCCTATTCATTACTCGATTCTCTAAGACTTCATACCCAGCATCCCATAACTTTCTATATTGCCAGTGGTGTGAAAGGCCAATATCAACCCGCGACGTCGTCAGTGTGGGGCGTCTTTCAGGTCTGACCGGTTTTCCACGCTAGCACAGTAGGGCCCAAACATCGCTTGACCCTCTTCAAGTTCTTCCTCTTCCCTCCATCATTCCATCTTCAAGATACCCTTCCCCCCTCCCACCACCTCCGTCACCCGGGACAATCCTCCGGTCCTCTTTCCACGTGTGCTCAGAATACCTCAGCGGCCGTCAATCCCGGATTCTCGCGCGTTTTTGTGCTCTGGGAGCTGGCTTTTCGCACGACCCTCCATCTGCATCAACAACACCTTTGTATGTTTGTTGACATTTAATACTTCGGATCATATCAAACACCAAACTACCTCTCTCAACCTCTCCCAAAAGCAGTTCCTTTGACTGGACTGCATATTCACGCGTGGTACGTGCACCTCGACCTCAACCCTGTGGTATTCGGGCTCCCCACAGAGGTTATGTCGACCGGAATGCTAACCAGCCTGACCTAAGCAGGACGAGGAGAATTATAGCCCTCTCCCTTCTTTTCAATTTCGCTCCGTCTTTCGCCTTTGCTTCTCTCTTGATTCTTGCAATATGCCTCCGGTAAGACATTGTTAACCATCCATCCTTGTGTTTACAACATCCACTGGTGAAGAGCCCTTGGATGACCTAAACGCGTCTACAACGTATGGTCTAAACGCGGTACTTACTTCAAAACAACAGGCCCACGGCCTTCGCAGTCGAGGTACCATGAACGAGAACGACGAGAACGCCCCGGCGACGCGTATGACGCGAGCCAAGGCCTCCATTGCGGTCGGTCCAACTGATGCAGCCAAGAAGCCCGCTCTTCAGACCAAGCGAGCTACCGGTACCAATGGAACTCAACGCCGTGCCGCCCTGGAAGATGTGAGCAACAATGGCAACAAGGCCGGCGCTGTTGCGGCCAAGGATGGAAAGAAGAAGCCTCTTGTCGCTCCCAAGACTTCATCTACCGCGAAGCCTGGCACCAACGGAGGTGTCCAAAAGTTGAACCGTACTATTTCAAGCCGAGCCGGTGCGAAGAAACCGACCCCCGTCACCAGCAACAAGCGCCCCAAAGATGTTGTCGCCAAGGAGGAGGTACAGCCCGAGGAGCCCCCCCGCAAGAAGAAGCTGGGTCCTGTGAAGGAGGAAGTCAAGGACGAGCCTATCGAGAAGGGGAAGATTGAGGTTCCTGCTGACCCTCAGGACATTGTGCAAGATTTGGACAGCGAAGATCTGGATGATCCTTTGATGGCTGCTGAATATGTGGTGGAGATCTTCGATTACTTGCAAGAGCTGGAGCTCCTGACTCTGCCCAATCCCCAATATATCGAGCACCAGCCGGATCTGGAGTGGAAGATGCGTGGTATCCTTGTCGACTGGCTTATCGAAGTCCACACTCGCTTCCGCCTGCTGCCTGAGACTCTTTTCCTCGCTGTCAACATCATCGACCGCTTCCTGTCTGCTGAGGTCGTTGCTTTAGATCGCCTTCAGCTCGTTGGTGTCACCGCCATGTTCATTGCTTCCAAGTACGAGGAGGTTCTGTCTCCCCACGTCGCCAACTTCAGCCATGTCGCCGATGAGACCTTCTCTGACAAGGAGATCCTTGATGCCGAGCGTCACGTCCTCGCCACCCTCCAGTACAACATGAGCTACCCTAATCCCATGAACTTTCTCCGTCGTATCTCCAAGGCAGATAACTACGACATCCAGACTCGCACTCTTGGCAAGTATCTGATGGAAATCAGTCTCCTCGACCACCGCTTCATGAGCTACCCCCCAGAGTCAAATCGCCGCCGCGGCGATGTACCTTGCCCGTCTGATTCTCGATCGTGGCGCCTGGGATGCCACCATTGCCCACTACGCTGGATACACCGAGAAGGAAATCGACCCTGTCTTCCGCTTGATGGTCGACTACCTTCACCGGCCCGTTTCCCACGAGGCTTTCTTCAAGAAGTATGCCAGCAAGAAGTTCCTCAAGGGTTAGTTCCCCACACCCTCGTTATCTTTTCTATGTCATCATTGCTCACCCATCCTTCTAGCATCTATCCTGACGCGTCAATGGGCAAAGAAGTACCACCACCTGTACATCGACAGCTCACTCTCGGAACCGTACACTTACATCAAGGACAGCGAACAGTAATGATGCCATTTAACGATGTTATGCTATCCCTGTGTCCACAATGTTGTCCGCCTTCATGACGATCCCAAGGCCCTTGCACCCCGCGACCAGGGAGACTTGAATCCCATATGTTGGCATTTCATTGTTCTGGCATCAAATACCTTTTGCATATTCTTACGATAACTTGATTATTTGTTCGTTTCCGCATTTTGTCTTCTGTGACGGGGTGTCCGGCGCTCGGCACTGGGTTTTTGGGATCGGGCTTTCTTTCTGCTTCTACTTTTTTCTCTGCATGGGGTGCTTAGTTTCTTGTCTCCCCGGATACCTTTTTTAACATTCGAGTTGTGTGATCGGCGTCGGACCTATTTTTCAGTGTTTCTTGTTCTTTCTTCAGATCGGAATGTTATCTCATTGCAATCATTGAATGGTTTTCTTTTGCTTCGCGTCCTTGGCCTCCCTGCGGGGAGGGCCATTGGGAAGTCTACTTCTTGTGCATCTCTCATGGCCCATCGATAATGGTACAGCGAAAGGGTCACCAAAAAGAACAGGCTGGAAGCCACGTTTGTTGGATTTTAAGGGTTTTGGGGGTATTGGCTGGTCAAGTCTGGCTGCTGGGTTAACTTGATCCACAGACTGTGTCCTCCATATTCACACATTGAAATCGGAAAGGAAGGGGTAATGAGCATTAAATTAAGGTGGTTCGGCATGGGTTTCGTTTTTCTGTTCTAGGAATAGCTTACAAGGTTCTCTTGCGCTGGTTTGGCGTACTCCATGGTTGCAATCTGACTAAATTCATGAATCCTTCTTGCCTCGTATTCGCGGCCCATTATCTTCAAACTGAAAGTCTTCCTGGCCCTGCTCCTGGATACTGTCTCCTGATTTCTCCATACCACCTTGACATTTCTCCGAATCCCCGCTGGTGAGACTTGAATAGCTACTTATTTAGTTAGACTGTAAGGTTGTTGACACCCCATGGCGGGTAACTGTTTTAGCCGAGGTCGGCGTCCACGGTAGACGTCAACCTCGAAACTTGCATACAATTCAGCTCGATTCCAGCTTCAGCACCGACGGACATAATCATTTTGCATTATACGTGTTGCAACCCATTTTTGAGAGAGCGGATCCTCACCATCATCTACGCTTGCTCTATATCCCAGCCCCATATCAACAAGCTGACTCGGGGGATTGACGCACCGCGGCTCTCGATATATAACCCCGGCAACTAATATTGTCGACCCTGCGCACCGCTTTCGCCCAGGCTTGAATATTTCATTGAAAGCATCCAACTGCGGCCCGGAGGTCGCGACAAGCATTCTACAATATCCACTCGTAAGATCTCAACACTGTCATGGACCTCCCAAGATGCCCCTTCTGTAACATTGCCGCCACCAATGGGCCGGCCCCTATCGACCAACCCGAGTCAATCCCATCGGATTCAACTGCTGCGCCTACAGCACATCTCATTCTCTCAACAGAGCATGTCCTTGCTTTCTTGGATATCATGCCCCTAACTCGAGGCCATGTGTTGGTAGCGCCGCGGAAACACTTCCAGATGCTAGGAGATATGGGGGTGGAAGCGGGACAAGAGGTGCGTACATTCGCCTCGGAGGAAATCAGAAACATCCGAAAAAACACCCCGTAATAACGAATACTATCTTCACTACGCAGATGGGCAAATGGCTACCGGTTCTCTCGAGGGTCGTCACCAACACCGTATTTGGCGCTGACCACGATAAGCATTGGAATGTGGTCCAGAACAATGGTATGTTTCCCCCTGTCTGATTTACACGATCGACCACATCCACCCTTGTAAGATTTGATTCGCTGCGTGTCTAATGTTCTAATATGCTTTACCCGCCCGTTCATTCCTTGCTTGCTCACGGAGCTTGATAATCTAACTAAGAGACAGGCGTCCGGGCGGCCCAAGTCGTCCCGCATGTTCATTTCCACATCATTCCGCGGCCCGCGACGGGAAATAACCAGCGATCAAGTTTCGCGATGTTCGGCCGAGGCCAACGCGAGGAGCTCGATGACGATGAAGGCGAGAAATTGGCTCGCGAGATGAGAGCGGAGCTGGCACGTGAGGTGTCTCGCATCCTGAAAGACGAGGGGGTGGATCTTGCGAAAGACTTGAAGCCGCAAGGAAAGCTGTAAGATGTTGTCCCCGCGACCAGCGCCATGCCCCCATCTCTTCTGCGATGGGATGTACAGTGGACGGTTCACTCCTTAGGTTGTTGGTTGGCTAGTTCTCTTTCGGCTCTTTCCCTTTGGCGTTGGAGTCTCTCTGCGCGATACCGCCCGAAGTACTGCGTGGAGAGATTAGCTGGGTGATGTGCAGCTTTTGAGATTAGAGATACATACCTTTCTTCGGAACTCATTGAGATCATCCGCCGAAGCGCCTTCATCGTCCGCCTTGTTTCTGGCTAGAGCTGTGTCAGACACCTCTCCTTCAGGAAGGCGGCGGTACGTCAACAGCATGCGTGCCCCTGGAGGACGTATCGAATTAGTTCCATCTTCTCTTCAAACACGATAAAAATATCATAGCTCACAGTTATGAAACGATTGAGTAGAAACACTGATCAGCTCGAGGTTCGGATGCATAGGCAGGGGGAGATCCATCTCATCCATGGCTGTCGGCATCCACATCGCCAGACGGCCATTCGTCACAAGCGATCGGGCAGCAAAGCCCAGGACATCCCTCTGCATGGCTTCAAACCCGTAGGGCTTTTTGGGTGGGATATATCCGGGCCGGCTAAGAGAAAGTTAGCAGGTCTGTACAAGTTCTTGATCGCCGGTCCTCAACATACTAGTGGGCGGGCACCCCGTCAATGATGACGGGTTCGATGGCCTTTCCACTGCGGGTGCCAAGGACCCGCAAGCCTTCTCGCACTCCATATGGCGGGTCGCACACGATGCCGTCGAGGAATTGGACGTTTCGCAGCGGGGTATTCGTCAGATCCGAGGTGAACGCCTCCACAAACTTGCTTTCGGTTCCGTATTGCTTGAAATTGTGCGTCACGGCGGGCGGACCCCAGTTCTCCTCTTCCTTGCCACGAAAGCTCCGGGGGTCGATGTCCGAGCCCATGCTGAGTGCGCCGAAATGCGCCGCTGTCACCATGAAGCTCCCGGTCCCCACAAACGGATCGTAGAAGAGCTTGCCCGGGGCAGCGAGCGCCATATTCGCGGTCACAAGGCTTAACTCCGCTTCCATGGAGGTGGTGCTGATGTACTTGCGCTTCTTCAGGTCATACTTCAAGATGGCATCTCGTGTGCTCTTGCCCAGGTATCGTCCCATGAAAATCATCCGCGGCTCATGCGGCTGGTCAAGATTGACGGTCCGATGACTCAAGTCTTCTTCGTACTCTTCCATGACCCAGAATTTCTCCTGGGGGTCTTTCATGCGGATGGGCCCTTTAAAGCCGGTGTAGGCGAAGGACTGGATGATTTCGATCTTCTTGCCAGAGCTGCGCTTGCCCAAGAAGGAATCCACGACGAACGAGAATGTGCGGTGCTCGTAGTCAGGCCAGCGGCTCGCCGTGCGCTTTCGGACGTCTGCGTGCAGCTCTTCATAGACACTGCCTTGGCCCCATAGTTCGTACACGTCTTTGGCGAGGATGCTGCGCGCAACCAGAGCACGTGCGGTTGCTTCATCAGGCAGCTTCACGATGCAGTATGGAGACTGATGTGGGGTCAGCAATCGGTCATTCACGTCAGAGGGCTGGGGGATGGGGGCATTTCACGTTATGCTTAGCCCATGCTTGCACAGACCTTATCCGAGTAGTAGACCCATTCCAGATCAACCTCGAGGAGAGTGGCCAAGGATTCGAGCTCCGGTTGGCGGAAGGAGAAATGGCAGTGGGCAAGGCGGATTAGAAAATCCATGGCGAAGGTGAATTCTACACTCCAATTGTCTTTGTGTCTCCAGTCCTCAAGGGAGATTCCTCAAGGGAGATTCCTCATTTGTTGGCTTGGAATATGGTCTGTTGGTGGATGGTGGGGTCGCGGTTTGATTTTTTTAGAATCCGAATCGGCGCGCCCGCGGTTATTGCCATTACGATCACCGGAATCCCCCAGAATCGACGTGCTTCCCATCAGACGCTTAGATCGCCCGAGCGGTTGGGTAATCGTGCTTTATTTGGGCCTCATAACCAAGAAATGCACACAATGCCTGGTCAACTAGTATCCTGATGTGTGATCTGTAGTCATTGGCCCCGAATTCCGGAAGCCCTACAGCAGACATGTATTGTAACTGCAATCTAGGAAAGCTCTAATCAGTGGGGTGGAGGGCCGTTTTGCACTTTTGCACTATATTCGGTCACCTTGTTGATTCTAGGTTGCCTGCAGGATATCTCCAGGACCCTGCTTGCATCTGCATTCGGCAGTTCGCGACTCGAGATCATCCGCGGACTATCGATCCCATAGGATCGATAGGCTCCCCAGCATTTCGCCCAGAAGATTTCTCCCATACTAGAAAGAAACTATTGAAAGATATTCTCGAATACATCAAGGCCCGGGTCTCTCCGACCCTTACGGCCCTCCCCAGCGGCTTAGCCTCAATGCTATTCGGGGACTCTAAAGGATGAATATTTGGATAGATGTCACAGGAAGACGTTCGATCGCAAGCTTAATTGCAGCTTTGTCCATGGCATCACGTGGGCGACATCAAGTGGTATTCCGGCGTGCCAGGCAACAGATACTGAAAGACAGATGGGCGCGCCCCGCAATGGGGAAGTGGGAATCGCAGGAAATCGTTCCAATCCACAGGTCGATGGAGCACAGTCGTTGTGCGCTGAAAGGTGTGCGATCCTGCTTGCTGCGGAAAAGACCTGACCAGTAGCAAGTGGAGTCGCTCGTTTCTAGGTCTTCACTGGAGTCGCGCTATCAACCATCCGATTAAACCGGAGGGGCCGTGACCATCACCCCCCCTGATCGGCCGACGGAGACTGATACTCCCCACATGGAGGAGGGCTCGGTTGCCTGCCAAACCTTCCACTCTGAGCTTAGTTCCACGGCTTATCTGTGGTCATTCGAGCAGAGGCCCACCTCAATTCTTCCATTCGCTGCCCCCAATACCTGCGGATATCGCCGTATCGGAGCCCGACGGTGGTGCCATGCCGAAGTTCCATGGTTGTTTACCAAGAGATTCCCACGCGGACTAAACACCGTGGATAGATTCAGCAGCAAATTCCCTAGAACGGCCTCGAATGCCGCGAGGCCCAGCGCTATTAGGCTTCTGCAATTCTCAGTGATAGCTGATATACGGGGAAGTGGCACGGTTCCCCCGGGGCGGAAATGGCGCTGCTAAAGCTCCACTTGACTTCAGCTCCCTAAACAGCCTCGTGAGCGGGCTCAATTTTGGTAGTTCATCTCCTTTAGTCTCTTTAGTGAAAGAATTAGTTGCCCCCGCTCCCCTAAACGTATTTGAATGGAGCATACATAAAGAAGGGCCCGCCGGGGGCTTCGCAAGACTGTGTCCTACATTCTTCTTCGACTGGTAGCCATGCGTTTCCTCAGCGGTCTGGTCTTCTCTTTACTGGCCGCGCCCTTGGTGGATGCAGTGGCCCCCAAGAAGCCTGGCATCCCTAAGCCTAAGTTGAAGCATCCCTTGTCGGAAAAGGACTATGGGCAGGCGACTTTCCAGCAGTTGCTCGATCACAAGAACCCCAGCCTGGGTACTTTCTCGCAACGCTACTGGTATAGCACGGAGAATTGGAATGGACCGGGCTCACCTGTATGAATGCGTGCGAAGGTTTCCCTGGGTTGGCTGATCTGACTATGTAATTTAGGTGGTGCTCATGACCCCCGGTGAAGTAGCTATGGATGGCTATGAGGGTTATCTGACCAACCGGACGCTTACGGGTCTGTTTGCTCAGGCGATTGAAGGAGCCGTCATTCTGATTGAACGTAGGTTTTCTTGGGAGTGCAATAGGTATACCTGTCACGAGAACCGGGCTGACCATTGGGCTCTACTGCCATAGACCGCTACTGGGGTCAATCTTCTCCTTATATCGAGCTTACTGCGGAGACTCTGCAGTATCTCACTCTGGAGAACTCGATTGCGGACCTGACCTACTTTGCGAAGAATGTCAAGCTTCCTTTCGACGAGTCTGGAAGCACCAACGCCCAACACGCGGTATGAAACGCATCATTAAAACCTGAGATAAAACGGTATCATGAATCCTAACCTTTTCACTTCCAGCCATGGGTTCTGGCTGGTGGATCGTACAGTGGTGCCTTGTCTGCGTGGACTGCATCAACTGCTCCAGGTACCTTCTGGGCATATTATGCAACCAGCGCACCCGTCGAAGCAATCTACAACTACGTAAGGCAGAGACTATTCCTAGCTGTGACTGGAATCAACATTCTAACAGCTTTCTATAGTGGCAATACTTTGTCCCGGTCCAGGAAGGTATGCCCAAGAACTGCAGCAAGGATATCTCCAGGGTAGTCGATTATCTCGACTCCGTCAACGCCTCGGGAGACAAGCAAAAGCTTCAGAAGCTGTACGAGCTCTTCGGTCTCGACGACATCGACTCGTTCGACGACTTTGCTGGGTTAGTGCTCATCCTACTATTTTCGAGACCAAAAAGCTTACGTTCTACAGTGCCCTGGAAAACGGTCCTTGGTTGTGGCAAGAAAACCAGTTCGACACTGGATACTCTGAATTTTACCAGTTCTGTGACTACATTGAAGTTCGTGCTTCTCACATCATATCCTGGACTTCTGTACTAAAATATTCATTAGGGCGTGCGACCCGGAGCTAGCAAAGTCCCAGGCGCTGAGGGAGTGGGCCTTAAACAGGCTCTCCAGGGCTATGTGAAGTGGTTCCGAAACGTCTATCTCCCCAATGGTTGGCTCCCCCGTCCTCGTTCCGCATAGCTGCCGAATCTAACGATATGAAATTCAGCATGCACCGGTTACGGTTTCCCTGAAAACAGCACGGAGTGCCTGAACACGCGCAACACATCCAGCATTCTCTACACGGAGACCTCCGTCAACAGCACAGTGGTCGCTACCAACGATCGTCAGTGGCAGTGGTTCCTTTGCAACGAGCCCTTCTTCTACTGGCAGGAGTAAGTGCTCTTGATACGCTGTACTGCGCCTCTTTATTAACATCGGACCAGTGGCGCCCCATCCGGCGTCCCTAGCCTGGTTTCTCGGACCGTGTCCGCAGACTACTACCAGCGCCAATGCCCGTTGTACTTCCCTACCGTGAACGGCCATACCTACGGCAGCGCCAAGGGCAAGACTGCCGCCGATGTCAACAAGTGGACTAAGGGCTGGGACCTCACTCACACCACCCGGCTGACTTGGACTAACGGGTACGCCGCTCTCCCCTTCCCCAGGGATCCTTTTTAGTATCGATTTAACTCTGCCGTAAATAGACAATTCGACCCCTGGAGGACGTCGGGTGTGTCCTCCGGATTCCGCCCCGGTGGCCCTCTGCAGTCCACCCCCGAAGCCCCTGTCAACATTATTCCCGCTGGAATCCACTGCTCTGACTTGTCGGCTGAGAACGGGCTTGTCAATGCCGGTGTCCAGAAGGTAATTGATACCGAGGTGGCCCAGATCAAGACCTGGGTTGCCGAGTACTATAAGCAGTAATGTGGTATTGTCATGGCCTATTTGCATTGTTTTAATACTTCATGAGAATTGATGTATATAACGAATCGATCGATACACGATGGATGTAGAATCTTGCATGCACACGAGTGGTATTTGGAAGTCGTAAGCAACTGATCCCAAAGTTAGACAAAAGCGCTACACAAGTGTTTGCACTGGGCACCTGGTGCTACGAAGACGAAGGAAATCATCTCCAAATTCAAGGTTGTCAGATTAAGTAGTAACAGTAGCGCTTGTGCCAGTAGATAAACCGGCGTCAGATGGCATGTAAAATGCACGCGTTCTATTGGATTATGTGGAACATGAGGTACATGAGGATGGTCAAAAGGTTCTTCATCTCCTGTGGCGAGCCTATCAGCTTTGAACCAGCCATACACCGTGGGAGATGAAACCCCAAAAAAAGAAGACCCAACAATAACCAACTTAAGATTGCAGATCAACCTTTCATCTCGTTTATCAAGTCCCGCGTGATGGGTGAATTTGTGGGAATCTTGTTGTCATGTACTTTCAGGCCCTTCTTAGCCGGTTTCCGCAACCCTAATCTATTTCCCTCAGAACCAAGTGGGCTGAGCGGTAGACGGACTTGGCCTTCAGGCTTGATCGGCGGACTCTTCTTGCTGCCTGGTGATTTAAGTGCTTTGGCTGCACTTGGAGAAATGGGTATCTGCGAGGAGTCCAGTATGGTCGAGTGGAAGACATGATTCTCGGCGGCGCTCGGAGGCAGATTGTAGACCCAGTCCTTTCCTTCCATAAGCCGGACATATTTTTTCAAAAGGTCGTTGCCATCACGGAGGGTTGATCTGCTGCCGAGCACAAGAAGCTTGGTACGGGCGCGGGTGAAGGCAACGTTGACTCGACGCCAGTCCTTAAGTAGCTCACCAACATGGCTTTCAGCGTTGCTACGGACACAGCTGAGTATCACGATCTCTTTATCACGGCCTTGGAACTTGTCTGTTGTGTGCATTTCTAGGTCTGGGGCGTATCGACGCAGGCTCTGGCGTAGTTGGGAAAGTTGGCTGCGATAGAATGTGATGACACCGATGTTGCGAGCTGGAATACCACAGGCAATGAATGATTCCACGAGCTGGGAGCAAAGAGAGACCTCCATCGGGTTGACAATCCGTTGGCCTTGAGCCACCTCGAGAGCTGCTGTCCCAAGCGGATCTGTGTTGACAAGACGTGTCTTGGCTGCTGGTGCCAAGAGATCGTTCAACCAGCACTTCCCATAGCCCATGCCAGGACACATCGCACCGTTGTGAGAGGCCCAAGAAGAACAGGTATCACTGGAATGAAATTGCTCAAGAGCTGATATGTTGGGTATATCAAGTGAGCGGGCGGCAACCTCTGGAGTGCCACATTTCAGACGACCAGAGTAAATGAGTTCATTCGAAAGAAGCATTACGTCCTCACACATACGGTATTGGTGCTCCAAATTGACGACTGAATCGGGCTGAGTATCAGAGAGTAGCTTGAAGAGGCTGATATCAAGACCTCCCTCTTGGGCCTCTTTGTTTTGAACAAGCGGCGGAAGCTGGAAATGGTCACCGACCAGGATGAAAGTTCTGGCCATGCGTATCGGACCAACGCAAACAGGAAGTGTGATCTGTGAAGCCTCATCCACAATGCAGTAATCGAAGATGCGCTGGTTGAAGATTTGATGGTTAATACCCAAGCAAGTTGAGGCAACAACTTGCGACTTTTCGTAAGAGTCTTTGAGTTCTTCGACTGTCCTCTTGGGAATTGCTGCGAGATCTGCAAACTTTTCCACTTCTGGATGGACCTTGGAAGCTGCACCGAGCCGCAGGATACGAATGTTGTCATCCCGTATCTTCAGTAAGATATTGTCCACTGCGGTATGTGTGTAGGATGTAAGCAAGACACTCTTGCCTTGCGCGACAAGTGCACGGATGAGGTGGGCAATAGTCGTTGTCTTCCCAGTTCCTGGCATGCCGAGAACCAAAGCATAGTCCCGGGCACTCATGACTTTCTTGACAGCTTGCCTCTGGTCGACATTAAGACTTGCTTGGTCAGCCATGGTGCATGCAGAGGATGGTTGCTTGAACACAGGAGCTTCATTCTGGATGATGAGTCGTCTCAAGTGTTTTGCTTGGAAGAGATCCTTGTCCATCATGCAAACGAGATTATTCCGAATGTTGGCCATGCCATTGCTGAACTCATCCTTGTCAATACGATACGTCACTTGTTCGTAAGGATCTTCGATTTCGGCTAGCTCGTTCCCTTTCGATTTCCCTGATGCCTCTGAAAGACTGGTTGGTCACTGGATGAAACCCAGCTGTGCGTGCTCTTGCATTGTGGAGCATTCTGTCCACGCCAACTGTAATCCGCGACTTGCTCACATGCAGGACATAGCCATTGGCGAGAGCAAAGTGGCCTTTCTCGTCGGAAATCACCACAGGCTCACCAACGACAATTTGAGAATCTGCGAATGAGAAGTTGGGATTTGCCTGCTTCTTGCAAAAAGTGTAACGGTAGCGATTGATCTTGGCTCCCTTGTGATCTTCAAACTTGGTCTGAGGATCAATCACGACATCCCCAAAACATCGGCCCAAAGACTCTCGCTCGCTACTCAGAAGAGTCCACAGCTCTCGTCGGAACTTAATGAGGTTACCCTCCTCTTTAGTCAGAAGGCTATCCCATTTTTGGAAAAATTCACGGTCCTTTTCTGTCAGATGATTTGTATCGGCCTCGAAATCATCACCCAAGCCACTTGTTTCGCCGTTGCCGTCCTCCATAAGCCTGTGATAAATGAGACATGGGGTTTTGGCATAGCATCTAGTACACATGCGCGGCTTCTTCAGCATTGGGGGAAGCTGGGCTCTTTCTCGGACGTAGACTGACAATCGGTTGCGAACCTGAATCATCTGGAGAAGTTCATGACGAATACCACGGATGCTCAAAGTCCGAGAAGTCTCCAGATAGTAAAGAAGTCCGAAAGTTACATCAACGTCTAGGAGTACACGTGAGCAAGTCATAGACATTCAGTTTAACATCGCACCGAAGACTCACCATAACGGTCTGAGAGAAGAAGGGTGTAAAGTGCCGTTTGAGCTCTGTGGCTATGATTTGTATCTCGTTTTCCAGTTTTCAATTCAAGCGGTATGACAAGATTTTTCTGCCCATCATCTTCTTGACATGTCACTTGTACAGTGGCATCGATATTACCCTTCAGCCCATACATCGGTGACCAGATATGCTCTTCGACTTCAAGAAGACGGCTTATGCTCAAGTTGAGTTTTGCTCCATGGCGATCTTCCACCAATGAGTCGGCCTGTACAGGGGATTAGCACAGTGATAATGGGCTCCAAAAGAAGTACGTACCTGTGGTTTGCCATGAAGGAATATCTCCGCCCAAGCTTGAACGGTGGGAACCTTGCTCATGATAGTCTCCGCGGCTTCTTTCTCACTCATATTGATAGCATAGAGATCCTCGATGTGGTGCACCAGGACACCTTCTACAAGAGATCTTAACGAGACCAAGTCCCATTTGTTCGCTTTCAATGCTTCTTGAAACACTTCGTGGAAAAGGGTCCCGAACAGCTGAGGTTGCTCAAGTTGACTGAAGGTCTTGATGCGATCCTGTAACACAGCTCTTCTCTGGCAATCAATCGAGTCTGCCACCACTGTAGCGGAGATGAGGTGGTCCGGGTGCAAAATAATCATGTTGCTGGTATTGTCTATGACACACTGTCCAGAGGCATCAAAATCACCGACTAAGTGAACAGATGATCCTTTACTGCAAGGCGTATCGAACCATGATTCTCGCAGCAGAATCACCTTGCGCGCCCCAGTCCTCTCATCTTCAACTGACAAAACCTGGTCATCGATCAGTAATCGGAACAAAGAATTAGCAAGATAGGTAGCATACCTGTTCAGGCTGAGTACGTCCTCTGGGGCAAACATAGGTGCCTTCAGCGAAGTTCACAATTGAATACCGTTTGATAGCTTGGCGGTTTTGTAAATTCTAATATTCATTTGTCTTAGCATATACACTAAGAAGGATAAATTGACTAAGAGCGACCAACATAGGCTCTATCGGCACCTGTTTGCTTCATGGTTTGCTCGATCTCATCGAGATCAAAGTCATCGTCAAATTCATCTTCCGAGAACGCAGCCTCAGCTTGGGCGTCCTGATTCAATACGGCACGGGAAGAGGCATCCCCCGCCGGAGGGGCAATAGGAGCAAGCTCCGTCTTGACAGCCAGCTGTCCTTGGGTGCTCTGCTTCTTGTCGCATTCAGCAAGGATCGCATCGAAGTTCTCCCCGAAGTCCCCAAATTCATCATCGAACTCGTCCGAGGCGTCAACATTGGTTTCGTTATTCGTTATCTTATTCACAATGGGTAGTTTCTGGTCAATTGTCGGCGGTTTCCCAAAGCTTGACTGCGGCTTCTCGGCCGCAATCTTGGACCAGCTTGAAGGGCCGAGTGACCCGAATTCATCAGCGCTTAGCGGTGCTGGTGCTGGTGTAATAAATTGGTCTGCAGCGGCATCAGCCAGATCCATCAGGTCTTGATCGAGGTCATCATCTCCAAACTCTGAAGAAGACTCGGGAAGTACTGGGAGTTGAGCACGTCCTAAGCCCTCACGGTTTGTGGCGTGAACAGACGCCTGGGCAGCATCAGAGCCCCCAAGACCCTTTCGATCCATGGTAGGGGAGGAGGATCGACATCGTTCGGCGTCGATACGTTGTCGCAGAGGCGAAGATCTCGGCGGCACTACATCAGCAGGTCGCGGTGGGTGGAGGCTCTTTTCGATCTTTTCTATCAGAAAATTGATTCGGGACGATTTGCCTTTCCCAGAGTTCCCTGAATCCAACACGTTGCTGTTTGCCCGCGAGAAGAGGCCTCGCCCGGAGTCCGGAGCTTGTCTGTTAACCCGCCTCCTCTTTGCCCGAGAAGTAGGCCACTCCGCTGCACAACTGATAGACCGTCTCATAGCAGAGGAATTCCGGCTTGTTCTCCCTGAACCTGGGGTTTGCGGAGATGAAGAAAGAAGATTTGCCAATCGCGGGGGTGGCAATTCTTCAGAGCTCTCCATCATGTTCTTGTCCATGTAATTATTCCATAGTTCGGCGGCTATATCATGTTGAGGTGTCTTGAACAGGGCCTGGATGGATTGAAGATCCAATGGTTCTTGCTGGTCTTTCTTAGTGCGAGAGGGTGATCCGACGGGGGAAGAGCTATGGCGACGTTTTTTTCCGACGGCTGCCGGGGGTTTGTGACGAGCTATCAGGGTTCGAGCTGGCCGGGATATGTTGCCAGATGACATGATCTACCGGTGTCACTTCTGGACCTGGCGCGGGGTTAAATGAGTCTTCGGCATTGCTAATTAGGTCTGCTAGAGGGATTCGGTTCCCCGGAGTCTTCGGACACTCTTTGATCGATTTGGCCTCTTGAGGTCCCTGGGAAACAGCCTCCTGGGTGACATTTCGAAGAGCTTCGGAAGCATCTTCTTTATCAGGCGATGTGTGCATTGGATCAACGACGCCGTTCAACCACGAGCTCTGGTTCTCCTTGTTCCCATGAGGCTTTTTCGACTCGTTCTTTGCCGATCGATCATCTGAAGTCTGTTTCTGAAAGCGAAAAGCATTCAATTTATTGCGCGAATTGGATGAGATCGGGGGCTGGTCGTTTGTCGACATAGCCTCGGGACAATCCTTACCCCAATGCTCAGATCGGGTAACTGTACATTCTAGAGACTAGGGAGCCAGCATTTCAGTGATAGAACATAGGTGGGAACTCGCTAGGTCATATATACCAGTAGAAAGTGGCAGAGCTGCGGAGTGCGAGCTCGGTAGATTGTTTGTGTATTGGAAGGAGTCGATTTGACGCTTTGATCTGTTGTCAATAATCCGAAAGAGTAATTGGCGCTTGCTGTTACACGGTCGGACGCGTCGCGCGTTGGCCGTCGCTGCCCTATTTGCCAGGCACAAATGCATATTTGTGCCATATTCATAAGGCTGAGAAAGCGGCCACCGAAAACTGCCTAATCGGGACTAGCGGTTTGAGTAACCAGCTCCCCGTCGGCCGCTTTTGCGGCTTCAACATCGACATCCGCCCCTCTCTTTGAAGTCGTCCCCGCTGCCAATTGAAAGACTGTGTTACTACACTGGCCAAGGCATCTGTCAGGTAGCATCGTCACCGATATTGCCACATCTTCCGTTGTGCCCCTGCCCTGAATCAGCCACGTCGGCATTCCCGTCCTTACGATGCCTGCCCGGCCAGTCTCCAACCTCCTGCGCTCGCGCTGCCTCCTCCGCAAGCCGCAAAACATCCAGAGCTTCTCTACCCGTAGCAACCTTCGTGCTGCAGACCATGGTGACCATTACGACCCGCCGACTGGCTGGCTCTTCGGTGTCCGACCCGGCCAGAAATACGTGAAGGAGGGCTGGGAGAACATCTGGTACTACGGCTTCATTGGCAGCCTTGTGGCCGGTGGCATTGCATACGTTTTCAAGCCTGACACTTCGTAAGTATCCTCTTCCGCTGCTGGCGTCACTCCGAATAGGAAGGATCATAGAGCCATTCCACGGGGGTGTATGACGCATCGAAACTGACTCGACTTACAGCATTCAAACCTGGGCTCTCGAAGAAGCCCGCCGACGATTGGAAGCAGAGGGTATTCTGGAAGACCCTGACAAGGTCAAGAAATAAGAGCGCGGATTTGGTTTTAATCTGTACAATGTACATAGAGAGATCGGAAGGCGATCGTCTGGGCCGATGCCTGATAACCTGCCAAAGCAGGCATGATATTTCCACCCCTTGTTAGACTGGGGGTTTCGCATGTTTCATTTCCACTTTTTTATCTTTCGATCACCTGCTGTACTACTTTCCTATATATGTTGGACAACTTCTGACGCACGATCGGTAGTTTCAAAATCATATCAGTTATCCTGATAGTTCCCTGCAAATGAGCCATACGTACATTCCCGGTAGGGAAAAACCTAATAGTAGAGCAAGACAAAGGGGGTATCAGCATCTATGGATCTTGGGGGTAGTTGCGAATCAGCGTCCAAGCGTATTATGAATGATGCATTTGCTTCTACATGATTGGTCGGGATAGGCTTGTAACTGTAGCTTGAAATATGATTTTATGCAGGACATAACTCTATCTGTTAGCTTCCAAGAGTTCATTGCATAATTTAAAGACTCAGACCTCTGTTCGTCAAGAGAAATTGTTAACGCTTTAGGCTTGACTCAAAAATATAACCGGCTCGTCCTGAACGTCACGGTCCATGAAAGCCTTGATACCCCCATCTTCCAAGAAACACTGGCTAACAAAAAAAAAAAATTCCCTTCGGAGATAATTTATATTCAAGTTCACTATACGGCTTACGACTCAACTTAGTACTGCATAGATGCTCGCATCTGGTTATACTCAGCCGGCGTGATCGGCTCATACTTCGGTGGCTCCCCGCTTTCAGATGGTATACATTCGATAACAGAGTCTGGGTCTGGCGCGAGAAAGTAGGGAATCGAATAGCGCTTTCGAGTGAGCCTTTGTTTTCCTTCAAACCGATCAGACAAAGGTGGCAGGGTGACCCGATGGCTGGTAGATCTCAGTACATCTATAAAGCACATTAGTTAGTTAATCGCACGATTCGACCTCCCGAGGTTTTGTCTTTTTTGGAAACGAACCATTGCTCCACCGCTGTAGCAAATCTCCTATATTCACCACCATTGCGTTCTTAACCGGCGTTGCTGGTATGAAATTCCCTGGCTGATCGGGATTCTCCACCTCCAAGCCGCCGCAGTCATCCTGGAAGAGAACCGTAATGGAGCTCCAATCTGTATGAGCTGGGCAGCGTGCGGCGCGGTGACTTTCCAGAGCCTCTGCTGGAATAGGCGGGTAATGGAGAAGGCGAATCTGGTTGTTATGCCCCGAATGTTTCCGGAGCAGGTAATTTTCCTCCAGATTTAGACCAACAGCCAAAGCTTGAAGGACTTCACCCGCTGCGCGGAAGCACTCCCAGTAGAACTTATTCATGAATGTACGAAAGCCCGGAAGACTATCTTCGGGGACCCATTGATTTGGTTGGCTTGGATTCTCCTCGCTTCCGATATCGAAACTCTCTTTGATATCTGGGATTTCGCGGAGCTGCTTCACCCGTTCCTCATCATTCTCGGCGCTGAAGGCCTGGGATACCTTCTCCAGACCCGGCCAAGAGTACCCACGATGAACAGCCCACCCCTCTGGATGCGGAGCCTTGAGCTTCTCCTCTTGAGGCAGATCGAAGAAACGTTGGGACCACTGAAAGGCCTCTTCCAGTAGTACTTCGTGTAGTGAGTGGTTGATGATATAGACAAACCCCACTTTCCGGCACGCAGTGACGATATCTTGGGCTACTTGCCGACGATTCGAGCCTTCAGACTTCCAGTTTGCGAAATCAACGATAGGGATTGCCATGTTGTGACGGTTGGAGGGTTCAAGCGTGAGGAGGCCCTATCTTACGGGCCCTATCTTACGGGCCAAAGCAGAAGAACTGTGGAGCCTGTGATCGCCCGATCTTGGTTGCCAACACTCAGTCCTGCGCCATTGGTATATGTCGGGTCCTGTACTCCGGAGCCATGTCAGGTACTGGTTCTTCTCAGAACTAATTGAAGAGGTAGATCGTGTCGTTTGGGAAGCCTTAAGGTTGTATTGGTCAAAGAAGCTAAGGTGTTCCAAGGTGGTGTAAACAAGGTGGGAAGTCAAGCCTTAGTGCCAGTGAATCTCCCTCCCGAGGCATGCCGGCGTGAAGAAATCAAACAGGAAGGACTCCGGCCGGATCTTCGGGATGGGTTGAGCATACAAAGATGAATTGTTAATAATTATGTTCAGTTCTAGACCGACATCACACCACTACGATACCCCTGTGGCTGGGAGACGTACGCAGTACTTTGGTGGCGGTCCATTGGGCCCGGTTGCTGCAGGGATCCGTAGTGGAGATTTTGCAGGGTGACGCAGTACATCACCTTCTACTCATCTTGGGAAATTCTGGACACTTTGCACACCCTTTGGTCAAAGGACAACCGCATTCATTCGGTATGTCAAAACCCCTCTGGTAAAAGGAGGCTCAGTCACCCATTGCCCTTCTGATGTGGCTGCCGCGACCCCAAACTAATATTACTGCTTTGAGTAGTTTGTTGACAAGATCTCCCACCCACGATAACCACAGCATCCCTCGAATCATGAGCCTTATGAATTACTGAAGTGCCCGGCAAACACAGCAAAACCATCTCAGTACACAAAGTCTACGGTCGCTTCTCCAGAATCGCTCTCAAACCCCCACAATACGAAGTCAGCAAGAATGCGGCCCTCGTGGTGGATTGGGGTTTGGGCCACATTCCTCCCCGCGACAGTCTACTCCCTCGACACCAAGCCATTCTCTGAGCCACAGATCGTCGAGTCCAAGCGAGCCTTCGAGGTTTTACAGCTCTTAAAACGCGCCGACAACTGCCCGGGTGGCTATAACCCATGCTCAAACGAAGGCAACGCTAATGCCTGTTGCCGCGAGGGCACCACTTGCACCAAGGATTCAGCCAACAACATCGCTTGCTGTTCGACTGGTGCAAGCTGTACTGGAAGCCTGACGGGTACAGCTACGGCGCCAGCGGCCGGTGGTAGCTCGTCAGGGAGCTTCGTATTTCCGCAGGGTGCAACCGCAACACCAACCGAAGAGGGCGGCGGCGGCGGCGGCGGCGGCGGCGGCGCAGCAATGACCGGTTCGACTCTCCCCGGTGCTTACCCGTTTGTCTACGTGCCCACTACTATATCGGACTCGGCGGAGTGCTCTTCCTACTACTCACTCTGCCAGTCTGAATATGCCGGCTGCACTCAGCAACTAATGGGCCGCTATGGAGTTACGGTGGGGGGCAACGGGGGCGGGACGACTGTTGAAGCCATCACCGCTAGTTCCCAGGCTACGTCTATCTGCTCGAGCCTAAGTGCAGAGGCCTGCCACGGGCTTAGCCTGGGATACTGCTCTGCGGTCGAGACCGGCGGAGGTAGTGCTGCTGGGAACAACGCAGCTCCGCCGGGCCGTACGTCGAGTCTCCAAGATTTGGCGTTCGGGTTGATGATCGGGGTTGCAGGCATGTTTGTTTGACGTGATATGATCTATGACCTCATTTTCTTTGATTTTGACTAATTTTTGTTCCTGTACATCTTTACCTACTTTGGACTGTGTAAACCCGAATCTTCAGCCTGTTCATAGCAAGGAATAATCGGAAATTGATTTATTGTGCTCCATAGCGTTAGAAACCCGACGAGGCCGGAGACGCAGTCATTGGGCCGCGGGTTGTTGGGCTACCATTGGTGGCACCTTGTGTCTTGCACCCAATTCCACTAGCTTAATCCGTAGAAGTCTTAATCCGCTTCTTGGCCATTTACCGAGGTCCAGAGCCCAAGCTAGATTTCCAAGGTTTGCAAGTTGGGTCAGCACTACTCCGTGCACATCCGGATGATAACCTTACGAAGTAGAGCGAAGAGCAAACGTATTCCAGGTTTTCTGTTTTTTTTTTTTTTTGACCTAAAGCTCAGACAATGTTTTCTAGTATAAGCGCTGCAGGATTTGACAGCTCCAGCTCGAATATCAGAGATCTGACCGCATGTTGATCGCTACCAGGCGGGGATGAGATGGCAGCTTCGGAGAGAGGGGCGCATATGCAATCCGAATTGACCTATTAGGACTTGACTTGGATAATCTGAGTCAATGAGACCGAATACTACATTTAGGAAGGTAGATCATCTTTAGTTTGAAACCCAGCCTCCCGCCAATCCTTGTGGACGGGTGAGTGGAAGCGATTGGCACGTAAATGGGGTGGTTGGGTGTACGGTCAACAACGGTGGCTGGGAGTCATTCATAGCGACAACCCCGGCCTTTGCTTTCTCATTCATCGTTTTCTTCCTCCTTAACATTTTCTTCCATTCCAAACATCCCCTGGAATTTAAGAAAACCTCGCTCCATCACTCTGTTCGCCCTCTAAGAGCGGTGATCTACAACGATCATCAGCGGAATATACATCCCCCGCATAAATTCTTGTGATCCGATCGCAACGAATCGCCTACGGTCCAAAGAACATTCTCGGAACTTCAGACTGTTACTCGAGGCCCCTCTGGGCTCGAGCTGTTCTTCAACGAAAATGCGGTCCTCTACCGTTTTCTCGGTACTATCGACACCGTTCCTCCTCCTCAACCTTGCCGGAAATGCGATCGCAAGCCCGCTAATAGCGGCTGAGCGCAGCCAATGTTCTAATCCTTGCGGGTGGGGAAACGAATACTGCTGTGCTGCTAATGAAGCATGCACAACCAGCGACGGCAAAGCATTGTGTGTAGCTGGAGGAGGTAGTGGTGGTGGTGGCTGGGAGTACTTTACAACTACTTGGACCGCTACCGAGACTGAAACAACCACAATCGTTTCAGTATGGAGCTCTTCCGCCCCAGCGATAACTCCGGCACCCACGGGAAGCGGCACTTGTCAAGTTACACTGGGCTGGACGGTTTGTGGTTCAAGCTGTTGCGACAAGACCCAGGAGTGTATTGATGGACAGTGTGTTGACGAGAGTTCTTCGGCTGCAGTCACTGGCGAGCCTACACCCGGAATACGACCCACAAGCAGTGGTGCCTCGACTGTAACCCAGACCTCTGCGCCAACAACTACCGAAGGTTTCATTGCCCCTGTTGGAACAGACGGTGCAGATCTCATTGGAGCCAAGGCAACAAGCAGCGGCGGGGGCCTTAGTGGCGGTGCGATTGCTGGAATCGTTATCGGTACGATTGCAGGAGTGATTTTGCTGCTGCTTCTCTGTGCTTGTCTGTGTTTCAAGGAGGCACTGGATGGTATCCTCGCAGCCCTGGGCATCGGCAAGCGCCGTCGGAAGGAAACTACGACTTATGAGCACTACTCGCATCATTCAAGTGGCACTCGCCCGCGTCCTCAGGGCCGGACATGGTTCGGAGCCAGGCAAAGCGATAGCGAGGTCAGCGAAAAGAAGTCCAGCGGCAAAGGTTGGGCTTATGTTGCCATCGTTCTGGGGGCGTTGGCCTTGTGTCTTGGTTTGAGACGACGTAGGGAAGAACATGACGATGGCAGCACCTCCTACACATACCCAAGTTCCTATTATTATTACTCAGAATATAGTAAGTCGAAAGTCCCTGGTCCCTAGCACTGGCGAAGCATCAATAATTAACCTTTCCCCCCTAATAGGCAGCGAGAGCTCTGGTGGACGCACGCGAGACACCCGCAGGTCTCGACGCTCACGAACCCGCTCAGGTCGTTGACACTGGACTCAGACGACTGGACAAGCTTAATTTCCCTAAGCCCGGCCTGTCTCTTCGTTCTCCGCGGTTCAGACTTCCGAATGATTCACCCTGCATTTTCCGGCGCCAGCTTTCTTCCACGATGCTCCATGTACCATTATGACCCCATGTTTCTGTTTTTATTTCTTGAGCTTGGGATGCTATGATTTACTTGATTTGATGTCGATATGAGATTTCATCTATACGGTTGGATTTGAGATGTTATGCATGACGAGATGTACATACGAAAAGATGCAAGCTGAATCCGCTATACAAAAGAATCTATGATGATATGGAATATTTTCTTTTTTTTTTCCCGCTATTTCCCTTATTTCTCCTTTGTGCCTTGAAAGTGTTGCCCAGGTGGTAAACCAAATGCATATGTAAGCGCCAGCTTTTTGCTTTTTGGCAGGCAGTCAATGGCCTTGTAAACCCCGTGGGCAGAATGGTAACACAAAAAAAAAGGGGCCGAACTTGCATGTACAATGTGCCGGTCAAGGACCCTCGGAGCAATCTGGAGTAATCTCGCAAGTGGCCCCCAGACAGTGGAAACCAGAGTAGCCCCATAGCTCCAGACATAGTTCCAGTCGTGAATAGGGTAGTGCCTCTTTAGGTGTGCGACCTGGGGCCGGCACACAAAAGTGGGAACTCTTTTGCTCCCCGCCTTCCGACCCGAACTTCTCTTTCTCACCCTCTCTTCAACGTTCCTCCACTTTCATCAATGAATACCGCCCTGAATCGAGTTTTCTGACACGTCGTCTCTTTTGTAAAACCACTACATCCATTCGTGCGGCCACTGAAGTCGCCCATCCCCGGTCTCCGGAGCATTACGAGTTCCCCGATTATCTCTTACCGACGCCATGCTCCAAGCGCAGAGCCAACACCTCTTCTCTCACCAGCACCAGTATCCTCAGGCTGATCCTTCCTGGCTGCAGCACCAGCAACATCAGCCGCAGCCTCAACATCACCAGGCTCAGCCCCACCCCCAGCACCCGCAGCAGCATGCCCTTGTCGCCCAGCAGCATGCCCAGGTCCAGGCTGCTGCTGCCGCTGCTCAGCAGCAGCATTACGGTCGCCTGGCGATGAGCGGCAATGGAGCGGCAAACACCGCACAAAGCGCCGGGGCTGTCGGGAGCATGGGCGGAGAGGGTCTGTCTAATGTCTCGGTCATGGATGGCGGCATTAGCGAGGAGAATCGCAAGGTCTTCATTTGGGTGGCGGAGCTCTTGGACCCTGCCCGACGGGAAGCGGCGCTCATGGAGCTGAGCAAGAAGCGGGAGCAGGTTCCCGAGCTAGCTCTTGTGATCTGGCACTCATTCGGTATGACCTGTCGAGAAGTTGTGGGGGCGGACCCTTGCGACCGTTAACTAACATGGCATATCAGGCGTCATGACTGCTCTCCTCCAAGAGATCATTTCTGTCTACCCTCTCTTGAACCCTTCCCAGTTGACTGCCGCTGCGTCAAACCGAGTCTGCAATGCGCTGGCGCTCTTACAGTGCGTCGCTTCTCATAACGAGACACGTACTCTCTTCTTGAACGGTGAGTCAAGCACTCGTTGCCTGGCAGCTTTTTTATTTTCTTGGCGGAACAGCCGGTCTAACTCAATCTCTTGAACTTAGCTCATATTCCCCTTTTCCTTTACCCCTTCCTCAATACTACCTCCAAGTCCCGCCCCTTCGAATATTTGCGTCTCACCTCGCTGGGCGTGATTGGAGCTTTGGTCAAGAATGACTCTTCGGATGTGATCAACTTCCTTCTCACCACTGAGATTATTCCGCTTTGCCTGCGCATTATGGAGACCGGCTCGGAACTCAGCAAGACCGTGGCAATTTTCATTGTTCAGAAGATCCTTCTTGACGACATTGGATTGGCTTATATCTGCGCCACATATGAGCGATTTTACGCAGTCGGTACAGTCCTCAGCAACATGGTTACCCAACTAGTGGAGCAGCAGACCGTGCGACTGCTCAAGCACGTTGTGCGCTGTTTCCTTCGGTCTGTTTCCCCACTTCATGCAATTCAGTTCTTTTTTTTTCGTCGGCAAAGACTAACAGTTTCCCCCAGCCTAAGTGATAACAGCCGAGCTCGTGAGGCCTTGCGCCAATGCCTTCCAGAGCCTCTCCGGGACGCTACCTTCTCCTCCGTCCTCCGTGATGATGCGGCCACCAAACGCTGCCTGGCCCAGCTGTTGATCAACTTGTCGGACAACGTGTCTGATGGAGTTCCAACGGGCATGTAATATACCGATCACGCATTCTTTTTTTCGCGGGATTTTTTTTTCCCTTCAAAAACCATATCACAATATGCATGGGACGGGTTTTCAGGCGAGTATCGGTCACAAGGCGCAACAGTTCTGGGCGAGCATTAGAAGACGGCTGGCTTTCTTACTCCGGCTTCCCAATTCTTGCTTTCCTCTTTTCCATTTCGGTCGGGTTTCTTTGCAACATTCATCTAGGGACAAGATTTGGGACTCGGTGAAATTCCTGTTTATGAGAAGAGACTCATGTATTCTTATCTGCTGTTTTGCTTCCCTGCCATTTACCCTTTTGCATATTCTTGTGGGTGACATACTTCCATTTTTGCCTTGATTTTGTTTTGGTGGCGCTTGCTTGTCAGGGTTCAGGTCGGCGCTTTTCTTGCATTGATACTTCTTTTCCTGAACACTTCCCTTCTTGCTCTATGAAAAGAGACCTTCTTCCGAGATCCCAGTCGTTGGTTGTTTCTGCTGCTTGATCTCTATGTACATCTCCTTGCGCAAAAGAATTTATGGACTTAATTGGATGTTAAACGGCTATTATTCTACTCTATTACCTCATCCCATGTCATCTGAAAAGCCTCTAATGCATGTGATTATACAAAAATCCTCAATTCAAGCTCTGAAGTTCTGCAAGTTCACATTGTCGCTCTCAATATTCAATTCAATTAAAGCGGGGCGCCAAACGCGAGTTGCACGTGACCCGACGTTCTGACGCGCCTTTTGGAGATTCACTACGCCTTTGAACACGAAGGAATCATAAAAAGTCGCCCTCCCGCTCTCTTTCTCCCTTCACACTTCTTGTTCCCCCCTGATTTCAAGAACGCCGAGCTGGTTTCCAGACCTTGTGTCTCAACTGCACTCAATCTATTCTCTATCGCCACCTTCCTCCTCAAGCCCATCCCGGCCTCCACGGGCAACCGTCCCGCCGCAATGGGAACGCGAAAGCGCAGCCGCTCCGAGGCGACCACTGGCGCCGGACAGTCGCCAGCTGCCGAACCGGGGTTGCTGCAGAAGATTCGTAGCTTCTGGGAATTTGCCTGCCTTATGCAATACATCACCATGTTCGGAAGGGTCATGAAGATTGACGAAGATTTCGAGATCGAGGTAGGCCACGACTATTCATCCTTGAGTGCAAAGAAGTGGGGGGGCTCTCGACGCGTCGCGCAATGCAGTGCATGGTGCATATGCCTCAACTATTCTTTTGTGCTAACAATCATGACATCTGCATGATCTTGCTGACGCTTATGCTCTCCCTAGGACCTGGAAGAAGAATGCCTCAAGCCCGAACCCTCTTACAAGTTACTGGAGATTGGCCTCTGTTTGCTGAAGTGGATCTCTTCACACCGCGGCCTGACGTACGTCTGGAAGAGATCATTTCATACCAAGCGTGTTTTATGCTGACTGTCATTGCAGGACTGAAAACTTCGACGAGTACACCCGGCGGCAGTACAATGCGAAGGCCCCTCACATCCCTAACCCCTTTGGCTACGACGAAGAGCCCTTGAAATTTCTACATTTCGACGTCTTCCAGAAGCTCCGTGTCCTGCACCAACTGACAGTGTGGACATTCTGGAACCCTGACCGCATCCGTGATAAATTACCTGAGAAGAAAGAAAGCGAGCAGATCCAATGGGTAAGTGTCCTCGTTTAGAAATTGAAATCATCCTCTAATGGCTTCTCAGCGAGTCGAAGAGTTCGGATACGACCGCGAAGGCCGATCCTACTATGTCCTTGACGATAACCGCCTGTACCGTCGAACCGACCCTGCCATCCCCGCCGCTCCCCAGCGCCCCAAGAAGAAGCCCAAGAGCCGAGCGTCGCGTGGTTCTCGTCGTGCCTCCCGACGTGTTTCGGGCATCGCCGCTGACGAAGCGTCTGACACCGAGAATAAGAACGGAGAGGAGACTTCTACGGAGCTTACGTGGGAATGCATCGCTGTGACCCTCGACCAATACCGCGAATTCCTTGACACCATTCGAAAGACCAAAGACGCTGATGAGAAATTCTTGCGCGATCGCATTGAAGAACATGTGATTCCATTGTTGGAGAAGGCCGAAGAGGCACAACAGCGCAAACGACAGAAGAGAGAGAAGGAACTTCTCAACATGCAAATGCTGGCTGGTGCTAAGCGTTCCAGCCGTCTCGCTCAGAAGGAAGAACGCGAGCGCTCCGAAAGGGAGGCCGCGGAGGCTGCGCAGAGGCGTGAACGGGAATTGGCGGAGGCCCGTCGTGAACAGGCGCGACAGAAGCAGCTCGAGGAAGAGCGTCAGTCTCGCATGATGACTCGTGAGCAGCGCATCAAGGATCGCGAGCAGAAGCGCATCTTGCATGAGGCTGAGCTGGAGCGCATTGCCGAAGAGCAGGCGCGAGCTGAACGTGGCGAAAGCCGTGTCTCCGCTCGCAATCTCAAGCTCGAGCGCGAGAAGTCCCAGAAGAGTCTAGAGGACTTGAGCCAGGAAGATGACTGGGTATTTGACTGCGCTGGCTGCGGCACCTACGGTGAAAATGTGGATGATGGCAGTCACAGCGTTGCCTGCGAGAAATGCAATGTCTGGCAGCATAGCAAGTGTCTCGGTATTAGCCAAGAAGATGCCGAGAAAGATGACTTCCATTTCGTTTGCAAGGACTGCAAGCAGAAGGAGGCTGATGCGGCGCGTCCCAAGCTCCCGCCTCTCAAACTTCGCCTCAGTGTTACTCCTCCGGATCAAAAGCGCCAGTCCAAAGAAGACCTTGCCGGCTCTCCTTCGAAGAAAATACACCTCAAATTCCGGGTTGGAGGATCTCCCCAGGCTACTACACCTCCCGATCATAAGCGTAAGGCCGAAGACGAACTTGTTGGCTCCCCCGCGAAGAAATCACATGAAGCGCTGTCCAACGTGACGAATATGCCTCCACAAAAGGCAAATCCCCAGCCTGCACTTCCACCCATGAATGCCAACGGCCACTTCTACGTTCCTCCATCACCTGAGTACCGCCCTTCCAACCAGACTCCTTTGCCATCTTCAAGCCCTCCCCGACCCAACCTCCCCCAATCCCATCCCGCCACGATGATTCCCCCAGTTCAATTGCCCCCAATGACGGGCTATACGATGGCTCGTCCTTCTTCGTCCCATTCTAGCCATGGGATGATCCAAAACCAACCGTCCATGTCGCCTACTCAAGGGAACCGCGATGTAGGCCCTCTCGCGGGCTTTCCACCACCTCAACCTTCAGCTGCTAATGGGTCTCGCCCATGGTCGTCATCCTATGAAAGCTACGCAACCCCCCGACCTCAATCGGGGCATGGGGTTACCCCTGCCATGTCCAGCAACTACCCTTCTTTCTCCGCCGCCACTCCGAATGGCAATCACTCTTCTCCTCCGCAGAGCTCTCACGGCATGGGCATGTCTGGAATCAGCCCTACGAAGCAGTCCCCTCGCCCTATTACTTCCGGAGGCATGGCAGGTGCTCCAGTTCTGCCTCCTATCCGGAGACTGGAGCCTAGTCCCAAGCTCATGGGTCGCAGCTCCCCGGACGCTCCGATTCCTCCTCCTGTTAAGCTCATGACGCCTGAGCAGGAGGAGCGCCGGGCCCAGGAGAATGCTGCGTTCCCACCGGGACACGCTTATCAGCCTCACCATGCGCAGTTCCCGGCATCGCCATCCGTGAACCGAATCCCCCCCTTTGGGCCTGGGGCTGCCCAGCAGCAACCACATCCACTCTCTTCTCCGCAGCGTGGAGGCAGCGCCTTTCAAGAATACCCCTGATTTGAACCTCAGGGGCCAACTGAGAGGATATCTAGGAAGGATTCAACAAGACCGCATTTGCTATGATTGCCGTGAGATTTCCGGGTTGGGGGGGGGAAACCACTGGTTACACAATTCTTGTCTTCGATTTATTGATGGTCGTTCCGTTTGGCTTTGCAACTCCTCCGTCGCGTGGTCGGCATGCGATCCGCGAGCGAATAGAGCTTATCCGCATTCATTCTCCCCAGATCGATCTCAGTGGGACCAGTGGATGACGCTTGATGTTTAGGGCCAACGATCACAGACCACCCTTTTGAACTTCACTATTCTTTCGATCTTTTCTTTTCTTTTCTTTTTTTTTCTTCTTTTATCTCTTATTATTCTTCTTTTATCTTTACCGCTGTCTTACCAAATGGATAGTGATGATGAGCGTTACAGGAGGCTGTTGATGCTTGCCTCAAAATTCCTTGTCGGCCGGGTGCAGGCTTGGATGTATTTGAATAATTCCGTGCGTCTTCTTTCTTCTTTCTCATCTTCGACGGTTGCATTCAAGAGGGTTGGGGTAGGGCGTTTCCAGAGGGCTGAGGTCGGTTCTTTTCGGGCGTCAATGAATTGTAATAGAGCTTTCCCCAAAGATCTTTTCGTCTTCGATAGAAGAATCAATGGATGGCGTTGTCCTTTTCGACTCGACATTCTGTTTCGCATGCATACAATATGATAGCAGTATGACTTCAAAGGGTTATAGTAACACTAGATATGAATAGGGCCTCCTGGGCAACTGGGCAGTTCCCCTTGGGTACTAGTCCGTTTGCCCCGTCACAACTCCCAGTCCCAGTAATGTCAATGGTTTCAAACTCAAACTGCGCTCTTTACGCGCCCTTGATGAAGACAAACTTGACCGCTGCTGAGAGATCCCAAGTCGTCCTTATTCCATGAGCTTGGCACTGCCAACGCATGGCTACGGGGGACTTCTGGAAGGCCGTACTAATTTGATAGCCCGAGTCGAGCTCTCACTCTGCGCATCGCGAGCCCATTTCGAGACAAAGCAGCACCAGATACCAAACGGCCCCCTCTTTGGTCAGCTGGAATGCAAAGCGATCCTCGTCTACCCCTGTCGACCAGCTCAAACATGAGACTAGGCAAATACGGAAGTTACCGATCCTCCGAGAAACGGAGCTTCTTTCCATCCACCCAACAACTGCCCAGGTGAGAAGGGGGCACCCTCAAGCCTCTTCCTTGAGCAGTACAGTCGCACAGGCCCCGAACCACGGATCGTCGTGACCGGGATCGACCAGGGCGATCATTCGAGCCACAGTGGCAGCACTGCCAGCGGCCGCGGGGGAAGGCCCAGATCTTCTCTATCGTTTGGTCTCTGACAAAGTGTCTGGTCGAGCATGAGACTCGGATCTCGGAGACTGCCTGCAAACGTAGATCGCAGATCCTGAAAGAGCAAAATCTAGCTCGCTGGTTCCAGATCAGTTCGAGGCAGGCCATATCCCGGGGTTAGGAAATAACGGAGCAAGCCAGATTCCTGCGCGAGCAGGCCTATCAGGGAGCAGACAAGAGGTTAGACTTTAGACTCCGCGCATCATTCCCAATGGAGCAGTTGAACTCTTTGGGTCCTTTTGGGCTCTCCCGGGAGTCGGTGGCGCCCACGAGCCGAAGATACGAAGGTCGACTCGTATAGAGATTGCGATGTCTCTTGCTTTCTCCCTTTTAAGCGGGTAGACGTGCAACCTGGGCCAGATCCCAGGTTACGGTGCGATCTAGGCTCCGTTCTGCCTTGCTTGTTCCGTGCATCTCCTGGACTCTGTGTACGAGGGTTCTTTTGGGACGGGAGTGTATTCCCTATTTTCTAAGCTTTGACACGATGGCTGGGATGCCCCGGATGTTATAGAGTTTCGTGGAGATCCTCCCAATTTCCAGATGTGGACTATGACGGGCTTCAACGCCCAAGTGCCGATGCTCTTGAACTACGCACAGCAATGAGCCTATAATATCCGCTCGCTGGCCCAGTTCTCTCATCTCCAGGGCTTCGCCACGCTGCGCCCAGGATGAACCCTGGGATTGTTGCGCAGTTCGATAGATCCAACATGATTTGATGATAACAAGCGGTCAGAGGCCGTAAGAAAATTGTTACGCTATGCCGCTGGATGACCCGTGGGATCAGCCTTTTGGCAAGATGTCAAGTTTCCCGCTAACTAGGCTAGGGTTGTCAATCTGCGGGTCTCGATATGGTTACGATGGCAGGCGGATGCTCCTATTATGGAAAGAGACTCAAAGGAATATCGTGCCAAAGTATAACGTCGCCTGATAAGGCATGATGGTTTCCTCATAGGGGATAGTTCCAACACCATAGATCTACTCATGGCCAAAGGGTGGATCGCGCCACTAGTGCTGGCGCGTATCTCGACCAGTGGCTGGCACGTTCGGAAAGCTGGACCTCGGAAAGCTGAATGCGGCGCCTTCACAACTCGAGGCCGGACGGTCCTATCACCGAGACAGCTGGTTCGTATTCTGGTTTCTTCACGAGCAAGCACAAGCAAGCACGAGAAAGCACGAGAAAGCACGAGATACGAATGCCCCCAACCGGTTTGGGGATATGGAGAAACGCGAGTCAAGCCACCAACAACTGTGCACAGTCAACCCTTCAGGCTTCCCCGTCAATCGGGTCGTTCCTCCTTAACTCCGGTCAAATCACCCTGGTCTAGTCACCTAATGACGAGATACGATTTGCCCCTGCTCTTAACTAGGAAACATCAGATGAGCAGGAACCTTGACATGAACCAGGGGCGAAAAAGAAAAAGCAACCAAAAATCGATGATGTTGAGGCTAGTGCCAATTCATGCTGTATAATTTTATACATCGGTAGATCCTCGCCGGGGGCAGTCCCACATTGTGAAACTCTGCGTCTCCCCTAATTCAACACTGGCCCAGCCGGAAGGGGGAAATAGTTAAAGTTCAGACCGTTGAATCCGTTCATGACATCCTGATCCATGCACCTCATGCCCCCTGAAAAGCATGGGCCAGGTTGTTGTGTGGGGAGGAGGGGGGGAAGTGGGCGCAGGGAGAAAGTTGAGCTAATGCACATTCCAGCTTTCCACTCCCTTCCATGCGTTTGGCTTGGTCAACATTTGTCAGTCATGGTCGGCGTCCATTCGGGGATCTCCCCCCCCCCCCCCTGGCCCTGTAGAGCGGATGCTGCTTCCGCCAAATTAGATCGTGACAGACGCGCCATACAGGGCAGAGTTTGGGCCCCAATTTGCCCATGCATGACTTCATTTGGCCTTGGGCCGCCGGGGAATTTCGATCGCCGTCACGGTCCACGGCGGGGGAAACGGCCTGTTTCCCTTCTTTTCCCCCTCCCTTTTCTCATCTGCCGGTTGGGTCTTCCCGACGATGTGATCGGAAGGTTCCGTGGTTCGAGGCGCTAATATATTTGTCAACCCTCGTGATAGGCTGTTATTAGTTTTCCGCACGACACTGAGACAATTACATTGAGTTTGTTCCCTTCAATTCGCGGCTGTTCGGAGTTCGCGATCCGAACTACGGAGTCCGGAGTATGAAGTCCCACTCCCCATGGATTCTAGGAGCTGGGCCTCTTTGCTCGACGGGTTGGCCTATATTGCAGGGCCGGATTGGCACCGAGGGGACTTGCTCGCACTAGTAATGTGGCACACGGCGGCAAGAAGATTGGGGATTGCTCGCAACGTCTACTAGCAGGAGCGCACTGAACACTGGAGGAACGATGTGGATCTCCGGATGGTTAGGCGCGACGATCCTGAATGCGCAGCTCTGTTGGGTCCGACCCCACTTTTATCCTGGTAGGGGAAAGGGCAACGGGTTGATAATCACTCGATTATATTTCCAACACGCCGGAGGAACTCGGCCCAGACTGTACAGAAAGGTGATATTTCCCAAGTAGGGCATGGGCAGGTTCTAGGCACCAGGACATGACGCTGGTGCCAGCCGCGACTCTGAGATCCACTCATTCAAATGGGGATCCTTCCTTAACGGTCACACTAGTGCCATCAGGCGTGAACAGCTCAAACCGCGTTTATTCTCTCCAGACCGGGCCAGATGGGATCCTGGTCGATGGCCAAACCTTATTTCGTCTCTGGTTCTGCTTTTGTCGTAGGGCATATGAAGCGACGATGGTCATTTCCCATCCCCTCAACTTGTGGAGCTCGCAAATTTCGCGCCATCGATATCACACGATCCACCTGCGGCTCGGGGAGTCGTCCCGGTGGATCCGCGCAAAAGTCTTCCAGCGCGGCCCCAGCCTGCCATCGATTTTCTGATTGGCTGACGCGCAGATCGCTCTGCGCCTTTTCGAGCCTCTACGCCAATCAAAGAATGGGGCTGGCGAGACGTTGTATGGATCGCAAGGATCAGCCTACGCGCTTTTTTTTTTTCTTTATTTGCGAGCTTTGACGGATGGAGCCGAATCCTTTGAGTTCTTCCCCCGGACGATGCCGAGCACATGACCATTGCTGTATGCGAGCAATGAGACCCACCGCGGCGCTAGAACGATTGGCTGTGAGCGCTGCATTGCCGTCATGACGCAAGATCCACAGGGCTATACCGTATACAATCCCATAGCCCTAGAATCAGAGGAAACCTGCATTCCAACACTCGTATTTCGCCCGTATAGAAGCTGGCGGGATGCTCGGAGCCAGCGCCCAATTAACGAATCTTCAGTCTTTTCCTTTAATTTGGGGATTTTTTTTTTCTAGGTTTTCTAACTCCCCCAGAGAAAAAAAAGAAAAAGAAAAGAAAGGGTATCTACTTCAGCAAACATATCACCAACTCTACTCCCAAGAAACCAGAAACTTGGAGGAAAAATTGCCAACGAATGCTGCCCAACGGGGCCTCGAACGTGCTAAATAATTCTCTTGTTTCCTCTGAGTCCGCCACGTGGAAATACATAGGGCTTGCATCGGACTGACTCGCTCTGCATAAGCCTCGGCGTTGGATGGCACGCTCCACTCCAAAAAGGTACAATCGTCGACTAGTAGACTACCTGGGGCGGTGCAAGCCGGTGCCCCATCTTTTGCATCTCCAATATCTCGCTCCCCTCTTCCACTAGAACGTCATTTCGTGCCGAGCGAGAGCCGGAAACCGACTATGATCGGCACTCCCTCCCTGTCCCTGTTGGCGCTAGCGGGGGTCCCCAACGGCACGGCCACCGGTAGCCAGAGAGAAGAAGGAAAGAGAGAAAAAAAGAGGACCATCAACTAGACACGGAAAAGCTCTCCAAATACAGATCCAGCCAGGCGCCGAAGGATGAGACGCGTTCTGCATATGCACTGACTGTGCATTTGAGCTGGCCTGTCCATGGTAGCATTTTCTGATTGTTGGTTCCCAGGCTGGTCCCGAGGCGTGGAGGCCTGCCACCGCCTCGGCAGGAGCCATCCGTCTGCGCCATGGGGTTTACAACGGCGATCGTTGGAAATCCTGTTTTGGCTTAAAGGGTTGTCCACAGACCTCTCGTCTACGGGCTCTGCATAGGATGGGGGGTTTGCAGGAGGGGGCGGTCTAGGTGAATGTCGGAAGTGGGGGTTCCCTTTCATGTAAACCTGAGGTCCTTCAGGCCGATCACGCAGGTCATAGGTGGGAGAGAATTACCATGCCTATGAGGAGACCATGACCACGGCACCCAGGGGGAGTGCAGATCGATGGCGAATAGCCCATGGCCGGGTGTAATTTAGGTTTCTGATACACTTTCCGGTAAATTTCGGCGATTACTTGAATCAGCCCAGCCCACTTCCTTTTTGCCCTGGCTAGTGCCGTGACAGTTGTGACACTTGGGCGGGGAAGGGACCGAGTCCCTGTTGAGCATCTTGATCCAATCACACCAGGCAGCCTATCGGCTACTCCCTTGGCGATCTTCCTCACTAGCTTTGAGTATAAGAATAACTTCACAAAGCGATCGGGCGCTTTGAAGCATGATATCTTTGGGACTCGCAAACCACGGGACGATCCCTGGTGAAACGTCGGTTGAAGGTCAGCTTCCATCCCGTGCCCTGTGATGGCTGTACTTTGGACTGAGAGGTGGTTATCTGTTCTTTTTTTATTTCATCTGATTTGATTTTATTCTATTTCCATTTCTTTATTTGGGCTTCTCAGTCACTCCCATAGACCGCAATTAGCAGCGGAACATTCGGCCCCGGGGCTCGAGCGAGACTCCCTTGTTAGAAGACTTATTCCAGATGCAGAGTGTGAAATCTGGGGAATGAGAGGCTTTGGGTTGACTCACTCAACTCGCTCAACCTCGGTTCGAACAGGCCCTCTCGGTGGCTTGATTGACTTTTTGCCCAGGGGGGGGGGAGGGGTTGCGGAGTCGAGGGCTGACACTCGTCGGAATGCAAGTCAGATGGCGACAGTTTGTTGAAAATAGAGGGCATAATCTCACCCCACCCATCTCCCTGATGGCCAGTGCCCTCGTGTGCCCAGGTAAACGGCCCCCCAGAACCACGCTCTTATGCAGAGCAATGGCTTTTAAAGTCACCCTTGGCGACAACATGGGGTCTTTGATCAAACTAAGTTCGACCCTAAATACAGCCATGTATCTGCCAGCCCAATACAGTTGATGCTCGAAGAGTGACAGGGGGTGTTATTGGTGGAGGAAGGGGAGGAGGAATGGGGCAACGATTTTCTCCAGGATCATTTGCCTTGACACGGTTCCTGACAAGGGTCCTCATGGTTCATGCACGAGTGCTCGATAGGCCTTAAGCTTTCAGAGCCATGTGGGAATCAGCCGTGAGTGTCTTGGGCTTGGCCAGGCTGTATCCGGAGGGGCTAGTAACAAAGAAAGACTGATAACATGCAAACGAAGACCATGGATTAGAAACGTGGGCGGGCGTTCTGGTGCAAGCCATCTAGACCGACGCAGTGGACTGGGAACTTCTCGAAGATCTTCTGCCGCTAGCCCTGCATTAACTTTGGAGCGGCTCACCGTATTGCGCATTATAGCCATGGACAGGTGACATATAGCACGAACCCGAAGGGAATGAAAGGGAAGATGTCAGACTATACTTGATCTGGCTTACTCTGACTCGGGGCGGGAGAGATCCCCTGGAGAGTGCACCAGCGCGTGGATGAAGGGGGTTGGGTCGCACTCTCTGGTCCTTTTCCCCCCGGCTCAAGATGATAAGTGACAAGATCATTGCGTCGTCGACTCGTCTCAATGGAGAGCATTCTAGATCATCCGGGGCTCCAGGAAATCGGGCATAATTGCCGGCAACTCCACTTCTGCAGTAAGCCGACACATGGGAAGCCACAAGGACAAATGAGCGTTCCACAGGAACCTGATCGCCCGTCTCGCTCCTTGTAGGGGAAATGCGAGGTTATTGGAAGGACGCGACAGGGTGTGTAGTTCAGGGCGCCCAATCCGGTTTAGCGCGCGACGACCGATCTCGGTCCAGATTCGCCAGCATCGCCGGAAAAATCGACCCCGACAGTCCAGCCAATCACAATGAGGGGCGGCGTCACAGCCAAGCTTGGGTCCATCGAGCATGACAGAGGAACGCTTGGTCAGGAAGAGCTCCAGGGCTCTCCACCGCCATATCCATGGCCACGAGGTCACCCTTTTACTGGTTGCAAAGATATTTGTCAGAACTCAACAGCTCTGCTCAGGCGGTTTCCCGGCTTGGCTGGGAGCTGTTGTCAAATGGGATCTCTACCATGACTCGTAGGATTTTGTCGCCGAGGAACATTGCCACTCCATTTGGGGGGAACGAAGTGGGACAGTATCGGGGGAGATTTCCCGCGCACGATCTCGGATCTCTTGATTCGAGGCCTCCTCGAAAAGTGCCGGTCTGAAGAACGGGAACCGGGCAGATCATTACGGAAATCTAGGTGGGGAACTGCGCCCAGGGACTACTAAATGATCGTCTCCCCGTACGGTATTGTACCCTAAGGAGAAATCTTGGATAATTCTGGGCTTTGCGTAGCTTCACAGACGGAGCCAAATAGCCGTAGATCCATCCACTGAATTGTCCGGCCCCAGCCGGTGGTTAGTTCTCCTCTTCCCGCTCAATATGGAAGCCTGCATGTCTGGCATTTTATAGATGTGGGACCTAGACGTCAACCGTGCTTTGCTTTTTCTCGGCGGCAAGGATATAATTGCCACACACAGTAGGCAAGACACGCCAGATAACATATTAATCAACTAGGAACATCGTATCGGGGCGCTGCGAGTTCTGGGAGCCCTATGTGCACAAACCATCCCCCCCTGATGCTGTGTTACGATGGGGAACTGTCAGAGGCCCATGTTCCGTGCCCCGTTGCCATTTCCTGTGCATGGGGAAGGCCCAGAGCATGGCCATTGGAGTCTCGCAGGCGCGCAACCCCCCTCTCCCCCCCGGGGCCCTCTCTCCCCTTCCCCGTCCCCGTCACTGTCCCCCTCCCTTGTGATACCAAATCCGGATCTCTTTTTGGCTTCCGAACCAAGATACTCTTCCCTGATCAAAGGTTTCTATTCTTTAATACCCATAATTGGCACAAAGAAGCCCTTCTCCTCCCTCGCCTGCGGAACCATTCAGTGGAGGCAGTGGCGGTTAGTTTGCAAGCTAGGCGCAGCACCTTATCCAGAACGTGGGAGGATAAACCTTCTGACAATCGCTCAATTGAGAGGAACAGAAGATAAGGCTAGCCAATGGCACATTGGCAGAACAAAGGCCGCCTATGCAATGAAGCATGTGTTCCCCCACAGGCAATTTTTAGAGTAGGGGGAAAATAGTGGCTTGTTTTCTAAAAAAGGACAAAAAGGAAATAAAAAATATTTACCCGGAAACAGCTAGCCGCCCCATCCAGAAAGTCAAATAAATAATAATAAAAAAAAAAGGAATAAAGAGAATAAGACCAAACACCAAAATGAAAATTCCAAAAATCCCAAAATGAAATGCCTGTAACGGCTGATCCAACTAGTTAGAGCGCCTTGTATTGTATCCCAAGCTTCTTGCTTGACTCAGGAAGATACTAGAGAGTTTCAGCCTCCAATAATTCTCTGGTTCACTTTTCCATTCGGGTAGTTACAACTCTTAGAACCCCCATGCTCTCTATGGCGTTGCCCCCCCTCCCCTCCCTCCACTCCATCCTAGCTTGTCTTATTTATTAAACCAGACCCGCCCCTGCGATTGATTTCCACTAGTGGACTCCTTGGATCTCCCTCTACCCTTATTCCGTTTATTCCATTCACCTCTTGTTTGCTTTCACAGGAGATCCATCTCCCCCGCCTATCCGCCTCTAATTGTATTGTACTATATGGGTGCCTGACTGTCTCACTGCTTTCTTTCTTCTACACATTCTGTCGGAGAAACGGGTTCCTTTCAACCAACCGTACAAAGGTGACTGAAACCTTTTCAACGTCGGACAGCAGCAACGCAGGCTTTCCACGTCCCTTTTCTTCCTCTTCTTTTCTCTTTCTGGAAGCTTTCCCTGGCTTCGTTTTTCTAAGAGCTTTTGATCTGGACTGGTAGGACCGGCTATCTCCACCAGATCGACATCAGTCCACCATAGTCCGATCTTTTGGCTCTGCATTATGTCCATTCCTAGTGGAAACGGCCTTCCTCCTTCTCCTCCAAACTCTACAGAGGGGGAGCTCTGCCTTGAGAAGATTGAAAGCAACCCAGCATATCCTCCAGTTCCAGTGTACGGGCATGGGAGTAGCGACGGTATGGACTACATGAAGCTTCCCTACCACAACACAGTCCATCAGGACCCTTCCGCGGTAAGCTCCGCCTGGTGTAAAGGTGTCAAACTCGCGGGGAGGCTAATCCCGACCAGGTGTACTCACCCCCGCCTTACTACTCTCACAGTGTTCCCTCTTCTTTTTCGGTAGGTGAAATTCTCGAATGAGCCAGATCATCCGCGCATATCTAACACTCCATATTTCAGATGGGGATGCCGGGCCCTCAAGTGAACACTCCTCCGACTACAGTTGATGATGAGTCCATCCAAGGAAGAGTGCAGTCGCATTCGCCAGTATGGACCTCACCACGCCGTCATGCACCAACTCCGAAAGCTAAGCTTAGCAAGTCGCCGCGTGAAAGGCGACGGACTGCCCAGCGAGATCCAACTAAGAACTCGCGCAGCGTTCCTATTACAGGACCCCTTAGTGAGATCACAAAGCACATGACCGATATCCCCTTGAAGGATATGAGTACCTATGTGATTCGGTCAAAAGAGGAACGTCTGAAAGAGGCTCGTGATAAGGGAAAGGTCCCGAGGCCTATGAACTCTTTCATGCTGTACAGATCTTCGTATGCACCCCGCATCAAAGTCTTCATTGGCCAGACCAACCACCAAGAAGTTTCAAGGGCTGCGGGCTGTGGCTGGAAGATGGAGCCGATCGAGATCCGGGAGATGTACGAGGAGTTTGCACGGACAGAGCGTGACAACCACGCTGCTACCCACCCTGAATACAAATTTAAGCCCCAAAAAGGCCCAGCAACCACCAAAGTCGTTGGGGAACTTACGCCCCCCCTTATCGATCGGGCTTGGAATGGACTCTGGCAGCCCTGGCCATTGGGAAGATCACGAATTATCCCTCCTCGGTATGCACTCCCGCTCTCGCAGCTTCGACGTCGAGCATCTGAGCAGAACCTCATCCCCATTCGACTATACGGAGCCTCCTAGCAGCTCTTACATCAACTCTTGGGGGTCGCCTCACCCGGGTACCAACATGCCGACCGTTCATCCCAGTGCTCTCCACAACAGCATGGGCTCGCAAGTCGAAGACGTGTCCTTCCGCCGCACCCCAGCCCCTAGCGAGATGCAGTATGGAATCACTAGCAGCCTGACAGGTCTCCCAGGCGGCACACACCACGACTTATTGCAGCCTCCGTCAACTCAGTCCCTCCATCCCCCCATCAATGAGACTGCCAACCTCGACCCGCAGATGCTCAGTTACGATAGCATGTCCGCCGGTATTGCAGTATCCATGGGTGACCCCTATAACACCACGCCGAGCCCCTTCCCTATCTGGCCTGGTGAAACCAACTGCTACCTTCCTTCAACTGGAGCCGTCTCCAGCTCCGCTCAATACAATGTCCCAATCGGGGCCACTTACCTACCCAACCTGCAGCGAAACCCTTCTTGGGACGCAACTCAGCATGATAATAATGAAATCACTGAGGCGGATTGGGCAGATGGCGGAGCTTCAAACCTTTGGAAGGTTGAAGAAGTATGATCAGAATACGATAAGGCACGCATTGAAAAGTAAATGACTTTTTTTTTTTTCTTTTTTTTTCTTCTTGTTTGAAACGAGGCATGACGCGCTGTCCACAGTCCGACGATTCTGGCTGCACTACAGAGTCGGACAATGGACGAACTACTGGGGATTCCTTCTTGGGACAAGATAGCAAGGGTCTTGGAGTCTCAGGCGTCTGGTACCAGGAGAAAGGATGGTATCCGGGGCCATTCATTCTCCGCTACTTTCTTTTGTTGAGGTCTCTTTTTTGATGCGCCATACTCTTGTGTTTTGAAATTTCCCGAGGCTTGTTTTTCTACAGCATTTTACCATTCCATTCTTGGGCTCTCCTTGTTCCCTGGCTATTACTTTGGTGGAATTGGAAGACTGTATCTTTTTTTTTTTCGGGGTGGGGCAGGGCGGGGTTTTTGGGTTGGAATTTTGATTGTAAGACCGAGCTTAGATCTCTTATTGTTTCTCCAATTAGCTACCGGTGGTATTTTCCAGTTGACCAATGTATAATTTGATTTCAACAAAATGAACAAGGCGTCTGTGAGTGTGCATTGTACTACTCGCCAGTGAGATGTATGCATGAGCCCTAACTGCCGTCAAACGCACTTCACCGCCCCGTGTTTTGCTTACCGCCTCGTCGACCCCAAGCATCCCGACGTAATTTCGAAGTCGCCATCGCATTATCTCCAGAGTTATTAGAAATTGGAGCAATTTACCGGGTCTTTCAACACTTGTGGAACGCAACTCCAAAGCAACCAGGTCTCAGAGTGATTCGGACTGTCAGCGTTCATCGTCAAGCTCCCTTGACCCCTCCTCCCCTCCATCGAGCGAAGCTTCCCGCGACATTGTCCCACTTCCAATACAATGTCGATCCCCAACGAAGCCTTGCAGAAGGTAAGCCGTCAGACCGGATCCTGTCCGCCTCAATATCTCTGGATCGAGCAATACAGCCATCAGGCCGCCTAATGGCAACAGCTAATACGTTACGTTCTTCAACAGCTCCTGCAGGAGATTGAGACACGCGCGCTCGCTTCGCAGCAACAAATCGGAATCACCAAGGCCCAGATGACGGCCAAGCAGCGTGATATTCGCATGCTGCAGCTGACATCGAAAGAGCTATCTGAGCTGCCTTCAGAGACACGGGTATACGAGGGGGTAGGAAAGATGTGAGTTGCTTTCACTAAGTTTCCCAATAATTGTCGCGGAGACATCCCTTTTCACTCGGCTTTCTCTCTATTCGTGCAGAATTTGATATTCAATTGCTAATGCTATGCTCTTGAACAGGTTCGTTCACGTCCCTACCGATACTGTCTCCAAACGTCTCACCCGAGAGAGCAGCGAGGCTGCGGCCGAGATCGCTAGTCTCGAAAAGAAGCTGCAATATCATGAAACAACGAACAAGAACAGCCGTGATAACTTGGAGCAGATTCTGAAGTCTGGGGGTAGGGCGTGAGACCCCACATTGATCCCTCGTTTCTACTGGACGGAAGGTCTTAGGCCTGGACATGTCGGAGAATTCCTGGCTCTTGATGACACGGCCAGGGGGGGGGGAGAGTCAAGACAGTCGATCTAGCCCCTTTGGCATCACGAATAGCATTTTGGCGATGATGGTGGGCCAACCAATGGCCGACGAGACTTATAATGGTAAGACAAGCCGTATAGGAATCCGGAGGAAAGGAGCCGGTGTCTTTCCTCAATCAGGAAGTTTCAGTTCGGTCAGGCACAGTTCGTGTCGGTTTTTGATTTAGATACCCGAAGTCCCTGCGATTGATCACCGGCCAGGAACAACATAGATGTGCTATTGCTCTTATTTGTTTTGTACCTGAGTTCTTAATGAAAAATAGAGTCTCGAACCAAGCCGTGTGCATGCAATTAACTCTATCGCCCAAAGCCGGAACCGGTCCCGATAAGCCTTATCAAGCAGGGTACCAACGCAGCCTGCGAAAAGCATTTAGCAGGAGCCGAACTTGAAGACACTGACGGAATCCAGCCCAACCAGCCCCAGACATTTCTTCAATGTGCAGTGGTATGTGCATGCTCTCTAAAACTCTGGTCCGACCCAAAGCTGTCTCTCCCACGCAGGGATCCGTATTATCCCCTTTCTCATGGCCATACGAACGACCTCAGACACGGAGCACAAGGTGGCTCCAGCCCCAGCCGGCTCGGCACATGATGCCCAGCGCCATTGGCGTCATTCTTGCGTTTTCGCTCAAACGGTGTGTTCCATCTGACTTCCGCACGGGTAGGCTGATCGCCCGCGCATCTATATTAAAAATGACGTCCGGCTGCAGCCTGACCGACAGGCTAGATCCCTGCTTCGCTTGCGCGGTTCCACTCCACCTTTTGCCATCTTTCGGGGCTGAATGGTGGGCGAGCGCAATCGAATTTTACGCCAAGGATTGTAAAAGCTGGCTGTTCGGGGATTGTACTAGTAATTTTTTGTTCGCAGGATGATGGCCACTGGCAGCGATAGAGTCATTACTAAGGCTAATACTAGTCGTCAGGATCTGGTGGCATGCCGCTAAGGCTGAAACCGGCTGAGGTGCTTGTCGAATCATAATTAAAGTTCTGAGGATCGCCGTCGTAGTCTATTCGTACCGTGGCTTTTTGTCAAATTAGGCCTAAGCGGTTATCCTCTTCGTTCTAGTGCCGTCGCATTAGGCCAACTTGAAAGTGGTTTTGACGGGGTTTCCCACAAGATTTTGCTAACTAAGACCAAGCATTCATCACCATGGCTACATAAATCTGCCCTGGAATATGTGCAGACAAGAGTACTGGTGTGCCCGATCGATTGAGCCTAAACATCAATGTAGCCACCAGGCATTGAGCCCTGTCCTCAATCGATTTATTGCCCACAGGGTCCGAAAACCACAGCGGTGGATACTAGTACTTGTAAGTCTAGACTTACAAACTGTGGCATCGAGCCTTCGAGTAATGGGTTCACGAAAACATACCCCCGTGCGACACACCGGGCATCTTCAAGTTGCACCGCCACCGCCACTCACAGATTTGTCTGAGCAGTGTACTTCCAGCCTCCTACTGGCGCATGCCCAACTCTGTGCCTTGGTTCGATGCATTTTCGATACGCCTTCTCTACAATTCATATCTCGTTGCGGCCACTTGCGCAACTCAGTCGCCGGATATCAGACCAGGGAGAAAACTTGACTGCCGATCGTACAAGTCATGTTGAACCCTTTTGTAGCTAGCGCAGAAAAGTGTGAAGCTCAAGGTTGCAACAGTCCGGAGACCTGAATAAAGGTCTGGCCGATCAAACTACAGACGAAGGTATTCCGATCAAAAGATCATAGTCCAGGAACATATGCCGGAGGCACTTAACCGCCGAGTGACGGGGGCCGCCCGCAAGCGCCGAGGCTCGTAATCTGAGATCAGGACTGCCGCGTATCGCCCATCCGTATCATCTAGCGCTCGAATGATATACACAGAGGAGTTGATCGTGTTCTGGTCGGAGTGCCCTTCGTCTGTCGAGGTCTACACGGTGGGATGGGACATCAGTCCTAGCGGTCCAGAGAGAAGTGGATCCACTATCAAAACGGAGTCCCTGGCGCTGAGCACGGCAGACGCCTCAGGGGAAAAAAAAAAGAAAAGACTTGGGAGTTATACAATAGGCCCAAGTTAAAAGGAGATCAAGATCCGATATCACGCGAGGTTGGCGCGGGTCATGCGTTTCCCTGGATCATTTGCGGGTCCCACCCGACGGTCCCTTGGGTCCGATTGTTTTGGTTTTGATCCTCTTCTGCCCAATCTACTACTGTGTAGTATTTGTAGTATTTTGTCTGGTCGGCTTATCGTTGCTCATGCTGCCCAAGTTGCCACCCCATGGGCATGCTGAGACTTTATGTAATCGACCCTGCAGAGGAAATGCCGCATGCCATAATCTTATCAGGTACCTACCGACAGCCCCCTTGCTTTCGGAGCCAAGTATGGAAATAGCGGGGTACCAGGAGTATCCGATATTCTACACGTGTATCGATAGACGCCGGACTGACTCGCTCAAGCGCTTGAGATCTCTGCACCCCGTGTCAATCTTAGTGTCAGGAACCATGCATTGCTGGCACGAAAGATGGGACGATCGCCAGGACTAAGGTTGGCGTCCGTTTATTTTAGGTCGAATCGAACATGGTTTCGCAAGTAAAGTTCCAGGAGGCCGGGTGTGGAGCGCTGGAGTCAATTAGCAAGGCGCACATTGCCGCCCTAAAGGCTGCTAAAGCGTTGGACTCCCAAAGTGGAGCCGTTACAGCCCTGGGGGTTACAAGGATTACCGGGGGGGGGCGGCTGATGCTAATTGCCCACACCTGGAAACCTTGGAAGACACTGGTACACTCGTGTTACAGTATATCGTCCCGCAGATATAGGGTGATAGAATAGCATAGAAGGGCCGAAGGGAGGAATCTGGAAGGATTCGTAGAATCCTCGAATCGTCGCATCCAAATGGCGGGGACGAAGAAGACTCGAGCGCAAGATCCCCGAAGCGCTAAAGCCCAATGAGGCTGAAGGAAAAGAGCAGAAAGTCATGGCGTAATATTACTTCGAGAAAAAACCCCAGCCCAATAGGTTCTCGAAGCCTTTGGTGAATCCAGCAGTCCAATAAATAGAAAACCAACCCGCCATTTTTCGAAGTTCCCTCTCTTCCCTTCCAGCCCCTACCCCGCCTCTCAGCTGATTCGCAGCCAACCTTGCAAAGACCTCGTGTTCGAGTCTTCTGCTGACTCTTTTCTCTTCTTTTTCTTTCGTTCCGCCCCTTGGCTTTTCTTTTACCCCCCCCACCACCTCAAGGAAGAAACAAGAATCGCGCTCAGGCCTTGCTTACGGCCAAATCCAAACCCGAATCCAAGCCCACAACCCTTGACATCATAAAGCTCCCCTATTCCAAACCACCCCAAAGGTCCCAAAGAGCCCAAAGAGCCCTCGAAAATGTCCACTGAATTTGTTGGCTGGGATTCCGATGAGTCGGACTTCTCCGAGACCGACCTCTCGTTTCGCGGCCGCCACGGTCGTGGCGCCCACATTCGACGGCGCTCCGTGTCCCGCCCTCGCCCTCCTCCCCGCGAATACCAAGAATACCGCGAAACACTGTACCCTCCACGGGAGACTCGAGTTTACCGCTCCGCCTCCACAGGCGGCCGTCGCCAGCGCGATGTGGGCCCCAGCGTAACTATCATCAATAAGCAAGCGGCCGACGCCCGCGCCGTCAACAAGCCCCGCCACCGGACCGAGCAGAAGCTTATTGACGCCGAATCTGAAGAGGACTACCCCATCGCCCGCGACCGTAGCTCTCGCCGTCGCACTACGTCTAACTTGAACCTGAACGTCGAGCGCACCCCGTCCCCGTATCACCGGGACTATGAACTCATGATGAACCAGCGTCTGCTGGACCGCAACGACGTCCGCCAGGACTTGGAGATCTGGAAGGCGCAGCAGGAGATCGAGCGTCTGGAGCGTGAACTGGAGAGGCGCCGTGAGAAGCCTCGTCCTGTCGAGGCCCCGCCTGCGCCTCCCGCTCCGCCTGCTATGCCTGGCGCTCCCCTTGTCCCCGTTATCCCGGCCCGTGAGTCACGGCTCCTCCGAGAGGAAGAGGAGTGGTACGAGGATGAAATCAGTGAGCGGCTGCGTCGTCTCGAGCGCTATGAGCGCAAGAGCAAGGAAGAGGAGCTGCAGCGCAAGAGCGAGCGTGCGTGGCGCTTGAAGAAGTTGGAGGAAGCGGAGAAAGAGGCCGCCGAGAAGGAGGAGTTGAAGGAGCGTATCAAGCAGGAGAAGATCAAGGAGATGGAGCGCCAGCAAGCTGAGGAAGCTGAGCGCAACAAGATTAAGCAGCAGCTCATCGAGGAGGAGCGGCGCAGAGCCCTAGCTGCCGAAGAGGCCAGGAAGGCCCAGTTAGCCATGAAGGCTGCTGCCGTTGAGGAATGGAAGTTGGAGCAGGAGCGCATTAAGCAAGCGGAGAAGGAGGCTGCTATCAGGAAGGACAAGGAGTTCCGCGAGCGTCTCCGCATCGAGTTTGGCTATTCCGAGAAGGAAATCGAACACATCCTCAACAAAAAGGAGCGAGAGGAGCGGGAAGCCAAGGAGAAGAAAGAGAAGGAGGAAAAAGAGGCGAAGGAGAAGAAGGAAAAGGAAGAGAAAGAGAAGAAGGAGAAAGAGGAGAAGGAAAGGAAGGAGAAGGAGGAAAGGGAACGAGTAGAAAAGGAAAAGACCACTTGGATCAAGGTATGTTTCGATGCTCGGATCCCTTCCAGGATAATCTCCACTGCAATATATGCTAACGGCGCTTCAGGTCCACCGCAAGCACCTCCTTCCCGAGACTCTGATCGCCTACAACCTTCCTTGGGAGTGGGATGAGCGAGACAGCAACTACATTATCATCAAGCGATGGATCACCGAGGACTTCCAAGAAGAACTCTTCAGCCACACCCGACGCCTTCGTGAAGGCAAGGTCATTGCCCAAACTTCCTCCTCCACCACCGAGCTGAAGATCAACGACCGCAACAAGGACAAGATGTACCTGGTGCGGAAGAAGAGCCCCAGCCGTCGGCTGCGTATCTTCGCCTGACTCCATGCATGACTCCTTTGCAACAAATCTTCGGCGTCTCAAAGTTAAATCCTTCGGTTTCTTCTTCTCTTGGCCATGGCTGAGCAAGATTGTGGATAACTATATCCTACTTGATCACTATTCGACCTCTCTGTTCTCTGGCTGATATTTTCGCATACGTGTTATTTTTTTTTCTTTTCCTTCTATTGTCCCTTTCTCTTATTGAACGCTCTTCGTTCATGTGTGTTTGGTCTTTGTTTGGGAACAGGCTTGCTCTGATATTTTTTCTTTTTCTTCTTTTTGGTTTTGGTTCTGTATTGATCTGTTCTTTCTGTCGTCTGCTTTCGCTCAGATGTGATACAATAACGAGACACGAGTTGACGACCTTTTTTTTTTTACTATACCTTTGAAACATGCTCCTATCATCTAAGCTTCAATAAAACTGGCTACTCTGACACCACCCTCATCATAACTCAAGTCCATTTATTATCGACTGTAGGTTTTGTGCCCGTAATTCTGCCTCCGGGATCTCGGATATAAGAGCGCCACTAAGATCTTCCATATCATCAAAAGCGCTAGATTGCGAATTCCAAGGTTATGACCCCGTAGCTTAGGTAAATATCGTGACTAATAATACACTAGAATACACAGGGACTGTCGTCAGATGATGCTGGAGTCCAACATCACCGCTAGTCACTCCTATAGTAGGCCCACGGCCAGGTTTCTCTCGTATACCAGAACTAACGAATGGAAAGTGGAGGGGAAACCTACCAGTCCAGCCAATGCCCGTTTTAGTCGATCTGTCAGCGCAGCGCCTCCATGGATATTACATATCCATCTGATGCTTTGCAGACCACCTCTTCTCAGCCCGGAGAATCAGCTCCTCATATACAGTCCACGCAAGAGCCGAACTAAGCGCCTTCCGCCCCATCCGCAATCCAAAGCCTCCGAACAGACTGCGTATCCCATCTTCGTGCACCATCAGCCGGACTGCGCGCAGCATATTCCCATACTTGGCCGGCATGAGTTGGAGTCTCGTTTTCACCGCATCAAAAGGGTTGGTAATAGCCGTAGCGAGCCCGGCAGCCGATGCGCCTGACACGAAATTAATCGACGATGATGACGCAACCTGCTGTGATCCGTCGCTTGCACCTTTGGTTGCTAATGAGGCGAGGCGTCGCTTTAGCTGCTCGTAGATCACCACATAGAGGCCGGCATAGGGTGCGTCGCGGGCGGCGGTCGCTCCAAAGCCGGCGAAGAGTCCTTTGAATCCCTCTGTTCGCACGATGTCGCGCCCTGCGCCCCAGAGGCTGCGGTATGCGTAAAAGTCAGATTCGTAGCGGACTTTGATCACGGTGACGGGCATCATGACGAAGCCGGCGGAGACACGCGCGACGGCCCCGGTGGCTAGGTTAGCGGTGTTCGAGAGTTTGGGGAGTGCGGAGGAGGATTTCTGGATTGATGCGTTTGCGAGGGGGGGTGGTGGATTGGGCGATGGTCTGGCGGAGGGCGTTTAAGCTCGTGAAATAGAGGGCCGAGCCGAAGCCTGTGCGGAGAGCGGAGGGGAGGGTGCCTCGCCATAGTCCGCGGATTGGATGTTGGGAGGAGAGAATGGTCTTGAGAGTTGGGAGGAGCGATTGTTTGGATTGCTGGACTCGGGTTTTGAGTAGGTCGGCTGGCTGGAGGAGAATGGAGGAGGTGAGGCCCGAGAAGAGACCGGCAGTGAAATGGAAGGCGGTTTTCGAGGCTGCGGGAGATTTCGAGATCGTTAATCAAGGACTTTCCGGGATATATGCAAGGCCCACAAGGAGACGGAAAGTGGCGGTCGGGGAAGATATGGGAGGGATACATTTAGAGGTGCTTGTCTTCACCTGCGGCACAGCGTACGCGCCATTGTTGGACATCTCCGCTGAGGCCGGCATAGCAGGCCTAGCACTTTAGCTTGCTTAAGTGTCCCCGTCCAATGAATGCACGATTTTGACTGTATCGCATCCAGGTCGGTCGGCTGTCCGGACGGTAGAATTCGGCGTCAACGGGACGGAAATTTGAACCTGAACGACCAGGGCTGTCAAGGCTTGTATATAAGTCGTAGCAGGAGGGCTAGCAGAGTGGAAAGTGAAATCTAGAAGAAGGTAAGGACAGGGATTGGACCACTTGGGAGTTTGCACATACCTGGCTGAGACGCAAAAAGGTATGCAAGACGTCAACTCGCCGTTAGCCGCGTATCTCGGGCGTATCGATAAGACTTGCCTTGCCGTCTTGGGATTAATGCGGATCATTTACTCCATGAACGGCCTCTCTCGGAGGATCGCACGAGGTGAAAATGGTTCATGTAAGTCATAGCTGTTGTGTTTCAATGGTCTCCTTTTCTCTCTCCATTCTAATTCATCTATCTATCTAAATCTGTAGATCGAAGGTCCTAGACACTCCGAATCGACAGCTGTGGGATTGGATATCTGACAGGTACAGAGTGCACGACACAGTCCTTGTTGTGCTAGGGGGTTTGACTATGGACCAGGGAGGTTTAGCCTCTCGCCTCCCTCCCCAATTTGCCCTGCAATTCCAAACCCCCTTCGAATTCCTGTTGGGACCTTTGTTATCACTTGCGAGCAGCCCGGTATCTCGCGGAGACAAGCGGGAGCCAATTAGCGCTCCTCAATTGTGCAGTTGCATACGTCGACGTCATGTGCTGATCGCCTAAATTTGTCTCGTCTCGCTTCTAGCTCTGGACACTCCCCTCATCCCACACCGTCGCCATGAACTGGGCCATTCCCTTCTTTCCATACCCTCCCTCTAAGCCCGGGTTTTGGAGCCCGGTCACGTCGACCCTCAACTGGTGCGAAGAGGTACGTTTCTGGTCTATGAGGCTCTCGCCGCCCCACCACGCTAGGCCGCAGCTTCTCTACCTACAAAATACTGATGGTGAATAGGACTACTATGCGACCGTATACTCTGCCGAGATTGTCAATACTTTGACAAACCTTCTGTTTATGGCACTGGGAGTCAAGGGCATCATCAGCTGTATTCGCAATCAACATGACCAAATCTTCCTGGTGGCCTATTTGGGCTACCTGGTGGTGGGCACAGGCAGTTTCCTGTTCCATACTACTTTGAAGTGTGAGTCTTCCCCAGGAGGGCTGTAACGGAGGGGGTTACTTGGGCCAAACCCTTGTATGCAACCCTTCCTTTCTCGTCTGCAAAAGCTGACATGATTGTCCCCACAAATTAGATCCGATGCAACTAGTTGACGAATTATCCATGATCTATACAACGTGTCTGATGGTCTACGCGTCGTTCGCCTTCTCCCGCCCAACAGGTGTGCGTGTGGCTATAGGGGTCTCCCTTTCAGCCTTGTCAGTCTTCATCACGCTCTATTATCACTACCTCCAAGACCCTACGTTCCACCAGAATACCTACGCATTATTGACAATTGTCGTCGTATTCCGTAGTATGTACACTATGGAGAAGACCTTGCGACCCAAATGGCGCAAGTCTCGAGAGGAGGACCGCCTGGAGAAAGAGAAGCGAGGCTTACCGGTGCCGTCCAAGGAGCGCCAGCACTTTGAGAATGTCCGTGATACGAAGCTCCTTGCCACAATGTGGTGCATGGTCGGCTACGGGCTGGCTATGTTCCTCGGTGGGTTTGCAATTTGGAATTTGGACAACCACTTCTGTTCTGATATTCGCCGATGGAGACGCCAAGTGGGCCTACCATGGGGGATTTTCCTGGAGGGCCATGGGTGGTGGTATGTGTTCTTCTTTCCGAGATCCTTGGGGTAATTTTGTGAACTGACCGCTGGAATTTCCAAAAATAGGCACATTATGACAGGTATTGGTGCGTATCTATACATCGTCTGGGGGATTCAGCTTCGACACTGTCTGAAAGGACAGCAGGATGATTACCACCTTCACTGGGCTCGTGTTTGGCACATCCCCGACGTGGTTCGTACCGCGCCTTCTTCCAAGGGAGCGAATTCGCAACAGAAAAAGTTGTCCTAGAGTCTTTCTGCCTGGGCTGCTCCAATGTCCCAATCAAACCATCGGTGAGTCTTATCCACTGCCAGTGGTAGAATTACAAGTGCAATATACGGCGTTCGGATGCACTAGCAGCATACCCCCTCTCTCCTTTCGCGTTGATGGCTTGAAATCTTGTTCTTTTTCGGATTAAACTTTCCATGTTTAGTTTGCACAAGCTTTGTTCTGGAGACGAATTGGCTTTCGATAGATACCTTCTGCTACATCATCGTCCCATTGCGACCCAAGAGTTGCTATAGATTCCCCTCGCCCTTGGACTATTTTGGCTAGCTTCTATGTTTTTTTTTCCTGCTTAGCCAATGCCTTGAGTCCACAATAAAAGATCAAGGGTGTTTGAATACTTGCCATAGGCCATCAATAATCGTTTAAAATTAGGCGCGTCCTAAATGAACTTGGTGGAGATCGAGAATTTGTACATCGGCTAAACGAATTCCTGCAAGTAGTCCACGCAGATCGGCGGTGAGGCTACGGTCCTCCGAGGCATGTTCTGTTTCATACCGATTCCAAGGCAATGATCTGTATTATATATACCAAATCTAAAGTCGCAGAACTCACAGCATTACAGCTTCGACGGAGACCCATTCCCATTTTGAGGTCGTCGTGCTGGCGCAGGGACATGCTTCAACCAATCCGCATCAATAGCCATCTTCTCCCTCTTCGTCTTCTTATCCCACTCAGCCCGGAAACTCTCATTCTCATCCTTCCAGCGCCGCAGCTCTGGCCCTATCCAAGAAGCCGCTGCATCCGCACACTCAGTCACTGCCTCTTGGGCAAGCAAATGGCCAAAGTCTTGTAAGAGAACCTCCCGGACCCGACCCGCTGCTACCCCACCGCTCCCACCAACCCCTGTGCCAGTGTTGGCGAGCTTATCGGCGCGCTTCTGCGGTAAACTTAGATCCGATTTGCCTCCGAAAATGTAAAGCACACTGGGGCGCACGAACGGAAGCTGGTGGAATATGCGCGTTGGCTCGGGGCGGTAGAATGGGTAGGAGAAGGATGTAAGTTCCAGGTCTGGGTGCGTGACACGGTTGACGGGTTTCCCATTCCCCGGAATGTTCGTGTAGTTTGGCCGAGAGAAGGTAAAGACTTCCTGATGGAGGGGGGTGCGCAGGGTGACGGGCGGGTTGGCAGGGTCGATCTTGGTTTTATCGTCGAGGGGGTGGAGAGCGGTTGGGAGGTCGCGGAGACCGTATTTCACCCACTGCTTGAGAACACGGGGGTCCCATGCCTGGTAGAAGGGGCTTCGCTGGAAGCTTTCTTCGGCTGCTTTTTCGGGAGGGCCAGATCTCGCGCCGGTAGGTGGACAGTTGGGTGGTCTTGGCGATGATGAACTGGTTTTCTTCGAAACTCACGTCGTCGAGCGTTGTTGGCTGGGGTTGGATCACAGGGTCTAGCAGGACTAGCGTGTGGAGAAGCCGTGGATGCATTAAGCTTAATTGTGTACTGCGTTCGAGGTTAGTTCGGAGCGTGTGGTTGCAGCGAGATGTGGCTGGGGTAGGACGAACAGCTGCGCGCCGCCAAAGCTGTGCCCGAGTCCGACGATCGGCCGTGGCATCTCAGCTCGCTTGACATTGACAAGATGGAGGAGATCGCGGGGGTGGTCGAACCAGCTTGCTGTATACCTGTGAGGAGGAGGTCATGTATTGCGCTGCAGGTGAAACATACGGTCGTTGCCGAGAGCGTGTTCATTCAACACGCTGCTCTCGCCCTGGTGAGCGACATCAGCCATCCAGATGCTTCTGATGCGGAAGCCAGAGTCTTTGGACCGGGCGTGTATTTCCTCCCAAAGAGGCTCATAGAGTTCCTGTCGCATTGATTAGCCATGGTCCAGGAAGGGTTGACCTTACACGCCAGCAATCCCCAGTCTAACTCCTAGAGGGCTGTCCTACCTTGGGAAACCCATTCGCATGTGCAGCAAGGATTGTGACGTCTCCGGGCTGTGGGTTTTCATTGTCCAGTGGAATATACTGTTTTACTGCAAGCTGTAGAACATCTTCCTGGCTGTCGGCCGTAGCTCCGGGGTATTCGCGAATGTGCTGACACGGCACCACGTGTTCGACAACGCGAAATGGGAAAGCCATGGTTGCACAATGTCAGGAAAGAGAATTGAGAACGGAGCCAGAGAATACAGTTTAGGATCCCCGCGTCGTGGTCAATAAATCTGGGGCGACGAATGAGCCGAGGCTCCATTTGGAACGGCGACTGCAACTGCCGAGCCCCACTTTTATTGGCGTCTGCCCGCGAATCTGGACTAGCATGAATGCCTCAATTTGTACGATTTTCGGCCAGCTGCTTCATGTATCCATGACTCGCGCACTTGAGGACCGAAAATAGCCCTTTAGCTGACTCGTGTTATACTAGTCAGTCGTGGTAAAATCACATGTCATGTGCAATTCGAAGGGACTCGCTCAAGCGCAATATATGGTTTTTCCGAACGGGGAGGGATTACTGGCAGGAAAGCTACCCACGTCTACAATGTTTTTATGGCTAGAGATTCCACTTTTCAACGTGTGAGATGACGACTTGCAACCTTGAAAACTTCCTTGGACTAGTCAGCTTGAAATAAGCAGCTTTTCAGGAGCTTTGTGTTATAACTAGAGCTCAACAGATCTTCCCTGTCTAGGGTAGGAAAGGCATACCAGAGCTCGGGGCTTCTATCACTTACAGAAGCTAATACATGGAAAACGCTACTATGATAGACCCTCGATCTCAAAAGAGATGCCTGGCAGAAGTTCGCCCTTTCCAGGTTTCGACCCATTGAAAACGAGCCTGACAGTAGTGTCGCCGCTGGACAGAGAAATATCATGTCTTGCGTTGTTAGAGCCAGAGGGTACACCATAATTCCAATTCCCACCCAAGATTGCGTCATAAACAACCTTCGCCCTGGCTAGGTCTTCGTCAGGGACTTTGATGTCAACAGAACTGATGCCGTGCACACCATTCGGGTGCCGAGTGAGGTTTTTTCTCTGCTTCGTATGGAACACGCTTCTCCCTAGGGGTCCGGTCAAAGCACCAGAAAGGCAAGGAACCGGGCTGTGCTGGATTTCCTTGAGAATCCCGGGGAGTGCTCACTGCCCATTTCAAGATGGTCCCATCTGGCTTTGTACGACCGCCGGGGATAGGGTCAGTATATGAGCCACCGAATCCAGCCTGCTGGAGCCTTTTCTGCACAGCGGGAAAGTCATCCTCTGAGGGCAAGGTAAAAGCCCAATCGATGATGGTGTTTTCCTTTGCCTTGCCCCAGCGATGTTGACGGCGTCGCTCTGGATCCACGTCATCGAAGAAAGCAATCAGTTCAAGATAGACTCCGTCAGGCAAGAGGATTAGCTTATTGGCTGTGAGTCCATCGGCATGAGTCCCCCCTGGTGCTAGTGTAAATTGGCCATCGAGGAATTTCGAGATCTCGAGGAGATCTTTATGGGAAACCAGGATGACGATATGGTCCAGCAAAGGTGTTTGGCTTAGCATTGCGAAAAGACTTATCGAGGCACAATTCCCAAAGAGCTTGACAGAAAGATGTTGGATTGCTCTAAGGTGGAAGAAGTTGCTGTACGTTAGATCGCGTGCGAATCAACCCCGCACCGTCATTGACGATAATTGGAGAAACCCCGCTTTGCCCGCGTGAAAATCAGGGCGGGATTTCCGTGAAAATATGTAGACTGCTATTACGTTCTTTATTATAGACATTGAATGCGTGCTATCGGCCTTGATTTGGAATGGCCTTGGAGTTGAAGGATCTGGGAAACCTTGGAAGTAAGCATTAAGGTTACTAGATAGGTCAACAATCAAGCGAGCGAGCTATACCTGGAGATCACAAAATGACTGAAGTCATAATTTGTGGAGCGTGGCTATCAAAGCCATAAAGCGTACTCTTAGAGGTGATTGTGAGAGTATACTAGTAGTAATACTAGCAGGGATGTTGATTTTGATTCGGCACCTGACCACTAGTAGAGAGAAATCAATAGTCGGTTCTGAAGACCAACACCAGGTTTGCTAAAATTCCACCAGAAAATGCATCTTTAATTGTTTTCGAGGTCTGGTGGATATCGGATGAATAAAGATTAGGTACTGCTTGATCCATCCGATATCCACCGGCCCTCGAAAACAATTAAAGATGCATTTTCTGGTGGAATTTTACCAAACCTGGTGGATATCAGATGAATCTGGTAGTATCTGATCTGAATTCATCCGATATCCACCAGTCTTCGAAAACAATTAAAGATCTGTTTTATGGTGAGATTTATTGAAACCTGGTGGTCATCAGATAATCAGATTAACCTGGAAATGAACTAAGATCAGCGAATACTTAGATTCAAGAGCCAGTGCAGACCATTTTTGGATACGAGATCCCAGAGAACACCAGCCACGATGCTAAGTTGTTGCTGGACAAGTGCAAAGCTGTGGATACCTTGACACCGACCCGACCCTGGATTGATGAAAAGGTTACAAAGGTGCTATCTAGAATGAAATTGTCGCCGTGGCCCAAGATGTGTTAGCAGGTTGCAACTATGGTACTTTTTTCGATTCAGCCCAGGAATTTTGGCATCGAAGAGTTATTGGCGAGGACGCAGCGTTGAATGGTTCATCCTGGTTATTTAATAGACCTGAATTAAGTCCAAAATTATGGGCTGGATTTGAGCTGGAAATGTAACTAAGCTGTGCTTATTTACATAAGGACTTTCCCTTAACTACGTCAGGTCTAGAGGTAATAGGGTCAGGAGACGAAGGGCCAAAATGAGAGACCGTCAGGGAAATCTTGAGATGGGTGATTGTATGAGAATAACGAAAAGTAACGCTCCCTAGGAGGTTTAGGAATGTCGCATTTGCGCCGGAAGGAACTCGCAGAAATTCCAGTTTGTGTGACACCCGCAGAAGCTGGACACGATCGTCAATCAGAGAAGCCCAAAGGGCAACCACAAGCGCTAAACCTCTGAGGTGCCACGTAACCAATTGGTTCTAAGTATTATGTCCGATCACTAGCGAATGAGGTTAAGTTCCAGATCAGCTTCCAGCGTTTGAATCTAGTCTTTCTTGGGCGACCGCCTGCGCCCGTGATAAGTGCTTTTGTTTCTACCTCCAAGTTCATTCCTAGGGCGAAATGCCGTCACCAGCGGACCTCAAGACAAAAACCTCGCTTGTGCTCTCAGGCCACATCCCCTTCAGATGTTATTTCCCAGTTATCAATCAACTTCCCCGTCTGAAATCAAATATCTCATTAACGAAGAATATCAAGGGCTGGATTCAGTTAGCTCAAGACTTTTTCTCGAGGGGAACTAGAGAACCAGAGCTGCTCCTCCCAAAGGAGTACCTCTCTGCAACGACAATATCATCATCGGTAAGTTGACCTTGGAAAGCCCCGGTGCCATATAGTAAGCAGCTTTGAAGTAACCTTGAAGCTGACAGTCATTTGCTTGAAAATGCGACGCATTTCGAGATATTTCGATCAATCCTCGAAGGCACTTCCCAGGAGGATGTCTTCTCTGCGTGGGAATCCGAATCTGTTTGAGTACACTTCTGGGCGGTTTTTGTGAGTCATGGCGGTTCGCTGCTGAACGCGGTATCTGCAAATAAACTGACTTTGCGATGAACTAACAAGCCGTGATAAATAGGTTTAACGAAGAGCTTCGCCGCACCGAACGCAGTATCCAATTCGACGTAGATGCTCTTGCAAGGACAGCCTGCCATTCTGTCGATCGCGGCCTCAGTGGTGTGGCTTCGATTACGAAACTCGCCGAGGGGGGGCTTCAATCGTGTCTTGCAAATCACGTTCAATGATGGATATGTAATTCTTGCAAGGCTGCCTTATAAGATGACTGTTCCAAAACATTATGCAGTGGCCAGTGAAGCTGCGACGCTCGCACTTCTGCGTGCTCAAGGGGTTCCCGTCCCCAAAGTCCTTGCGTATTCTCCAGATCAGACAAACGCCGTTGGAACCGAATACATTCTACTTGAAAGACTTGAAGGAACACCCTTAAGCAATCAGTGGTTCTCTATGGATACCAAAACTCGGGTCAAAATAATGAGACAGATCGTTGACGTAGAGAGACAGTTCATGAGCATCCGCTTCCCAGCAAGCGGAAGTCTTTATCACCGCCGCGATCTTGACAGCTCACAACACGTCGTTCCGGTCTTGGACGACATTGTCGTTGGCCCAACTGCACAACATGAATGGTGGTATCAGGAACGAGCCTCTCTCGAAGTTGACCGCGGCCCATGTGAGTCGGCATCTAGGAATGCCTGTCTTTCCTGTAAATATTGATTTCGAACCAGGGAATACCTTTTCTGCGTGCTTTGAAGCACCGGCCAAGCGCGAGCTAGAATTCTGTGAACGATTTGGCAGACCACGCCTACACGCCGAAAGATACCTGCGAGAAATACACCAGTTCCAGAACCACTCACCTCTTCCGTACCAACATCTCCTTACCAATTATTTGAAAATAGCGCCTTACCTCGACGTCCCGTCCGACCATCGCATGTCTCGCCCGACACTTCGCCATCCAGACTTTTCACCGAATGACATCCTAGTGAACACCTCCAACGACGTGGTAGGGCTCATTGACTGGCAACATGCAGTTATTCTGCCTCTTTGCCTGTGCGCTGGAATCCCGGATCATTTTCAAAACTGGGGTGATCCATTATCTGAGACACTATCGAAGCCAGAGGTCAGGTTGCCAAAGAATTTTGATGAACTCAGCCATGAGGAACAAAAAAATGTTCAAGAGACGATGCGAAGACGGATTGTTCACTTTTACTATGCTGCGTTGACCATGAAATCCCTGCCGGACCACTTCGATGCCATCAGAAATGAGAACTGTATGCTTCGAGCGAAACTTTTTCATCATGCGCAGGCTCCCTGGGAAGGAGATTCTGTCTCGTTGAAGTATGCTATGTTGCAGGTACTCAAGAATTGGCCTATGTCGTTGGATGAAGGAGCACAGACGAGACCTGTTAAGTGCCCGGTCTCTTTTTCTGAGGAAGAGATACAGCAATGTTCGGCGGATCATCAGCAAGAACAAGAGAAACTAAAGGAATTAGATGAGATGAGGGAACTAATCGGGACAGATGCCCTTGGCTGGGTGTCAGATGAAGATGAGCTTAATCGGTGTAAGGCTGTCATCCAAATGATTAAGGATGGTTTAATGGAACATTCTAGCACTGAGATGGAGAAGATAGCGGTGCTCTATCATTTTCCTTTCGACGATCATGAAGAAAATTTATGAAGTTTGTTAGTAATTCAGCTCTCGAATACAATAATATTATCTTTAACTTCCCCTATATGAAGGCCATACTTTGCCAGTAAACAAACCCTCGGAACCTCTTAGTTACCCATCCCTGTTAAGCTTTGTTTTCACCGAGAAGGGCAACGCTTTGTAGAGGTAGGACAGCGGAGGAAAGGGCACCAGTGCAGATTGTAGGCATTGCGCGTATCGGTCATCGGTCTTCGAAGCAAGGGTGAAATATTTGCAGAGATACTTGTTAGTAATCATAGGATACGCTGAACCTGGTGAATTTTCGTTAAACCCGGTGGATATCAGATGAACCAAGTAGTACCTGATCTTGATATTAAACCTGGTGGATATAGGATGTATCAAGTGTTAAGTAATATTCTAGGTTGATCTGATTGTGTGAAGGATCGTCCTTGGGCTAATGTTACAACAGCTGAGCCAAAAGACCGCACCTCATGTGCGGATATCCATGGATGCCCAGGCACGCCTTATATAATACACCCTCTAGCTGCCCAGGTGGGATCAGTGACAGATTGCCACCGGGTTTGATAGAATTCCACCAGGAAATGGATCTTTAAATGCTTTCGAGGTCTGGTAGGTATCGGATGAATCAAGTAGTACCTAATGTTATTTTTCATCCGATATCCACCAGACTACGAAAACAATTAAAGATCCATTTTCTGGTGAAATTTCATGAAACATGGTGGATATAGGATGAATCAGTAGTACCTAATATGAATTCGTCCGATATCCACCAGACCTCGAAAACAATTAAAGATCCATTTTATGGTGAGATTTAATGAAACCTGGTGGATATCGGATGAAATAAGATTAGGCACTACTGATTCATCCGATAACACCAGACCTCGAAAGCATTTAAAGATCCATCTTCTGGTGAAATTTAGCCAAGGCTGGTGATTTTTACAGGAAGCTGATGTCTTTCAGACAAATGAACTAGCGCCACAAAGAACGCTCCAAGTGGCATTTTTAATTCATTCGTTTCAACCCTGGTGTAGATTTTCAGAACTAGGTAGCAGTAAGTTCAAGTATGAGCTAGGCTGAATTCATTTTGAAAAGTGTCAAGGCCCATTATCTATCGATCCCTTATTTTGAGTTTGACATGTATCCCATTTATTGTGGCAATAAGTCTGGGAAACACCCAAAGGCCTCTGGCTGATTCAAGATTGCCAGGAGGCAGCAAAGCGAATCCATAGATCCCCGCGCACGTGACTCGGCGTCGCCTCCAAGCGCGTCGCGTCGTCGATTTCCCCACAACCAAAACGACCAACAACCATCGCCATGGCGCAGCGAGATGAAGAGCACAAGCTCTTTGAGCAGCATCGCATATGTATTGTCTGCACCGACTCTCTCCCTCTTGAACATGCAGAGCAGGTATGTCGTCGGTCTCCATCATATGGGCAAAGATGGATTTCAGCCTTATTGCGATCTCCATCCAGTTGCCGCTTGACACCTTGTTTTGGCTTTGAACGTTATTCCTTGAGACTGAGAGCTCTCCTGCTAACGTGCACCGGCTACTAGCTCGCAGCGACTATCGAGGAATATGGCGGCGAACCTTCTATTCACCAGTCAACACCGACCAAGGAAGATACAGCGGCTGCCACACACATCATTTCTAATACAATCAACTTTGAGACATTCGATCTTGCCTGCGAAGCCCTGATCCCAGTAGTCCGGCCATCATGGCTACATGAATCTTTGAAGAGGCGGAAGCTCTCTAATCCGCGACACTTCAGTCCAGATCCGCGCCTTTTCATGAACGATGTGGTTGTGTGCTGCGGTGATATCCCAGAGGGCGACAAAGAGGCTATTGTGGCAGGAGTTCTTGCGAGGGGCGGATTGTACAGTCAGCGCGTCTCCGGCACTGTCACCCATCTAGTGGACCTGACGGACACGTCCGACAAGGCGCGCCTAGCCCAGGCGAAGAAGCTTAAGCTGAAAATCGTCTTGCCGCACTGGTGAGTTCCGCTTCCGTGACCCATATCAATACTGGATCTTAATTGATTTCCACAAACAGGTTTGACGACTGCCTCAAGCTTGGCCAACGAATTGACGAAGCACCTTATCTCCTCCCCGACCCTGAAATCCTGAGCGCCGGTCCCGATGATCCTCTTCGACGACGAGAGAATAAGGGCTTGAATGCTGCATCGACGCCAGATCCGTCGCATATGCCTGATATGAACAAGAAGCCCACCCCTCATAGCTCAAAAGGGGAAGAACAAAGAAGCGTCTTCAATGGCAAAACTATTATGCTGTCCCCAGACCTACGCATTGGCGAGCGCCTTTTGGAATCGATTCAGTCTGTGCTTGAGTCTGGCGGGGCTACTGTGACAGGCAATGTCTATAACGCAGATTGGGTGATATGTCGCTTTCGTGACGGGTTTGTTTACCGCACTGCCTCACGACTGGAAAAAGAAGTTGGTAATCTTGCCTGGCTGTATTCTTTGATGATCTTTAATGAGTACACTCGGCCCCTGAGCAAGCTTCTCCATTATCCAGTCTCTCGCACGCCCATCCCTGGTTTCGAAGGGCTCAAGATCAGCCTTTCCAATTACGTTGGTGAGGCTAGAATCTATCTTGAGAATTTGATTTCTGCCGCCGGTGCTGAATGCACCAAAACTTTGAAGCAAGAGAACACTCATCTCATTACCGCGCATGGCACAAGCGAGAAATGCACTGCAGCTAGGGAATGGGGTCTTCAGGTTGTCAACCATCTATGGCTGGAGGACAGTTACATTAAATGGAGACATCAGCCGGAGTCCGACCCATGCTACAGTCACTTTCCGCCCCGTACTAACCTGGGAGAAATCGCTGGCCATAAGATGCTGGATATGCAGGTTCTGGAGCGAGTTTTCTTTGCTTCTGAAGATACAGAATCTCAAAGCCCCGAACCCGCGATGCAGGAGAAGGACCAGAACGCTACCTCTATGCCACCTCCTGAGCTGAAGCAGATGGATGACGAGAATGCTCCTGCACCGCCACAAGACACACCTCAGGCAACTAAGAAAGCACGCCGGGTCTCAGAAAACAAGAAGATTGAGACTCCGATACGATCTCGACTTCTCCCCGACGGGAAAGAAAACGACACTCCGTCTTCCACTAGCAGTCGAAAATCTAAGGAAGCAGCCACAGCCCGTCTTCATGAGTACGCCCCAGACTTTGCACTGTATGAGAAAGAACGCAAACGTCGCGGTGGCGTTATCTTCGGCGGCAGACGTAAGTCGGACGAAGACCGGGTTACCATTAACCCTAAGAAGCGACGCTCGCTTGATCCCCAAGAGGAGAGTGAAAACGAGGAAGTGAAGGAAGCCAAGCGGCCGAAAAAATCTCGGCTGGAGATCTCCATGCACCTTTTAATTACTGGCTATCAAAAGTGGGTTGGGAAAGGCAATGAAAAGAAAGAGGACGCAGATAAGGTAAGAAATCCCCCAGGAATGGCAGGCAAGAGTTTCTAATATTTCCGATAGCGACACCTTCGAGACTTGGGTATTATGGTGGTTCAGGATGCCCGCCGATGTACTCACATGGCGGCACCATCCATTCTACGAACGACCAAATTTGTCAATGCACTGGCCTACGCCCCAGCGATCATCAGCACCGACTTCATCACAGAATGTCTGAAACAGGATAAGCTCCTGGACCCAAAGAAGTTCGGTCTGGTAGACAAATCCGCCGAGTCAAAATTCAACTTTTCTCTTGCCAAGGCCCTGAAGAACGCGAAGAAGAACAACAACCAGCTCTTGAAGAACTTCCGGATTTATTGCGTTGAGGATATCCGAGGAGGATTCGAGGCCTTCAAGTCGATCGTCGAGACAAATGGAGGACAGTGTCTTCTTTACCGAGGGCGTCTTGGTTTGACAAACAGTTCGCGCCGAGAAGAAAGTGATGACGAGGATAGTGAGATGGAAGATGATGAACCTGGACGCCATGAGGTGTTCCTCCTGAGTGGGACCGAATCCAAACATGCCCGTCTTTGGACCAAGTTCCGCCAGGGGGCGGGGAAATAAAGAAGACGCCACGCATCCTTCGAGTGGACTGGCTTCTTGATATGGCTATGTCTCAGGAGCTGAAGCCGGCAGAAGGGTATGAGCTGACAGAAGAGATGGTAGATAAGGAGTAAACTGTGTGTATATCCCTACAGTTGGCAGGTTGGGGGTTTTTTGAGCGTCTTCCATCACGAATACCATGATTATTTTTTTTTCCCTTTTCCGAATTGAATGGCTCAGAAGAACTTGACACCTTCTTGGCCTTCCTCGCCAAAGACTTGAGCTTTGCCGCGCTTGACGAGGACATTGAGTGCCTTCCGCATAGCTTCGGCATCCATGCCATGAAACTCTGCGCACGCTCATTAATACATAGTCCTTCTCTCAGCTATTTCATCCCTAGTACATACCTTGAGAAACGGTCGCATCCCCCTCCAGCAGTTCGTAAACCGTCAGCACAGCCCCTCGCTGCCCTGTCCCGTCCACCCAATCCCCGACGATATCGGCCCACTCTTCGGGCCTTCGCCACCAGATCCACGCTACTTGATTCCCCGTTGATGCTGCATCGATCCACTCTGCGCGCCGGCCGCCACCACCCTCCGCTTCGCTCTTGGCCATCCAGTCGATCACGGCACGGGCTTCGCGAAGATCCAGACGCTTGCGCAGCGTAGCATTGTGGAAGAGAGGCGTATCGATAGCTTCGACGAGAGAAAGTTTGTATTGGCGGTGATGCTTACACCAGGACTGGATGAGCGAAGACCACTTCTCGAGCTGGGCCTGGCGGGTGTTGCTGTTAGGCTGCGGGGTGAAGAACGGCGGGAAATTGTAGGTCGACGGGAAAGTGAACGGGGTGGAGGCAGGCGCTGGTTCTGGAGTCGCCATCTCGGTCCGACAGGGCTACGAGTACTGGTCAGATATTAAATGGAGAAGGTAAGCAATGGGAAGGACAGCTTGGAAGACAAGTAGGCACAGAGGGGGGAAGCTGGACGTGGGGAAACGTCGAGCTTGATATGAAAGTGGTGGGCCAATCGGAGTGGGGCACTTCCCGCAAATAATTTCGAGATCGAGTCACCTCCACCCTACTTCGCCTTCTTTCTGACTCTTACACCCTCAGTCATGGTGTCACAACCTGCGCCCAAGCGCCAAAAGCGCGAGGAATACCGGCGCAAGATCCACGAGCAGCACGAGGCTGCTGATGGGGCCAAGGCCGAGGTGCAGCTGCCGCAGAAAAGATTCTTTCGGCAGCGTGCGCATGCGAATCCCTTCTCTGATCACCAGCTTGACTAGTATGTGACTCCATTTACAATTCATCTGTGCTCGGGCTCTTTGCGGGGGAACACAATTTGACGTTCGCGACTGTTGAATTGGAGCTAACGGAGCTTCTACGAACTTTAGTCCCTTGACTCCGGCGCATATGGATTGGTCTTCCCATTACCCCGCATTCGTGGACCCAGATACGTCAAAAACGACCCTTAGCGGTGGACGAAAACTCGTCAAAGATGTGGAGGTCGTGGATATCGGCTGCGGCTTCGGCGGCTTGCTGGTGGGACTAGCTCCTCTATTACCAGACACATTGATGGTTGGTGAGTATACGAGATCTCCCGTCTAGTCACGAGCACAACTGAAACAAGACCAAATAAGGCATGGAGATTCGTGTTTCGGTCCTGGAATTCGTCACCTCCCGAATCAAAGCTCTGCGCTTGCGCCAGCAGTACCTTAAGAATACATCTTCACAAGACCCAGCCCCCGCGTCAGAACCAGCCAACTCACCACAGAACGGATCCGAGGCACCTGAAGACGAGGTCGGGACGACTACCAGTGTGGTGCCAGGCAACTATGAGAATATTTCGGGCATCCGAGCCAACACGATGAAGTTCCTGCCTAACTTCTTCGAGCGGCACCAGCTTTCTAAAATCTTCATCTGCTTCCCAGATCCGCACTTCAAGGCGCGCAAGCATAAAGCTCGCATTGTCTCGGAATACCTGAATGCAGAGTATGCCTATGTGTTGCGGCCTGGCGGTCTATTATATACTATCACCGATGTCGAAGAGTATCACCATTGGATCCTGAAGCATTTCCATGTGTCGGGGAATGAGGGCGAAGATGATGAGGAAGTGCCCAGCATTAAGGATCTTTGGGAACGAGTCTCGGAGGAGGAAGTGAGCGCCGATCCTTGTGCGCAGGTCATGGCTTGCGAGACTGAGGAATCGAAGAAGGTCACTCGCAATAATGGGAACAAGTACGTGGCCGTCTTCCGGCGCAAAGCGGATCCTGAATGGCCGGCCTAGACGATGAGATTGAGATGAGGAATCTATCATGCATTCTCCGCTAATATAGCCATGAATAACGCTAATGACAAAGGTGACCATTCTGCACTCGCTGACTCCGAACCATTCCCCTCAGTAGACAAGAGCAAAAGAAACAAAAACAAAAACAAAAAGCTATCAAATCGGACATGCAAAGTCATAAACCGAAATCGAGGATTCATCATATAGTAAATTCATCATATTTGACCAAGGAGTGCTAAGAACTCTTAGCACATCCCTGCCGCCTTGAGGCGAATGCCTTCACACCGTTCACAGACAGCGTGCTGCACGGGACCGCCAATAATCCGTCCCTTGGCGGTCCGTTTCGGCTCTCCCTCACGAACAAAAAAGCGGCCCTCGGATCCAAATCCGTCACCGCACTCGTGGCAGACAAAGCAGCGTTCATGCCATTGTCCACCGATCGCGCTGACGACAAGTTCATCCAAAACATGCTGCTTACAGCCTAGACAACGGGGAGCAGTACGGCGCGAATGGCATTTGAGACACCAAGCGAAACCGTCCTTCTCTACAAATGGGGTGGTCGAGTTGAAAGGCTGCGATAAGCGAATTAGCATTGCAGAAGAAGATCGGGGCGTACCAAAAACAAGACTTACGTCTCCACACTCCGCACAGAAGAAGTGGCCGACGTGCCATTCAGCCCCACACGCGACCACCACTTCACCCTCAATCGGGGTCTTGCAGCTCTTGCAGCGAGGGCTATAAAGTTCGTGGAAGTCGAGGTGGCAGTAGAACCGAGGCACGCGGTCTTCCTCTGGAGAATTCGCGAGCCTCTCCTCCCGGCTGGCTTGGGGTTCTTCGTAGAATGCTACGCACTCTAGGGGTGTCTGGCAGTGGAAGCAAGCGAAGCATTCGGGATGGAAGCGACAGCCTCCAGCAGTGACAATTTTGCCGGAAATAGAAAGGGAGCACGATTCGCATCGTGCCGTTGGCACTCCGGAGCGGGTATATGGAGTTTGCCAGCGAGTTTGTGGCTCGGAGCGGTTTCGTTGCAAGGAGAGCTGTTGACTATTACGAATGGCCGGCGCTGGTGCGTGCCGGCTCGTGGGTTTGCCCTGCTGTTCTGCAGGGGTGCTGTATTCTGAGATTGTAGGCGTCTTGATATCTGGGACATTAATGACGGGAACAGGGGGCGAGGGGTCATCGTCCGGGCCAACGATGGTAGGAACAGGAGGCACAGAATGCTGCGAGACCTCAATACTAGGTACCACTTCGATGGTAGGCGCTGCGGGGGTTACAGGAGCCGAGTGGCTCCCTGCTTGTGCAGGGTTAGGCTTCGGCGCGTCGCCAGGTCGCCATTTGGGATCAAAGCTGACGATAGGTCGCCCCACTCGGTCACTGACAGCAGATGGCATTGGCAAGCTTTCACTTCGATCCTTCAATTTTTTACTTGTTGCGGCGCGAATATCATCTCCGCGGATCTCAATACCATCTTTCGTGGGAATGTCCTCTCCTTGGGGCTCCGGTGGCGGGGTGGACTCATTGCTTGTGTATGCAGGGTTCCTGGATTGCGTGGGGGGGGTTCTTGTGGATATCGAATCTGGAGATTTTGTCTCGGACGGATCCATTGGAATTCCGGTCCCGCAACCATGGGAGAGGCTTGCTGGTCCGTGGCATGGCGTTGCGGGGATTCCTCAAGGCCGAAGAATCCGACCTCGAGAAATCAGGTCGACTCTCTTCTTCCTTGGCAGGGTCAAGAGGCTCCTCATAAATATGATCGTTGGGGTTTTTGAAAACACCCTTTGAGGAGTCTCCGCTCACAGTTCGGGGTTTGGGAGTAGTGTTAGTTGATTGCGGTTCCTCAGGCAAAGCAAAATTGACCTTCAAATTCTTTTTGAGAGATCCCGCAAGCGAAGACCTCCTCCGAGTCTTATCTCGAGTCGCCTCTGGCATCTCTGGGCTCGATTGGTTGCTCGAACCACTTGATCCAACCGAATGACGGAACTTGTTCGACGATGAGCCAGAACTCTTCTGACTTGGACTTCCAATTGAGTGCCTCATGCTTTGGGGTTTAATATCTGGGTTACGGTATGGAGCGTATGGATTCTTGTACGCCATGCCTGGGTTCTGGTGCATCCATACAAGCTCTGTCGCTTCATCTTGGGCTGCCGCGTGCAAACGAACCTCGTCATTCAGATCCAGGTCCTGCAACGCATCTCGCAACTGCCGGGCTTCTGTCTTCTCTTGGAGCCGTTCATCATTCTCCCGATACGAGGGGACTGGCGACACGGCAAAGGACCGAGACAACACCTGAGAGGGGAAAACGGTCTTTCGGACAGATGCTGAACGCGGTTCCTGGGCGAGTGGGCGGCCTGCTGGTCCGTTTCCTGATGCATTCGAGGACATCCGGCGACGTGACGCGGCGCTCTCCGGGCGCGGTCGTTCATGGCGGAGCTCGTCAGATGGTCGATACATTGAGAAGGCCGATGCAGCGCGGGGAGGCAGGCTCGCTTGAGGGTCGGGGGAGGGCTGCGTAGATTTACCCGGGTAGGGGCGAGAGCCGGTGGGCCGCGCTGGACGATTGGTTCGAAGATCTTTCAGGTAGTTGGCTGCCATTGCGGGTTAGCTTCTGCGATTGAGATAGCGGTCTAGGGGAGGATGGTAGCTCCAAAGGACATTGGACTCACCGACTTGATCATCGGACATGTAGGTCGGACCCGGCGGCGAGACCTTGCGGTGGCCGATCTTGGAATGCTTCTGCATCATTGTGACAGCTTTGGACGGATTGCTTCCAGTGCAGGGACGAAAGCAATAATGTAGCAAGGGAGACAAAAGCGACGTCAGGATCAACTTAAGAAAGTTGATAGGCGGGTCGATTGGGTTGAGATAGTCCCGCAACGGGCGGGTCCAAAACAACAGCGCCACGGCAACCAATCGAGTCCCAGCTCCTCCCCTCTCGTAGGCTGGGAAGAGTTAAGGCTTGCGCAGGATCATGCACCTGGGCATGAAACATGCGCTGTCAAGTGGGTTTGGTGAGGCTGGACCATTGATCTTCTCAATCTCGATCCACTTGCCACTTTCCACCTCACACCGTGGCTGGTCTGAAGATCTGTTCTCCCCCACTTGAAGCAATGGCCCTTCTGGTCTTATCAAACTTGCTGTATTCAGGATAAGATGGTCCATCCGTTTCGTCGCAAGGATACAGAGGGTTATGTGAGCCTCGAGTATTGCAAAACACATATTCTAAAGAGGTATTCGTGAGTGACATGGCGCAAGTTGCTCACCGCGAAGACTTCACAGCTCTTTCCGTCTAATCATGACTAGTAGAATCCATGGTCCATCCTTGCGATCTACGCACTCAACTTGCTCAAGTAGGCTCCCAGGCTGTACTTCCAGACAATCTGGGCTCATACTGACATTGAAGTTCGCAAGGCTACTAGGCAAAGGTTCAAGCTGAGGCAGATGTGGAGAGAATGGTACATAACACGGCTGGGGAGCATTGAGCCTAGTGTAGGGACCTCGAAGGCAGTACTAGTGCCCAGGTGAGCGCATGCAAGATAACTAATTAAAGTTCGCGCTGCGCTGCAACGAACCTCGGCTGCAGAATCTGTATACTTCAAATAATAGGTATCTTCAGCAGCCTGTTATTTAGTCTGTCTATACGCGAAATGGTGAAGATGAAATCTATGGTCCATGGTAATATATGTAGGTAACAAAAGCTCGAGCGTTTGCAATTGGTCTTATCCATACGAATGCCCGGTAAGGTGAGTCGCTTACGGGGTTGAACTAATACGGCAACAGACGAAGGAGAAAGGAGTCTAATTACACTGTTCGCTCCGCCTCAGAGTGCGTGGGATATGTAGTATATCACATGAATAGCTGATCCTTTTTACGAGGCCAGACGCCTTAGAAGGGTGCGCCCATTTTTGCCTGGGAACCTGCGTCCTCTGGCGCATATTGTATTGATTTAGTCCGTGTAGGGCCTCCTCTACGATAGTACGATAGGCCCGATTTAGGATAGGATACGACTACGAATGAGGGAGGCCAACAGTACTATGAGTTCGTGGTACGATGACTCCATGGTAGCAAGATAACCAAACTAATCGCTGGGGAACCGGAGGGTTCCCTTCGCGCTTCCCTTATATCTTGTACGAGTGTTTAGCGCTATCACCCCGTGTTCGATATACAGTAGGCGATACGAAAGTACTCTGAAATCTGCGGCGATTGCAATATCCGAGCACCGGGTGTATGAACGCCTCCCGCGACTTGGGAGGCCTTACTAGAACAAATCGTGTCGTGACAGCGCCACGCTTTCATCACCACCACACGTTCATCACCGATATTCGAGCACGTCACGCAGTCAGGTATCTCAAACACCTAACATACTGAACTCCTCCAATTTCAGTGAAGATCATACCGCAGCCGTCCCTCACGAAGCAAGCCTGAATATCCCAAACAGGGCGCATGAATTCGACGTATCTCATGAATTCCTCTTTTCCGGCGTCAAAGAGGCCAAGTCGACTTTGTAATCAATGATGGGTATCGGAATACTTCTTACACATTTTAAGAGAAAGCATGAATAAATCAGATAAGATAACTACGATATATCATTGGAACCATGAGCCGGAGAGTGGGTCGCCGCGTAGCAAAGGGCATGGATATTGATTGGATTCATGATAGTCCACATGGAAATGATCCGGAAACTCTGGGCCGACTCCTATCATGAGTCAGTGTCTAAGGCGTCCAGCGGAACCCTGGGTCTTGATATGCCCATCTCCAGGTCACAGAGAATATGTGTCAGCCGAACGATGGTCTCCGTTCCCCAGTAAAATACGTCCCTAGCTATCTGGTACTAGTACCACTGTTTCATTTGTCTAGCCAATGGTCGATATTGAAAAGTTAGCACATATTCAAGGGACACAACGTTGGAACGGGACTAGTTCGTGGACTTTTTCTCTGCGGGGATAACCCTACATGGCATCGAGCCACCAAATGAACAAATCCATTTCCTGGCGTCGGAAGCCTGTTGTTGGAGCATGTAGGAAGAAAGGGGTCTGTAATGTACGGTATGAATTGGTAAAATATGCAACTCTGAAAGTTTTAAAATAACAGGCACCGTATATTTAACGTAATTCCCAAGCGAGCGCGCCACCCAAGCGGGCGCGCCACCTCCCAACCAAACTTCCCACTCCACTTCACCAACCACCCACCATGCCTCCAAAAAACGTGATAGACCGCTTAAATTCAGAGGGTAGACTCGAACTTGCTGTTCATGCTATCAACACGAAAAAAATTGTATCAATACGCGAAGCTTTGTATGTTTATGACGTGCCTCGTCGACCGTCGACTCTGTGGAGTTAATTTATGCGATAATATATATGCTAATAGTACTAAATTAACTTCTCTTAAAGAGAAATCGTTAAAACAATAGATACTCGATCTAGATCTCTGCAGAGCAGCTCCCCGATAGCCTCAAGTTCGTAATATGGCAAATTTATTGTTTATAAAGTGTAGAACATTGGATTTTAAACTTTATTAAATGATATCCTAAACTCCGAGTTGCTATATCTTGATGATATAATTATCAAAAGGTTTAAAATAAGGATCCTAAGATTATCAGAGAGTCCTCTACTACGCCATGTAGAAGGCTTATTCCGCCTCACAGGCGATCACGGTCTATAAAAGAGAGCACATTTCCACCTGAATGGCAAAAGTAGAATCCACACCCCCTACAAGTCCTCTTCCCTTGCCCACACTCCCTTCATCTCCCCCTATTCCCAGTTCCCTTTTCCTCTGCCAGTTGTCCTATTATATGTGTGCATTAAGTACCATATTCCGAAGGAAGACCTTTTTTTTAGCCGCCTTTTTAAGGCACAATGTCACAAGCTAGTTTTCGTCTGGAAACCTTCCGACCGTGGAATCCTTTCCAAGACAAAGCGCAGCCTCTACAAGATTCTCTCGATTTTTGTCGCTACCCGAGTCCGGTCTCGATCACTACCACCCCACCTCCCTCAGTCAGCGACATAACATCAAAGGGACATTCTCACAACGCCAGACACCCGCTTCCACCTCGCCCGCCCGTAGAGGTTTGCTTAGACGGTGACCTACAAACGGATCTACAAACCTCTAGTCTTAAACCAGGAAGCCCAAAGCTACCAGTCACTACGGACCTACATCCGCAGATTCTTCATTGCGAAGATGTCACCCAGCCTCACGGCATTTATAGTGGTGAAAATATCGACCCCGCAATCATCGAAGATAGTGGACGCACCGGCACAGACCAAATCCAAGTGTCGGAGCGTATCGCCGGTCTTAAAGTGGGCCAAAAGTTTGCTTTTGGAAAAGGCGATCGCACATCAGGCTTTCATCCGGCGGAAAATGAGTCGTCATCTTTAAGCCAGCATAGTGCGCAGCCTGGAACGGCCCAGTCCGATGAGCTGAGCATTGATATCCCAAAACGCCTAGGTTCAAGATGGAAACATGATACAAAAGTTTCCAGGCGGACTTCTACGACAACAAGCAGCCACTGCAAGCATCCACCTTTCTCCATCGTTCGTTCTCAATTCATGGGCATGACAGTCGAAGATCGACTACAGTTCCTATCATGGTTATTCGAAGGGGCATTATCAAATTGCGCATCTATCCCACTGTTTACAGATGCCGCATCCACAGTCAGCTGCGGCCACGACGGTGCGGCAGACATAGCTTACCCCGGGGATGACCCGAATTTAGTTTCTGGCATCACAGATGCGCAAGATGCTCGTTCCACGAGAAAGGGCTTACCGTGGTCTAGCGAGGAAGCGTCTCTTGGTCAACCTCAGAGACGAACAAAAGCTGCCTTGGTCAAAAGTGACAGAGCAATTCACACAAGAATTTCCGGGGCGGAGTAAGGGGGCCATACAAGTGTTCTGGAGCACGTCACTCAAGGGAAAACGGACGTCTTTACCCTTCCACTCCGATTGATACTGCGCCCTGCCTCTCCATTCGCAAAGTTACATTGCGTGTGAGGTCACACAGGATCTGCCCAAACCAGATGACATCGTCCGCCCTTACTATAGTCATTCTCAAAATAAGATTGACAGATCCGCGAATGATAAATCAATCAATCAATGCCTAGCCCATTTAACCTCTCTCTAAGCCGCTGCGTCCTCCTGTGATCTGGACTGAGGGCTTTCTCATAACCTGCTAGTGCTCGCTGGAATATCTCTTCTGCCCCTTGCAGCTTCCCCAGATCAGAGTAGAGAGCAGCAAGATTGTTGACTGTACTGAGAGTGGTCGTATGATCCGGGCCGAGGGCCTTCTCATAGCCTGCTAGTGCTCGCTGGTATAGTCCTCGCGGATGATGCATAGGCCCGTCTCCATGCCTGAGGCCATGAACGGATGTAGGCTGTGCCATTCGTTTGGGAGTACTGGCATCCAGGAGAAAGCTCACATGCGCACGCAAAGAGGTAAGAGAAGGTGAGCCGAACAGAGCAGCCACTCATTCAACTAGTAACTTGGTCGGATGGGTGCTGTTCAGGTGAGAAAAGGGGGAAGTCACCCACACTGCACTGATCTCTTGGCTGAGCTATGAGCTGCATTAAGTTCGGCTGTCAGTACACGTGCCATCTTAATCGGGGGGTTATCTGAACGTTGGTAGAGACTAAATGATTCTCTGGGAGATTAAGTCACACTCTGTTGTGAAGACCAATTTAACAGTGGTACTCAAAAATTAAAATGATCAATTACCCACTGCGTGCCCCGCCGTGTTGATTTTATCTCACCTCACTCCTCTCGTAATCTTCCTTTATTAACTTGGCTTGTGGCTAGTGGTAACACGGAATAGAGTCATGCCATGTGACTTGGTGCCCAACTCGGCAATTTACCCCCACTCCCCTTCTTTACCCCTCCTTTACCCGCAACAGAGAGAAGACTTCGAGGAAGGTCTATTCCTCTATATATCATAGTGTGTAAGTTCATCCTATGGGCATTCGAATCCCTGTCCTAACTTTTCTATAGGCCACCACGGGTCCCAGTCACTCTGCGTCATCAGCTGCCCGAATGATACCCCAACAACTGTCTCCTGCGGCCCAGGTGATCCGCAATGAAATCAAAGAGATGATCGATGGCCAGGGAAATATTCTTGAGGAGGACGTGGATGAGAACGGGAACAAGAGGTACAGAGGGACGCTATTGGATAAAAAGATTTCGCTATTGAAAACGGAATTGAAAATCGACAAGGTAAGCGCGCTTACTGGTTCACAAGGGCATTTAATTGATATTTAGTAGAGTTGGACAGGACGCTTAGTGTACTGGTCAAAACCCACGAAACTGTTGAACGATCAAAAACCAGGATACCTCATACCATTATCCGAAAACGTCAAATTAACACCCGGAGGCCAGTTGCCAGGAGGATCCTACATTTGCGTTGATGATGAGCCTATATTAAGCTCGGGGGCAGCTGCAATATTCATTGTACCCAGTGATAATTCATGAAATCCAAAGACGTTGTAATATTAGTTCAAAGAAACAATATCATTTTGAAAGACAGGAATAGAAACTATCTAACAGTCATGGGCTGCCGAGGCAAACTAAAATGAACACCCTCTGGTACAAATCTATCGCCACCTAGTCCGTTGGTAACAGGGAAACCTCTTCCAGTCACGTTCAAAGGAAAGGGTGGTGTGCCCCCTCGGGTTCTAGTAGAAGAAGCATCTGAGGTTACCCCGAACATGTCTGAGTTAAAAGATGCCGATGTCGCATCAAGCGTATAGTAGGCCTGGCCTCCCGAGTTGAAAGAGGCCGACGCCGCATTAGGCATTGACTGAGCGGCTCCTTGAGGTTCAGTGAAAGGATCTGGCACAACTCCGAACATATCCCTGAACATGTAATAGGCCTGACAATCTGAATTGAAGGAGGCCGATGCTGCATCCGGGAGTGGCGGAGCGGTCCCCCTGCGGTTCAGTAGACGTATTTGAAGGATCCGGCACAACCCCGGACATGTCCCTGAATGTGTAATAGGCCTGACCATCTGAATTGAAGGAGGCCGACGCTGCATCCGGGACAGGCGGAGCGGTCCCTTGCAGTTCAGTAGACGTATTCAAATAATCCGGCAGAACCCCGAACACGTCCCTGAACGCATAATAGGCCTGACCATCTGAACTGAAAGAAGCCGACGCCGCATCCAGGGCTGGCGGAATGGCCCCCTGCGGTTCAGTCCCAGACGCTTCCACCCGGTTGGCAGCTTCCCTATCACCTTTTTTTTCAGCGTTCAATCAGCAAAGGAATTAGAATGTTTGGTTGAGAAATTCAATAGCCTACCTGACATGCTTACGACCTCGCTGTCGCTGTCCAGAGAGGTGGAGGGTGAAAACAATCCCGAATTCTGGGCAGGGTTGGAGAAGGCCAAATTTGCGCGTTGCTCATTCTGAAGTCTGACTACCCGAGTGCCTGGTAGACTGCGCCAATCTGGTGGAAAGATATGTCAACATCTACCTACTGGGTTGCGGGCTGTTATTCAACACCTACCTTTCAACGAGCTGAATACTTTTCCATCTTCTCCTTCATTGGACGAAATGGTTTCATCGGACGAAATGGATTCCTCGATATTACCCCATAGAGAGGAGAAAATCTTATTTGCCAGATTGTCCATGGCCGAAACTTGGTCCAGTTTACAGATACCGCGGCGCAGTAACGAGTTGATCATGTCTTCTCTGGCGTCACCTTTAACTCGGAGTTCTTTCAACATACTGTGACATGGTCAGCTTGGAGTTATAAGCCTCTTGCTTGACTCACAATCTGTCGGTGACATCGTCCGGTAGGCGAAACAAGTTGCCTAGATAGCTGTAATCTTCCACATTATACCCCCCCTAAATCTCTGCATAATGCATCATATCTTGCTCCTAGAAAAGCCCAGCCTTTAATTTTGCCCGAGATTTTGAGCGTGTCACCGCCATCCAATCCCGCTTCGACAACTTTGCGAGTGATCCACTCCACCGCGTTAGGTCGAAGATAAGTTACGCAGAACCGGTCCTTCAAATGATGAAAAAGGACCTTTAAAAAACGCGTACGCATTGTATCCCCAGATTTGCGAATTTCGGCTTCCGTAAGTTCTTGGTAGGCCGCTGCGAATGGACAACTCGTGGCCGAAGAAGATTCCCTGCTGTAGTTCGGGTCCAGGAAGGAGTTATTATCTGCTGCCCATTGATCAAGGTTCGCTTTCAAAGGTTCGGATAATTGTATCTTCTGTTTTTTGGAGGGCTTTACGGCATTCCCGGTGCGTTTGCGGCGGGCAGGATTAATTTGTTTCTTCGAGCACTCAGGGAGATGCTTCCATATTCTTGCAAGACAGTCGACAAACTGCTTTTGATTAGACTGAGAATTACATTTAGAGATAAATGACTTACTTCCTTGTCAGACAAGACATGCTGGACCTGATTCCGTCCATTATGCTCTGCATATGAACACGCAGTCTGTAATTTCCCCAAGAGTATCTTACTTTCCGCAATACCCATGATCGGAGAGGTTGTAGCTGTTGAGAACTCGAACCGGAGCTTTGGCCTTTAAAATGAAATAAAACACGGGAGCGGCTAAGATAAAAAGAGACTAGCATGTGATAGATCTGCATGAACGTACTCAGCCCCCAACATCAAAGCGCCCTGGATTACGACCAACCTGCGTCTCGATTGTTGCCAGCCTGTGACAAAATTTGGAGGCGTTATCGATAGGTCAGGAATTGTACAACCCCTGCCCACACTAACACAGCTTTCGAAGCGGGGAAACGGCCAGGAAACCAGGGGCGTATTCCAGGCTGTCAACATACCATTCTTTCCGGGATAATAAGCGTTACAATACCAAAAAATTATTACTGTATTGTCTTGGGAAGGGAAAACCGGCGTTTCTATTGGTAAGGCCATACTTTCGCATGCAATTCCCGCTGGCGCTCATTCTCAGCCAAATCAATGAACGCGTGTTTGAAATGATTATTCAACTCCATGGCACGCTCATAATACTGCGGACGTACCATACCGCCCAATGGAATAAGCCCTTCATCTTGCAGCTCGCGCAGAATTGCTGAGATCCCTTCGAGAAGATCCATCTCATCTTGATGTCGTAAGAGTTCTTCCTCGCTGAAATGGACGGGACATGGTATTTCGCCATGTCCCATATCACTCCAACGTGCGATGGCAGTGATCAATGCATTGCGTAGAGAGAATAAATCTTCTCGCTCCCAGCATCCAGGCACCAAAACAAAGGGATTCGTTTTAACCGCGAGAAGGGGATCGGTCAGGACTTCCCACCGGAGAGCATCAGTTTCCTTGACTGCATTGTAGTAATGATCCAAAAGCTTTCTTTCATGTCTGCCTTGATCTGATTGCGATGAGACTGATAGCTCAAGCATCTGCGGATTAGACCGGTGCAGAGATATCGGACAAACAGAAGTCTGCTGCCAGTCTATTATGCAAGTGATTCGGTTAGTCCCTGGGTCAATGAAGATGTTGTCAAGGTGCAAGTCCGGATGCGAGATCCTGTTAGATTGCTCAATATTTGAGGAAGCCGCCAGATATGGAGCAAGCGTCATGTATTTCTTGACAAGGGCGATGTAATCATCTGACGTCTCAGGAAACTCCATAGATCGGTGAAAATTCATTCTTGGCATTGCGTGAGAGGTAGCCCATTCAATTTCATTCTTTCCAAGGGCCGTAGCGTAACCAGCAACGCTTTCCCCTAAGCTCGCATTAGCTGGCGGAATAATATTTCAATTTAAGAACGTACATGGGCCTCTGTCCAAATTCATTGTCGCTTTTTCACGTTCCCAGAAGACCGGATTGGCAGAAGGTCCGATCACGAACGTTAGCGGTTGGTCGTTTCGACTGGTCGCTGATCCCAAAGATCCATGTTGTGAGTCAAGGGCCTCATAATCCAGAGATCTCGATAAAAGATCCGTTTCGTAGTATATGCAACCGTGCTTTGGAAAAGTAATAGAAGCAAGTTTCTTTTCCATATCTACGATCTGGCTCACGATATCCAACTGAGATGCGAAAGTGAGGTTGGCCCAGACACTTCCTAGAGGCTGACCGGTAGCCTTTTCTTCGAGGATATATTCAGCACCTACTGAATTATGTGCCTCAGCCGACCAATCATAAATGCGAGGGATAGGAATGCCTATCTTGTCGCGCAACTTTGCTTTTGGTTAGCTGCTGATTGGATACCGCGGTAAATGGTTTCACATACAAAGTGACGCGTCGCAACTTCTGATGCAACTGTGTAAAAAGCTGGCCCTGCATTTGGGTTGGGTAATCGAGCGATGATCTCGAGACCATTACTCATAGTCAGGAGGAACGCCTTATTAAACTGCCCTTCGACACATTTAAGCAGCTTTACACCTATGATTTGGAGTTTAGCTTTGAAATTTTGCATGCCAGTATAACATACAACTTAGTCCATCGCCCACGGCCTTGACAGAAGTATCTAGAAGGGCTTGCAAATTGAACTTGCGGTAGCGCATTGCGAGTTTCTCGGAATTTCCACTCCTGTAACTGTCAGACAGCTCTTAACAAGCCCGGAACTATGACATACAGCCACCTATATCGTTGATACTCGTATAAGTCGCCCACATCGATGGGTTCCTCTGCCAGCATAATCAGTCGCCGACCTGACCGCCCGGAAGATTGGGAATCACCTGATCCACTCTCGACTGCTTTCCAAAGAGACGTTGGTGCTGATCGCATTGTGAGAGCCCTTCTCTGATAGTGAGGGATCGCCGTGAGACTCTGGAAAACACGAGGAATGCGATTCTGATAAGAGAGATTCATCGCTGCATGTTGACGAAAGTTCAAAGGGGGTTTGATTATTTAACATTTCGAGGAGCCCCTCGGGAAAAGTTATTTCCGGACGTTGTTCGGTTTTCGAATTGTAGCATTGTCACCGCGAAAGTAAGGCGCGGATCCATCCCGACGAGTGTTTCTGACGCCAACTTCGTACTCCTTCCAATGCCCGTATTGGGTCATTCTGTCTCAATCATTTTCATGACAAATCCTACCAAAATCCGTAATATTTTATTTAGTGTACAATTCCTGGACGCTCGGTCACGCGCTCAGCCACAACTTGGGAATTAGGACCAATAATCACCTCACGATCGTGGCCGCCGCAAACCCAAGCTTTACGGAAAATTCTCTATAAGGACACACCTTGACGGTAGCCCTGGCTACTCGATACTATTATACGAGGAAAAGACTTACGACTCAGTATTTGCTCCGCGATCTAACATTGAAACTATTAACATGCGCTGAAGCTTGACACCGTTTCTACGCACGCAGTGTGCGAAATAAATGGCACGCAAAAGGCACATCCCACAAAGTTTGCTAACTCTTCGGTGGGCTTTCGCTCGATAGTAGAGTTCAAAGGTAAGCTGTCGCCAGAATTGATGACGATAGATCATTTAAATAACTAGCAAGTAACCTGGAATCCACCTCAACCATACATGGTAACATCCCACAGCTAGCCTGTTCCCGACTTACAGACCACAGATATACATCACTCAAATCACGTCCATACAGAACAGTTTCCAAGCCAGCCGATACCACTATGAGGGACTGAATTTACAGTCAGCACATTAAACGTAAGGCTGAAGGGGTGGGCTCTCTTACCACTACTTTGTCTTTTCAACTGCCGTCGCAACCTCCTCGGCATTGAATTTGTCTCCCAAACCAAAACGTATTTTCTCTCCGATTACCTGATGCGTGCCACTGTGGCCTCCGGTTTTGCCCTTAATGAATGCTTTGACAGTATTATCGGTTGCCTGACTGTTTGCTTGTATTATGCCGGTAGCCATTGTCGCATCTTGGGTATTCCGGTGGACATCGAAGCGGAGGTCTTTCGTTTTGACAGCAGTCTTCGAAGTCGCGTTATCGGCAAACTGGAGAGTCTTGAGGGAGTCTGCACTTTCGCGTATTTTGTTTGCCAACCCTTGAAATGCAGACTTGGAGATTTTGGACGTCATGGCGCTGTCTTTTTGGCGGACTCGGATTGACGCTAGTTTTTGGCTTGCAGCAAAAAAGCAGAGAAAAGCGATGCTCCATTATTCTTGGAGATAAATGCTGATTTTATACGAATCGTAGGGAGGGACACTGGAAGTGCTCGTAAATTCTGTGAGAGCTACTGGCGAGTCAATGGAACACCGATATTACGTTGCATGCTTACACTGGAAACCTCAGCCTATCATAATGCAAATTCAAGCGAGCAGGGGTCAAAGCGATGCGCTATTCCACTTTAGTCGAATCTTGTCCGCGCGGACAAGATTCAACTGAATTGGAATAGCGCCGGGTATGTAATAACGACTGCGAAGTTCTAGCTTGCATTCTCTCTGTGGCAGTATGCGAACTACAAAAGTCGTTAAGTCCACTCAGAAGCTAGAGCGACCCAAACTCGCCAACGCATGAGCAGGGATGAAACGTCACAGATCACCGTGCTTTCTGCGAACTACGATTGGAAGTATAAACATGATTTTGTTATAGGTGATACTATTATCAGGGTATACGCCAAATCTTCAGGTTGGTTGCAGCATTGGCTTGTTCCTTACTCTATTTTACCAGCAATGAAGTGGACATCGATTGTTGGGTATTGTTTTTTTTTTTTATCTTAATTTACTCTGGCTGAAGCGTAGGTGGTATCATACACTTGGCCAGTCTACGGCAAGATAAATAAAAACGGTTGCTTGCCCCGGACGACGTAGACAGACAACTCCTCCACCGGTCTCGCTCGATTGCAAAAGGCTATTTGCCGACATCGAAGTTAAAGCTTTCTCACCATAACAATCTTAGATCATGGCATCAAGCACCAACACCGACACACTCAACGATGCGATCGAAGTGAACACTGCAGATATTGACGTTTCTATTGCCAAATTTCAGAAAAGAAATCGCCTTGTTGACAGAATCACCGCTGGAGCTATAATATTTGCTCGGCATGAGAATGGCGAGCTATATACTTGGATGATACAACGGGAAGATCAAGATAGCTCTCATGGGTTGAGCTGGGAATGGATGTCCGGCAAGCCGGAGAAAGTGGATGGCACTTCAACAGATACTGCAAGACGGGAGTGCGAGGAGGAAGGAAAATATCGGCCATCAAAGTTCGCCGATCGCGCGGTCCTTTGCTTTTTCCTGCATAAGGATAGACGGACTGATAGGGTGATTATGATGGCCTCACTTACGTTCATCATAGTTGATGATCATCAGAAATTACCTACACGCGTGTGGTCCGATACAAAAAAAGGGCCAGACGGCGCACCTTCTCTACAGATTAGCGCGGAGCATATCAACGATTGTTGGATGACGGAGACACAAATTGAAGAGGCTGCTATACACGACCAATGCTCTGATCCACGAAATGAATTCAACATGCTCCAAACCAAAATAAATGTCTCCAAAGTTGGGTTCAAGATTTTCAAAGATTATCAAGCCCAATAACGCCGTGTATCAAGGGACTTACTCCTCGAATGAGGTGGTGCAAATCTTGTCATCCCTGAAGAAGATGAGGAAGAATCTAAGCATTAGGGGAAAAGACACTTGGGAAATTGTGGGGCATGAAGAGGATTAAACCATTAATTTCCCTTTGGCTTCTTTCACATGGCATCGAGCCACCAAATGAGCAAATCCACTTCCTGGCGTCGGAAGCCTGTTCAGATTCCCTGACGCTCTGCCATTGGCCACGCTGTGCCGAGCAGAGACCTTGCGGACTGGATTCAAGCAACGCGGAGAGCACATTTGCAGAGGTCGGCAACAATTCCGACTAGCCCTACCTGAATGGCCGTAGATACGAGTGGGCACGTCAAGCTCACCGATACTTTTCGGAAATACTTTTGGGGGTCTCAATCTATGAATGTTGCTTCTTGCTTGCTATATATCCTTCCTATCATATCCAGCTGTTTTTCTGAAAGACTGTATATACGACGGACACGGTGAAAACGGCCCCACTCTGAGAAGAGGCTTTCCCCAGTTTCTCCTCATTTGAATTCCTTTGGATAATGACGGACAATGTTCCAATCGATATTATCAGGTCCAACCAGGACGAGCATGCCATAGGGTCGAGGCAGCTTGACCAGCCTGCCAGTGATCAACTGGAAGCCCTCCCAGCCGAGATCGACCCCGGTGAGAAATATAATCGAGATGTACCGCCAGACGGCGGTTACGGCTGGGTCTGCGTTGCTTGTATCTTCTGGATGAATGTCCATACTTGGGGCATCAACAGTGTGAGTCAATCAGTCCATACTTTCAAGGCTCCTCACCCCTCCCAAGGTGAAAACGGCTTTGAGGGGCCTCGGCTGTTCGTTTCTAGGTTTCCCGCTGAATTCAACTGACCAATATGACTCCAGAGTTATGGAGTCTTCCTGAGCTACTATCTCTCTCACAACGTGTTTCCAAACACCAGTGCTCTATCCTACGCCTTTACGGGCGGCCTGAGTATCTCATGCGCGTTGCTGGTAGCTCCTCTCGCTACTTACCTGATCCGGCTCCTCGGCACTCGCTTCGTGCTCAACCTGGGCGTTTTCTTCGAAGTGGTCTCCCTCATCGGCTCATCATTCGTCACCCAGAAATGGCAGATCTTCCTCAGCCAGGGCGTCTGCTTCGGCTGGGGCATGGGCTTCCTGTACGTAGGCAGCGCCGGCATCACCCCCCAGTGGTTCCATAAGCATCGGGGCCTTGCCCAGGGCATCACAGCTTCCGGCAGTGGCATGGGCGGCCTGATCTACTCGCTCGCGGTGGGTGCGATCATCCCCCGGCTGGGGCTGTCGTGGGCGTTCCGGATTCTGGGGATTACCTCCTTCGTCGTGAATCTCGTTGCGTGCAACCTCCTGCGAGACAGGAACAAGGCGGTAGGCAGTCGTCTGAACCCGTTCCATCTGCCGCTCTTGCGGCGGCCACAATTCTGGATGTTTCTGGGCTGGGGCTTTTTCAGTATGCTGGGCTACATCGCGCTATTGTTTAGCGTCGCCAACTTTGCGCTCTCGATCGGGTTGACTTCGCACCAGGGCAGTATTGTCTCAGCGATGCTGAACCTGGGCCAGGGCCTGGGTCGGCCTTTTGTCGGCGTGCTGAGTGACCGGCTGGGCCGGATCAATATCGCTGCCTTCTTGACTTTTCTCTGTGGGCTCTTCTGTCTGGTTATCTGGATCTTTGCCGACAGTATGGGCGTGGTCTGTTTCTTCGCTGTTCTCACGGGCACGGTGAGCGGGACTTACTGGGCCTCTGCGAGCCCCGTTCTGGCGGAGATTATCGGCCTGAGAGACTTGCCGTCTGGTCTGAGTCTGGCGTGGCTTTGGCTCGTTCCGCCGTGCACTGTCTCCGAGGCGATCGCGTTAGAGCTGCGTCGGCCGACGGCTAATGGTGGGACGTCATATCTTCATGTGCAACTATATGTTGGATTTGTCTATATAGGCGCTGCCGCGTGTCTATGGGTGGTGAGGGCGTGGAAGGTCGGCGAGGTAGAGCAGGCTGAACAAAGGCAGGTCTCTGCCGTACCTGACAATCCGCTGGTTGGAAATAATGCAACGAAGGAGAAGCGGGAGCAGCCTGCGACTAGTTCGTCTGGTCCTGCCCCGGAAACTACTGGTGCAGAGCTCTGGGCTCCAGTGGGCTTGATCCGCAGAATGGGCGCACTGAGACGTGTATAGCCTGGTGCCAGTTCGGACGGGGATAGATCAAATACACGTAGCATACGAAACCTGCATCAAATTTGGAGCATGTAACTCCCAAAGACATTCATTCATCACTCGAAATACGACGGCCTTGGCGCTAGAGATTATTTGTCCGACGCATCCAAAATAAGAATGCGAACACGTCGCTTGCCGGCACCACGGCCCTCTTCCTTGACCGAGCTCACGTTTACCTGCACACGTTGGAAAAGCTCAACTTGAACACTTCTTTCCTTCTCTGGGTGGCCTTTCTCTTCCACACGAAGCGTGTACTCTTCGGGGTCGAACTCCGTGGTACGATGAATAGCGAGGTCACGTCGCTCGGAGGCAGAGAAAGAGGCAGATTCGCCCGGCAAGACGAAGTCTTCTAGTCGAACAACACCTTCAATACCGAATCGAGGAACGAAGACCACCACTCCGTTCTCGAAAACACGCATTACGTAGCCCTCCTCTTTAATGCCAGCATCAGCATCTGCATTCTTCTTCTGCTCCATCTCTCCACGAGCCTTCAGCGCTTGGCCAACGTAGTATTCGATACTGGCACGCCCGGCGAACTGGGCGTTCCGGTGACGGTAGTTGATGTTACGGCAGATGTCTTCGAGTTTACCGCGCGTTGCAACACCCTCGATGACAGCATGGCCATCTTCACCTTCGTAGCCGATAGCAGAGGCGAGCTGCCGATGGACGAGCAGATCCGCATATCGTCGAATGGGGGAGGTAAAGTGGGTGTAGATGGGGGAGGCCAGACCATAGTGACGGAATTCAGGTTCAGCATGAGCACCCGCAACGAAGTACTCGGCTGAAGTCATGCATCGGGTGGCCAGGATGCGGACGAGGGTATTAAAGAAGGGGTTCTTGGGGTCGACGCATCGGTCAAGGGAACTGGCGAGCGCGCCCGAGCTGGAAACGTCAAGCTCCATGTTGCGCTTCTTCGATAGCTGGTTGATGAGGTCTTCGAAGTTGGCGGGGGTGGGGTGGCATGGCGACGGAGCAGGGCCGTTTGCGAGAATGAGTCGTAGATCTTGGAAGCAACAGAGATGTTGGCGAGGAGCATGAACTCTTCGACCAAGCTGTTTGTCTCGAGCATGGCCTTTGTTTTGACATCGTTCAAGGGGTCGCCCACTTCGTCGGCATCGGCTTCGATGCGGACTTCTGGGGATGCAAGGTTCAGGGCACCTGCATCGTAACGCTTCTGCCGCAAAATCTTAGAAAAGCGCAACAGTTGACGCATACTCTCGGTCAGTTCCGTCGTGTCAGATTTGTCGTCAATTTTCAGCTGTGCTTGTTCGTAGCTGTAAGACTGTCGAGAGAGAATAACAGACTTGGTAAAATCGGAGGAAACGATCTCTGCGTTGGGGGTCATTTCCCACAGAACAGAGAAAGCGTAACGCTCGACATCACACTTGAGCGAGCACAGGTCTGTACCCAGTAGATGAGGCAGCATATCAATACGCTTGTCAACGAGGTATACTGTCGTTCCACGAATACTGGCTTCCAGGTCCATCGCATTGTTAGGCTTGACGAAGTGCGACACGTCGGCAATATGCACACCAACCTCAAAGTTTCCATTCGGAAGAGGTCTTGCATGGAGTGCATCGTCGATATCTTGACACCCAGGAGGATCGATACTGCAGACTTGGAGGTGGCGCAAATCGCGTCGGCCCTTCCAGCCTTTGTCTTCCTTGGACTGGGGAACCTTCCAGTCGTGGCCCTCTTTGGGCAAGCAATCAGTAACAGCCTTGGGGAATGGCTTGTACTGTACGTCATATTCAAGAAGAAGTGCCTCTGTCTCTGCGCCCTTGGTTTCCAACTCGCCAAGGGAACGAATGAAGTGACCAGACGGGTATCGAGAGTCCCGGGGCCAGGAGTCAATCGTGACCAAAATTCTCTCCCCCAGGAGGCTGCTGGCTTGCCGGGTACGGAGACGGATCTTGGGGATCTTCTTGTCCATGGGCAAGACAAAGACGTTTTGCTGTCGCCGACCGGAGGTTTCTTGAGAACCAGTGGAGTTGGAGTCGACGTGGCCCACGTACTGGCGCCAGTTGCGCTTGATGATGCCGACCACTTTCGCAGTGGGCTGCGGATTCCCTTCAGAACTCTTGCCATGGGCCTTCTTCACCTCATCCTGAAGCGCCTTGCGCTCTTTGTCTGATACAACGGCCTCGGTTTCCTCAGAGTCAGGGTTGTCATTGCGAGTCACGGCCTCCTCGTCGACAAGCTTAGTTGAAGGGGACTTCCACTGGTCCTTCGGTAAGACTTCAATGGCAACGATATCACCTGAAATCGCACGGTTGCTGTTGTCACGACCGAGGATAAGAAGCGCCTTGTCGAAGGCTGGCACCTTGACGGAACTTTCTAGGTAATTATACGGGGAGACATTGTACACTCCCTGATGCAATGTCCCCGCCCGTAGCCCAGTCTGGAGTTTTGACATGGAGTAATACTCCGGGTAGAACAATTCTCCACGACCAGGGCCCTTCGACTCTCGAACTTGTGCTTCCGTTATCATATCCAGAAGCCGCTCCGAATCTTCCAACCCCGACACGTAGTCGGACAAGGAAAGCGCTGTCACATTTTCGCTCCTCGCCTTCTCCAGATTTCCTTTGTCATTGGTGATGACGACGATCGCGGGAACTGACTTGGCTTTTTTACCCTTCTTCGCCGCAGACGTCTTCAAATGCTCGGAGTACCAGCTTGCAACTGTGCGTACGGCGCGGTCATTTCGGTCGTTAATTGACTCATCTGCACCTCTGCGAACATGAGTTTCGAGGCGGAACTCGTTGAAGAAAAGGTAGAAGCGTTTGTCGTCAGTTTTGATCAAGGCGAGAAGTCGGTTGTAGAGGGGGAGCGACAAGTTTCGAAGCTCTTCGAGGACAGTCTGGAGGATGATCACGTCATAGAATGCGCCAGTATGTTCGAAAAGGTCCATGCCATTCATGAGCGCGTTGGTGTCGGGTACAAGGTAGTGGCCGCGTGGGAAAGCTTTAGTGCCCGCGGGCTGGTCGGAGAGGACGAATGGCGCAACTAGAAATACTTAGTTTCGACACGGCAGCGACACCTGGGTGAGACTTACTGTTTCCATTGCGGTCTGGAGGGGCGATCGAAGGGCATATTGAGCAAAGTTTCGACGAGCATGGAATATCTTGCCGCAGATAGAGCTCCCGAACAATCTTTTGCACTTTTCCACTTCTTGTCGATCTCACAAACACCTTGCTAGCAACATTTGCTGCCTGTGAGTTCGAAGAGGGGTCCCTTCGCAAGCTTTTCATGGCGACGGTAGGCTCTGCAGACGCAGGTCAAGTCGTAGTGGTGCAAAATGAGAAAACGATATTTGCGGTTATCGGTTATCGCGCCGCGATAGCTGAGTCAGCCGCCATGGCCGCCCATTGCGTGCATTCAATCCCATATAACGAAATCTTGCCTCGTTATATATTTGACCTCTTATTTACGGGGAGTAGTAAGCCGTTGGGAACCTATTCCAGACTATTCGAAATGGTGCTCGCGGTAAGTAAAAAACAAATCTCCCTCTCCCTTAGACAATGCAGATCTATTGACTCGTTGCATGGTAGGCCGTGGGGCAGCTCTGCGCAACAGCAAGCATAACTTCTAACCTCGCCCAATGTCAGACTCTAGTCCGGAAAGCTGCTTCAGCTGGAGCCAAGGTATCATTTCCCCTTTTCCCAGTTCTGTTCGGCACAGACCGTTATTAACGCTCTATCAGGTGCTGTTTCTACCCGAGGCATCGGACTATATTGCTTCATCGGCAGCAGAGTCATTGGCCCTTTCCAGGGCAAAGGAACAAGAAGAATTTGTTGCTGCCCTCCAGAGAGCAGCCCAGCTTGAGAAAATCCACATCAATGTGGGGGTTCATCAGAGGGCTGCAGAGGAGAGACTCAAGAACTGCTTAATATGGATCGATGATAAGGGTGTGATCACTCAGAACTACCAGAAGATTCACCTCTTTGATGTGGACATCAAAGGTGGACCTGTTCTCAAAGAAAGCGCGTAAAGAGGAGTCTCTGACCTGTGATTTCATGGGCTTATGCTGATAAATGTCAGGAATGTGCAGCCTGGGAGTGAGATTGTCCCTCCATTCGATACACCCGTAGGCCGGGTTGGCTTAGCAATATGCTTCGATGTGAGCTTCCAATGTCTCCAGGATTACCTTGTCTTCCAACTGAACTCTTTTCTGCCCAGCTGCGGTTCCCGGAGATCGGATTGGCATTGAAGCGCCAAAAGGCTGACGTTATCACTTATCCATCGGCATTTACAGTCCCAACCGGGAAGGCCCACTGGGAGTCTCTACTTTAGAGCCCGAGCCATTGAGACCCAGGCTTATGTTATCGCCGCAGCTCAGGGAGGTGCTCATAACGAGAAAAGACGAAGCTACGGCCATTCGATGATCGTCGACCCTTGGGGTGAGGTCGTAGCTGAGCTGGGGGAGGAGTATGATGAGCCACAGATTGCGACTGCAGAAATTAACCTGGATCTTGTCTCAAAGATCAGACGAGAGATGCCCTTGTTGAGAAGGACTGACCTCTACCCAGAGGTATAGATTGGCTCGGCTTAAGACCACAGGGCTAAGCTCCCAAAGGCCTTATGAATGGTCCATTTTGATTGCACTTTAAGCAGGGCTAGTTACATATTGTACATACAAGCATAGAAATCTTCTAGTTGGCTTTGCAATGCATGAGTATAATGACAATTTTAAGAGAACAAGCTTCACCCTAAATAAACCAGCGACGGCCATCGAAGATGGAGATGACCACAGGGCATGTCCCGGAGAGCCTGTCTGTCCGTTGATACTAAATCATCTTCTGGGTAACTCCATTCTTGAATTCAAAGGTCTATTGAAATTATGAACCTCTACACTGACCCCAACCTCTTCCCATCCCTGGGGCCAAACGCCCCCCCCCACACTCTGACTAAGGTCTTGGCGCGCGATGGATTCGAGTCGCGACCGCGTCGGACATTTGCCCACCGATCCAGATCGAGTGGTGACCATGTATGGCGAACTGGGAAACAAACTTGTAAGTGTTCCTCTCCGCCATCAATACCATTGAACCCCGGTCACCCACTAACACTCCCCAGGTGCAACATGCAAAGCGCACACAGTCCCTCGCCCACCTACCGCCCTATCAGACCGAGATCGTGCGCGCCGTAACCCGCGAAGTACGAGACTTGGAGCGAGACGTGACACGAATCCTCCATCCCTATGAGGGTGCTTTCAATCCCTCAGCCGACCCTGCCACCGCATGCACCCTCCTCGTCGACCACCTCTGCATGCGCCGCAACAAACGCTGCCTCCTCGCATACCACCGAGTACGGACCGAAAAACTAGAGGAGCTGTGTTGGAACGGAGTGGACATTCTCGAGCAGCAGCAGCCGAGTGAAGGAGGAGATGGGCCTTCTCAAGGACCGGGCGGGCACAGCTCGCTCAGCCCCGAAGAAGAGGAATACTTCCGGCAGTATGGCGACCTGCTGGCTGCGTACAAGGGTCAATGGACGGACATCGATCTGACAGGCAGTCTTGAGCCGCCAAACGACCTCTTCATCGACGTGCGTGTGCTAAAGGACGCGGGGGAGATCCAGACGGAGTATGGGTGGGTGGTTACACGTTCCAGATTCCTCGTGGATACATCATAACTAACGGGCTATCAACCATCTAGTGTCATCAATTTGACTAAGAACAGCCAGCTCTATGTTCGGCAGGGCGATGTCGAGCGGCTGATTGGACAGGGCTTCCTGGAGCGCTTGACTTGATCTGTGGACGCTCGAGCGGAAACGATATGGGCCAGAGGAGTTACTTGTAATTTTTGATACCCCCGCCATCTATTCTACCGCGTAGATGGACACAATTGGAGAATTTGCTGTGAAACGTGACGCGATTTCGTAATTTACAAGGTTCTGAGCTGCGAGTTGGCGCGATTTTTCTGTTGGGCGCACCCCGCCACTGGGGTTGTAGAGTCTGGCCACGGAGGGGAGACAAAGCTCTAAGAGGAATAGCCGGGCCCTCTGAGCAGCTCCGCTTGTAATTGGTACCCGTAACGGTTTATCAGAACCGGCGATAAGGTGATAAGAGGCTCCGATTTGGGGCCAAAACGGATCAACATAGACTGGGAGGGGAAAACCGGGAAATCTATCGAAATCTATCGCGTAAGTCAAGGGGACTTCGATAAGCGAAACGATCGGGAAGGATCTAGAGTATATCTACGGATTACTCCAGACTCATTGCGTCTTTTCCTGGACTTGGTACTGCAGACCTTTTGCGTACTTTCGGCCTTGCGTCATTCCCCGTTTCGGAATTTCTCTTTTTTCCCCTTTTTTTGCTTTTTTTTCGCCAACGTCGCTGCATGTACGAACGCGGTAAAATCTGGGTGGGTTAATCCTCCGAGTCTCGCATCAATCTTGGCCGTTGCGCGCGACTCGATGGCCGTGCTACAGCCTCGTGGCCGCCGCGATTCTCGCGCATCGGCCCTTTCTCGCCGCAATTGGCTCGACCGAGACGATCCGGTTGAGTACGTCGAGCATGCCGTGAGCAGCTCGCCGGTCGAGCCCTCCAGCTATGGTGGATCACTACGAGTACCCGGTCGCTCGTTCTATCGTCGATCAGTCAATACCCTCCAAGGTACGCGCCATCGCCCCCCTGTCCAAAGTATCCGGATGCTGTGTAATTTTTCGAAATTGCGAATCGGTTCCCCGTTTTGTCATTGAGAATGGAGAAGAGGACCGTCGGACTGGCCATTGACAATGCCTGTAGATCCCGCCCACTATGCTTCCGATGGCGTTCGTGAACAAACTGCAGAACTGGCGACATATGGCCTCTCGCTGAACAAAAATTCCCCGCAAGGCCGGACAAGCTTGCCGGTGAGCTTAGATCTCTTCCAGGCACAGCATTCCTCGCTCGTATCGCACGATGATAGCACCGGCTCGCATCTACTCACTGGGGAAGAACCTCTAGAGTCAAGTGCCTCCCCACATGACCCCTCCCCTGCCTCTTCGGCCTTGACAGAGATGATCCGTCAGCCAGAGCCGGAAGCCCAGGACGATGGCAAACCACCCGATGACGAGCCACTACTGCCGTTGCCTACGATCCAGGACGAACCAGAACCCCAGTCAGAACGGACCTCTCTCTTATCGAAGAAACAGCCCAAGTCTCCTCGCCAGTATGGATCAGTTCCAGACGTTGAGAGCCAAGGTGGTCCCCCCAGCCGATCCCCGCATTTCTTCTCCACGGGCTACAGGAGGATGGGTCGGTATGCTCGTCTGCTTTCAAGCCCCAAGTCGTGGGATCGACGTGCCATCTGGAGAAGTGGCATTGTGCATCCTGTGAGCTTGCTACCGGCGGTCTTACTGGGCCTTCTCCTCAACATTCTGGATGCTTTGTCGTATGGCATGATCCTCTTTCCTCTCGGTGAATCCATCTTCTCCGATCTTGGCGCAGATGGAATATCCATGTTCTATGTGAGCACCATTATCTCTCAAATCGTCTTTTCGTGCGGTGGATCGATCTTCAAGGGTGGCATTGGCAGCGAGATGATCGAAGTTGTCCCGTTCTTCCACCAAATGGCTTTTGCCATTATGAACAGGGTTGGAGAAGACAACCCAAAGTCCGTCATCGCGACAACTATCCTGGCCTTCTCGGTCAGCTCGATCCTAACCGGGCTGGTGTTCTTCTTGATGGGTGTCTGCGGGCTGGGCTCGCTGATCGGCTTCTTCCCACGTCACATCCTCATTGGTTGTATCGGCGGCGTCGGCTATTTCCTCCTGCAGACGGGCATGGAGGTCTCTGCACGGCTCCCCGGTTCACCAGAAATATAACCTGAAAACCCTCGAAGCTCTTTTCCGTGCTGACACGGTTGCGCTCTGGACGATACCCCTAGCTCTTGCAGCGGGCCTCCTTGTTTTAAAGCATTTTGTTCGATCTAATTTCCTCGTTGGCATTTACTTCATCGCCGTTGCAGCACTTTTCTACATCATTGTGTTGAGCATCGGAGTGTCCATGGAAACGCTCCATGTCAAGGGATGGGCTTTCGATGCACCGTCGTCCAACAACCCTTGGTATCACTTCTACACGCTGTATGACTTCTCGGCAGTGGACTGGACTGCTTTTGCCGATACCCTTCCTGCAATGTTTGCCCTCACATTCTTTGGTGTCCTCCACGTGCCAATTAACGTCCCTGCACTGGGCATCTCGACGGGAGAGGACAACCTCAACGTTGACAGGGAGCTGATGGCTCACGGAGTCACCAACGCCTTATCAGGTTTCGCAGGCAGCATACAAGTATGTCAGACTGCTAATGTTTTCAATCAGGATACTGACTGACAACCGCAGAATTACCTCGTGTATACAAACAGTCTTCTTTTCATGGCAAGTGGTGGAACCTCTCGTCTGGCTGGTCTCATGCTAGCGGCCGCTACAGCGGGAATTATGGTCATAGGCCCTGTCATCATTGGGTACATCCCAGTTATGGTAGTGGGCGCTTTGATCTTCTTGCTGGGCATTGAGCTTCTGCAGGAAGCTTTGGTTGATACGTGGGGAAAGCTATCCCGGCTTGAGTATCTGACGGTATGTGGCCTCGAAATCATCTTGTGCATGGACACTATCTAAACCTCCGGCAGGTAATTATCATTGTCATCACCATGGGCGCGTGGGACTTTGTAGCAGGAATCCTAGTAGGAATCATTCTGGCCTGTGTTAACTATGTGGTCCAGACGTCCCAGAAGTCCGCGATCCGGGCAACCTTCTCCGGTGAGATTTCTGGCTCAACCGTTCGACGACCCCCGATTCAACAGCAATTCTTGCACGAAGCTGGGCGTCAAACCCTTATCATGAAACTCAGTGGGTACCTCTTCTTTGGTACAATTGTCAATGTGGAGAATACCATGCGAGGCCTGATTCAAGACGAGGCGTTCAACGAGCAGCCAATCCGGTTCCTCATTCTGGACTTCTCCCGTGTTTATGGGTTGGATTTCTCGGCCGCAGAAGCCTTCACTCGTATCAATCGTATTCTTCAGAAGCGCAACGTTCAAACCACAATCTCCGGTCTGAACATCGAAGGCGACGTGGGCAAGAGTCTCCAAAACGTGGGCCTCTTCGATACGGAGTCTCGTGTTCCAGTCTTTGAAGATTTGAACTCCGCTCTGGAATTCTGCGAGAACGAGTATCTGAAGATTTTCTACAGCCGTCAGGAAGCCCTTCGTACTGGACCCACTGAACCAACCCCAAGTAGCCAACTCCAAGTCCCAGTCCCAATTCCAGCTCCTCCAGGTAGTCCAGCAGACACCATGGTCAGTTCTCCACGCGGACAGTACCTGCAACGAGTCGCGACCAGCACGATCCGCGAGCACGAAACCGCCATGGCTGCTCCCGCCTGGTCGTCCATGCGCCAGCCCCTCCCCCTCCTTCTCCAAACATTCCAGGGCCTCTCGGCTCAAAACGAGGACTTCTGGTTCCCCGCATGCGCCTACTTCTCACGTTGTGTCTACCCGGCCGGCACAACACTGTATCACGAGGGTGACGTTCCACGAGCGTTCTACCTTCTCGAATCGGGTATGTTACGCTGCGAATATAACCTGCCTCAAGGCCGCTACTTTGAGCTTATTGTGGCGGGACGGCCGTGCGGCGAACTGCCCTTCTTCAGTGAGACGCGTCGCACGGCGACCGTGAAGACGGAACACGACTGCGTTGCGTGGTGTCTCAGTGACGAGAAGTGGAAGCAGCTGCAAGAGGATGAGCCTCGTGTTGCGCGTGAGCTCTTGACGGTTAGTCTGAAGCTTACTACCGAGCGGATGGACAGTATTACATCGTGAGTTTGGTCTTTCTTTCTTTTCCTCCCTTCCCCCCCGATCATTTTGCCTTGCTGGTCCGGAGCGAGTCGAAAACTAACTTCTGCTAGGTATGTTTTGACGATGGCAGCTTAGGCTTGATTTTTCAAGTTGCCTTGTGTACATTTTTGCATCTGGCGGTTCTTTCGAGCGATTGTGCTACTTCCCCGCATTTATGGTGGCTTCTGTCTTTAATATAGCTGTGTATATCTGGTAGCTCTAGGCGCATTTATCTCTGAACTCATGATGTCACTGTCTTCTTAAGTCCCTCACTTTGTCTGTTGAAAATAATTCTTAGACGGTGCCCAATAAGAAATTCCAGCAATGGATTCGTACGCAACTACTGATGATCGAAGCATGACTGGATGTCAACTACAGTATCAATTTAGAAGACATCTACTAAGCACAAAGACGTAAATTCTAGTCTGGATATCTTTTTAAATGGTTCCCATCTTGACTAATATAGAAGAGTGTACAGTAAACCCACAACGCCCTTGAAAAGCACAATTATACTAATAGTTATAACATATGAGGGCTCAGCATTGCCCGGCTTCATAGGCGGAGCGGAAGAAATCACCGAATGCCTTCGCGCCATCGTCAGAGAACATCATCAGCCCGTTATTCCGGGTCTCCTCCGCCTTCTCCTTCGCATGCTCCACCATCTCGGTCTCAAACTGTTTCAAAAAGGGACCCAACTTCTCCGAAAAGCCTTCTGTCCCGGCCTTATACGCTTCGACAATAGCCTGGGCCAGCTTCAAAGAATCCCGCATGGCGAGGTTCACTCCTTCGCCAGCCCAGGGCCCCATCAGATGCGCTGCATCTCCAATGACAGTGACCCCGGGCTTGTGCTCCCAGGAGCAGCCAATAGGGAGGATATACAAGGGCTTGATGTCCACGGTCTCGCCGGGGTGATCACTAGCCTCTTCGTCGCAGGCAACGCTGACCAAGTCCTTGATCGCCGGCGCCCAGCGCGCAAGCAATGCGTCGTCATTGAGCAGGATCCTCTTCGCCGCTGCAGCAGAGCTTCCTGCCAGTCCTGAACTGCAAGGAAACTCCACGTCTGGAACAGAAAGGAAGATGTAGATCCGCGCGGAGTCGCCCACTGCGCGCTGGCTCATCACGCCGTGGCGCAGTCCCAGCGCGGTACAACTGCCCGGCCCGACTAGCGCAGCCAGATGCGGGTGCTTGGTTGAAAGGTCGCGGATCGTGAGCGTGATATTCTGGATCCCGCTGTAGCTGGGTCTGACGTCTGTCAGCAGAGTGCGGATCTTGGACCACGCGCCATCGGCGCCGATGACAAGGTCGACGGTGCGTTTACCGTTGGGTCCGAAATCGAGTTCTGTCGTTGGGCCATGGGGTGCGGTGATACTCCTCGCTGCGAAGAGCTTGTGGCCCCATTTAATGCTGTCGGGGGGTAGGGGCGTCTTGAGGAGCGTTGTGAGAGCGTGCCGTGAGATTTCGGGGCGGTTGCTCAGGCCGCCATCGTCTTTCCAGTAGACTTCCCCGTCCATGCTGTAGACTATTTGGTCTTCGGAGCATTCGGCTGTTCGCTTGGAGAACTCATCGTATAGACCTGCTTCCCTTAGGGCGGCGAGACCGGAGTCTTCATGGAGATCTAGCGAGCCGGATGGTTTGGACAGTTCTGCTTCTGTGGGCTCGGGGCGGAGCTCGAAGATGGTGAAGGGGATGTTTTGCTTGTGCAGGAGGGCACCAAGGGTCAGCCCTGCTGGGCCGCCGCCAATAATGGCTATCTGAGGCTGAGTGGTAGACATGGTGATAGATGTAGATAGAGATCCGGGTCTTTAAAAGTAGTGGGTGTTTATAGGGTGGCAAGGACAATCGATGTGGCTATCATGAATGAGATGGGCCTTTTTGGGATATCACCGTTTACTTTTATACTTTGGGAGCCAGAGAAGAATCCAGCCATGCTAGCACCCGTGATGCTTCTCGGGCACTTCTAACCCCCGAGACTACACGTCCTTCGGGCGTCTGGATTTCCAGCCGCTCGCTCGGCGCCGAGACTAACATTTAACCTTACAGGTGTGAAACGATCCAAAGATTCAGAACAAGATATCCTCTTCATTAAGTCATAGACCCATCAGGAGTCGTCAACTGTGTTGCAGCAAACAATTCAACGCTTTGTTCATGTACAAAAAAAAAGGAAAGGAAAGGAAAGAAAAGAGAAAAATGTACTCATGAGCCTTCTAGGCCACGCTAACCCCAATGTACATCACCACGCCACAATGGATAAGCCCCTCATAGCCGAGATCGCAATGGTGTGTGGAGCGCCGGATCAATTGATGGCTTCTCGTCCAACAGGCGTTTGTCGTCGGGATCGTACAAGGCCTCGGCGGTAACAGTGGCCTTAATGCGACGGCCGAAGTACTCGATCTCGACACTCTGACCCAGAGACACGCTGCTAGGCAACCAGGCATAGGCAACTGGCTTCCCAACAGTATATCCAAATGCGGCCGTGGTGACATAGCCGGCAGCCTTGCCACCAACAAACACAGGCTCCTTTCCTAGAACCATTGAGCGTCCGTCATCAACCGTGAGACAGCGCAGATATCGTGTCGGTTTTGTTTTCGACAGGCGCTCCAGGGAGCTTCTTCCAACGTAGTCTTCCCACTTGCTGTTGCGGATTGCGTGGGAGACTCCGGCCTCGTAAGGGTTGTGCTCGGTGGTCATGTCGGCGCCGTAGCTGCGGTATCCCTTCTCGATGCGTAGTGAGTTAAAGGCAGCCCGGCCGGCGGCAATTAGACCATGTGTCTGTCCAGCGTTCCAGATCGCATCCCAAAGCCGTGAGCCGTACTCGGCGCTGGTCTGGATTTCCCAGCCCAGTTCGCCGACGTAGGATTTGCGCAGAGCAGTGACGGGGACTCCGTTGATGGTGGCGTGTTTAGCAGTGAAATATGGGAAGCCCTGGTTGGAGAAATCGTCACTGGTGATGGAAGTGATGACATCCCGAGAGCGAGGGCCCCGAAGACCGATGCAACAGGTGCTACCGGTGATCTCGCGCACTTGCACCCATTGTCCTTGACGGTGGGCCTCGCGTGACAGGTATGCAAAGTCGCTTGCGCTGTTGGCGCCGATTTGGAACAAGTCCTCCTCGAGGCGCGTGACAAAGATGTCGCCCCGAATGCCTCCGTGGTCGTTTAGGAGAAGGGCATAGGTGATGACACCGACCTTGGTGGCGATATCGCCGGTCGTCAGTCGTTGAAGGAGGTGGACAGCGCCCGGACCGGACACCTCGAAGCGGTGGAATGAAGTCATATCATACATGGCAACCGCATTGCGCGTCTTCCAGGCCTCTACAGCCACAATAGGGGAATGGAACCTGGCAGACCAGGCATCTCTTTCAACAGGTCTCCACTCTGCTGGGAGAGATTTAATCAGATCTCTGTTGGCCTCGTACCAGAATGGGCGCTCCCAGCCGCCCAATTCGAGGAAGTAAGCACCCAGATCCTTCTCGCGCGAGTTGAATGGACTCAATCGGAGATCGCGAGGCGATTCCCTGGGCTGTGAGGGGTGAATGATGTCGTAAATCTCGACAAAGTTCTGTGCAGAAGTCTCGTTGATGTAATCACGGCTAAGCTGGATGTCCTCGAACCGTGATAACTCACACTCAGTCAGATCGATTTGCGACCGCCCAGTAGTGAGAACCTCCGCCACGGCTCTAGCGACACCACACGAATGGGTGACCCAGACGGCTTCGGCGACCCAGAAGTTGTCCAAGCCGGGTGCTTGTCCAACAAGGGGACCGCCATCCGGAGTGAAGGAAAAGATGCCGTTGAAGCCGTCCGCGATCTGCGTATCCTTGAGCATAGGGAGGAGCTTCTTCGTTTCTTGCCAGGCAGGGTCGAAGTCCTCCTCGGTAAATTCAAGGCGCGACGGCATGTTCTTCTCGTCCACGTTTGCCGATGTTGTACCTAGCGAGGCTGCTACGACTGGCATAGGCCGGTGCCCATAGTACCCAATACCGTACTGGTCTCCATGCTCTCGGTAGTAAAGGTCTTGGTCTTGGTGTCTGAGAATCGGGAGGGTAGCATTCTTCCCATTCATGTTCTTGTTGAGCTCGCGTCCAACAAGAGACGGAACGGCGGTAGTCTTCGCATATTGATGAGCCAAAGGGAGCAAGGGAATCGACACGCCAACCATGGCGCCCAACTCGACCCCCCAGAATCCGGCACAAGAGATGATGATATCGGCAGAGATGGTTCCGTTGGGAGTGGTCACCCCCGTTACACGACGGCCTGCTTTTTCGATTCCAGTCACGGGTGTTCCTCCCAGGTACCGCACTCCAGCTTTGCTCGTTCGCTCGATAAGTAATTGTGTTGCGCGAGCAGCGAGGGCGAGGCCATCGGAGGGAATGAGGAGGCCACCTAGCACGACATCCTTGTTAAGGTGGGGGTATTTCTGAATGCATTCCTCGGCGCTGATCAAGTGCGCTTCGATGCCCCACGAAGTAGCATATCCATGTTTCCGCTTCAAGTCCTCCAGTCGGGCTGGGGTGGTGGCGACCTCCAGACCACCTACCTGGTTGAAGCAATTGACCCCGTCCTTTTCAATCGATAATAATTTCTCGACTGTGTAGCGGGCGAGAGAGGACATCGTCTTCGACGGGGTAGTCTGGAAAACGAGTCCCGGCGCATGCGAGGTAGACCCGCCTGGCATGTGCAGGGGGCCCTGCTCAACGACGGTGATATCTGACCATCCGCGCGAGACGAGCTCATCAGCGATATTGGTGCCCACGATCCCGGCGCCGATGATGACAACGCGCTGTGTCGGAGCCATTGTGAATAAGAAACGGATGATACGCTGCTCGGAGCAGCGGCGAGCTTCTTCGGTTTTTGTAGGCCCCTCCCGCGGAGAGCAGCTCCCCTCCCCCGCAGATATACGCTGCCGTTGTATGGGACCAGGTCGGCGAACGACCGTCAACGCCCCGCATCGGAGGGCAGTTTTCGAGTGCTGGGTGACGATACCAGCAACGGATAGACGGTCCAGATTAGCCTGCGACCGAGCCGGTGACAAGTGAGTGGATGAGACTTCCATTTTGGGGGACAATTGTCATGTATGATTGGCTCTTTGAGCCAAATCTATAGAGAACCGGTCGAAAGCCGCTCACGTGTGCGGCCGATAAGCATGTAGATACCGGGGGTGGAGACGGTGATCTACTCCGGCTATCAAAATCCAGGCGCGCGATATGATCAGGTGGCAAGATATGGGCTATTTTCATTCGAGGGAGCAGGCTAAATGGCAAGCTCATGCGTAGAGCTTTGCGGCATGGTATCAAACTCAGTCTAGAGAAGCTGTACGCAGTCAAGAGATCTACAAAAGGGTAGCTAGCTTGCAGGTCATGACTACAAAGATCCACGTTACGCGATCAACAGAAGGGCGACGCGACGTTAAGGTCAACGAGAGCAGCAGCGAAACACAATTCATCCCTAAACTCAACAAAATACATACACTCAGAAGTATTAAGATACTGATTACCACTACAAGAATCCTCTTCTCCATACTCGAGTCACTGACCCAAGGCATGATGAAAAGAAAAAGGTCCACAAGGTGGAGGGTGCCAAAGAATACGCCTGTCAGAGACCCGAAGGCCGCTGAACAGACTGTTCCGCCGCGATGTGCAATGCAGGGCCCAATCTGTGGTGAGCCGCCTTCATGATCGCGGCCACCCAAACAAGGTAAGTATGAAGAAGAAAAAAAGAGGACCGAGGGGGGGAAGTGAAGATCTTTATACCCGGGCGGGCAGGGGCCAGTGACACTAGCGTTAAGCGAGACAAATGCAAGCCAGTAAGCGACCCAATCAGCGGCCAGGATCCCGGTCACGTGTACTTCATGATTGCTCCCTATTCATCAGGCGGTGTCTACGAAGTACATTCGGCCCATGTTACGCATAAACCGCCATTGGGGTTTAGAGCTGTCATCACTCCGTAAACCCAATAGTCACGGGGTACCTTGCATCCTATACTCCGTAGATAGAAATGGTCTGCAATTTGAAAGCGCGGGGCAAGCTTTGAGGCCCATCTCCTATTCCAGAGAAGGGGCCCGATCCGACAGCCCTCCTAAAAAATGCGAACGAATCAATAATTGACCCTCCCTGTCCCCTGTGCACTTGGTACCACATAAGTCAACCCCATTTGAAGTAGTGTGGGCCTGCCCCCTTTTCTCCGAAACGCGTACCCCGTGCGTAACAGCATCCCTGAGTCCATAACCTCGCTTTCTGGCCTTCCAAGGCAGATTGTACAAAAGGCATGCAACCATCCCAAAGGCGGGCCTGATCCCAAAAAAGCCTCGTTGGATCTAGTTCCTTGAGCTTGTGAAAGCCTTATTCACTCCAAAATCATCAGGAGCGACTGAGCGCACATCATCATCAAAGAGTGCCATGGTTGAAAGGGACAAGAGGAACCGGTCTAGGAGGCGCTAGAATGGACGGAGTCACATGGCGCTGAGTTTAAAGAACACAGGGAGTTTCGCATCGTTGGTTCACCGCATCTAACGGACTGTCCAGGATACAGTCCGTGCTCTATGGTCGTGCTCAAGATCTTCAAGCCTGCCGTACGGATTGGTTACAGACGTGCGTGTGCCGATAACCCTATGCGGAGATCGTCGCTCTTACGCAGTGTGCTCCGTCACTCCTTAGATCTTCTCGCTACGACCAGTGAGTACTTTGCAAGGAGCGTACGGACTATATTTAGAAGCTATGGAATCGGTGGCGGCGCAGGGCAGGAGCCATGTCAAACAAGTAGCGAGGTCCCATGAGGTTAGGGCGTTGCAGGTTGTCATGACCTGACATGAAACCAAGTCAAAGATCGACGTGGCAACGAAACAGGCCTGGAGCTCGTGACAGGGCAGGCGTGAATGGTAGGATTGGGCCAATGAATGCTCTTTGTCTTGGCCCCAACAAAAGCTGAGGGAAGCTGGGAAAAGGGGTAGCGGGTCCAATTGGTCGGCTGGGTGGAGCCAGAGATGCGGGTTATCATTACTGAAAATGCTCCGATGGTCACATTGCAGGCTGACAGAGCACCTGGCTCTTGACAACCCTGAACTCTGCCTTAAGGAAAAACCACAAACATAAAAGAAAAAAAAATTAGAAAAGAAAAGAAATGTGACGAACTGGGCAGAAGTACGGAAACTTCCGACTAGCCAGATCCAACCTGGTACTACATACGTGCTTGCTAGGGGATAGGGCTGGCCCAGCCACCATGAGAGAATGGCTTAAGACACGGGACCCCAAGTGGGTCCAACCGTACTTGAAAAGCGTTAGTCCACAGCGTCTAGAAGGTCGTCGCACAACGGGACGATAGAGGGAAAGAAAGTTTAGCATTAGGGGAGACACGAGCCAGGGAAAACAACAAATAGAATGGTACTCCGTCCCGAAGTACTCCGTACTGTGGAAGGGGTCCCACAAAGGACATGAAACGGGGCTTAATTAGGGGGCATTTGCGCAAGTCTCGTTGGAAAGAGATGAAAAATGGAGGATCATCGTCCCTTTGCGGTGTAGTTTGTTAGCAGCAATCTGGGAAGATAAGGTCAAACCCCCCCTCAACCCCGTGAGACACGCTATCACGTAATGAGAAACGACACGAAAAGAGAAGAAGAAACGATGGCCCAGGGCGATGATCATGAGATCCCGGTTGAGATCGTAGTTACAACGGTCGGCTCTGCGCCGTGATACGCCAGCGATAGAGAGTGGAATTGCGGAATGGAGGTATGACGCACGAGACCAGAGAAGGAGGGGTTGGTGCGACAGGACTGGTTGGCCACGAGGTTCGCACGCCACTTGGGTTGATAGAGTTGAGATGCGAGAGTCATGGGATTTCCAAATTCTTGTACGAAGTACTCCGTCCATGTCAACCACTTGCAGAAGAACCGTCTGTCGCCATCGATCAGCACCAGATGCAGGACAGGCCCGCCTATCTAACCCTCCTTGCTCAAGCGTTGATGCGCGGGGAGCCCCTCCCCCTTCCTTTCTTCCTTTCCCTCTTGCCTCCCCTCAAAAGGAACCAAAGGTTGCCCCCCTTGGAGAGCCCCAGGAATGAATGAGATGTAGCCTAGTACGCAATACGGAGCAATGCCATCGGTGGCACTGTCCAGTGTCGGGTTACGCTGACCAACGAGATCAGCTTACCCAGGTAAGAAGGCGGGAGTCAGAGTTGCCTGGGATTAGCATAGAGATACGGCTTGTAAGCCGCAGCAAACCTTATACCACAAAAAGAATGTCCCCGTGAGCAAGAGAGGACTCTGAAAGTAGACTTTGGTACTTGGCTCTTCCGCAGGATTGGATCGACCAGCCCCTGGAAGCGTAGCGCAATAGCTACGGATTATTAGGTTTTAGCATCAGACCAACAACGGTCCACTCTGGAGCCCGTTGGGTATATTCAACCGACTCTCTCCAAGGCTGCGTAATGGGTCAAATGGGTGAAAAATCTCTGATGGTACTCGGAACGAGAGAGGAATGGATGTACGTCGTGAAATCACAGGCGAAAACACAAAAGACCGTTAATTGATACCAGCCCGGCAGTCCAGCCGAACTGCACGGGTAAATTAGGGGGGCCGTTGGTCCCAAGCTGCGTTGACGATCCAAGAAAGCCCGGCCGTGGTGTGATGGTCTGTCCGTACGCGCCATCCCCGAAAAAGGTAAGATGCGTAGAATTTTTGGGACTTTGATTCCATTTGATTTGAATTTTCGTGTTTTTTTTTTTCTTTTTTTTTCCTTTTTTTGTTCTCTTTCTGTAATTTGGTTTATTTTCTTCGGTACTCTCTCGACTCTTACCCCCGGATGCGACCCTTATGATACACACGTAGTCCTACGAAGAAATAGAGGATTAGCCCTGGATCGACAGGATGGGAAGGCCCATCTTATGCTCACGTAGTCAATAGGGGGGCTGGCAGGTACTGTATACCCCTGAATCGTGTTTCTCCCACGACGGGTTAAGTAATCGAGTTCCACCATGGCTCGGGGCTCCCTGCAGCTCCTTTCCCTTTTGGGTGCGCAAGCGCCATCGTTCCCCCCCATGCCGCTCTCTTTTTTTCCGCCCTTCCCTCCTTTTTCTCCTTTCCTTTCTTTCTCCAAGCAAAATCCCCCCCTTCTCCTGTGATACCCGAGCTCTCTTGCTCTTATTTCTTTTGCTTTTGAGATACCCATATACCCCAAACTCGTCTTATCTTCTGAAGCCCAGCTTCTCCTAATCGATACCCCCGAAAACAAACGTTTCGACCCTAATACTTTTAATCATGTCTGACGTTCAGAAGCCCGTTGAGGAGGTCCCAGCGGCCGTCCCTGCCACTGAAACCACCGAGGCCTCTACTACTACTGAGGCTTCCGCTGAGGTTCCCGCTGCTGAGGAGACTCTTGCCACCGAGGAGGCTGCTAAGCCCGCGGAAGAGACCAAGCCTGAGGAGGCGAAGGAGGAGACCAAAGAAGAGGTCAAGCCCGCTACTGAAGGTGTCCTTGGCCACAAGGCTCCCGGCCTGATCAAGTAAGAACCAACCCGACAAAAGATTCTACCGCGCGCGCAAAGTGCTAACAACGATCCTGCAAACAGGAGCCTCCGCTTCTCCAAGCGTTTCTTCTACTTCAGCGATGAACCCACCGAGTCCAAGAACTTGTCTGTTTTCCACCAGAATGAGAAGCCCGCCACTGCCAACCCCACTGCTGCTTGGGCCACCCAGACCGGCAAGGGTCTCTTGTTCCAGACCAAGCGCGCAGAGGACAAGGCTACTCCCGCTGGCATCTTCAACCTGGTAGGTCTTAAAAAACCATGAGAATAATCAAACAGCATACTAACATGTAAACCCAGGCCGATGTGACTGATCTCGCCAAGGAGGGCTCCCACGAGTTCATCTTCAAGGTCGCTGGCCAGAAGCACACCTTCCAGGCCGCCAGCGCTGCCGAGCGCGACAGCTGGTTCGTCGCTCTCGAGGCTAAGGCCGCTGAGGCCAAGGCTGAGAAGGAAGCCATTACCTCTAGCGAGGGCTACAAGGCTGAGCTTGAGAAGCTGACCAAGCCTGCTGTTGTTGCGCCCGCTGCCGCCGCCGCCACCACCACCACCGACAAGGCTGAGGAGCCCAAGGAGGGTGAGGAGGCCGCCAAGCCCGCTGAGGAAACCGAGGCTAAGGCCGAGGAGCCTAAGAAGGAAGAGGCTGCTCCTAAGAGCCGCTCCAAGTCCCGTCAGCGCTTCAGCATTTTCGGCAAGAAGGAGGCCGAGAAGAAGGAGGAGAAGAAGCCCGAGACCAAGGAGGAAACTCCCGCTGCCGCTGCCACTGCCGAGGAGACCAAGCCCACCGAGACCGAGGTCCCTGCTGCCGAGGCGGCTGTTGAGCCTGCTGTTGTGGCCCCCGTCGCCGAGGACGCCGCTAAGCCCGCTGAGGAGGAGGCCAAGCCTGCTGAAGAGGAGACCAAGGAGGAGACCAAGAAGGAGGAGGACAAGAAAGAGGAGCAGAAGAAGAAGCGCACTTCCGTCTTCGGTTCTTTCTTCCAGAAGGTCACCAGCCCTGCCCATGAGAAGTCCGAGAAGGAGGCCACCGCCCCTGCTGAGGAGACTGCTGTTGCTACCTCCGCTCCCCAACTCGAAAACCCTGTCGAGGAGGCCGATGTCAAGCCCATTGAGCCCGAGAGCGTGACTGCCCCGGCTGAGGGTGAGGCTGCCAAGGAATCCGCTCCCGAGACTCCTGCCGAGGCCACCACCCCCAAGGACAAGCGCCGCACTTCTTTCTTCGGCTTCGGCAAGAAGGAGAAGAAGGCTGACTCCGACAACGAGGGTACCGACAGTGAGGCCAAGGAGGGTAAGAAGGGCAACAAGCTCGGCGGTCTCTTCCGCAAGCCCACCAACGCTAAGAAGGTCGCTGCGGACTCCAAGGAGGAGACTAAGGAGGAGGACAAGAAGGAGGAGACCACCGAGGCTCCTGCTGCTGAAGCCGCCACCGAGGAGACCCCTGCGGTCGTCGCCGAGGAGCCCAAGCCGGCCGAGGCTACTGCCGCCGAGGAGACCAAGAACGTCGAGGTCCCTGCTTCCACCCCCGTTCAGGCTGCTGCTTGAATTGCCTCCCCAGGCCGTGTGGAATATGAGCGATGGTGGGATCTTTCCACCATGTGCTCACCCCACGAAATCTCTGGGCCTGGTCGCTCTTAGGATCTGCCCGCATCGTGCAAATACGCCTGATACCATTTTGCTTGAATTGCTTTCGTTTTGCTTTGCCTCGACACTGTCGCTCTTCCAATGCCATGGTCTATCGGCCTTGATCTTCGAAGGGTGCCAATGAGATACCCGCTGTCGCTGTTTTCTGATTTCCTTTGAACCCAAAATCTCTCACATAATTTCTCGCGCCTTTATAGGATTGCTCTCCATTCCTTATGACTAGCGTCCCGCAACCGAGTCTCGATTCGCGACGTGCTTACGCGTTACGTGGTGTGTCGCCCTCCTAGATTGATACCACTCTGCCGTTTCTGGTTTTGCGCTTTGCTTTCGTGTTCGATACCCTCTGGCGAGGACTGGTCCTTGAGCTGTGGCCTTGCTCTTGGCTTTTCCTTCCCCTCCTTTGGCCCTGAGTGGGCGCCCTCCTTGGAGGCCACCTCTACAGTTGTCCACCTTTGTTTCCTGTCTCCGCGCGGTATTTTACTAATTCCAATGCGTGGTGGATGTGGCACATAGTGCGATAGGTAATAATTAATAGAATCTTTGCTTGTTTTTTTCATAAAATTGATTCAATCGTAGACTATTCACTTTATTATAGTGGTATTAGTTGCCCGAACCTTGGAGCAATTTGAGCCCGGGCTCAAAAAAGCCTTGGTGGATCTAGGAGGGACGAGTGCCAGTGATGAGCGAAGGGGGTGCTTTCCCCGCCAATGCCAGGCGGGCCCGTGCCTGGCTAGTGCCCCAGTTACAGCCACCACGTTGCGCGAATCCACTACAGCACTGTAAGTCAAGACAAGGTGCCCCCAATATTGAGCAACCTCATAGGCCGTCTCGAAGTGTTCAGCCCTCAATGTATTCCCGGATATGTCTCTCGTCCAATAACCAGCCTTCTTACCAGGGACAATCCTGTCTACAGGTAGTGCCTAGCAAGGCTCATCAACTCTTAAAAGTAGCAGTCCTAACGGTTTCATATTGAGCGAGGCTTGTGATCATAAAAGGGACTCCTCTTCCTCAAATTTCCTGATCTGATACACAGCCAGCTTCTGACACGGATCAAACCTCTTCTCCTTACCCGATAGGCACAAAGCTTCTAGCACGGACAAGGCCTCTGCCGTAAGGTATTTATTCTACTGGATCTTTTAGAAAGAGGGTAACTAAGAAGAACAGATCACATCAACATGTGCAAGAGAACCTACAATATAACTACACGTGCTTGCCGTCATAAGGTTGAGACACCCGGCAGTCTGATCCCTAGTGATGGATGTAACAACTGCGGGGTAGAGAAAGGCAGGAACGATAACGTTGCCAGTCCTACCTCGCATTTTCCTTGCGATGACTGCAAGGATAGAGGCCTTTGGGCCCAGACAGCCGATGGAAAATGGTATAATGTCGCAACAGGTGGGCCTCAGCAATTTACAGCTGATTCCAAGTTTCCGTATCAGTTCTCCTGGAATACCTTAGAATACTTAACATTTCTTATAGTTAATCTGAGCGTGGTTAGTAAGACCATCAATCTCTCCTACCATTCTCCCCCCTAACTACCCTTTTTCCCTTCTCTCCGCGTCTGCTGCCCCTACCCCCCTACCCCGTTCTCACACCCGTGTCGCCACCCCGCCCTAATACTTCTGTACATCGTTGCCAAAACTCTACACGGCTACGACTACAATCACATGTCTTTTGACTCGCCATGAGCTTTCACAACGCTGATGCTCTCGAGCAACATAACTGGATTGGCGGAGGACTCGACGCTTATATCTACCGCGTCACTCCAACTATTGTGGTGAAAACTGTTCGTCGCGACCGAACCCCTGAAGAAAAGGCAGCGGAGCATCCTTTCCTCAAGGAGATCTCGTTTTACAAACGTCTTAATGCGTGCCGTGATCAATGTCCGAATATTGTTGAATGTTTTCTCATGCTCCCGGACTACCTTTTCCTATCATATTGCACGCATCAGGCAATCGCCCTCGCTTCTATGAACGCCAGGAGCGAGAGACAGGAATAAATGGGTTTTATGGGCGTCTTATCAGGGTCAAGGAATTCGAGGATCCTGCTCTCATCGCTCGGTGGATACAACAAATCACCTCTGCTCTTGAGTATGTGGAGAAAGTGGGCTTTTGTCACAATGATCTGCATGCGAGCAACTGTCTTCTTGACAGAAACTTCAACTTGAAGCTGACTGATTTTGGTCGTGCTACCACCATTGGACAGCCACTTGAAGGCACCTTACCTCCACGAGCCAGACCGATACTTGCTGGACCATTGAAAGGCACATACGGGCTCTGTTCCGCCAGAACTGAACAGTTTGCGGTTGGGACACTTCTATACTTTATGGTATATGGCCATGAACCCTATGACGACATTATCCTCAGCGCCGCAGAATGGGATCGCCGATTTTGGGAAATGGAGTTTCCAGAACTTAGCCGCAATAAAGTTTTCGATGGTCTTATTTCTGCTTGTTGGCACAATGTCTATCCTACAATGGCCTTGCTAGCGTACGACTTCAAGCGCAAGACAAAGGATATGATCGGGAATACAGAATACATCTTTATTGATTCTGTAAAGGAGACAAAGACCTGTGAAGCATTGATTCGCAAAGGCTTGCTGGGACCTGAGTTGGCTCTCCGCTTTCAGCCGGCCTGGCGAAGATACCTGCATGCTATTGTGAAGAGAAGCATGTTTATTTGGCAATACTTTGTACAAAGAAGATTCTGGATCTGGTCTTGATGATCGGTTGGGGCTTGTACCGCTTGACAAGCTGAGGTGCTTAGACTCATTGTCTTAACCCGTCTCATCAAAATTCACCAACGGCCTGAGACTCGGGCTCACACTAATGATCTCTTTGACTAATTTCGAGGAGGTGTTGAGATTCGGGACATGTACTAATCGGTCGAGGCCTATGGAAATTAGCATACGGGAGGAAACAACAATGTCTTCAGGAGTAGGACCTGCTCTCGTAGGCTTCTTAAAGGGCAATGGGGGTCCATAATGAATGCTTACCAAGCTTTCGGCTCTCCAAGATTACCTCCAAATGCCCGCTGGCTCTGGTTTGATGATTGTGGAAAGCCCCTCCAGAATCTCTGTCAGGGATTTCTGGTGCGCGGGTGAACTCCGGAGACACCCTATACTCTGTGCTTCCAATTTCAGAGTCCCTTTGGAGGAGGACTTGAGTAACATTCCACAAAGAAGACCCTGGAAGAGCAATATTCGGTCTTTGCCTCGTCAGCTTGGGTGGCTCAAATAGTAACAGGTTTCGTACCAATTTTCACCATGCGGCGTGGATACATCACTGTTATACCCTCCGGCCACCATAGCGGCGTTCCAGCTCCTCTATGCGACGTCCCTTCTCAAGAGCCTCCCGACGCAATTGGCTCACTTCAACACGAAGGCCAGCTTTAGCATTTGTGTCCGGCACGTGGCGTCGGCGTAGGTGTTCTTGTATGCTCGCCCGCCGCGTTGATCCGTTCCCAACGCTACGGTCACGGCCTCCGTGGGGACACGTTATCGGTGACCCCATTTTATTATTCTTATGAACCTCACGCTGGTGGCGTGAAAGGTAGCCGCTGTAAGTGAAGACCTGCTCCCAATCTTTGCACGTGTAGGGGCGTTCATGCTTATCCATGCGTTTACTGGGGAAGAGAAACGTTAGTATCCAACTTAGCCCGACGGTACTTAACAGACATAATGATCCCTACTTCCGCTCAGAAAAAATGAGAGATGGGCGGCGCGGCGCCACAGTCCCGGTGGTTGCACAGTATATCCGACCATCGGCATTCCTGCGGCGTAAGAGCGTCGGAGAGACAAGCTTTGTATACCACTCACCTTGCTGGATTTCAGCTGCTCGTTTGTTCCGGCGCTTTAAGGAAATAATCGGTTAGATAACAGGGCAGATAGCGGAAGAAACTTTGAGTGAAGTCTCCAGTCGAGTGCCGCACAGCAAAATGGGTTTGAATAAGTTCACGTCTCCTCAAACTCGTAAGTTTTCCCTCTTCAAAAGTATGAGAATGAGCGAATTATGCAAGGTAAGTTGACATTGGTCATTGTTTGTCCGCTCCATATCAGCTTAGTCACAGGTATGCCGCTAGTTAGTTAGTTATAGGCAGAATATTAGTCGGCCATAGCAAGTTGCCTGTATTTTGACTAATATATTAAGATCGAAGTATCTTAGCCAAGAAGACCTGATCGTACAACGGGAAGCATATCCTCTTTCCCAATTCCCTTTATAGATAACAATATTCCCCAGGGCACGACATTTTCCACTCGAGAGACTTTTATCTGTAACAAGAAGGGGTGCTGGATGGACAGAAACTCCCCATGAATCCACGGCCCCCCACGAACATGCCATTTCCTCGGTTACCGTTGCGATATACGACTGAGAATAGGATATAACGGCTGTCCATTGTATTACGATCATACATAAAACAGCCGTAGGATATGTTAACATGGATATATATATTTGATGGGGGGTAGGTGGAGGAAGCGGAATGCACACAGACTTTTACGCCCCAAATAATCAAGGTCGGGATAGGCTCAGATCTACAGAGCGCTCGAAATCAAATAGCAGCGCTAAAACGACCCGCGAACGTGGAGACCTTGCATCGGATTTCCAGCATGTACGGAGGGGGAGTGCCTTGTAGTTAGCCCTGGAGTGGATCATACGCATGCCGTAATCGCACTTGGAACCATCCATGGATCCATGGATGTCAGCAACAACGGGCGCACCTGGGCCCGTGCCTGCAGAGAACTGGACCTGGGTTGTTTGCAAGAGGATTAATAATTCTCGATCAGATGTCCGGAATAGGTAGGTGTACCAAACTCAATTTTCACGCCCCTTCGGCAAGGCTAATAACCAAGTGGGCAATTGAGAGACACACAGACCAGGGACACAGCCCAGCGCGGGGACAGAATTGGGAAAAGATCAGTGGGGCCTGCAGCTGCGCATCAGCCTGGGATTGTCAGAGCCTCATGGCCTTGCGCTTTCGAAATCCTCCCAGGGTTCAATAGCGCTGCCTAGGAAGGATATCTGGATCTCTCGGGACCTGTCAAGCCTCGGACACCTCATTTGTGATTGGTGTTCGGGCAAAGACGTGGGTGAAATCTGGAGGGAAAACCTGGAAGGAGTTTCGGGGATAGCAGGGATGCCTGGAACAAAACGGAGTCGACATGCCGCAAGGACACCGCGCAAGCCGCGATTGGTCAATTCGCATAGGTTGAGACGGAGGGGGGCGGAAGACCTGTTGGATACCTGGCTGGAATACCAGCAGCGCAGCCTGGCAGGATGTATAGGGCAGGTATTGCCTGCCTACCGAGCGTGTGGACGGGGGGTGGTGTACCAATCAGCAGGCAGGATTCTGCTATGACTCACACCCCGTGATATCTCAGCCCCGTGCGGCTCATCGACATTATTGGTGGAGGAATAGGCGGATGTCCAATCTGTCATCGAATGGGATCAAAGAAGCGGCTCCACCCAATTCCCGCACAGTCGATTTCCATAAGAAGTGCCTGAGTCCCTGTCGATGCCTGTTTTTTTCCCTCCTTTTTCTTCCACACCCGTGTTCACTCTACAACTACATCCACTTTTTTAAACCAAACCATCATCATATTGCCCCATTCTAGACCACTTTTTGAATCTCCAGCGATCCAAAATGGGTTTCTAAACTCTTTCCCTCAAAGCTCGTCTCTCTCCACTGAGGTAGACACCATTAACCAACACGGAACACCCCCCTTCTCCTCTCTTCCTTCAGAGTCTCCGTCAGGACCTCTGAACTTCAGCATCGCTTCGCGTAGCTCGAGTTCTCCTTCCTCTTCAACTCTCCCGTTCGACGTTACGTCGTTCACCACGGATCAATTCCAGCAATCATGGCTTCCCACGCCCCCCCCACAGCCTTCGGCTCCCAGTTTGAACAACAACAGCAACAGCAACAACAACAGTGCGCTAGAGGACTTTGTACTCTATCCCGCTCCGCAAGCTCGTCCTCAGCCTCGTCCCAGAGACTCGCGTGCTCAAGCACCCTCGGGTACTGCCCTTAGACCGTCTGCTCTCCAGCCTTTCCTGGCGCAGAATCACCCTCGACGACATTCCTTCAGCCTGCAGTTGCAACGCCATCTCCAGCAGCAGTTCCCTGGTTCCCCTGTTCAGGACCCCAGAGTAACCAAGCTTGCCCGGTCTCCTTCCTACTGGTCTCATTCCACACATTCGCCCCAACGCCCTCCAGTTCCGCCGTTCTTCGCCGGTAGCTTCACCGAAAAACAGAAACAACAGTACAAGCAATACATGGCCTATCGCCGTAACATGTCTACTCCCAACCTTCAAGGTACTTTCCCTCGCGCTAGCTCAAACATGTCCGCCGCTCACAACATCCCCCAAGATCACGACGCCGAACTCTTCGGCCTTCCATCAACCGGCAGCATGACTTCGCCTTTGGCCTTTGGCCAGCTGCCCTTGGGCAACGAGACCGACGGCGCCTACTCCCCCGGGGCGCCTACCGGTACCATTTCGCCCAAGGACCTGATGTTCGAGACATCTGTCCCTCCATCCGGTACATTCACCGATCTGAGCACTCCTCCTTTCGATTCCCCTGGTACCTTTAGCCAGAATCCTTCGCCGTTGTTCACCGACGTGGACTTCATGGGCCAGGACGACTGGGCGCCTCTCTTCCACGATGGATCTGCCCCTAACGTCTTTGATGTCGATACTCCTTTCGATGTCCCTGCTCTTCCTGAACCCAAGAAGGAAGCTTCTCTCGAGCCAACCCTCTCTCTCGCCACAGCCCCCCGCCGCGTCGCTTCCAAGGCTTCTCCCATTCCCGCGACTGGAAACACCAAGCACTCTAGCGTCTCTGGTGTCTCACGACAGCGCAAGGATCTCTCCCCTATCGAGTTCGATCCCACTGACCCTGTCGCTGCCAAGCGTGCTCGTAATACCGAAGCTGCTCGGAAGTCGCGGGCTAAGAAGCTGGAACGCCAAGCTAACGCCGAGGGCCGTATCCGTGAGCTCGAGGAGCTGTTGGCTCAACGGGATGAGCTCATTGCCAACCTCCAAGCTCAACTCGAAGTTCAACGGAGCTTGCAGTAGATCTATGAATTGTTCTTGATAGTTGGTCTTGTTTTGTTTCTGTTTGCGCTGTTTACCCGATCATGGTGTGGTGGGCGCGGGTTTGGGTCAAGCCTTCTCCCGACGTCTCACCGAGGCGCAGAGCTCTGCCTCTCTGCGTCTCTAAAAGTTTCGAATGACTGAGACGTCAGTCTACTTTCTCTTCTCTTAATTGTCTTTGGATCTTGATATTATCGTTAAGCCGGTTCTGATTGTCTCCCGTTGGGATTGACTCGTGGCTCTTTGTACTTTGAATAATAATTTGACATTGATTTGCTTACGCACCTTTTCCATTTGTGTACTTGGCTTAGCATCAAACTTGTAAGATTATGCGTACTGACGTCGTCCCTTCGGCCTTCAACATCAATAACCGCCGCTTGTCCCACTGGAAAGACTCCTGGGAGCCGTCGCCGTATAGGTGCTCCATGGTACCGAAATTGAGATGCGCGAATTTGGCACTGTCCAAAGGTCAACATCACCTCTTGCCATCACAGATAGTATTCAAATAATGAGGCTTTTCTTGGACAGCACAATGCAAAAACACTTGGGAAGATGGGTTAACTGCCCAGCCTTTGCAACGCGCATTGTCCATATCAACACCTCAAGATTGTCACCTCGTGGAGAGAAAGTGTAAATTCTACGAAAAATGGGGTAAAAGCTGGGCTGGTTGCCAGATACCCACGGTAGTTCGTGTATGGGCATGATTTAATGAGGCAGAGAAAGGCAAGTTGGAAAGGTAAACTGCCATGGGAAGGGATATGGTATGCCCGCCAGTCACATGGCTGGACAACCCATGCACGCTGTATACTCCAAGGAGAGACAGCAAGATCAAAATTCCACAAAAGTGGCCCGGCTCAGATTTGCCTTACTGTTCGTTCAACGATTGGCTCTCCTCCTAATTCACAATCCATCTACGGCTCGCCCTCGTAGGGAGGGTGATGAGCGTTGATGGAGAGGAATAACAAGAGGCGAAGCTTGGTCTCAGAAGTATCTGTTTCCATGCTGTGTCGTCATCGCGGGGATTTGATCATTTGATTGGGGTAGTGGTAATGGTGTCCGTGCAATAAGGAACATAGGATGAATGAGGAGAAGGAAAGGAGGCGGGGGAAGGGGAGAACAGAAAGGAAAGGGCTGAGAGGGAAAAAAAGACCAGTCAGGTGAATTGTGACTGTCAGGGTTATGCATTTTCTAGGAGCAGACACTTATCCTAGGGTATCGGTGCCTTTCGTACGGCCTTTCTCCATCTTTGCTGTGCGCGCTCCAAACTGAATAGCTCGCTTCCTTTCACGCGCGACACTCCTTAACCCAAGCGAAGAGCTACGAGCCGAAGTGCCATCTTTTCGGCGTCGATACCAGCTGTCGCTGCAGCTTCTTCGGGATCTTCTGGGGTAGCAAGCCCAAAGCCACATTTAAGCCAGACCGGAGCTCGGAGTACCCAAGCAACGAGTTCCTCGTCCAGGTAAGGGAATCGAGTCTCTCGACCCCAGTGTGAGAGAACTCGGTCGTCGCGTCCGAGGTTGCGCTGACCTAGTCGACTGACGTCTAGATGGATTTCAGAGACGAGACCATCGAATCCACTGCGGTTGAAGGCGACGCTATGACGGCCGTAACCCGCGAAGAGTTCATCCGCACCGAGACCGGAGAGAAGAACCCGTGCAGGGGTAGTGTAGAGTTCCGAGCTGGCAGTGGAAGAATAGGTGGAAGGGTCAGGCGTAGCTGTGCAGGTAGGTGGTGAGATTGAACCTCGACCACGGGATGCGAAAAATAACGCACAGGCGATAGAAAGATCCATTTCGGTATTATGGGGCCTCATGAGACGCCTCACGAGATCTCGGTGGGCGAGAGTTTCTGTGTAAGGGATGTTGATCGCAATGAAGCGCCAGTTGCGCCCTGGGCAGATTGTGACCAACTCACTATACGCCGAACGACCGGTGATCCGATCGGGACAGGCCTCGTAGACGGCGGTGGGATCTTGAGAGGAAGAGGAGGAAGACTGTTGCTGTGCTGCTGCAGCTGCCACACGCGGGTTTTCAAAAGCCACGTTGAGAAGGTCGATGGGGTCGTCGAGAGGGAGAATGTCATGACAGAGTCGTGCAAGGAGCGTACAGTCCAAACCACCAGAAAATAATACAGCAACCTTAGCACTCTCCCCTGGAACAAAGCCTGGAGGTGCTGGAACATCACCAATGCGCAATTTGAGTGAACGATGTAGCCTAGACTCTAATTCCTGAATGAACGGGGTGTTGAGCTTCAGTGGCGGTGGCTGTCCTGACGGTACAGACAGGTTCATTGCAGGGATTGGGTTCTCCTAGAGCCTTTTTAGTACAATTCATGACTGGGTCGGGATGAAACATACCATCTGGCCGATTAAAGATGATGTAGACTTTGTATTCCATGCCAGTGTCTCAATCTGATACTGGTCTTGCAGTGTGTTGAATGACCCTCGAGGCGCCTCAAGATCAATTGTGTAGACTCCATCGAAGCCCACTTCCTTGAAGTGACTTGATGATGACCCATCGCAAATACTGCAGATTTTCAGGGTATCGTTCTCATCCCACCCCCAAAGGAGTGACCTCCGTCCCAAACAGTCACGGCCGAAGAAAAGTCGAGAATGTACAGCATCGTAGAAGATAAATGCAAAGGGGCCGGTGATTTTCGCAACAGCTGCACCAATCCTGCTTGCGGAAAGTCTCCGGTCACTGTCGCTCCTGACAGCTTCCAACAACAAGTTTAAGATAAGTTCTGTGTCGTTCCCAGAGACGCGCTGGCCTTCAATCTTCCAGGCCTCTCCGTTCCAGCAGAGTACGGACTGGGTTGCAGGGTCTACAATTGGTTGAGCGTAAACATGTTCACCTCGTAGTGCGAGGACTGTTGAAATAAACGTGAGATCGCATGTTAGTGACGGTGACAGTTCCTCGGGCGTGAGGATCTCCTTGTGCACGATGTGGGTTTTACAACTGTCAGGGCCCCTCTGCTCAAGCAGCTGTCTTGTGTCTTCTGAAGGTGTTTTTGAGCCATTTGCCAGGGAAAAGAAGATCCCGCACATGGCGGGAAAATCGGATCACGACAGAAGACTGGAGCAAGGTTGTAAAAGATCGCGATATTGACTTGATTGGAGTCCTGAGGCGATAACTTAGTCAGCAACCAGGACCCCTGGAGCCGGGCTCGGGGCCGCAAGTGATCGTCATGAAATCAATGATATTTGTGATGTTGTAGCTGTATTTTGTAGCGTTGTAGATATACTTTTTATGGTAGCTTTGGTTGCTTGATAGGTGAGATGACTGATTTCAGTAGACACTTAATTCCTAACGTTTCTGGATGTGTTTAACGATTGACTCAAGTAGCTCCAAAGAAATCCCAGCATCTACGACGCCCGTGACTACAGTGTCCGCAGCCGCCTCGGTTGAATGATGATCCGCCATTTGCGAGGCTCAACACTTGCGCCTCGATTCACCTCCTGGACCTGTCGAGGCGCGCATGCTGGAGTCCGCTCATGTCGACTAATGAGCCCAAGTCCTCTCCGGGCCCTGGGAAAGGGGACGACCGCCTTGCCCAGGAGAACCTCGAGAACCCCACATCAAGAACAGACCTTCCGGAATCACTGAATGATCCCGCAAGCGACAGTCCGTCTCGAGCCAACATGAACAGTAACGAAAAAACCGATCCATTCACTTCGGATGAGTCGCAGGGAGCTCCAGTGACCTTTTCAGAGTCAGCGCCGTCCGCGCATTCTTCCGAACCCCGGCCCGATTCGCTTGCTGGGCAGCTCGATGGACTATCAATATCGGAGAAGCACGCGCCAGAGCCAGAGAAAGACGCACAAACATCCCGGGAAATAGAGACACCCCCGCCTCCACCCCCTGATAAAAATGAGATTTCGCTTCAAGCCACTTCATCCACCGCACATCCCTCGTCGCAAGCCGGTATCGTGCCTGGGGCCAACAAGGAACTCCCACATGTGCCAGACGACAGTGACGCCGAGAAAAGACAAGAATCGGATAATGATGGATGTAAAGAGAATGAGAATGACTCCCAGCCGGAGATTCAGAGCATTATGGGACAATTTCAAGACCCCTCGCGGACGACCGATCAACAAGAGATCATGTCGCCTCGTCTCGGACTGGCTGAGCAATTTCGCTCCAGTCAAGGCTATTTCCCCCCACGAAGGTCCAGCCTGGAGAACGCCCAATCCCCAGTGACTGGATCTCCCAGTACGGGTCAGCACAGCAACAAGCCAGCCTCGTCTATGGTGCAACCCCCTTATAAAACTACTGGACCAGAGGAACCTATGTTGAGACGGCAATCATCTGCGTCCACACTTCCTCCGCCGCCCGAGCCCGAGCCCGATCAACCTTTCGACTTTCACCGATTCTTAGAGCAACTGCGTCACCGAACCGCTGATCCAGTGGCCAAGTTTCTACGATCTTTCCTGATGGAGTTTGGGAAAAAGCAGTGGATGGTCCATGAGCAGGTGAAAATCATTAGCGATTTCCTGGCGTTCATTACGAATAAGATGGCCCTCTGCGAGGTGTGGCGCGATGTCTCCGATAGTGAGTTTGATAATGCTAAGGAAGGGATGGAGAAGTTGGTCATGAACCGTCTATACTCCCAAACCTTCTCCCCGCGATTCCGGCTCCCCCGACTATTCCGCGGAGTGCTAGTCGCAGTCGCCGAAAGGAGATAGAGAGAATGCATGGGCCCTGGCGAAGAGGTCAACACCAAGAAGACATTGAAAGAGATGAAATTCTGGCACAAAAAATTCGCATCTACAGCTGGGTGAAGGAAGAGCACCTGGATATTCCTCCGGTTAGCGGTGGCGGACGGCGATTCCTTAACTTGGCACAGCAGGGTAATTACCCCTTCGACTTATTCTCTCCGTGATGTGTGTGAAGAAACTAGGAACTGACTATTCGCCTAGAGCTACTCAAGATCAATGGCTACCGTGCGCCGCGTGACAAGGTCATCTGCATTCTGAATTGCTGCAAAGTAATCTTTGGCCTCTTGAAGAATACTAAGAAAGCAGATACCTCTGCCGACGCTTTCATTCCCCTCTTGATTTATGTCGTCCTTCACGCCAACCCTGATCACCTTCCATCCAATATCCAATACATCTTGCGCTTCCGCAACCAAGACAAGCTCAGCGGTGAAGCGGGCTACTATCTGTCCTCGCTGGTAACTTTCCCCATTTCCTCATGTCGGACGAGAAGCCCCATACTAACCATAAGTAAACCTTCAGTCTGGAGCTATTCAATTCATTGAGAGTCTGGATCGTACCAGCCTCACTGTCAGCGATGAAGAATTCGAACGCAATGTTGAAGCAGCTGTTTCCGCTATTGCAGAGGAAAACCGCGAGACCGAGCCGATCGCTGAAAAGCCTCGAGCTCATCCCACTCCCACTAGTCGCCCACCCCAGCCTCAGTCAGGGCCAAGCCGCCGAGAGGCTTCTCAGTCCAGTGATGACGACTCATCTGCACCGGTAGCCGGGTTGTTGCGCACCATTCAAAAGCCCCTTTCCACAATTGGCCGCATGTTCTCTGAAGATTCTGATGCCCCTCCACCACAAGACCGCCCCCTACAACCCGCAACGACCCCGCAGCCTGCGCAGACTCGTCTCAATCCGAATGTTTACCAACCTCCACGGTCCAGCAGTGAGGGTCGACAGTCCGGGGATGAGCGCTCCCCTCTGGTCACAATGGAAGCGCCAAGCAAAGTCTCACGCGAGCCTTAAGTGCGCAGGATGCAGCTGCTCGCCAGGCGAGCGCAGAGGATGCAGAGGCACGCCGCATCCAGCGTGCTGAGCATAATAATGTAGTTGAGACGCTGTCGAACATGTTCCCGAATCTCGATCGCGACGTCATCGACGATGTAGTTAAGATGAAAGAGGGCAGGTGAGTTCTTCTCCATCCCCCGTGTACCTCTTTTGTACTGATTTGTCTATCGACAGGGTTGGTCTTGCGGTTGACGCATGTCTCGCTCTCAGTGCGGAGTAGTATATAGGTTCTCGTTTCATTTCCTATGATCTCAGTAGTGGATACCAGTGTTTGTGTGCAACTCTAGCTCCTCCCCCGTTTCAAGCCCAAGTTTCTATATTCACATGGACATGGCTTTAGTGCGGCGGTTTTCTGCTCCAAAAAGCGATGGATATGATCATCCTACGGTGTCTGAAATTCGCTTTATGAGCAAATCTAGCGTTTCAACATACTTTGGTAGGGTAACACATAGCTAAAAATAGATTCCATACATCGTGTAACTACTGTCTTGATATGTTTGGCCTCTATTGATCGCTACTCAGATCGTTGGGCTGGGGGAAGCTTATGACGTCGCCACCGAAGAGAAGCTCTCGCCACACCCCGCCACCGCAGCCCAGGTTGTCAGGTCCGCAACAGCCACGTCGCAAAGCTTACTTCCTATCAGCTACATTACCTCCTTCCAAAATAACTCGAGCGACACCATTCGTCCTTTGAAACGCTCGAGACTGAGCTCCAATCTCATCACAATCTACCACTACCATGCCCGTTCCGACCGTCGATCACTACGACCAGGAAGCCAGCCACGGCACCGACCGAACACAATCAAATGGGAGTGTCTCCCTCGGTTCGATCGCTAATAGCAATGGGGAGCGTAACATCGGAACCGGATCCGGCGGTGCAATCAGCGCACCTGGGTCATCCGCCGCGCAGAGCGAACCTCTGAGTCGAGAGGAGGCGGATCGACTTTACGAAGAACGAATGGAAGAAGAGTACGCAAAGAGAGAAGGAGGTGCTTGATGAGCAAGTCTGATAGCTAGTCGGGAGTCACTGAGTCTTGGAGGGTTGATGCCGCGAGGTCCGATCTTCTCCACGCATGACATTTGTACATTATTATTCTTTGTGGAGATCTTTATATCAAATCTTATCTCCTCTCTCTCATGCGAATGTCCCTGCCAAAGCTTTTAACGAGGTTCATGGGCTGATGTTGCATCTGGTATTTAGTGGAGACCATCTTACGCCCGGAAGGATGAGTCAACGGAGCCCTAGGCGATTTGAAGCTACAGATCTATTGGAGCTGATTGTGCTGATCGTGCTACCTGACCTTTCGTCTTCAGTGGTCGAGATCATGTTTTAGGGCCTTCAAGGTGGACTTGTTGATTCCCTGTCAACTTAAAGAACCCCAAACCTCCATGTCTTCTGCCGCCATGAACCTCACGCCAGCCCCCGGGAGTCTGTACCCCGAGCAGACCACTAGAGTCATCATTCCAGCAACTGTTTCTGCTATGTATACGAAGCGCCTTTACCTACGTCCTGTGCAGTTGTCAGATGCGTCAGACATTTTTGAATACCGTTCCAGACAAGATGTAGCGAACTACCTGTAAGACTCGAGCTGAACCTGACGGCTATAGCGAGGGATATGGACTAGAACATTGGCAGTTGGCCTAAAGTACCCCACAAGGAAGTAAAGGAAACAGAGAACTCGATCACCAAAATGATCTTCCGAACGCCCGATGCCTCAGGAGCGGTCGGACGACAATTCGCATTCGCTATAATCCAACGAGATGATCCGTCGCAGAAAGTCATTGGTATGGCAAGCGTCAACGCCCTCGTGCCGGCACCATCTATTGGCTTCGGGATGCACCCCAACTACTGGAACAAAGGATATGTCAGTGAAGCGGTGGCGGGGGTCATAGATGCTTGGTGGAGACTCGATAGAAAGGAGCTGGAGTCTATCGTTTTGGCGACCCCACCCGAGCGTCTTTTTGCAGCGTGTAACAAGGCAAATGTAGGCAGTATGAAGGTGCTGTTGAAGAATAGGTTTGAGCTCTACCAAGAAGTGCAACTGGAGGGTGATACTGTCGCACTTTTTGTACAAGACAAACCATAGGGAAATTAGGGGACTAGGAATAACACTTGGAGCTCTGCATTGAAGGTCTCAAGGGGAAAAACCTAATACGGGGACAATGTCAATCTGAGCCTCTCACCACAACAGTGTGTCGAGAACACTGGATCTGAATATGAACTGCGGTCCCTTCCCGGTATAGTTGTATATCCTGTTGTCTCTTGTCGCAAGAGATGATTGATACGTGGGATATCGGCCGGGACACGTTTCTCGGGGGGTTTCTGAAGTAAGGCATGCATTCAAAGATAATAAAGCGACAGTAGCAAGATCAGAGGCCTATTCAATCATTTAGAGTCACCATGCTGAGCAAAGGCCTCTATGATTTTCTTTGCTTGGAGTCCTCTACTTCTTGGAGAGTCTCATATATGCCTGTCTTGCAGAGTAGTCCGCTTATATCGAATTTGAAACACTCAAGGATATGAGCCACAAGAGCAAAGATACAAGAGCAAAGATGCATGCGCCATGCCAGACTTCATGACGTTCTTAGGCAGCAGACGATAGACTTGTCGCCCTTGGTGAGGCTCGATGAAGACCACTAATCAAGCATCACTTATTTACAACAGCCTTATGGTTTCCATAATTGAAAGCCATGTCACACTAGGAACTACGACTATTCTGCGAAGCTCGAGGCATTATGGTGTTTTCCTCCAGAGCCTCCTACAGAGCACCTGGGCAAATATGTGAGGCTGAGAAAGCAAAACGTGCAGTACGTCGGACCGGAAAGGTGTCTACTCAGTACATACCAAGCTACCAGTCAGTCCATAATTCTTATACTACTAATCAGAGTCTAATACGCCCGTAGTATATTCATGACTCCAAGGCCAGAAGTGTAAACCGGAAACGCTAATATACATGACGGACATCATCACGTGATGCAGGTGGACAGGTGGACTCGGGAGGCAGGAGCTACACTCTTCGAGACTTTACATTGCGCTTACACTCACCCTATTCTGTGTCCCTCTTTTATCTCCCCAGAACCCTCCCCGGAAAGGGCTCTTCTTCACTGTCATCTTTACGGTGGAAAGGCTTGGCCTTGAGGTACCTCGCTACTCACCATGGCCCCGCCCGATACCTTCTTCCGCTCGTCGGACATGAGTCTGACGCAGCTCTACATTGCCAATGAGATCGGAAGAGAGGTCGTGAGCGCTTTGGGTGAGATCGGGCAGGTCCAATTCAGAGATGTAAGTTACTCCCTGTCTCGCCTTGCAACTGGAGTATCGTGCATTCCACTAACAGATGGTTTCCAGCTTAACCCAGATACCAACGCCTTCCAACGTACCTTTACCAAGGAGATCCGGCGCCTGGATAATGTCGAGAGACAGCTTCGTATGCTAGTCCGGTATCCCTATTGATCTTTGTTGCCTTGCTGACTTTCGGGCTTCACACTAGGCTACTTCCATTCCCAGATGGAAAAGGCCGCCATTACCATGCGGCCCTCCTCCGATTTCTCGGATACCCTGGCAGCTCCTCTCGCTTCGGAAATCGATGAACTAGCTGAACGCAGCGAGAGCCTTGAGCAGCGGATCGCATCGCTGAATGACAGCTACGAGACTCTCAAGAGACGCGAGGTCGAACTTTCTGAGTGGCGTTGGGTCCTAAGGGAAACCGGAGGTTTCTTCGATCGGGTAAGTCTTGGCAGATTAATTTCCATTGCTTTGTGCAGATTCTCATTCTTTTTAGGCCCATACTCAGACTGAAGACATCCGTCAATCTTTCGACAATGACGAAGCCCCCCTTCTCCGCGACGTTGAACAACACGCTCCTCATGCGAACGGCGATACGCAGGGCCAGCAGAGCTTTTCTGATATGAATATCGGGTTCGTCGCCGGTGTCATCCCCCGTGACCGAATTGGTGCTTTTGAGCGCATCCTCTGGCGAACTTTGCGCGGCAACCTATACATGAACCAATCCGAAATTCCTGACCCCATCATTGAACCAACAACCAATGAGGAAATCCACAAGAACGTGTTCGTGATCTTTGCACATGGCAAGAGCATCCTTGCCAAGATTCGCAAGCTGTCCGAGTCACTGGGAGCCTCGCTATACGGAGTCGATGAGAACAGTGAGCTCAGACGGGACCAGATTCACGAAGTCAACACTCGTCTAGCAGATGTGACCAACGTTTTACAAAACACCAAGAATACTCTTGATGCGGAGCTCTCCCAGATTGCACGATCCTTGGCAGCTTGGATGATCATTGTTAAAAAGGAGAAGGCTGTCTACGATACTTTGAATAGATTCTCATACGATCAGGCGCGAAAGACCTTGATTGCTGAGGCTTGGTGCCCGACAAACTCCCTTGGTCTGATCAAGTCCACCTTGCAAGATGTGAATGACCGCGCTGGTTTGTCTGTTCCTACCATTGTCAATCAGATTCGCACCAACAAGACGCCGCCCACCTATGTTCGCACCAACAAATTCACGGAAGCATTCCAGACTATCGTCAATGCTTACGGTATTCCTAAGTACTCGGAGGTGAACCCCGGTATTTATACCGTTGTCACGTTCCCATTCCTATTTGCTGTTATGTTTGGTGATTTTGGACACGGTGCCCTTATGGCCTTGACGGCTTGTGCCATGATCTTCTGGGAGAAGAAGCTTCTGAAGACCAAGCTTGATGAATTGACGTACATGGCTTTCTATGGTCGCTACATCATGTTGCTGATGGGACTCTTTGCTATGTACACCGGATTTATCTACAACGATATCTTCTCCAAGTCCTTTACGTTCTTCCCCAGTGCGTGGCAGTGGCCCGAGGACATTAAAGCCGGACAGTCTGTTGAGGCATCGCTCAAGGGCGGATACCGTTTCCCTATTGGTTTGGATTGGAACTGGCATGAGGCTGAAAACTCCTTACTGTTTACCAACAGTATGAAGATGAAGATGAGTGTCCTGCTTGGATGGGCTCACATGACCTTCGCTCTGTGCTTCCAATACATCAACGCCCGCCACTTCAAATCCAAGATCGACATCTGGGGTAATTTCATCCCTGGAATGCTCTTCTTCCAGTCAATTTTCGGCTATCTCGTGATCACTATTCTCTACAAATGGTCTATTAACTGGTCAGAAACCGATAGCGCGCCTCCCAGTCTGCTGAACATGCTTATCTTCATGTTCTTGAGTCCCGGTACTATCGAAGGCGATCCGCTCTACAAGGGACAAGGTCCCGTACAAATGCTTCTACTGTTCATTGCTGTCATCCAAGTCCCTATCATGCTGTTCTTGAAGCCCTTCTACCTTCGCTGGGAGCACAACAAGGCTCGTGCCCTAGGCTACCGCGGCCTCGGCGAGCAATCCCGAGTCAGTGCTTTGGAGGACGACGGCGACTTGGACGGCGGTTTCGGTGGGAACCGAGACAGTCTTGCCAGCGACGGGGAAGGAGTTGCTATGATTGCACAGGATATCCAAGAAAGCGAAGTGCATGAAGAGTTCGATTTCTCTGACGAGATGATCCACCAAGTCATCCACACCATTGAGTTCTGTCTTAACTGTATTTCGCACACTGCCTCTTACCTCCGTCTTTGGGCTCTTTCGCTGGCTCACCAGCAGCTGTCTATTGTCTTGTGGACCATGACTCTCGGTACCGCTCTGGACCAGGAGAACCCGACCGTGCGCGTGATCATGACTATCATTTGCTTCTACCTGTGGTTCGTTCTGAGTGTTGCAGTCCTTTGCTGCATGGAGGGTGTCTCAGCCAGTAAGTCTTATCAACTCCTTCCAAGGAGGTCCAGAAAAGCTAATTTTTCCACTAGTGTTGCACTCTCTTCGTCTCCACTGGGTCGAGGCAATGAGCAAGCATTTCATCGGCGAGGGTATTCCATTCCAGGCATTCAGCTTCAAGACCTTGCTGGAAGAGGACCCAGTCGACTGAAGGTAGACCGGTCTGTAGTCATGCTTCTTTTGTCTTTTCTTTCTCTTCGCTCTAGCATCCCTGCGGGGTCTGTTCAATCATTCAGGTTTCCTTGCCCTGTATACTGTATGAAGAGTTTAGAATATATTGCATTTATGAACATCCCACTTTGCGCTGGTACACAATACCAAATACTACATCTTTATAAGAGCGACCGTCATATATTTTAATAATTCTTTTTTGTCTTATTCTCATTCTCTTCTACGGGTTTCAAGATACCGTTTGATCAACCGGGAGTCGCCCGGTAAGCTCAACACTCAAGGGGAAGGGCATAGAGTCGTAATATATAAGGACCAAGTCACGTCACAAAAAGAAAAAGAAAAAGGAAAAGCAGGCGTTAAAGGTACACGAGACTCTGGAGAAATCAATGGCCAAGCATACCAATTCAACTCCGCAACGCTATCATCCGCACTCTAGTGGTACTTGTTGTAGGTATCGATGACCTTCTGTACCTCATCCTTCGATCCAAGGAACACACCGCTACGGTCGTGAATGCTCTCTGGTACGACAGACAGCAATCGCTCCATGCGGGAGTTGACCGCCATACCGCCCGCATTCTCGAACAGCATGGCCATGGGCGCACACTCGTACAGAATCCGCAGCTTGCCCTTGGGCGTCTTGCTATCAGCGGGATAGGCGAAGATACCACCGTAGAGCAGGGTTCGGTAGGCATCTGCAACCATGGATCCGATGTACCGGGCACTGTAAGGCTTTCCCTCGGCAGGGAACTTGAGGGAGTGGAAGTACTCCGTGCACCACTTGTCCCAGTACGAGCTGTTACCCTCGTTGACGGAGTAGATGGAGCGCTTGGGAGGGAGCTGCATGTTGGGGTGGGTCAGGATGAACTCGCCCAGCGAGTTCTCGAGGGTGAAGCCTTGCACGCCGCCGCCGCGCATGGTAATGACCAGCTGCGCAGAGGCGCCGTACATGGTGAAGCCCGCGGCGACCATCTGGGTGCCGGGCAACAGGAGGGCCTCGGGGCCGACGGTCTTGCCGGCGCCCAGGATCTCGTCGGGGAGCTGGAAGATGCCGAAGATGGTGCCGACGGAGACTCCGGCGTCCAGGTTGGAGGAGCCGTCGATGGGGTCGCAGACCACGGCGTAGCGGGCGTTCGGGTGCTCGTCGAACTTGATCACCTCTTCCTCCTCCTCGGACACGAGGATGCGGCACTTGCCGGAGCCGCGCATGGCGGAGACGAAGATATCATTGCCGATCACGTCGAGCTTCTTCTGGTCGTCGCCGGTTGTGTTGGAAGAGCCGGCAAGACCGGTCAGGTTGATGAGGAGGCGCGTCGGATGTAGTAGGCGATGGACTTGAAGGAGAATTGGAGAGCATGGCAGAGGAGAGTGAAATCCCCAGAGGCTTCGGGGTACTTGGTCTGTTCCTCAGTAAAGAAGCGAGTCAGAGTAACAATGTCGGTGTTGATGTTCTCTTGGCCGACGGGTGGTGCTCCGGAAGCCATTGTGATTTAGAAGGTGGTGGGGGAGAAGCTTGGGGGAGCGGGGAAGTAGGAAGAGCTCGAGAGGGGTTCGAGGGGTTCGAGGGGGTTTAAAGGGCAATTAAAGAATTTTGAACCAAACAGCGACAATCGGGCAATATGAACCAGAAGAAGCACCCAGTATGATCTCAACACCGTAACCAGGACTCAAGGACAAAGTAGTGGGGGTCAACGTCAAGAGGGGGAATAAACCGGTCTAAGTAGTGACTTCAAGTGGGCCTAAGAAAAGTGGTTCCCTCCCAGTTACCCGGCGTTTTCGTCATGCTGCCCCGCGTGACTTGGCCCTCCGGTTTTCTCCTTGGAATTCGACTCCTATACTGGCTGCAGTGGAGTACAATGATTGGGTTATGACATATTTGGGGGCCTCCTGGGCCCAAGATTGTTGATGGCCTCTCCAAAAAAAATAGGATGTCCTGATCGGATTATCAGAGTATTCGTCCAGAGACCGTTGGACTCCTGTCAAGGGACTACTCAAAGTCAGCCGAGGACCAGCGGTCGCGATGGCCTCGACCTCCGATCTTTCCCTTCCGAACGCGGAAGACAGAAACCCCTCTGGTCACCTGCCGCTGCAAAGATTTGCTGCTCCATAAGAACGGGGATTTTCACAAGTCGTGCGCGCTTTTACAGGAGTACCTCTGGTTTGATCTTCCATTCCGCTACACTAAAAGAGCATTATATCACATGTCACGTGTGAATATCCGAGCGCACGTATAGAGTACATAACAATTGCAGCGCTGAAATCCGTGATGTTCTCGCGTAAATCTGATCAATGTTGGCCCTAGATATCTAAAGCCCTGTCGCGACTTGCTCAGAGGTCTTATGGGTATAATACTTCACAGATATCTCAGCACGAAGTGGACTATAATTAACGGCCATACCGACGTCGGTATAGACAATGTAGGTATAGGCGTAGGTATAGGGCTCGGAGTATACACGATAACGAGGGATTTTCGAATCGGGGGGCAGGGCGCGCTGTTTATACTTATTACTGGACCCATGGACCAGGTTCACCGGCTTACCAATAGCAAAATAAGCGGGGAGATTCATGCATGCCTTCAAAGATAGCCCTTTGTATATTTAGTATTATTGATGAGTAGAGTTGTATGTTTCGCGGCCTCCGGGCTCCTCCCTGAATCCATGGGCCTTACTGGATGTGAGGCTGTCGTACGTGCGAGAGATGAGATCCGCGTTGGCATCCGCGGGAACCCCCGTGGCGGGAAACCTTCCCCAGCAGCACCTGAATATTTACTTCCCTTTGGCTTCCCACCGTGTCTGAACGAGAGATTCGGACTGGAAAGGGTGACATGGACGTGACTCGTATCGGGAATAGATCGCGCGTTCCTTTCTGTTAGGTTGGTGACCGACAACATACGCTGGGATGCCCTGAGTCCTATAGAACTTGAGGTGCCCCTCATGCCACCATTAGCATGTCAACTCAAACAAACATGATGGAAGAACAACCAGACGTTACGCTGCCCCCTTAAGAACTCCTCTGCGACATTGCCGTAGCAATGAATCGACTGTACCTTGCCATCCAACCACCAATGCCGTTCCCGCACAAGTCAGCGAGAGGCCATTGAGGCAGGCGAAGCATCACCGGAGAACCTCGACGAACAGTGCCCCGTATTTCCCGGCACCCCCAGGTCAGCGCTGACAACTCCGGCAAGAAATTCAAAAATCCCCGCCGTCTAGCTCGTTACTAGAACGTGGTGTCGGCCTACCATTCAAATCGAACGTTGCCCTTCACGAGATCTTTACCTCGCCAACGGCTCCGATGGCAGAGGCTCGTTAGTTCTTCCGCAACGTCGCTCGCCAAGCAGAACAAGACTTGTAGACTTTGTCTGCCATTCGAGTGACAATGGTCATAGTAGGAAAATCTTATTGCTAAAAGATGAGGGTCAGATTCTAATCCTGAATGAAAGAAAGAAAAGAAGAGTACCCTCACAGTTGAAATGAAAGACCAGGCGTGTTTTAAGGAATGAGTTATCTGCAATTGGAAGCCCGGGCATCTCTCAGCATTCTTATTGCCTTGGACATTATCCATAGTTCCAGTCCCTCTCTATCTACGGTGAGTAGCTGAACAATGGTTGGTGAAGATAGCATGTGATTGGCACGGATAACTTCCTAAAGAGACGGATTTTCTGGCTATACTTGCGACCTAATCGGGACTAGCGTAAAGTCTGTCCAGCGATCACCGTTTCAAGTCGGCGCCTTCAGCGCCTTCAAGCTTTGCCGTCGTTGCGATGGAAGGTCACCGTATGTCCACTGAATCATAAATGAATCCCAGATGGACGAGTTGGAAGACTTTTCAAGATGAGTCAGAAGCCCCCGCGTGAGATCTTCGCCTTGCACGACTCGGGCCACGAGCCTTGTGTTCCTTGTGTTTTAGGATGCAGCCAGAATGCAGCCTTCGTGAAGACTCCACGAAAACGAGGCGGGCCGGAAGGAAGTAAGTAATCGATAGTGCGTTGCTTAGGGATGGCTGACTCAGGAAGGTCTCAAAAATGGCAAGACAGGGCTTGGCCAAGCCATATCCATATGCGGGGACGCTACGTACAGTACTTTGATTTCGTGAACTATACCGAAACACCAAACCCCCTGGCCTGGTTTCAAGGAATCTCATAGGCGAAGGAGCATGCTCTTCCAATTTCCGTGAAAGGCGCTGCCAGGCGGCCACATTCCAATGAGCTGGGCCTTCTCAGACCCAGTCGATTCTTCAGCCACCATCCCCTGGCTACTGTGCAAAGTGGGACCGTACGCCCATGACGCATGACTTGCTGAAACACCGTACAAAGAATTCCCTTGAATTTGCATTCGTTCTGTAAGTTTAAGGGCTTAGAGTCCACCTTGTTCATAGGCTGCACCTCCACCTAGAGAAGGCTACATCGGATCAAGCAGAAGGCTGGGTTCAATCCAATAGTCGATTCTTGGATGCCGCTGGCCTTCCAAAATAGGGCGTTACTTCAAGCATTATCGCGCTTTCGGGTCTTTACAATTCGCCGACCTCATCCATCAGGGATCAGCCCTTTGTGATCGGCCACCTCAAGGAGCTATCGCTCGAGCGAACGAGCGAGTAGCCGACCGACCAGATGCAGAGTAAAATGAGCCGTCTGTCGTCGTCGCACTGGTCGTGATCCTACAGGATTGCCAGCCCTGTACTCCGTATCCTTTGTCCTATTGCGTCATTTTGGATACTAATCATATCCTGAGCTTGTATGGCACCGTCGAAAGCTGGGGCCACACGATGGAGGGCCTAAGCACGTTGACTGATCGTGAAGGGGTCTTGGACAGCCTCGAGCAGAACCCGATGGTGTTGGGAACAATCTATCGTCAACTCAAAATGTGATATCGAGATTTTTAGTCAGGTCACTACAAATTCAATAGCGCGGATCTTAGCGCTTCCGTCGACGTGCTAAGGAAGCCGTTCTTTGCCAAGCATCACTGATGGCCAGGAACCTGGGACTGTTCCCCACCGCGAAGTGGGTTTGCCCACCTGCAAAGAATACAGGATCTGCATGAAGGACTCGTAAACTGCATTGGGTATCTGCATGATTCAATCACCTTGTTACGACGCTTCTCTGTAAAAAACACGATCGACGCAGACCAAGTGCCGATTTGTCATTTACCAGACGCCTGCATGGCCTTTTGTCTTTTCCAATGCGAGGACATTCCAAATCAGCTGTGTGGCGAGTCGCTAATTTACACGGTCGCAATCCTTGATGAACGGACGCGGAAGAAGCCCGCTCACGATGATCTCCCTTGGGTGCCATCGTCAAGTTTGGCACCAATATGAACGGGAACATATGGTGGGTCTTCAACTACCGGCCTATTTCCCAGCTGCGGGGGTTGGTCGCGGCAACATGGACCTGTAGAACGCGGGAAATCCCAAGTTGGTGTCTATCGGAGACATCGCGCGCTTTGACGTGTCTTGAGATTTAGAGTGCGGATGCATTGACTGCGTTTGTGGACAGCTTCGTGCCGATCTGTGATAGCCGATGCCAGCAAGTTTGGTACCAGTGTCTGGTGCGTCTAGTGTCGTGTTCATCAATACGGTGACGAGATGCTCTTGGAGTAAGGACCTCCACCTGGATGGGAACCAAGGGGAGACAATGAGCCGGAATTACTCTCGGCAGTTATCCTTCGAGACGCCGATCACCGCGTGGGTGTGGGTTCAAGGAGTCAAAGGTGATGCAATTACTCGCCGTTGGGTTTCCCGACTTAAACGAGGTCCGTACAGGCACGGCTCAGGTAGATTAATTGGAGAACGTACCCCGAATGGCGTGGTCCCCGAGGCTGGTGAGATGAGAGGCGAATGGCTTAAGGCTGTTCTTTCCTTTCTTTTGGCCCCATTGGGTCTCAGCAGTCCAGCCCTCCCTGCTCAGGCTCCATGGAAGTCCATCACCAATAGTGCAAAGGCGGGGTTTCATTAGAGCACAGAGTATCACCCAGAATTTTTTTTGGGGGGAGGTCGCACAAGACAAGGCCGAACCAAGGTCGGTCATTTGTTGCCCAGATCGATCGTCCAATGGTGCCCCACGTTGCAGAAAGTACTTGATAAAGCACTGGGATACATCAGAAGGATCAAAACTCCGGTCCCTGCATTGTGACACTCATATCACTGCCCATTCCAGAAAAAAGCTCAGACTAGGACGGGCCTCTATTGAAGGCAAAAACAGGATTACCTTCCCCAATGGAATTGTTCCACCAGATTGAGAATAACCGGGTAAAGTACGGACAACACTAATCTCCACCAGGACCACTCGGGGCCACCTTGGGGCCACCAGGGACGGCACCAAAGATCTCAAGAAAGTAAAGTGGGGAAGGCCCGAGGAAATCAACTGGATGTGACGGTTGTTACCGTCCGCACCATTGATCAATAGTGTTTGCCGATCGCTTCCTTTTGCCCATTGGCGCTGCAGCTGCTCAGCGCTAGCGGTGGGTTCTTGCTCGATCGAGATGAGGTGGATCCGATCTAGGCTACCCAAGGCCCTTACACACTTGTACCAGGCTCAACTTTATCTCCCTCCAACAAGCTGAGCCCTCCGGGGCAAACCCCGATCGTCAGGAGAACCCTGCACTGCGTGTCCAACACGTGAACCGGATTCATGGGTCGCGGCAATTTATCTACGGACCATTCCCCAGTTGCTTCGACGCCACTTCTGGTTACTTGAGCGCCCAACTTCAGTCCCTCCCTCTCGGCTCCTCAGCAAGTCAACTTCAATATGGGTTCCGAACTTGGCGTCACCGCCACTTCGAAGCCTGGTCCTGTCATTAACACTGCCACTATCTTCTGGATGGCCTTCGGCGTCGTCTGGACTCTGGTTCTTTGCCTCGGCGTGGGTTATCTGATCAAGAATCGCAACACCCCCACCGTTCGCATCCGCGGTCTCTGGCTATGTCTCTTCGCCATCGTTTTCCTGCATCTCTACGCCTGGTCCGTCCAGTTCGGTCCCATGCTTGGCCCTATGATGCCGGGTGAGGCCGAATACTGGCTTATGGGCCTCTGGCTGCCTTTGGGCCTGTCATTCTTTCACGCATCCAACGCTCGCTTCCTCTACGTCGCCCGCCTGCAGAAGAAGTTTGTCTACCCCAGCAACCGCCTCAACACTAGTTCGCGGGGTCAGTCTAATTCTCTGATCGCTCGCTTCCGCCGCCTCGACTACTCCTCCAAGATCTTAATTACCGTAGGCCTCGGAACCTTGATTCAGGTATGGTCGATCGCCTTTTGTGTCATGACCAGCTTGGCCGAATTCATCTAACATGATCTCTAGATGATGCTTACTGTTTTGATGTACTTGATTTCTCGCAAATATCACAGTTCATGGGGTATTCCTGGTACAGAAGTTACCGGTACTCCCATGGAGCAGAAGATGAAGATGGGCTCAGGCTGGGAATGGTGAGAGAAAAGAAAAAAATCGACGTGATGGATTGAATGACAATTGCTAAAACTTTCTTAGGTGGCCCGGTTTCGCTTGGTTGTTCCTCTGGTGCTGGGTTGTTGCCCCCCTACGTTCTCTGGAAGTCGTGGGACATTAAGGATACCCAGGGCTGGCGCCTCCAAACCATTGGTTGTGCCATTGCCGGCCTCCCCGCCATTCCGATGTACCTGGCTGCCCTGTACGCCCCCGCCATGGCCAAGATCCAATCTGTGTGGATTCCACCTCAATGGATTTGCCTGTCGATCTTCTTCATTGAAATCTTTACCATCGGTGTCCCCTGCTGGGAGGTGGCGAACCGCCAGGTCCTCATCCAGGAGACTTTGAACTCCATTGCACACTGGGAAGTCAAGAAGAATGTTGGCGGCGAGAACAAGTCTATCGAATCCGGTAGTACGATGATCGGATCATTGCTTTCCGGTTTTAAGTCCATGACTGGATCCGTCAAGACCGACCACTCCAGCGACAGTATCTTGACCATGGGCGCCCTGGAGCATGTTCTCGAGCGAAACCCGGCTCCTCTGCAGGAGTTCTCTGCCTGAAGGAGTTCTCTGGTGAGAACATCGCCTTCCTGACCTGTGTCGCTGAATGGAAGAGCATGCTCCCCGCAGCTTTGCGCGAAGGTTCCGTCTCGGGGATCCGATCGCGATGCCGTGCGCCACTCTTTCAACCGCGCTCTGGCCATTTACGCAGAGTACGTCAGCCCCGCCCACGCTGAATTCCCTGTCAATCTCTCCTCCAGCGATGTGAGGAAGCTTGATCAAGTCTTCGAGAAGCCTGCTCGTATCGTCTACGGCGAAGCCGAAGAAGCAGCTCAGCCTACCAACCCCGTCTCTCCTTTCCGCACCGAGTTTGATTTGCCTGCTACGTCGCCCATGTCCAGTGCTACGCACGTGCCTAACCCGCCTAAGTCCCCCACCATGCCTCTTTCTCCTACCTCGACTCTGTTCCAGACCCCGTCCGCCAACTCTGGTGAGAAGGGCTTCAAGAATCAGGTGGCTGAAGTTAAGGACCTTGTGAAGTTCTGGGGCGAGATTTCTCCTGAGTTCGATCACACCATCTTTGATGATGCCGAACGCAGCATTAAGTATCTCGTTCTCACCAACACCTGGCCTAAGTTCATCAAAAGTCAACGTGCCTCGACGGGCTCCTCCGTTACCCTCGAAAATGGTTCGGATGTGCTTTCTATGGCTCGTGAGAAGTACGAGAAATGAAACTAAATGGTTTAAGGATGGCGTTTAGGGCTTGGACTCGGATATTGGATACCCTTCTTTGATCATAACAAACCTTCTTTTCACCTTCTTGTATAGTAACTTAATGTACATAAAAAAAAAAAGAAAACCCCTCGCGGCAACCTGCCACTAGGCTTCTTGCCGTACGGTTCTTTTTTTTTTTTTTTCTTCTCTCCCTTTTTCCTTCACTAGTATATTGTAGACGGATAACCTTTAGGCCGAAGGTAATTGCAGTGCTTCTTGCCCTCTTGCCCTCTTGAAGCTTGTCTGATTGCTGGAGACGACGCACGTAGAGTTTTAGGGCCTCCCAAGTACTGTAAAGCACCAAGTACGCGTGGCTGGCTGGGGTCCATGCATGGCGGGCTACCATCCATGTAGCTTGTGCAGATCCAAATCTCCGTTAACCTTGGCGCTGGGGGTCGTGTTTCCAATGATAAACCCTATTTGCCTAAGTCTTTTTTTATTGGCCAATTCTATGCCGCTTCTTCTCCACTGCGTTTCTGATAAATCCGCCGTTTTGGAAAGCTAAAAAGTGAAATGGAAAAAAAGAAAGAAAAAGCGAAAAGGGAAGGAGATATTCAGCATTTTCATCAGTTCTGTACCTTCGGGGGTTCCATATCAGATCCACACGTATACACTCATTTATACACCAGAAGCAGGTCTCCTCGAGAATCATCTACTGCGTACCGAGCTATTGATGTATCTTGTGATCTCCGTACGTTGCATCCGATGACCTGTTCGTTGGAGCTCCCTCCTAGTTGTCGATCATCGAGGACGCATAATACACAAGTCGGAATTGATGCGGCATGGGGGCAATGGATCAAGGTCCAGGTACGAATATCGAGGTACGAGTGAAATTTTGAAGTTTCCAGCAGCTGGGAGGCTTAGAATGGCGATGATGTGCCAGTGGTTCCTGTAAGCACACCGGGAGTTCAATCCCTCGACGGGAAAATTCTAGAAGCACACATGCACCCAATGACTCCTACTAAAGATCCAACGCCCGCACCGCCGACAACCCCACGCCATCCTGTAGGCCCTGAGAAGTACCCCGAAGCTCCAGCAACTGCTCCTAATGCAGCAGCTGGCTCACTCCAGTTGTCAATAGCCAACTGGCCTTGGTTATTCCGTAGGCGCCAGCTGCGGTCTTTCCACTCGATCTCTTCTCGGCCCCACATTCGACCAACCAGTCCAACTCCAACACAACAAGTTCCTATAATGCCTCCGGTGGAAGCGGCACGGAGAAGACTCGCTGCTGTCGGCGATTGGCGTTTGATTAGGCTTCTGGTACCGCGACTGAGAAGGCCAATTGCGCTCCCAAGCTCAAAACCGCGGCTGAGCACATGGGTCGTGAGGATCGTGCGCGAGAGGGTTTGGTCCTCGGCGTACTCGGTGGTAGGGAAAAAATGTGACATTGCGATCTGACGATTTGCGTATAATAAAGGATCGCAAAGAGCTCTATGCTAGACAGGCTATATACCAGCAAAGGATTCCGCACCGCTATATCTCGAAAGAGTCGCGGTAGTGGAGGATTTGGTTTGCTATGGTATGGACAAGGAGTCGCGTGGACGTTAGAGCTGCAAGGAAGTATCTGCGATTCACGCGTAGGGCTCCGGTTCTTAATAGAGAAGCTTATTCTACGTCAGGCCCCCAGACATATCAAAGCTATCGCTTTTGGGCGGAGAAATCCCGACGGTTCACCAGACGGTCCTCTCTGGTCCAATGGCAGTTGACCATGGCTTGCTGACGGGCTCTCCCACCGAGCACTCCGTCGGTGATCATTGGCCCGGCGGAGTTGTCTCGTATTCTAAACTCCGGTTGCGTCCTGAGTTCGTTCTGGAGGTGGAACACCCACTGGCTCAGCCGGTCAGACAGGAAGTCTCTTACACGATTACATGGTATGACACTGAATCATGACCATGGTCCTTGGGGCCTCAGGCAGTAAGAATGTTCCCAAAGCGGGAAGGGGTCGGCGAAATGTGCACCCGGGCGGCGGAGCTTGAAAAACTTCGATTTTTTGTTTTCGCTCTTCCTCTTTCCCCATCTGCAACTGATTTCTTTGGCCTCGAAATGTACCTGACCGAAGAAATCTGGTAGGAATGCTCCATCATTGGAAACAGAATGCGAGCCTTCCAGCCTTCCACTGACGTGTTGAATGTCCAGCAATCGACTTTTGGGTGAGTGTTTCTCGGCTAAATTTTCCCCTTCCACACCATGCACCCCTACATGATGATACCCATAACCATTTCAAACTAGAGTCTTTGACCCTTAAGGGAATGAAACTCATGTTATTGCACGTCAGTCTGAACTGTTGTTCGATTCAAAATTCGATTCACCACACTGCTCCCCAAGCTTAAACAGAGTGCTAATTGTCCTCTTAGAACTTGATTGATATTTCCCATCATTCCTGAAAACAACCCATTCGCCTGCAGCGAACTTGTAAATGGTGAGCAGCTTCTATCTCTTTTTTACCCAAACCCGAATTTCATGATGAACGCAAACTTGAATATACGCTGGAAATTACCGTCTCAGGTCTTCGGACCGCTGATGATGTTCAATGGCTATTGCTGATCTTTCCCATCTCTGCTTCTTTCACTTCGGAACTAGTTGGGAGCATATTGGCTAACGTCGATCGAAGACAGATGGTAAGCTCTTGCTCCAATCACCATGCATCCTCGTCCAAAGATGAAGCGGCACTGGGCTCCGACGTTCGACTAGACATCGTTCGGTCATGACGGATACGCCTTTTTTGCGGCAGGCCTAGAAAACCTCGCCCACTGAGAGACTTGCACAATTTCCATCAACACGTCTGGATCGTTTGGGGCGCGGCTAATCAGCTCGTTCAGGTTTTTTTTTGTGGCTTTGTTCACTCACCACTTCCGTAGATATCACACAGGTATGTTGATTAATTTACTCTTTTGCATCTCGCTTCCCTTCTATGATGATTCCCTAGATGACGAGTCTTATTCGAGTTATCGATGCAGACACAATCTTTTTAATACCATTCATGCTTTCCTGACTTGATTTTTACCCACTATGTGCATTATCGCTCGTTGTACTCGGTTGCTAATTGGCTTTGCAGTAGGAACAGACTCTTCTCATCTGCGCGGCCAGGTCACTGCCGTGTCATGCGAGTAGGTGTATGTCATCTCTCATCCCTCATTGCCCTTACCATGATGATACGACATCCAAAAGACAAGCATATGTCCAAGCCTCTGGCGAAGACGAGATGTGTCGAACTGATTTCTTGCTATCTTCACTTTTGGCCATCATATCCAAGCAAGCTTTGATGCTGATGGATTCTGAATAGGGCCACTGACGGGGCTTTCCAGCCCACTAAACCCGCCCTGGCAGGCCCTCATTGCCTTCCAGGGCATCTGCAGCTCACGGTAGGTCCTTGTTTCTTTCCTTCAGATCTCCCATTCCGCCTTCCCTTTACAATGATGATTTACTTTACATTATCACGACGGTCAACATAAGGATTTTAATTGATGACCACTGCCTGTGACAGGGCAATAAATCTGAACTCTTCATTTACACAAACTTTATTGCCGCTCGCACTGCTTAAACATCATCGCTAACATCGGCTAGCTTACAGGGATACGTTTCAGCCGCTTGGTGTGGCGGCCTTGGCCTACATGCCTCGAGTCGTTAGAATGGTACGATTTTAGTAGTAACTTTGATAGTAGATCAAAAGTCATTAGAGTCATATGATCATCCCTCTTCCAAACCCCTAAGTCAAACTTTAGTCATCCTCAAACCTACATCCATGGATCCACTGTTGATTGCATTCCATTAGAGCCTTGTCCCAATCTCCCAATGAGGATGCACAACGTTCAGGCTATCCTCGCTCTACCCCTGTCCTTTTGTTTGATTTTATTTTTCTCCTTTTCTGTAGAAAAACGACCCCGAATTGGATTTAGCAAAGGGACGGACCAGGGACGCGAAGCGACAAAGTTGCTGATTCGTCGATGACCCTGGACCACCCATGCGGGGTGGATGAGCGACGGGCCTCTCAGGGTCCACGGTAAGCGCTGGACACGGCTTCAAATGTGATGAGAACCTCCAAGCTGCATATTCATTCCCCGCTTCGGCCACCACTTATCCTTCTCCGTCTTGGTGGTTCCTTCAAATCTTCTATGTTTCCAATTTTAGTTTTGCCCCCCTCTAACCCCCCTTCCTGGTGGATAGTGCCACCCACCCGGGTCTGCACTAGTTTTGCCCTATGAAGGACCTCTGACAGACCCCCAATCCTTTTCGTTGGATCCTTCCTTTCCTCTTCCAGGGTTCACGACTCAGACTATGGCCTGTTCTACGTGCTGATGGATGTTGTAGTCCAGGATGAATAGGTGCGGCGGCGATTGAGCCTCATTATCTCTTTTGTTTCTTCCTGCTCCGTCTGGCGCATGCTGATTTCCACCCAGCTGGATGACCTCAAGCCATGCCGACGAACAGCCGATGAATCCCCAATACCCCGGCTGGTCGTCGACCGCAGCCAGCACCAGTAACCAGAACTCGCCAAATCGTCGCGAACATGCAGTGCAGCCGCCTCTACTCACGACTGCGTTGGGTGGGGTTCACTACCAACACGGGACGACTCCCATTTCCTCGACGTCGCTATCCAGTCCGTTTATTCATGGCTCGCCATATGTTTCGTCGCCAGCCAACGTCAGATCTGCCTCTTCAACTTCAATGTCTGGAAGACAGCCTGCCGCATACAGCGTGCCTTATAATCCGCAGGATTGGGGTCCTATGGGCAATCCAGCACAGGCTCAATATCCGTCGGGAAACCAGCTGCGGATCACGCCTCAGTCGAGGCCTCATACAGGTTGGTTTCTTTCATCAGAAAGACACCCGCAGAAGCCCGTGTAATGACGATTAATACGTAGAAGCTTCGTTGTCTCCTCCGCCCCCGCCATACTCCCCCCCCAGCAGTCAAAATCGAGCACCGCAAGACCCGTATGCATTGTCTAATAGTAATAACACCGTACCACAGGCGGGTACACCCCCCACAAGCAATATTCGCGACAATGACTACGATATGAATTCCGGGCGCTCTATGCACCGACGACCAGCATCGATGGTCTATGGGGGTGAGGCATCTCTGCGACACAATTATCCTCCTCCCCCACCGCCACAGGGCCATCAGAATGCTCGGTCTGTCTCTCATGGCCGAGCCGACGTCTATCAAGGAGAACAATACAATGCTCCTGCTCCCCAGCCTCGAACTGTGATATCCCATTTGTCTTATGATAAAGCCATGCCTTCACCAGCTCTGCGAAGCGACGCACCAGGGCCTTCATCGGGACAGCTTGAAATGCCCTTGAGACCACCAGCGTCTCGCAGGGCTGCATCTGCTGGTGCGGTCGTCAGCGCAGGTCCATCAAGACCACCAAGTCAGACACGGAATCAGTCGCCTCATAGTGGCTGGGCCCCAGGCATGCCGCTCCCGCCCCCACCTCCAGGGCCTCCTCCTGCTGCTAGGGCCGTGAGTGTGGATGATTCATCTGAATCTTCCTCTGCGAGGACACCGCAGCCCGCTCCTGAGACAAAGAACTCGCCCGTCGCCATCGACGGGCTCTGGTTTGGGCAGTATCCCGCCAACCCCTGCAGACTGGGTCGATGAAGAGTATATGAATGCTCGTCCTAGTAAAGACAAAGAGCCCTTGCATATAGATACGTCGAAGGCTATCAGAACTCCTGATAAGTCTATGTTTTCGGACTCGAACGAAACGACCCACCAACCTCAAAGAACACCAGGGAGTGGTGGTCTCTTCCGTAGTTCGGCAGTCCGAGATCCAAGTGCGAAGGGTATTCGTGAGCGCCGGATTGAGCGTCGCAACCGACAAAGCCAGACAGCCGAGGACATGAGTGCGGTGTCAAATAGTGGCAATCCTTGGGGTGATGCCTTGGAAAACATCAAGCCGTCGAATCTTGTCTTCCCCGACTCTGAGGTTACACCAAACCACCAAACTCAACCTCTCTCGGCTCGATTCACACCACGCAGTGCTCAGAGTCTTCCTACGGATGGACAACGAACGAGATCAAGATCGCGTGCTAGTTCTGGTGGTCTGTTCTCCAGTAAGTCGTCTTATTCTGTATCCAAGGCAGGAGAGAGCCCTGCGGGCCCTAGCGGACCTTCAATGCTTGCGCATACGCCTCCCTTCTCGCCAAATGGGGAATTATCTTCGAGCTATCCCAAGGACGTACCACAGGCAGTGCCCCCCAAGGCGCTTCCAACGCCTCCTCTGAACTCGGCGAAGGAGAGTCGTCCACGATCCCGCGCAACATCTCGGGGTTCAGACGAACGACCTCTCTCTTATATAGCGCATGTGCCAAAAGAGGGTCTGAACAATGTAGCTCAGCCCCTCTCATCGCGTCAGGCGTCTTCAAAGCAGGGTGGACATAATTCTTTGGAGTCCATGATCAAGCAAGATGCTCAATTCACCGAAGACGCTATCGCGAGACACAAGAAGTATATCGAGGAAGAGTCTGCCGCCTTGAACGAAGCCGACGCTATGAGTATCTTTACTCGATATATTATCACAGAGTCACAGATCCGGCGTGAGAGATACGCAGCACTCTGGGACTCGGGCTCTTTCGATACGAGTGAAGTACGCAGCAAGCTTTTTGAACGCCCGCCTGCGCAGCCGGTGGCTCCGCTTTCAGGAAAGCCAGGGAGACCAGCTCCGACACTGGAAATACCTTCCACCCGGCCTAACAAGGCCGAGACCGCGTGGTGGAATAACTACCAGCCTTGCCTGTCGCCCATTGTCAGTCTCAATACGAGTAACGATGAACAGAGCTCTCGCGGCCGCGCTCCCAGTCGCTGGTGGGAATCCAATCCAAGTAGTGAGGGTGGTGAGAGACGGGTGCAACGTTCTAAACGGGAATCAAAATACATGGGCCTGCAACGTGATGCGATCCAATGGGACCAGGACCGAACTCCATCCAAACTTGACGATACAGGGCTGAACTACACCGGACAACACGAAACTTACGGTCCTGACGAGTACCCGCCTGAAAAAGTTGGCTGGCATGACGATAGCTCCGACTATCCAAGCGCGGGAACTGAGAGGCGAATGGATCAGTTCCCTGGAAGCCCGAAGATGGATATTTCGCGACTGATTACACTGCCACCTCCGTATCCGCGTCACTATCCAGCTGTGAATAACAGCCACCCGGACCTTGTCTCTTATCGCACGACCGTCCGTTCTATCACAGACCTCTCTGAAATAAAATCTACTAGGGAGCGGTATAACTTGGATGTAGAGCGAATGTCGCAGGACCACCAAGCACAGATTCAGGATGCCCGGCGCCACTTCAAATCCAACATTCAAAGCCAGATCCAAGAGGGAAGCCTCACATTTGCAGAGGCTGCCGAGGCCGAGGCCGCGATGATTTACGAAGAGAACAAAGGCGAACGGGATCTGGTCAAGCGTCAGCTTGACACATATCAAGAGACTGTTCTGAAACCGATGCACGCGATCATTGCGGACCGAATCGATAGAGCAACGACTTGCATTCAAGAGCTGAGCAGTAGGCTCTTTGATGATGCGCGCCACGAAACACCAGACCAAACGCAAGAAGAGGGTGATGAGAAACCAGAGCTCTTAGAGAAACTGACGCAGCTCAAATGGCTCTTCGAGGCACGCGAGCAGCTCCACCGAGAAGCATTCGACTTGATCAGTGATCGTGATGAGAAATACAAAGCGGTTGCTTTGCTACCATATCAGCAGGCAAAGAACGAAGACAAGATCCGGGAAACCAAGGCCTTCTTCACGAAGGATGCGTTTGATCGACAGGTACAGCATGAGTCCGAGTCGCTTGGCCGCCTTGAGGATTTCCTAGATGTGATCGAGCAGAATGTTGTTCGAGGCGTCGAAATTCAGCTATCTGCCTTCTGGGACATCGCCCCGTCTCTTCTTGCCTTGGTGCAGCAGGTACCCGACGACCTTCACGGCTTCGAGGTCCAGATCCCCAGTAATGAGTACGAGGAAAACCCAAGCTACCACTCGCACCCACTGCAATACTTGTACTCGCTGCTCTCTCATGCGGAAAAGTCAAGTTACCAGTACATCGAGTCGCAGACAAATCTCCTTTGTCTGCTGCATGAAGTGCGATCCGCTGTGATGCGCGCAGCCCGGAAGCTTACTGAGGCCGAGAGAATCCAACAGGGCGAATTCGAGGATTTTGTTCGGCAAGATATGCAGCTCAGACGTGCTGAGGAGGAAGCATCTCTTACTATAGACCTTAAGGACAAAGTTTCCACGGTTGAAGGCCAATGGACAGAAGCGCTTGGAAGCCAGATCGAAGCGCTTCGAGGCCGTGTCAAGGAGCAACTCATTGTGGAAGATGGATGGGAGGATATTGAGCGACTGGAGGAGGAATGAAGAATACGACTTTAGTGAACTGTGCTTGATTCAATGGCCTGTGACTCTTTGTTGACTTTTATTTTGATTTGAGATATCCCCATTCGTTCGCTGTTGACCGGGCTACTTTTTATTTTTATTTTTATTTTTATTTTTTTCATTGATATATACTTCGCTTCTTCTCGAGGGTCGCGTTGGAAGAATGTCATCTGTGATGTCCCGCAACTCAGCCTGACTCAATAGCAGCCCGTTAGCTACTAGTAGTTTCCATGGTAGTCCCCAGTAAGAGCTTCTTGTGATCAAAGGCGTTAGCGATGTCGCTCCGCGGCCCACTCCAGTCACGTGCTCCTTCTAGAGTCTTCCGTGCCAACTAGTTCAAATCTCGTTTTTTCTTTCCTTCCCTCTTCATCCTCGCAATTGCTCCTTAGTAGTCGCTTGGATTGTTACCTGGAACTGTAAGTTTCCTTTCCCTTTTGGCATTTCCCTGGAAACCCCTTAATCCCCCATTCGTTTCATTGAGAGATGATTCCTCTCCGTGTCTCAGCCTATATGAAGAGAACACAGCTGGCACCAGTCAGAGATGGTATTCTCCCATCACTGCTGATAAGCTTTGCGTCCAGAAATTTACGCTTCTGTGACCTGATTTTTTATGGCTTTTGCGCAATGTTGCTACTTCATTCTGTGCAACCATTGCCTGCATTTCGTCCCACCACTTCCAAAACTTTCTGCGGACGTCGTCGCTAACATGGATTGCTTGCAAAGGACCCTCAGGCTTTGTTGAATCGCCACAGCCAGACCGTCTCTCAACACGGACAAGAGAATTGAAAGACGAGAGCAGACGCGAACTCGCACTCTTTCTTCCAAACACAAAATTCCTCAAATCAGAATTCTTTTCATTACATTTTCAATAAACCACCTTACCCATCATGGTCCTCCACAACCCTAACAATTGGCACTGGGTGAACAAGGATGCTTCTGGCTGGGCCAAGGAGTACCTGTCCAAAAACCTCACCGTTATCAGTGCCGAGGATGGGGGCGTGTCAGCCAAAGTAGACAAAGTCGTGTCGATGGATGGCGACGTAGATGTCAGCCAGCGCAAGGGCAAGGTCATTACCCTGTTCGATGTGAAGCTGTCGCTAGAGTATTCAGGTTTGTAGAAACAATCCACGTGTGAGGGCCCTGGCAGCTGAGACTGTTTCTCCACAGGTAAGACGAAAGACGGTGAGGAAGTCACCGGCTCCATCAACATTCCCGAGGTCGCCCACGACACCGAGGCAGATGAGTTCGTCGTACGTGATATTCCAACCCTTTCCCCTTCTCCCGAAGGGGGTTTTTAGAAAAAGATCTGGCCGATCTAACTCGCTGATCATTTTTAGTTTGAGATCGAGAACCACGGAGACTCTGCTACCAAGCAGCCCGTAAAGGATCTTGTCCGATCTAAGATCACCCCTCAGCTGCGCGCTGCCCTGTCGAAGCTCCCCAATGCCCTCGTCACGGAACATGCCAAGGATCTCCAGCACGCTCCAGGAGTCAACCCTTCCAGCGGCTTCACCCCAGCCCCTGTCCACCCTCAGACTGGCAAGAACCAGGCCGCGCCCGCTGCCACTACTACAACCACAACCTCTGGCAAAGCTCACGTCAACACTACCACAGTGACAGCTTCGGATGAGATGCGCACAACCGCCGAGGAGCTCTTCATTACGTTCACAGACCCCCAGCGCATTGCCGCGTTCACCCGTGGCCCACCGCGCCAATTCGAGGGCGCCAAAGTTGGTGGTAAATTCGCCATCTTTGACGGCAATGTCACTGGCGAGTATGTCTCTCTCGATAAGCCTAAGCAGATTATCCAGAAATGGCGTCTTGCGCAGTGGCCGGCCGACCACTTCAGTACCCAGAAGATCACCTTTGACCAGAATGATGTCGATGGTGTCACCCAGATGCGTGTCGAGTGGTCCGGTGTCCCCGTTGGACAGGAAGATGTGACCAAACAGAACTGGGACAACTACTACGTCCGCAGTATGAAACAGACTTTCGGGTATGTGTCTTTACCTTTCCTTCCCCCTGCGTCCTTTATCCTCTTCTTTTCTACCATAGCTCTTTGGCCAATGCGTGTCCTCCCTTGTCCAGATACAATTCTGCTCTACCGCATTTCCGGAACAGGTTGCTGACGATTTTGCTTGTTCTTCTTGCTATAGGTTTGGCACTATTCTCTAATCTAGAGATCTCAAAAGCCATATAAAGCACAAAACGAGTCTTGTTTTCTGCCCGCGACTGGGCGAGTAATACGATCTGCCGAGATCCAACCCCTCGTCTACATTAACATCCATTCAATTGTGTTTGCATGGCTCCTTTGTTTAGCCCGATCTTCCTCTTCTTTAGGGACGATATGGGAGTTGCAATGATGCCACGATAGAAGAACGTGATGCCCTTAATAACGAAATTCAGATATGTGATTGACGTGAAGACCTAGATTATACACTGATAATAGATAACCCTTTTTTGACTTGGGAAGGGCTGCTGAGGAATTTGAGGCGATCAGGAAAGCTTTTGTAGCGTTTCTACAGCGTAGAGGAAATTCAACCCTCCTACGCCAATTGCTTTGTTCTTCTTATTCTGTCAATGGCTATGAGTGCGATATGATAATCTTGAGATAGTTTCTCCATGCTAAGTCGCTACGTTTCTACTTGTACTACGCTAGCAGACTTCTCTTCTAGAGGGCGATCCAGCCTCGCATTTCCTAGCAATTTGAAGAGAGCCACAACCTGCTCACAATTCTACAAGGAGACCAAAGGGAACTCGAATATTTCCTGAATTGCATCTATTGACCTCTAAGACAGCAAAACCAAGACAAACTAGAATGCTAGATTCCTTTTTTTTCTTTTTGACGTTCGATACAGACACCTTACAGAGTACGCTCGATCATGTCAATACCATACTCCTCTCGCAGCGTCTTGATCAGAGGAGCACAGATATCCATAGTCATCGGAGCAAGAATACCCTTCTTAGAGATAGTACCGTCAAGGACCTGCTTCACGGCAACACCACAGGGCACACCGACAAGCTTGGCCATGGCGGAGTAGCCCTCAGGGTTACCGTATTCGCAGAGAGTCGAGGTGCGGACCTCCTTGGAGCCGTCCTTGTTCTCGATCTCGAACTTGTGCTGCAGCATGACCATATCCCGCTCGCCCTCGGCGTACTGCATCTTCTGCTCGAGGACCGCGCAGAGGGTGTCGAGGGCGTTGCCGCGGGGGATGGTGGCCTCGTCAGAGAAAAGACCGATCCAGCGGAATCCGGCGAGGATGCGGTCGCGCTCCTCGGTGCTGGGGAATCTGGCCTTGGCCTCGACAGCGGCGATCAGGTCCTTCTCGTCGGACGAGGCAGCCCCGAGCAGTTGGCGGGTGGCCTCCTTCCAGGGGATGGAGCTGTTGAAGAAGGGCTTGGCCTCGTCGTTCAAGAAACCGGTGTCGACAAGGGCCTTGATGAACTCGGGAAAGCCCTGGTAGCGGAGGGTGCCGCGAACAAGGTTCTGGACCTCAGGAATGCCGTAGCGCTCGCGGAATCCGGTCTGACATACGCTCGCTGTTAGAGATCTTGTCCTTGTATTTTGGCAGAATCGGTGTGGACACTTACAGAGTCGCGGTTGGGATAACCGACGAAAGCGAAGCCGGGGTAAATGAAGATGGGCTTGGCGGTGGCCATGAGATCGGGACCGTCAATGCTGACGACCTGGCCGTCCTTCAGGATCTTAGCGGCGTTGCGCAGAGCGAGGAGGACGCCACGGCTGGACCAGGAGAACTTGTAACCCAGAGGGTTGTTGGAGGCCTCTGGGGCGGGGAGGCCACCACAGAATGAGATGAAGCCGGTGACCTTGCCGCCGGCGGCGTGGACCTCGGAGATGGTCTTGACAGCCCCTGGGTAGGGTTAGTATATGACTTGCTTTTCGAGACATTTCAGATATTGAATTCTTACAAAGGTGGTCAACACCAGGGTCTATCGAGTTGTTAGCATCGTATCCCCATGCAAAGTCAGAAACTCTCAGACACATACCAACACCAATCTCATTCATGACGGTGATACCAGCCTCCTTGGCGGCAGCATCAAGCTCCTCCATGGCGGGAGATACATAGGAGGTGGTGACAACATGCTTCTTGGCCTTAATAGCAGCCTTGATCACAGTGGCGTGGTAGGTGTAAGGAATGAGCGAGATGACCAGGTCATGTTGCTCTGTGGCCTTGACAAGGGCGGCCTCGTCGTTGACATCGATGGAGATAGCAGTGGTGTTCTGGAAGCCCTCGGCAAGCTTCTTAGCAGAATCGAGGGTACGGCAAGCTGGAGGTCACGACTGTTAGCAGTGCTCAGTACTCCGCCTCGGACGCAATGATGGTGGTAGCTCGTCAAGTTACTTGATCCAACTCCCTGGGCGTATCCGGAATCTTGTGGCCAATTTTCATGAGTGGACCATCAGTTATTGCGGTATACATCCTCTGGAAGATCGAACCAGGGCTTTGATGAGCTACAATTCGTCGCGGTGTCCATCTGTCACCAAGGTGGAGTATATATCGAAGGCATTCTCGGAGCCATTGCGAGGTCGAATTGCCTTACCGACGGTAACGTGGACGCCTGCCTTGGCAAGAACATCGACAGTGGGCTTGGTAACTGCGCCACATTAAGGGATTAGCAACGGTGCATTCATATACATTTTTAGGAGCAATGCGGGGCAGACATGCGATGGAGGAGGGAAATCGCAAAGCCCTAATCAGGGAGCACACCCACCAAAACCAGAGCCCAGAAGGAGAACCTTGGAACCAGCGACTTGACCAACCATTTTGACGTCAATTGGGGTATAGATACTGATGATCAAAGAAGGTGGAGGTCATTCTCTTCTCCGTGTGCGTTGACTCACGTATCACGTGGCCGGTATCGGCGCGGGGGATGACAAAGCCAAAGTGGGTTTAAAGACGTGTAGATGCCCAAATATGCAGTCCAGTCTAGGAGATTAGACGTACTTAATGGATTGATGGAGACATACACTTCGATTGGAACCATTTGGAACCGAAGTATACATCCAGTAATCAAGGAGAAGTCCAAAGAGTGATGCTGATGCAAGCTATAAATATAGATACACACTCAAAATAGTCGAACCAGATTGTTCCAAACTCCACAAACTCCAAACACCGTATAATGCTGGGAATAAGTCACAAGGGATGTAAGGTATAGTCAAATCAAGAGAGAACGGTTAAATGGCTTTCACTTTGCCCTGCCGCACGACGACAGAGTCTGCGTCCTCTTCACTGGACTCGGTGCTGTCGCCAGCAAAGTCGCCCTCGGCATCTGGATTCTGGCGTGACTTGGAAATTCGCCGTTGCCACCCGAGAAGGACAGGCATGAAAGACCATAAATCGAACTCCGGCCACATTACGTTCAAGAAGACCACCTCAGTATTGTCATGGCATTGCCAAAGCATAAAGTCACTCAGGCGTTCCACACCGGATGTTCGAACAAGAATATCAAGAGGTGGGTTTCCTCTGGTCAGCATATGATCTGATAGTGTTTGTGGCGAGATGGTCTCCGGAGACATATAGACAGGGCTTTCACCATTAGGCGTAGTTGTCTGACTAGCGTTCTTGTGTGGGTATCCGTCTTGCTGGCCGATATGGAGAGTCGTCGACGAGGAAAACGAAGAGTCATTCTCGTATACACGGTTGGGAAGATCATTTCGCAAAATCGCATCCTCTCCTGAAGCAGCAGACTCTGCTGATGTTGATTCGGTATCACTGTGGGTATCTTGAAGCTTGGAGCCCAGGGTTTGGGCCCGGATGTTATGCACAATATGGGATTCGGAGAAAGGGGTTCGGGCGGCGGCATTAGTGGAGAGGGCAGGCTGAAGAGGAGTACTATAATCCTCGACGGTATCGCGGATGGCGCTCGTGATTTCGTCGCGGGACGTATAGGGGAAGCAAATGTTGAGGACGCGATCGCCGTTGCGACTTGTGAGATCGACGGCCTTGTTCACCGCCGCCAGTACGTCGGGCTTGAGCAGATCAAGGCGACCAAGCACGCGCACCTTGGCACCATATCGATCCAACAAATCTCCATGCTGGGCCATCTGCGACAGCTTCACCTTGGCCATATCCATCAATGCGTCGACTTCGAACTTGGACCGTTTGAAATTCTCAATACTGAAGGCGTAGATGGTCACGACTTGAACTCCGCTTTTGTAGCAGACCTCTAAGATCTAGGATAAAAGCTAGGTCAGAATAATTATTCATTTCGGGGGGCTGCAGACTCTCAACTACTTGAGAGGATAAACGGGCGGAGGTGTAAAAAAAAACTCACCCTGGCCAAGGCCTCGAACCCCAGATTATGTCCCTCCACAGTTTCAATACCATGCGACCTGGCGAACCGCCGATTCCCGTCCATCACAAATGCTATGTGCCGAGGAATAGGACCCTGGCGAAGAGCGCCGATCAGGAGCTCTTTGAGGGTGGAGATGGCGAATTCGATGGGGGGAGAGGCAAGGAACCATTTCCGTAGTCGGGACAGATGCATAGAGCTGGCCATGGTGAGGGATCACTGCTCTCAGTGCAAATGTTGGGAGGAAGATCGTGTGAGTTAAAGAAAGTTTAGGCGGCCAAGCGAAATTCACGGGACGCGGAGCAACCGGCGACGTGGTCTGTTATGGGCCTGGGTCTTCGTGCATTAGACCCGACCGGGTTTATTTTCTGGCGCTTTGTTGGGGATGTTTAATTCGAAAGTCACGATTCTGTACTTTTTTCTTTTTCCTTCTGGTCCCGTAACGGTCTTCCTGCATGTGGGCGAGGCCCGCAGCTGTTTGCGTGTGGCGACTAGGACAGCGTAGGACCTCCCCGTTATGCCCTTCTAACATGTCGAATCGTAGCATTCTAAGCATAGCTGTTACGGGGAAACAACCATCAAAAATATCCCCAAGACCACGGACACAAGAGCGCCATACCTCCCCATCGTTGAGCATTGGCCGTAATCAAAAGTCTTTGGTACGCAGCCCTGGAGTATAGCCTGATGCTAATCACTCCCGTCAAGTCTATTACCCGAGGGTGAATTCCTTCCTATTGACCAGAGACTACTGTAACTCGATGTCTATCCAGGGTGTGAGGGTCCCAAGTTCCTTTTTGTCTCTGAATAGTCATGGTTCCTCTCACCATTTGCTTCATATCCGACAAATAGCGGGATCCATATACGGAATAGAGCACACCACATCTACTGAATGAGATTATGCGAAGGGGCCAAGAGGGAATACGACCATGAATCCGATTTCACGTGCCTCATGTAAATTAATGAGTAAGAACTAGAAGGTGGAGACGGCTCCATCAAAAGCACAGCGAGATCCAAGACTGCGTCAATCTAAGACGGAAGAGGAAAAAGCCCTGAATGGTCGAGTCAACCGTCGGAGGTCGGCAGTCGGACTTCCGCGCTCTCTGACTCCGTCCAAAGTTCAAATCAGCTTTAGGTCTTGTCTCCTTCATATCTGGGACAGCCTCAGAGCATCCTCAATATGACCGCCCAAAACGTTATACGGCCCTTAGGGAAACTGTAAGCTTTCTACCGTGGATCCAGGTGCTAGTTGCTTACGTCCTGGAATTAGCGAGACATACCACTCCAGCAGATCGCACATGGGTCTATACCCATTTGCTGCACAAAGTTGTCAGTATTCCTCTCCAGCCTCCGCGTCATTGGAGTCGTGCCGGCAGGCAGTCCGAGCAGCATTGAGACAAGTGGTGCTGGAGATCCCGGCACTCCAAGTTGGCATTGGTGCTGCGGACACTAATGAGCCGGTCTTTCTTCGTTTGGAATCGCTTGATTTGTCAAACCATTTAGAATGGAGAGACATATTTGAGACTGGGTCCACGGCGTACGACAGCGCCCTGGTCAATGTCCTCAAGACGGACCACATCAGAGACTGGCAAGATGTCTCTAAGATCCCTCCCTGGAAACTGGTTGTTTTCCAGCGACCTGCCTCGGATGAGGAACCCGGCCTAATATTTGACTTCCTCTTTGAGGCCCACCATTCCATCGCTGATGGACGGAGTCTAACTGTGGTCCATGAACACCTTGCCAAGGCATTGGATGAGCTCTACGTAGATCCAGGCGAGACCCAAGACGTGGTCACTTTGCCATCGGACCCCATTCTCACGCCTTCTCTGGAGAATCTCATGAGCTTCGATATCTCGAAAATGTATTTGTTCAAGACTCTATGGGGAGAGTTTGCCCCGGCCTGGCTCCGTGGACAGCCTGCCGCTCTCCCATGGACTGGTGAACCAGTCACCCTAGAAAAGCGGCCACTTCACACACGTTTGGTCACAATTCCAGCTAAAGCAGTCTCACGGCTCCTTGAGGCCTGCAGAGCACACAGCACGACCATCACGCCGCTTTTGAATGCGCTCATTGCTGCATCTTTGGCGAGACAACTGCCAGAAAATTCCACCCTTGGCGGTTTCCGAGGATTCACCGTGATTGGGCTTCGGCCTTTCGCGGATAAATCCAAGATCCCAGGTACTACGGATCTCAAACAATGTATGGGCGATATGTCAACGGGCGTGGGCCACGACCTGAGCCCCTCGACCATATCCAATCTGCGGACAGTCTGCAAGAACAGCTCCGATCTCGAAGACAGCGAGGCTCTTATCTGGGACTTGACAAAGAGAATGGGAAGCGAAATCAAAGCCCGCCTTGCGGTTCTTCCAAAAGACGACATCACCGGCCTCCTGCAGTGGGTTTCGGATTGGTTCAAGCGAGCCCGCGAGTCGGAGGGCAAACCGCGTGGCGATACATGGGAGCTATCGAACCTGGGGACCATGTCAACGGCCGCGGAAGGTGAATGGAAATTGCGCAGATCCATCTTTTCGCAGTCTTTCAGTGCCTTTGGCCCGGCTATCTCCGTCAATGTTTCTACTGTTACCGCCGGGCCGATGGCCATAAGTGTGATCTCAGCCGATGGCGTTGTCAGCTCTGAGGTGATCGATGAATTGGGCAACGATCTGGAGACTTGGCTGAAAATCTTCCTGCCACAGGCAGATTCGGGATCTCTCCGGCTTAGAGGGACTGCATGGATCTGACAATTCTACGGCTGAAGGCTGTTATGACCCAACCCCGTCTACTTGGCTTTGGGCTCTGAAGCGGTGGTGACGCCACTAATGTTTAATACCTAATCGCAAATATCTGCCTGTCATTGTTAGAATTCCTCATCACAGCCACAGTGACTTCGACGATACGATGAAGCTTCCAGTTGGTAACAGCATATCTAATAACCCCCTTTTCGGCTGGAGGCGCTACATTTGAATTTCACACGTAAAAGAGATGAGTCTACTGTATGCTACTCCAAATATATTCATTTTAGAGTTGTGACAGTAATTCATAGATACATGAAAGTCGTCTTAGCTCGCCCGGAGCTCTTCTTTGTACAAAGATCAGAATCTTAGGAGCCGTAAACACAAAATCAAAGGGGGGTTAAATCACAGGAAAACTCAAGTGAGGGAAAGGAATCAATCGTGAGCGTCTTTCATTAAATGGATCATAGGTCTTTGCGGAACTCCTCACTGTTAGATGGGGTGGTGCGGCCCGAGCTAGCCATATCCCAGCTTCCGTCTTCACTCATGCGCCGACGTCGTTGGCCACGCTCCCTCATAGCATCCCGGATCCGGGAACTGACATCCTCCAAAGGGTCTTTTGCAGAGAGGGGGCTAAGAGGTTTCAATCCATGACGAGAGCCAGGCCGAGGTGCCGCAGAGTTGCTCCGGCTGCGATCGCGACTAGGTGGTCGTGTGGAGAAGAAGCCAATATTGGCCAGATTGTGGAACGACTCGTTGCGTGGCAGGGGCTCCTGGAAAGGTGAGCCCTCCTCTGCTTGTCCCAACTCGGGTGAAGTGGTAGGCTTGGACATTGGTCCCCCCTCAGCTGCAACCTCTTCAGCCTCGCGGAATGGGTCGGACATAATCCGAGCTGCGTCGAAGTCGGGGAACAGCTCAGGGCCCAGAGTATTGATCGCATCATCCACTTGCTCAGCGAGAGCCGCTCGTTTCTCTCGCAACTTGTTCAAGCTGTTGGCGGAGGAGGGGTTCAAGGATAGGACCAGCGGCCGCAAAGATTTGATGATATCCATTCCTACCTCGCCAATCCGGAGAGCAGCGAAGGTGATGGTGGGGAACAGGACCATAGAAGATATCACCACGAGCCATAAGGGGACCCAATCAGGAACGGTTCCCTGGATTCGGTTACGGTAGGTCCAAATGGCGAGCGCAGTGGTGTAAGAGGCATAAACAGCCGGGGCGAGGCAAGGGCAATGAGCAACTTCCAGGTCGCCATGACGTCTCGGCCTTGCAGCTTCACACTGGATGCTGCCAATGCCTCTTTCGACTTTTTGATGGATAGATACTTGGTTGCAATGAAAACGGGTGTGAACAGAACCAGACCGGGCAGCGTTCCAATAGTCAAAAGTGCTAATTTCACCAGACGATATATCAGGGTAGCAACCACTTGGACAATCGAAAATTTGGCATAGGCAACCTGGTGATCCCGGATGCCAAGAATGCGAAGCTGTTTGTTGTAGCTCGCGATCTCCTTTCGGAGGCTAACAATTCGTGGGTCATCCTTGTAATGGGCGTATCCTTTGACGAGTCGACGATTGAGTTCCACAACCATTGGCAAAGGAAGCTTCTTGCCCTTGGTATTGTAAAGGCGACGCGCGGATTGGATAACCTTGGAATATAGGTCAGAAAAGGGGTATCACATACATGAGGAATGCTTTTTACCATAAGTGTTTCATAATCCGGGCTAGTGACGGTGACAGCCACAAGGCTTTGGTAAATGATTTCCAAAAGGGCACCAACTGCCTCACGGCGTTCACCACGCTTGAACTGCTCCACTAACTCCTTCGGAACTTCGAGTGGGTTGCCGAATTCGATCACCGCGCGAGATCGGAACTTGTGTGCGTGAAAGTAATTCATACCTGTGGGCACAATCTTCAAACCACAATCCGGATTATCCGCAAGGGTACCAAGAGCCATAAGAGCCACACCGGCTACCTACAGTTAGCATCTGCAGGCGCTGTTCTGGGAAAGCATCATTGGGGAACACCTACCTTTCAGAGGTAGCAGGGATGGTCGATCATGACTACCACCCTCGGGGAAGATGCCCACGCATCCACCTGCATTCAGTCTGCCAAAGACTGCCTCGTACACGGCGGTTTGGTCAACATGAGGCGCAAACTTGAATTTGCTGCCCTTGAATTCAGGATCTTTGGGTCCATCCCCAGTGAAATTTCCCTTCTCATCGACATCCTTCCTTCCGGTCAACTGAAAAATGGCGTCAGGGTGCTTGAATGGCTTCTTCAACACGAGCTCTTCCGGGCCACGGATCTCTGCAATGGTGGTACTATGCGAGGTCCCATTAATGGTCGGCAGTGCAATTGTTCCTTCCGGCTCAAAGCCTGGGCCTTCAAAGTTCGTTCCCACGCCGCGCAACAGGGTCGGCTCGTTGACAGGATCCGGAAGATAGACCGTGCCACTGCCAGCCTTCAGACTGTCCATCGCTCGAGCCACTGGGAGCGCTCCGATACCTCGTGCCAGCATGCCGATAAACTTGCGACGGAAGGACTTCTCGGCGATAAGCCATGAGATGCGACGGTGGGCCTCGCTACGAATAACGCGCATCAGGATGAGCGAATCGACGAACTAGAGAGACAGCAGTGATTAGCTTCGCGTAAGAGATACCAGCACACGCGACTCACCTGGTTCGCATGAGGGGCAGCAACAATGATGATGGGACCACGGCGAGGGATCTTCCAGGATCCGCGCGGATGCACCTCGCGGAAGAACAGGTCGATCAGCACAGAGAAGGTCCATAGCGTGAGATCGTACAGCCACCCGATTAGGGGTGGGATGTAGGGCTGCTTCTTGCCCATGGTGTTCTAGTTGGAGGTGGGAGGCAAAGTTCCGTTGACATCAAGTGGCTGCACGAGCTTGGACCCGCCTGACGTCGGGAGCTCTTTTCTACCGTTTTTTTTTTTTTGGTTCTTTGATCGCCAGCCCCACCGCGATCAAGCTCAGCGGAAATCGGCCAAGATATCAGGATAATGCGACCAGAAGAAGGATCTCTCAAGCTCTCCGGAAGGGAAGAAGTCTAAACCGGCCTACGCGAACGAAACCGGCATCGAGGGGTTTAGCGCGTTTTGCGCCGGACGCTTCTAGAAACCCGTTGAGTCTTCGCCCCAAGCTTAAGGGACGAGACGTAGGGATGTTTCCCAGCGCTCCGTGCGCGGATCTTCCCCAACATTCTGTGTGTATCTCGTGTTCGCCTTATCCCTTATCAATACCCCTCCGTGGAGTCTTAGGACGGATTGCGGTGCCTGCTTGCACTGCGCCAATGGGCCAATCAGCAACAGAGTCCCAGTGTTGCGAGCTCTTGTAGGATTCTTCAGAGAGCGTGGTTGGAACGCTGAGCTTGATTCATGCCGAGAAACTAAACCTAACACAAATGGAAATTATCTGTACTCCGTATTCTTCATGCGGCTAGACCGTCCCATCTATGGATACCGCCTCTTACCAAGCCAGGCTACCAGAGACTATGACTATTCACGAGCAACAGACTACCATTACGTATGGGAATGCACTGGGAAGTTTTATGATACGTCCAGGAGCTTGCAGACATAAAAAATCATTTCATTCCCCCTTGTGTCGTGGATGCCTGAGGAGATCCATGGAAGGCTACCCCTTGTCCCCGCCTGCCCCGCTCACTTTTCTTCCTCAAACCTCTCAGGCGACGGCGTCCCTGTAGCCTTTCATGCCCCAATAGCTTGTTATCCTCCGTGGACCTCCTTCCCACAGTATCTCTCGGACACGCCCGCCCGTTTCAGTGGTATGGTATCCAGGTACCATAATGTCGATCAAGTACGTCCAGTCCTGGGACTTAGGTCTCAAAATCCATTTTGGCGCGGACATGAGCATGATCCACTGACGGACATTCTAGCTGGGTGATGCTTCATGACCAAAAGGGCTTCGTTCCCCTTTCTAATGAACGTGTGATTTACACCTCGCCGCCACGTACCAGCTTTGCGCTCACCCCGCCCTCGGGCTACAAAGGCCCTGAGAAATTGTCAATCCAGAGCAGCGCCGGCTGCATTTACCTCACGAACCAACGAGTAAGAATACATACCTCTAATCTATGAATGCCAGAGAACCCGCTCACCTATTCGGATTCAGATTGTCTACCTCCCTTCTCAATCACAATCCAGCGATATCCAGTCTTTCTCATCCCCTCTCCTCAACGTTCGCGACTCCCACGTTTCTGCACCTTTCTTCGGTCCTAATGTCTGGACCGCTCTCATACAACCCGTCTCAGGTGGAGGCATTTCGCCGTCCCTTCCAGCTGTCCAGGCTAAGGTAACCTTCAAAGAAGGTGGGGCTTTCGACTTTCACACAAACTTCGAGCGCATCAAAGAGCGACTCGAACAAGCAGTGGAAAATACTGGCGAGGGCGCCCAAGGGCTGCGTAGTGTTGACCTTTCGGCGGTGCATCTGGAAGAGCTACCAGCGTACGAGGGCCCAAGCAATCCTGCTGTGCAAGAGGACTCGAATGACACAATTGCTATTCCTGCGAATAACCAAAGAGCATCCATCTTGGTAGCTGACCCTGTGGAGCCTCCGCCAGGGTACGAGGAAGTCCAACAGCAGAGTGTGGCACAAGTACTGGAGGAACGGTTGCGCCAGGCCAGCTGAGCCGGTGCTCTGCAGCCGGAGAGTCATAGCTTTGATCTTTTTTCCCCCTTCAAATAGTCTGTGCTCCGCGTTTTTTGAGCCCAGGATCTGCATGTATAATATGGCATCTTATTTTGAATTGGCCGCTGAATGTCTCAATGACCGTTAGAGAGATGAGTAATAATGATTGGTGTGCGCTGGCGCTCCCCTTAAATTTCCCCAGATATATGCAATGACGTGCAACTTATAATATATTAATACTGTCTGGCTTTTCCCCGTAAAACAGAGGAACACGACTTCGACCAACCCCAATTATAGCCTATTTAAATCAGAAACCGCAAGTAGATTATGGCGACGCTCTGGCAGACCGACGGGCCAATCACGTGCGGCACAATGTTCAGCGCGGCCGGGGCGTCCCGATTTTCCAGTTCCGAGCTTGGAAAACCGCTTCCTCTCTATCCCAACCCCTACCAACATCTCCCTCCCCCCCACTATCCCCACGACCCTCCGGTCATTGCCAATTGACAGTCGCAATGGGTTTCGCCGACTTTTTCTCCGACGTTATGTCCACCCTAACCTACGCCGAAGCTCAGGCTGAGGCTCCCGCCGAAGCTGAGGCTCCCCAGGAAGAGACCCCCGTCAAGTCCGAGGAGACCGAAGAGTCCACCGACGACTCCGAGTCCGCTGAGGAGACTCCTGCCGAGGATTCTGAGGAGGCTTCCGAAGAGGGAGAGGCCGAAGCCGAGGAGGAAGAAGAGGAAGAAGAGGAGGAAGAGGAAGAGGAGCCCGAGGACATCAAGCCCAAGCTCGAGGAGGGTGAGTGCCTTCCCCGGGGTCGTGTGAGAAGGGAGAGGATACGCAAGGGAAACACGCTTCATTCTGGTATACCAAATCAGCGATTACCTTGCGTATCCTCTCCCTTCTCACACGACCCCCGGGGAAATTCAATGGAAGCCAATCGCATTTAGATCATCTCAATTGCCGCTCTATGCTCTGTGCTTATGACTAACTTTCATTCTACAGAGTGTGCCAACTCCTCCCAGTGCGCTCCCTACAAGCACCACTTCGACGAGTGTATCGAACGCGTCACCCGCCAGGAGGAGGATGAGAGCTACAACGGCCCCAAGGAGGACTGTGTTGAGGAGTGTAAGTTATTGCAGCTACACACAGGCGCAAATTTGCTTCTCAGAATCAATATCGGCCTGCATGCCGTTGTTCCGACTAACATTTCCTTTAGTCTTCCATCTGACTCACTGCGCTACTGCCTGTGCCGCCCCCAAGCTCTGGCGCGAGCTTAAGTAAACAGCTCACTGATACTCAATCTGCTTGATGCTACCTCGAGGACCCGTCAAGTCGATCAAAAATCCTGCCGATCGTGTTGACTCGGCTTTCGAAGCACAGCAGTCTTGTCGAAAATCAGTTCCTGTTTCATTGTTTTATGATGACTGCCACCCTTCCCGTCTGGTAGTTTGCCGTTCATATCTTGGGTTCAGAGCATGGGGTAGGCGAAATGAAGAAAATGACTTCTTTCGGCCTCCCCTGTACGCATATGGTGTTTTCAAGGCAGGGGAATTTGAGGGAAATGATACGAATAATAGATGGTCTTCTCTCTGCCTTGCATGTACAGATAGCTGGTCTTCCGCCTATTCAAATTATGCCTTTGGTTATTATTTTTTTTTCTTTGACAAAAGACGAATCTCACCTGTTATAAGTGAATTTCTTTTGTCTAAGAGCTTCGTTACGCCCGCCACAGGGTAGAATTGACGATCCGACATGGACTCCCTGATTTCTTTTGCTAACATTTGGCGGAGAACCAAGAAAATGTTGATCCTAATGGATTTTGCTAGAGATGGGTGTTCTATGACTGGGACGTGAACGCTACAGCAAACGACGCCATGAAGGTCGAGTAGTTGTAAGAGGAAAAAGTACAGAACCAGGACATTTTTTCTGCTAGTATCTGGCGGAAAAGTCACAAAAGTTGATCCTGGTGGATTTTGCTAGATCTTGGTGTCACTTTCTAGAATTGGTGTAAAGGCTGGTGTAGTATCCAAAAGAGGAATTTGTAAACAAAACCCGGTCGATTAACATGAAATCTGGTGTCATTTTTTCAAAATAGGTGTTGAGTATGCTGTAGGATCTAGGGAAGGAAGTTGGTTAACAAAACCTGGTTGATTAGGTTGGATTCTGGTGTTATTTTCTTCGAGATGGTGTCAGGGCTGAACACGGGATTCAGGTCTTTGTAGATTGGGCCAGCTTGCTTGCTTTGAGCCACTCTTGGGAGATGATGTCTTTACTATGACTTATCTTTGATAAGAAGCACGATGACTTTCTGAGGCTCTGTAGCCACCTGACTTTCCAGAGATTCAACCCCTTCTAGAGAACCGGCAAGAGCCACCTTAGAAGTTTCGCTCGAAGCCATGAGCGCATCAGAAGTTAAAGAGTAGGGTTTGACTCCAAATCATTTTCGGATTCACTCCATCCTGACCCGTTCGATCACAAATCCTGTCAATTTGAGCCTCTTGCAACCCTTATTCGTCTTCACGGTATATTAGAAAAGACACTGACCTCAAGAGCAGCTTCTCGAAGAGACTGAACTGCCGCCAATTTGTCCCAATCCGGGATCAGTGAGGTAGAATTCAACCAGTTGGTATAGCTTGGCGCAGTTACGAAGGTGCAGGTAGCTAATTCTTCGGCTATCAGGGATTGCATGGTGGTAATGCGGAGATATTTTGACGTTATGCTATCTGAAATGGGAATACCTAGGGAGGTCTCTCAGAGCCAATGAGCCCCGAATCAACAAGACATCCGATTGTTAGGTACTTTCAGAGATTTTCCATAAAACCTGTCTGCCGCTGGATGGCCAGGTAATCAAAAAAGCACGCTAGAAAGGATTCGAGAAAATACTACATTCTCAGGCTCCTACGGCACGCATGAAGATCGATCAATCTCAACTAACCTCACACCTCTGATAAAACGGAAATAAGACGCCTACTCAATTTGATCAATTCATAGCTAAGATTTGGTGGTATTTTGAAAAGCCTGAGGAGCAGGCCATCCTGCTCACGCTAGGAACCATGAAAGACACTCTCAACCTGCTCAGTTCGCTTCTGACCCTCGAGGCAACTCTCAAAGCTTTAATACAGGCATAGGCAACAGCACAAAGCTAGAAGTCCGATTCGGAGCGGATGTAAGTTTCAAGACGCGTAATATGCCAGACTTCTTCATCAATGATATAATGTCGTGACGTTAGTACTTACTTAGAGAAATATATACAACCCCAAAAGAAGTCTGTATAACGCCACGAGAAGTCTCTAAAAGAATATCCCACAAAATGAAAGCCAATACTCACGGATTTCACGCGTCGAAAGCTATCTCCCACACAGAAGCCACGGTTCTCTATAATGCGAGAGGTCAAACAAGCCCCCATTGCAAAGGCAAAGGAAGCCATCACCCATCAAAATCGCGACTCGGCACGTTCTGAGCACACAGAATTGTGACCGGTTGGTAGACACCCAAGAATGGAGGATTCGGCATCTAAAGCTGTCGGAAAGGCACCATCTTTTTCTGAAAGGCCTTCATTTTAGCTACCAGTTCTCGAAGTTTACCTGAACAAATTCCAAAGTTCGACGGAAACGATTCTACCGATGGCCTCGGAGGCCATGACCCTTGATTATGGCGATGGTAGTAAAGAAGACTACATGCAGGATGAGGCACGACCGTTTGATCCGGAAAACAACAGCCACAGGCTATGTATTCCGATGCGAGAGATTCATATTGACGATTCTTTCTCCGAGACGGGACGGAGACCCATTGGTTATACTCTGTAGGAGTCTGCGAATAATATGAAACTTCGGTAGATTCCAAATGACATCTACGCTTTATCAGATAAACAAACCATCAGCAGATTCAATCCTGGTAAGGCAAGTAGTCGAGCTCTATCGTAGAAAAAGCCCCTGAACATTTTTCCGAATGGCACTTTAGCTTCGTTCACCACTTGCACCCCGATGCCTAGAGGTCAATCGTCAGCCACGACCATGTGCATGCAGTCTCAAGTTCATATTGAATGTCCGCAACTATCTGGCTGTAGAGGGATACAGATGCCAATGTCGGCGTAGATTATTGCGGCGGGCTCGGCACATTATATACAGTCGTAAAGATACCAGTAGAACAACATACTAAAGACCCTGAGGGACTCATGGCAAAGGGTAAAAGAAGAGTACTATAAGATTTGGGTATCATAAAACCATTCACGACTCAGAGATTTGAGTACCGATCTCATGCGCAGGCTTCACCCCTTGTAAGCTCCCATCAATGCCTGCTGCAGCAAGGATCGCCCACCGTATGGAATCAACGCCAAGTGCTTGGCCAGGGGAAACGAATGTATCCGCACTGCAAGTCAAGATCTCACCAAGAGCTCCAGGGCCCTCTGAAATGCGTGGGTCAGGTTGGATATCTGGCTTTAACTTGTGGAGTAAAGTCTGGAGCCTTTGGATGCCTATAGCCGAGGCGCCTGCCTTGGCTTGTTTCTTACTTTTAGCAAGTACCTTGTCAATTTTCGACAGAATTATTTGGTGGGGGATCGCGAATCTTCGAAAGAGTCTCAGAATTTCTGCGTCGTTTTGTTTGATCCCATGCTCACAATCGATGAGAATGAATGCACGCCGAAGCCTGAATCGCATCAGTCAGAGTTGCCCGCCCTCTAATTTCTTGAAAAATACTAATGGAGTAAAGTAAATCACTTACTGTCTTCGTCCTTGTAGATACTTCATGATCTCCAAACCCCATTCGGCTCGACTGGCCTTACCATACCCTGGCATATCTAGAAGTACCACTTTGGACTCGCCGCCTTTGGTACCTCCAATACCAAATGCGTTCATCTCCCTAGTCCGTCCAGGTTTGGAAGAAGTCCAACACATTTCTTGACCCATTACTGCATTCAATAACGAGCTTTTACCGACATTTGACCGCCCAAGAAACGCTACCTCGGGCTCCGAGGACGACAACGGTGTCGTGCGAAACTTGCTGGCAGACCATAGCTTTATAGGAGAGTGTCTCGAAGGAGTAAATACTTTATTGGCAAAGGCGAGTTGTTCTGCTGTCGGTGGTATGGTATCCCAATGATAGCAGAGATCAGAGGGCGTGAGGTTTTTTAGCTCGCGTTTGTTGGGGTTGAAAGGAGCTGGCGCCGCCAGGGGTGAAGAAAAATCTGCAGAAGCTCGCGTAGTAGAGTATAGGCGCTGTGTAAGTACGAAGACTCTCTGCGCGCTGATCAACCTCTTCATGGTTTCGCCAGTCTTCGTTGAAGACCAAAAATGGTCGCGTCAAATTAATCCGGACGCGCACAGACCATACGGCCTATCGATAAGAAACGATCATCCACGCGAATGACGAACAGCCTCGACGCTCCTCCATTGCGATCGGTCCGCCTTATTAGACGCCACCATGATAAACGCAGTGCTAGTGTTCAACAATACGGGCCAGCCTCGTCTGACCAAATTCTACACGCAGCTGGTGCGCAATCTCCCTACCCCTTCCCGAATGCACTCTGCGGGGCCGAACTAACCCGCCGTTCATCTTCAGGATACGCAAACCCAGCAATCTCTCATTGCTCAAATATATCGGCTTGTGGCGCAGCGTCCTGCTAGTGCCTGTAATTTCCTTCCGCTTCCTCCTCTTCTTTCACAGGGCGCCAGTTCCAGCGCCAGCGGCCCATCTGATGCTCCAACCCAAATTACGTACCGCACCTACGCTACTCTATCTTTCATAATGATCTCCACATCGATGGAGTCGCCATTGGCTCTTATCGATTTGATCCAAGTTTTTGTGGAGGCGCTAGACCGTTTGTTCGAGAACGTCTGCGAACTGGATCTTATCTTTGGATACGAATCCATGCATGCAGTGCTGAGCGAGATGATCGTCGGCGGAGTCGTGGTGGAGACGAATATCGACAAGATTGTCGCTGGTGTGCGCAGCCAAGAAGGTTCTTCGGGCAAAAGGAAAGCCATACAAGCTGGCAGTGCTGGCTTAGGAAGAGGATCCATCCCAACATTAGGAGCATGGCGGTAACCGCGGTGGGAAGGTTCCTTAAGCCGCCCTTCATGGCCTTTGATACCCCATCATAATTCCAATTTAATTTCGACCGAGCGTTATGATAGAAGAAACTAGCGGGATTCTGTGCCTTGCAACTTTCGTATGCTTGATACATCATGGACGTTCTCACTGCGTTCGGATTCTCGGGCCAGCAGGAATAATTGTATTCAGAACGGCGAAAGGAAAACCATAAAGAGAAACCGCCAATTCCAATCCGACATAAAAAGGGTTCTCTCTTCTTCTGATATTCTCTCTTTTCTCATGTCAGGGTCTCCATGCATGCTCCGTCTATATCACGTGACACTAGAAATTTGGCATCACGTGTAGTACAATACCCTAACCCTGGTCACATGCTCTACTAGCGCGACCCACGAGAATTTCATTAAGCTCACACCGAACTTTTCGAACTTTCTCTCTTCGTCAATCGTCAACTCGCGCAACGATCCCCGTCGACAACATGGTGGTAAGCACTTGATAGCCTCTTCAACAGGCGTCGCATGCTGCAGCGATGCCAAAGACAACTCTGTCTAGCTTCAGATCCTCGTGATCGAAGTCATTCCGTCAATTGCCCGACAGTCTCGGAAGAGATGTTGAAGCAATCGATGATGATCTGGCTTGAGGCATGATCCAGAGCCCGTGACACGGCTCTAGATCATGTTCTCTCTAGAGTTCAAAGAAGATGCAGCCTGTGGTGGAATAGTTTGCTGATCTTCTTTTCTCAATGATAGCCTCCCAAGACCGGAAAGAAGACTGCCGCTCTGCCCTACCCCCAGGGCAAGGCTGGCTCGTCCAAGAAGGCCGCTAAGGTTCGTTTCTTTCCACCCTGGGAGCCCGAGAAAAAGAAGATGTGAAGGTAGAACTAACCGTGTATGAACCTCCCCGCAGAACCCTCTCATCGAGAAGCGTTCCCGCAACTTCGGTATCGGCCAGGACATCCAGCCCAAGCGCAACCTGTCCCGCTTCGTCAAGTGGCCCGAGTACGTTCGCCTGCAGCGCCAGAAGAAGATCCTGAACCTCCGCCTGAAGGTTCCTCCTTCGATCGCTCAGTTCCAGAACACCCTGGACCGCAACACTGCTGCCCAGACCTTCAAGCTCCTCTCCAAGTACCGCCCCGAGACCAAGGCCGAGAAGAAGGAGCGTCTCGTCCAGGAGGCCACTGCCGTCTCCGAGGGCAAGAAGAAGGAGGATGTCAGCAAGAAGCCCTACCACGTCAAGTACGGTCTCAACCACGTCGTCGGTCTGGTCGAGAACAAGAAGGCTTCCCTCGTCCTGATCGCTCACGACGTTGACCCCATTGAGCTGGTTGTCTTCCTTCCCGCTCTCTGCCGCAAGATGGGTGTCCCTTACGCCATTGTCAAGGGCAAGGCTCGTCTCGGCACAGTCGTCCACAAGAAGACCTCCGCCGTCCTGGCTCTGACCGAGGTCCGCTCTGAGGACAAGGCCGAGTTCTCCAAGCTCCTCTCTGCCATCAAGGAGGGCTACACTGACAAGAACGAGGAGTCCCGCCGTCACTGGGGTGGTGGTATCATGGGCCAGAAGGCCAATGACCGCACCGAGAAGAAGCGCAAGGCTATTGAGAACGCCATCAAGGTCTAAGTTCACTCTCCGTGAATTTGGTTCTTCTTATGACGGGATCGCCATAATTTCAAAAGCGCTTCTTACAAAAAGTTTGGATGGGAATTCAAAAGGTGTTCAAGCTCCGGTTAACTTGTTGACGGCCAATTCTTTGTTTAGCTGTAGATGGAGAGAAGGAGCGACGAGCCCTTTCACCTCCCGTTCTAACAAAGAAAAGAATTTCACTGCTCACGAACTTTTCGACGGCCTTATGTACCACTTTCTGCAGATACCCATGAATGATATTTCTCTCCCTGTTCACTCTTATGAGAGCAATCTCTCACATCTTCAAGAGATCATTCATGTCTGCTAAGTATGTAGGAAACGAAAATCCCACATTGTGGGACTAGGGATGGTAGCGCGTATTTAAGCAGAGGACTTGATTCGGAGTAGAAAGGACGCACTTTGCCGTGCGAGCGCATCCTGCGGCTCTTCCATTTGCTGGTCTGCTGTTCTGCACACGGCCCCCACAGGGGACCTCTTGGTAGCGGTCATTTCGAGTCTTGCGTAGAGACTTGAGACTGGCGTAGCTTGACCCTGGGGCCAATGAGCTACAGATTGCTTCTATTTCAATCCAAAGCAGCAACTAAACTTTGGAGGGCGCTCCAGCCAACGGGACCTTACTGTCGTCAGAATATGTTGCGTACCCATGACAACTCCTCTGGAACATCAATACTGAGTGTAGAAGCTAGCCATTAGGCTAATGAAAGGATTTGCTTCCGAAGAATTCAAACTATGTATTGGGTGTTGTACAGTTCGAAATAACCAAGCATTGAGAGCAATAGAACCACGTCCCCAGAAGAGAAACCATGAAGACTGGTTCGGGAAAATATCGAAAGGAAACGCAAGGGCAATATTACAGGGAAATACAAAGTGTGCACCAGGAAGAGCATGGAAGGGAAAAGCACCGAAGCCAAGCACCCGAACCCCAGCCCAGCGCTCCCAGAAGACCAGAGATGCCCATCCCAAGACCAAGAATCGTTGATAGCATCATGAAGAAAACCCATTCTAAAGCACACTTCGGAAGGGGGGGAAAAGGGGGTATAATAGTGGCAAAGGTGATTCATTAGCGGTGAGTAGGAGGTCGTGAAATTCCTTGTCTTGCCTATTCCATCGTGAGTACATAGTCTGCTCGCAGGTTGCTGAGGGAACATACCTTCATTTGCTCAATCCTAGCCTTCAGTTGGCTTGTGACTTCAGCAGCTCGCTTCCAGTTCTCCGCCGGCTCCGCAGACCGCGGTTGCTCGTCATCTGTGGGGTTAAGAGAGCCCCGAGATGATCGGGTTGGGCTGGCAATGCCGGACAAGCCGTAGGTTGGACTCAGTTTACGACGGCCAAGGCCCCCTTCCCGGCTACCAAGACCTGGGGAGTCGAGTCCATTGTTTTCCTTCTCTTCGCTGGGACTAGCGGAGGCGTAGCTCCGAGGACGACCACCTTCAAACCTGGCTCCCATATGGAGGCCAGAACGCGCCGCAGCAGATTGACCGTTGCCGACAGGTTCTTGATATATCGAAGTGGACTCCGCCATGCCAATGCTACCAGTGTCAGACAACGTGGCAGAGGGACTCATAGCAGTCGCACGGAGAGCTCGAGCCAGTTCCCGCTTCAAGCGCTCAATCTCGCGTTGTTGCTTCTGGACATTGGCCTCGGCGGCCTCCGCATCACTGCGAGCTCGCACGAGTTGGGTCTCTTTGGCCTTAATACTCAGAACGTCTCGAGTGTGGTCTTCGATGAGTTGCGCATTTTGGTTTTGCAGTTCTGTAAGCTGAGAATTGAATTTGGCTCGTTCAGACTTCATGTCCTCGATGACGCGAGTGAACTTCTCTTTCTCTGCGCGGAGTTCCTCTAGCTCGGCACGCTCTGCAGCTGAGATGGCATTAAAGGCGGGTGCAGCGGGTGCGGGCGCGGGCTCAGCAGGGGCTGAAGGCTTCGCGATAGGCCGACCTGCAAGGCCGCGGCCAAGGCCAAATTTTGGTGCTGCAGGAGGGGGGATCCGCTTCTTCGGCTGGAGGCTCAGCAACTCGCCTTTGGGGTGAAGCCAAGCCTCCTGGGCCCCCGAGCTTGCTACGCAGCTTCGACCCGGGCGGGGCAATGCCGCCGGCCTTGGGAGCACCGAGCTTCGAGGGAATGGCCCTGGGCGCAGGCTTAGACGGGGAGTCTTCAGGAGGTGGTGCAGGAGCCGCTGCCGGGGTTGATTTCTTGAGTCCCATCGGTGGCTTTTTACCAGGAACGGCTTTCTTAGCGGCCGGCGCAGGCTTGGGAGGCGCAACAATCGGCTTTGGCCGGTCCTTGGCCTTGACCTCAGCAGTCTCATAATATTCCTTGATCTTGGTTTTTCGAATCTCATCGAGTCCATCCAGATAGGGGTTCATGGCTCTTTCCCCCAGAATCTTCATCAGCGTACCTAGAATCTCCGCACCACCTGATCGGACGGTCTCTGTAGATTCTGTCAACAGTTTTGTTCCAGCATCAGCAACTGATTTGATCTCTGGCTTGGCTGGGACAGTCCTAGTGGTGCGCAGGCAGCGAATAAGAAACTTGAGGGTCTCCTGCTTCACTTGCGGATTCTTGTGCTTGAGATGTTCGAGAATATCTTCGAGGCAGTCAGAGAGGTTTGTAGCCAGGAAGACCGCATCCAGTGCTTGCCCGAGAGCGTCGGCCACTGACTGCTTCTTCTCCTTCAACCGCTCCAGCATGGGCACCATAATGACCGTTCTATATTTCATGAAGCCATCGCGCAGGCCCCTAGCTAGCAACTCCACACAATTGGCGGCAACTGTCACGACACCGATATTGGCATCTTTCATGCTCTTAGCCAAATCCCTCATAATTTCATCGAAAGGGCCGTCTTTGATCCGAGGGACATTAATCGCATTATAGAGAGCATCTAGAGCCTCTTTGCGATCTTTCCACTTCGATGAGGCGATCTGTTCGTGGGTATTCTTTGGGATCTTCGGCATGACGTCGATGGGTTCTGCAAGATCGAGTTCCTCCTCTTCTTCTTCACCGAAGTCTTCACCACCATCCTCCTCTGCTCCACCCTCAGCCGGGCCGGCAGCACTAGCCGTAGCCATCGCATCTTGCTGGGCACGAGTAAGACGTTCTTGTTTAGGAGTAGGCTCTGATTTTACACTCTCGAAGAGTTTCTCCAGGTCTTGCTGCTGCACGGGTTTCAAATCGGCCCAAAAGAGAGGCTTGATCGCGTCGCGAAGCCAGCGGTATAGTTCAACTGTGAGGGTTTGGGCTTCAGCACGCACGTTTTTGTCGGCATGTCCAAAAACCTTTGGGAGGGCCTTCAAAGTGGGCTTGGGGTCCACAATCTTGCATCCGAAGTTATGATAGAGGACCGTCAATGCTGCTAAGGTTCCCGCAATCACTTTAGGTACTTTGTGAGATAGTGTGGGTAAAAGATCTTCGAGCACTGGGTCGGCTTTATCTAGTTCGATGCATAGCAATAAGGCCTCTTGGGCACTGGCTTTACCCGCCGGTCTGGCACACGGCAGTCCCTTCTCCGCAATCGGGCCGATCGTGAGGTTTCGAGTCCTAAAGCCAAGAAAGTCAGTGCCACCATCACCAGCCTGGGTCGTGGATGATCGGAAGTCGGATCTTACCTTGAACATGCCTGCGCCCCTCCGAACTTCAGAAATGAGCAGTATGAGCTCAAGCCTTCTACCTGCGCGGCGACATTCGAATCTGCGACAGCCCCTTTCCACAGACTGGGGTCTTGTAAGAATGGCGTGAACACAGGGTCTGATTCATCAGGGCTCTTCTCGAATTGTGCCTTTGCATCTTCGTAGCCTTCTTTTCGTACTTTCCAGTTCTATATTCGCGGGAGGCTTTTAGTGAATTTCGGGGAGGGGTTGCTTGCTGGGATGCTTGTCGCGGGGGAGACCATGAAACGGACAAAGAGCGCACCTTGTGTGAAAACCGGTCGGGTAACGGTAGCGAAGAGAAGTCCTGTTCCTCGGCCATGGCTAGGGGAGTTCGATATGGTCAAAATTACGGTGAAACGAGGTCGTAAATCTTTCAAATCGAGGCGGTTAGCGACAGTTGCACAGAGGATCCAGCGAATGCGACGGCCGGACTCAACAATCGACCAAATGCGCAAGAACGGAGTGCCTCGAGGCCTGAGAAATCTTCCTCCGGGCTTACCGATGGTGGATTGGTTTCTTTGGTGCCCAAAGCAACGGGTGTAGTTTGTCGTCTCCGTCCGCACCAGGTCGAAAAAAGGGAGGCCTGGTATAAGCTAAAGGTAAATTGAAAACAAGAACCGTTTCAAAGGAGGGATCCAGTACGGGGAGGTACTTGGAGGGGTTGGGGGGGAAGAAGACGGAGCAGTAAACAGCAGGACCGGGAAGTAAACAAGTAGGCTTGGCGCATTTTGTTTTGAGGTGGAAACCCCGCGGTGGACGGGGGCAAATCGATCAGCGCCAACTTTGGGATCTTGCGATCTGCAACCTCCTCGCTCTTGATCTTCTTCTTCTTCTTCTTTATACTGTTCCTGTCCATTCTTGGGGCTAATTCCTCCAGGGCCTGGTCTTCTGTTCGCACCAACCCTCCGGCTGCGGAGGTAGACAACCCATTGCCTGGGATACACACAAGTCCGCCGGCAGCATGAGCCAACTCCTCACGGCGCGGCAGGCGGAGGAGCTGTATGTATCTCTTGGTGATCTCTTCTGGCGTCAGCTAATCACTTTCCCACCGCAGACACAAGTCAATTATCGCCTATTTCGCTTCGGTGAACTTGCCTCAGAGCTCCGCAGCACTACGAGAAGAGCTTGGCGACTCGGTCACGCTCGACGACTCTACGCTGAAGAAATATGAAGGGCTGTTAGAGAAGAAATGGACCAGCGTGGTTCGATTACAAAAAAAGGTGGGGAAAGCAATGCTGGGCCAAGGTCATACTGTCCAGTTTGAGTTCCCAAGGGGCTGATTAGCTGGAATTATAATTATAGATCATGGACCTGGAATCACGATGCGCCGCCCTCCAGACAGAACTAGATACCGCGACCCCCACGTCATTGTCTCAGAAGAATAAGGATCCCGCCTCTTGGCTGCCGCGAGCGCCTGCTCGCCACGATCTCGAGTCGCACCGTGAACCCGTGACCTGTGTCGCCTTCCATCCCATTTTCTCCTCCCTCGCGTCCGGTTCAGAAGATACCACCATCAAGATCTGGGATTGGGAACTCGGCGAGCTCGAACGTACTGTCAAAGGCCACACGAGAGCTGTCTTGGATGTGGATTACGGTGGCCCGCGAGGAGGAACTCTCCTTGCTTCGTGTTCATCTGATTTGTCGATCAAGCTATGGGACCCGGCTGATGAGTATAAGAATATTCGAACTCTGCCGGGCCACGACCACAGTGTGTCCGCGGTCCGCTTTGTTCCATCAGGAGCTGCTGGATCTCCCATGTCCGGGAACCTGTTAGTATCTGCATCCCGCGATAAGACGCTCAAGATATGGGATGTGACAACGGGATACTGCGTCAAAACACTGGACGGGCACTCTGCATGGGTACGAGATGTCGTGCCGTCTCCAGACGGTCGGTTCCTCTTCTCCGCAGGCGATGATCAAGTTCCACGCCTATGGGAGATCTCGTCGGGGGAAACTAGGGCAACATTCTTGGGCCATGAACACTACATCGAGTGTGTAGCCTTTGCCCCTGCGACAAGCTATCCACATCTTGCGCCTCTTGCTGGACAAAAGAAGCCGCCACCGGCATCGTCAGCCGCCGAGTTCGTAGCCTCCGGCGGGCGTGACAAAACCGTGCGCCTCTGGGACGCACGAGGCAACTTGCTCAAGACCCTGGTCGGCCACGACAATTGGGTTCGAGGACTGGCTTTCCATCCCGGTGGAAAGTACCTCCTTTCCGTCTCAGATGATAAAACAATTCGATGCTGGGATCTGACTCAAGAGTGCAAATGTGTTCGCACGATCGAGGCCCACGGACACTTCGTTAGTGCCATTCGCTGGGCTCCTCCGTTGATCAAGGAGAGTGCTCCTAACGGTGAGGCTGGAGCAAATGGCAGCGCAGAGGGTGGACCAAACGGAGTTAAAAACGATCCCAAGGCAGCGACGAAACTTTCTATCCGCTGCGTCCTAGCAACCGGTAGTGTGGACCTCAAAGTGAAGGTTTTCGCATCATGAGGTCCGAATGCTGTGCAGATTATGTTGATAGAGTTGGTGTTCTATTTGACTGTTGAGGCTTCTTGGCCTATCCCCAAAATTTTCCAAGGTCCTCAAGGCTCAAGTCTATATGAAAATCGGCTGAACTCCGTGTGCATACATGTCCACAGGTTGGTTTCAGATTCGGTGTGAGCCTTTTTTGTCTTTTCAGGGTAAAGGAGTTAGTTTCTCTTTCCATGATACCAGTGACTTTCTTCCATTTACTAGTGATGCAGGGGTTGGGAGCGCCCTCGTCGATCGAAGATGATTCTTCCCATGCTGTGTACGCTGTTTGATACCGTGAGGCATTCGGACTGGGTTGACGGGCTCGTCCCGTAAATAGTTCTTTTTAACGCCGCAACGTTTCCATTTTGCTGGTCATGACATCCATTAACTACATAGATAAATAATGTCATCTGGTTTGCAAGTGCAACTATCGTGACTCGAGAAAAGAGGCTCGGTATGAAAGCTGTATATTGTAGTGTATAGTACAAAGATGTGACATGGCATGCAGGGGTGGGTTGGGAATATTAGAACAGTTCACAAGTGAATGGCAAAGCCAAGGCGGTTAGACAATGCTAATCAATTTTGCACAGCCACCTCGTCCTCGGTCCTCTTCCCTGCCTTTTTGGTCTCCTGCTGGGACGTTTCAGCCTCTGCTTGCAGTGTTTCTATTTCCTCCTGGGCAGTTTCGAGCAACCTCTCCGAGACCAATTTCTTCACCTTGCCTACTCGCTCGTTGCCACGGTGGATGAGATGAATCAACTGAGCGTTGGAGAGCTCCCGCGCCTCCGCTCCGATCAAGGGCTCAGCGATAGCTGCCAGGTCCACCTGCTCACCCAGCCGCCTGGACTCGCGGCGAATATACTTCTCAGCCCAGCGGCGCTCACGCTCGCGCTCACGCTCCTCGCGAGATAGGACAGGGGGGCGCTCTTCGATAGGGACGGCGAACGGCGTAATAATGCGCTCGACCACGTGGTGGACGTGCCGGCTCTTGGGGGCGCCAGAGGAGAACTCAATTACATCGCCCTCGCGCAGCGAGTTCTGGGGATCGGACACCAGGTAACTGACGTCTTTGGGGTAATATTTGTGGACTCGCTTGTCCCAGACACGAGTGCGGAGCGTGACCCTGGCGGTGCGGTCCATGCGGCCGACGGATTCGACGGTACCGGTTTTCAGGGCGTAAGGGTAGTTGTGGAGAAGGGAAGGCTGTTTGAGGTCATTGTGGCTGATCGTGTTTGATGATTGCGGAGCAGACGGTGAGGATTCCGGAAAGGACTGGGTAGCTGAGGCCGAGACTGATCGACTTGTTATGGGTGTTGAGAGGCTAGGAGTGATTCTTGACCGCGTGATAACGACGGGAGACGAGATGGTCCGGATGGGCGCTACAACCCGGAGAAGGTGTCTTGGGGCCATGATTGTTAATGAAGTCGGTGTGGCCACTCCAAAGCGCACCGAGAGCAGGAAAATTGGGGGACAGGCGAAGATCGAAGATGGTCGTGCTGCGGATTTGCGGAGTTGATTTTCTCAGATTTCTCGGTGCGAGTTTGCACTGTTTGCACCCAAGCCAAACTACAACGAAACCACCAGCAGCGCCTGAATCGGCTTTACATTCAAGCACCACCTTGTAAAGCCGAGCCAGGCGCTGCTGGAAGAGGCAGAGTGGGATCGGGTGTTTGAGGACATCACCTTTGATCTTCTCGACACCAGCTCGGAGGGAACTTTGCCTTGTTGCGAGGTGTCTTGGAAGGCCAAGAAGAGAATCTCGCGCTGCTTTTGACAACCAGCTACTACTTACTGTGGACCACCTAGTTCCCAGTTCTGCACTAACCTTGGAATAGGCATCTATGCTCAGGTCAGTCCGTCAGAATATGGAAAGCAATGAGCGATGATGCAAATGACGTCCCTCAGCAAGGGAACCCAGGCCTTCACCTTGTGCATATCCAGGGTCTATCAATAGTTTCACGTGCCAGGATTACAAAGATGAAGATGCGGCAAAGCCACTACTATTGCTGTGAACACCGAAGCAGCCGAACTGTGAATTTGGTGTAAGTACGCAAGTGGGAAGACATTGCTTGCCCGGATCGCCACGCTCAAGTCGAGTGACCTCGGAAAAACAATCCACGGTAAGTCACATGTAGTCTGATTTCATGAGCATAGCAATAGTACTAAGATAATGCTACAATTAATATTATATGATTGATAATACCTGTTCCAATTCGAAACGCAATTGCTATAAAGCAGAGCTTTCTTTAGTTCGATTCGCGCGAATCACCCGAGGCTCTCGAACACTACCCAGGGACCAGCAATTTATGACCATGTCTTCAAAACGGGATCTCATCTTCATCCATTACAATTAAACCAGAGAATATCTGACGCCAGAGAGCTGCAAAAACAAAAGACCTCATTAGTTTTCCTCCTAAGCCAGAACTAGTATAGCCATTCCCTGCGGAGGCCAGCAAATGCGAACAGCCTCAGTATCCAACCGGAAGTCTGTTCTTTAGACCATTTCCTTCTGATTATGATCAGCCTCTGGTAAAGCTGCGCTCTTTTCTCCTATATCTAACTCCACAGCCGTCATATTACCATCCAACTCGTGTACAGGGGCCTCCATCTCAACTGCTGTCTCTGCAACTGGCACTGGTAGCTCAACCTTCTTTCGGAAAAGGGAGCGGAATGACGGGCGGTGCTCGACAGTGGATGGAGCTTCGTGGATGGGAAAGGAGTCTGCCTGCGCAATGGCTTGTTGGCGCTCAGGTTCAGCTTTGGTTTCGGCTTGTGCGCGACGGCGCTTCTTTCTCCGCCAGAAGAAGAGGACTCCAGCAACCAAAAGCGCAACCCCAGCAATGGAACCAATGACGGCTCCAGCTATTCCACCTCCACTCAATTGATGGTCATCCTTTCTATGTTGGTTGAAAAAAGAGCCGATGTCCGGGCTGCCGAAGCCATCGGTAGGCGCACTCATCGTGGCGTTGCCTTGCGAACTAACACGAGATTAAAGTTGACCGTTAGCAGATCACATCGAAGATCTGAGACTTTTTGCTTTTGAACTCACTTGCCACCGATAACACTGTAGATCGCCTCTGGAACTTGGTATCTCGCCGGAGTTCGCGTTGAAGACGCTTCCCCAGCCCGAGCCGCGTGGTTTGTTCATATCTAACAGCGCGACTCCCTTGTTCTCCCAATCGTACCATGCCGTAAGGTTCTCTGAGCTTGCGCCACCAATAGTCACCATTTTGAGACCGGCCAACCAGATGGCACAAATGACTGTATCTGGGCGAATTGCCGTCGGTGATTCCGACCCACTCGAAGGCCGGGACGCTCAGGACGTATACATCGTCGCATAGTGCCCTTCCCCCTTGCCTCTCCCGCTGTACAGATAAAACATTATGACTGGAATTATCTGGTGCAGACACCACAACCACGCGAAAGGCGGTTCGCAGGTTCGCAGGTTCGCAGTTTTGCAGGTTCGCGGGTCTCGCAATCGTTCCTGTAGTCGCTTGTGGATACCAGGTGCCGGTCGCATTCTTGAAATCGATCGACGCGATATTGAGAATGTCGACACCGTCAAAGGAGATCTGTATGTCTCGTGCTCATTAGCGTCCTTGTTGCTTTTAATTGCTTCTGTGGCTCAAAATAATCCCGCTCACATTCTTCTTCATGGGAAAGAGCCCTAGTTATTGCTCGGCAATCTGGTCACCCCGCCCCTCGCCATGACTATGCCTTCTGAGCTGCTGAACATGTCTGCTTTCCAGTCCCATGAAGCATCCCTCGCGATTGAGGTGAAAGAGAGGACTAAGACGGGGTTTAGCCGGCATAAGAATACCTGCTGCGGTAGGTTTGAGTATAAGGAAAACCCGTTGATTATTATATTATTATACCTTTTCCCTTCGAAGTTGTGAAGACTCCTGCAGACCCCCGCATCCTGGTCAGCCTGGGCGATCGTTTTCTGGTAAGGTCAGAATACTTCCTGAACCACTAATGCAGCATGGAGTGTCCCAGCTCACAGGTTGCATGGAATATTGGTCCAGACACATGCAGGAACTCCCCGAATGCCTCGTCCAGGAGTTCTCGCCATCGATGGAGCTGGAATTGGACTTGGATTTCATGTGATCGAGACTTTCGAAGCTTGCCTGCTCGGTCTCGCGACTCCACACATCATCAGGTTAGCCTCGAGGTAATCGGGGGCTCGGGGCCGATCTCGTGCTGATCGAGATGCTGCTGATCTCCTCAAAACGAGCTATGAGCTTCTCTGGCCCACGATTGGCTCTGATGGATATCGCAAAAGTAAGTCGGCTCACTTGGGGTTTCCAGGCCCTCTCGTTAGCCGACTGATAACTTCCCAATGGCGCTGTGGTTGGCTTGTGAGGCTATCCTGACGTCGGCGTTCGCCCAATCTAATGGCCTCAATAGCCAACCCGGGGCGTGGCGGGGGTGCCCGAAGGCAGTTGCTTAATTGGAAGGTTTGGAGTCTATTTCCTAAGCTTATTTTCCAAAATGAAAAGTGATCCTGGTCCACAAGCATAGGTTGGAACCGTACTATGAAGGCTACACAGCAGACGCTGCTACTCCACGTTGGCGCTAATGCTGCTGCCCTCAGGTGTGATCCATACTATATAACCACCGTATCCAGAGGCCACCGCCAGGTATAAAATTACTCTGAAGGGGGTTATATGGGGATTGTGGACAGTTTCCATTTCAAAAAGATTACTTAGGTATTCTTCTACTCAGCCTGTATGATAAAAGCCCCATGGCATCGAAAGGGAAAAAAAAAGAAACAGAAAAAGCAAACTATTTCGCCAATATCCATGTCATGAGCGCATCTAAAATTTCGTTTATCGGCCGTCCCCCGGCGTACGATCTGATTCGTGATGAAAGTCCCTACGCATTGGCTGCGGACTGCTCCGTGCTTGCCTCAGTGCTTGCCTCTCCATCCTTATCGCCATCCACCACAAGCTTCTTCGACTGGAATTTCTCTGCCGATCGAGCAGATATCCGGGTCAATTCGGTCACGAAAGACTGACCCCAGAATGCACTGAATGAGGCAGTTTCATTAGTCATCAACATACAATCACCATGATGTGGAACGGGGAGGGGGAGGGGGACCGAGCATACCTGGTGTACTTCGAGACGTATTTGTCAAGCTTCCCGAAGTTCAAAGCGCGCTGCTCGTCGCTCATGGTGACCGCCTCTTGATAGGCACCGGCCAGCTCCTCTGTATTCCATGGGTTGACAATAATGCTGCCATTCAAGCTCTGGGCTGCGCCGGCAAACTCAGATAGAACCAACGAGCCATGTCGCTTGTGCTGCGTGGCAATGTACTCGTATGCGACCAAGTTCATACCATCGCGCGTGGAGGATACGATACAGGCATCAGATACCGCATACAACGCGATGAGTTCATCGAAGTTGACAGATTTGTGAAGGAAATGAATGGGCATGAACTCAACAGTGCCTAGCCAGCGTCTGTTAGTCGAACGGTTTGAACCAACCTGGCAGCGGGGGAGAACGTACCAAACTTGCCGTTGATGCGACCGACCAACTCGTTGACTACCGCGCGTAAATTTTGGTACTCCTCGACATCCTGTCGGCTGGGAACTGCAACCTGCACCAGGACCACTTTGCCTACCCACTCAGGGTGGTCGCTGAGGAAAACCTCGAGCGCGTGAAGCTTTTGAGGCACGCCCTTGATGTAGTCCAGGCGGTCCACGCCCACCATGAGCTTTACGCCCTGGAATTTTTGCTCCAGCATGGCGATGCGCTTTTGAACCTTCTCTTTCTTCAGACCCTCTCTGAACTTCTCGGGATCAATGCCGATGGGGAACGCTCCGCAGGTGATGATCTTTCCTTGGAATTCGATTCCATTAGGCGTAGTTGCAAGTCCCCCTATGTTTGTTAGTTGATGGGCCCCCCAGTTTATACAAGAAGGCTAACTTACAGTAAGCGAGAGCAACTGCTCAAAAAGTGTCGCGTGTAGTCGTATGTATGGAATCCAATCAGATCGCAGTGTAAGACACCCAATAAGAGCTCGTTTCGGACGGGCAGGATTCGGTAGATCTCACTGCTAGGGAACGGGGTGTGGAGGAAGAAACCGATCTTGATGTTCTTTTTGCTGTTCCCAATTTCCTCGCGCAGCATCTCCGGAAGCAGCATCAAGTGGTAGTCGTGTACCCAGATCAGGTCTCCATCCTGCACTTCTTTCGAGATTTCCTTCGCAAATAGACGATTTGCCTCCTTGTATGCTTCCCAGGCGGACTCGTCGAACGTAATCTCACCGGGGTGGTAGTGAAATAGCGGCCAGAGGATAGAGTCTGTAGTTCGAGCATGGCGTTAGCATTTGCGCGCTTGGAAACGCGGGAGTCCCAAGCTTACTTGAAAAGCCGTTGTAGTGTCGGTCCGCCAGTTCATCGTCGATGAACACAGGTACTGCTCCGTATTCGTCCTTCAAGCGCCGCTTGACCACCGGGATTTCTTCCTCGGGCACCTCAAGTCCGGGCCAACCGTACCACTGGAAGGTGGTCGACTTTGACAGTCCACTCAAGCCACTCACCAGACCTCCCGAAGACATGGAGAAGTCATATTTGCCATCTTCGGAACGCTTGATCGTGATGGGCAGGCGATTGGAGACCAGCAGAAGCCGGGCCTCATTCTTGGGCTTTTCGAGCGATGGCATGTTGACGAGCAAAGGTGGGTTTCTGCGAACTTGCAACCTCGATGGAGATTCTAAGCTCCAGGACAGGCTTAGGAAGTACTGGGAGAGATTGGGCGCGGCTAAAAGGGAAGAGCACTAGGTTCTGGCATGCGATTAGGCCAAAGCGCGGGGAAGAAAGGGACACAAAAGACTCACCGAATCGCGTAGAACAGGAGAGGGAGAGAAACTCCGGCTCAGTGTGAGAGCTCACGCACACCCTGGGGTTTACGAGTGCAATGGGACAGAAAAAAGTTGGGGAGTCAAGGGCGGGGGGGGGGGGTTTAGTGAGGTCAGCGCTCCGAAACAAACTTGGAAGCTACTAGTACATGTGGAGCTCTTCAATATCGCTCACATCAGGCCGTTTGTCAACAAGGCCAAAATAAAGGACAAGATTCCGGAAGTAGGACCGGTGTGAAGTAAGGCTGATTTTATTCTATTGGTAGTGTCTTCTGATTCGGGGGTTCTGTTCTCAAACTAAACTTGCTCAGCAAGGTTGGACGGCGTCAAAAGGTTCGGCCGTTACGCCACGCGCTCCCTTGATTGGATCCCAAGGATCCCGCCCAATCAATACTTTGGACTCTCTTGGGTTCTTCTGGATGCTTCTCAACAAGAGGGATAGCAGGCTCGCGACCCATCGAGGACCTAGAGATCCCGTTCTGTACCACTGTCACTCCCAAGTCCCCTCCGAAACCTCGCTCCACGGCCATCACCATCCGCTGACGTCGCTATGACCTGATAGTAACCACCAGGTGGCATTGAGTTAATCACTCGAAGTACGAGATCGCCACACACTTCTCCCCGGCGAATCCGTGTATACGCCAAGTCAGTCGAGATATCATCGGTGGAATCGGAGCCGGGTACATGATGCGTGTATACTAGTTACTAGCACCACCATGCAATAGCCTCAATCAGGAATGGTTCCAGTTGGCGTAAGCTGCCCTTGGCGTTTTACAACGCATCCTAAGTAGTATTAACGAGAGCTATATCCATTACCATCCGAACTGCTATCTGGCCTCCAGCCTTCATAGCGCGGATTTTTCATTCCCAAGTCGCCATTGCCCCGAAACGGAATCATGCACTGTGCGCCCGTCATCTTCTAGTTTATTGAGCACTTGGATCACTCCGTGGGATGCGGGCAGGTGAAGGCTTTCGGGGACATCGCGATAGATGACCTTCACGAGCTCGAGCGGAGTCCAGCCACGCCCGCGCTCGGGCGATGCTTCTCCGTCGTCAGTCTCGAGCTTCCCATACCGTAGTACTTGTAAGATTTCATCTTCTCGCTTCTGGCGGTGTTGGATGTATTCGGAGATCCGTGAAGTAGCCTTCTCAATAACTGGGCCATGGCCGGGGTAACCCTGGCCTCCCACTCTATCACGCATTCGATGAAGACTTGATAGGTAGACCTTCAAATCTTCAAACACGGCGGTTCCATGCCCCAGCACATCTATGAGATCTGGTCAGTGTCTCTGATGAGAAGACAAAGGAGCTTGAAAGACACAAGGCATAGCGTCCCACTTACTGTCGCCGGTGAATAGCGCATCTTCTTCCTGCAATACAAACGCCATATGGTCGACAGTGTGACCCGGGGTATGAAATGCCGTTAGTGTGGCCCCTTCGACTCGAAAGACCTGTCCATCTTGGATATCGGTCTGTCCGTCATCAGGCTGGTGCTTGAACACCTGTGCCTGTGGGCAAATCTTCAGTAAATCTTGCACTCCGTTGACATGATCCCCGTGCCAGTGGGTGAGGAGGGCTTGCTGCACAGTGGCTTTCTCTTCGGAGAGGACGGATTGAAGATTGGTAGCCCACGTGGGCTTGCCTTCGCCTGTATCAATGAGAATCCGCTGGCTACCGCGGCCAATCAGGTATGTGTTGGTCCCTAATTCTGCGTAAGTAGGCGGTGCCTAACCCAGGCTTCGGGCAAAGGGAAAAAATAATCAGGGACGCTCGAGAAGAGGTCGGGTTTTGCTGCCAGATCAGGTCGGCGACATACCTTGCAGGGTGAACTACGAAGGAAGTACTGTTAGCTCCCTCTGGCTGTATCAAACCCCGCTCTGCGGGTCTATTTGAATCTTCTCACCTTCCCAGGGTTTCCGCCCAAGATTCTGATAACCGACGTGCTGAGGCGCTCCACTTCCGGGAGGGAGACAAGCTGTGCCATGACAAAGAGAGCCTCGGAGGTTCCACGTAGAATGTATGAGACGGAGGTCTATGGAGACGTTCTTTGGTGTAATAGCCGAGAATCGGGGGAGGCGGGCGGGCGGGAGGATCGATGGAGACTGTCAGTTACCAGTGACAGCCCAGCCCAGTCGACCGTCCATTTATGATATCCGAGTTGTTGCGATGGCGCAAGCGCTCTCGGTAAGGTTCGTCCCCGCAAGAGTAACGGGCCTCGGCAGATTACCAAAGCTCAATTTAGATCGGGGAGTTCTCCATCTCGGTCTCTAGGCCTCTGGGGAGAGTTGGTGGTGTTCATACTACTAGTCTTCAGATGGTGAGAACTTGGACCCCAGATCAGCGGCTCTTATCCCATCTTTTCATTCCCAAGCTCGAGCTTGTCATTACTGAAGTTGTAAAACAAAACCCCTGGTCTCTGTCTACTCCTATTAGAGAAAATTTACAGTGCTCAATGGAGCGGAATTGAAATGGTTATGCATGCAGTCTTAGAACATACATTGATGTATGGAAATCAAACTATATCCATTGGGCCCACCCAAAGAACATCGGGAATCCAACGCAAGGCCAAACGGCCCAAAAAAAAACAAGAGATCATGAACATTTTTCCTTAAAAAAAGAAACTCCTCGTACGCGACTGGTAGAAAGAAAGAACACGCAAACCCTAAGGAATGACCAGCCTCCGAAGTCATCAAACCTCCGGAGGGTTTACGGTCACTCCGTCCTCTTTCCTAGGCTCTAGAACACTAGGAGAACGTAGTTTACACGGGCACTCCGGACCAGCCTGGCAGCTGGCAAAGAATCCCTGGATATTCTGTATGGAAGAATTTCTATTCATCCCATCTATTTGCCAGACTTGCGAGCCATGGTGTTCAGGGCGGAGCCGTCGTGGAACCACTCGATCTGGGACTCGTTGAAGGTGTGGCTGAGAGGGATGTCGAAGGCGGCAGCGCCGGAGGCGGGGTGGACACGGAGGGTCATGGGCTTGCCGACGGCAAGCTCGGTGCAGAGCAAGTCAACCTTGTCATCGGGCTTGATCTTATCGTAGTCGGCGGGATCGCTGAAGGTCAGGGGAAGCATACCCTGCTTCTTCAGGTTGGTCTCGTGGATTCGGGCGAACGAACGGGTGATGACAGCAAGACCGCCAAGGTGACGGGGCTCCAGAGCAGCGTGCTCACGGGAAGAACCCTCACCGTAGTTCCAGTCACCAATGACAACCCACTTGACGCCACGGGCCTTGTAGTCACGGGCAGTGGCGGGGACAGCATCATACTTGCCAGTGAAGGCGTTCTTGACCTTGTTGGCCTCGCCGTTCTCCTCGTTGATGGCACCAATCAGCATGTTGTTGGAGATGTTGTCCAAGTGGCCACGGTACTTCAACCAAGGACCGGCCATGGAGATGTGGTCAGTGGTGGTCTTGCCCTTGCACTTGATCAAGATGGGGATATCGGTAGCATCCTTGCCGTCCCAGGCAGGGAAACCAGAGAGGACCTGCAGACGCTCACTGGAAGGAGAAACAGCGACGCTGACAGAGGAACGGTCGGCAGGGGGGGCCTGGTAGGTGTCCATACCGGGGTCGTAGCCGCGGTTGGGGAGACCCTCACCGCTGGGAGGCTTGAGCTTGAACTCCTTGCCATCCTTGTCCTTGAGGGTGTCAGTGAGAGGGTTGAAGTTCAGGGTACCGGCAACGGTCATGGCGACGACGAGGTCAGGGGAGGCGACGAAAGAGTGGGTGGCAGGGTTGCCGTCGTTACGACCAGTGAAGTTACGGTTGTAGGAGGAGATGATAGAGTTGGGGGTACCCTTAGGGACGTCCTTACGATCCCACTGACCAATGCAAGGGCCGCAAGCGTTGGCCAGGATAACACCGCCATACTCCTCGAGGGTCTCGAGCTGACCGTCACGTTCAATAGTGGCGCGAATCTGCTCAGATCCGGGAGTGACGGTGAAGAGAGACTTGGCCTTGAGACCGTGGTCGAGAGCGTCACGTGCAATGGAGGCAGCACGAGACATATCCTCGTAGGAGGAGTTGGTGCAAGAGCCAATCAGACCGACCTTGAGCTCCTCAGGCCACTTGTTGGTCTTGACAGCCTCCTTGAACTGAGAGATGGGGGTGGCAAGATCGGGGGTGAAGGGACCGTTGATGTGAGGCTCGAGCTCAGACAGGTTGATCTCGATGAGTTGGTCGTACTCGGCACCCTCATCCTCGCGAAGCTGAGCGGAGTACTCGCGGGCGAAGTTGCCAATGTTCTCACGCTTGGTGGCCTTCAGGTAGTCATACATGCGCTCGTTGAAAGGGAACATGGAGGTGGTGGCACCAATCTCAGCACCCATGTTACAGATGGTACCCATACCAGTGCAAGACAGAGAGTTAACACCGGGTCCGTGGTACTCAATGATGGCACCAGTACCACCCTTGACAGTCAGAAGACCAGCAACCTTCAGGATGATATCCTTGGGAGTGGTCCAGCCGGACATCTCGCCAGTCAGGCGAACACCAATGACCTTAGGGGCCTTCAGCTCCCAAGGTAGACCAGCCATAACGTCGACAGCGTCAGCACCACCGACACCAATGGCAGCCATACCGAGACCACCAGCGTTGGGAGTGTGCGAGTCAGTACCGATCATCAGACCACCGGGGAAAGCGTAGTTCTCCAGGACGATCTGGTGAATGATACCGGAACCGGGCTTCCAGAAACCGATGTTGTACTTGGCGGTAGCGGAGGCCAGGAAGTCGTAGACCTAACGAAAACAGATGAGTGAGTACTGAGATACAGAAAAGCCCAAGAAGGCGAGTTCTTGAGAAAATGTATTAATTCATACCTCCTTGTTGATCTCGTTAGCGCGGGCCAAATCCTTCTCACCACCAATCTGGGCCTCAATCAAGTGGTCACAGTGGACGGTGGTTGGGGTCTGGACGGAAGGCATGCCAGCAGACATGAACTGCAGGATAGCCATCTGAGCGGTGGCATCCTGACAGGCGACACGGTCGGGACGGAGTCGGAGGTAAGAAGTACCGCGCTCGATGTCCTGACCGTGGGGGTCATCCAAGTGAGAGTACAGAACCTTCTCGGCATAGGTGAGAGGGCGCTGCAGACGACCGCGAACGATGTTCAGGTTCTCGTTCATCTTCTTGTAGTTGATGTAGTTACCCTTCTCGTGAATGGTCATCTCGACCTTCTTGTCGAGGGGGGTCACTGCTAACGGAGGCATAGGCGCGAGTCCCGAGGAGCAGACGGGACTTGGAGGCCAGCGCACCGGCGCGCGCAAGGCGGGTGGAGAGCATGATGGGCAGGTTACTCTATGAAGCAGCACAACACATCCAAAGTTTGAAGCTACCACCTTCACCTGTGGTAAGCAAGAGAAGTGGAGAGTTGGAGGAGAGAAAAAGAGAGAAAGAAAACAGGAAAGCTTAAGAGGTTTTTGAGTGGGAGCGAGATTTCCAGATTTCCCTGTTCGCCCTGGGCCGAACAGCCGTAACTCGCTGTTACGGCTCAGCGGTACCGTACGTATTGTTTCTACCCGCATGCGACCCCGAGGGATGAAATTCCGAGTCCCTTGGGTCCAGTCTCTGTAGACGGAATTTTTCAGCTGCAGAAGCTCAAGGAAGCCCTGTTGTCGACCCTGTGAGTGTCTCTGCAGCTTCATATTTTCTAACAGGTATACATGTTCCCCCGTAGCGCAGCTTCCATCCCATTCTGATGTTGATGTAACCGCTCCAGCCGTATTGGCAATACTCGGCATGTGACGGGGCAACCACAGCTGTCCAATCACAGAGTACCCAATTACAGATGCTCAACAGCAGTTGCTGATCCGGACAAAAGGGACTAAGGACCCTCTTAGACAAAGTCAGAAAGCTGATTTCCCTAGCAACTCCGTATGTTTCCCACTTTCACCCGCAATTGACCAGCGTAGCATGTGGATAGTATATCGAGCTGAGGATAACTTCGGGGCCCCCCCCATGTTCTTCTTTCTGTTCCGCTATGATGTCGGTCATAGCTTCTGCTCCCGTTGCCACCAAGTAAAAATTCTAGTGTAATTCCACGCTCTCTATCACTGCTGTTCATTTAGGGAAACGTTTCCTGCTTCTGACTGGCTTTCTAGAATTTGCGGAATCAGGTCGAAGCGGACCTGCATGCCGCGAATGCAAACGTCATAAGCGTAAAAATACGAGCCGTACGGTAAACCAGTGACACTGCTATTGCTGAACCGAGGCGTACCGAGCGGCTCTCCCGCAAGTAAAATAGCCCAATCACGGCCGATGCGTTTCAATCGCTCCCTCGCTCCACTGCACATTTCCCTTGGCCGCTAGCTTCTGTGGTTCCGCCCCCCACTCCACCCCGGAATCACTCCGGAAATCGGTGATAACTTTTTCACTACTCGACAACCTTACAGCACATCGCGCGCAAGCCAACATGGGTGCTTTACGACGACAGAGAGTCAAGACCAAGCGCCTCACTCGGTATGAACCGCCTCTGATTGCCCCCCCTTGTGGCAATTGCTAATCTTCTACAGTGGCTTTGATCAAGTTCGTGCCGACCTCGACTCGCCGCGCCATCTCGAACAATATAAAGAAACCAAAGATGTCGAGGACCTTCCAGGCCTGGGACGCCATTACTGTGTGGAATGCGCCAAGTGGTTTGAAAGCGAATACAACATGAACGCGCACACTAAGGGCAAGAATCATAAACGCCGGTGAGTCTCCTGGTTACAGACGCGCATTCCTCGCATGGAATCGCCATGTCTAACATTCACCTTTATTCTTAGTGTTCGTCAGCTGCAAGAAGAGCCTCACTCCCAAAAGATCGCCGAGGCTGCGGTCGGATTGGGAGTTGTCGACAACGGCAAAAAGAAAGAGGACGATGTGGTGGCAATGGAGGATTGATTTGAGTGATCCAAGGCACTGACGTTCCACCCAAGAAAAAAGCAAGAGCGACATAAAGACATGAAGTGACGCAAGTGACGCAAGTGACGCAAGTGACGCAAGTGACGCAAGTGATCTATTCTGCTCTCTAAACAGGCTCTTTCATTCCTGTTCCTACCACCCTCTTCACCATCAAACGGGGTCAACGAATCTTCAAAAAAAATTCGAGTGGAGCCACTCACGTGATCTTGCATATAACAATTTTTATATGCCGAGAGCTTGGGGTCCGTGTTCTACCGGTTGCGCTGCCGCACAACCGCCGGTTTTCGGCGGATACAACGCCGGCGACAAAATTTACCCCCTTACTAGCAATACCTGGAGTAATGCCAAAATAGAAATCCCTCAATACCAAATCAGAAATGTCTAACCTGAATGGGCCTTCGGTATAGCTGCATGTTTTGGGTCCTTACCACCCCATTCCCATATTACCATAGTAATCAAGGACACGCTGCCATGGAATCGCTTTCTAATTGCCATTCAATTTCTTCATGAGCCATTCGTATGCCGCCCACTAGCATTGTTAGCCTTATGCCATATATCAGACCGGGGGATGATTCGGCGAGCAACGCACCTGAACTGCATTCACTACGAAGGCCCGGATGCTGCAGACTCCAAGACCACGATAGAATGGCTTCAATCCTTCGGCGTGATAAATTTCTCTAGCGATTTGAAACGAAGAACGCTCAGGGCGTGCCGCTCCTAAAAGAGGCCGCTGGCTTTCAATGGGTGTTTCGTGCGCACGATCATGAATAGTCTGGGCCTGCAGTCTAGTCTTGATCATATCCAGTGGAAACACTGAACCCCATGTCACAATCCCCGCAATGCCACCACTAAGCAGAACCTTGAGTGCCGCTTGCTGTGAGCTTTCATCCTCAGATGTCATCAAGCCTTTACAGAGCTCATATGACCAGAAACTGGGCAGCGATTAGCATGAGATTGGCCAAAAGACACGAATCGAGACAGAAAGAAATCCTTCCTTGCGACTCTTTCGATCGAATATAGAGGGAGTGTCCGTACTAGAATCCGTAGCCAATTGCATCTCTCGCGGCTGTGATGCCGCCGCCATAGTATAAACCTCGCCAGCCCCGGCGACGGCAGATATCTTTGGTAACTGACCAGGACGAGACTTCAGAGCGAGTGTCAAGCTGAGCCCGGCACTTGATAAACTCGGTCGGAGATGAGATGGTCCAGCTTGCCAGGCCGCCTGCAGCTCCTGCAGCCCAGATCTTATACAATGGCACCTCAGCCAAATTGGTGGGGTCGGTGATGGTGGGGTCTAATATCTTTAACGAACGGTTGTAGGCCACAAAAAGGATAGCATTGAGGGCTCCATATCCAAGGATTGGAGCTGCTGCACCTGCAAGACATTGTCAATATGCGGCCTTCATGCAAGTTCACTCGCACAACTTACCTCGGATCAGCGAACTGAGCTTCTCGAAGTGGTTTAGCTGAGCTGCCGCAGCATGAGTAGATTCACCCGCTTGCAATCGGACTTTGACTATGTCCAAAGGGTTCCCAATGACAATCCCGAGGGCGCCACTGAGATAACCGGCCCAGAAGTCAGATGCCATTCAATATTCTGAGGTGTGGATTTATTCCACTTGCCCCATTCCCCCAAGTTGGCGGGGTGTTAGTCACGTGAGACCGTGGCATTTTGGTGTAGGCAGACGCGCCTTCCGGCATAAACGCGTCCAAATACACACCAGTCTCTATCCTGCATTAACCCCTGTACAGCGCCTTCCCTTGAACATACTGTACTTTAACACCGTGAATAAGAGATGTATGGTAACTTTTCTTCGGATACGACCCTTAATCATTCATCCAGAAGCTAATGCTGCCGTAGGTATCGACCTCGGCCGGCCGCGCCTGACGGCGGCGTCAAAACGCCTCTCCAACCCAAGTCGACAAACACCATAGATCGTCTATCACAGCCATTCAGATGCCCAGGCTCTGCGACTCCTACTCGCGCGTCTGAGAAACCTGCGCGGAAACGACGGAAGGTCAACTATGCAGATGCTGATGGGAGCACGGAAGATGGGGCTGAGAAGCCATACACGAACGACGATCGCTTGGCCCTGGCAACCCGAGAAGTTAACAAGTTTCCCGTTTTCAAGCCGAAGGACAAAGACGCGGCTTTTCGACAGAGATTTCGCATTCCTTTGATTAATAAAGCCACTGATGCATACAACACGAATCGCCCAGCGCCAACTTTGGGATTACGACAAGGCGCAACTTTTGTCGCCAAACCGTTACATGACCCAAGTGGGGAGTTTGCTATTGTATTATATGATCCAACTATTGATGATGTCCCGGAAGATCAGCCAAAAGACCTGGATGCACCCAAGGAGGAAGAGACACAGAAGCTGGAAGAACCGTTGATGCATAAAAGCTTGGCAGATATTCTTGGTTTAAAGAAGAAAGTGGAAGGCCGACCAAAAGTACCGGTTGTGATTGATCCCCGGCTAGCCAAAATACTTCGCCCACATCAGGTAGAAGGCGTTAAGGTACGTCCCACATTCGAAGCCCACTTGTCGTCGCCTATTGTGCTAATTATGGGCTATCCCGTGCCATAGTTCTTGTATCGTGCCACTACTGGAATGATTGACAAGAATGCCAATGGATGCATCATGGCAGATGGGATGGGTCTTGGGAAAACGGTATGATCTTTCTGACATCCGCAATGAAAATCAGAGGATGGAGTTACTGACCGAGTTAGCTTCAATGTATCTCTCTGATGTGGACATTGCTCAAGCAAAGTCCTGAGGCTGGCAAAACGACCATCCAGAAATGTGTGATTGCTTGCCCGTCCAGTTTGGTTGGAAATTGGGCAAATGAATTAGGTAAGTCATCCCAATAGTTATGGGTCTCACGCGTTTACTAATTCTTTTTTGCAGACAAGTGGCTTGGCAAGGGTGCCACTACTCCATTCGCAATTGATGGCAAGGCCTCTAAAGCAGAACTCACTCTCCAGATTAAGCAGTGGGCCATTGCATCTGGACGAGGTATTGTCAGACCGGTTCTCATCGTTTCATACGAAACCCTTCGGATGTACGTAGATGCACTGAAGGACACACCTATTGGTCTGCTGTTGTGTGATGAGGGCCACCGACTGAAAAACAAAGAGAGCTTGACGTGGACCGCCTTGAATAGTCTCAACGTGAGCAGACGTGTGATTCTCTCTGGAACGCCTATTCAAAATGACCTGTCGGAGTATTTTGCTCTGCTCCACTTCGCCAATCCTAATTTGCTAGGCTCTCAAAACGAGTTCCGCAAACGTTTCGAGTTGCCCATCTTACGAGGTCGGGATGCAGCAGGTACTGAAGAGTCCCGCAAGCTCGGCGATGAGCGACTCCTAGAGCTATCGAACATTGTCAACAAATTCATTATTCGTCGCACAAACGAAATCCTATCGAAATATCTCCCTGTCAAATATGAGCACGTCGTCTTTTGCAACATGTCTCAATTTCAGCTCGATCTTTACAATCACTTCATTCAGAGTCCTGAGATCCGAAGCTTACTCCGCGGGAAAGGCAGTCAACCACTCAAGGCAATCGGGCTGTTGAAGAAACTTTGCAACCATCCGGATCTTTTGGATCTTTCGAATGATTTACCAGGCTGTGAGCATGCATTCCCGGAAGACTATGTAGCGCCAGATGCACGCGGTCGTGACAGGGAGATCAAAAGCTGGTATTCCGGGAAAATGATGGTCCTTGATCGCATGCTGGCTCGTATACGCCAAGATACGAACGACAAGATCGTCTTGATCAGCAATTACACCCAAACATTGGACCTCTTTGAGAAGCTCTGCCGTTCGCGAGCCTACGGTTCCTTGCGCCTCGACGGCACTATGAACATCAAGAAGCGGCAAAAGCTTGTGGATAAGTTCAATGATCCAGATGGCCCTGAATTCGTGTTCTTGCTGAGTAGTAAGGCTGGAGGATGCGGCTTGAACTTGATAGGAGCCAATCGATTGGTACTGTTTGATCCTGACTGGAACCCAGCAGCTGATCAACAGGCTTTGGCCCGAGTTTGGCGTGATGGACAGAAGAAGGATTGCTTCGTATACCGTTTCATTGCGACCGGATCGATTGAAGAGAAGATTTTCCAACGTCAGTCACATAAACAATCTTTATCGTCATGTGTTGTGGATTCTGCTGAAGATGTCGAGCGACACTTTTCTCTGGAGTCCTTACGCGAACTCTTCCAATTCAAGCCGGAGACACGCAGTGACACCCACGACACCTTCAAATGCAAACGCTGCCGACCCGATGGTACCCAGTTCATCAAAGCGCCAGCTATGCTTTACGGTGATACCAGTTCGTGGAATCACTTTGTAAATCTGGGCGAGCAGGGGCCCTTGTCTCAAATTCAAGATCTTTTGATGCGACAGGAGGCTGGGGAAAGAGATGTTTCCGCTGTTTTCCAGTACATTAGCCATTAAATATGCCTGTATCCGTCTCGATTTTCTAGTTTGAGGTCTGATTTCCAACTTTTGTACGTTTCAGCGTTATCCAATTTGCGATCTGGACATTCCACACCCCCAACAGGAGTCAGTACTAAGTTGCAAATCGAGCCCCAGTGACATCAGCTATAATATACCACATCTCTTGGGTCTAGTAAGTGTCTTCCTGTCTTCCAATCATTTCCAATCCGATGGGTTTCATTCGAAGTAGTTCAAGTTGACACCTGGCCCGACTCGGAGTACTCACTGGCAACTCCGGTCCTGGTGGACGCTTCAGGTCCATCTTGGCCATTCTTCCCCTTCTTGAGGCTCATCCATTCGGTTCCAAGCGAACTTATCAATGCGGCAAGTGGGAGGCCCATGGACATCAGGAATATTCTTGTCAAAGCGTAGTTATAGACCTCCTTGACCATTCCAATGTATGCGTGCGGTACCACGGATTCCAAGTGAGTAGCGCCCTCGTTAATGACCTGGCCCGTGTCTAATCCGGGGATGCCAACTAAACGGGACACCAGAATATTGTTCAGGATTGATTGACTGACAACTGTGAAGATACTTCCGCCAAGTTGTTGAAGGAGGAACATGAGAGAGATGCCAATAGGAATATCAGGGCCTGGGAGTACCCTTTGCACAAGGATTCCGGTTATCTGCATCCCAAGACCAAGATCAAATCCACTGAGGAATTGATAGCCAATCCAAAGGGAGGAGCCTGTATCGACATTGAACGTGGACATCAGGCCCACGCCGATTGACATTATTGCTGGACACGCATACATCATGGGAACATAGTATCCGATCTTCTGCGTGATGCCACCCCCACAGAAGCTCCCGACGGTTAGACTGAGGACTAGTGGCAGAGTGTAGACTCCAGAGTCGACCGGGTTAACGAGTTTCACGGTCTGAACTGTTTCACTGTTAAGCATTGGAACTTGTTCCGTTTGAGCGGGGGTCTTACACCAGATGGGGATATAGTAAATGATTGTCATCATAGAGCTCGCGATGAAGAAGATGTAGAATGATCCGCAAAAAATACTTCGCTGGGTAACAACTCTTGCTGGGATCGTTGCTGTCCCGGGCGTTAGGACTTGAACAATTGCAAAGGCCAGGAAGAGCACCCCGAAGACCACAAACAAGGCGATGATGCGACCATCCTTCCATGAATAGGTTGTTCCACCCCATTGAAGAGCCAATAGCAAGCAGACCATTGAAGAAGCAAAGAAAAGCATCCCAAGCGGGTCAAGACGTCGAATATGTTGACCAATAGGGATTGGATTGCGAGCTATTTTCTCGGGGTACCAAACTAGTGCCATCGAGGCCCAGCTCACTGCGCCAATAGGGAGGTTAATGTAGAAACACCACCTGGAATGAATCATATTTTAGCTACTGGTTCGGCATTGAGGGGGGAGGTTTCTTAATAGCTACCTCCAAGTAACGTTGCTTGTGAAAGCACCGCCGACTAGAGGACCTAGAACGGAAGGAATTCCAAACACAGCACCAAACATGCTTTGGAACATCGGCCTCTTATGAAGCGGGACCAAGGGTATAGTGATCAGCATGCACCCAGAGAAAATGCCTGCAGAAGCAAAACCTGCAATGGCACGACCTGCAATGAATGTGTTTGAGGTTGGAACAGCTCCACAGACGGCGGATCCAATATCGAAGATGATGACAGCCGTCAAGAAGTTCCTCTTCATGTCGTAGAACTTGTATATTCGGCCAAAGACAGGCTGGGAGCATGCGCCTGTCAGCATGTATGCTGAGGAGTACCAGCCAATATCACCGAGGCTGTTGAATTCGTCGGTGATGCGAGGGATAGCTGTGGATATGATAGTTCGGTCCAATGCGACAAGAAAAAGAGTAAGAAAGTTGCAGCACATAATCAACCAGAATTTGTGAGTCCTTGGTGCATACTGGGCTCCTTGAGGGCCAGCGAAGGGCCCATCAAGCTGGGAGCTCTCGGTCGACGCTCCTGTTTGAGGAACGTCCTTTTCAGCATCAAAGTATTCTTGATTGTCCTTCATGGAGGAAGCCTTTCCATCTCCACGCATTGGAGTATGATCCATATTCTGGGACTTGTAAAAAATTTGAACGGCAAATAGTGTAATGCTGAGTGCGTCCTGTTGCGAATTTAGGGAGTGGGAAATATGATGACTTCAAATTGTTTTGGTAACATTCCGATTGCCTCGCCTTGAGCGACAGCTATTTATATTATACTGCCTAGGGAGCAGATCTTTGAGATCCATACTTTCCAGCTGCTATAGTCCTAGGCATCTATCAGGACCTTCGGTCCCTAGATTGAGGCCAAGAACGATCGTCAGGTATGATGAGGTCCATAGAGTGGCTCCTCTCTCCGTATAGGGCTATCAGCCCCATTGGGACTAGCGGGTTCCAAGTCTCTGGATCAACTTTCGCGTCGAGTTTAGAGACACTCTTCTTCTCGTGCAAGTATGAGTCCGGTCACTAGGGGTCATTAAGTCGTTCGTTGCCAACAATGCAAAGTTCACTGTGGCCGTACGACGGCCAATTCCTCTTTTATAGTAATTGTACTCGAACTAGGGTAGAGTGCAGAAATGCTCCTCTACAGCCTCCCCGCAAGAAGGGGAGGAAGTTGCAAGACCAGGAGGTGGAGGGGAGGCTCAAAATGTATGAGTCTCTTTTGATACGGAGCTTTATTGGCTTTAAATCTATTCTTGGTGCTGACGAGGTGTGAAATGAGCCTGGCATGGGGACAGACTGTTTCAAGGGCATTCCTGTTGTCCATTCGCCCGAGCAAGGAGATCAAACAAGAGACAAAAAAGCAGGGTATATTTCCTGAGAGTTTGTTTTAGTGCCAACAGCTCATTGAGAACAGACGTTAGAACTGGCATTCGTGCTATGAGGATGTGAGAATTGATCTATGGCAAGCTGCCTTGTCGCTACTTGGTAAGAGCGCGAACTAATAGGAAGTAAAAGGTACGAAAGTATAGAAGAATTGATATATGGCTCTGACGACGATCAGGAACGACATATCATCCACCGTGCCTTCGACGCCATGTTTAACAATAGAGATGGTTTCCTTTAATTGTGGAGGTGCGCCGGCTGGTGTCACTCATCTTCATCCGCCTTTGACTCAGATCTCCCAACTATGGCAAACCTATATGGGTGATGTAAACCTGCTTCTGAAGATTACTCATGTGACTTCACTTCAGGCCCAAATTATCAAGGCGGGCACTGATCTTTAGACCTTGGCTCGGTGAACTTGCTACAGCCAGGACAGGGGGGAAGGACAATCTTATCAGCTTCAGATTGTATGTGGATTATTGGGCCCATGTTACGAAGAGTTCGATTGGTCAAATCTGCTATCATCCAGCTCATTTGGTGGCTTTTACAGCGACGAGTTTTACTCCTAAGATTACTATCAGGTCACTCGTAGTGGACAGCAAGAATATTATTACCTTTATCGCTTACTCTAATAGACCTGGCCGATTCCGCTTCTAGAGCTGCCATGACTCGCATTCAGGAGGACCAAGGCTAGTGTGTAAAGAACCTGGATACGTGGATTAAAGCCTTGCGAGATATATACAGCGTTCAAAGGACTCCCACGACGTAGTAAACCGTATAATAAAGCATAGGTGAAAAGCTACCTCCAGTCCAGACCAGAATTGCTGACGTACGTCACTCCGCACCCGCTCGGACTTCTGACTGCGGAGAATCGAACAACGCACCTCTCTTCCCCTCCACCCACGAACAAGAAAAGGGAAAGAAGAAACCAGATCTGGTCAGATTCAGCGGGCTACAAGGAAGCGACTTACCAGAGCGAAACTCCTCTCACAACTCAACCCCTTCTGGAGCTCCACGGCAAATAATTGGCGACCCGCAACCGCAACCGCAACCGCGCGGCCTTCCCCTTACACGCGAACCCCCCTCCATCATGAGCAGTGCTTGATACCAGCTGGAAAAAGCATCCCCGCAGCGACTGCCGCAATGGATCAGTCTATCCAGCGGCTACTCAACGATAAGCTCTACGATAAAAGGAAGCAGGGGGGCCTTGGAGTACGTCAAGCAACGGCCTGGGCCTGAGCCTAGCCAGAAGCTAACAAATAACCTTATTGCAGGCTCGAGAAAATCGTACGTGACGCCGTCTTCAACCGAGACCAAGAAAGGATTCGGAGAATTGTCGAACAACTTTGTCATGACTATGCATACGCCGTGCATCAGCCCCATGCCCGCAACGGCGGTCTGATCGGGTTGGCTGCGGCCTCGATCGCTCTCGGATCGGTGAGTTGGCGGCCTACAGAGCGATAATTTTGGTATTCATACTTAAAGTTGTACAGGAAGGAGTTGCCCCGTATCTGAAGGAGATCGTGCCTCCGGTCCTAGCGTGCTTTTCCGACCAAGATGCGCGTGTGAGATATTATGCCTGCGAGAGTATGTATAATATCGCCAAGGTAGCCAAAGGAGAGATATTGCTATTCTTCAACGAAATATTTGATGCACTGGCAAAGGTAACTGACTTTTCATCACCTCGCTGCCCCGGGATGTAACTAACTTAGTCCTTCTACGCTAGCTTGCTTCCGACTCCGAACTCTCTGTGAAAAATGGCGCAGAGCTTCTCGACCGTCTCGTCAAAGATATCGTCGCCGAATCCGCAGCTTCATATGTCTCTGTGCTACAGTTGACAGAGAAGGACGCCGCAGATTCTGATACATTGGACGAAGCAGATCTGCCCACTGCTTTCTCTCTTGCAAAATTCATCCCATTGCTCAAGGAACGCATCCATGTGATTAGCCCATTTACACGGAATTTCCTGGTGTCATGGCTTACACTGTTGGATACAATTCCTGACCTGGAATTGGTTTCTTATCTTCCCGAATTCCTAGAAGGATTGATTAGGTTTCTCGGCAGCCCGAATAAAGATGTCAATGTGGCCACACAAGGGCTCCTCGATCGGTTTCTATCCGAAATCAAACGGATCACGCGCCTGAAGAAGGGCATCGAGGATAGTCGCAAGGGTCAACAAAGCCGCCGGCGTTCTACAGCGAGCGATGCTGCAAGTCTCAGTGCTAAGACCGAACACACGGTCGAAACAGCTGGAGATGGCGATAAAGATGATATCGCTGTGGATGATTCGGCTTCGGAATTCATCACCGACGACGAATTTGTGCAAGCGGACGGTGACTACATTCCAGGACAGGACGTGCATATTGACCACCCAAAGATCCTGGACATTCTCGTTGGCTTTGTTGACACTTCTCATGGTAAGCCGCCTTCCGTCCCGCCCTCATCTTACAGACATACTGACGCCCAGATAGAGGAGGATGCAACTCACGGCTCTTCGTTGGATTGATACGTTTTTTGAGATCAGCCCTGAAGACATTCTTCAGTTCATTCCGCGCCTTTTGACACAAGTTCTGCCTGCAATGTCGAGTGGTGCTGACCAAGTGCGACTTGCTGCAAATCGAGTCAACAAATCGCTTCTTGAATACATTTACTCTCTCCCCGTTGACACGACCGATACGACCGATGACGCCACGCATTCTTCATCCAAGAATTATTCCAGTGCTCCCAGCAGGGAGAGCATCGAGCAGAAATCTTCTGAAACAGCTTACGAAGGAAAAAAGTCATCGCAGGAGATTTCTCGGGCGCCGACACCTCGCAGCAGTCTCACACCATCTCCTGCGCAACCCGCCGATCTTGACTACGCAGCGGCCGTCAATTCACTCACGTTACAATTCTTGAACGAAAATGAAGCAACTCGGGTAGCTGCCCTCGAATGGCTCATCATGTTGCACTTGAAAGCACCCAAAAAGGTGGTTGCGTTCAACGATGGAACATTCCCGGCCCTCTTGAAAACGCTTTCCGATCCTGCAGAAGCAGTTGTGACCAAGGACCTGCAGCTACTGTCCCAAATATCCAAAAATAGTGAAGACAGCTACTTCGCGTCTTTCATGGTCAATCTCTTACAACTTTTCTCCACAGACCGGAACCTGCTGGAGGTCCGTGGAAATCTGATCATCAGGCAATTGTGCACGAACTTGAGTCCAGAGCGTATCTACCGTACTCTTGCGGACTGTCTCGAGAAAGAAGAAGTCAGTCTCTTCACTGCAAGATGTTGATTATCGCCTGCTGATATCATCTAGGATATTGAGTTCGCCAGCATCATGGTGCAGAACTTAAATAATAATCTCATTACAGCCCCCGAGTTGTCGGACATGAGGAAGCGGTTGAGAAACCTGGACTCTAGGGTATGTTGAGGCTTGGGTCGTTATCCTCTTTTTTTCAAAGCTAACCGGCATGGTAGGAGGGCCAAATGTTCTTCGTTGCGCTTTTTCGATCCTGGTGTCACAATGCTGTCTCCACATTTTCCCTTTGCCTGCTTGCTCAAGCATACGAACAAGCTTATAACCTTCTCCAAATATTGTGAGTAGATTGGAACCAAATTCTATCTGGAAGTGTCGAGAGTGCTAATTTCCCCCCTCAGTGCCGAGCTCGAAATGACCGTCAATATGCTGATTCAGATCGACAAACTGGTTCAGCTCTTAGAGTCCCCAGTCTTCACTTGTAAGCAGCCCAAGCAGGTATTTACATAATGGAACGCGGATTGCTAACGCGATCGGAATAGATCTTCGCCTCCAGCTCCTTGAGCCGGAAAAGTACCCTTATCTATATAAATGCCTCTATGGGGTTCTGATGCTGTTGCCGCAAAGTTCCGCCTTCGCGGCTCTAAAGAATCGTCTCAACAGCGTTAGCAACATCGGCTTCCTGCATACCGGGTCTCGAAGGTAAGACAGAATCGCTGTCTCCGATAAAAGAAAATACTAAAGGATTTCTTAGTGCGCCACCAGCAATAGGATCATACGACCGTTCGACCACGGGCACACGCTTGAAGCGCGATGAAAATAGCATTCGTTGGAACGACCTCCTTGAGAAGTTCAAGCTTGTTCAAGAGCGCGCCCGTCGGTCTCGAGCGGCACAGCGCCTCTCGCTCGACCCGACGGAATCATCTCAAGACCCCTTAACAGCTGCATTATCTATCGCCGCAGGGACAAGGGACAAGGGTGTTGCTGAAATGCATCGTGGGTCAGGAGTGATGAGTCCTAGCTCTGGTGGCATCGGACTCGGCATGGCAGGGGCTAGCGGTCTAGGAAATGGGAAGGGCGGCTTGGAAACCACCAAGTCATCCACGTCTTTCTTAGGTGGATCATCGAGAACCAAACCTGGTCTTCCCAATCTTGGCCGGTTAGGTATCGGAGGGCGGAAATCCAAGAAATGAGCCGTGATAGTCTGTGCTTAGCGAGGATACCTACAAGTATTTCATCTAATTTGTCGTTGGCCTGTTCCACGTAGTGGAGTAACAACATCTCCCCCCCCCAAGGTTACTATACTACATCTATAGTACCAGGAGCCCAATTACTCCCACCCAATGATAAAAGCGAGTGTAGAAGAAATTGGCAAAGTGGATACTATGCTGATATGGTAGATTGGAGGTATGAACAGGAAAAATGAACGGTATGCACATAAAAAAATTGTAAAGGATTGGTTTCACCAAAAAGGACGAGCATAGCGGCGCACTTCCATCAAGGGCGACGCGAATACCATAGAAGCTCACAAAAAAAAAAAACTCCACTCTGCACCAATTGAAATTCAGGAGCTTCGTGGGTAGGAAGTCAGCGTGTCAACATCATATCTTCGCAGGAACATAGCGCGAAGAAGGCTTGAAGATTCGAAGGGAAATACAAGATAGGAGCAATTCCCAGGATAGAACGCAGAAATTCAAGGATCAACGTGAGCGCCGTATCCAATTTCTCCGGCGCGCCCGGCGGTTTGAGCTTCGTCTAGTTCCTATGACCGTGTGCGGGCGACCGAGGGTCGCCATTGACTGCCGGTCGACTGTTTGGAGATTGTACTTGTGGGCGACGTGGCCATGCCATAGACGTATTCCCCGTCTACATACTGGGCCGCCGTGGTGAAAGTTGCGCGGTTCTTTCGTCGCGTATACCGCTGCTCTAGCTTGTATAGTTCTAATCCTTTAGAGCAGAGAGGTTAGCCTTGCATCTTTCGGCAATGAGTCCTGGTGCGCCGCACGTACTTGCTTGTAGCTTGTCGATCAGACCCATGGTGCCGTGTGTCTATGTGGGTTTATTTGGAAAGACGACTGGGATACTCCGATGTTTGGGTTCAGGATGCTTCGTTCAAAGCGAGGAGATGTTTGGATAGGAGTTGGCAGGGCAGAAAGTGGCACACAAGGATTGGATTGCAGACCCCAGTGGATTGCTGCAGTTGTGCGAGTGGCCGGCGTCGGGACGGAATGCGAGGGATGTCACTGCGAGTAACGACGGGGTCAACAATGGAAGCTCAGATTAGTTGAATCTGTTGGATCTCAGGAGCATACCGAGTTCTGCCACTATGAAGATTGCGCTGAATTCAACGAAATCACGAGGGGATAACGCTGCAAGGGGATGCGGAGTCTAGAACGAACTAGTGGCAGCCACAGCACCCACAGAGATGATGTAAAGATACAGACGAATGGAATGGACAGCGAATGAACCCCGGAACGAATAGAGTGGAAATCAACTGGACTAAAGAATGAATGGCCTGGAGGCGATTTGAAAACAAATGCAACAGGGCGAAAGTCCCCCCTTCGAACGAGCAAAATAGTCCACAAGCCAAGGACGCAGTGGGGGAAAAACGTGGGTTTTAGCGCCAAAAGCCAAAAAGCTCCCGCCCCTCAGGGGCTACTGAACTTTGGGACAAATATCCCTCCGACTGGTTGGACGTTTGGGCCTCAAGAGGCCCCAGTTGTGTCCCACCGCGTTTCACCCAGATTGTACTATTGATTGGTTCTAGAATTTGGCTTTCTATTTGGCTTTCTATTTGGCTTTCTATTTGGCTTTCTATTTGGCTTTCTATTTGGCTTTCTATTTGGCTTTCTATTTGGTCTTCTATTTGGCCGCTTTGGTCTCGCTGGGGTCGGAGGTTGGCCCGTCCTGCAGGGACCGTTCTTGGGCTTCAAGGTCCAATCAGCGTTCTGTCCAGGCAGGAGAAGACGGGGCTTGCACTTACCATTCCATAGTTCCGAATAGACACCTTCGCGTTCTAACAATTCTTGGTGCGAGCCTGTCTCCACCACCTGCCCGTCCTTGAGCACCAGAATCTGGTCACTGTCGCAGATCGTACGCAGGCGATGGGCCACGAAGACGCTCGTCCGGCTCTTGTCTTTCAAAATGCTGTTGATGTTCTGCAGCAACGCCTGTTCCGTGTAGGTGTCCAGAGCTGATGTCTAAAAGGAGATTAGGGGGGGTTAGCACGGAAGCACTTGTTCCAGAGCTCTGGATATGACGCAATTTGGGGGCTACGTACCGCTTCGTCGAAGAACAACAGCTGAGGGTCTTTCAAGATCAGTCGAGAGATCGCCAGTCGCTGCTTCTCGCCTCCGGAGATCATCATTCCGCGCTCGCCAACTGTTGTTTGATATCCGTCGGGTAATCGGTCGATGAGTTCGTCGATACGGGCGCGCTCAGCCGCCCGTCGCACATCTTCATCCGACGCCTCAATTTGGCCGTATCGAATGTTATGGGCAATAGTGTCGTTGAACAGGGGTGTGTCTTGAGGCACGACTCCAATCGCCTTCCTCAGGCTGTCCAGGGTGACATCTTTGATGTCCTGTCCATCAATGAGAATGCGACCCGTCTGCGTATCGTAGAAGCGGAAAAGGAGTCGTAGGATGGTCGACTTCCCACAGCCACTGGGCCCGACAATGGCAAACTTACTACCGGCAGGGATAGTAAACGTGGCATTCTTCAGAATAGGTCGGTCAGGATGGTACCCAAAGGTCACGTTCTCGAACCGAATTTCACCGCCGCGCTTGAGCTCCAACGGCTTGGCATTGGGCTTTTCCTGGATGGTCACGTTCACCTTTTGCAAGTTAAAGAGCGTTTCCATGTCCAGCAGCGACTGTCGCAGCTCACGGTAGACGGAGCCTAAGAAGTTAAGAGGCACAGACAACTGGAAAACGAGTTGGTTGACCATCACCAAGTCTCCGACCGTGAGGGTGCCTGTTGCGACTCCATCGGCTGCCAGGTACATCATTGCGGCCAGCGCTGTGGAGAAAATCATGTTTTGACCCGAGTTCAACAGAGCCAGCGAAGTGGTCACTTTGATTGACGCATCCTCGTAGATTTTCAGGGCCTTGTCATATCGGGCCACCTCGAACTTCTCGTTATTGAAATATTTCACAGCCTCGTAGTTGATCAGAGAGTCCACGGCCACGGTCGCACCGCGATTATCAGCCGCATTGGCCTGTCGCCGGAATTTGGTCCGCCAGGCCGTGGTGGTAATTGTGAACGCAGTGTAGGCAACCATAGTGGTGGCAGTGATGGCGGCAAACTTATAGCCGTATTGGTATGTCTAGTATTTGCGATTAATAGATGATCAGCTGGAAGCAAGTAGAGAAGGCCTACCAATATACCGCACACGAGCGATATTTCGAGAGCGGTAGGCACCACATGGAAAACCATGGAAGTGAGCAGGAAACTGATGCCCTTGGTACCGCGGTCAATAGCTCGAGTCAGTCCACCTGTCTGACGTGAGAGATGGAAATTGAGGTCCAGGCGAAGCAGATGCTCAAAAACATTGCTTGCCACCTTACGGATGGCCTTTTGGGCAACACTTGCAAATACTGCATTGCGAAGCTCTTGGAAAAGCGTCGCTCCAATTCGCGTTACTCCGTCTAGTCAAGTCAGTACGTGTTCTTTCTACCAGAACGTGAGAGGTCCCCTTACAAGCAATGATCATCGATCCTGCCACTGTATAGGCTGTTCCTCCGATTGAGGCAAAGTCCACGTTCATCGAATCCACGATGCTCTTGAAGTAGAACGGAACTTCTACATTCAAGATCTATGCCGGGTTAGTGCTTCTTTTGGGCCAGTAAGTGCAGCTTGTGGCTTGCCTTAGATCCCACGAGTAGTGAAAGCGCTGTTCCTACACGTAGCTTTGTTCCCCAGTCATCCTGTCATACTTGGTCAATCACTCGCGCATCAAACCAATGACATGGTGTTGCGTCTCACCTTCGGCCAGAGGTACTTGGCCATTTCTCGCATAATGGCCCAATCTGCTTTCCTCTGATCTTTGTTCGCTTTTGCCGCCTCGCTCAGCAGTTCTTCCCCCGGCGCATTATTGGCCTTGTCTTGGGGATTCTGGGTCCCGCTGATACTTGCCGGGTGTGGTTGCGAGGAAAGAGGCCTCGGAGCGGCATCTTTGCTTGTGGCTGAGGCCTTCGTGTCGATAGGTTTGTCTCGTAGCGGAATGCCAGGAGTAAACATGCGGTGTTGGGGTTGATGGAGTCGCGTGCCAATCCACCGGCCGGGGCAGCCCAAAGGTGCATACCGCGGGCGTAGGCAAGATGACCGGGCGGCTCGGAGCAGCATGGCTGCGGCAGATTCACGGATATGACAGAATATGAAGCAATTGAGGTCAGGCAAGCATGGTGAGGCTCACCCCAAGAATGGCGTGCGCACGATCTGTCGTGAGGGGGAACCGCCGGGTTCGGAGGAAAGTGTCGGGCTTCGCTCTTAAGGACCCTCGGAGACGTTAGTACCAAAAAAAGCTAGCGGGGGGGACAGGCGCAAGACCTTGAGAGCCTGAAGGGGAATCTGTACTCACACTGGATATCAATTATCTCAAAAAAGGAAACGCGCGGCCCAAAAATAATGCGAGGGTGTATACTCCAGGGCGCCCGCGCTAAGTTATACTCCAAGCTGATCTCATCGCATATCGCTCGGGTCTACGATTTCCCGTAGCTTCCCTTGTTCTCCAAAAAACTGACGTAAAGTTCGCTGCTCCACCGCTCGCTAGGCACCATGAGACCTGCCTTCAAATCGCGTCTTCGGCCTCTGTCGTGGACACGAGTTGTTCCTCGTGCTCATCGCCATGCTCGCTGGGTTCAAATTCGCGCCGCGCCGACGGGCCAGGCGAACAGGGACCAGCTACCTCTCGCCAGTATCACCAACTCTGCCGAGTCTCGAGGTATCAATCTACGAAGAAAGAAAGCCCGAGGATATACAGTCGCTGACTCGATTTCTCAGATGCCCGATTCGATGTCATTGGTGCTCCGTATTCGCTCCTCTCGGTATCCCTCTCGGCCTCGCAAAACCTATACACGCGCCGCGGAACTTTAGTCGGTCTGAGTGGCAAGGCGGACAATGTATGCGATCAATCGCTTTGGCATATGGCTTACGAATTCAGCTAATGGTGGGATCTTCACTTGTGGCAGGTCGTTTCGACGTTGAGTGTTCTGGAACCCTTCCGCAGGGTCGCGACTGGCGTGCCATTCCTTTATCAAAAGGTACGGCGATCATCTTTTCCCAATCCTTTGATCGCGGCTCACACGGAGTCAATCAGGTCTCTTCGGCGAGCCCAGTAACGGCGCTCATATCCGTCCGCAATCCCACGACATCGTTCGCTGTCGTTGAGCTCGATGGTTCCGTGGACTGGATGGTGGCCCAGCGACAAGCCCTGCTGGCATGGACGGGCCGATCTCTGTCCATAAAACCCACTATCAATACTAGCCTGGTATGTGCAAACGTCTGATATGGACGGAACCTGCCGCTAACCTGTGCAGAGCCTCGCTCACTGGGGTAGCTCTGAAGTGACTGGCCGAGGGTTGGTCGCGTTAGTCGGAAATGGGCAAGTATACTCGGTGGAATTGAAGGAAGGAGAGCAGTATATTGCTCATCCTAGGTATTCCTTTCCCATCTATGTCTGCTGTCTAGTCCTGTCGTCTGATCTAACGTAACTCTCTGCCAACAGCAACGTCGTTGCCTATACAATGACCTCGAACTCTCCTCGTCGCTACCGCTTCAAGTCCACTACCCTCAATTTCCAGGTTCCCGGTTTGAGGACACTTCCTCGCTTATTCCAGAGCAACAAGTACATCCAAGATATCTCTGCGTCCAAAGCGTGGAAGTCGACAATGCGCTTTTTGCATAAGCTGCGAACTTGGTCCCGTATGACTATTTGGGGAGATCGGGTAAGCAAATACATGAACGGTGCTGAGGGTTCTCAAGTAACACTATTCTCTTCTAGCTCTTCCTTCAGTTCGATGGTCCTACGACCGTTCTTGTGCAGACTCGTGGCCCCCGGCTGAATGACATTGTTTCAGAGCAACAAGTAAACGAGATTGCTGACGCCCCTCGCGGTATTACTCAATCCTCCTCAAGTGGAAAGACGGAAGAGGGAAGCATCGATGCCCTGGTTGAGAAATCCCGCCAGGAGATTCAGGGAATCAGCCACAGCCTCGCCCAGATCCGTCCTGACGGAACAGTCAAAGCCGATGATGCCAGTCACTCCAAGACTGTTTAACACCTTCTCAGAAGAACGGGGCGGTTTCTTGCATTTGTATTAGGTTTAGACGGTTTGCCTGGCACGGCATCTTGTACAGTAGCGAAATCATCTCCCGACCATGGTCATGACAATCTAAATTTTCCTTTCAAGACAAATGTCCATCTCCTTTCCGTAAGTGATCAGCGTTTACTGTCCACGGGCCAGCTCTGAAAGATACATAACGGTATACCTTTAGTGCGACATGCCCTGGAACCGGTTCCCCCAGCTGTTCAGGATAGTTGACAGCATAAGTCCTCTCTGCATTGGATCGTGAGGGTTAACTACAGTATCAAGTTGACAGAAAGAGATCTTTATTTTTTCCCTGATTAAGCGGAATATTGAGACTGGTCCCGGTTCCAACCCTCCAAGTACTCCAAGCACTCCAACTTCTTCACCTTGGACTCTTATACGATCTACTCAGCCACCGGCTGTATCTCGCCAGCACTGTTCATTTCCCCACACCTCGAGAGTTATCCAAAGTAGCGTAGAAGAAAACGGAATGATTTCCGAGTCTAATATCAAGGAAGACTAGAGGACTACCTCTGCATTGGGCTCTATAGTATCCGTCGCATGTGGAGATATCTTTCACCGCAGGGAACAATAAAATTTATGGGGAAAGAGGGGAAACGCACGAGCTACGGCTTACCAGTATACCTCCAGACCACCTGGGCTGTAACCTCGTGGTCACAGGTATCCATGACCACATTCCAATGTCCTTATATCGAAGTGATCTGGAAGAAGCGCTCAGCTCATCGGAGCAGAGAACCCTGACAGAATCGAGCACCGCGGCTATAATCGGTCTCCGATCTTACCTCCGGACTTAGGGACCGCCGAGGAGCGAGCGCCGATCTAGTTTCTATTTACCCTTTTTCCCGAGCTTTGCTTCTCTGCTTCGTAAGAAATATCTTTCTTGTTCGTCTGAGGAAATCTTGCTTCACACTTGAACTTCACGAAAGGTCTGCTAGTCTGCCATTACACAGCAGGAAACTATATGCGGCTGCATGCGTGAGATCCCCCGGTCCTCTAGACGATTTCACTGGGGACATCCCTGTTGTACTTCCTGACTTAACGCAAATTATTGGTGCAGACTGCCTCGTTAATCCCGGGGATTTTCCTATTCAGACTGTAGACTTCAGCCACGCGATACCGCGATGTCTGACCTGGATCAACGTTCCAATTCGACGGCGGGAGCAAACGACCAGCCCATAGAAGACCCGGAGAAAGGAATTCAATCCGGACCTAAAAGCAACGAAGTGAAGTACCAGGATGTCACCGACAAGTCTCCTGCACCTGCTGCTGCGCTTCCTGGCCCGGGTCCACCACCAGATGGAGGTTTCCATGCTTGGCTGACGGTCCTGGGAGGCTTCTGTGGGCTTTTTGTGAGCTTTGGATGGATTAATGCCATCGGTGTCTTCCAGACATACTATGAAAGCCATCAATTGCGCAACGTCTCCCCCAGTACGGTGGCGTGGGTGACTTCGCTAGAGTCATTCGCTATGTTCTTCGGGGTAAGTGTGACTCATGCGGCGGCCTTGACCACCGATTCCCTCTGTGCACGTGCCCGAGGGAAGTATATCCTACTCAGCTGATTCCTGTGACCAGAGCCCAATATTTGGTTCCCTGTTTGATTCATATGGACCTCGAGTCATTCTGCTTGGGGGCACTTTCTTCCATGTCTTTGGTCTCATGATGACCTCTCTGTCCTCGGAATACTATCAGTTCATTCTGGCGCAGGGCATCTGTAGTCCATTTGGTGCTAGCGCCGTCTTCAACGCGTGTGTCAACTCCGTCAGCACCTGGTTTGCAAAACGCCGTGCCTTCGCTCTCGGGGTGATGGCTGCTGGAAGCAGCCTGGGCGGCGTCATCTTCCCCATTATGGTTTCGAAATTGATCCCCCAGGTAGGGTTTCCATGGACCATGAGAATCTGTGCATTCTTGATCTTAGGCATGCTGGGCATTTGCAATCTCACGTTGAAATCGAGATTGACACACCAGCCGAAGCGGGTGAAGATCATGAGCTTCGTGCGGCCGCTCAAGGAACTGAAGTTCACAGTCACGGTTGCTGCAGCCTTCTTCTACTTCTGGGGTATGTTTTTACCATTTACGTACGTCATCACCCAGGCCGAAAGATACGGCATGTCGCAGAATCTATCGCAATACCTCATCCCTATGTTGAACGCTGCCAGGTAAGTTGGTCTCGGTTGGAAACGGGGCTCTCTCACTTGAATGACAACTCAACTCTTCTTCGTTCTAGTATATTCGGTCGAACTCTCCCGGGCTACTTTGCCGATCGTTTTGGCCGATACAATGTAATGATTTTCTTCGCCTTTTTCTCGGGAATCCTGGTTTTGGCTCTCTGGTTGCCTTCGCGTGGAAACGCGCCGGCTATTGTGTTCAGCGTCCTGTATGGGTTTGGATCAGGAGCCTTCGTTTCCCTTGTCCCGGCGCTGGTAGCCCAGATCTCGGACTTGCGAGAAGTCGGAATGCGGAATGGCACGCTGTTCTGCATCATTTCCTTCGCAGCTCTTACGGGAACGCCGATTGGAGGGGCGCTGGTCCCAGACGTGCTGCATGGGTCTTACACCAAGCTACAGATCTTCTGTGGAGTGGTCATCCTAGTGGGGGCAGTTTTGTTTGTGGTAGCAAGAATAATCGTTGGCGGGCTCGTATGGAAGAAGGTCTAGACAGATCTCCCACAGACCCCCTTGTTGTGCCTTTGCCTAATAAAGCCCTAATGATCATCAAGAGTCAGCTTGTCTTTTTGATTTGGTATTCGCCTTTTGGGGGTGGGGGGGGGGGGTGTTCAGGCATGGCCCCACGCTCAAGACTGCGTGGGAAAATAGAGTATCATAGAGAAGCAGACCAAAAGGAAAGAGAACAGAAAAAGAAGGAATCCAATTGTCTAAATTTCACCAAGTCCATCGGACCTTGAAAACGCCCCAGCACCGTCGCTGAAGGAAGACTAGTATGCATCAACTGAAGCACCAAATCCAGACGCTCGCATGTATTTGCCCAGCGACAAGAAAAACAAGAATCAGACCAATACCCCGTTTCTCATGCTCTCAACCGCCCGAAACCCCAGCCCCTTAAGCGTACTCAGCTCTGCCAAAGTGCCTACTTGAAAGGCTGGCTGAACTGATCCTGTTTCTTCATTCGAGACATGATCCATCTCACATAGACAATCAACGATCGCCTCGGCCTTTTTCACTCCCACGCCTTTCAGAAGCTTGATCTGACTTACGTCACGGGAGTTGATGATGGAAAGCAGATGGCGGGTCCGAGGGGATAACGAGCCGTCTTCGTACTCATCCAAAGTATCTATATCGCCTTCGCTTGCGCGAGACTTGGCCGTGGATCTTTTCTTGTATTTAGGGAAGATGTCCTCATCATCGCTCAATGCCCCATCTGTACCTGCCACGCTAGGTTGGTCAACATCAGTCTCTGCCGGGCGTTTGCCAAGAATAGTCAAGGTTGGTTCTTTGTTCAGAGAAAGCATGCTGCCAAACTTGCTCTTGGCCGGGGAGGCCGAGCTTGTAGAATGGCGGCTTGAAGAATTATCTTGCATGCGCTCCTTCAGAGCAGCAATCCGAGAAACCAACTTCTTATTATGGGGAAGTGTGGCAAGGCAAGCTGATACATTTTCAGGGCAGAGCTATTTTCTCCACGCGATTGATGCTGCTTAGCCATGAGCAGAAAGGATAGGCCCTCTGCTCGCGCATCCTCAGTCCCTTCGATGCGTTGCTCCAACAGCTCCAGGCGACGTTGGACCTTCTCACTCAGCTCCCGCATCTGAGATTGTCGTGATTGCTCACTGACAGCTCGCACAGCTAAAATGGCCTCAACCTTCTTTTCAACCATCTCCTCGATCTTGGCCACCGGAATATCAGAGTAGTTGGGCTGCAGTTGACTAGGCGCAAGGGTTTGCCGGGGGGTCTTCAACGCGCGTGCCAGAGGCGCCTCGGCGGCAAGTGAGTTCTTCTTGGGGGCCTCGGGCTTCCGAAACTGGGTGGCAGGCTTATTTGGCAACCGGTCAGAGTATACATTAAATGCCTTTAGAGGCTTGGTGTCCTCCTTCGCCGCAGGGTCTTTCATTACGGGCGCCGGCATGTTCACATTGACCGAGGAGGTCAGCGGCCGAAGGGGCTGACGAGCACTAGCGAGGGAGGGTCGCTGAGCAGGTCTCGCAGGCCCCTTGAAAATGGGATCATTTTCAACCTCCCGAACTTCGATCTTCCTGGTGCGGTTGGCCACGCTCAATGAGCTGATTGTGTCCAGATGATACGATCGAACGGGGGCAAGATTCAGGATCATCACTGTCAGCCCATGGTTCTGGCCCAAAGATAGAATGCGTGTCATTTTGGACTCGCGATAGGGGATCCGATGCTGTTTCCGCGTGATTGCCTCGACGCATTGAGCCAACACGAAGAGGCTCTTGTTGATACTGGCTGATTCCACCATACGCTCCTTGTCGTTTTCTGTTCGACGATTGTCCTCGGAACCGGCCAAATCAATTGCCGACGCAGTGCTCACTTGGGTCTTTTCTGGTGAGGTGACAGTGATTTTGACACCGAGAATGGCGTGGGAGCGAGACGAATGGGCATTGAGCTGGAGAAGATGTTAGAACAATGCCATAGGGGCGCCGGGAGATATCCTAGACCGTACCTTTGTCGCCGAGGTTGAACGGTTGTTATTCGCCTGGTCATATAATTTTTCAAATTCTTTCAGGTTTGTACATGGCTTTTCGGTGAGACCGCACACCACTGTTTTGCCTCCGTTGTCTCGAAGAGGAAGACCCGCAAGAGTCCGCTTCTCCGGCGGCTCAAACAGGTCATACACTTTGTCATTGTAGATTTCGTAGTAGCTCAGCGCCACTTGAACCGTCGTCTCGCCTTCAGTGTCCTTCTCAATTTTCCGGCTGCGACGGTAAATACCGCTGAGGAGACGAGGAATCACACCACGGTCAGCGAGGCTTTTACCGCCCCGCATGGTGTGCGTCTTGCCGGTACCAGTCACGCCATATGCAAAAATCGTCACGTCGAATCCGCCGAAGAGATGCTTGATGGTGGGCGCAACTGGTGGTACATAAATCAACATACAGCTCGACCACTGCATCCCCGCCCTCATTGGGTCACCTACCTTCAGCATCAAACAGCTCCTGTTGTGCTACCTCGGCATCATAGACCGAATTGAATTGGAAAGTGTATTCCTCCCCTCGTTCTTGGGATTCGGGATTCGCACGACATTGTCTCTATCCCTCAACGCAGCTACTTTGCGGTCGTTGCTGATTGAATCACGCGACTTTTCCGAAGCATTGGCCGATGACCCGGTGCGCAAAATGACATCAGCCTCTCGTTCGGACTTGAGCAGAGGACGGACTCGTGCAACAACTCGAACACTCATGGTGATTACGGCTCCAGGGGGTTCGGATATGAAACTGAAGAACCAAATGGACCGAAAGGGCGGAATTAAAGAGTAAAAAAGAAAAGAACCAACAGAGCACCCAATCCGCCCACCAGAAAAGAAACTTACCTACCTTTTGGAGAGGATAAAACGGACAGCAAAGTGGAGAGGTGTTCGTGCGTTGAAAAGGCCCGGACGGACACGGGCGCTTGTGTTCGGAGGTTGGCAGGGCAACGCGGGCAACCAGTTCATGCTCTACATTCCTAGGCCCATTCGCGAATCACCAAAGAGATGCTGATTCCCTACGTAGAATTGGTGCTTATCGCTGGCTGTAGGCATACACATATATGCCTCGCTGGTACTAGGTCATTGTGTGAGGCTCCGAGTTTGGGAGCATATCGTGCTTGTATTAGTAGAGGTTAGCGAGGATATACATCCACGCCCCCAACAAATAAATTTCTTCGATCCGGGGCACGCTGGCCATTCGCAGCAAGGACACATTACACCTGATAATTCCCTCATTCACTGCCTATAGGGCATTGTCGGTTTCCTGGAGAGCTCAGCGTGTGTATTGGATAGAAGAACCTTCCGAGGTCGTTATACTTGACTCTGGTAGCCGCAGGCCAGGCGGCTGCTGATTGGCTGCTTGTCTGCTTGGCCGCTAGAGGCCACCTGGGCATCGAACACCATCACCGCCTCTCCTCTCCTCCCCTCTTTCGAACTTGCTTTTCCACTTCTATTATTGATTGCTTCGGCTCGTTCAAGTCTCACCAGGACTTGAAAACAATCCTTGCGGTGTATGTTCGTCCGTCCCTTTTTGTCTAGGTTGACGTTTGTCTGATTGTGGGGTTCTAGCGAAGCTCTCTCCCGCATCCCCTCTCCATTCGGGACTACTTCCACCCTTCCTCTTTCCGGAGACCCATTTGACCCAGTGACACCTCAACCCCTCCAAGGAACTCGAATTCGAACTATCCCCATAATACCCATACCCCTATGGCGGCTCCACAAGGGGGGTTATCCCCCCCAGGAAGGATATGCCCATCCCGGGTATGCTTCCCCGGACCCTTCGCAGCAGCAAGCGGCAGTCCCTCAGCACACCGCCGCACCGGCTGCAGGTGGACGAAGGAAGCGAGCATATGCCGGAGAGGCCTTCGAGTTCGGTTCGGGAGCCAATGCCGCGCTCGGAGGTCAGCCCACAGCAGGGGGGGGCCTATGGCGCATTTCCGCAGCAACCTGCTGCTGTGGGATACCAGCAACCGGTATACGGCACTGACCCGGGCCAAATGCAAACTGCACCACTACAGTATGCCCCGCCTGCGCCTGACGTTGGGGGGCATGACCCAGCAATTCGGCGGCATGGGCATGGCTGAACCGCACCACATGCCCCCGCCTCAGCAGCAGGCAGCGGTACAGCAGCGTAACGTACAGCTGAACCAGCTCTACCCCACGGATCTCATCTCTCAGCCTTTCAATGTCGCGGAGCTGGATTACCCTCCCCGCCAATCATCCTGCCCCCCGGAGTTTGTGATCACTTCCCCGTTTGGATGATTTCAACATAGTACTAACTCGCCACAAGACCAGTGTTTACCCATCCCCAACGGCCAATTGTCCACCAAAGTATATGCGGTCCACGCTGAACGCGGTCCCGACGAACAACTCGCTTCTAAAGAAGTCCAAATTACCTTTCGCCCTGGTCATCCAGCCTTACGCCGCTCTCCACGACGCCGAGGATCCCGTCCCCGTCATTCCTGACCAAGTGATTTCACGGTGCCGCCGCTGTCGATCGTACATCAACCCTTTTGTCACATTCCTTGACCATGGCCACCGCTGGCGCTGTAATATGTGCAACCTGACCAATGATGTCCCGCAGGCCTTCGATTGGGATGCGACTTTGCAAAAGCCGGCGGACCGCGCATTGCGCGCAGATCTCAACCACAGCATTGTGGAATTTGTTGCGCCTCAAGAATATATGGTCCGACCTCCCCAGCCACTCGTGTACCTGTTCTTAATCGATGTGAGCTACTCCTCGGTGACCAGCGGTTTACTGGCCACCAGCGCGCGCTGCATCAAGGAGAGCTTGGATCGGATTCCTAACGCAGACCGCCGAACTCGGCTGGGCTTCATTGCCGTGGACTCGAGTTTACACTATTTCAGCATCCCTCGCGATGGCTCTGCAAGCTCAGCGCCCCGCATGTTGGTTGTCAGTGATCTGGAGGACCCCTTCCTTCCCATACCAAGCGACCTCTTGGTTACACTCAGTGAATGTCGGGAGAACGTCGAGTCATTCCTCGACAAACTGCAGGAGATGTTCCAGAACACCCAGAACAACAGCTGCGCCATGGGTTCGGCTTTGAGGGCGGGATACCAGCTGATCTCACCCGTCGGTGGGAAAATGACAGTCTTGAGCGCTTCGCTGCCAAACATCGGCATTGGCTCGCTGACGATGCGTGAGGATAAGAAGGTGCTTGGCACCAGTAAGGAATCGAGTCTCCTCCAAACCGGGAACTCTTTCTACAAGAGCTTCGCCGTCGAATGCTCTAAGGCTCAGGTCTCCGTGGACATGTTCCTCTTCTCATCCCAATATCAGGATGTTGCCTCTTTGAGTAACCTGCCTCGCTACACGGGTGGCCAGACGTATTTCTACCCCAGCTGGAGCGCGGCCCGCAGCGAGGATGTCATCAAGTTCGCGCTTGAGTTCTCTGATTATCTCTCCTCGGAGATTGGTTTGGAGGCCGTCCTTCGTGTGCGTGCTACCACTGGCCTTCGCATGAGCACTTTTTACGGCAACTTCTTCAACCGGAGCTCCGACCTTTGCGCTTTCCCGGCCTTCCCGCGTGACCAGGCTTATGTAGTCGAAGTGGCCATTGACGAGACCGTGGCTAAGCCCGTTGTGTGTCTTCAAGCCGCTGTTCTTCACACCACCTGTAACGGCGAGCGTCGCATCCGAGTGATTACAGTCGCGCTTCCTACCACCACCAACCTGGCCGATATCTATGCCTCTGCCGATCAACAGGCCGTGGCCACCTTCTTTAGTCATAAGGCGGTTGAGCGCACTTTGAGCAGTGGTCTCGATCCGGCCCGTGAGGCCTTACAGGCGAAGATCATTGAACTCTTGAGTACTTACAGGAAGGAGCTTGCTGGTGGCAGCGTGGGTGGTGGTGGTCTTCAGTTCCCCGCCAACCTGCGGGGCCTGCCTGTTTTATTCCTGGCTTTGATGAAGAATGTAAGTTCCCTACCCACCGATTCTACCCTGATCACGTCCATTGAAGAGTCCTGACCGTGATGTCTAGCTTGGTCTTCGAAAATCCGCTCAGATCCCCACGGACATGCGGTCCGCCGCTCTTTGCCTGCTGTCGACCCTTCCCCTTCCTCTCCTCATCCAATACATTTACCCCAAGATGTATTCCCTTCACGACATGCCCGACGCTGCCGGCCTTCCCGACCCTGAGACCGGCGAGATCGTTCTCCCCCTACGGTCAACCTGTCGTCGCAGCGCCTGGCCTCATACGGTCTGTACCTGATCGACGATGGACAGACTCAGTTCTTGTGGGTCGGCCGTGATGCAGTGCCGCAGTTGATCGATGATGTATTTGGAGTCCCCGACCGGAGTCAACTCCGGGTGGGCAAGCAGTTCCTCCCCGAAGTAGAGAATGAGTTTAACCAGCGAGTACGGGCGGTGGTCGAGAAGAGCCGCGATCACCGCTCTAAGGGCGTTGGCAGCATGATCGTGCCTCACCTGTACGTGGTTCGTGAGGATGGCGAGCCCGGTCTCCGCCTCTGGGCCCAGACCATGCTGGTGGAGGACCGCGCCGACCAGGGTGCCAGCTTAGATCAATGGATGGCCACTCTGCGGGAGAAGGTATGACACATCCCCAACCTTGCCTATACCATTCAGGGCCGTCAAGAAGATGCTAACCACTCTTGGTTTTCTAGGTTGTGCAGTAATGGCCGATCTGCGCTTCTAGATTGCCTCCTGATACCTTGTTACCCCTGTTTCACTGTTGCTACGAATCCCACGTTTCCATTGCCCAATCCCTCTTTCCCCCCCTGTCTCTTTGTTTTTTTTTTTCCTTTCTGTTCTATCTTCTCTGGATCTCTCACCTGTACCGAGAGATGGTCTTCATGGCGGGCATCTTTTTTTTCTTTGTTTTGTTTTGAATTGTGTAGTAGACTAGGAGCCTGGGGGGATTGGGTGAAAGTTACTCAAGGGTGATTAGACGCCCGCTGATTGAAACAAGGAGAAATGCACTTAAAGAACTTCTTCTCTTCTCTTGTACCGATCCAGGAATAAATAGGAATACATCGGAGATTCCCAACCCGATTCTGATTGGATGTAGAGGTTTCGAAGCGTTGGTGAAACCGCGGGCGTGGCACTTCCAATCAGGGGGGGCAGAAGCGCCGCAACAGCCCATCACTTGTGATTGTGATCAGATTCCGGCAGTAGCGTGCAGTGACAGGGGCCCATTAGGCGCTGGTGGCGGAACAACCTTGGATAATGGGATCATCGTCTTGTACTTGGAGAATCTCGATCAAAGATGTGGGGGGGGTAAACATGGCGTTCCAAGGTTCCATACACTTATGCTCTGCGGATTCCGTCTCTCTGGGTCTTTAGGTCGTTTTAGTACACATGGACCGAGAACCACCGTTCTATGGGGTTGGTTGCCATGCTCTAGGACACTCTTAACTCCACTTGAACTCAATAATTATTGAAGCAGAAACTGCTCAGCGGGCCGATCGTCCCCTGGTTAGAGCGCTTAGCGTCCCTTCATTTGTTTCTTTTTGCTGAACTTTGGGCTGGAGCTTCGTCTGCCCCACCATAGCCGGCCCCGTCTCCCGTCTCTCTCTCTCTTCTTCCCCTCCTTTCAACCTACTCGAAGCAGCTCCTGTCTTTTGCACCTCGGGGTGCATCCTACATATGTATGTGTTGGAATCGACAGAACCACGAATCCGCCCAAGTCCCAAGTCCTGCTAACTTCCATCCCAGACTCTAAACACCGTTACTTGGACCCCCTCATTCCATCTCTTCCTGGTCGCCCGTGAACTCCTAACCACCTCCGCCATATTCCTCTCGCCTCGCTACAATTGAGCACCTTCTGAATACCTGGGATTCTCTGGCGCGCTAGGTTATACGGCCGTACTCCTCGGAACAAAGAGTGTAAGGTTCATTTCCTTGTCTCGTTTCTTATCTGGCCCCACGCGTCCTGCATCCAAGATTTCTAGGGTTGTCACCCCTAAAAGCATTTTCTCTTTGACCTGGAATGGATTCGCGAAACGACTCCGGGGCGAGTTGGGGAGTTCGTGAGCTGGCGACCACTGGACCTCTAGGCCTGCATGCGTTCTTTTCCTTTGAGGATTCGACAGCTGGAAACTGCCTCCCCACTCCTCTTCCTCGTCACCGCCGTCATGGCTATCTTTCTTGGATCCTGTGGATGCCTTGGTTGCCTGTGCCCTCTCATGACGCTCAGAGCTAACCCGCCCCCGCAACTCTACAGAACCGGCGCCATGGGTCAACAAAACCCCCCTCAGGGAGGCTCGCGCAAGATCTCCTTCAACGTGTCCGACCAATATGAGATTCAAGATGTGATCGGTGAAGGTGCCTACGGTGTGGTCTGGTAAGCAACTGCAGGAAGCACAGGCCGCGACACAAGCTCATACGACTTCGCAGTTCTGCTATCCACAAACCGTCTGGACAAAAGGTCGCAATTAAAAAGATCACCCCGTTCGACCACTCGATGTTCTGCCTCCGGACCTTGCGCGAAATGAAACTCTTGCGCTACTTCAACCACGAAAACATTATCTCCATCCTCGATATCCAACGACCTCGCAACTACGAAGCTTTCAGCGAGGTGTATCTGATCCAGGTAAGGATCCCCCCCCCCCCGTCCCGGCGCGCAAAGAATCAAAGGCGACGACTGTCTGAGAACTTGATGACTGATATCTTGCAGGAACTCATGGAGACTGACATGCACCGTGTGATCCGCACACAAGACTTATCTGATGATCACTGCCAATACTTCATCTACCAGACGCTACGTGCCTTGAAGGCCATGCACTCGGCTAACGTTCTTCACCGTGATCTGAAGCCCTCAAACCTCCTCTTGAATGCCAACTGCGACTTGAAAGTGTGCGACTTCGGTCTGGCGCGATCGGCGGCCTCTACGGACGACAACTCGGGGTTCATGACAGAATATGTTGCTACGCGTTGGTACCGTGCCCCCGAGATCATGTTGACCTTCAAGGAATATACCAAGGCCATTGATGTTTGGAGTGTGGGCTGCATCCTGGCTGAGATGCTGAGTGGGAAACCGCTTTTCCCGGGCAAGGACTGTACGCTGCCCCCGATATGCCCTGAGGCTAGACAAGATTCTAATATTTGAAACAGATCACCACCAGTTGACTCTCATCCTCGATGTGCTGGGAACCCCAACTATGGAAGACTACTATGGTATCAAGTCGCGACGAGCACGCGAATATATTCGCTCTCTTCCCTTCAAGAAGAAGATCCCGTTCCGTGCGCTCTTCCCCAAGAGTAACGAGCTCGCTTTGGATCTTCTCGAGAAGCTGCTTGCCTTCAACCCGGCCAAGCGGATCTCGGTGGAGGAAGCCCTCCGTCACCCATACCTGGAGCCGTATCATGACCCAGAGGATGAGCCGACGGCCTGCCGATCCCAGAGGGATTCTTCGATTTCGACAAGAACAAGGACACTCTGAGCAAAGAACAATTGAAAAGTGAGCCCCTTCTTTCAACCGCTCATCCGAATTTCCCGTTTCCCGATCGCTAACTATTGCCTTAGTCCTGATTTACGATGAGATTATGCGGTAAGGATAGCATTTGAGAAACATTGAATTGAACATTTGTGGAGCATGCAATTTTATTCCATTAAAGTCTTACGCAAGCTGCGGGCGCCCTGTGATCAAGACCAACCCCCATTTCTTGAAAAGTATGAAATCTATAAAACGATATTCCCTCGAGAACTTGCAGCAGCCCGCTTCGAACTTGCGTAGAAGCATTTCTTTTTCGTTGCTTTCTTTTTCTTTATAAGTTGTATTTCAAATGGTTCGATTCTTTCTCTATATATACACCAGGCAAGATATCATCTAGGAAGGCCAGGTTAGTTGCCCTGGAAGCGCATGAACCGTTGAATGCCCTCTCCAACCCCTTCTGGACTGGGCTTTTCGGCGCAAACGTCTGGCTCGAATCCAAACTTGCTCCGCAGGTGATCGCGCGTAGTAGGGCCAATCGTCGCCACAAATACCCGTCGCTTGCCCTCGCCGGGGTCCGCGTCGGCGAAAGGCCCCAGTTTCAGCTCGCGGAGCATGGCCTCGCACCCGGACGGTGAAAATACCACTACCCACAGGGTAGGTGACCCTGCAGCCTGCTGTACTGCGGCGGCAAAGTCGTCTTCGAATGACTCCATTTGCTTCGTTTCATATACGACCAGTTCCTCGACCGGTATTTGCTCCTCGCGGGGTAGGGATGGTGCCATGAGTGTCTTGGGGATGATATCGCGCCGCTGTTCGCCTACGAGGAAGAGGAGGCCTGGCTTGCTGGAGGGATTCCGCTGGTATGACGATGGTGGGAATAACGAATTGTAGTGTTTGAGAATTAGGTGGGCCAAGACCTCTCCAGTCCCGGCATCCGCGCCGTGGATAGTTGCTGCAGGCAGATACTGATCGCGCAGGCTCGTGAGAGAGCGGGCTGTGGCGGGGCCGACGGTGTACAGGATGAGGGGGTTCTTGGATTGCGAGTGGCATCCGGGGGGCGCTGCAACTAACATGAGTATCTTTTCGACGTATTCCCTTTCCGTGGCATTGAGGGGGAAAATCCCCAGGCTGGCGACTTACGGCCGTCTTCCTCGATCATCTTCGCAAATCCTTCTACCGCGCGCTGGCTGGTGAAGATGAGGCCTCCGTATCTCCGACTCGCGCCATTGGACTCATTCGCGCTTCCCTCGGGGTTGAATGCGCCGGATGCGAAGAGACCCCGCACGCGGGCGAGATTCTCCCGGTGGAAGCGGTGCTCTAGCACAGGGATGAACACGGGGTTGTAATGGTTTGCTGAGAAGAATTCATCGTATCCGTCATGGGGAGAAGACTTGGTCTTCAAGAGGAGTATGGGCGACCGCGCAGACATGGTGCGGAGAGTTGCAACAGTCATAGTTGCGGCTTCGGAGATTATCGCGGATTGCGGGGATTCTCCATCACGTTTTCTCTAAAGTACGGCAGTAAGGCAACTTGGTATGGGAACGGATTTGATTTTTGATTTGATCCTGTTGACTCAAGGAAATTGTAATTGGTCTAGGAACGGCTTATATACACATTGAGGGGGGGCAAATAAGAGAGAAAAAAAAAAGAGACTACTGGTTGTCCAGAACGTGGACGTACTTCTTCTCCTCACGACGCTCACGCTCAGTGGCAGGTGGCAGGTCGTAGTAGGAAGCGCTACGGTACATTTGCTGGGGAAATGTTAGTGTCTAGTCTTCATGATTATGGAGGAAGGGCCATACCAGGTAGTGGAAAGTAAGGTCGGCCAAGTCGACTGGCTCGATGCCCAGATCCTTGAAGGTCTTGGCAGTTGGGTCAATCACTTGGTCGTGGAATTCACGCTCAACCTCATCGGCGGAGGTGGTGTGCCACCAAACGTAGCGGTTGAGGGCTTGGGCGATGAGCTTCAGGACAGGCTTGGGAAGGTTGATGTGGCGGCGTTTCTTGTGGATTTCCCGGTCGACCAGCTCCGCAATCTCGGCAGTCGAGTGTCTTAGGGCCGTAAAGCTCAAAGGTTTGACCCACGGTAGAATCATCGTGAAGAATTCGCTCAAGCGCATGGCCGACGTCAATGGCCTACAACAAAGGATTAGCGAGACTTTCTCGGGTTCAAGAGGCTGCCAGGGAGCATACGTGAACAGGCCAATATCGCTCTTGCATGTGGTTGGCAGTGAGCAGGTTGGAAACACCGGCGAGCTTGTGTAGGAGGTTGTCTTCGAACCCGAACATCGGAGCAGGCCGCACGATGGTCGTCTCGGGGTAAATTTTGCGAACAACTTCCTCCCCACGCCTATTCCAAATCAGTATTTCTAACCGGCGCTATTTCTTGGAATGAAACGGACCTTGGAGTCGAAGAACTCAGACGACGAGCCCCGCTTGGCATTGTAAGAAGAGACGTGCACGAATCGGTCGATGTCATACTTGGCAACGGCCTCGGCAATGCGCTCAGCACCATCCACATGGACGTCCGTGTATGAGAAGTTCCTGGGCGACGTTAATGACCCCTCTTACAAGGTCTCTTACGACTTCCTTGTTTTCTGTCTTGACTCACTTAGTGGGATAGCCACGGCCAACAAGGTTGTAGACGATATCCGAGTGACGGACGCTCTCTTCAATGGACTGGGTGTTGCGGAGATCGTATTCCTGCGAGACAGTTAGGCCCCTCCCCTTACAGCTCCCAGTTTGGAGTGAGTAGTCCTTACCAAGAAGTTGACACGGCCAAGGTCACCAGTGACCTTCAAGTGGCGCTTGGCCATCTCCTCACGGTAGGGGACCACCACTGTGCATCCCTGGGTTGCTTTTTGCAACGTTAGCACCTCAATTGCTTCAGCAACATCACCCTGCAAGACATACCGAGCCGGTTGACAATGTAGCGGCCCAGGAAACCCGTAGCGCCGAAAACAGTCGCAGTATAACCTATCATGGCATCGTGAGCATATCGAGTCGAAGCGGACTTGAAGCGGGAAGCGAGGGGAGGGTACCTCCGAGGGACGAGCTGGAGAGGGGGCACAATTAGCAAGGCATTGTCAAGCATGGATCAATTGAGCGCTTACCGGCCACCTTGGACCCGGACGATGGGCTTTCCAGTGCGAGTGATAGCGACATCCTGGAGGTTACGGCGTTGGATGTGTACCGAGACCCGAGGGGCAGGGGCAAATGACCGGGCCCCCAGAGCCGAGTTCATGACCCGAGACTTCTGCATGGTCTCTGACAGGGCAGATTGAATGAGACCAGCGGGGGAAGATAGAGCGGAGTGGGTGCGGATTGAGAGGCTTCGAGGTGCGTCGTGATGGAGACGAGCACTCTCGCAGGTTTCGGCACGGGACTTGTACGCTAGTCCCGAATGGGAAGGGTCTCTCAGCTCGAGAATTGCAGATGCGACGGCAATCGCCTTTTCCTCGTATGCGGGAATAAAGAGTAGGCTACTCCGAAGCAGCTTCCATCTAGTAATCGTTCTTCCGTCTCGTGTTTGGCCTCATTGAGCGCTCCACGGCGTCTCCAAGAGCTGTTGGCCAGAAGAGGTCTGACAACTCCTCGGCTGTGATTGGTCCGTCCCTACAGGAGGAGCGACTCGAGCCTCAATCCCCACCAGCTTTTGCTTGTAGTCTTCCACGGGATTTCCTCGTCGACTCTTGTTATCGGCTTTGGCATGGGGATGCCATGCCAGCAAAATATGCACAAATTGATTAGCTATCTTTGCATTTGGCCTTCTGTCCAATATGTGGTCTGTCTGCTCTGAACTCTTCTTTGTATTCGGTCTATTTCTTCGTGCCAGGGCCACAAGCTCAAAAAATATATATGACTGGAGAGTATTGGCTTCCAGTTCAGGGCCGCAAATGCAGGCCGCTTATGAGCATAATCCTTGGACTGAAAGATTGCGCTATAATTCTGGCCCCGGAACCCGTGCCATAGCAAAAGTCGAAGGCAATCCAGAGTCCAGTTCAGCTTTCAAAGTGGGATGGTTCTGAATTGAAATTCTATGGGCATAGATGATGATCCTACTATGCTAAGTACCAGTACTGGTACCATCCTCTGTACTACTCGTAGCGGTGATGTATTCCAGTCTCTAGGAGACCCCTTTGGCGGAACATCCCCGCCGTATCTGTGCTGGAATATATAGAGCGGCACCGCTGCAATGGCTTCAAGGCCGAGGATATTCTAATGTGAACCACAATGTCCTGGCACTGAAGTTCAAACTGCAATTGAATGCAATTGAATGACGCTACTCAAAATTGCGAAATGCCCATCGAGGCGGCGTTCTGTCCTGGCGACTCTGGGGGTTCCGACCGCAGCTCCATTGATGTTTTTTCCCCTCGTTCTCCACTCCGCAATGACTTCAGTCTCATCTCGCAGCTGAACGGCTCCTCATCTCTGTCAAGCCGACTCACGTTGAATTCCAGCCAAAAAAAAGCCTCTCGTAACTATGTCTTCCGCCGCCTGCATTTTCTGCAAGATCATCAAGGGTACATCATCCCTCCGAGATTCTTCAACGGCGTCTCTTCCCCAAGTCCCATTCCGCCGTCCACGGGTCCTCCCAGTGTCCACTGACGCGTATCAATTGAAAAATGCCAGCGAACTGACAACCCACAGGGGATATTCCTTCCTTCAAGCTCTTCGAGAGCGACAAGGTCTTTGCTTTCCTCGATATCCAGCCGCTGAGCCGGGGCCATGCGGTATGTCTGTGCCTGGGGGCCCCGCACTCCTCGATCCTCAATCTATCGGTGGTCGCGTTCTTGTAACGTTCTGTAGCTTGATGCCATCCACATGGCAGTTCTTATACCAATTCCCACCGCGGTCATCGCTTTGTTTCATATACAGGAGATACTGACTATGCGCCCTCGGTAGCTCGTGATCCCCAAGTTCCACGGCGCTAAGCTGACCGACCTGCCCGACGAAGACCTCCTCGAGATCTTGGTAAGTGTATATGCGGAGGAACATTAGGGGCGATGGTTGGATGGAGACAAGGACAGAGACTCGCTGTAGCTCCGAACCTTGAACCCATGCGGAGACCACCAGCGCCCAAGGTCCTCGAAGTACCGTCAACCTGGCTAATCAGCTTTGGATTTCCATGTAGCCCGTGGCCAAGAAGATTGCCATCGCCAGTGGCGCCTCGGATTTCAATATCCTGCAGAACAATGGACGCATTGCCCACCAGGTTGTCGACCATGTAAGCGCAGAGCCCATCCACTTCATTGTACATCAGCTAACCGTTTCATTTCCAGGTCCATTTCCACATGGTATGACTGCCCTCTCTGCTGTATTTTGAGGTAACAATATTGACCCTAAATTCTAGATCCCCAAGCCCAACGAGACAGAGGGATTGGGTATCGGCTGGCCTGCCCAGGCAACAGACATGGACAAGCTCAAGGCTCTGCACGAGGAACTCAAGTCTAAGATTTAGGCTGTCCCCGGATCGAGCGACACGTCTTTCAGGCTCTGGAATCCCACGGGTTTCATGATTTACAGTAGCTCAAAAGTTGACCTAGCTTGATCTAGCCAGGATCACCAGGATGGAATATTTCGTGAGACTGGAATGGAAAACTCGAATTGCTACATAACAATTTCTCTAAAGGCACCCTCAGATGCTTGTATATTGTCTAAATTGATGATTGGATCTATAACGAAAGGATGCACTACATAAAAGCATCCCAACATCAATTCCATACCGTCTAGCACATTTCCCAGTATTACAATAGCGCCCCAAACAAACAGGCTATACAGACACCGAAGCCCGGAAGCGGGCAGTGCAGCACTCTAGGCCTTGTCAGCCTTGTCAGCCTTATCAGCGCCTGGGTAGAATTCAATCTTGCCCTCGCCCTGCACGATGTTGAGTCGATCATAGAGCGAGCGAGCTCGAATGTACGGGTCCAGCACCCAGTACTGCTTGCGCAGCTGCTCCACCAAGGTCTGGCGTTTCTCCTTTGCAGCGGAGATCGCCTCAGGCTCCTTCTTGAAGCTGGCTCGGATCCATTCAATCGTGATATCCTGGATCTCCTTCGCGAGAGCCTGGCGCTCGGCAAGCAGCTTGTCGCGAGTCTCGGTGTCTTCCATTTTACTATTCTCTCCCTCCTCGATTTCTAGGTATTTATACTCCCAGTTCTCGTCCCCGTCGAGTTCCTTCGTAATGCGGTCGGGGGGAATGAAGGCTTCCAAATCTTCCCGGTTCTTGGTGAAATGAATCTTCGCAGCAACGACGGGATCTAGCCACCCCTTGATGATGCTCCAAATGCTGGAAAACACCCAGGGCGCTTTGTGGATCAAGACCGTTCCTAATGATTCGGGGTAGTTGGCCTCGAAACACTTGATCATGAACTTGACGGGCGTGTAGTCCTAACAGATAAGATTAGTGTCTCCGTTTGCAACCAGAACAATTGACAAAAGAATAAAAAAGAAAAGAAGAGGTGATATACCATGTTCTGAAGAGAAAAGTCGGTCATATCAAAAATAATAGTCTGAGATAGTTAGCATGAAGGCTTTAGCGCAAAAAGAGACATAAGACGAGAACCTACCGCTGTTTCCACCGGTGGAGCCAGCAGCAGCCGGGCCGTCTCAATTGTATAGACCGTGAATCGCTCGAGGGATTCGGGATCTTGCTCACTGGCTCGATGCAGACGCACGCGTACCACACAGATAGGCCGACCCAACCGGTCCACACCGTGGAGGAAGCTCTTGCCCATGCGCAGCTGGTGAAGAAACTCGTCGCCCTTCTTCTTCTCGGTGGGATCAGATGACTTGGACTGCTTCAAAGCCAGGGCCTCGCCATTGGCCATGATGTCATCGTCAACGTGCACGTCTTGAAGACGCCAGCGCATGGTAGAAATGAGCATGATCAGTGCCTTCTTGACATCCCATTTCCGCGCACGCAGGAATCGCAGAAGCAGCGCGTCGGGGTTGTCGTGCTTGACCATATTCCAGAAGGCGGTTCTGATCTCTTCCGGTGACATGTCCTCTAGCGCCTGCTGGAACTCCTTGGATTGTCCGTACTTGTCGTCGCCATCGGTGATGCTAATCGAGGCGAGGCCTGATGTGATCTCACTCGCCTGAGATGTGCTCGAAGTCTCGCTTTTCTCATCTCCCGTGGAACGGAATAGACCCCATCCTCGTTTGGCGGACTTCTTCTTATCTGCGGGCGGGGCTGCGGCGGCGTTGCTGGCGCTGCTCTTGGCCTCGGCCTCGAGGGTCTCGATGTTGACGCCAAACACCTTCAGAGTCAAGACCCAGAACTCCTGCAGCTTGGCCTCCTGCTCGGGGGTCAGGGTTCCGACGGTACCCGGGGCGGGTTCGATGGGCATGGTGCGGAGCGTATCAATGATACCGAGGAACGGCTCCTGCTGTGGTGGTCGGGACGAGGGGAGAGGATCGGCAGAGGGGGAGAGAGATTGATGGAGACAGGCGCCGCCTCCAATGGCCAGGAGAGTGATAGTAATCCAGAAAGAAGAGGACTCGCTTGGCTGCGGGCGTGTGGAGATTGGGCGCGGTAGAGGGAACTGGGGTCGAATGCCGCAGGGTCCGATCTGTGGGCGGGAGAAGACGCTAGCCGGTGACTCGAGACGGCGCAAGATTGAACGAGCCCGCATGTGGCGACTGTCTTCAGAGATAAGGATGGGATGGGGAACACGGTGAGGCCGTCGACTGAGACCAAGGCGCGAGTCGCAGTCGATAAAAAGTGGATTCACGCCAAATCAGGGAACCGAGGACGATCCGAAATCATCAGTGTGGGGAAGTCCTCACGCGAGCTCCAGCCACATGGATTGGAGATTGCTAGAGGAAGGACCTGCTGATTTCTAAAGTCCATCGAGCTACGATGATCATGCTATCTTGCAGCAGGAGGTCTGGCGTTGGGAGGACGAAGCAAGAGTACTAGCGTACTTAGAGGCTACAATCAATCTAATAGGTTGGGACGAGTACTGTACCAGAGTATGCAAAGCAGGATGAACAATATGAGTTATCATCCCAAAGACAACTCGATCCGGCCAGTTGCAGATCCACACAGTCGTTGCACACGCAGTAACCCGTTCACTGTCGATCCAATTTGGTGCCCAAAAAGTCGCTTTCCATAATTTTTGTCCGGGACTTGCCCACCGCCTTCCCGCGCGTAAACAAGGCGAGTCTCAGCTTCGTACATCCACAGGACCTGGAACAATGGACGCCTCGCAGCGATCGTCCTCGCGCCCTCGTCCTTCGTCGCGCCCAACTACGCCATTGCGGCCCAGCTCTCGCTCCTCGCTGCGCGAGGCCCATGGCTATGGAGGCAGTATCGGCAACGCGGGGTACACACAACCCGCCATCAACGCTTTAGAACCACAATTCGCAGAGTTGGCTGATTCCATGGCTGATCTGGAGGCCAATTTCATGCACCTGCAGATCATGCATGAGAGTCTGACGCGATTTAGCGAGAGCTTTGCCAGCTTTCTGTACGGTCTGAACATGAACGCATTCTGCGTTGACTTTCCAGAGGTATCAATGCCGAGATACAATTGCATTTACGATTTATGGTTCTCGCGGCTAATGTATTGCTCCCTTCTTATAGGCCCCGATTGCAGATTCATTCCGAAGAGCCAAACAGGCCGAGGAGCAGGACGGTATGGCCCAGATAATCAGGAACCATGACATCGTTGACTGACGTCGCACGCTACAGAAGTGGACCCTGAACCTATTCGAGCTGCCGATGATGGGGAGATGACATTCTTGTACGTTGCTGCTTGATTTTACTCAACCTGGGACATTCGCGTCGGAGGCTAACTGTTCCTCCCAGGACCACCGACACATCGTTTGTTGAGCACCCCCCAAGTACCGTCTCTTCGAAGCCCACTCCGAGATACAACAGTCGCGGTACAACTCGAGGTATTGCTCGAGGGAGTACTCGAGGGACCTCCCGCGGCACAGTGTATAGCCGATATGCGACGAGAGGCACTGCAAGTGCAAGTGGCCGTGCTCGACCCAGCGCTTTGCCCCGGGGCCGCGGGATGAAATGAGCTGCAATTGTGGCGACAGATGGTGGCCCGGGTCACCGCGAATAGCGTTAGCTGTGAACTGTGAATGCTGTGGGGATCATAACTGGGAACCGAGCTGGCTCGAAGGACACTGTAATTATTACGAACATGAAACGAAATGAAGCAGACAAAGAAGTGCGCAAGTCCTTGTAGCGTAGTTGATGCGGCTGCCGCAGGCGGAGAACGCGATTGATCGGCAAAATCGGGCTCGCCAGAAAAAGGACCGAATGGCAAATCGCTTTGTCCTCCACTTGGAGATTCTGGGGTTCTTGGATTGCCCTGCAAAACTCGAGGAGTTCGTGTTCGCTCAACAGTCAGTGGGTTTGCAACCAATCCCTGAGGACTGTCACGCCTACATCGAGCGGCAACCCTCTAGGCTGAATCGGGTCGGATCCCCTCGGTCACTCCGTTCACTGGTATAGAGTCCCGCCTCTGGCATTCACGACAATCCGCTCTCCCAATTTGTGTTTATACTTGTGAAATGCTGCCAGTGTCCAGAGGGATTTAAGACTCAATTGCATCCTTTCCAACCTTACCCAGCCTTCGGCCAAGCGCTGGTCTTACATTCCTCCGTGTTCTTCCTGCATAGAAGGCTGGAACCTTCTACTCATCCTTCCTTTCGACCCTCAATACCCCTGTTCCCTCAACCATTTAGCCTGATTCCCCTTATTTGGCTGCCATGACGTCTTTAACAACCGTGGCCAGCCTGGAGTCCGTCCAGCTCCTCTCGGAGGCTTCTTATGGCTGTGGTATGTATGGGTCCTTCCTTTTGATCGCGACAGAGAAATAATCCTGCTCCAGAACATCTCGCCGCGGTGTTGGGCGGTTCAAATGCGGACCAATTCAAGCGGAGCTTTTGTTCCCAATACGAGTCTTTGGCCCCATACACCAAGCCAGAGGCCGTGGCCGTCCAAACAACGGGACTCCGGACTGTCTCCTCTCTGAAACCGAAATATCACTGTTTGACCTGTTCTGAAATCTGCCTGAGTACAGAGAGACGGGCGCATACCAAATCAACCGGTCATGTTTTCTGTAGGTCAGGATCAGATAACTTGTCTCTTGAGAGACTAATATCTTTGGGATAGATTTGGAATCTCGTAATCGATATGTCTTCTGCGAGTCATGTGCCGACTTTGTCTACGACCATGGCCTAGAAAGACTCGCTGGTCCAATGGCCAAATATGAGGCAGATTGTATGTTCCCCGATTTTCAGTCCTATACCCCCGGCTTGCCCACTCCTGACCAAGACTTAGATGGCAAAGCAAAATGGGTACCGGATGCAGCGTCCGATGCTTATGTGAAGAACAACGCCAACAAGAATCCTTGCTCCCGTCGGGGTGCTCGTGGCGTGTGGAATATGGGCCAGACTTGTTACCAAGCCGTCATTCTCCAAGCCTTACTCCATGACCCATCCTTGAATGCTTACTTCCTCGCGGGGGGCCATGATATCCATACCTGTGAGCGTAGCTTTTGTATGGCCTGCGCTGCCGCTGAGGTTTTCATGGACTTCAACAGCGGAGAAAAGACAGAGGCAGTTTCTGCCGCTACCCTTCTCTACCATGGCTGGGACGCATCCCGGGTAAGTGGCTTCAGAGAGTTCCAGATAGCCGCAAGGAATATCGTGCTGATTTCACGTACAGGAAATGGCTGGCCACCGCCAACAGGATGCTCATGAATATTTTCAATTTCTCGTGAATGCGCTCCACGCTTCCACGCCAGGACACAGTGAGAGCTACGAGGAAAAATGCCAGTGCTTTTTCCACAAAACCTTCTATGGTGAGTTGCGCAGTAGTGTCATGTGTCACAAATGCGGGAAAACCACACATACATACGATCCTATGGCGGATCTCAGTCTCGATGTTCAGTTGCAGAATAAGAAACGGAAGCTGGGTGCTCGATCTGCGACTTCCCTGTCCAATGCAACGTTGGTCGGCTGCCTTGAAAGCTTCACTGCTGTCGAGGACTTGCACGCCGACGCCGCTTATCACTGTGAGAAATGTGGCAATACCCCTCAGAGAGCGTCCAAGCGACTGCAAATCCACCGACTTCCTGCCATTCTTTGCATGCAACTCAAGGTTCGTCATCGGTCTCCTGTCTCAAGCAAATTTGTCCTAACATGCTTTCCAGCGCTATGAACACAACTCGACTTCTTCAGAGAAGGTGAACGGCCACATCGACTTTCCTTTGACCCTCAATATGCTCCCATATACTGTCAAGAAAGACAAAGAGCGGGTAGACACATCTCGCTATATCTACGATCTTTCCACCGTCGTGGTCCACCAAGGAACCATGGACTCCGGTCACTACTTCGCCTACACCCGTGTAGCCGGCGACAAGGTATGTGAAAACGCTTCGCACTGCTGAGGCAGAATACTGATAATGGACCGATTTAGTGGGTCCTCATGGATGACAACAAAGTTACCGTTGCGAGTGTCGCCGATGTCCTACGCCAAGATGCTTACTTGCTGTTCTACGGGATTCGTTCGATTGAAAGAGAGAAGAGCTCGTGACCAAGACGTAATCCCAACAATAGATTCTGCGGGGCGCATTGTAAATTAATAGGTTCAGAGCAAACTTGACATTGGTATCTAGTACGACACCCTCTTTCGAGTCAGTCCACATTCGATAGATCTGTCCGCTTGGCCAAAGACTGCGCAAAATTACTCAGCAGTGTCGCATAGTCCCTATATCTACTTTGGCACCCGTTCCAGACACAGGCACAAAGTTATGAGGAAAATGAAGCTACGAAGGCATGAGAGCCCGTTGAAGCCCAGCTAGGCACGGAAATAGGTAAAGGCGCGAAACGTCGACAAGTCAACCGTAGAGCCCCAGGTGAAGTTAAATCCGTCATTGATATTGGGTAAGAAAATAGGATGAGGGTTCACATAACATCCTCCTTTTTCAAACAAAACTCCTTTCGCACAACATCTTTGATCCCTCCTGCACCATCCGAGTTGCGAGCAAAATATCCTGCCTCCAGAACAGACCAACAACCACTTTTTTAATGGAGGCGCCACGCGAAGGAAAGTGGACGCGATTGCATTCTCCTACCCGGGCGATGAAGATGACCGAACGCCAGGTAGTTCTAGTATGTAGACGCGAATGAATCGAGGAGGAATTCACAGGTGGACACGTTTTTGATTTGCTTAGCGGTACTGTGCAGCTCGTCAGTCATGCCCTGAAGGGTCGCCGTACCTTCTACTGCGACGAGTTGTTTCCGAGGATTGGGTCGCTGAATAAGGCGAGGTAGGTATGATAGGGTAGAGTAGGGTAACGAACCTTGTGGAAACCGATGTCGGAGGACTTCTCACGGAAGCACTGACGGCAGATGTCCATCTGCGAAGTGATACATTAGTTCTGAGGTCGAACGACTTGGGTTCACCAGCTAGTCGCTGTGCAGGGGGAATCAACATACACCGTACTTGCGGATGAGACCAGCGGTGTGGTTGCAAACACGGCTGAAAACAAGCGAGCAAAGATTAGCCATCATGTTCCATCTCGAATGGTTTTGTGGTCCCTCATTTTCCGCCTGCAAATGCACACATTCCCATCCGCTCCAGTTCCTTTCGCAGACGATCTCGTGTTCGCTTTCTTCGAGGGTAAATGGGGCGTGGGTTATGATGGAGGAGCATACCAAGAACGAGAGCCCTTGCCGTACCTGTTGTCTCGTTAGCGGCCGTCAGGCCATCGGGGTAGAAGGATTGGACTTACTTGCGGGGGCGGCTGTACCAAACGGACTCGTGAGTCATCTTGAGATGTTGTCGGAGGGAGGTTTGAGGGGTGGTTGACGGAGAGGGTCGTTGGCGCAGTTGAAGGACTGAAGATGATCGATAGGGTTAGAAAATAGTGTGTGCTGCCCCGGTGTGGGTGCACAGACCAGCTCGCTTGATTTTCGCAATTTAGCACTAGCCCGTAGGGGAAGGTGCACGTGATTTAATCACGTGATAATAATTAGCAGCTGGACCGGATACGCATGAACTGATCGAGTATCCAGCGTGCATGGTTTCAGGACAAGAAGGCACCCTGGAGTATGAGGACAGACTTTAATACTAAACTCCCTACTGTCACATACAGTCAACAAAGTTCAAGCTCAATGGGTTCCAAGCGCAAGGATCATGGATACCATCTTTCTAATATGGACAAACTTCCCAAGTCATACATTCCAAGCGAGAAATATGAAACAAAGTGCACTTGTCGCTCTTTTCTTGAAAGGTGCTTCAATCAACCCAGACGACGCATCAATGTATAGCCTTTAGCATCGCAAAGGGGACTGGTTGGTCAATTGACTATAGTGGGGTTTCATTTTCAGTACGTCAGCGGCTCAAAGACCCTGGGTACTAGTCATCAATCTCAGATTCCACGTCTGATGTGAAACTCGCCCCGCGTTACTCCGTCCTGCGTTACTCCGTCCTTAGGTCATTTCTACATTGCTCTGTGGTTCCATATCTGTATCCGCCGGTCCGGAGCTGCTGGTAGATGGTCAATCATGTGGGATATGGCAAGCCGCAAGGAGCGTGGCACGTCATCTCCGCATTTTTCATGCGCACGACTATCATCAGCATCCTTACTCCGTACTCCGCGGAACATTACACCAGTCCAAACTTATTGGGCCGATGGGCGGGCATCTATCTCCTCGACAGGATTTATGCTCCGCGCGCTCGGATCAAGCAGGGTCTGCCAAGCCAGTCAAGTAGTTATGCCGATCTGTCGATCCTTTCACGAACGGCACAGAGTAGCATTGGCGCTATATGCATGCGCAAAGTCATACAGGAATTACCACACAGAGAGGGGATGAAGCCGTCTCCGACATGGGGATCAGTGGGAACAAGAGAGAATAAGCAAGTTGTAAGGATACCATTAACCATGGCAGCCATCAGGCTACAATGCACATACGCAGCTATGCTCTCCCCACTCGGCATTTGCATCTCAACCTTGGAATCGTAGGACGCCAGCCACCCGTGTGGTAGCCTAATACAGGGCGCTGCAGCTTGTCACACCGTCTGATTTCTACAAAAGCCCCCGATCGCTTCGCTAAATGCTCGTATGATCTGCCTAGAGGCGACAAGTGCTCGGAAGCCCGCGACTCCTCTGTATACGAGTATAAATCGTACGTCTTAAATCAAGAGATGCGGAGGAAGTCCCCTCGCGCAAAAAAGAAAAAAAAGAAAAAAAAAGAACTTTGAAGAGAACAAGGCCCTTACTCAGCGGCAGGTGAGCGGAACGGGGGGTGCGTGTGCGTGCGTCGCGTTTGCCGGAAGGCGGCGGATAGTCAGAGCTCGCTCGATGGACCCAGGCCAATCAGACCAAGCGAAGATCATCAGGCTTTTAGGCGGCCTTTGCCCTCTATACTTTTAGAATCTTGCCTAGTGAACGAGCCCCCGTGCCATACTAAATCGTGGTCCTTTAAAATTATCGACCCACGCGCCTCCTAACTCCGATCCTCGGATGTATCGGCTCGGGAGCATTCTACTCATTTAGTAGAGCAGCTCTCTCGCGACAGCTGCATCCCCAACGACTGGACATTTTGCAAGACGGGGCCACCTTTCAGAAGATCGGATCTAAAGGACACCCCGCTATTGAAGGGCTAGCATTGTCGAAAACAAGACTTGAAGCTGCGACACTTGGCCTGGCCCGTCGCGCCAGGAAAAGGGGACCTGCATATTTGCGCCACTTATTCCGTATACGCGTTGTTGGTTGAGCCACAGCCAGATAAACCACATGGTTCTGTGGAGGAGGCGCGGCGAGAGGGAGTTTTCCGTCGTCACATGTGACTCGACGCATTCTGGGCTCTTTAGTGTCTTGCACCACATTGTCGTGCTGAGCTGAGTACGGAGTAATGCAACTTCATGTTTGACAGCCACCCCTGGAGCCATGGAACCATCCAGATTAGTAGGGATCTGAGAGCACATGGTCTTTTGTGCCTTGAATCGGCAGCTCCAGCATGGTGGGTTCAGTCCAGAACCTTATCGTGTGGCTAAGTGGTTGGCTGATCTCAAGAACTCCAGAGCTCCAGGGCTTGTACGACTCCGAGCTTAGAAGGCGAGGTTCTACGCTGCGTACGGTTCAGGGCTGACTCTAAAGCACAGCGATCGGATACTAGTGGAAATTCCCCAAAGCATCTGAGCTCATGTCAGAAGCCTCAAATCCCGTGGGTTCCCCACCCAACGGCGCGGCTCGGATGAAGCAGAGAGCGAAGGCCGGAGCAGGGATGTTCCAGGAGGCTGGTGCCGGGGTCCGACAAAAAGCCCTCTGCTGACAGGCCTGGGTTTTCCCGTCTCCCGTCTCATGCAGATCGCTATAGGATCATGCGATGGGGAAGGAACCTGTGGCCTGTTTCTCATTGCATTACTCCGTACGGAGTAGATGCCCTGATTTCTTGCCTTGGCAGCGGCATACTCCACATGAGTGACTCTGGGGGAATTTAGGCAGCGAAGATTGGTCTGTTCATGGAACTATGTATCTCGGAGCGGTGAAACCCCAAGTCTAGAAAGCGACCTCCTAACTGGGGAGAGATCTGGCTCGGATTTATGGTATACAATCCCGTCTTGTCCGCACTGGACCTCCGCAATATGAGTTTTTCCTTCTTTTTCTTTTCTTTTTTTTTTTTTTGTTGGATATAGCCCAAATTCCTGTAGTCCATGTGCGGAGCTTCTGGGGATCCACTTGCCAACTAGTTCCGGCGCCTCGATGGATGAAGTCAACCCCCGATCCAGGTACTGGTGCGTGCACCTTCTGACGAGCTTACCCGACTCATCCGGCCTCCTTTCCCTTCGGTTTGCTTCGTGTCCACTTGATTGGTCATAGATCGAAGAATCGCCCAGAACCCACTAGTCGCGCTAATCCCGGTCGATATTCAATACTAATTTTTTTTTTTTTGGGTGGGTACTTCCGTGAGTAATGGCCTGGTCGCGCGATGATTGATATGGGATGATTCTCTTTTTTCTATGGTCGTCTGAATGACCGTTTGACCGCAAGAAGCGATCGTGTATGGGCGGGGTTGCGAGCAGTCGTAAGGTGCAGAAGGAACGAGGGGGGGGGGGAGGAGTAGACCCCTTGGAGCTATTAGCTGCAGGAAATCCCAGCTGGACTCTGCCGGAGGAAGAGTGACCATGACACATGCACCCTTGGCCAGCTCGGACAAGGTTTGGGAAGCAGTGCGGGATGAATCATGAATCGGCACAAAGGGGTGATATCTCCAGACCCCCCAAGTTGGGCCCAATCAGCGCCTCGCCTGCTGGGATTCCGAAGGCCTTATGCCCACGCACTGCCGTCTAAGTGGAAATAGGCCTTGGATCTGGATTTGGGCCTTTTTTTTTGGGCCTTTTTTTTTTTGTTCTTTTCCTTTTCTTGTAAAGGTAGCTTTCCGAATTTTCCATAGGAGAATATAGCTCTCAGTAACGTCATAAACCCGGCCTTCCGTTCCTTATTTCCTGATTAATTTGCTCACGCTCGGACCTGCCGCAGCTCTTTTATATTCTGCCCCCCCCGTATACTTGCTTGTCAGCCCTACTATCTTCGCGTCTCAGCTGTCAGCGTCCCCAACCACCGTTCAAATCTCTGGCCAGAATTAGCTTCGGACTGGCGACAACTCCTCGCTTTGATCTGTGGAGGATTGAGGACAGAAGAACCCCGGAGTACAAAGCGTGCAGGTTCTCGAGCTGCATTTCCGGCGTTACGTCACTATTGGCAGCAGCTCTAGAACCCGGAGCTCCGACTAGAGCTGTTCATACCTCGTAGCTTCGAAATCACCTAGCTGGCAAGCTTGCGACGGGGAAGGCGACAACAATGCGATCCGTTGTGACCCAAGTCGCTTTTGCGACGCTCTTCCTCGCCTCGGCGGCGATTGCGCACGGCGACGAGCCAATGGACATGGACATGGACATGGATATGCACGCGAGTCCAAGCAGCTCGGTGCCTACGACTACATCGTCCCCGAGCTCCGAAACTAATGGGCCCATGAGCTATTTCGCCTACGGCAAACACTCTAGCACCATCATGGCGCATGTCGCGCTGATGATCCTCGGTTGGTGTTTCGTTCTTCCAGCTGGTAAGTGTTTTTAAACAAGTTCAAGTTCCGGAGAAACAAAATTTCTTTTCACCTCAGGCTTGAATCATCCGGGGCGATCGACTAACTTTTAATAGCGGTCATGCTTAGCGTCGCGCGTTCGCGGCTTGCGATTCCGTCGCAATTCTTGTTTATGATCGTTAACGTTGTCGGGTTGCTCTTTGGCATTATCTACAACAGTCAGACACCGGATCTGTACGAGAATAACGCGCACCACAAGATTGGCTGGATTGCAACCTGGGTAATCGGCACCCAGATCGTACTGGGTTTGATCACCACGTACGCTGGGCGCGGCGAGTCTACGTCCGCTGCGCCGTCGTACGAGCATGCGACTTTCTTGCCTGTTGCCACGGACGATCATGAGAACGCGTACCCATGCGGCCCGCTACATGAATACCGCTGGTCTCGCGATAGTGGGCAGGGCACTGAGCCCGGTTCCTCTATTCACAGCCCGGGCTCTCCCGTAGAGCCGGAGGGCTTTGATGGATTCGAGAAGCCGGAGGATCCCATTCCTCAGCCAGCTCTCCCCCGCAGTTGGTTTCCAACGGTTTTCATGGATCACTTCCTATCTCGGCGCATTCCCGGCATGGTTTCGAACCGAGTGCTCCGAATCTTCAGCGTTGTATACAATGTTATTGATCGTATCATCCTGCCGTTCGGATTTATCGCCATTGCCACAGGAGCTGTGACCTACGGAGGCATCATGCGAAACCGCGAAATCTTTAATGGATTGGCACACTTCATTAAGGGTGGGATCTTTTTCTGGTACGGAATTTTGACCCTGGGCCGCTTCGTTGGCTGCTGGGCGGATCTTGGCTGGGCATGGAACAAGAAGCCTTCTGCGCCTATCGTCGAGGGCTGGAAAGCCAGGGTCCCATCCGGGGAGTTTGTCGAGTCCCTCGTCATCTTCTTGTATGGAATCACCAATGTGTTCCTCGAGCATCTGTCCAGCTGGGGTGGCGCTTGGTCCGCCACCGATCTCGAGCATGTTTCGATCTCCGTCATGTTCCTTGGAGGTGGTCTGGTATGTATTGGGCTTCCCCCTGCCGGTTTTGACGGGTTGAGAGGAATCAGATTGACTAATTGTTTTAGGCTGGCATGCTTTTCGAGTCGGCACGCATTCGTGATGCCCTTAACCACACCGTCCTCCGTACGCCCGCCCACGGCACCCGCGACGAAAGCTGGCAGGCGCCCCCGACCCAACGCGTCCCTCTCAACCCGATGCCGGCCCTGATCATCTTGTTGCTGGGAATGATGATGGGCTCCCACCACCAGACGAGCATGACATCGACCATGGTCCATAAGCAGTGGGGCAACATGTTGGTTGGGTTCGCGTTGGCTCGTGGAATGACTTATGTGTTGGTGTTCCTCCGCCCTCCCACTTCGTATCTCCCGGCACGCCCTCCCACCGAGATCGTCTCCTCGTTCTGTTTGATCGCCGGAGGACTCATTTTCATGCTAAGCGTAAGTTTTGGAAGTTCCCCCGGATGAGACTCCCTGGAGACTGACTAGAGGGACAGACACGTAATGTAATTGAAGCTATGGAATACTATGAACTGGATGCGATGTTCACCTTCACCGTGGGAATGGGCTTTACGGCGTTTATCATGGCTCTGGAGGTCCTTGCTATCGCGCTCAAAGCTTGGGCTGTCAAGCGCGAGCATCGCCCGCAACTGACCTACCGGTTCCCTTGAGTCTTAATCTCCTTCTGTTCTGCTTTTTGATACCCCATTACACGTACGCGATATTTGTCTTTGCCCACGGATGTTTAATGGGGGGTGTCTCTACCCTTTGACGGGACTGGATTCATTGACCTTTCTCTCCGCTTATACCCTGAGAGGCCATGATCCTGTCCTGGGATTATGGAAATGATTTGCGATGGCTGTTTTCTTGGATTGTTGGAATGATTTCACGTACTAATGGTACTAATGATGCTGTATTTATGTGAGGGTCTTGCTTTAGACCCTGAGAATAATCCACCCCTTTTTTGAAATTACGTTGACCCAAGTATCTGAAGAACGACAAGTAGGCGACTGGTTCGGACGTCCGACCTTCGTGAACCTTCGTCGGAGCAGCCGGATGCGGGAGAAGTTTTCGGAGTTATCGTCCATGGCGGCTGTAAACTCCGAACTGTGCGGGAGTGCGTACCGGCAAGACTACTTCCCCCCTCCATGAGACGGTTCAGCGTCATTCGTGCGAGTCTCTGCAATATCCCATTGGCCTGTCTACTGTGTCTACTCTGTGCCTCTGAATGGGGCGATGGTATCCTGTAGCCGCTCAGGGCCCTTCTCCGATTCTCCAACAGGGATTCTGTCGGCACCAGTGATTAGTCGTGCTTCATCCGCCGAATCGTACAGTAGGTGGGTCCGTTAGGTCATAGAAGATTCCTCAACTTGGAATTGATTGGGGCTTTCAAATCAAAGATCTTCCCCAGTGACCTCGTATCTATTAAAGCACCTTGCACGCTAGATTAAACGTTCCCAGAAAAAAAAAAGTTCTTACCCTTCCCGCTGCCCCCCACCTACCACCTCAACTTCGTTACCCCTCACCTGGACGAGTTCATCATGGCTTCTCCCTGCTGTACTTCTGGCTTCAAGCACGAGGGTACTCCTGTCGGCGAGATCAAGGACGCCAACGGAAGTGAGTTGCGGACGTGAGCCATATTGTAAAAGACCAATTGAAAGCTGACCAATTCATATGTTGGCAGTCGCCACCTACTTTGCTACCCCAAAGAAGAACAAGAACCCTGAGCATGCTATTCTCTTCATCTCCGATGTCTTTGGGCACTTCAACAACAACAAGCTGCTGGCCGATGAATTTGCCAACCAGGGCTACTTGACCGTTCTCCCGGACCTGTTCAATGGTAACCCAGTCCCTGCGGAGGCCATGGATGCCGGCAAGTTTGACCTCGGCTCTTGGATCGTCAACTACCAGCCCGATGTCATCGACCCCATCCTCACCACCATGATCAAATACCTCCGTGAGACTCTCGGGGTGAAGCGCATCGGTGCTGTGGGCTACTGTTTCGGTGCTAAGGTTCGTGGTTTATTTGAGAGGCTAGGATTCCGTGTTGCATCAATATTGACCAGCCATTTATAGTACGTCAACCGGTTCTTGAGGAAGGGTAAGATTGACGTCGGCTACTACGCCCACCCTTCTTTCTTCACCATCGAGGACGTTTCTGCCATTGAGGGACCCCTCTCGATCGCTGCTGCCGGTAAGTGGTCCCATAAGGCGTGCAAGGAGAGACTGTGTCTAACTTGGGAGTCTAGAAATTGACCCTGTCTCCCCCCCTGAGCTTCGTCACGAGTCGGAAGCTGCTCTGATCAAGACCGGCCAGCACTGGCAGATCAACCTGTATAGTGGCGTTTCTCACGGATTCGGTGTCCGCGGTGATCTGAGCAACCTTCAATTTAAGTGGGCTAAGGAGCAGGCCCATGCCCAGGCTGTTGCGTGGTTTGACCACCATCTGTAAGCCAATTCAATATATCCCCACACTGAGAGGCGTGGTTGGTTAGATCTGCAGCCCCCGGGTGATCTGGTGTATAGAATTCTATGCTGATACGAGCGTAGAAATGATCCCAAAGTGCAGACAGCTAGATTATGAGTAATGAAATCTTGGAATATCATTAAGAGCAGTTGTATCCAGAGAGCTTTCACCGCAATCTCTAGAGTAATAGGAGGCAGTCCCATTAGTGAGCACACCTAGACCCTGCTGCTTTGCAGGCATAAGCACGACGCAATATCCAAGGTAAGACCCTTGATTCGAATTGGACAAGCAAGTTGAGAGTCTCGAGATGTAAATACTGGCACCACAGATCAGAGTCGAAGGGATTATATTGGCCTCTATTGTCGGTCGATCAGGCGGGCGAACGTTCAAAAGTCTCCGGCTCATGGTCGACCAATGCCATCTTGAGCCCCTTTTGTTCAGCATTTATTGTCCTACAATTTCCACAACCAGCTGAATTTGCCTCTGCATTCCTCTCAGTCTCCCTGTGGTTCCTGCATTTTCAGAAATTGCGCCGGGCAGCCCCTGGATTGGGAGTACTGGGGGTCGGGCAAATCCACTCCTCACGTGTCGCGTTGTTCCCCGACTTCTGGCGACCAGATCGCGTGCCGTAGATCCTTCCCTTTCGTCTCCGCGGCGTTCATCCCTCGCTCCACTCCGATTCTTTTGTCAGGAGCCCTCTTTCTCTCCTTCTTTCGGTCTTGCCCGCTTCTAAGCCTCGCGGTCATACTTCCTGCCCCTTCTTCGGTCGCTCTGCCTTCAAGACCCCCCCGATCCTTCCGAACGCCCATTGAAGGCTGATCTCTTCCAGTAACAGTAGTCGTGTCGCAGGCAGTTTGTGCGCGACCTTCGCCAATCCATAATCAAGATGGCTACGCCAGCTGCATTACCGCCGCTGCCCTTCAACCCGTCGCGGGTTCGATCATATCTGATGCGGTTACCCTTGTTCACTCGGCTGGTACTGCTGGTTATCGTTGCTTTCTGGCTGTTAGAATTGCAAACTCTTTGGAGCGTGGTGCAATGGGGCTCCCTCACTCCCGATGAGATCAACCTTGGGTCCAGTACGTATCTCGCCGTGAAGAGACTCGGACGAGATCCTGATCAGAGATCGCTAACTCTCCGCTTGTTCTTCAGTGTATCGCCTCAACACCTATCCGATCATCCACACTGGATTTTTCCATGCCCTTATTAATACATTGGCATTGACGCCGCTTCTGGAACGGTTCGAGGCTGAGCATGGTACTCTGACTGCCGTTGCCTTGTTTGTTGGACGTGAGTCCGGCACCTTTGGATCCTTGAGTGATGCGCGGGCATATTGATAACCTGTCTTCTCGTATAGCGCTTTCAACTTTCCCTGCCGGTCTTTATCTCCTGATCGAGAAAGGTATCCTCCATTGGAACACACCAGTCATCGGAGCAAGGTGAGAGAAGGGATCTTGGATATGCCCCCCAATACAGCCCTGTTCTGACTTATGCGCTGTAGTGTCTGGGTTTTCTTACTTCTGGGCTCGGAGGCCATCCGAACTTATAAGTCAAACCCTCACTTCAGGTAGGTGAAGCAGATGCCATCATCATGCAGGTTTATATCACTGACACGTCCCTTAGTCTGGGTCCGTATAAAATCCCTACCTGGACCTCTCCATTGCTTGCCTGCGCTGTGCTATCCATCCTGGTGTCCAATGTCAGCTTCCTGGGCCACCTATGTGCTATCGCCGTGGGCTATCTATGTGAGTTTCTATTCCCCCCTTCCGGATATCCGAGGTCCTTGTAGCTAATTCAACCAGTTGGCCTCGGGTATCTCAAGGTCTTTGTTCCACCAGAGAAGGTCCTTCGGTGGATCGAGGGCAAGCTCAATCTTTTGGGCCGTCTGCCTCATTATGTGTCCGTCGACCAGAAAACCTTCGGGCGCTACGGGCTCTTGCCCACCTCTGCTGGCGCAGCAGCAGGCAACGGGAATCAGGTTCCCATGAACTACCTCGGGACCTCTCAGCGACTTGGGGGCGCCGCATAGGGCCCCGAAAGAGCTCAAAGACCTGAAAGACCGCGTTGATTCTTCACTTCAATTTCCCTGTATATTTTGCCATAATTTCTATTTAGTATTGGGGACGCGAGCTATCATGATAAGATGGGAAAGAAAACCTGGGTCTGAACGACAAAGCATTTGGGATTGTGCACAAGGATGTTTGACTGTTTTATATAGCGAGATTAGATCGCATCGAATCTGCGGGGCTGGTCCGTCCCGCCCGGCGTAATAATTCCTCCATAAACATCGCGCATCTACCGTGTCTGAAGTTCTCTTCTGCGGGCTTCGCCAAAGTCTCTCAAGTTAATTGTTCGGGTGCCAGACGGTAGAAGGAACGGCCGTATCCATGGTCTGCAAAGAATGGCGTTGAAATGTAAGTGTTGATCTGGATGTCGCTCCGTGTCCTCTCCGCAACAGCTCCGCCCTTGCAAGGACACATTACCTTGACACGGTGCCTGGCCTTTCCAAGCTGTAATGATCTAATCATGATTCTAGCTGCGATCCGCGACCTGCGGAACAAACCGGATCTCCTCTTCTTGCGCCTCCCAAACCTAGTGTCGCTTGTGTGCATCGTCGTCGGCGTTGTTTGGCTACTTCTCCTCCCCTTGAACGAATACTCCCGTCGCACATATATCTCCGAAAATGCCCTGTTGCCAGGCCAGGTTCACGCCTATTTCACCGGCAGCGAGCAAAATATCTTCCGGGGCTATAAACGAGAGATTGAGGGTCTGCTGAACGAAGGGGCCGAGCCTCCGGCTAGGAGAGAGGATACGACTTTGAATCCAACGTACGTTGAACAGCAGGACTCGAGAATGGCATATATGGTAGATGTGGCTAATATGTCTACAGAATATCCGAAAAAATTGCGCTCGATTCTGCAGGTTGCGGGTCTCAAAGTGGCGACACAGAAATACGAGTATACCTCCGCTGGTATCACCCATCAGGGGGAAAATGTGTATGGCATTATTCACGCTCCTCGGGGCGATGCAACCGAGGCAATTGTATTGGTCGCTGCATGGAGAACTGCGGATGATGAATTGAACCTCAATGGTGTCACTTTGGCATTGACATTGGCACGATACTTCAGGCGTAAGTGTGCTATCCGCAATGTGTCTGCGGAGCTATGATACCTCAGAACAACAGCTAACAGCCGTCTTGCCATGTAGGATGGTCGTTGTGGTCTAAAGACATCATTTTCCTTTTCACCCCCGATAGCAAATCCGGGACCCAGGCATGGGTTGACGCCTACCATGATCTCCATCCAGCATCCGTGCAACCACTCCCATTGAAAAGTGGCGCGCTGCAAGGAGCAGTCGTCATTGAGTACCCCTTTGAGCACCGGTTTCACAGCCTCCATATTGTCTACGATGGTGTCAATGGTCAATTGCCCAATCTGGATCTATTCAATACGGCGGTTGCCATCGCAAGTGGCCAGATGGGGATTGGAGCCAACCTGCAAGAAATGTGGGATCACAATGACAGCTATGAGGCCCGTCTGCAAACTATCTTGCGGGGAATGGCCAAGCAAGGACTTGGATATGCAACTGGGGCTCACAGTAGCTTTATGCCTTACCACATCGATGCCATCACTCTCCAGCCTAAGGGCCAGGGCTGGGAAGATGAGATGGCATTGGGCCGGACGATCGAGAGCCTCTGCCGCAGCTTGAACAACCTGCTGGAGCACCTCCACCAGAGCTTTTTCTTCTACCTTCTCATGGAATCGCAACGATTCGTGAGCATAGGCACGTATCTGCCTAGTGCTATGTTGATCGCTGGGAACTTTACCATCATGGCTATTGCTCTGTGGATGCGCACCGGATACCATCTTCGTTCTGCGCCCAGTGAGCCTCGCACGCCCCAGAAGGAACAGAACCCAGCGCCTGTGACCGAAAAGACTGAACAGACAGCTCGCATCAGCGGACCTCCTGTGGTGGAACGCCTGCTCGCTCTGCCGTTGACGCTGGTCACTGGACTCCACCTGCTCGGTCTTGTCCCCCTCTGGACCTTGAATACCCTTTCTCATCAGGTATGTGTGTCCATGCAGCTGTTCCAGCCCACCCGTAAGCTTTATACTGACTCTGCTCCTTTAGTTCTTCACCTCGGTGACCTACACTTTTGTTGTGGTGGACGTCGTACTTCCGTTGGTCCTGGCTGCTCTACTATCTAACGGATTGGGGTTGTTTTCACCGATCGTTCCGCAGCAGTACTTGCTCATCAAGTCGTTTTCATTGCTGCTCCTCGGACTGTGTCTTTCTACGTTGGCCACGCTCAATTTCTCTTTGTCTTTTATCATCGGTCTCCTTTGTGCGCCACTCAGCTTCATCGGCCGTCTTCAAGGCCTGTCAGCGCCGCTCCGCTATGGACTTGCCGTCTTCGGCCTTGTTTTGTTGAACCTGCTGTCCCCGCCCACCATTCTCCTCGGTGCGTGTTGGTACTTTGGCGTGTCTGTGGAGACTGTGCTGACGCAGGCCGCGTTTGGGTGGGATGTATGGGGAATGTGGACGCAGGTGGTGGTGTGGTGTGTATGGTGGCCTGCATGGCTAATTGGGTGTGTTCTGTTGGGATCATCCGTCTTCTAACCTCGTCACAATAGAAAAGAATTTAAGGTGTTACCATCGTGATTTACTGTTTTCCCTTCTCTTTTAGTTCCAAAGCATAAATCAAATCCACTTGGTTCGTTTCATTATAGATAAAAAGTGGCTACCGAGCAGGGGGGGATCATGCAGCCCAGACATCCTTTCCAACGCCCTCAATCCAGTGACCCAATTGATTCACACCGGCATCCCAGTCTTTCAGCCGGTTGCGCATGCCCTCAATCTGCTTCATATCCAGAACCTTGGGCTGTACCCAGTGAATCTGAGCCACCTGAGCCACCTGGTCAATGGATCCCCGCAACAAGCCGAGCGACAGGGCCTTCATGACCAAATGCTCGATCTCGTTAGGCTGCACCTTGGTTTCGGAGGAAATGGCGGCAAAGGCGAGAGAACGGTCGTGTGGTGGGCGGCGAAACACCATCTCCGTCAGCGCCGAGAGGGAGATCTTTTGGTACAAGAACATCCGGTGGGACGCTAGCATCTTGTTCTTGGAGATATTACCCGCAAGGACATCGTATGCCGCCAAGTCACCACGGTTGAAGGCGAAGAGTAGCTCACGCAGCCAGTTGTGTGGGGTCGGGGTCAACGTATCCAGGATGGGGTGCAATAGGAGCTCGCCAAAGTTATAGATCGAGTCGGAGACAAGAGCCGCAATGCTCAGGTTGTAGGCCCGCGAGAGGCGTTCTGTCTCTGACAGGTCTTCGAGGTTGATACATGCGAGGTAAAGAGGGGCATTTTTGTAGAAGGAGGCGAATTCTTGTTGAGCCTAGGAGAATGGTTAGTCTGGAGAATACTCATCCACGTCACGTTCACGATCCTAATCGTCGATTTCTGACTCTGAAAAAAAAGAAGCGACGCTGAGCAACGTACATGATAGTAGTCGGCATTCACTTTGTAGAAAGATGCATGCACAACGGTCTCAACCGAATCAAACGAGTCCAGTACTCGCTGGCAGGATGCCAGGTCCTTCTGTGCCCCATCAAAATCCGGCAGCCGCAGCTTGACATTTGCCACATCGGCTAGCGCGTAGACATAGGCATCTTGTGAATCGGGTTTATCCACCTTGGCGGCGAGGGATGTGAGGAAGGCTAGTCGCTCTTTGTCATCTGTCGGCGGCATGAGATAATTAGCTTCAATTCCAGATGTCGCGCGTTTTTACCCAGGAGAGGCCTTCATGGAAGAGGTCGTACCTGCACACTCTGTAGATGCCATCAAGCCCAAGGACACGAATTTGAGCTGGTTGATCCGGTCGGCGAAGCTGAGCACAAAGTTCTTGAAGATGGCTAATCGCTGAGGAGCGCTCTCCGGTAGCTTGAAAAACTCCACCAATGCGTCGGTGAGCTGATGCCATAACTTGCGCTCCCAAAAGTCTTCGAATTTGAGAAAGTAGGTTTGCGCCTCCGGGGTGCCATTTGCTTGCTGCTCGGCGAGGAAGTCTGGGATCTGGGACGACTCCATGGTGGAGGGACTGTTACAGTGAGTGCCCCGAGGGAAGGGAGAGGGATGAGAATGAAGAGAGGAAGGAGAAGGAACGAGGGATGGAATCCAATAGAGAAAGAGACGATGACTGAGATGAGATGCGGCCGATGATGTCTTGGGCGGAGAGCTTCCGGGCGGTGAAGGAAGCTCACATCGCCAGTTGCCCTGTAAATCAGGCTGCCAGTCGAACAATCGACGTGACAGCTAGAGATCGTTACCACCTGGGAATGATGCTTGCGGTTTGAATATCGACTGCATTCAGCTTATGCTCGTTCGCGTAGTGGAGGCCTCGATTCATGGCTTACATGTTCATGTGGGAGGGAGATCCTTGGCAAACCATATATTGAGTATGAAGCACGCATTGTGTAGCTGGGCGTCCGGAGACATATTTGTTACTAACCTACTCAAAGCATTCGCCCTTGAAGTGCGTTTCCAAATGTCTCCGAACTTGGCTAACCTGAATCAAGCGTCCGCCCTCGAGACGTGCGAGAGGAAGTCTCCGAGATGTCTCCGAGCCCAGAACTATATAATTAGAGGTTTCCATCCGACGACGACCGTCCTCTGTATCCAAGTTCCCGGACTGTCTCGAAGATCACTACTTGAGCGCCCACTTCGCCCACTTGACTGCCGATTCGCAAGCTCTAGACATGCCCAACATGACGTTCACAGAGGCCAATAGGACGTACTTTGAGTAAGAAGACCATCACCTCGTGTGCGTTCAGAATACACCCACTAACGACTCCAAAGCAAACAGGCTTCCATGTACGACGATCGGTTTGCGGGTGTAATTCAAACACTCTCCGAGCAGACTATTCAACGCCGTCACTGGATCAGCGACCGATGGACAGATACTGCTGCTGGGCAGGGCCAGGAGATCCGCGCGCTGGATTACGCAGCTGGCCCAGGCTATATTTCTATGGTGAGTGTGCTGTTTTACAGAAGCACGGGAAGTCTTCATGTACAGGTGCTAATGGCCGCGGAAGACCCTCGCGCCATACTTGTCGAAGGTCATCGGGATTGACCTCTCCCCGAATATGGTGGCTAGATACAACTCCAATGCGCATGCTGCTGGGCTCTCGTCCAAAATGATAGGTTACCAAGCTGATCTGATTAGCGAGCCGCCATCCACTGATTCCGCAGCCTGGAAGGATGTGGATTTGCTCATTATCAGCATGGCCCTTCATCACTTTGAATTTCCCGGTCAAGCCTTGCAGAAACTTGGGCAACGGGTGAAGCAGGGCGGCGTCTGCTTTATCATTGATATCATGGGTCATTCAAGCCCTCAGCACCACCATCACGGTCCGCACGGTGAAGACCAAGGCAGCCGTAAACCCGAAAGTCCCTTTAAGGAGTTTAAAGAGGCGTCTGCCACGATCCAAACACACGGGTTTGTGCAAGAGGACATGGCAAAACTCTTCCGTGAGGCCGGTTTCGAAAGCCCAGAATATCTGGCTTTGGAGAAGCCCCTCGAGTTTACGATGGACGGGCAAACCGTATCGATGACAGCCTTCATGGCCAAAGCCAAACGTGCATGAGTCGCTTCTGGGTAACCCATCCAGAGTCTTCGCGGACGAGGCCACGCTTGAGATAGTATTCTGTTAGTACATTCATTGAATTGCTCGGCTAGTATTTTCCATTTCGCCAGGATGATTTCGTAGAAAAGTCGGTCGAACGAGTTCGACATTCCCGGCAGCCATCGCGAGATCGGGTCTTTGCTATCTCGGATGCTGATACGTGAAGTGTCGGTTACCTGACAAGAATCCTCTGGAGTTAGTCCCACGCCCTGAATCATTGGAGAGCATTTAAATCACATCCCCAGGATGTTCCACAATCAGGGGTCCGGCTGCGGTGCGAGATGGTTAGTTTAGCCGATAAAGTGGGCGTCAACGAATCACACCAAGTGCCACGAGGGCCCGTGGAGGAATTTCCAAGACTAACGGCGCCAAAGTGGATCGGTGGAGATGGTCATTTCGGCGTTCGGCCCTGGGGCTTGAGGCTCTTGGGATTTAAGAAACCAGCAGTCGCAAGTGCAGACTCACCACCCCAGTCGCTCGTTTATTCCGCCTTTGCCTTTCTCACCATGAAGTTCTTTCTGTTTGCTGTCACTCTCGCTCTCTCGGGCCTCTCCGCCGCCAGAACAGACCTGAGCGGATGTGTGTCTTCGCTCACTGTCAACCAGTGGGACGAAGCCAGCCTGATCTGGTACGTGCCAGGATCGGGTGAAATCTGCGATTTCCCTGACTGTGGGGGTGGTCGTGCGCCTCCCAAGACCGACCAGCCAGGCTGCCCCGAATATTCAGGCACCGCGACCCTCACCCCCAGCTACCTGCCTGGATATGGACCCAGTGGCAAGATGAGGGCGACTGCAGCCACTGCGTCGGCCACTACGTCAGAAATCTCCTCGACCTCCGACGCGACATCCGCTACTGCATCCTCTTCTGCGTCCTCTTCGACACCCACGGCGAATACTGTCACTCCAGCGCCAACTACGTCGCCCACGGTCTTGTCGACCACGGTCTTGTCGACCACGGTCTTGTCGACCACGGTCTCGTCGACCACCTCCAGTTCTGCTGGAAATTCTACTGTTTCAACACCAGCAAGCACTGCCACAAACAACGTTGCGTCCGGTCTTGAGGCCCCCGGAGCTCTGGCCATGATCGCTATGGCGATCGGCGCGTTGATCTGATGGCCGTGAGCTCGATAGGCCCTTTGCGTGTGGTTATTCATGGTCAGATTATACGCTCCTTCATCAGCCAGACGGGTTGGCAAGCATGGCCCTTGAGTCACGGTCCGAGATTCACGAGCGTGTCAATGTTGCTGAACCCCGTCGCACTATGCATTTCCCATCGTCTTTCTCTGAAGTGCACTCGAAGATACCATCCTAAGATACCGTCCTTAAGACCCCATGGACATTGCCATTCCAATCAGCGCTCTCCCTTGTACTTCATCTCATGTAAATTATTCATTCATAGAACCTCTTTGGGTATTCCCTCCCGTTTTCGGTGCACTAGCAGGGTGAACGTCAGTGCCGACTGCGAGGAATGTCACCGCACCAACCAGGAATGGGATGCCAGACCCTCGCGAGTCTTCGTTCCTCATCAAAACGAGAAATTAGCCAGCAACTTGGAATTACGTGGAAGTCCACTTCCACCGTGAAGATGCGGATCGTTTGCTAACTCTACCACCAAGTATATTAAGAGCGAATTGGCCCACAGCCTTGAGACGGCCACGCGAATCCTTCTCCTCGTAGCGCAAGTGTGCCGGCGTTACGAGGACCATTTCCGTCATCTCCAAATGCGGGTATCCTCAACCAACGTAGTGTTATCAACATCAGGGGATACCCATTTTCTCGGCTTTTCCCATTTTCAAGTTCAGGTCCTTTTGATTCAATCTCCATCTCTGGCGTTTCACGTCGCCAGAGACCAGAATGTTGCCCCAGGCATCCTCCCCAGTGTATAGGGCCATTCAGTTCGCGATAGTCGTGTGTGGGGCGTACTTCGTCTTTGCCCTGCTCTTCAGCCCTTCGGAACCGCAGAAATGGCCACGGCCCTCGCTTCATCTTTCTAAAGACGGCTTCAGGGATCCCAAGTTGGAACATATCCAGAATGACACCCTTGGAGTGAGTAGAGAACTCTGTAGCACATCCCGGCCAATCATTCCGAAGACTAAAGAATGAACGCTTCGACAGTTCGAGCACATCTACGCAATCGGCCTCAAAGAGCGAACTGATAAACGTGACTTTTTAAACCTCGCGGCCTCGGTGACAGGGATCAAGGTCCAGTGGGTTGATGGCGTCCATATTGACGAGCTGGAGCAGAAAGCTTTACCGGTGGTAAGACAAAAAATACGCCCGGTGCATTTTCCATCAATTGATACTGAGCCACGACAGGGGTACAATCTTTCTACGATGGTGCCATCGATAATCGCATGCTGGAGGGCCCATATGAACGCACTTAATCGGTACGGCCGGGGGACTACGTTATCAGATCGTTGGGGCAGATTGGCTAATAGCACGCTACAGAGTCCTCGAAAATAGCTATAGCACCGCGCTTATAATGGAAGACGACGCAGATTGGGACCTGAATATCAAATCTCAGTTGACCGAATTTGCCCGCGGGCTCCATGCATTAAAGGCCAATGCCTCAACTGATAATGCACCCTATGGAACGGCCTGGGACGTGCTGTGGATTGGGGGTTGCTCATCCACGGCTGGTGTCAACGAAACGGAGTTCTACGTCATTCCGAATGATCCCACTGTCCCCAGCTTTTCACGGCGGCATACGTGGTCTGGGCCCAAAGATCGATGGGTCGAAATGTACCCTGAAGAGTCAACAAGATTTGTCTACAAGGCGGAGAGGGGCTGCTGTACCTTTGGCTATGCTGTCACCCAAAGAGGGGCCCGGAAGATCCTCGCGGCCTTATCTCTCGACCATGTGGATGTGCCGGTCGACATAGCAATGGCGGAGTTATGTGGTGGTGAGAATGGACGAGATCGACTTGAGTGCTACGCGCCATATCCCAATATTGTCGGTACATTCCGACAAGGCGGCCCAGCTTACAGGAATTCCGATATTGTATCGAATGATGACCAGAGCCTTCAGGTGGCACATTCTGAGAACATGGTCTACAGCTCGCGATTGAATATTCACAGGGTCTTGGCTGGCAAGCCCGCACTCTCCCAATGGGAAGAGGAAGCGCCATGGTCACCGAAGGAATTGCCAGAGAATCTGGAAGAATTCCCCTATCCTCGAGGTTATTTGGTGAACGAGCTTGACGGGGAATAGAGTCTCTTTTATTGAGGGCAATGTTATATTGACTTGATTCATTTCTCTTCATCACGACACGGTTACTACCTGAAGTACGATTCCTTCTTGCAGGATACGAATATACAAACTATTCTTCGTAGTAACCAGACACGTCCAAGCGGGCTTCTCCGCGCCAAACACCAAGTTTCCCACGCCAATGTAGCGAATGTGGAGTCGACGAGCGGGGAGTCAAAGGGAGGATATGCACTCACCTCATCCCGAGCTCTGCCAGGGCTTGTCCATCCTTTTCCGAGCGCAAAATCTTTACGATTTCACGATTGGGTTTGCGAAGGCCACATCTGACCTTATGTCCGAGAATCGCGCGAGAGGACTTGCTTCCTACACCATCCGCAGCGACCACCACATCAGCTTCCAGTTGCTGGCTTTCGAGAATGACCCCGGTCTTGCCACTGCCGCCGTCTTCGGAATAATGCACCAGCTACTCGGAGTATTTCACAGATATACCAGCCCTCTCTGTCTGGTAGACTAGCATCCGATGAAATCCTGGACGACTGTGGCGCCAGCTTCGCCGGGGTTCGAGCTGAGCATCGTGGCTTCAGTTCTTCGGAGGCTTCAAGCGCACAAAGGTGCAGGTGGTCCCGATATCGTTCCCCCCTGTGTGATTTTGTGAAAGGAGACCAGGGGCTCAAAGTCAATCTCATAATCTTCGACTGTCATATCGGGCCATTTCTGTAGAGTTTGCATTGCGCAGAATCCAATTGTAAAGTCGTCGCCTTGTTTCATTAGCGACGGAATGGTGGAACAGATTGGGATACAGACACTCATAACAGGACCTGCAGGTGCTTTCTCGGGTAGCCTAAAAGACTCGCCCTGAGGATTCGAAAAGGCAGTCAAATTCCACCTTGGACTCGGAGAGTCCAAATGAGGTTCAGGGTTGACTTGCAACATGGACTTCTGTATAACTCGATGAGTTCGAAAACGGATCGGATTTCCGTTTCCGTCCGAAAGAAAAACACACAAATGCCCCCCCCCCCGGGGTGCATTGCTCGCAGAAGGTGAACATTCATCAAATGTATTGTAATCCTCTAATCTACATCGCGATCAATAATAATTCGGCGCTTCCGGTAAGGCACTTGCCGTAGCATAGTCGCCATAAGGGAAGAAGGCGTCCGTGGGTAAGTTGAAAATGAAGCTGAAATCGAGAGGCTCCTGGGGAGCTTCCAAGTTCGCCTTGGCCTGCGCCTCGAGTCTTTTCCGATGCAGATCCTTCATCACCTGCATCCGGGTGACGAGTCTGTGAAAGATCTCAGGCCGCTCGGCGACATCGCTTGATAGGAAAGCCCGCGCTTCATCTAGTTTCTGTAGGATCACGTCCGCGGTCGAGTCGAAATCAACCGTCCGTCGCGTATAGTCTGGGTCCCATCCGACTCGCTCGCCCTCGTAGAGGATCAGTCGGGAAAGGGTCATCATCGATACGCCAAACTGGCAATACACTGTGAACGGCAAGATGGGCAGGAGACTTGAGGGGATAGAGTAGAAGTTCAAGAAGAATGTTTTGTTGGCTTCGAGTAGGTTAAAGAGAAGATCCAGTTGGGTAACAGGGAGATCTGCACATGCGGATGCTGGGTTGATCCCCAGTGCAACTCGGTACAAGATCATCTCTATTGTATTATAGTGAGAGAACAGAATGGCTGCGAGACCGACCGAATTAGCCGGACTGTCCACCCGAGACGATGGACCATTGAGTTCGGTTCCCACTTACCTGAGCCGGGATGGTCAGGTGCGTAAGCCGACCGCAGCTCTTGCAGCTCTGCTTGGTAGGATTTGATCGTCATTCCCAGGAAGGGGTCCAGGGTCACGGGGTATGTCATTTCATTCGCAGAGACCGTATAGTGTATCTGCCACGGAATTCAGTCAGCGGGGTGCACTATGTCAGATATGCCTTGGCTCGCCTCGGGTACGTCTGAGCGTTTGTCTGAGGATATGCCGGCTGTTTGGTCCCGGCTGGGAAGGCCTTAGCGCGAGCAAACTCGTGCACGGTACCTTTTGTCCAAGTCGCATTATTTTGACCAGGTGAACCAAGAAAGCGTCGGTCGGGTACTCCAAGGCCTCCTGCAATGCTTCACAACATTCGTCGGTGTATCTGGAAAACCTCGGCGTGTCTACTTCTCTCACGCAAAGAGACAGACTGCTAGCATTAGCGGAAGGCATTCACTTGGATTAAGCATGGAAGATTCGTACATAACCGACACGTAGTAGCAGCCCAGATACGCACGTCGCTCTTCCAACGTCCGCTCGGGGATTTGATTTGGGTGGAGGTCGACAGCTTTCATGTATGACAAGGGTCTGTTCAGGTTTCGGAGGGAGGCCACCGATTGATTCAGGTTTAGACTTGACAGTTGAGCTGTAGCGAGATGTAACAGAACATCCAGCTGACTGCTAATTTTGCGGAATGGCTTTGCTCCAAAGTCATTTTCCGAGGACGCATCCAAGCTGGGGCGTGGCAGGCGCGAGATGGTGATATACCACGCAATATGAACGAGGAGACCTTGGAGAAGGTCAATATTATGCTCACCCCGTAGAACAATGTGCTCGGCCACGTGCTGCATGATGGATTGCGCACTCTGGCGGTGACGTTGCGCATCTTGGCTAGCGACCATCACAATGTTGCGGTAGAGAAACGGCTTCTCTCGACGGAGCTGATCCGCGGTCATCTGGGATGGAATGGGGACAAATGGAAACAAAGGAAGCATTTTGTTAATGAAGATGCTGATGAATCTCTGCCCCTCTTGCTCGCTGGGTACATGCATATCTTCGCTGCACGGGGCCGACGGGGCCGGTCCCGGCGAAAGGCTTGCATTGGAAAGGTCTTTGGATCGATCTGATGCTGCTAGTAACGCAACCATTCGATCGAGCTTTGCTTCTAGTGCAGACACTTCGCTGCTTTGCAGGCTGGGCGCGGTCTTCCTGCGATGTGCGCCGGGGGTTTGGAAGCCGCATGGTTTATTTAAACGGTGACAGCTAGCAATCCGCAAGGTTTAGCGCTCTTCATATGCCGAGCCAACAGGTCAACATACCGCTTACAGATGCCGTCGACCCCGCCCACCTCGGGCTCACACCGGACCTTTGCCTTGGCACATGTGAGACAAGCTTTTGGGATCCGAGTTCCACTCGTGCTGTCCTCCATCGGGTAGGCAAAGGCTAGAACGGGACCTCGAGGGTTGGAGGGCAGAAGACACGGACGAAGCGGAGGACGCGGAAGGCCAGGCCCGTGCTTAGGTAATCCTCTATCGACGCGCGCCCGGGCCCGGAGCCCGTGGGAGGTGACAAGCCAGACCACGTTGTCTACTCCGGTGCCTTAGCCAAGCTTGCTTTTTCTTGGTGGACGCCGTGTTCCCCATTCGACACCAGGCGGATGCTGCGGTCGGCCATCACACATCCTCCCCGAATAAGTTTGCTCTGCGATCTCGTATACAGGAAGCAATAATCTATAAGGCGGCTACCCATCCGATTTACAGTCATATAGCTCCTCCCAATGGCAAGGACCCTTACGGCGATATGCTAGTAGCGCCCCGCGACAGGACCGATGAACGCCAAACAGATCCACGTGACCAGTTGATCGGTATAGTCACGTGGTATAAGCCCTAGCGGATCTACCCGTGCCGATCCATCTCCACTTTGAGCAAGCTGACCCGGCCCATGGCCCTTGTGTAAAGAAAACAGAAAAAAGGGCCCTTAGAAGTAAGAGGAGTCAGCAAATCTCCTCCCGCACGGCTGGTGTAATGCGGCCCTTCTTGAAGGTAGTTATCCCATCCACGTGTCCCATCTTTGAGCACACTGCTTCGCAATCTTGCCTTGTCTCCAAGTGCCCGGATAGCTTATTGAATGGATCGTCTTGAAACTAGGTTACTGGAATCGGAAGACCAGTTACCTTTGGAGCCGTCTGCTAATTATGTGCGATACAGGCCAATGCATGATAGAAAGGCTCTTTAGCTGCGGGCGCGAATTTCTAGGCTGAAAGAGCGAAAAGGCGCATAGTGAGGAAATCCAGGAGCCTCTTCTTGAATAGCGTGACTATCCTGGGGCCCTTTGGTCTAAACCGAAGCTCACTTGGAATAGAGATCATCGATTGCATCTTTTGTAGGCGAGGCAGGGGATCAGTTGCAGGAGCTGCGACCAGCGGGATTGTTCTTCATCGAGACCGCCCGGGCCGCACTGGAAGAAGCCATGCATGAGACTATGCCGCAGGTGTCGAATCCGAGCCGAGATGGTACCCTTTCGACTCAGATGCGTAGCCTCAATGAGGAAGAGCATATCGACGCCAGGGGCAGCCGATCAAGTCAGACAAGGTCTTTCAAAGCTTCGACAGCGTGCGAAGAATGGGACCCAGCGTCTCCGGCGCAGAACAGGGGGCGCCCCCGCATACAATCTAGCATCCCGGCACAGGAACAGTCTAATGCTTGACACTCGAAGGCTGTAGGAATTATGTGCATTATTATTTATCGTTATATCCATGCCACCCCTTCACAATTAATCGTATATTATATAAGAAATCCTCTGAAATGGCACCCGTGCCATTTGCCGTCCCAGCTCCCTTATTGGGGGAGGGGGACTTGCTGTCGCGGCGAATGCTCATTCTGCTGCGTCTGGGCACCGTTAGTATCGAGGATTCCCCCGGGATGGCGGGAGAAGACATACTGGCGCGAGAACCAAGAGGGACGGCGGCTGGAAGAAGCGCTGGCAGCGACATTCTCCTGGGACTTGCTCATCTCCTGGAAGATAGACTCGATCTGCTCGGCATCAATCTTGCGGTTGGCATCATCGGACTTGGCAGCAGTGCCGTAGGGACCGGAGCCGATGTTGGAGATTGGAACAGGCATTGTGTGGAGAGTTTGTAGTGTGGAGGTGGAGGTGGAAGTGTGGAGTTGTGGAGGCGCAGAGGTTGAGAGGCTTGGAGAGTTTGGAGATGAAGAGGATGATGGGAGGGCAGGTGGTTGAAGGTGATTTTATAAGGCTGCTCTACAGTCTAGTATAGATTCAGTTAGGTCTTTTCTCGAGGTTTTTTTTTTCCCGTCATGAGAACGAAGACGGCACGCCCGAGCCGGAAACACCCCATGGCCCCCTTTTTTTTTCAAGTTTTTGCCACTCGGTCCGATAAGCGCTCAGGCCTGCCCGGTATGTAACAGTACTGATACTGATATATATAGATCTCGAGATCTAGGATATAGACTGAGAGCCCGGTCCTCTGGGGTGCTGCTGTGTGGAGTGCTAGGACGAAAAGTGGGAGGCCTCGGAGCATGGAACCATGGCCGCATCGTACGAGAGATTCTCCTCCTTGACGGGGTTCTTGAAGGCCTCGAGAACTTGAAAGGATTGCGCCCGCGCCTTTCTGATACATTGATACGGTAAGTATATTACAGAGCTATCCGAATCCGGTATGGTGCTGGTCGCAGCTGCACATACCAGGTCTAGACCGATCATCCGATCAGAAAACTTTTTTACGCGATCAATTCGCAACAAGTTTTTTTTTATGAGCTATTTTCCTCGCAGGTCTCGAGCATCTAGACCGGGATCGAAGAGATAACAAACATCTGCTAGCTTCGTTCACCGCCCCCGACCACTCGGCGCTATGATACAACGAGACTTCTATACTGACAAAGGTCCCTGCGCTTTCTTCTAGAAAGAAAATTGAATTTGCTAGTAGAATGGAAATGCGTAGTCCGTTCTTAATTTGAGTTGCATGAACCGAAGTCGGTCTAGGGTCCACATCTTATCGAGTGCCGCTGCCATTACCTAAAAGTGGGCCGCCCCTGTGGCTGGCTTTAGCAAAGGTTATCGGAACCGTGGAACGCTAAGATAAAAAGATTGTCAGAGCGAATAGAAAGCGCCCGTGCGCAATCTGTCGCATTGAGAGTTAGTTGGCTTGACAAGCTGTCGTGGCCGATCGCCAGTTCGAATGGTCAAGAACCCGGCAAGCGCGTGACAAGAGACGGCAGGCCACTTTTGCCCTGCGAATGCTGAGGAAAACTCGTCCTCGCAAACTCCCAGGCACACGGTGGTGAGATTTTGGGGGCGGCCAGCGTTAGAGCATCAGCTGTCATGACCACCACACCATCTTAGTGTATGCGAGTGATGCTTTCGGTGGACCCTGGTGCGGGGCTTGGGAAACTCGGATGACTCAAAGCCGCTAAACACTCCAGTTGGAATCACTACCAGAGAGCACTAACAGGTCCTTGTATCTGGAGGGGTAGCCCGTCGGAGGCCCCGTACAGAATGGTTGGTGAAGGCGCAAGTGCGCGTGCTTGCACATGGAAGTCGCCCTGAATTTGGCTGGTGCGATGGGGTGGGGCAAGCCGTATCCTGCTCCACTCATCGCTTGTACCTCATCCCCTCAGCTTCTTCAAGTTCTCATGCAGAGATTGGCGTGGCAGCATCGCTACTTACGAGTTTTCCCTGGTGTCCTAGTTCACTAAAAATGAGTGCTACGGTCCTGGTCTTTTCAAATTGCAAAGGGGTTCCGAAGGTTCCTAGACGGGCATGAGCCCACAACTACTCTGGCCCGCGATTGTTTTCGGGTCTCAACTCGGGAGGCCAAGATAACGCACCCCAGCGGTACTGGTCGACTTTCCATTACAAGACGAGCGCAGGAAACAGCAGCCCTTAAGCCTTAACCCGAGTATTCATTTCGTGGTCATGACAAAGAAAAAAAAATTAAAAAAAAAATAAAAAATAAAAGGAGATATCAATTGAACCGGCGCGCCCACTGAGGTGAGATCACGGGTTGAAACTGAACGAACTGGATACCCGAATCAGAGTGAGGATAAAAAACAGCACAATCAATTTACAAGCAACAAAAGAAAGTGTCGGTACTTGGTCGTGGGAAGGAGGCCCGTGCGGATCCATTTCTCTCAGCAGTATACTCAGGCTCAGGCACATCTAACTAACGATCACGATCACAGACATACAGCCTCGCCCACTCTGCCAGTGAGTCGGGCAACAAGCGGGGGAAGAGGGATAGCACGTGACCGAGATCGACTGTTGAGACATGTGATGTCTTCCCGCTTGTGGACCCTGAGAACAAAACAGTCACAGTAACGACTCGATAGCCTCGAAGACTGCGGGGAGCCTATGGCGGAGCCTATGTAAAGGAGAATGGATCATTTGTCCCTACCGGCCCCCTAGTCCTGTGGCAGCTCAAGTGCTATTCTACTATGTGACGAACTAAATACAGAACTCCTCAATCCATCGCAATCGTTCAAGAGCTCTTGCGGCCAAAATACCCCATCAAAGAGTTCCACGCCCCAGTGGCCCCTCGAGCAATTTCATGCCGTCCATCATAGAGAGGGAAGACCACCACGGCGAAAAATGCGAGAAACTGGTATATAATCGCGACCGTAACCCACCCAGAAAAGAATGACTTGCTGAAGATATAGTCTCGATACAAAGGCATTGGCCAAAGGATGAATGTCACCAGGACAAGGACAATGAAGGTGACCACCGCAATCTTGAGCCACCTATGGAGCTCCTTGAGAGTCGCTTCGTCGAATGGATGCTGGATGTCATCCAGGGACATCGGTCGGGCTGGTAATGACGAAACCTCCGCTTGCAGGCCCTTTTCAGCCAGGCCTTTGGTGCTTTCGGGGTCTCCCCACTCGGCAGAGGGCACCAACTCCCCGGGGGTGGTGGAGCTAGAGACATGTCCATGGAGTTGCTGCTCATCAGCTAGCTCTATCCGCAAAAATTCCCTCCAGTCGAACTTGTAGGGTTTGTAAAGTGATATGAGGACAGAGTAAAGGGCAGGCGAGAAAAAAAGACGCAATGGCAGCATACAGAGCCGGGTATTCGTTGCTCGTGGTGGTAATCGATATTGAGCCATACATGGACTTGGTCGTAGCCAGCCAAACGGCAAGACCTGAGAAGAATCCGAGAATCGGCGAAAGGATCGCTGCCAAGCGAGTCTGGCGAGACCAAAAAAGGGTCAGCACCAGAGGGATAATCCCAGGGCAGGATATGATGGGCCGTAGATAGTTGATCCACGTCATATTCGCACCCCCGTATTGCAGAATGATCGCAATCACCGTGATGAAAACCCCGTGGAGTATAACGCTGATATGGCTGACACGAACGAGGCCTTTGTCGCCCACGCGGGGATTGAGGTACGTCTTGTAGATATCATAGCTCAGGATACTGCTGACCGCAATCATCGACGAGGAGATCGTGCTGGTCAAAGTCATGAACACCAGGAAGAAGAACGCGATGGGTCCTCGATCTCCGATCAGGGCCTTTAAGGTATAGGGCATCACCATTCCTGATGCTAAGTTAGCTTTTCCCCTTGCGTGGACGCAGAACAGAAAGTCAGGATTTACCCAGATTAATTTCAGTTTGTGTCAGGGAATGAACAGGGAAAATGGGCGTGTTATGCAGAGCTCTCGCAGTCAAGCCTATCACTGTTCCTATGCCCCAAGGTACACCAAATACTGCAATCGCTGCGATGTTATACCCAGGCACAGTGGCTTTCACCTCCGTCGCGAATGACTTTTGCCAGAACGCCGTATCCTGGATTGAGTGAGTACTCAGAGTTGGATGTGCGTTTTGGGGGGGGGGGGGGCAAAAAGGACTCACCATGACGACCAATGCCAGATTTCCGAATTTGAGAACCAGTCCCCAGATAATTGCTCCCTTGGACTTGAATGTGAGGACACTGCCTTCGTAGTTTCCCGGGATATAGTTCTCGCTAGCCGTGGCGACCAATTTGTCATATAGCCCGTAGAGTCCCCCGACTTCCGGGTGGACCAATACTGTGATTGTGAAGTAAATGATGAGGATCAATACAACTGTCGTATGCAGGAAATCAGTGAGGAATGTTGCTTTCAGGCCGCCAACAGCAGTATACAGAACGACTTGGAAAAACGGTTAGCGACTCCGGAAGAGACAAAAAGGCTGATATTGGGCTGTGTACCTTCCAATGGGATGAGAACGGTAGCTGCAACAAAATGCATCCCCGAGACGCCATGAATCAATTGTGACCCTACCATTATCATCGAGGCGCATCCGAACACATTGTTCACGAGATTGAGTACAATGTAGACCACATGCCCGACGTTTCTGTACCGCTGGCGAACAATCTCTAGACTCGTATGTGCAAAAGGCACTCTTATCTTAGCGATCACACCGAGAACAGCCATAAGAGCTACCTGGAAACAAAGACCAGATCCCCACCACTGGACAAGTTAGCTGGAGCACGGAGATCGCCAAAGAACGAAGAACTTACCACAGGCAGGGCTATTCCATAATTGTAGCACATTGCAGCGGCTAGAACGCTCTCATTCAGCCATATCCAGCTACTTGTCACTGCTGAGGCAGTAAGTCCTGTCCCCACGGATCGATTGGCGACCTGGAAACTGACTTAGAAGGTGAGTATTGAAAGCCAAGAGGGGCGCTTACCATGAACATTTCACTTTCCCCCGAGTCTTCAGCGAGGTAATCTTTCTGAATCTTCACAGATAAGAGAATGATACCGCAGAATAATATGCTGAGCCCAATCAATAGGCCATAGGCAGCTCCCTGGGGGAGTAGTGCCGAATGGGCCGTTTCGGCGACGTTGGACATGGTTGGCGCTACTAGAACTGGGCGCTAGACGCAGACACCTGAGGGAAGCATGTCATAAGAAGTAAAAGAGGAGCCTCGGAGGATTTGATAACGGGTAGAAATAGAGATATTTCTCATGGAAAGCGTTTTGTTCCATTTTGAGATCACCGTTGGTTTATCCGCTATTGCGCTATGAAGATGAACGACCATTCGCCCAAGAAACCGGCAGTCAGAAAGTTTTTATTGACAATTTGAAATTTTAACCGGCTGTTCGCGAATAGGGCAAAAGCTCACCGAGACGCAGAGTACATGAGGGGATCCGCGACTGATTTTGCGCCATAGCACGCGATACCCGGCTAATGATAAATTCTCCTGGTAATCCACCACCAGGATAACTGGTCAACATGGGATATCGGCCGATAAAGGAACGGAATCGTCGCAAATAATGACGAGACATACGAAAGGAAGTTCATTCCTGGATTTAAGAAGGTCTAAAGTGACCTGGATTTGTCGCGAGTCTATCCCAGCGAAACCGAGGAAAACCCCAGTATGGCGAAGAAACAGATCATATTGAATGCGTTTGTGATGAACACCCCGGGCCATTTGGCGCCTGGCCAGTGGAGGCATCCCCGAAATAAGACGGAAAATTATAAGAAGCTGTCCTTTTGGGTTGATCTGGCCCGCCTGCTAGACGAGGCCGGCTTCCATGCGATGTTTATCGCGGACACGCTTGGTCCATATGATGTATACAAGGGCCCCGCCAATGTTCAACCTGTGCTAGCCTCAGGAGCTCAGTTTCCAGTGAATGATCCCCTCTATCTTGTTCCCGCGATGGCGGCCGCAACAAAGAACTTGATATTCGGGGTCACTGCGAGCGTGACCTATGAGAAACCCTATGCGTTGGCTCGCAGATTATCCACGGTTGACCATCTGAGCGAGGGGCGACTGGCCTGGAATATTGTCACCTCGTATCTCGACTCAGCCGCCCGAAACCACGGATTGAAGGAACAGATCCCCCATGATGAGAGATATGCCAGGGCCGACGAATACATGGAGGTCCTCTATAAGCTCTGGGAAGGGAGCTTTCGAGATGACGCAGTTGTAGCCGATCACGAACAGGGGATCTATATTGCGGAGAACACTGTACGCGAGATCAACCACAAGGGCAAGTATTTCGAGGTTCCAGGGCCCCACTTCTGTGAGCCCTCAAGCCAGCGAACCCCCTTTCTCTTCCAAGCGGGAGTCTCCGAGGCAGGCAATGCCTTTGGAGGCAAACATGGAGAGGCGATCTTCATTGGTGGACAGACTCCAGAAGCTGCCCGTAAAGTGGTGGATGCGATCCGCGAGGTTGGTAGACTGGAGGGTCGTGACCCAAACCACATCAAGGTCATTCTGGGCATTGGGATTATTGTCGCGGCCACAGATGAAGACGCACAGCGCAAGAAACAAGAGTACTTAAAATATGCGGACCATGAGGGGGGCTCTGGCTCTGTTCGGTGGCTGGACGGGCGTCGACTTATCGAGTTATTCCAACGACGAGGACTTCCGATTCACCGAGTCCCCCCCGCATCCAATCGATTGTCAGGCGCTGGTCAGATACCGTCCCGGGAACGGATAACCTCCCCTGGACGAAAGCGAGGATTGCAGAGTTTATATCCTTGGGCGGACTGGGAGCGAAGGCTATTGGAAGTCCCACAGCCGTCGCCGATGAACTGGAGAGATGGGTGGACATTGCCGGTGTCGATGGCTTCAACATCGCGCACATCCATAATCCAGGCACATTTGAAGATGTGATTGAATTTCTGTTGCCGGAATTGCGTGCCAGAGGGCTTTTTCGGACCAAGGTGGACAAAGAAGGGGCCACGGCGCGTGAGGTGTTCATAGGGAAGAGACGTCTGCCGGAAGACCATTACGGATCTCAGTTTAAATGGCGAGCGGGTGAAAAGATTCCAAGATACCAGGCAGTTTCTGCAAAGGGAGATGCTTGAGGGCTTCGACAGTGTCCAAAGATAATGTCGGCTCGTGTCAGCGCTAGAAGCCAGATGAATTTACTGCAATGCGAACAGGACACGGCGTCTTGAGGAGTCGGTCTTAGAAGCCCAGAGGAGCGTAACTATCCCTGCATATCCACCAAACCGCAGCTCCCCTTGTTATTCCTGGGTACGCCTCATTTCGTACGCCTCATTTCCAGGTCGATATTCTCTTTCCAAGGCGACCCGGAGCTCTTCCACTCCTGAAAGTGGGGAAGAAGGGCCCTCCCGCCTCGTTCTACTTCCCCTCCTCAACATGACCTGGTCTGTCTGGACTCGAACGCTGCGGCAATGCTCAAACTCGGGTTGATTTTATTTGAGGGCTTCCAGGCTCTTGATGCGTTTGGCCCTCTAGACTGCATCAATGTGCTTTCCCGAACTGAAAGCGTGTCCCTCGCCCTCCTCGCCTCGACTCTTGAGCCAGTGTCCACAAGACCGGCGGGGTTTCCCAGCTCGACAGGACAGCATGTCGTGCCTACGCATACATTTGCAGAGGCACCCGACGACCTTGACGTCCTGCTAGTACCGGGTGGTCAAGGCACGCGCGGCTCCGATGCAGCGCTACTGGAAGCGATCGCGTTCATTCAAAAGATTTACCCGCGGCTGCAATATTTGATTACTGTTTGCACTGGGGCTGGTCTGGTAGCGCGCGCAGGGGTCTTGGACGGCAAGAAGGCGACAACAAACAAAAAGGCCTTTACTGAAATTACAGCATGGAGACCCGCGGTGCAATGGGTCTCCCGGGCGAGATGGGTTGTTGACGGCAACATATGGACCTCGTCTGGCGTCAGCGCCGGAATAGACGTCACCCTGGCATGGATAGCGGAGGTGTATGGTGAAGATAAAGCCCAGGCGATAGCCGACGGCATCGAGCATATCCGCCAAACCAACCCGGCAGTTGATGAATTCGCCAGCCTGTACGGACTATAGCCTACCGAGAGGACGAGTAGATTTACTGGACAAAGTAGCGAGTTTGATGATTGTATTTAATTTCCTTCTATGCATCCTTGTTGCTCGGAACATGTCGAAACCCACGATACTCCGCTTCTACTATAATCCGGGCTTGTTCGTGTTGCCGACTGAATTTTGACCTCGTAGCGGCACTACCAGTTGATGAACAGCGGGCCATAGATCTAGGGTGAAAAGCTAGACAGAATGGTAATTCAGCAAGAAAAAATGTCATGGAACATTGGTGCGGCGAACCCCTGTAGGTCGATAATATGTCACCGGGGCTGTTTTGGCGAGCTTCCCCGCCATGAGGAACAGGAAGTCTTGATTGCACAGGGAGAAACCGCAGAACAGTCATTGTCGATGGGCTCCTCAAAGATACAGTTCTATTCAAATTATCCAATCCATGGCCAAGTGCAGCAGAAGATCCATAGGGTTTCCTGCAAATACAAGCCCTGCCCGAGCTGAACGGCGGAAGCCCACCAGTCGATCGGCCTTTCGCCGTCCGCAGTGCAGTCCATATTTCGAGCCTGGAGATCACCTTGCCCGTGAGAAAAAGACCCAGATTCTCAACCATGCTTGTCTTCGAATTGCCCACACGCTAGGCGACCCAGCTGGATTCGGTCCTGGGCTTGCTGCGAGGCTCATCGCCGATCCCCGAGATACTGCGAGAGCGAGAATTCATGTTCTTGCCGATCGCTCGGAGGTGCGAGATACCGCGACGATTGGAAGTTTCGTGCAAGATCTTGAAATTTTTGCCGATGGCACGGCCCCCATCGAAGTCGGAAAGTTCTCCAAAGGAGCTGGAGCCCGAGTCCTGCATCAGGCTGAGAATACGCACTACATTTGGTAAGCCAAGGTGAGACCGAAGACATTTCATTTGTGTCTCTGAATAAGGGTTCGTGCCACATGGCTGGCATGGCACGACGCGGAGGATTTGCGCTGGTTTGCGATGGAGCTAAATCACAAGGGCTTTGCTAGCGAAGTGGAGGCTATTCCAGGGTTATGGGTGTCGAAGATGAGAAGTTGTTTTCACATAGGCAATGCCGTCGCAAGAGATACTTCTACCATGATCGCGCTACTTCACCCGTTGCTGTAGGGTACGTCAAATCGATTCGGGCTTTCCGCATGGGGCTGATTCCAGCCCCCACTTCCATCTAAGATGCCACGTGGTCCTGTTCCTCGATTGGTGATTAGAGTAGTATTGGCTGATATACAGGCGAAAGAACTACGCATACGCCTCAGTTGTGTTGACTGACGCAAACAATACAACGGTCTGAAGGATTCAACTCACAGGGAATACTGGCAGCCGGTCCCTTCCTGAGATACACCTAGATCCGTTCCAGGCACGAACTAGCGAAAGCTTTGAACCTTCATGATTTATTCCCAGAATTTGGATCCCTGGCGCTCAGCTGAGCTTCAACATAGGTGTTAGGCCGGTAGAAACGCCAAGATGAATAAGATCGTCAGAAGCCGAAAAGCAGACCTGGTTGCAACATAAAACCGGGGGCGCATATGTGGAGCCTGCATTGATTGGTCCGTGCCTGTTCGAGAAGGGCCAGTATGCCAATTACCCCTGGCCCTTCAAGCTCACATCGTGAGGACCGTCATGGCCGAGCAACGCGGGTAGTCAATATCCAGCCGAGTGGTATTTGCAGCTTGTCAACAGAAAGGGGAATTACGCATCTTGCTCAGCCCCCCAATATGCCCCTTATACGGGGCGTCAGAAAGTCGCATCTGGGCGGAATCCTAGAGGAAAAGGGTATTCTTAGCCCTGAAACATGAAAATGGATGATCCGGCCAACCCCAATCAGGAACGGAGTAAAGCTGGAGCCCATACATAAGCATGGGCTCAGCCCCGAGCTGCGCTCGAGAAGTGGCAATTCACTTACTCGTCAAGATGGCTCTTAAACCTTTGAGCGTCCTTGCTTTCGCTCTGGCCCTCACATCGACACATGCCGATTCTTCTTCATACCAAGACAATTCGATCTGTGCATGGTAGGTGGATGTCATCCTAGGGTGATAAGATGGATTATTGACGTGCCATCAAGTGATCAAATGATGCGTTCCTATGGAACCTCAAACGCCGGACTATGGGGAAAGGATGATTGGTGGCAGAGTGGGATAGCTCTCACCCTGCTGGCTGACATTTCTTCGTTGGATTCGAGCTACAACGGCACTCACTTCGATACCTTCGCAACCACCTATTCCGAAGCGCCAGGCTATGGTGGCTATACAGGTTTCATCGACGATTATTGTGACGACGAGGGTTGGTGGGCAATGGGTTGGCTCGCTGCCTACGATCTCACCCAAAACCCCGACTACCTAAACCTGGCTATCAGTATTTACAACGATATCTCGAACAATAAAGCATCGTGTGGTGGGATTATCTGGGAAAAAGGAGGCAATTACCTCGCATCCATTGCCAACGGTAAGTTAATCGAGTCGAATTTGCACATCCGGAGGCCTCAACTGACGGCGAACAGAGCTCTATATTGCCTCGGCAGCCGGGATAGCGAATCGGGTCTCGGCTGACCAGAAAGAATCGTATCTCGACTCCGCTACTGCCATCTGGGACTGGCTTTTCAGCATCGGTGTCGTGGGAGATGACTGGCTAATTGTTGATGGCGTCGATGCTGATAGTTGCTCAGTCAGTCAGACGACCAAGTGGTCCTACAACCAGGGGGGTTATTCTCTCTGCGGCTGTCGAGTTATATCGCGCCACCGGGAACTCCACGTACCTGGATACCGCGCGCAAGATCGCTGACGCTGTCACGACTACGGGATCCACATTTACAGGCAGTAACGGGGTGCTCACCGACTGTTCTAACGGCTGCGATGATACTAGCGCAATTTTCAAGGCTGCTCTCTTCCGTGGATTGCGTCAACTGCAAGATGCCACCCCTCAGGACACTTGGAAGACCTGGCTCACGACCAATGCTCAGTCCACTTGGAGCAATGACTTGAGCATCACAACGGCGAATGGAGACACTGAATGCCAGCTGGGCGCCAACTTGAATGGGCCTGTAGGCAATGTTACATTTGTCACGCAGGCTGCCGGGTTGGCGAGTCTCATCGCAGCTTGGGCTGTTTCGTCCTAGAGCTTCGCTGAACTACTAGCAGGGGGATCGTGAGAAATCTTTGCAGGGGCTGAGATTGAGAGATCGGTGATTTCTATATGCTCCTCTACAACTTCGCCTGTCCCTCCTGTAGATATTCCCTCCAGACCTTTTCGATGTCATTCTTGTAGATGAAATCTTTATCCCCATTGATGAACATATCCACCTTGGCTTGCAGGAAGTCGTCGAAATCACCGCCCTCGCTCGGACACTCTGTAATTTGGCCGCAACTTCATCGAGATGGGAGTACCTTGTTTCTATTAGCAAAGACTTAAACGCAAACGTTGATGAAGATGAGAGCCGCACATTCTGTCGTAGTAGGGAGTGCGGATGTGGTTGAATATTTCGAGGGCATTTTTAATAGGCTCCGATGAAAGATGAGTATGTTCTAGGGCCCGGCTTAAGATCCATGCGTCCTCCATCGCAAATGTCGCCCCAGAGCCAAAAGCCCCGGACAAAGGATGGCTGGCATCTCCCACAAGAGCAACCTTGTTCCATCCGATGATCTCGGCCAACCTTGGACCGGCATAAGCTGAGAACTCCCTCCACTGACCCTCAGGAACAGCGCCTACTGCCTGCTGTACCCTTTCATCAAATTGCTACGTGTCGAGTTAACGGTGCACATTCGATCGATTATGAGGGGGGGCCTTGTCTCACCAAGACGCGCGATGCCACTTTTGCATTGGACGCAGGAATGCCCCAGCTGACAGTTTCGCCAGCGGTGAACTCTTCGATGTAAGAACGCACAGTGATCTCAAAATACGGATCATCGGTCTCCGTCTCGTCATCCACGTCGGAGAAATAAACATGACCCTGTTCGCCCCACCACCAGCCCGTTGCGGAGGTAATATCTGGTAAATGAGCTAAAAGGGCTTTGGGCAAAAGCACACGCCACTGCGTGTTTCCAGTAAACCGAAGCTCATGGTCGGGAAAGAGTGTCCGACGAACAACCTGTGAGAGAGCCCAGTTATTCGGTTTTGTTCAACATGCGATCTATCAGCAGAGTGCCTCACGAACCGAGTGCAGCCCATCGGCTCCAATGACAAGATCTGCAACGAAGTAGGTTCCATCCTGGAAATGCAAACCCACTCCTGCAGTCGGCAAGTCTTCTTGTCGAATGAGCTTTTTACCATACTGAATGATGCCTTCGGGGACTTTGGAGAGAAGTTCTCGCTGGAGGCGGGTTCTTCTCGCACGTATAGAGCCTCGATGCTCCCCAGCTGAATTCTCCGGATGCTCGGCGATACTGATGACCTTCCCGGTATAGGCATTCCTTCGCCCGGATATGTTATCATTCATTCTAGAGACGGTCAGACCTCCTCACCTTTGATATGTATTCTGCTTAGAGCCCCCTTTCACACCCTCGCTTGCACCAAGCAGATCCAGGACTTTCCAAGCGTTGGTGCTTAGACTGATCCCGGCACCGGCCTCGCGTGGCTCTGGGTTCTTCTCGAACAAAGTCACCTGAAGAAAAGGCAGCTTACTTAGAGCAATGGCTGCTCCGATACCTCCGGGTCCTCCGCCCACGATGGCCACCGATGTCCGCGACTGGGCTGGCATTTTCTTTTCTGAATCTCAAATATTGTTTGGAACGTGTTGGATTGGGTGCAGGTATATACATTACTGCATTACTTTAAGATTCCTTATCTCGTGCCGCTAATCGGTGGTACCATAGCACGCCATCCTAAGCCATCAGTGTGCCATCTTTAACAGCTCCAGTCATTGCACCGCCGAGTTGACAGCCGGAATATTTTATGGAAAATGTCCGCTCAATTCGAAACCAAAAAAAAAAAAAAAAAAAAAGAAAAAAAAAAAATTGACTGAAAGAGGGGGGCTGGAGCTGTTCGATGTCCACATTGGCATGACTCGACACTTCCTAAAGAAAGGCCGACATCGAGGACATCTTAGCAAGCCCCCTGTGACATGCGCAAGCAAGTGATGATTTAGTCAGACGTCTGTCACGCATCATCGCAGGTGGGGGGTTGACCGCCTCGTGGGGGCATACACAGGAAGGCCATTATTGGACAGACCGAAACTTGGGACAAAGTCCAATGAGCGAAGATGTCTTCTTCTTCAGAGGCTACGTAGCCAGTGGCCAGATCAAAATAAACATAAAATAAATTGAATACTCAATTGGTGCCACGAAATCCCATCTTGTCCTGCTACGAAAGCGTCCCGCCCCCACCCTCTCAAAGGCTAGTAGCGCATTGATAAGCAGAGACCCTCGACCTCGGGAGCCCTCAACGCCTTGGCAGTTTCAAACTGGCAGTTTCAAAACTGCGGCGACCGCTCAGTAATAATAGCCCAGACGCTGCTGGCGACGAATATCCCGGTAAGTTGCGCCTGGGCCCATAGGATACGCTGCGTATGCCAGCGGAGCAGGGCCTCCCACAAAGCCGGCTGGATAACCCGGATAGGCAGTTCCATTATTGTACGTTGTGCTGGTGACGGTAGTGCTGGCACCGGGAGCATAGTACCCAGGGGCTTGCTGATAGGGCTGCTGGTAAGGTTGTTGGAATTGTTGCTGGTATTGTGGCGGGCCGGTCTGCCTGTGGATCTCTCAGCTTTCCTCTCTAGATTGAAGCAGGGTAGGTGCTTCCTCGAATCCCCGACTTACCATCCCTGCGGTGGCATTCCCGGTGCACCTGGAGCAACGCCGCCTGGCGCTTGCTGAGGCGGATAACCCTGCTGGTTCGGGGCGGGGGAGTTGTAGTAGGTGGTGGTGGTGGTCTGTTGATTCTGCTGCGGTGGATAGTAGCCGGCAGGAGGCCCCTGGTTTTGGGCGCTCCCGGCCGTTAAGAGAGCAAGTGTAGACAACATCTATTTCTGAGTGACGAGGTTTTACAAGAAACAGAGGACCTTGATGTTATGAGAAGCTTTTGAACTGCCAAGGGGCTGGAAAGTCGTCCAAGTCACCTTTCGCCCTGGCCCCCACCACCCTTCGATCAAAACGCGTGGCCCCCTTTTTTCAAGCCTAAGAAAGCCAAGCAAAGGCTTGGCTGCTGATCTGCGTACTCCGTATTTCTGATAAGGCCTCCCGCACCTCTTTGTCCACTGCGCCACCAATTTCATCATAGTAGAAAGCCCTGTCAAGTACACAGACGTCCGGACAATTCAACAGGTAAAATTTACAAGCGCTCTGTTCCGTCGTCGAATAATACGGCTCCTGTAGAATGCAAGCTGAGATGAATCTTCGCAAACTCCGCCCGTCGGTAGATCAGAATAGATACTAGGATACTTTTCAATGGTTTCAAGATTTCAGCGAGATATCAAGAAGTGAAAGAGAACCCCACATAAATGCTCTGTAAAACTCAAATACGATACCACCAATCTTAACTTCCAGGTGGCTGGCTACAATCATTGCAGGCCCCATGGATATGTCTGAAGGCTTTGGAAGACCAGGATACGGTTTCATATACTGACAAGGTGACGAGGCCTTGAGGTTTTTCGTAGATGCTTCTAGTTCTAGGCTGTTACCTCCAGATCCTTCTAGATGGCCCACAGGGTTCTTGCAAAATTTGGCGCGGAAAGGGAAGGCCTCCTAAGCACCAAGCGACATTAGCACCACCCTCTACCGGACGGCAGATAGCTTGGAAAAGATTGGAAATCAGGAGATACTGCGTGGGTACGGGAAAAGTTCTTCAATAAGCAGTAGATAGCGACGGCTTGTATAACGGAATAGAACACCATGCCTGAGTGATTCATTAAGCACTCCAAAAACTAAGCTACGGGGATGGGAAGGACGCGGCATACTATGTCGCCCTCGGATCTCCTTGAGCGCCGAGCGGGTCCCATTAATACGGAAACTCCAAGTTGGCGAAGTCTGACAGGAGAATCTCTGCAAGCTGTTCGCTCATGAAGCCTCCATTTTGTGCTGGATATCATATTTCCTGAAGAAGAAGACATTGAATGGAAGTGCCTCTCTATGTAGTCCTAATATCGCGGGGATATGGGAACACTAATAATTGTAGCACGCCTTAGTATGTAGACGAGCTTTCTGGACGAGACACGAGGATCTTGACTCTCGAGGTTAAAAGTGACCGAGGACCTAAAGCAGAAACAATAGTAGGTCATCGAATAGAAGTTTCGTTTAGAGAACCTCTAATGGTGGCTATTACGGACACCTTACACTATGAATAGTATTCGTAGCCGACATATGGATACCCCTAAACTATTCAAGTATCATTGACTCTTACTATTTCCCTGTAATATGTTGGTACTGCAAAACAATATCGACCAGATGTATTTTCGAAACTAAATCCAAACCATCAACTGGAAACAAAGGGGCTTTAGTCCGTCAAAGACTTCATCACGGTATCGGTCTGTATCTTAACGTGGCCCTAAAGCTTCATGCCCCAGAGACACGTGATGTCTGTCCAGTAAGGTTTTGTGCTCGGGGAAGACATTTCGGAAGGCGGTGGCTGTGGCGTGGAGAAATTGGCGATGGCATGGGAATCGCGACCATATTAACGGAGGCAGCAAGTACAGGATGCAACAGAGATCAAACAGATGATAGTGTAAACAGAAACAGAAGGTCGAGGGAGGATTGGGACACGGCGAGGTAAACAGAGCGAGTTAGATGAGAATGTAATGGAGCTTACAAAAGGCGACCGTTCCGGTATAGAGAGTTACTTTAAGTCAAAACAGATTGTAAAATACATGATTATATGAGCAGGGATAGTAAGTCAAGGAAAATGTATTTCACATAAGCCACAATGAGAGAGAAGTGATGTACAGCTTTCTCCAGCATGGCAGCGAAACTGGAATTTGATCTGGTCCAGAGCTCAAGATTGAGTGCACAGTGCCGATAACACTGACTGGCTGAGGGGCTTGGCCCTGATGGCATCACAAGCATGGGTCGGCGAAGGTGCCACCAGGATAAACCCTCAATGCGGGGGTTTAATCTTACATGTACATGGAAGCATAAGATGCTTCCCCCTAAACGAACTCCCTGCACTCAAACCAAACTAGTAAGGGGCGCGGGCGGGGCGCGGGCGGTACGGCGGTACGGTGGTGCGGCGGTGCGAGCGAATCGACGACGGCGCGAACGAAGCGACGGCGATGCTTAGTGCCCCCAGGGCCAATCGACAGTGCTAGATTTGTCCTGACATATACCCGGAAGCATATGATGCCCTCCAGAAAAGTAAATTGGCCCCTGCACTAAGCCGGAACCCCATGCCTGGAGAACGAGAACGCCCATGTCTCGTGCAGAGAGGGCTCCGACAGTGCTGGAATTGTCCTGACATATACCTCGATGCATATGATGCCTTCCAGGTAAGTGGATAGAAACTGCACGAAGCTGGACGTTCTCGTGGTGCGATGGCGAGCGAGCGAGTCGGCGGTAATCGACGTGAATTAGAATGATCGTGGGACGCGACGGTGTGAACGACGACGGTGCGAACGACGGCGAATGCGAGGCATCGTGATGAGAGGAAGTGATGAGCAGGCGTGACGAGCAGGCGTGAAGAAAGAAGAAGAGAACATCGAAAGTCCGCAGAATCTAGAGGGATTATATAGATATCGATGAATGGACCCACCATCCCAATTGGGCTAGCTTGCACTAGCTTAGCTGGAGATTAACTTCCCCTGATTGGCCTCGCTTAGAATTAGACTATCACGCGCTAGGCCCACCTCGGCTAGCTTAACATTCACTGAAATTTGCTTGCTCATCTTATCGCCGTGTAGCTTTCTTTATCTTATCATCATTTAGTTCTTACTGGCACGTGTCGATTGTGCCTTCTAACCAATGTAGAATGCGGGAAATAGGAATATATTGAGCGTATGCCAGTAGGTCGACGTCCGATTTATCGTTATTGTTCCGGGCTTCGGGGAGACATCTCCAACAGGACTGGACTAAGTCTAATGGAATCCTCCGCCCCCAAAAAGATGCTGTTGGAATCGATTGTCCATCGGCGGTGACTCGCCAAATCTTGATGGTTTGTTTATTGGATTGCACTGTTGGAGATCAACGCGACCCCTACCATTACTGCGGCGGAGTAAACAGAAGGCGAAGACTCTAACGTGTCGCGATTCCCCCATGATGGCCAAACATCCTGGCTCAGATCATGAACCTATCGGCTTCAAATTCATCCACTGGAAGAAAGATTTATGGTGATTTCCTGAGACCACCAGCCAACGCAGCTTCAACAACTGTAATGTATTCACGAACCTTATGAATCCGAGACACTATTCTATGGCGAGGTGTACAAGGAATAATCACTAATATTTCCCTTCACCAATCTGGCGATCCCATTATAGGATCCGAAAGTTGGATCTGAAGGAGTCAGTGGCGGCTTGGGGTTGTGTGAAGCCTTCTCGTCCGGAAATCACGTCGTGCGCTCGCTTGCGGTTAATCATAAAGCCCTCCGGTCGGTAAATTCACCTCCGAGTGCGCTACTTAATCCGCTTACGCTATTGCTTGACAGAGAACAAGATAGAAGAAGTAGACAGGCTAGATATATCAGTTGTAGCTATAGTGATTCGATATTTCAGGGCGAGGCCAGTCCCATTGTTATAGGCTACCCAACTGCAATATCCTTCTCATTTATGAGTTGAATTAAAGTCCATTAGCATTAGGCCGGTATATTAAGGCAAAATTGGCTCATCCAATTTATCGTAAAGCCAGGAACATGTACATCGAATTCTTGCGCGACCGCAGAGAGATTTGGTTTCTCTGGTTGCTTTCGCTTCTTGACAGCGTTTTCTAATAGCACTCTACTCAATTGATTTTGTTAGGATATGATAATGGTGCAAGCTGAATGCAAAATTGATAGAAGTTATCTAGAATGACACATTTATTCTATCGGCAGCATGGGGCCCAGGAAGAAGATGCCGCAATAAGAGACTGATGTACAGGTATGCGCCATCGCCCCCTTACTGCATCAAGAAACCCTCACCGCTAAGACAATTAAATTGTGCAAGCATTGCCTCCATACCTTACAAATCACTAAGGCATGCCGCAGAGAAGCTGATCCCTACAAGGCGTTGACAAGGCTGAATGTCGCCTCAAGTTGGATGAGAAATTCCTCCTATCTTTCAGCTAGGGATATGCAGGTTGTCATTACACGGTGCAATGAAAGAAGCCATTTCGTGGCGACCGGCATCAGTTGTCCTCCACACCAAGCAGCACGGAGAAAGATTTGTAGAATTAAGCGAAAGAAAAAGCGTATTAGAGAGATTTAGAAGGCCAGTCAATGATTATTTCATCAAGCGGGAGCAGAAACAACTCTGGACGAAGTGGAATCGAATAAATACCCAGCGACCGGGAGAGATTTGAGGGGTAATGGATTTCATCAACTTATCGCCTTATCGCATTGCAAAGTGGGAGTCCGCACAAGAGCGCCGATCATTCAGAGGTATTGTAATTTTCGATACTGTGACTCATTTTTCTCTGATCGGGGCCATCGCGGAATGTGCGGCTGTCTGAGATGCACTAGAAGCTTGGCAGAGTAGATTGGTTCGCTAGGTGCGAATGTACCGATTCAGGTCGGAGTGTAGACTGCAGAGGGATTTTCAATTCCTCGTGCCTAAGGCCTTAATACATGCAAGCCTTGGCTGTCGCGTTGATATGCGGGAAATGCCATGAACTTCCATTGCCCTATACGGTAATTACAGCTCTCTGGATGAGTAATTACCTAACTGGGAACAGGGAAACCTTGGAAGCCGCGCAATCATCCATGTAATAGCGAGAGGGGACTGCATGGAAACCAAAAAAAAAAAAAAACCAAAAAAATAAAAACAAAAGGAAAACAAACAGCTTACCAAAGTAACGAGGCCCTTGGACTCGGTTTTTGGATACCATGAAAGATTGCAAAGAAGAGCATTTGGCCCTCGCGCGCATGTCACGTAGCGTTTCAGCTTATAGATAAGTCCCTTTTTGCGACGGGGATATAAATTGTGTGTCTTCCCCTTTCTCCCTCATATCTGATAAACTAGATGCAAACGAAAATACTTTGATATCTTCAACCATTTCTCTATCTGAACTTCCCTTCACCATTTGTGACCACCAGGAATATGGATTCACCTGTCAAAATCTCCAGCCATATGGAATATCTGTTCCACCATATATTCTTACCTCCCAAATTGCCTCAAAAGAAGGACTACTGCCCGATGCATGAGATGGCGCTTATTGATGTGGTCACTGACGCACTTCATGGCTTCGAAGCGTACCTCTCCCTCTGCAGACAGAGAGATCGTCACCCGAGCGTCGAGGATGATCATCCGGCTGCGACACCTCCATGACAAGAATGGCGAACTGGATCAGATGCAACTCGAAAAGGCCGTTAAACAGCTGGAGTCCGAGGGTTTGTAGAAGCTGTATAAGTTAGGAGATGCCCAATCATTAACTTCTCAAGGTGGTTTTCTACCCATTCACGTTCGAGAGCAAAATGCCGCCATCTTGATCAGCCAAGTGGAATCTACAACATCGTTCGAATGTTTCGAGCTATCGCCGACCAATGAAGCAACAATGTCCACCAACGGGCGACTGACCAGGGTCTTTCCTGGGCCAACCCTGATTTTCGATTCCGGTGTCTTCTACGAGCAGGACCTTCGGAAAATGGTCACCCAGACAGTCGTGCGCATGAGCGAACAAACCGTTGCAGGAACGAAGCCAAAAGCCAAAAAAGCGAATCAGGAACACGACGAGGACCGGGACACTACAGACCCCAAAGTTGTCGTCGATTTTTTCACAAACACCCTCCGACCGCTGTGTACTGAGAGCGCCAACCCGCAAATCGAGAAGCACACCCGTGAAGAAGTCTTGTGGAAAGACTGTCGCTCTCCTTGGCATCGATCTGCATTATGGCTTCTCATCCGTGTGGCGCTGCAACTGGTGCTATTCCGTTCATCTGGCGGACAGGAATCGCACAGGTTGTACAAAGAATTCATGGTATTCCTCATGAGTTCGATCGTGAAGAGAGCATCAGAACAGGGCTCTAGTGAAATGGTTCACCTGATGATGGTCAAAACAGCCCGTCGAATCTTGAAGCTGAATCTCGGCGTCGCACCAGCCTGGTTCAACACCGTCCAAAAGATTCTGGATGATGCAAGCAGGAAGTCAAACTTGGAATGGAGAGGGATCATAAATCGCTGTGAAAAGCCGATCGATCTCGATGGCCTGCAATATCTCAACTTCGGAAAAGACATTCAGTGCGAGTTGCCACAGCTGGACAAATATCTGATGGACCTTAGTAGTCGAGGTGATGGAACATCCCAGAAAGAATTTCATCCATCCGCCCAACTAGTCCAATTCAACCCAAGGAGATTGCCCACTGTTGTCCGCTCATGCCCACCTGAATATCTTGTCCAAAATCTTTGTGCATTGGAAAATTGGGTCGAGTTCCACTTGGATGCCTGGATGGAAGCCAATCTGGAGCATAGCAATACATGTAAGGAGGTGGGTGATTTGATAGCCGAGTATCACCGAACGGCTTCAAGACATTATTCCCAGAACCCTGAAGCTATCTCCATGATGCTTCTCACATTGTACGAGCTGTGGATTGCATGCGATAAAGCCGCACTTCATTCTCTGCCACTGCTGAGGGATTATGACGCCCTTGTACCGGCCGACTGTCTAAGCTCTTTACTACTCCCTTTCAAGTCCCAAATGATACGCCTAGCAAATGTGGAGAAATACCTGGAAGAGCGCCAGCGTCACTTGAGGTATCCAGGGTCGAATATATTCCGGGATTTCGGGACGCGGAATAGCTTCTCTGTACGGTACTTCGATCAGTCCACCGAGCATCAGCACCTTCTTCAGATGATCGAACAGAGAGCAAGCCATGAAAGGGAGCAAAAGAAGACCGAACTACGAGACAAGCATGAAAAGTACACTCGGCTTATGAGGGAGGCAAGCCAGATTGAATGCGAAATGGAGGAGATCCTGGTCGACAGAAGATTGCGCATTTACGAGACCCAGCATAGCCGGTCGTGCCCCTGCCATAATCTCAAGTCCCAAGCAAAGTCAATCTCAATCAATACGCATGAATGGCCCTTGCCCCGTGACCCCTTGCGAACTAAATCAATTGTGTTTGAGCTACGGGTCCCCGACTGTTTCGTGGCGTGGAGGGATTCGACATTATATGTTCTCCGTGACTGTCTCGGCTTCAAATATACTGCACCAGAGCGACCAGGATCCGAGTGCCTATTAACTGCATACAAACAACTCGCCCCTTTCTTGAGACGGGGCCGGGCCCAGCGAATTAGCGTCCTGTCGCAGAAAAAACCCCATGAGAGAACTCACCGCCATAATAAGTCCGTGATCAACGTGACAGAGAAGGACGTTTGCTTGAACCACGGGCCCCATTTTCAATACTTCGACAAAGAGACAGGATACTTTGTGGATGATTTGGAGAAGACGCCGGAGGTTGAAACAACGTGTGGGTATCAGCTCCCGGAAGAGAGCCATGCCCTTCAACGATTCCTTTGTCGCCCATCTGCACAACCGCATGGCCCGTCCCCAAACACCGTCATTGCCACGCAACATGTGACACCCGCCACCATGTCCTTGAATGAATACAGATCTCTCGCATCGATCCCACTTGGACTGGAGATTCAATGGCAAAATATCCTCTTGGAGCTGACAACACCTTCGATAGACCTGAAAAAAGTGGAGACTACGTTCTTCATCCGCCAGGTTACTAACCAAGCAGGCTCGCCTAGTGCAGAGTCATGGATGAGGATCGGACACGCAATTTTGAAAGATTGCAACTTCACAGCCAAAGCTCTTGCTTCTATCCAGCAGGCCACTGAAAGGATCAAGGAGAACTGGAACATGATCCATGGTCTGGATGCGCTGATTCAAATCGCCCTAAAGATTTCCAGCCTATCTCCATCGAGCGATGAACGTGGAAGATTCTTTGCCCATCTTCAATCAATGCGTCATATTGCGTTCGGGTGGATCCAGAGTGTGAAGCAGAAAGCGAGTCAGGAGGTTCATGATGCCATCAAAACTGAATTGTTAGCGAAAAGCGTTCATATTGCGTTAGTCTGCGCAGCGACCTTCGATGCCGATGATCTTGCTGGGAGCTTTGCTCTGTCATCAGAAGTTTCAATATTTCTCCAATGTTGCATGGCCATTTGGAATGGGCGCGTATCCCTGTCTTTGACCCCGGGCTCGTTGCTCTCAATCCTGTTTCATCGCTGGCAAGTCCTATGTTATCGCAGCCACCCGTTTCTATCACGCAGGTGCTCTGTCGGTCCTGAATCCCCAATGAATTCGGCCATTCAGCGTGTCTGGGCGGCATATCCAGGAAATGCATGTTGGGCCGAGATTTCCCAATTTATTCCTTATTGGCTACATGCGGTACTTCCGTCAAGGTCGACATCATCTATAGGGGTCCAGGTGCATTACAATCTTCTAACAGGAGAGCTCTTGGTAGACGGGCTTGCACTTGCGCGACTACCTTGTGACTACGAGTCGAGCACGACCTATCGTATGTTATTTGGAAGGTCGCAGCTGGATGTGATGCCTAGTGATATACCTGGGATGGAATTTTCCTGTCAGCAGGAGTACTCCGGCTATACCGTTCATCTGGGAAAGGCTGCCAACCGTGGGTCTTCTCAGGGCGATATCTCGATAAACGCATCAAAGGATGGCCAGACATGGGAGTTTGTGCCGCAGAGCGTTTTCTCCGGGCATTTTCCCGATGAGTTTGTTGACAAATATGCCCACTGGTATGCCACCGGGCGAGGAATCGTAGAGTTTCGGCCTCTGGAATCACCATGGTCATCCTCTGATCAGCTTTGGAGATTGCGCAAAAGCAAACATGAACATAAATGGTGCCTTGAAAACCCTGAGTTTTTCTTGACCTGGAGCTTGAGCCAGACAGCCAAAGCCTTGGCCCAAGTTTTTGAGCCATTGGAGCAATCGTCCAAGATACATTGCTTCCTTGGCAAATCAAATGGCAAATCAGATCCCATGCTACATATCGATATTCCGCGGTTGCGTTTGGGCTTCAGCCTTTCCGAAAAGTCTACTTCAATCCATTGTCGGCAGTATCCGGACACGCTGATTGATGTCAAGCAGGGCTGTGGCTCCTTGGTAGGCCTTCGGAATAGACTTTTCCTCGTGAATCCTTGTTCTGGCGATCGTCTGGTGCTCATTCCTGAGGGCGATCTCTCTTGGTCCGCCAATAAGGGACACGTCCAAACCTCCGTGGCCTGGCAGCCCACGTCTCGAGTTCACGCATTTTCCATCGATGAGCAGCTCGGTCGGCTTGTAGATAATGGAAGCATGCAGAGCAAGCTCTTCCTTGCCTACATCCACGCATTGACTTCATACTTTCTGCCCGACCCACTAACGAAAAGAACAGGGACAGAGCAAGCCCTCACGATCTTACGTTCAGCGTCTGTCCGATCCTTTGATCGTCTGCGACCGGATGATAGTGCGATTCTCACCAAGATTGCAGCACTCACGCCCCAGCGAGAGTTTTACCCAAAGAATGAAAAAGTTATGCAAAGTATCCAATGGAAGCACTCCATATACAGTCTATCCCAGCACCCGAGTTTCTACGAGGAGGTAGCAGCCATCCGAGAACAAAATCTGCAAACCTATTTCTATTATCCAGAGACAGGTCTCCATAACCCTTCCCTCCCAAACATGAACTGTGGCCTTTTAGACCGCGATCGGGCTCGTTCGTCGTCCTTCCGTATATCTGGTTTCGGCGCGGAAGACTACACAAAAAAGCACGACCGTCAATACAAGGGCCGGGATGGTCGCCGTTCTTCAGTCGAAAGTGCACGGGTGCTCACTATCAGTCAAGCCCTCTGTGGCGGTGTATTTCGAACGCAGGAGCTCGGGGAAGCGGAATGGCTCGATCGTATCTGGCGATTTCTCTCTGCCGCGTCCGAGATGCGAAGCTCGGCAACCGGCTTCGACGCATCAGAACTAAGATATAGCGCAGAGTGGGCTTATCAGGCTTACGGATTCATTGCTAAGAACTGGTGTGCTATACATCGCTCGGTGGCTTCCGAGCAGCGGCGCGTCAACAAATACCAATTGATGATCTGGCTGTCAACTGTGGCCTACCTCACCGATTTGGACTTGATTGTGCTCGAGACAATCGCTTCATTGTTTCTAGCTCCGGAGCTACTTTGTGATTACCACGCGAGGGGAGGCATGTTCGACCTCACTAAGGGTTTTAAATGGGATTCCACTGCAGTGAATAATTTCATACAGTCAGGAAAGCTCAGCTCAACCCCAGAAGATGTCATGGGGATATTGCCTCGTGAAAGTTATAAGAGTTTCACGTCCCGAATCAGGAGTTTGCGGAGTAGCAGGCAGAATGAGGCATGCCAAGTAACACTATCAGATCTGTCACGCCAGTGGCCAACTCGATCACCATCGCGGCCTGCGTCACCACCAACACTGACTCTTGAGCGGTACCTCGACTTTCAAAAAATCATCGCACATGTCAGCAAGCTATTCCACCACTGGAGCGACAACAGCATGTTCCGAGAACGCCTGGAAGGTATCATCCGGCGGCTAGCTCAAAAGCCCTCTCAGCAATTCTATCAACGGTCATATCCACCGTTGCCACCCCCAGCACGTATCAGCACCCACAATGGATTTATCTCCTTTGATGATTTGCTGCCGAAGTCCCCTTCGCTTGGTGTGGCAAAACCGGCCTTGCGCAGCTTTGTCCAGACGTCCCACCAAGCCAACAAGCGCGGTTGTGACATTTCCGATCTCGTTACCTCCCTGAAACCTCATGCTACCTCTGAGTATGAGCAGAAGTATATCAGGCGCTTACAAAGCAGCGTAGAGTCATTGGAACATACCAGAAAACAAAGCAGTTTCAGTATTCCCCATGAAAAAGTCCAGGGATGCATCGAGGCGTACCACGAGGCGTGTGAGAAGTATGTGAAGGACATGTTTTCGGCTATTGTGTCATGGCTTCAGCCTCCGATTTTGCCTGGTGAGCAATCTACAAGCCGCACATCCAGAGTGAGCTCCATGGATACCCTCTTCACTGTCAACCACGCTCCGAGACTCTCGCCCATGTTGTTTATAGAGCAGTTGAACCGTCATCGATGGCCCTGCCTGTCCGACGCCTGGAGACGCGCGTTTATCGAGTACGGGATCTCAATCACCATGCTTCAAAAGGCAAAGCGGCTCCGCGCCCTCGCCGGCAGCCCGCACGATCATCTCAAAGAGCTCGCTAACCCGGGCCATGGGAACTGGGACCCATTCGAACGACCGGAAAATTTGCTCTTGGAAATTGAGAATGGTATCCTGATCCGAGATAACCAGGCGGATATCGCAGAGACAATGATCGGCACTTCTTCAGCGCACAACGTTGTCTTGCAACTGAATATGGGAGATGGTAAGTCTTCAGTGGTCGTGCCCATGGTCGCTGCGGCTCTTGCGGACGGTCGTTGCCTTTCTCGGGTATTCACCCCCAAACCACAATCTCGACAAATGCACGAAATGCTGGTCGGAAAGCTCGGAGGGCTTTTGGGTCGCCGATTGTATCATCTTCCGTTCTCTCGGTCGCTGAAATTGGGAGAAGCTGAAGCAGACCACATCTATCGCATGTGTCGTGAATGCATCTCGACCGGTGGCGTGATGTTGGTGCAGCCCGAACATATACTTTCATTGAAGCTTATGAGTTTGGAGTGCTTTATTAGTGGGAAACCTGAGGTGGGCCGCTCTTTGTTGCGGACCCTGCGAATCTTTGACGAGCACGGGCGCGATGTTATCGACGAGAGTGACGAGAATTTCTCAGTCAAGTTTGAGCTAATATACTCCATGGGAGCCCAACAGCCTGTTGAGTTTGCTCCGCAGCGCTGGACTCTGATACAAAAAGTGCTGCAGCTTGCTTGGCGATTCGCCAGCAAGGTTGACTTGTCTCAGCCGGGCTCTATTGAAGTGCTAAAACAAGAGAATGGGGGATTCCCGCGAATTCGCGTGCTAGACCAGCGAGCTGACAGAGCATTGGTCCAACAAATTGCCGAGCATATCTGCGAGCACGGAATCGAATACTTGCCGATCTCCAGGCAGCCTCAATCTGTGAGAAAGGCCGTGCTGGCCTACATCGTAGACCCGCAACCGACCGTGGAGAGCATTTCGTCCGTCGAAAACGACGAGGACGGATTGTGGAGTGAGACTTTCCGGGATGGCCTCTTGCTTTTGCGCGGGCTATTTGCCGGCGGCGTTCTTCCATTCTGTTTGGGACAAAAGCGATGGCGAGTCAACTACGGACCTGATCCCCATCGACAGCCACCGACTCGGCTGGCGGTGCCTTACCGTGCGAAGGACAGTCCGTCACTTCGCTCCGAGTTCAGCCATCCTGACGTCGTCATTCTCCTGACCTGTCTCCATTATTACTACAACGGGCTCACGGATGACGATCTCGCACTGGCCTTTGAGGACCTTGTCAAATGCGACGAAGCGGACGCGGAGTATCAAACTTGGGCAAAAGATGCGCCGTTGCTTGCGCCGGCATATCGGCGGCTAGCGGGGGTGAACTTGGATGATCAGCAGCTTTGCGTCCATTCGATTTTCCCCGCGCTTCGATTCTCAAAGGCGGCAGTGGACTACTTCCTGGCGCACGTGGTATTCCCAAGAGAGATGAAGGAGTTTCCCGAGAAGCTGTCGGCTTCTGGCTGGGACATTGGGGAGCTCAAAAAGAACCCCGCCGTTGGTTTCAGTGGGACGAACGACTCGCGCCAAACCCTGCCCCTATCCGTGGAGCAGCTAGACCGTCCAGAGCAAAACCACACGAACGCGTTGGTCTTGGAGCATTTGTTGCGAGCGGAAAACTCGGCAGTCGATATTCCCGCCCGAGGTGGTGAAGGCAATACCGACGCCCAGGTGCTCCTTAAGCTGGTGACTCGTCTTGATAGGTCAACGAGGGTCATCTTAGATGTTGGAGCACAGGTTTTGGAGTTGAGCAATCTGGAAGTGGCAAAGACGTGGTTAGCGATGGTTCCACATGACGACCACGCCCGGGCGGTCGTATTCGTCGACGACCAACACAATATTTGTGTGGTAGACCGAAGCGGGCGAGTGGAGGCATTACAGACCTCACCTTTTGCGCGACAAATGGATGCTTGTTTGGTGTTTTTGGATGAGGCTCACACGCGGGGCATAGACCTCAAGCTCCCGGTGCACTATCGCGCAGCGGTCACCCTGGGGATGGGGATCACAAAAGATAAGTTAGTTCAAGGTTCGTCAACTCTCCTCCTTCGCCCTGGCGGCGGCGATGGAAGTGTCCGAAAAGAAAATATGAAGCGGAAAACTAAATCCACATAGCATGCATGAGAATGAGGCAGCTTGGCTCGGGCCAGTCTATTGTCTTCTGTATTCCATACGATATCAAGGCACGAATCCATGACTCACGAGGGACACATGAGCATTCGGAAATTGGCGTTCCTGACATCTTGCGATGGGCCATATTCGAAACATGGAACGACATCAAACGGAGTATGCCTCTCTGGGCCGTCCAAGGCCGCCGCTTCACCAACCAGCGATCGAAATGGCAAAATTACCAGCGCTCAGAACAAGACTGCTTGACTTCTACTCAGGCAAAGTCCTTCTTGGAACCAGAATGCCTCAGCCTTCAGCAGAGATATAAACCACATAATACAGGTCAGCCGGCCCCCCTGGCAAGCGCTCAACGTGAAGCGCCTGATGCCATCGAAACACGCTGTGCCGAGGTCGAAGGCCAAGAAAGCTGCTCCCCGTCTCTCCATGAGGAGCAGGAGCGGGAGCTTGCTCCGGAGATCCAAACTGAGCGTCAAAAACATCGGCCCCCTCCAGCGGAGCCGGCGATACATCGGGTTCACTCGGATTTGTGCTCATTCATAGAAACCGGGGTTCTGAAGTTACCCTCCGAAGCTTACGGACCTGCTTTTGCATCCATACAGGATACATCAGCTCCACTTTACGTAGACCTGCACCAGTTTGGTCCTGGGCTGATGGTCACTACTGACTTTACAAAGACCATCAAAGTCCCTCGGAGAGGTTCATCTGTCATGGACGCCTACCAAAGGCCAGTGCGGTTTATTCTTACGGCCGCTCCTTCCAAAGAGCGCGATACAACCGATGAAGAGGATGGCATTTTAATCATTAGCCCCCACGAGGCCAATATGTTGATGCCACATATTACAAAATCAACGGCTGTCACAATTCATCTGTACAGCCCTCGGCAGAACGAGGAACATGGGCCTTTGGATGGGCTTATGCTGTTCAATAGGTCCCGGGTCCGAGAGACACGCCGTCTTTCTCCGAATATTCGCCTGCAACTGAATCTGTTCGCGGGACAGCTCTATCTCGCCTCCTACCAAGAATACCAAGATCTTTGTTGTTTCCTGGGAGTAGCATCGGTTCCAACGCCCGCGGGATTGGCCGTGGCTGCAGACGGTTTCATCCGGGACAATGCAAATGGGACATTCCGCGAGAGCCCGCTGAGTTTCCTAAAATTTTGGCTGTGCCAAGTAAGAAGAGATTGCCGAGATATCAGAAGGACCCATTTGGGAAAGATTGCGAATGGCCAGGTGTTGTCCCCTTCGGACTTGCAGGCATCGGCTGTACATTGCGCAGAGCAAAGTATGCAGGCACTGTACCTCCTGTCCAACTAGACTTCAGACTGCCATGGAGTTTCTGGCGCAGCCGTGAAGTCATAAAATAGCTTGAGAAAATAATCACTAGAATGTCTTCATCTGAATCGGTGAACTTGTCTTTGGAGTCATCATTGCCGTGCAACGTAATATTCCGTAGTTTTTGGTTTGGCAGATTCATGCTGTCGTCTATCAATTTTGCTATCTACATAAATCAGAAAGGCTTGTCCCCAAACCATTTGACTGCCAGTGATCCTTAAGACGAATAGATTACTTGAGAGGATACGCAATTTATTTATAATTCAAATACAGACAATATCCTGATGATGGCTATTTCGCTTTATCAGTCGTCCCACTCGCGCAGGGCACCGCGGCATGCAAACCTATCCATGAAGTTCGCGTTACGCGCTTTCATATAAATGGAGCTGTCATTAGCATAGTTGAAATCCAGCTAGATACCTTTGATCGGTAAAGAGCTCGAGACCCGATCGGTGGACGTTCCGGCGCATCGAAAGTTTTGCAGCGGGCTTCGTTCTCCTGCCGGAAGACCCGTATAGAAAAACCAATCAGGAATCATGTATACAAAGGAAAATATGCAAGGAGTCTTTTGTGGAGGTGATCGAGAGAATGTGGATATTCACCGGTGTCTAGTGTCAAGCCCTATAATATATCCTGCTTTCCTACATGCCCGAAGGCTGCATGAGCTGGCTGGCTGATTGGAGGGATAAGGCGTTGTCTTCCCATTGGGCGGATCACGGCCACCCCCTCTTTTGATGCCACGAGCTGCAGGAGTCTCTCTGAATACGCTCGCATGGGAATGGCGGTGTTCTATGACTCAAACTCCTACGCCACCACTGTGGGCTTGAAGAAGCAAACATATTCCTGTCCCCCTTACAGTATTACAGTATTGAGCTGTCGAAGATTGCGGAAGGCCCTGGTGGTAGGAGAACAAGTAATTCGACACGACGGTCGACATCATTCTGCATAGTCGCGTTATGATTTCCCGGTCGCAATTCTTTCTCGTCTATAAAGTTGCTAAATGGCCTGCTTAATCTGGGATAGTTCGCCCAAACAGTCTGAATCACACGAAATTCGATAACACCCCAATCAACAGAACATCGGCTCAATTCATCTTCAGTAGTACAAAATGGCCGTCGAGGAACGTATCGCGCACGTTGAAAGGGTGATAAGTTACTCTTTCAAGTCGAAGGATCTTCTTCGGCAGGCACTGACTGCGGCCGGGTCAGAGCCGGAAAATCACGATGGCAACAGGAAGTTCGCGATCATCGGCGACAATCTCATCCGATACATCACCAGCTGCGTTGCATACAAAGTCTTGCCTAGTCGAAGTAGGTTTCATCTTCTACCTTCTCTGTCCGCGCTTTCCCACTGACCAAGCCGAAGGCCAGATAGCGGCGCTGGAAACCACGATTGTGTCCGTCGATAAAAGAGCATCCGTGGCGCAACAGACTGGAATCAAGTTCTGCATCAAATATAGCCATAGACCAGGAGCCCATTCTCGCAAGGTCCTCGCTTTGGCCATCAGTGCTATTTTGGGGGCCGTCCATATCGATTCCGGCGACCATGCTACCCCATGGAGGGTAGCACTGCACCTCGGTCTAGTTTCAGTGGCGTGGGCGAGAAAGCCGGTCGACGGGGAACTCACAGGGCCCAGTTCATCCACGAAGAGGGGTAGGGAGGACGGCTCTCTTGCGGATGAGAATGGAGTGAGGGACCGTCCACCTACGGGGAAGGCAGCTCCAGTAGGGTCGGACATGGGATTTCCGGATCGCCTGCAGGCCACGATTCCCCCCCAAACCCGCGGAGACCATTGTGAGATTACGGGCGACGATGATGGCGATCGTCTTGAAGATGATACAGATCTTGCTATGGCGAAGAAAAGAAAGCCATCTTCGCCAGGCGATCCCCGAAAGGGCCCGGGGTATGACCTGCTCGACGAGAAATTCGTCCATTCCCCCCTATTATGAAGTTTCTGGATACGGAGACCGAGCGGTGTTTCCGCTTCCAGTGCCTGCTGCCAATTCAGTCCTATTTCTTGCCCTCCATCCAAGAATCCTTGGCAAACATGGGGCAATATACGGACGCAATTTCCGGGTTCGTACTCTACATTGCTAGTCCTGAATCGGTGGTTGTACTAAAGTCGATCGTGGAGACGGCTCGGGCGAAGCAAAGTGTACCTGGTCCTTTGACACCGGCTGTAGTGGAGACGAACAAAAGTCGCTTCCACTTGATAGAACTTCTTGGGGATGAACTCGTCTGGTGCCGCCTCCTTCGGTTTGTCCATATATTGGAGCTTTATAAAGCCTGTGGAGGTGCAGAGACGGGCACATCGAGTGGGTTTGTTAATTCTACGGTGTCTTCGATGAGAAGCCAGCCAGGCCGACGCGGAAATCCCCTGCACGCGGCCGAATCCCAAATCCTGCCACGGATGATGGCTGAGATACTGCCTGAGTTGATGCCAGGTACGGAAGTATATGACAGAAAGCAGAGTGAATTGAAAAAACTCCGTCTTCTCGGGCGACGATTGTCCGCCATGGCGTCGACCTTTGGCCCTGGAGTTCTTGGCCTGATGATGAGCGAAGACTCGTCCGAGTTAGCAATCTCGGAAGCGACGTAAGTATTTGAATCTGAAACTGGACAGTGTTGACCATCGCAAAAGGTTCCAAAGAATCCCAGAAAACAAGTTCAAAGAGTTCATCCGCATTTTGGACCGCTCCCAAGGCGCTTTGCTGAGAACTTTCGCGGCTGCAGCTCAAAGCATCTTAGATGTTCTGATCGGCTCTACCTTCCCAGCACACGAATCTGTCCTTGAGAGAGCGGAGCCTGAAAGCATCCTCCAATACCCGAAAGGATCTGATGAGCTACTTACCCATTTATCTATGCTATGAAAGCCCAGTCGTCATCGGCCAAATATGAAATCAAGCTATTTGCAGACGTATGGCGCGAGAACTGGGCAACTTGCATTGAGTAAAATATTTGAGCCCTCGAATGAGCTATATTTCCTGGTGCATATGTATACATTATACTCGTAAACACACTTGTGAACAATTTGTCTCGAAACTGGTATTCTAGTATTGTATCCTTTAGCCGTTTACAGAATATTTTCTTCCTGGCTAGTCATGCCAGAGAAGGTGGGCCACTTCCTTTCTATCCTGAGATACAAATCTTGGTCACCGTCCTACCACTCACGATACCTCCGCCGACAAAATTGACGCAGAACTACTTTTTCTACTATACAAGGCCGTGGGTGGAGACAAAATCGATCAACGCCACACCCGGCGGTAGACCTGGACCTATGTCGTAGACTTGTCGCTGCAAAATGGCATCTTCAGACTTGAGGATATTCTTATAGACCGATCATTTCCGGTGAGTGTTGATCTGCATCTTGTCTCTGGGCACAAGCCACCCCATAGAGATAGACCAGATTTTGCGGAATTTCAGGACAATAAGCTACTACCGTCAACAGTTTCCTGTCTGGCGCTGGCTGACTTGCAGATCACTAGACTTAATGCGCGGCGCCTTCCGTGAAATCAGTAGGTCATATAAATGCATGCTGTACTATCCGACGCCGTGAGCTCCGACTTTCTGCGAATGAAGTAAACAGCGCTTACTATTTAACTAACCAGTTAACCAGTCAAGCGGGTAATTGACCATAGTACATTAAGATGCGTTGTATCTAAGGCCCCTATGTATAATATGACATTTCATTGGGGTTGAGGTGTGGATCATGATCTGGGACTGTGATATCCCGTTGGGGAAGTCTACGGGAAGAGGTCATAACGTCATAGATTTAATCCGTCAATTATGAGCTTTTGAGGAATCAGCCGACCTGGGACCTATGTAAAGGTCTATATGATAGCGATATCTATTGGGGCGTGCCGTTGAAGCATGCAAGAAGCGGCGTTACGGTAAATCCAAGCACGAGCTGGCAAAGCAAGCCGCTCAGTTTTCGCGATGCGAGACCCCGCCTATGGATTCCTTCTACCGGAGGTTATGAAAGATCATTCGAAACCATGCCATCATTGCAGTGAACCCTACCAAAGCATCGTGCATTTTCTCGGTCTGTGGGAGTGGAGATCGCTTTGAGCACTATTGGAGAAAGCGGTCGTTGGAAGAGATCCGCAATATTTGAGGTCCCCCAAATCAAGCTGATATGTCAACGTTGGCATCTAGGGATAGAGTCGTGGTGCGCCCGGAACTGGGGTGGTGTTTGCATGTCGTCTTCCGATTCTCGAGGTCTGCCAAATGCAGTTAACGCAGCCACATGAATAAAAGTATGTTCACTGAGAATCGAGACCTAGTATGTGATATCCTGAAATGGATACAGACCCATCACCTTGGGAATGCGTAGTTGATTGGTCCAGAGTGCGGGGTTTCGATACGTCATCATCCCTACGATCGGCAATGTCGACCTTTCGAGTCCGATTCGAAATGACCACTAGAGTCATCTCTTTTATTTAACTTCACATCCTGGGGGAATTCCAAGACTACGATTCCCACATATTGTAGAGAAATGCGAGCTGCAACTGTTCTTTTCTAGGTTAGCGTGAAATCCAATATTGCCTCGGAAGGATATATATCTAATTCCCTCCCTTCCCTGTAACCCTTTTTCACTGACGAGATATACTTCTGATCCAAACGGGCATTTTCATTTCGGCCTCTTTGTTGACTGTTATTGTTCTTATGACTGCTTCCCTTATCTCAAAGCCTCCCAAGGTCCTCAGTCTCGTGGAAACCCTTGATAATTTTGTCGTGAACCAAAGTTGCCGCGAGCACCCATGCCCCCGGGGTATACCATTGAGACTTGCTCGAGTCTGATAAGGCGCAATAGAGCCTCAGGCAAGCCTCAAGTCAAGGAAAACGTCACTTTCATGGTTTCAGATCCTGAGGCGGATCTAATGAGGGATCCGTCACGCAGCTCGATCGAAATGTACCCCTCCACGAGTGAAGGCAATGCGCTTATGCCAGCTTCAGTATCCGAAAATGGAAAATTTGGGGAAGGAGGAGGCGGAGGTGGAGGAGAGGGAAGTGGTGGAGGAAGAAGGGACCGCAAGAAGAAAGTGGGGAGACAGGATGAGGAAATATACGAGGAAATAGACGAAGACCTCGAGATAGAGGGGGGGGATGGGAGGAAAGGAGCAGGAAAATGCTGGGGGCGAGGGTGGGCGAATGAGGAAGAAGACTTTTACCAAGAGAAGAACTACGAGAACTAGACGAGACAACGATGAGGAAGAACAGGAGGAGGGAGGAGGAAGAGGAGGAGGTTCCGGGATGGGAAATGGTAGATGGGAAGAACATCCATCGAAGGTGGAATCAAAGTTGTGAACCTGTATATACTGCTATTATAGTGGTAATTGAGAAAAACAAAGCTTGTCTTGAGACATAAAATTGCCAACAGCGAGCTTTCAAGATCGAAGAAAGTCTACCAGATCAATTATGGAGATTATCTCGCCTTTCAAGGGAACATCCACATACGCCGAGGACAACGTAAATGGACTTCACTCCTCCTTTATCTCCTGGCTCGGGGATGTGAATCAAACGGCAGGGCAGGGACAGCTTTCTGGTTTTAGTATATACAGCAGCTCCTCGCTGGATCCACTTGATATCCTGGCGAGCCGCAAGACGGCAGTTATGGATCGCTTTAAGTGCGGCGATTTTCTAGAACCAATGATGGCTGCTGGTCACCATGGGTCCCTGAATAATGACACTCTCACCAGATCTTTGTGTGAAGTCTCTTGTGGTCAAAGCCTGAAGCAGTGGTATAGGAAAGTTCAGCAAAATGCGCTAGATACAATATCAATGGAGGTCCTCCAGAACATTTTGGTGGTCAAATGTAGGCTGTTTACAAGGACACATGTAGCAGGGATAACATTTATGGCAAATACTGCCATGATACGTGCCTATAATATTCCTTAATACTTCGATCCATCTGACATCCACCAGATTTGATGAACTTTCACCATAAGAATCGATCTTTAATCGTTTTTGAAGTCTGGTGCCGGTTTTCCAAGCCCGGCGGTTATTGGATTATCGGATCGATATCACAAAGCACCCTCGCATGTCTTCGGCCTATGCGACCTGGGAAAGAACAGTACCTTTAGAGAGAACTTTTCTCCTCTGGGTACTTCCAAAGGAGAAGGTCTCTTTTCGACTGCCTTGGGGAGAAAACTTCGGATGCCTGAAAAATGCCGCCATTACCATATTCGGAGCTCCCAAAGAGGGAACCCGATAGCAGGATAGCCTTGCCCGTCGTATTCGCCATTCAAAAACGAATATTCATTCGCCCTACTACGGCGGCTCCGGCCATTTCTTGCCAGACTTGGCCCTATACAGTTGTCAAAATGTGGAGTTTTCTATTACTCTGGTTGGCTGTTGTCGTGTGCTTAGCCGTCGCTAAAGATGTGTCGTTCACAATCAACCTAACGTGGGACTATGGCTCCCCGGACGGCTTCCGCAGAAAGATGATTCTCATAAACGGCACCTCGCCCGGTCCAGCTCTCCTCCTAGACCAAGGAGACAACGTGAAGGTATGAATACACGCTGAAGAGGCCCGATGCTACAGCCGAGGGCGTTTTCGCCGCGAGCTGACAGCGCCATGTAGTTCCTCGTCCACAACAATCTGCCAAGCAACACCACCATCCACTTCCACGGCATCACTCAACTCAGGACACCTTGGTCTGATGGCGTTCCCGGGATTTCGCAAAAGCCAATTCTGCCCGGGGAGTCATTCCTCTATCAGTGGACGGCTGATGACTATGGCACGGTAATTGGAATTCACAATACACCCTTGTAAACCTTTCTAAACAGCTGCAGTACTGGTACCATGGCCACTACCTCTCTGACATTAGCGATGGTCTGATGGGCCCGATACACGTCAATCCTAGCCCCCAGCAGCCCTTGCCATACAGCCTCATCAACTCGTCGCAGGCCGAAGTCGCGGCAATGGCAAAGGCAGCGGCTAATCCCCAGCTCGTCATGATTTCAGACTGGAGTCATCTGGACTCAGCGGCCGTGTTCCAGGCAGAGATTGATGCTAACCTGGACTTGTACTGCACAAACTCGATCCTGATCAATGGACGAGGCAAGGTGAGCTGTCTGCCCATATCCACGTACATGTCGCTCGCAGCGCCCTCCACCCTACAAGCCCTGAACGGGCGAAACATTACCGCGCAAGGTTGCTCGCCTCCTGGGATTGCCGAGATTGAGGGCAACTTCCAGTTCAACCTGAGTGCATTGCCACCGGTGCTGGCGTACTCGTGCGAGGCTACCAACACCACGCCGTCCGTCTTCTATGTCAGCAGGACCGACCGTTGGGTCAGTCTCAACTTCATCCTCGGCGCTTCTGTGCAGACCCCGATGGTCTCTATCGATGACCATGACATGTGGATCTACGCTGCAGACGGCCAGTTTATACAACCGCAGCGCGTCGACGGGGTGCTCATCTTTAGCGCGCAGCGCTACTCGGCCCTCGTCAGACTCAAAGACAAGCCCAGCTACGACGCCTATACCGTGCGCTTCTCCAATGTGGGAGGCAACCAAATCCTTTTTGCGACAGCCCTGCTGTCGTACGCCCGAGAGGCAAGATTGATACCATCGCGCCTGACTCGCACGCCCTCTTCAACCAGGCTGGCAGCGCGACCAATAGCTCAGTCGTCACCCTTGACATGAGTTCGCTCGCACCATATCCCGCTATCAAGCCCGCACAGGACGTAGATGCGACGCACATATACAAGGCTGGCCGCGATGGCGCCGCCTGGAACTGGACCCTGAGCGCAAGTCCAATTCCCCTCCCTTCCGCCCTTCTCGTAAGTTGAGAAACGTAAGCTGACCGAAAACCAGGGAAACATGTCGTACCCAATGTCTATGACGGAGGACTATCCCCTCCTCTTTGATCCCAACAGCACTGCCGCTGTCAACCCCAATCTCACAATCCGCACCCTCAATGGAACTTGGGTGGACATTATCGTTCTCACTGATCCCGGTAGCCAGAACCCCACGCAGCCGCCACACTCGTTCCACAAGCATAGCAACAAGTTCTTCATAATCGGCAGCGGTACAGGTGCTTTCAACTACACCTCCGTCAAGGAGGCTATGCAAGAGCAGCCGGAGTCCTTCAATCTCGACAACCCCCCCCTTTCGCGACAGTTTCGTGTCAAGTGCCGTTTGTGAGTCCTCCTGAGTCTTCAATATGCTCACCTTGAAGGGCGCCGCTCGTATGTGCAGACAAATCAGCTGACCCACGCACGTAGCGCCGGGCATGCCAACCTGGATCGTGATTCGCTACCAGAGCATGAATCCTGGAGCCTTCATCCTGCACTGCCACATCCAGCCTCATTTCGCGGGTGGCATGGCTATGGCAATGCTCGATGGCGTGGACAAGTGGCCCGCAATCCCGGCAGCGTACCGTACGAATGGTGGCGCCACCGGCATGTAGGGTGGTGAGTCGCCATCCGAGTGTTAGCGGTGTCAGAGTGATATTCATCCCATGCAATGCAATACAACCGTTCATTCGTTCATTCGTTCACTAACTTGAGCGCGTGTGCGCAGCAGTATTGTATTCTGAGAGATTCATTAATTCACGCCTTTTTGGGGTTTATGAATCGTTCGACCCGTGTGGGCCCATCGTAATCCGTATTATTCGGCCGTCGCAACCTTTCGAAAGTGGGAAGCATTCGCAATTGCAATCCTTCATACTGTTGCACTAACCCTCCCCGTAACATGAGCGCTCAGAATTGTTTTCTTCGCTTCTTGTCTCTATTGAGTCCTCTGGAGGGGGGTCACGTGGTGATAGATATGCGCCCAGGGATTAGCCTCAAGAGTCGCCAAATTGCATGGTCACCGAGTTCAAGTCGGGAGTGTTGATTTGCGAAGCTGAAGGCATGAAAGGTGAAAAGAGCATGCTGCCATAGAGATCGTTGGACGAAGGGCCGCTCTCAGGGCCGACTGAAGACGTCTGCTGCTCCTCGAGCAGAGACGTGAAGAGGTCCCAGCCCATTTGGTCGTCGTTGGTAACCGCGCACGAGCCCTGGCTCATCATGTTCTGCAAACTGTGGGCGAGCGACTGAACAATGCCTTTTGCGGAGGTGGCGCTTGGGCAGGTGGAGGAGAATAACTCGAAAACAGCCTGGGCGCGTGTAAGGGAGTCGAGCGCCTTTGGTCCCACGGAGATCAGCGAGCTAACAGAGACAGAAGCCGTGATTGTCAGCGTCGCATTCCAGAGGGACTGCAGAACGTCTGACCAGCCATAAAGGATGTCAGACATGGAGCAGACCGCGAAGACCGTGTCGACGGTCATGGTTGCGTGATATAGAGCGCTAGCAATGTGGCGCTCCACATGGGGCTGCTGAGAGGAGTGTGGCGAAGTTATGCCGATAGCATCGTCAGAGCGGGCGTAGCGGAGACGGATGAAGGGACGCTGGATCAGGGTATGTGCGTTGTGATAATAGAGTTCCAAAAGCACAGCTTGCCGACGCAACCAGCCGGGCAGGGCCAGGACGCGATTGAAGTCAAGCGTCTCAGTATCGCCAGAGCCGTTCCTACACTCGCACAGCAGTAACTCTGGAGGTAGCCGGTTGCGCCAGACCTCTAAGTCTTGAAGCGCGGACGTGAGATTGCGGGCATGACCTTCAAGAGTGGCTGGGCTATTGCCATCATCATCTACAAGGTCTGCAGTCGAGACGCACGCACCAATATCAGTCACAATAAGGGCGAGGTTGACAAAAAGTGTGGAATAGGTGTAAGCTTTGGTGCCTTCGCCATAACTGCGGGAGGCGCAGTAGCGGGCGAGGGCGTCCTCGGCAGGAAAGGGACACTTAACAAGGCTTTTCTGGCAGGCGGGGGGCATGCCGAGCTGGAGCGAGCACTGGAGATCCAGGGAGAAGACCATCCACCACAGTTGCATGCGAGCAGTCTTTTCGATCTCGGGGAGATGGCTCGGTGGCGGTCGGTGAAGTTTGGCAATGTAGGCCTTGCGGACAGTGATGCCGAGTAGGTTGTATGCGTCGTGGAAAGCATTGCCCTTTATAAGGTAGAGGACCATGAGAGCATGGCACCGTAGGACCTCCAATGTCACATCGGTGTTCGTTCTCATGCACTCGCGACAGCGATGGAAGTATTCAAAGCCAGGCCAGATGGCTTTCGGCGAAGGCGCTGCGTGGGCGGACTGCTGCTGGAGGCCCAGTATCCGCCCGTCAAGGCCAGTGGCACGGCTATGCTGCATGCCCAGAGCGATCATGGAATCTACTAGGGCGGTCCTTGCGGAATACTGATCAAACATAGTGGGTGGCGGCAAGGCATCGAGTTCAGCGAACTCTGCCTTGCTTATTATCTGCAGAAGCGGATGGCAGTCGTCCCAAAACAGCCGTAAATAGTAGCTCCATTGGTTCTTAAGCAGCACGTTCGACGCGAGAGGGCGTTCCCCCGACGGTACGGTCGGGTGCGGGAGCTGAGGAAAGACGCAGCCGCCAAGGGCAGGGGTGTGTGCGACGACAGACTGCCCGCTGGCAAAGAAGCCCTGGATATGTGCAAGATTGAAACATTCCTTGGAGACATTATCCGGTGGAGTTCTTGTCGCCCATGAGCTATCCTGACTCGTGCTCAAGCGAGAGGCAGGAACATATGGACTGTTCTGATTGGTGCTGGGGGTAGAGCTGCTGGTGCTTGCGCTGTTGTCGCGACATGCTATGTGTAAAGGCGGAGGCGACGACGATCTGGGAGGAATGACCGACGACGATACATCCCCCGGGTGATTGTTGTCGTCGTTGTTGGTCTTAGAGGAGCGAGGAGGGGAGTAGGAAACTATGCATTTTGCCTTGATGCTGACACATTGTGCGCAAGGCTTCTGCTCATCACACTTGATGCGATGTAGGCGGCAGCGCTGACAGGCTCTGGCGGCCTTTTGCCGCTTGGCCAGCGGGTGAACCGTCTGCTCGGCGCCGGGATCAGAGTCCGTGCCAATAATCTTTTTTTTGTTCTTGTTGCTGGCGCGAGCTGATCCGGGGCCTTTGCTCTGGCTGCGTGCCTTTGCAGGCGCAGCAGAGAATCTGTGGAACATGGAGGCTCTGGTACGGTCTATACGTTGAGCGCCATGCTCATCGGTCTCCGTGACGAGGGGTAGACGCTTGACGGAAACTTGGAGGTATTATACTTGCAGATATTGGGGACACTGCAGCAGCGATCCTGCAGCATGGATTATGATGCCAAGGTCTTCACGTGTCTACGATAAGCCTCACCGAAACCGTTCGAGGCGTGCAAGGCGTCCACACGTCCACACGCCACGAACTTTGGCAACTATCAGGGCCCATGAGTATGCTGACTAATGCCTTTCCTTAGTTAACTAACTAACCCGAGGCCGGATCCGGATCTCCCAGTTGAGCCCCAAAAAATTCCTGATTAATTTCAGGGCCGGCTAGCCCCCGAGGTCCCCATTTTTGGGGGACCCGCTCAGCCGTCCATGTAGCTGCGTAGAACCCGCTCGGGAACACCCGGATCCGAGTTCGGAGTAATACGAAGGGTGAAGGCAATGAAAATGTTAGCGCGGTACTTTTGTGCTTCCTGTCTAAATCATTTCCTGCTGACTTTTGGTTGTAAGTGTATACGATCTGACCATCTTATATCTATCAATATGGATAACCTTCCTATTTCATAGTACCGATAAAGTGTGCCTTTATCTCCGGTATCACCAATCTTGATTCTCTGATCCCTCCATAAAATTCCATTTCTTTTAGTTGCGCTATATTACGACATTCTAGCGTATACTGTGCCCCGCGTGAAAGAAGCGTAGTCCAAGTTCGAAGTAAGCCTTGCGTTTTCGGTCGGTATAACACCGTTGAGAAGCCAAGATATTCAACAATTTCATCCTGAGGTACTAATGCAAGGGCTAGATTCGGCGATAACAACGCACGGGACAGTAAATGACGCACTGGTCAAGACTTTTGACCTTTACCTTGACAACGAATCAAAACCATGTGAAAATCCCATGTGGAAAAATTGGGGCGCAGTTCGCCACCAATCTCAGGGTCTAGTTCCTGCTTCAGGTAGACTAACTCCCAGTAACTAAAGCAAGACCGGTGAGTCCAGCGAGATGCCAGCAGAATTAGTGGAAACATAGTACGAAAAGAGTTCAGTGTGTGGCAGTGTATCACGAGTGCACGGACCCCAAACCGAGATAAAGGTACTGAACTGTTGGGCCATTCCTCTTTTACTCGCACAGACAACGGTTACCCGGTTGTCTGAAAATATATTGAAAATTCAAATGTCAACTCAGGCTTGCTATCTTTCCACCATGTTGATTGAACTGTGCGGAGCCTATGGCGTCTTAAAGTCGAAGAATGGCTAGTTCTCAAGGCCCTGAGAAGAGTACTAATGGCATTTTCCTCTCGATTTGCCAATAAGATATCGTGGTCCTAGGATCATACCCAACGGGTTCCGCTAGGACGGTTCCAGGGCTGACAATGATTGCTCTCAGGGATCGTCCGGCCCCCACAGGGCCTGCAGGCTACAGATCTAGCGACGGGACATCCGGTAGACCTCGCCACGACTGATGGGTGAACCTCGTGTCCCTCGTATCGTCCTCCAAATGGAAGAGATCAAGTGGGTCGTGAGTGACCAGTAGTGCCAGACCCCGGTACAGCCACATGGAGACCAGGAAGGTTGGTCGCGGAATTGGCCGATGTACCCGCAGCCTGATATGCCACGACCCATTATGGGTTCCACCGACTACGGGGAAGCGGCCCGTCTTTGCTTACATCCACTGTCTCGTATCCAAGTGCAGGGAAAGTCTTAGCGCGATACTTTTATCTTACTTCATGACTAACCAATTCAAAATTGGCTGCCGGAGGATATTCTAACACGTCCCTATTTCATTGCCTCCCAAATTCTTGCCATGTATGCAGTAGAGGACGACCACGGCTACTAGACCTCGCCACAGCTCAGGACGGGCTATCTACGGCCCGCCATGAGCCACGCATAAAGGGCTGAATAACGCAAGTATATACGAAAAGCATGACTTGCATTATCTTTGCTGAAAAATTGAAAAAAACCATTATATTTTTGGAGTTACCACATGTTCTAGGAGGTTGACTTAGAATACTTAATCAAAATTCACTCAGCTAGTAACATTTTTTGAGTCCTTGGGTCTTTCTTCCTAACTTCTTCGGATTTCCAAGGCAACAGCAAGACTTATATTGTTGTCACCCGAATGGATTGAGTCAAGCCACAGGATACATGCTCTACAATACCATAGAGCTATATTCAAGAGCGGTTCCGAGTCTTAACAAATCTGAAAGAACAAAATGGAGTTCCCAAAGTCACTATTAGATTTAGCTACCTACGCAAGCCATGTTTGAATGAATGTATTCGTTCTACTTGTCAACGTTATATAGGGCTGTGCACAACCTCTTCACACCACTAAGAGCATGATCGGAGAGAGATGGAAGTCACGCATCTATGTCTATCCGAAGTCTGTTTTCTTTTTTTCAAATCATGTCTTCTCCCTCTCATCGATCATATCCCAGAGTCCTCCTCCTGGTACGTTCCTGGCCCAGGCCAGAAGGTGTTCCACTTGTCGCATGTATCACGGATGTACGACGCATTTTGGCGCAGAGCGGACATTTGCCCCGGCTGCTCGACAAACTGGAGACCGAGAGACTCGCTTGAGTGCCATACGATGTGGCAGTGGACGAGCCACGTGCCCGGGTTGTCTGTCTTGAAAGCCATGACCATATAACCACTCTCGGGCCAAGTAGCCGTGTCACGGCGCGGTGGGTTCTTGAGATTGAGAGGCGACTTTGAGGTGAAATTCCCCGGGCCTGTGCCGAGGACATAGAAGTCATGGCCGTGGAGGTGCATGGGATGCGATCTGTTACGGCCTGAGTGGTCGTTCCAGACGAAGTAGACCCAGCTGTCATTGGAATGATTCTCAAAGACCATGTACTCGTCAGGGAAATGGTTAACACCGTCGAGCAGGAGCAGGTTCGTCGGCGCGGACCAGTTGACCCAGAGGTAATTCTCATTGATCGTGAATAGAAACTCCTTGGGTGCCGGAGGGGTAACGAAGCTGAGGTTGAGCTGCTGGATCTCGTTAGGCCTGCCAACATCGAGGGCGACATGGGGGACGAGACTCTCCATGGGCTCGTCACGGCAGTTGTCAGGATACGTGTTGACAATAGTCTTCGTCTTGGGATCTTCTTTCGAGGAGGAGTCATAGCGAATAATGCCGAGCGTGTTGTTGGCCTGCTGGTTTGCACAGCACTTCTCCTGCCAATTCCCGCTGTAGAAAGTCAGCTTCAGGGAGCTGTAAACATGAGGATACCACTCACCGAAGCCAATAGTTATCAACGTCTGCATTTGCCTCGACAATGACGTCGTAACGTTGGCCCATGCTGATGGCGACCTGCATATTGTGAGTACGAGAGACTGAATAGACGGGGATGATGGACCTACATTGTCGGTCGTATAGGGGACTATAGGTACAAAATCCATGGAAATGACGGTCAAGGTATGGTTGTCAATGGAGAATCGCATGTTCGAGTAAACACCGGTGTTGATAAGGCGCATACGGTACTTTTTGCCTTTCTCAAAGTGCCACTCAGGACGGCGCGTACCACCGACACATCGAGGATCTTTAGTATCGCAGGGAAATATATTTTTGCCATTGATGAGAGAACTGTCCAGCGAGGGAGGCAGTTGGGGCTTGGGGGGGCTTGAAGACCCGGTCGTACCACCACAAGGCGAAGAAGGACTCATGCGCCCAGTCTTGTAGGATGACAGCTCCCAAGTCTTCGTCATAGTCGGCCGTGGCAGGTCCGTGGATAATTATCGGACCTTGAAGACCCACGGAGTACTGCATCGTAAAGTGGGAATGGTACCATGTCTGGAGCTCGTAAGTAACGCATTCCGCGTCGATTGAAGTAAGCTTACTGTTCCGTAGTGCTCGGCATAGAATCTATAGGTATATGTCTCTCCGGGTGGCTGCGTCACGTTAGACTGGATTTCTGTTCGTGCGAGAAATACTTACGATGGGGCACTGGGTAACACCGGGAACACCATCTGCATCATTATTGTTCAACTGCCTAAAGCCATGCCAGTGAATAGACGTGCCATTGGTCTGCAGCTTGTTCGTGACGTGGATAATGACTGTGACATTGTAAGCGAATGGTCTTGCTTTCGAGTGAGAAGATTCTTACGTTCGTCTCCCCAATCAGCCTCGATCAGCGGCCCGGGCATACTGCCGTTGAAAGTTAGAGCACCCATTCTGTAGCCCTGATAGGATTGGTGAGTATCGACAGATAGATAACGGCGGACACGAACGCACATCTGGGGAAACGGTGCTGTTGAGAACCTCAAGCCAGTACTCCCTCGTCACTCCAGTACGAGGCGAGTCTTCGTAGTAATTTGTATCGATAGAGTAGTTACCCCAGCAGCCTCGTGAATGAGGACCATTCTGACACCCCTTGGGCAGATTTGCCGGCTTTACTTTTGGAGTCGTGAAGTTTGCAAGGGGATAAGGCAGATAGTCGGTGGCGTTTTTTAAGATGCCGCCAGAACCGAGACTGTATGAACCGCCTGGATCGTAGGCCGAAACGATCGAAAGTAAGAGTGTAAGCGCAAATACGAGCGTGAATGCCATTGTTACCACAGTTCTTGACTCTCAGTCTGTCCGTAAAGTCATTAAGAAGCCCTTTATGTCTAGTCTACATGAATATCCCATTGCGATGATATTGGGGGCCATTGTCGATCATAGTCTTGCGTGGGAGGATTCTAACTGTAAGGGGAAGAAGACTTCAGACCTAGACAGGCCGATCGGTGACAAACTATGGCGGACACGTCCCGAGATCGTGTTAACCCTATAGAGGTTGGCGAACCTCTCGGTCCTCCTTATGGCGATTTCGGAAGTAAAACTACGAGGCTGGAGCTCTGGGTCTGCAGGGCCTGCAGGGCCTGCAACTTGTCAGATTGTGCTGGGACGTGCGGCGCCATAACCGCCGTATTACCAGTCGCTGTTTTCTTGGCGAGTAACTACTCACAACTTTTCTTATAAAAGGTTTTACCGTCATTCGAAGGTTATAAATCGCCATTAACATCAGGTTGTGACGTTGATTAGCCTAGTACAGAGTATTGTTTCAAGGAATGTTGCTGGTTCTGGTAAAAGATGGGTCTGCGAATTTCCAAGGGTAATTTTGTACGCAGTGCTTGTTACAATACCGCGGGCTGCATATAATCTTTACCACTACAGTGTCAGGCCCACTCCCACATTAGGCAAGGCCTGTCCGGAATCCCGAGGGCTTTCACCAAAGTCCACGGAAACCTGATGGCTTACGGTTACCGGATGCAATCGCATAATATGGCCAGGGCCTATGCGGTATTGTGTCCGCGTGTCTAGTCTTATCCGCCGAATACGCTCTTTTACATACAATACTTCTCCCCTCCAGTCTTTTGCATATGCGTTGCCGTCATTTCATTGCACACGTGGTATTTCATCAACACATGCTAGCCTCTAGATGAAGAGAACACTACCGCATTGATTGGGTACAGAAGAACTATACAGCGAGCCTAGATTCATCCTAAGCGATAATCATCCACAGATCGAAGCACTCAGCACTGCTAGTTTACGTTCTCAGGGAAGATATGAGCGACAGGCTTCATGATGTACTACACCCGACTATGGAGATATTGCATTGCATGCACGCTTGTCAAGTTTATGCCATCATGTTTTGTGTAGGATGACGACATCCATCTGTTAAGAACACAATACGCATCTAGTTGCTGTATCTCAACCAGAAAAAATGTTTACGTATGAGAGCCCGCTGCAGATTACTGCTTCGTCATCTTAAATGCTCGGTCGGCCTCAGCATACGCATCATAGCCATAAAGCCAGGGCTGAAAGGTTGGACAGGTCCTGTTGCCGACACACAATGATCAGTATTACAAATTTGGACAATCTCCAGCACAAAGCAGGGGTGTCTCGACATACCAACGGCTACTGAAGGCGGGCGTGGGCCCGCTGATTATGGCGGAGGCGAAAGCGGCGTCGCGATGTCGCTGCGCCTCGCCGTCAGGCAAGTGAAAAGCCTCGCGCTGAAGAGATACGAAGTGTATGTCAGCAGACGTTGGCAACGGCAGGAACCCACATGAACCGATGAACCTACCTGCTTGAACGTCTCAAGCGCAATGGTGCGGCTTCTCTCCTTCCGCAGGTTTTCGTAGAGCTTAATGGCGTGAGGAACACCGGCGGGGTGTCCGACGTGGCCAAGGAGGCGCCCGAGTACGGCGCCGTCCTCGAGGGAAGAGTTGGCGCCCTGGGCAAGGTAGGGAAGCATCGGGTGGCAGGCGTCGCCGCTAGAAAGGTGTAAGGGAGACGGTTGACGACGTAGATGTCGCACGAGTATTTGCGTGTGGATGCATGGTGACTTACGCCATGACAAAATTCCCCTTCTCATTGCTCCACTTTTCGAGCGTGGGACCTGCATATCACTTAGGGACATTCGTGTGGCATTTGGGATGTGACTTACAGTGCATCAATTTCCACTTGTCCACACTTTGCACGCAATTAAGGAACTTCATCAAGCTTTTTGGTTCAGCCATTTGTCCGTGGGGAACGTAAAGTGGGGGATCTTACATTGGGTCCCACGCTGTAAATAATTTTTTCATCTCATCAAGGTTGCCCTCCGCTCTGCTCAAGTCTTTCTCAAGATCATCGGGCGAGAGCAGGACGAGATTGAATTGCTTCCCGTCCTTGAGCGAGTAGCCTACCGCGTGAGCGTAGGGCCCAATCCAGAAATTGACCGTCGGCTTCGACACCCACTCAACGAGCTCCGGGTCTTTTAGGTCTTCCAGGTTGAGGATGATACGCCAGGCGAGATCGCCGGTCGGGCTCGGGAGTATTTTTTTCTGCATGAAGACGCTCCTGCTACGTGACCACAAGCCGTCTGCGGCCAGAAGGACGTCGCCGTGAACCAATTCCCCCCTTTTAACATCACCGTCGCTGCGGGTAAGTCGAAATCAATCACCTCGGAATCGAGTCGGATCTCAACTCCAAGCTCGATTGCTCGGCCCACGAGAGCTGTCTGCAAGTCCGCTCTGTGGAGATCCCAGAAGGGCGCATCGTACTTCTCCTGCATCTTCTCTTGAAAGTTGTCCTCATGCGCGAGCACAACACTACCGTCGTACCGGCGAACAGTCAAGGATGACGGCGCAGCGGCACGTTTGCGTAGCTCCTCGAAAAGACCCCAGCGTTTCAACAGGCGCGTCGCGTTTGGCGTCACTTGAAGACCGGCACCTACCTCCTGAAGTTGCGATACTTTCTCGAGCACGCTGACGCGGTGGCCTTCAAGGCTTGCGGTTATTGCTGCTGAAAGGCCGGCGAGACCGGCGCCTATGACCAAGAGATGAAGCTGATATGGCTTGTCCCCATTGCCGACTTTCCCGTGGCGTACCATAGCTGCGTGGAGGTCAATTACGTTTTCGATGACGGCGAGGGATATAGAAGAAAAGAGGTTTGGATACAATGTCTGTCAAGTGAGGTTGAAAGGACGAGGTTGACGGGAAATAGCCTAGGGCTTCCTCATCCAACGCACACAGCTTATCGGGAGGCAGCACTCGTGTCAAACGCTTTCAGCGTCTCGAGACTCAAACAATACCGGAATTATGCGGTTGAACCCCTTTGGGTAATCCGGGTGCCATGGCCTTTCCGCCTTCAGACTCGAATACAGAACGAGGGTGACTCAATCTTTGGAAGGGAAGTGACTACTGTGATACAACACGGAAAGTATACGTGTTGTATGGAAACCCTGTGATTTAATGATACGTAGTATACAATACATGAAATTGGTGAAGGGCAGAAGTAAGACTGAGAGTCAATCCCACTAGCCCACGATCTGTCTCCAACGATGTCGAGGAAGAACTTCACATGCACATCCTAACATGTCGAGGTCACGGGACTCACGTGACCAATTCCTGGGCCTTGGTCCGGACCATATATCTGTCATATCGCGAGATTACTATATTAAGATAGGGCACTCCACACTGGTACCACTTTCGACAGCTTTGAAGCTGTTTTAACGGGAGCAGGTTTCCCGGATGTCTCTTTTTACTCCTTGGGGATGGGGGCCTCAATTGTCCTCCTTTTTTCACTCTTCCGAGCCATGCTTACTCTAGGCTAACCCCATCGGGCAATCATATCTATCTTCCCTTTCGCAGTCGAAGCAAATGCTTTCCAATCGACCATAGCATGCCTTTGTGTTGGGCCAGGATCCACTCAAATGGCACCATGACGGACCCGGGTTATTTGCCGCCATGCTTGTATATATTGCAGTCCAGGCTATGTTCAACCCCTTTTCTCCCGTTGGCCTGGTAAAGAGACGAGGCTCACAGCAATTTATGAAAAATGTCGCTCCACACACCCGTATTCGCCGGCCTTGGCTCCGATGTACTCTTCTCCAAGTCTAGCTTCGACGCGTCGGCGGGTGATGCGTTACTACCCGAGTCTCAGCTTCTCTTACAGGCTTGCCATGCCATCTTCCACACTGAAATCTCTCACGCCATACGCTCCGGCATTCTGTCGCGTGATATTGATCTTCAGGACTTTGAGACACCAGAAAAGGTCCTTGCACCCAACGAACGCTACCATGAAAACGTGGTGGTACAACACACTACGTTATATGTCTCGCAGATCCTCAGATACCTCGGGCAGCTATCGCAACCTAGCGAATTGCTCGAAGTCGCTGGCTTTTGCGCCGGCCTGCTCCCGGCCATGGTGGTTTCGACATCTCACAATCCTATTGAATTTCTGTCTCGAGCTCAAGACCTCTTCTACGTGTCCATCTGGCTAGGTATCCGTAGCGAAAGTTATCGGAAGTCTTACTTGGCCCTTCACACTTGTAAGCCTAGCCTTCCTTGGAGCATTGTTGTCGACGGCATCAATGCCGAACATGCGAAAGAAATCATCGCCACCTCGGCATCGCAGGTAAGCATCTTTCAATTTCATCCGCCTTGTCCTTGACTCGTGCTGACTAGGAACAAGACCGACCAAACTGTCTTTGTGACTGCTTTGAATTCACCCAATTGCGTGACCTTGAGCGGAACTGGAGAACAGCTTCAGAACTTCCTTTCCACTCAACTCCCTCCCAAGTGCCGCACCCGGGCGACCAACGTGCGCTCGCTGTACCATGTCTGCGACAGGCTTGCTCCTCTTAAACAAACTATATATGAGGATCTTCAACAGCGATGCCCCTCGATGTCAAACTCTGTAGCTTTCGTTGCGCCGTTGCTCTCCACAATTGACGGACAACCAGTCAACTGCGGCGAAGCAGGAACTCTAGGTAAGCCGAAGGACTCGTGTGCGCCATGGGTCGTTCTTGAAATGTCAATGTGCTTTACAAGACCTGCATCTCGAGTGAATGCTCCTAAGCATATCGTTTATTGCTCTCGTATTATGGCCGTTCAGGAACTAATCTAATACTCAGGTAATGTGATTAACACCATTCTGGACCTGATAATGCTTCATCCTGTCGACTGGGTCTCAGTTCAAAATTCAATCTTCGCTGGCGTAAACAAGGCTTCTTCATCTGCTGCTGAAGGAACGACGATTAATATTTTGAACATGGGTCCCGGCTATGGCATGTCAACGTCTGCTTTCCCACTACCAAGTAACGTGAAAATACGTGATGTGATGTCACTCTCTAGCGCTCCCAAATCCTACCGCGAAGCTTCCACACTGGACCCAGACGATATTGCGATTGTTGGGATGGCCGTCGACCTTCCGGATGCGCCTGATGTTGACTCATTGTGGATGAATTTGCTTGCTGGCGTGAATTCATGCTCAGAGGTCTGTCAAATCCATGTTTAATGCTCAACAGCCACTTACGGAATGCGCAAGTAGATACCAGAGTCGAGGTTTCATATAGAAGACTTTTACCACGCAAAAGAGCTGAAGAAGGGTAGTGCTAAGCGCTCCCTCAACACAAGATACGGTAACTTCCTTCAGAACCCGTTTCAATTCGATAATGGCCTATTCGATATATCCCCACGTGAAGCGCGCTCAATGGATCCGCAGCAGCGTGTAATGCTGCAAACTGCATTTAGAGCACTCGAAAATGCAGGCTATGTTCCGGATTCAACGCCTTCAAACAGTCGTGCTACTTTCGGGTGCTGGATCGGCAACGCCACGCTAGATTATGTTGCGAATATGAAGGACGACATTGATGTTTACTACAGCCCAGGTATGCTCAGAAGAAGTTCCCTCATATAATAGCCTACTCTTCTAATGCGAGAAGGCACATTGCGAACCTTTCAAAGCGCACGCATCTCGTACGTCTTTGGTTGGAGCGGCCCGTCCATAACCCTGGATACAGCGTGCTCGTCTTCTGTAGTTGCTCTGCACCAGGCCGCCAGATCGATAATTGCCAGAGATTGCAGGGCCGCACTCGTTGGCGCCGTCAATACGATCACGAGTCCCGACGTACGTCCCTCCTCCTGTGTTACTTGGATCCGCTGACCCTTCTAAGATGTACCTTGGTCTTGACCGTGCACATTTTTTGAGCCCATCAGGTCAATGCAAGGCGTTTGATGCGTCTGCGGATGGGTATTGCCGTAGTGAAGGCTGCGGCGCTTTTGTCATTAAAAAAGTCAGCGATGCCATAGCGGATGGTGACCGAATTCATGCAATCATCAAAGCTGTGGAGATTAATCAGAGTGGCAACACCCACTCCATTACGCATCCTCACGTCCCTACACAAGAAGAGTTGTTCAAACATGTGCTTCGGAAAACCCGGATTGACCCTCACATGGTAAGCCCTGTCGTCGGATTCTGAAAGACGCCGATTACTGATACCGTACTAGGTCTCTGCTGTTGAACTGCACGGCACTGGGTTAGTCTCCGCCGTGCCAAATACGTGCTATATTGATGCTAACTCTGGCAGAACCCAAGCTGGAGACCCAGTGGAGCTGCACAGTGTGCGGCGTGCCTTATGTCAGGACAGATCGCCGGATAATCTTCTTCACTTGACATCTATCAAAGCGAACATTGGCCACTGCGAAGCTGCTTCTGGGGCTGCTGGGCTGGCGAAGCTGGTTCTTATGATGAAACATAATCGCATCCCCCCCCAAATTTCCCTCAAGGTACTAAATCCACGCATTCAAAAGCTCGGTGATGATGGTGCTGTCATTGATAAAGAGGGAGCCCCTTGGCCACAAATCCGTGGACAGCCACGTATGGCGATGCTAAACAACTTTGGCGCCGGAGGATCCAACGGAGCTGTCCTCTTGCAAGAGTACATCCCAACTCAACAAAAGACCGAGTTGGGAAGCAGCGGGCCGCTTAGCTACATATTCGGTTGTTCCACTAAGGGCATGGCTTCGCTAACAAAGCTTCGTGATGAAATCATCTCGTATATTATGAATAAGGGCAGGTTAGAATCGCTTCGAGACATTTGTGCGACAAGCACAAGCCGTCGTCAGATCTATGATATGCGTATCGCTGTTGTCGCGACATCCTCCAATGATCTGGTAGAGAAGCTCCGAAACGCGACACCTCACCACATCTCCGATTCAGTAGTCAAAGACCCGACAGCTGTTTTCGTTTTCTCTGGCCAGGGCTCACAGGTAAATATGGAAACTTCCCTCCCCTCCAGCGCGCATTGCTAAAAAGAGACCACCAAAGTACTTGGGCATGGGCGCTGAACTTATGGAAAACTACCCAAGTTTCGCCAGGACTGTGTGGGAATGTGACGCCTATCTCAAAGAACGCGGCTATCCCGGATGTGTCCAAATTATCACTGCTGCCGATGAACAAAACGGACTTGAGCACCTCACGGAGTGTACTAGACTGCAAGCGTTTCAATCAGCGATATTCGTTTTAGAAGTTGCCCTTGCGCAACTACTGATGTCCTGGAACATTGTTCCAAGTGCGGTCGTAGGCCACAGGTGAGTATCTTTTGGTGCGTTTGGAAAATGCCTACTGACTATCGAAATCATAGCCTTGGAGAATATGCTGGTCTAGTCATTGCTGGAGTTCTCGATACCTTCAGCGGGCTCAGTTTGGTCGCTCACCGTGCTAAGTTGATGATGGAGCAATGCCAGCTTCAAACAACTTCTATGCTTGCTGTCAATGCTGCTGCTGCCACTGTGCAAGGTCTGATCCAAAGCACAGAGCTTTTCCCTTGCTTGTCAATCTCATGCGACAACAGCATAAACGATTGCGTTGTTGGTGGCCCAATACAGGAGCTTCAAGTCCTCAAGGAGTATCTTCGTCAGAACCTCAAAGTTAAGAGCAAGATGCTCGATGTGCCACTGGCCTACCACACAAATGCAATGGACCCCATCCTCTCCGAGCTTACCCAGTTCGTCTCCACGATTGCTCTAGATCGACCAAAGATTCCTGTGGTCTCGAACGTTCTCGGACGTACAGTTGAAGTCGGCGAAACTGCCTTTACTGAAGAGTACTTTGCGTCACACTGTCGAGGGACTGTCAAATTCCACAAAGGAGTTCAAGAATTCCTTACCACCAATGTCGGATCAATGGCCACGAGATGGATAGAGATTGGCCCGCACCCGTCATTGCTGCCCATGCTGGGTACGTGCGTTGACAAAGGATCTGTCGACCTCCTTCCTACTCTGCGGAAAGGCAATTCACCTTCAAGCACCATGGCACAGCTTTTGTGTAATTTCTATATTACTTCTACCGGCATCAACTGGGGTAAGCCGTTCGATGGCGCGTCCAAACCTCGCCTCGTTGACATACCTGGCATTCCATTCTCGAAAGAAGAGTTTGGCATCCACTACCCATCTGAATCGACAGTCAAAGAGATTGATACCGAGACTATCCGAACCGTCACTCGAAGCGACAGTTTCATCGCCAAGACGGTGAAGCAGCCAGCATTAGATGATGCATCCGCGATTTATGATACGCCGTTGTATCTGCTCAAAGACTTCATCACTGGGCATTTGGTTGCCGAGCATGCCCTTTGTCCTGCATCGGTATATCATGAGATTGCATTGTCGGCAGTAAAAGACCTCGAGCCCGAATCGGCGCCAGCCTATGTCTGGAGTTTGTCTAAGGTTACCTATGTTGCGCCGTTGCTGCATCATGATGAGCCCTCTGCAACGGTAAGTTCTGCTTTTTTTAGTTGCCACAATCCTCAGAGTTAGGTATACTGACAACTTTGTAGGTGCGAGTCATACTCAAGCCTCTTCACGGCTCTCACGGGTCATATGAGTTTGAGATACTCTCTTACAACAATACAATTGGCGCAAATCATGGCACGGCGCACTGCAAGGGAGTCTTGAAGCGCAAATCAAGTTCGACGCTGCAGATGAAGTATGCCCGCGTCGCCCCCATGCTGATTCGCAAAACGCAACAGATGGTCTCAAACACGGCTCAGGCCTGGCAAGAGATCCTCATGAAGAGAGCCATGTACGAAATTGTATTCACTAGAGTAGTCACCTATTCAGAGCCGTACCAGCGGGTCCAGTCAATTCGAATTGATGGAGCCAGCGGGGATACCCACGCCATCTGTCTCTATCCCGATAACCGCCTTGGCGCTACTGGACTGCCCGCTGCGAACGCCATTTTCATGGATGTCCTGTTACACGTCGCAGGTTTCGCCGCCAATCTCAGGGTCGGCACTCAGATTTTGTGCATGTGCAAGGAAGTGACAACCGCCACTGTCCTTAGGACTTCTCTCGCTCCTGGAGAAAAATTCGAGGTGTATTGTAAGTACCACAGCTTACTGTTTCGAGCATAATCTAACCTTTCAGGTACCCTTGATAATGTCGTGAACGAGGGCTTGGCGATTGCGGATGCCTATGCTTTTGATTCCCAAGGAGTTTTGGCAGTGTTTAAAGGCATGGTATTCCAGCAGATTGAGCTCCCCAAAATTGGCAGGGCACTCGCCATCACCGCAAAGAAGCTTTCTGGGGGCTCCGTCCACCAAGCTGCAGTAGCAGCGGCTGTGAAATCTCATGCTCCCTCAGCTCCAGATGCGGCCCAGGTTCCAATATCTGATAAATCTAGACCGTCGGTCAGGACGATGATTGCTACTACTTGTGGAGTGGATCCATTAGTACTCTCAGAGGCTACAGGCCTTGACAGTCTTGGATTTGATTCGCTCATGATGATCGAACTGCAATCTGAGGTTTCAACTCAGTTCCCCCAAGCTAACGTCTCCAAGTTGGAGGGGTGCCAGACGGTTGGAGATGTTGAGCAAATCTGCGCTGTTCATTACACCCCCTCGCAGTCAATCACCCCCCCCTTCAGGGCTTTCGACTAGCTCGACTTCCAGCTCCTCCAGCACTCCCCCAAGTGTGGTGGCCACGCCAATCAGCAAGAGAGATGTTTCTGCGATCATCGCCGATACATGTGGAACCAGTCCAGACACTATTTCGCCAAGCTCGAATCTCCAACATCTCGGTATCGACTCTCTCATGATCTTGGAGCTTGAAAGCCGCCTCGAGGAGATCTTCAAAGACGGTAATACCGCATCTGCTGCAAACCTTTTGAACTGTCGTACCGTTGGTGATGTTGAAAGATTGGTATGTGCTCTACCAGAGACCTCCTAGGGGTAAGCTTAGTCTATCAAGTAAGGTTGGTGCCTGGCTAACGTTCGTGCCATTATAGCACAAAATGCACAAGCAAATCAAAGAGGCGACGTCTTTTCCTTCGCAAAACAACTCGTGCAAAGAATCTAAAATGAATCCCTCCACCGTCCTGAAGCTTGATGCCATCATGGTGCAGAAGGTTACGCGCGCTCTGAAGCTCTCCGAACAACCTGAAGTCATTATAAGTGGCGCGCCTGGCAGTCCCGACGCTCTGCCATTATTTTTGGTTCACGATGGTAGTGGGGTCTGCATGCAGTATCATCGCTTGCAGTCACTCAACCGCCGGGCTTACGCGCTACACGATCCCAGGTTTATCAACACAGCTGATGGATGGTCCAGCCTCCGCCATATGGCAGAAAGCTACGCTGACACGATCCACCATACTACCGATGGCCCTTGCCTTGTAGGTGGTTGGTCCTTTGGCGGGGTCGTCGCTTTCGAGGCGGCAAGGATCCTAATGGCAAGAAACCATGTCGTAAAAGGCATTATCCTTATCGACTCGCCGCCTCCATTGGCACATCAACCTCTCTCAGCAGACATCATCGAGGCCGTCATCGGCAGCGTAGAGACCTCGCCAAATGCACTAGGCAAAGCAATCCGACAACTTACGCATCGGAGCTTCTTGTCATGTGCATCCTTGTTGGGCGCGTACAAGCCTGCGCACTTCTCGCATAGCCCAACACCACCTGCCATTCTACTCCGTTCTGTTGACGGCTGGCGCCGAGATGGAGACACTAGCGACCCGCGAGGTGTCATGAACCCCAAATCCATTGAGAACGCTTGGCTGCAGGACAGATCAGACGCAAGGACGGCTACAAAGGACTGGGAGATAGTAACTGGAACTACAGTGCGCTGCTTCGACATCCCGGGTAACCACTTTCAGGTTTTCGATGTGGCGAACGTTCAGGCTGTGTCGGATATTATGGTAAAGGCGTGTGCCTTGTTAGAAGGGCCTCTTTGAGTCAAAAACGAGGGCCCTACGTTGATTCTTTGTTTGCTTTTTTTGGGATCCTGGCTGGTATCTCATAGTGATCGAGATTGGGTAAAGCTTTAGCTTCGTCTGCGCAGATGCCTGAAGGTCATGTTGGGCCGCACCTTACTACGTCTGAATGTGGGTTTTATCCAACACCACAAGCCTTTGGGAAGATATCGTCTGTCTTACTTAATGCATTACATGCCTATAGCGTAATTGTTGAGGCTTTTGAAGGAAGACTGCTGATAGTATCTATCTCCGCTGCACTATTGCCGAGTTGATGTTACTGGACTATTCCAATACTAATCATAACGGGTACCACTCTGAAGTACCCCCCTTTAAGGGTAGACCTCGACTATTCATAAGTATTCATACGGTGGATGCGTCGCGAAAGGGAATCTTATGAGTATCCGTCAAGAAACGAGCAACTGGGAATTTACGGGCATTTGACAATTCAATCTGATAAGTACGCTTATTAGAGCATCGATGCGAGTTTGGGACTGTAAAATCAGACACAAATGTCTTCGTACCGCATCACGGACGATTTGCCCATGCCAATCACTCGCTCGTTCCCCTCGCGTCCTCATAGCTAGTTGTATACTACCTTTCAGAGGTATGGCTGGGAGATCTGCTATTCACGGCCTTCTCCTCATCTGCAGGAGTGTGCGGCGTCTCGTCTGTAGGCGCAAACTTGGACCGCGCCCGGATTTTGCCACCGTATTTATAGAATATGAAAGGAATAGGCGCCATCAATGCGCCCACGCCTCCAATTAGCGAACCAGCCCCTCCCACGCCCAGCGTGTCGAACATGTACTGCGTGAAGAGCGGGGACGCCGCGGCGCAGGCGGACCGCAGAACCGTGTTTGCTGCCACGGCAGATGCGGCGTACATCAGGTACGAGTCAATGATGTAATTGATGAAGACGACGAAGATGAGTAGGATTGAAGTTGCAAGGAAGGTGCCCGCCACAGTTGGAACGGCCCAGTGGACTGAATTGTATTCCGCCGTCCAAGCGAACCAAAATATTGTCACGACGAACATAACCCCGCCAACCATCCCTCCAGGAAGGCGATCTTCTGGGACGGATTTCCGTTGGCTAGTGACTCCTCTCTGGCTTATCTGGCTATTGATGAACAGCACTAGGCCGCCTAGACACGCGCCGATGACTGTGCCGATCAATGGCAGTTCACCGACGCCGGCGTTCCAGCCACGCTTCTGCTGGAAGACAATAGGGTAAATGCTGAACAGCATATACAGCAGAGTATAGACCACAGCATAGTATATAGAGACGAAGAAGTTGATTGGGTCGAAAAGAAGTCTCCAAGGCCTGGTTAGGGCGACTTTGAAGATGCCTCCCAGGGAGCGATCCGATACCTCGACTGGGGCTTTTACGCTCTCCTTGCCAGGTATTTTCCGCAGGCGGCGAGCTTTATTACGGAGAACCATCATGGGAAGTGTCTCGGGAAGAGTGATCAGCAGAAGCTCGGTGGCACCGGCCATCCAGAGGAGGGCGTAGAAGGTCCAACGCCACGTCTCCTTGAGTTGGAGGAATCCACTGACCACGGGACCGAGAGCGGGCCCCACAAATGTCATTGTGGAAAACAAAATCATGGCATTGCCTCGCTCGACAGCCCCCCATATATCTGCGATGACGCCAGGCGCATTCGTCAGGGCGGCACTGACAGCCGTACCAGTCAAGAAACGACCAATCAAGAGTCCGGCAAAATTAGGCGTGAAGGCACAGAGAAATCCAAACGCAAGGTATAACGTGAAGGAGATATGAAATATCCAGCGACGCCCATAGAATTCGGATAGAGGCGCCCAGAAGAGCGGACCGGCGCAGTAGCCTAGGAGGAAGAGGGTGGTGACAAGGCCAGCGGCTTCGACAGACACGTGGAGGTCGTCACTGATACCCTGGAAAGAGCCGGACGGGGCAGAAGATGAGAATGTGGCGTTCATGACGAGGGAGATGGCGATAGCGGTGATATAGCATTTCTGTCCATACGAGTAGTTCTTTGGGTTCTCGGGGTCGTTCGGTGCGAACTCGAGGTGACCATCTTTGTCAAAGAAAACATCCTCGTCCGACTCTATGGTGGACGGCGAGGTGGACTTTCTGAAGTGCTGTCTGACGAAGTCCATTGCTCTTGCTGTTTGTTGCAAGAGGCGAGTCTCAGTCTCGATGAGGACTATAGGGGCCTTCTGCCGAAAGGTATACCTTGCTAAGTCACGTCCATGACGATTGATCATATCCAGGGTTATGACGTGGGCACCGGTGCAGACTCAAACCGAGTTTATAGCGAGTATTTCTAATCGAAGTTTCCAATCCAACGAGTCGAAGATCGTATACATAAGCTTCCGGAAGACATATTACCACATTGGGTAATTCTTGCCATTCTTTCTCCGGTGCCTGTGTGGGGCTGATGTCCGAATGCGGTAATTTTTGGGCTCAGTTCCGGAATACTCTATACAGTGCTGGACCCATCGGCTTCCCATTACCCAACAATATTAATTCCGCTGCTGACGAACTAATAAGTGTGGTCATAAGATCTGACCGGTTTGCCTTATGACTTTAAGGCTGGCTCATGCCGCCGTGGTGTCTCTCATCTTTCACTCAACTTTTCGAACTTTAACCAGAGCATCAGCATCATCTCGTCTCGCCAGTCTCACAATGGCATCTCCAATCGTCACAATGAGCTTCACGGAGGCGACCCAGAAGCGCCGCACTATACGCGCCCTCGAAGCAAAGACGACGGTTCCTGACAGCACCATAGTCAAGCTAGCTGAAGCCGCCATCCTCACCGTCCCATCTGCTTTCGACAACCAGTCGGCCCGGTTGACGGTTGTGTTCGGAAACGACCACAAGAAACTCTGGTCAATCACTGCAGACGCACTGCTAGCAAGGATTGGCGAGGAGCGCTGGAACGGGGGCACCAAGGACCGCATCGCCAACTTTGCCAACGCCTATGGTACTATCTTATTCTGGGATGACCAATCATGTGCCACCGCGATGAAAGAGAACGCCCCAGACATCTATAAGGATAAGACAGACGAGTGGGTGCAACAGAGCAATGGTATGCACCAGTACTACCTGTGGACCGCTCTTGAGGCCCTGGGGCTGGGGGTCAACTTGCAGCACTATAACCCTCTCATCGACGCCCAGGTGCAGAAGACGTGGGGTGTCCCGTCGAATTGGAAGCTAAAGGCACAAATGGTGTTCGGCGTTCCAAAGGACGGTAGTGCACCCGGAGAAAAGCAACAGAAGCTTCCCTTGGAGCAAAGGCTGTTGGTGTTTGGGGCAGTCAATCACCCGGTGCCCAACTAGTTGGGTTAAATTATGCAGGTGCTGGTGTGCAAATCAAAGCCAAAAATGATGTCCCAAACGCCATATATGACAGAAGGAGATAATACAAAGAAAGTCTTCTCGAGCTTTACATAGAAATAAGCGTGCAGTACTCCTGGCAAAGTAGATCAAGTAATGCTCACTGCATTCCTCTGCACTCCGTGTCTCTGCCCCTCTCCCCGTTCGGCGTCAAGGTCTCAGTCACCACATTTCCAATTGATTGGGTTGTCATAAAGGTTAGGCGGAGTGCGAGCATCCTGGATATTCTAGGTAACTTGGGCTTTCTGTATTCGACATTGGACGCGCATCTTCGCACCTACTCTATGGCCGCAGGATCGGCTCATTTATGGCCGTTTCCGTCAGCCTTTGGTTCAATTTGACGGAATTTAACAAGAATATTAGCTCGTTTCATCATTCCTGCTACATAGAGGGCCACAAGTGGGTCGGATACGAAGGCATCGTACCCAGTTGTGCTTCCAAGTCCGGTGCGGGCGATGCTGTCGTGCCTGATTCTTCGTAGACTAAGGTACAGAGGGGCATTGCAGCAAGGCGCCTCCCAGTGCCTGAGATTCCAACTTGCCAACGTAGTGATATCAATCCATACCATTGGTGATCTCGTCTATATTCGAAGGGGTGTGAACCATGGTTCCGACGGTCGTTTTTTCCAGCCTCCGAACGTCTTCCGAGTGTCCTCCGCGACTACGGGGGCAACACCGGAGTCTGTGGCGAAGTTGTCGTAACAAAGAGTTAAAGCTCAGGGTAAGTTCCAAAGCAACTACGAAGGCTGATAGACCCATGAGCTAGTTGTACCCGATATTACCCTCTCACTTCAGACCATTACTAATATGTCACCCGAGATTCTGCTTAAGTTGAAACTAGCAACTTACCATCGCCTGTTTCTGTGAAAGCCACCGAGGACAAAAATTTTGCATGTGAGCGTGATCCAGAAGCATGGAATGATCCAGTGTGGGCCTAGGAACAGGCTGCTCGTTCGAATAATTCTATATTACTATCCCCGCAAATTGATTATTACCCCGCAAGTTGATTATTACCCCGCAAATTCGGAAATGGAACTCTTCCGACTGGAACCTTGGGTTTCGGATGAGGGGAATGGCTCACTTCGGAAGCATAATCTTTAGCGGGCCAGAGGGTCATTACGATTGGTGCATCGATCGAGGCATGAGGCTTTTCATCGGAAGCTTATTTGATTTCAAACATTCGATAGCCCTATTGCCGAGTCGATCTTGGTCCTAGCCGATATTCAGTCCGGTTGCCAGCTGAGTGGGCCCCAAAATTGGTCATAGAAATTTCCTAGGCCCACTTAGCTGGGTTTCTTAGGGCCCGCTCAGCTGGTTGCCCTATTCAGTCCAGTCCTGTTCTTTTAGAAACGCCATTCTGAACGTGTGTATAAGAAGAATGCCAATTCACGAAGAATTCCTCCTGGCAGAAAGTTTTTATCTTCGTTCCAAATGAATTCATCTAAACCTACTATACTGTTCATTCCTGGAGCTTGGCATCTGCCTTTTGTCTTCGATGACACCCGGGCCGCCCTGGCTGCGCGTGGCTTTCCTAGTGCGGCTGTTGGGCTCCCGGCTGTTGGAGCAGAGCCTCCAACGAAGGGGCTCATAGACGACACAGTCGCCGTGCGTGATGAGATCGAAAGATTATCTGACCAGGGCAAGCAAGTTGTTGTTGTTGCTCATTCCTATGGAGGAATGGTCGGCGCCGGCGCCGTGAAAGGCCTGGGATACGCCGAAAGAAAGAAGAGAGGCAAGAGCGGTGGAGTCACTATGCTGGTATATATGGCTGCTTTTGTTGCCAAAGCAGGAACCAGCATGTCGGATATGTTTGGAGGAGAATTCCCTCCATTCATGAAGTTTGATGTCAGTATCTCCCCTTCTCTGCAGGTGTGATAACTCTGGGGACTAATAGTATACAGGGCGATTACTGTAGGGCTGAGGATGCAGAAGGGATTTTTTATAATGACCTGTCCCTGCAGGATCGGAAGAAATGGAGCTCTGAGGCTGTGCACACCTCACGCGCTGTGTATGAGGGCCGTGCCGCTCACGAGCCTTGGCATGATCTGCCCTGCATGTACATTTTCTGCGAAAATGATATGGCGGTTCCTTTGGCAGTTCAGGAGTCTATGGCTGGCTTGCTTGGCGAGTATACTCAGTTTAGACTCCCGAGTTCTCATTCTCCCTTCTTAAGCATGCCTACTAAGCTCGCTGAAGCTTGTGAGTTGGCGGCAAAGATTGGCCAGGAACACTGTGAAAGCAAGGAAGTATAGACTCAGTTGATTTGGTATCCTATGATTCTAGCTTTTGAAGGCGAGGAAAGCAAGATAATACACTATAAGAGTATAGGGAAAGGAAAAGATGGATTCTAGCACACCTAAATCTAATCCAATTTTACCAGAACAATAGCTAAGCATGATTGTATAGATGTCACTGCTCACTCGATTCTGCCTCCTGTCACCGCCCTGATGCTGGAAGAAGGACCGTCCGAACTACGAGGTGGGCATAGATGGGATGGAGGTTTGCGTAGGAGTAGATAGGCCGCTACAGTAGCTCCTCCCTCTTTCCCTTCTCCTCTCCCCCCTCTAGTTCTAGTATCTCGAATACGAGCGCCGTTGCTGGTTCTTCCTGTTCCCCAACGTAGGCCACCATTGACAATACTAGAACTCAACTTTTCACTTCTTTTGCTGCGGTGCGCGTCGTTGACACGCGACCTCGTTGTGTCCAAGACATCCACCGTAGCCGACACCTACCAAAACCCCGCCAAGATGGCACCTCCCGTGACACGAAGTCGCTCGAACGACCCAGGCCGCATGACTGGCGATGCGGGCACGAATACACCGCGACCTCCTACCCCTACGCCTGGAGCTTACCCAGACTCGCCTGAGGAACAGCGCGAGGAAGTTGAACAGAGTACGCGACGCGACGAACGCGTCCCCATATGAGATCCCAGTAGAGATGCTCACCAGCGCACGGTTGATCGACATCACGAACCGGAACGATGTCATCAACATCGAGAACCCAGAAACCTTCGAGAACCTCTTCGAGGGAGGACCGCAGAAGTTGTGGGCGATTGTCGTCGCCACCCTCCACTCGTTGAACAGTCGCCGATCCGCCCACCGGAACCAAGTCCGTGAGGCCCAGGAGCAATGTCAGGAAATGACGGATCGAGTCTTGCGTACTGAAGAGCAACTCGAGGAGATGACTCAGAGATGGAAGAGATCCGAAGACGAACGCCAGGTAGTGGTAGAGTCCCTTCGCCAGTCCCAGGCCCAACAGGGAAGAGAAACAAGCATTGCATCCTCGGTGGACCGACACACCAAGTCCCCTAAGATGCCGGATGCGCCTGTGTTCTCCGAAGGAGATACCTCGAAGTTCAAGCAGTGGCGTACGGCGGTAGAGCGGAAGCTGCAGCTAAACGCGGACTACTACCCGACAGCCACTCATCGTATGGCATACGTTACCAGCCGCTGCGACGGTAACGCGCTCTCCCAGATTGGACCTCGAGCGATGCCCGGAGCGCCCAACGAGTACACCGATTCCAACGACATACTTGATCATCTGCAGTTGATCTACTGCGACCCCCATGAACGAAAGGCAGCTCGAACTGCCTTCAAAGAGTTGAAGATGAAGCCGAAGGATAGCTTCAAGGACTTCGTCGAAGAATTCACTAGACTCGCCTTGCAGGGCGAGATATTCAAGGACGACAACGACATGAAAGAGGAACTTTACGACCGCCTCCCGACCCTGATGCAGAATCACCTCTTTTCGGACTACAACAACCCCTTAGTCTCGTACGAGGCGTTCCTGAAGGAATGTCATATGTCCGATCGAGTTATTCGCCGACAGTTAAGCGACAGACCCGGACATCGACCACCCCCAGGAAACAGTAGGAGAACTGAATCGAAAGGAGCACAGCCCTCCCTTAGTCCGCAGCCAGCGTCTTCGAAGTCTAGCATTGCGGGTGGTAAGCCGAGTGAGCAACGACCACCACGAATTCTCCTGTCGGAGGAGGAAAAGAGTCGTCGTTTGGAAAAAGGCCTCTGCTTATTCTGTGCCAAGCCGGGCCACATTTCACGTGACTGTCGAGCACGCCTAGCACAGAGCGCCACCGTTACGCCGGCTAACACCGCCGCAACCGAGGAGAGCAAGGATCAGTCTAAGACGGGTTTGTTCGAACTCGAGGACTCGGGAAAAGAATCCGCCTAGGGCAAGTCTCCAGCCTAGGCGAGCATGTACCACCATTGCCCTACAAGACCGACTTTGGACGTCTTGTAGATAATGACAGTCTTACAATTCGCACGAAGATAGCCCATAATGGATTTTCGTTCACTGCCACTGCACTGGCTGATACAGGAGCCGATGTCTTTATCCTAATTGATCAAACTCTAGTGCTCGCGCTGGGACGGCGATTCCAGCTTCGAACCAAACGCCTCCCCCAGCCGATTCCTCTCCAAGCGTTCAATGGCCAGGGCGCCCCGTCTGTTACCCACCTGGTGGAACTGACGCTGATACTCGAGGGACGTCGTCTGGCTCGGCTCCCTATGATGGTCACTTCGCTAAGCCCCGGGAAAGATCTTATCCTTGGACGACGGTTCTTCGGACACTTTGGTATCGGGGTATATTGCGAACCAAAGGAGCTCAAATGGCCGCAAGATCAACCTAACCAAGAAGAGGACCTGAACCGGTATTCTGGTAGTTATCGTCAGCTCCCCCGTAGGGTGCTGATCGAAAGCCAAGCGTCGATAGCGACGCGGGCGATCCACCAAGAAGATGCGAATAGGCGCGACCAAAGGCAGGAGGCCGAAATTCGAGGAGAACAGGCAAAATGGAAGATCCTACGACGAGACTCACCGACCCAAGCCGATATAGGAAAGATGAAGCGTGCGTTAGAGGAAGTCACGGTCCAGACGCGCCAACCGGAGACTCTCCGCCAGTTAGCGCAGCGAACGAAGCTTGCCCCGGTCCACGCGCTAACCGGAGGGAACGCTACCATTTCCACCATTAGCGGCATAGGTTACCACCGCCTTATGAAGGGACAAAGAGCGGAAACCTTCGTGACCTCGATCGACCATATCTCACGCGTCATAGACGAGCTGGACGAGCGAGAAGACCCTGGCCAACTCCATGAGGACGTCGAGATTCGCCGGATACTACCAAAGGAGTACCATGAATTTGTCGATGTGTTTTCGAAAATCAAGTCGGACACGTTACCGCCCCATCGAGAAAACGATTACCGAATCGAACTAGAGGACACAGATGCTCAGCGATTAACCCCAGGATACTGCCCTCTCTACAAAATGTCTCTTGAGGAGCTGCGAGCAGCAAAGGCCTACATCGAAGATAACCTGCAAAAGGGGTTTATAGTTCCGAGCAAAGCCTCTTATGCCTCGCCTATTTTGATGGCCCGAAAACAAGATGGCAGCCTTCGTTTCTGCGTGGATTACCGAAAGCTGAATGAAATCACAAAGAAGGACCGATACCCCCTCCCACTGATCGACGAGCTACTGCACCGCTTAAGCCGAGCGAAGTACTTTACAAAGCTGGATATCCGACAAGGCTTCCACCGAATACGGATGCACCCTGATTCCGAGGACAAAACTACGTTCCGAAGCCGCTATGGAATGTTTAAGTATCAAGTGCTCCCCTTTGGCCTTACGAACGGCCCAGCCGCCTTCCAACGATACATGAACGAGGCATTATCAGACTACTTGGATGACTTCGTCACCGTGTTCGTGGATGACATACTTATCTACAGCGAGACCCTCCAAGAACACCAATCCCAGGTCCGTAAAGTCCTAGCCCGACTACGAGAAGCGGGCCTCCAAGCCGCCATCCATAAGTGCGAATTCAGCACCACCACCACGAAGTTTTTGGGGTTTATCGTGGGGGCCAGCGGCGTACAAACAGATCCCCAGAAGATCGAGGCGGTAGCCAGCTGGAAGGCTCCCGAGACTAAACAAGGCGTTAGATCCTTCCTTGGGTTCTGCGGGTTCTACCGAAAGTTCATTCGCCATTTCAGCAAGATAGCCCGGCCGCTACATCAACTGACAAAAGACACGGTCAAGTTCGAGTGGACCCAGGAGTGCCAGCACGCCTTCCAGTTGCTGAAGAAACGGTTAACCGAAGCACCCATTCTTCGACATTACGACCCGAGCCTTCCGACACGAGTAGAGACTGACGCATCTGATAATGTTTGCGGAGCAGCTCTGTCACAGCTGCAATCTGACGAGTGGCATCCAGTAGCCTACTTCTCGAAGACCATGGACCACGCTGAGTCGTCCTACTCCATCCACGATAAGGAGATGCTCGCAATTGTACTTGCGTTTAAAGAGTGGCGCTCCGAACTAACAGGCCTTCAACAAGGGGATCGCTTCGAAGTCCTGACGGACCATGAAGCGCTGAAGTACTTTAGCACGAAGCGACAACTGAACGCGAGGCAGGCCCGTTGGGCGGAGAAAATTGCGGACTACCACTTCATCATCAGATACCGACCGGGGCGACAGAACAAGATTGCAGACGCGCTATCGCGAAAGGAACACGGAAAGCCCGTCGTGGAGATGCAGCTGTTACCTGAGGGCAGTTACGAAAACGTCCCCCAAGCCGACTCCCCAACGGTGGCATGCGCCGGCCCTCGAACCGTGATTGAACAGATCAAGCAGGCTAACCGGCTGCAAGACGATCTGACCGAATATCGAGACGAGGAGGGCCTAGCACTTAAGGACGGAAAATTGATTGTGCCAGACGTTGATCGACTGCGAACGAAGCTATTGGACGAGGTCCATCGACAGCCGTCAACATGCCATCCAGGCCGAGATCGAACCCTCCGGTTGTTACAGAACCGCTTCTACTGGGAACAGATGCGACAGGACACGCAACGATATGTGGATAACTGCCAAATATGCAAACGGACCAAGATCTGGAGAGATAAGACACCAGGCCTCCTACAACCGCTCGAAGCTCCAAACCAACCATGGACCCATGTCACAGTGGACTTCTGCAGCCTTCCGAAAGACCGGCACGGCTACGATGCAGTGATGGTAGTTGTCGACCGATTTACGAAAAGACCAATCTCGGTGCCCTGCAACAAAACAGTAACTGCTGAAGGCATGGCGCGACTGTTCGTCAACCGCATCTTCCCACACACCGGACTCCCGGACTCGATCGTGTCGGACCGAGGTCCCCAATTCGTATCAGGCTTCTGGGGAAGACTCTGCAAGATCCTGCGGATCTCAAGAGACTTGTCATCCGCGCATCACCAGCAGACCGACGGACAAACTGAGATCGCCAACCAGTATCTACAGCAACGCCTTCGACCATATGTTAACCACTGCCAAGACGACTGGTCGGATTGGATAGGACTCGTTGACTTCGCAGCAGCCGCACTGCCCCAGGCTTCCACAGGAGTGTCACCGTTTTACGCTGAGCGAGGGTACGAGCCGCGGTTTTCATTCGACTGGCAAACCCCTACACCTACCGACAGCCAACCTTTCGCACGGAGAATGCAGGATATATGGACGCACGTTCAAGACAAGATAAAGCGAAGCCAAGGAGTGCAAAAGCAACAGGCTGACCGCCACCGGAGGGAACCCGACTTCACAATAGGGGATAAAGTCTATGTGACAACCCAATATTGGCCAACTGGCCGACCGAGTCGAAAACTCGCCGACATCGCCGCAGGACCCTACGAAATACTTGAAAAAAGGGGTCACTCTTTTAGATTAAAACTGCCAAAAACTGTGAAAGTCCACGACGTCTTCCCACCGGACCAGCTGCGAAAGGCCGCTAAAACAGAACCGCTGCCAGGCCAAATCAAGGACCCGTCCCCACCGCTGATTATCGACGGAGAGGAAGAGTGGGAGATTGAACGAGTGCTAGATTCCCGGTTACACTATCGCAAACTCCAGTACAAAGTCAAGTGGAAGGGCTATGAAGGCGACGACAACAATGCCTGGTATCCAGCCGACAACTTCAGGAACTCGCCACTCGCCCTACAGGAGTTCCACCAGCGATATCCAGAGAAAGCGGGACCGCCTCGAGAACTCGACGAATGGCTAAACGAAGCGTCGACTTGAGGGCAAGCCGAGTCTTAGCGGAGGGATGTCACTGCTCACTCGATTCTGCCTCCTGTCACCGCCCTGATGCTGGAAGAAGGACCGTCCGAACTACGAGGTGGGCATAGATGGGATGGAGGTTTGCGTAGGAGTAGATAGGCCGCTACAGTAGCTCCTCCCTCTTTCCCTTCTCCTCTCCCCCTCTAGTTCTAGTATCTCGAATACGAGCGCCGTTGCTGGTTCTTCCTGTTCCCCAACGTAGGCCACCATTGACAATAGATAGATGTCACGGATTCTAGGTAGAGGGTGTACTATATACGGCGTGCCTGGGCATACCCGCACAGGAAGTGCGGATATGTGGTTTTTGGCTCAACTGTTGGAACATTATCCCAGGGAGGATCCTCCACACTAACTATCTAGCTTAATCCCTGTTCTAGATCGACATCGAGGCATAAATTAAGCTAGGGACATAAGCTACTTGGAGTCGTTCTTTTCACACAATTCCGTTACATAAAGATACCTTCTGTCGTTCGCTATTCTTATAACAGAGCTATCTCCTGTAGCTTAAACCAAGAACCTCATCAAGGTACGATACGGGCTAGGAACACTGACGAAAGTATTCTTCATAGTTGAACCTTAGCAGAAAGGCCACATTGCCTTCGCCTCTTGCACAGATCTTTCACCGGCAACCTTTTCGATATACATAGCCATTAGCTCCTCATTTTGCCTTCTCTTCTCATTTATATCCAACTGCGGCGCAATCCAACCTTCTGCATCAGTATCGAGGCACTCCTCAGCAAGCGCTCTAACCTCTTGCCAAGTTTGGTATTCAGCAAATTGGCGTTCATGATCGTCAATTTCTTCTTGGCTGAATGAATATGGGCACTTCCCGGAAAAGCCAAGCTCTGACCAATTCTGGAAAATTTCTATCAGACATGCACGGAGAGGAACAATACCCACTTCAGAAACTTCTCCACAACGAGTAAATAGCTCCCGAAACACACGAGGTACATTCATAGCATTAGAGGCTGCTCTGTCTTCGAGGAAAGTAGAGACTTCATAAGCCTTTGCCAATTTTACCTGAGACCATTCACGTAAAGCAATAACTCTGCTTTCTTCGTCAAGTTCGTCAAAATCTTCAGGAAGTTTAGGTTGAAATATCCCCTTCACATAATTGTGATTATGAGGGGGCCTAAGAAATACCGGCCACTGGGCCTGGAGAAATGCGGGAAGCACGGATGTCGACTGGAAGTCGATAAGGAAACAATTCTTGAAGGCTGGTCGGGGGAGACAAAAATGTTTCCCATGTGAAGGTCGGTGTGCCACAATGTAGGCTGGCAAGCATCTCTTAGTACTTCGTTTGAGTCCAAGAGCTTCATTAGGCGCAATGTTATTTCCAAGAGTTGGGCTTGCTGATCGATGGTCCCTCTGTAAAAGCTCAAATGGTCCTGTTGGCCTCCACTTGATATTTGAAACAATGCTCGCTGTGCAATAGATAACCCAAAGCTTGAAAGTGTATCCCCTAGGGAAAATTTAGCATATATAATATTAATGAACAAGGGTAACGCACAAGGCCCTCGGTTAAATTCCCGAGTCATCTCAAGATTGAAAGCACGATCGCAAGAAGGCCCAATCTGGAATGACTCAGAAGGATCGATGTCATTATCGAGGGGGCGAGTAGACCCCGGTATACCACCCGTCCGAAGGTACAATCCTCCGTAAGCAGGGAATTGTATGGCTGACAGCTGAGCCTCAAGCTTGGTAAGGTTCTTGATCAGCTGCAGTTTTTCAAACTCGGTCATACTGCCCCATCGTTGAAATAGAGGAACCCCGTGAGCTTTCTCCATGATTATATACTCGGCACCAGCAGTATTCGAGCCGTCCGATGACCAAGAAAGGACACGAGGGACGGGAATGCTTGTGTGTCTTCTGACTAGCATCATATTAGACACTGGAAATATCCTTTGATAGAAGCACACATACCATATTCTAGAACTCCCACTTCGCCAGCTGTTATTAACGAAGGTGGCCCAGCAATACGGCACGGGATTTTCGCTACCACTTCCGTTCCATTTGCTTTCCGCATTAAAAAAGCTTTGCTGAAGCCACCTTCCATTTTTTCAATGGCAATGATCTGGCTTGTATCCCCTCCGGCTATGGCGGCAGTTTGGCAAAGCGCATCCACATCGAACTGAACATATCGTCGGCCAAACTGGTATTCTTCGTCGACAAGGAAATGGCCGTTTGTGTACGCGAAAAGGTCATCGTGGGTGATAGGTACGCCTGCTGTGTCCTCAGTGACAATCTTCGCAACAAACTTGTTTCCTTACCTCGACAAGTTATCGACCGAGGCGCTTCCGGCAGGTTAGAGGCGAGTTTTGAGATTTTCCGGATGGTTGATAGCATGCGCATAGTTAATTCGAAATGCGTTCGCAAGGCAGGGGGTGAGGACAGGGAAGTTGTCTTGACCGGAATCCAGCGCCTTTGTATCGGAAGGGGCTGGCAGTTGTTCGGCCGGACCGACTTGGACTGGAAAGTACGCTATTCCCTCAATAGTAATATTTATATTATCCATTAACATCAGTTAGTTAACTATTGGAGCGTCAGGAGGGGTCTGTAATGTACGGTATGTAACTCTGATCGTTGACAGGCACCGATTATTTAGTTACTTAACTTACTTGACTAGGTCACTGAACTATTCGCTAAGAAATGAAGGATTGGTAATACGGTGGTAACGGTACTGCGTGTTCCCGACAAAAGTGAATGTCGGGTCCGGTCTCTAGGGTTCTACCGTACACTGTACGGCCTAATGGGCAGATATGCAGGTAAATTTCAGATGATTTTAAATATATGCAAAAACAGAGGTTTTAAGGTTACCAGTTTGATGACATGCAGTTTAATGCATCGGATTTTAAGCGTTAAAACAGGGCAGACTGGCTCTTACCCTTGCGCTAGTTAGTAACAATCCAGATTGCTGCTCCGACAGTAACCCCACTCATACCCCGCAAAATCGTAGTAACTAAAGCACGTAGAGTGACTTACAAAGTTATCTACCAATCCCAATCATAGGGAATACATCATCCAATGCATTGGTATTCTAATAGCTGTAAACACAAATAATTTGCCATTTGCTGCAATGGCTACTGGCAGAGAAAAGTTAATCGAGTGCATTCAATCCCAAATCGCTCCCCCCTCAATTTTCCAGTGGCAGCTTGTGAATGAGCACCCCTGGGGTGATGTCCCAACAACCGAGCCAGAAGACCAACCACCGTATCCGCACATGAAGTGCGGATATGCCCAGGCACGCCTTGTATAGTACACCCTCTAGCTGGAATCCGTGACGCAGCCAGAGAGCAACCAGAGGAAAGATCGCCACCAGTAGCTCATACCTTTCCAATTGGCATCCAGATGAGCTATTCACATGTCTATCTATTGCTTCATTTTAGTGCCAACCGCTATTTGAAGCTCCGAATGTCTGAGTCTAAGAGCGCTGGCCAGTTGCGGATATTAGACATGGTTTCAACACCATTTCTTCAATGAGGGTATCCTCGAATTATCCGCATTAGCATAATTCTCGCTTAACTTTCCCAATATATTCTGTCACCTAATACTAATTTAGCTTATTATTATTTTTCCTAGTCTAAAAGAAACATTACTAATCATAACATACACCCCTGGTTTAGTATTACGCCAGGGACGTCAAATATGTAGACTGGGCACGATCTCCAATATCCACGGATATTCGCAATCCATATGCACAGATTGCAAATTTGAATATATACCTCATTTCCCCTGGATATCCAATTTATTTTAAACAACGCAAATACCCAAGACTCGTGATCTGATCCAGACTGAAATAGAACATCCCAAACCTCCAAGACCGCCAACCAGAAGGTACAAGGCGTCTCCACCGAGCTCAAGGCTCGCCACTCCCCTCCTATCCACGTTCTTCAGTAGCAGCTTATCCATCGGGTCCTAGAATTTCAAGCACAATCTTACCAATATGCTTGTCCTGCTGCATGTATAGGAGGGATTCTTGGATTACAGGGGCACTGGGAACCTGATCAATGCGAACTAGTCTGAAACTACCCCTGACAAAGCAATCCATTATATGTTGAAGCATCTTGGTTCTTTTAGATATAATGTGAGTAGATCTCGACACGGCGAATGGGCCGCCCAAAATAGGCTAGGCGGGCCCGCGTATAGTGCAAGGTGCCGCTTGCAAGGACTGAAGTGTTATGGGCAATAAAATAAGGGGAAGGAGAGTTAATGAACCTATTCGCGATCGTGTTAATAGTACATAATATCAAACCTCACCACGACGGGTAGATATATCTAAATGGGCTACATATCACCTGTTAAGAAACAGGTCATAGATAGGGTCTACTATCCATATATAGATAGTAGGTAGCTAGGTAATACCTGTAGATAGTCTTTGGGTACCTGTAAGATGTTGGCACCGTGGGACTTTGTTCCAAGTAATGATAGATGTTGTCTCATTGGATAGTAATTAACTACCGTCTTGAAAATTACTAAGTTGCCTTAACTATTACACTGATTAATGATGTCCTGAGTAGTAACACAGCAACATTTTTTTAACAGGACAGCAAGGGTGGCAATGAATGTCAATTTTGCCAACTTTCTATCAGGAACCTTATAATTCTATTAAGCACAAACGATAAGTAAACGTAATAACTATATGAATACATCAGTATAATCGATGCTAGTATCTGTTCGTCCTGTTTGATCACTTACAAATCCTTAACTGCTTGGCGTTGGAAGACTGCACTGATCTGAGAGGATTGGTACTTCCTGGCAAAGATCTGCGGGATAGGAATTATCCGTGCAAGGCTCGTCGCACGGTACATTCTGAGGTACAAAAACCTCGTACTGAAACTGTGCAGCTGGGTTTTCTATTCTGAAAGAATACTTCGAGTTCTTTGTGCCCGGTATACAAACGCAAAGGAATATATTATTTCCAACACCGAAGGTGTTGCAAGAGGTCCCCTCGGCGCAGAAATCTTGGCCAGGGTAGGGCAAACAGGTGTCGCACGGTGGAGGGATACTTGAGCTCGACGTACTTGTGCTAGAAGTCGCAGATGTCGTCGGTGGCATAGTCATGGTGGTTGTAGTAGTACGCATGGTGGTGGTGGTTGGTGTGGTAGAAGTAGAGGTCGCAGATGTCGTTGGTGGTATAGTTGTGGTAGTAGTGGTGGTAGGTGTAGTAGTGGTGGTGGGTGTAGTAGTGGTAGTAGTGCTGGTAAGCGTAGTAGTGGTGGCAGTCGTAGTAGTGCTGGTAGGGGTAGTAGTGGTGGTAGTTGTAGTAGTGGTGGTAGGTGTAGTAGTGGTGGTAGGTGTAGTAGTGGTGGTAGGTGTAGTAGTGGTGGTAGGTGTAGTAGTGGTGGTAGGTGTAGTAGTGGTGGTGGTAGTAGGTGTAGTGGTGGTGGATGTAGTAGTGGTGGTGGGTGTAGTAGTGGTGGTGGTAGTAGGTATAGTGGTGGGTGTAGTAGTGGTGGTGGTAGTAGGTATAGTGGGGGTGGGTGTAGTAGTAGTCGTAGGTGTAGTAGTGGTCGTAGGTGTAGTAGTAGTCGTAGGTGTAGTAGTGGTCGTAGGTGTATTAGTGGTAGTAGTTGTAGTAGTGGTGGTGGGTGTAGTAGTGGTAGTAGTGCTGGTAGGGGTAGTAGTGGTGGTGGTTATGATAGGATTAGTAGAAGTCCCAGATGTCGTCGGTGGCATAGTGGTCGTGGTAGGTGTAGTAGTGGTGGTGACCGAATTAGGTGGTAATGGAACTGTAGAAGGGGATACACAGTCCGGTCGGCTCCTCCAGCTATCCCATGTATGATACCCGTCACCAGGCGAGGCAAGGACATGATGTGCAACAAGCGTCCATGAAATGGTCCACAACCACATGTTTACCGCATGAGGCAGCTTCTGATACATGTTGAGAGCAAATCAATAGATTTCGAACCGATTTTCGTCGATGTCGTGTGCGTGAGGTAGGTAATACTTCAACTCAATTATAAAAGTTCCTTTCCAAAGACTCCGATCCTTTATACTTCATAATCGCATGTCTAGTAATCATCGACATTTGTCCAGGTTTATGTCGATGACGCTATCTAGGATGTTTTCAGCGTGACTTCCGGATAACTAATCACTTTAATATCGGTGGTAATAACGGGTTCCAATTGCGCGGGACCCAAAAAAAGGTGAGTGGGGCCCAAAACATTCCTGACTAATGTTGGGTCCCGCTCCCGAGGTCAACTGGGTGCCTAATATGGGTGATCCTTCTGTCTCCTGTGTATCGTACAGCTTTTGACAATATGACATTGCAGTTTTTGGCAGGGTTAACATTCAGCAAGGTGTTCCAGGCTGCCAAAGGCCTCAATAATACTGTTCTCGACGACCCACATGCCCCGAAGCCAGATTTACAAGGCAAATGGGTGATCATCTCTGGCTCCAACAATGGTGTTGGGCTGGAGGCAGCCAAGTTATTTGCAAAATGGGGAGCAAACCTGATCCTGGCCTGTCGCGATCCACCTGAGGGACTCGGCGAGCTTCATCCCACAGCAGCTGTGACAGAATGCAAGGCTCTTGCCGAGGCGCAGGGTCATATCTCAACAATACAATGGTGGGAGATAGACATGGCAGATTTCAAAACTGTCGAGGCTTTCTGTGAAAGATGGTTGAAAAGTGACCGCGCTCTGGATATCCTGTGCAACAATGCGGGATCCCCATCTACCGCTAAAACTCGAATGACGAAGGATGGATACCAGCTAGTTCACCAAGTGAACTTCTTGTCTCATGTGTTACTTACCCTCCGACTCCTACCATCTTTAGGGCGGAGCGCGGATCCCCGAATAGTGTGCACCACATCATGCGTCCATCATTTTGGCATCTTCGATCTAGATCATTTCAATGGTGGCCAAGAAATGAGAGGGAATGATTACCACAACAACAAGCTATATTTCCAGATATGGCTCACAGAGCTGCAGCTCCGTTGCCTTAAGCACCCAGAATACTCTCATATCAGAATCAACGGCGTCCATCCAGGTTTTGTTGCCTCGGGAATTTGGCACACGCACGAAATGAAAAGCAATGACATCTCGATGCGAGCTCTTGCATTCTTCTTGCGTTATTTTGCTATCACTCCACAACAAGGTAGTCTGGCAATTACAAATGCAGCGACCAGCCCGGATTGTGGGCAAACTACTAGTGGTGGAAAATATCTCAATCGTATTTGGGAAGCGCCGCCACATTCCTATTGTCAAGATTCAGATGCACGGTCCAAATTGTGGATTAAGCTAGACCAGGTCCTCCATCTTCGGGATAAGGGTCTCCTTGAGGTTCTTGCTCTTTGACCTACCTACTACTTTATTACCATTAAGCGATTAAATTGGCTTCAGCTCGACAGTTATTTGACCAACAGTCAATGACCTTGACAAGACATTCAAATTAAGATAAAAACTCTTAGCTTTGTATCTTCAAAAACCTCAGATTCTCAGGATTCGCAGCTCTGCTCTCTAATTCCTTTTAGCTAGGGTAGTTCTGGAACTATTCGCTTTAAATTCTGCGAACTTCTGTTCTGCTATAATTGTCATGACGCGCCTTTTTTTAACGACGAAGGCGCCGCGGAAGCTGCGGAGGGAACTCGGAGGAAGGCTCGGTGCCCCATTGTACGAATTAGACCCACAAAAGGGGTTCGCTAGACAAACCACGCAATATACAAGATAATCGCGAAGGGAACCGAAGGGTTCCCAGGGATTAGCTTGGTTATCTTGCTACCATTGAGTAATTCCACCCCAAGCTCGCAGTAGTACTTGGCCTCCTTCAGTCGTATCGTATCCCCTATTCACGCCTATCACTAATAGGCTTCACAACAATTTGTCAATAGTAAGTAGTCTACATAAGAGTAGGGAACAGGCAATAACGCTCATATTTAGCATAATAGAACTATAAGGGGGGAGGAAGAAGGACAGAAGGGGGGAAGGGATTACAACAACAACCATTCTCTTGTGCACCTCCGTCCACGTTCGCCAGCCTTAATAATTCGGATGGCTCCTTCCTACCCTAAGGCGGTAATTGGTGACAGAACCTAGTAAGCAGTAACGGTGTTGTGCAACTTTCCTTGGTACTTCCACAATATTGCTCTTGATAGGCGGAGATAATAGAGAATCAAGTTTCCGGATCTATTCTATTCAGATACGAGCTTACTCCAAATTTAATCCAGAGTGTATTGGTTGACGCTTCCACGAACTTACGCAGCAAGATGGTGTCTCCGAAGGCGCGAAATCGTAGAAAGGGTTGGATTCTGAACAGAGCAGGCAAATTCAAAGGCCTGAACAGACGGTCCCCATCGTTTGGGGCCCTCCGAGGGGTGGGAAGGTGGCATTCGATAGGTGCATAAGTTTGATGGAGTGAAAAATCTTTCAGGAGGGTGTGGCGGACCCAAACGCGACCGGACTTGCTAGGTAGCATGAAATTCGTATTTACATATTATAACTTTTGGACAGATTTTAGACTATCCGAATGATATGACTTACTCGTTCCTCGAACAGGCGTACGATGGTGGTTCTGCGATCTCAAGCGGCCCATAAACCCGCCTCGCCCCTTTTTCATCGGAGCAGCATCAAACTAACCAACAGGGCCTTCCACACACTCAAGCCTGTATCAGATCGAACCACAAATCCGGTATGGTCAGGCCAGCCCCGTACTTTTCCATTGGCCGTATAGGTTGAAGAAAAATCGGTCCTATGGCTCTCCAGTCGTGCGAAGGGATAGCTAGGCGGATAGTCACGTATTCTCGAGTAAAATCCCGATACCTCGTGGTATTCAGTGGCTGGCCTGGTCGAGTTCAGCGGCTGCGGCAACCGCCCATGAACGGAAGTCATCGAGCCCCAAACGATACTATTCCCGAGCCAAAGCTGTCGACCGGGTTGTCTCACGATAAAACTACTGGGAAATCACCCTTCCGTTCCGAAAGCTCCTTAAGTGCACAAAAGCAAAAACCTCGGCCCATTCGCTGCGCATATTAGTTGGCCGGGCCTTGCTGAAATTCCCGGTAGCATATCAGCACAGTTCAGAGTTCTGGACTTGAAAGCTTTAGAATCATGTGTCGAGATTTGATGCAAACACCACCTAAATTTTTCTTGCCATTGGTTCGACGATTCCAATGCTGGCGGGGGGATGACGGCATCGACTCGAGCCAAGATGGGCCCTGACGATGCATCCCGGATCCACGGTTAATCGCCGGGAAACCCCGGTAACCACCGAGAAACCCCGACCGGGTTTCTCGGCCTCAATTTCATCAAGAATTACTCACCATGCTAGCCACCCCATCGCGAGAATGCCTGAAGAAACATCAGCTGGCTCAGCCGGGGTGGCTGCCAATTCGCCCGACACTCGTTCACGGCGACGTGGATTTACGCTGCCTGGGTGGCTCGACCACTTCAACAAGCATGACCTCAAGATCGTGTTCCGATGCTGGGTGGCTGTCTGGGTGGCTACAATCCTGATGTTCATCGGACCGGCTCTGCACAGCATCGGGATCGCCACCTTTTTCGGATCTCTGCTACTGTATATCGTACCGCCAGCGGGGATCCTGTTCGTCTACCTCCTTGGCGCGCTATCTCTGCTTTTTGGTATGTGTCTTGCTTGGGCCTGGGGTCTGATCATGATGAAAGCGGCCCTCGCCGCTCGACCCGGATGGCAGACACAGGAGAAGCTGCTGGCTCTCGAGAAAGCTGCCGGAGCGCAAGCGCAACAAACAGGCCACAGTCCGAGCTGGGTAACGCAGGAGCTTATCCACAACGGGTTCATGTTGGATGCACGGGTCACTGTTATATTTTTTGTCCTGAGTTGTCTATTCGTGTACTTTATGGCGCGTCTGCGAGCCGCTAATCCCAAGTTTACCTTGGCCGAGATGTTCGGTAACATCGTGCTTGATCTCTTCCTGTTATTTGGTCCGGGCCTGCCCTCGTGGACCGGGTCATTGGGCAAGTTGCTGGTGGAACCTGGGGCCATTGGAATTGCGCTGGGCTTTATCTGCTGTCTACTATTCTTCCCTCAGTCGACCTCCTATGCCGTGTTGGCACAAATGGAGAAATTGATTCGCATGGGGGAGGGAGCGTTCCAGTGTACGCGTGATCGGTTGGCGTCGGAAAAAACCGATCTCGATCGGATGGAGGGAGTTAAGGCCAAGGCTATTGGGGCCTACAGGGCCTTGCATCCGATGATGAAATTCTTGCCACTGGACGTCTCTCGAGGACGGTGGAGCGCTGACGATGTCAAAGGCCTATTGGAACCCGTTCGTGGAGTCATGATGGCTCAGGTGGCCCTCTTAGATTTTCACATTGCCCGACGGCGGGCGGAGATCAAATTGGAGGCTCTCAAGTCCCCATCGGACGGGTCACAAGATGAGGGCAGGCTTGATGGTATGAACCCCGAGGATGAGAAAGAGCAAGACACTTCTCGCAAGGGAATTGCGCGCTGCCGACCACGCGAAAACGTCGACATGATGCATGCGCTTACAGCGCCAGAACTGGGTGCCATTCGATCCCGGGTATTGGAGGCCCTGCGGGATACGACGGATGAAATACTGCAAGTCTTTTCGGAAGCAGTGACAGTTGTGGCCGATTCTATCCATGTGGTCAACACCAGGAGATGGTTCGGAGAATATCCGGAGGATCGTTACAAGGAGCTCTTATCGCGTTGTGAGAAGACAGTTGATCGATTACGCAGGGCACGCCAGACCTTTATCACAGACACGCCCGATCGCTTGATCGAATGCCACCAGGACCTTTTTAATGCCAGTGGTCAGCTCAAGTCCCCCGAGCTCCTTGGTCCGCATGCACTGCAGAGTTTGGTCCGCGGGATTGTGATCGAGGAGCGGATTTTCAGCTCGGCAATCGCAATGGAAAGTCTGCTGGAAAAGGTTCTGCACCTGTCACAAACTAGAACCAAACACCGTCTCTGGTTCCCCATAGGCTTTCGCTATGCTATTTCCTGGGTCACTGATGGCCGCGAGGGTGCTCCCATGGCCAATTCATCCATCGGCACTGGAGATGACCCAGACGCCGTCGAGGAGCTGACAAAGGAAGCTTATCGCCAGCTCCGGATCAGTCGAGGATACGGGAGTGCCCGGCGGCAAGGCCGCGTTAGTCGCATCGTGCGAGGAATATGGGGCTGGCTCACCAATACTGGAGGGATGTATGCCTTGCGGATGGTGATCGTGACAATCGCCACAGCTATCCCGGCAGTACTCCCGTCAACCGCGGGCTTCTTCTATCGCGAAAGAGGGATCTGGGGGGTGATCACAGCGCAAATTGGCGTTCTCACGTACATGGCAGACTTCGCCTTCTCGTTTCTAGGCCGATTGATCGGTACTGTGATCGGCGGCGTCATTGGCATGGTAGCGTGGTATATCGGGTCTGGACACGGCCCAGGAAATCCATATGGCATGGCCGCAATTACTGCCGTCGCGACGCTGATTCTGATTTGGGGCCGCTTGTTTCTTCCACCACCCTTTGTCTCTGGGGCCATCATGGCGGGTGTCACATTCTCCCTGGTAATCGGGTTCAGCTACGACGATGGTCACATTCAGACCTACGGCCTTCCGGGCCGGGGTACGCTGCTTTCTACAAGCGACTAGTGACCGTGTTGCTGGGGCTCGTCGCGGCTTTTGTCGTGCAGGTCTTCCCCCGACCTCCCTCAGCCAGTCGCCACATCCGCAAAACGTTAGCAAACACCATCCGCACGTTATCCGACCATTATGCCTTGCTGCTGTCTCACTGGGATTGCGCCAGCGACCGCAGTGCCGTCGATGTTGTGGCGGTTCAGATTTCACTGAGTGTGGTGGAGTCTCTCCTCGCTCTCCAGGGCCCGATCGGCCTTCTCAAGCTCGAGCTGAGCTTGGACGCCTTCGACCGGAGAACCCTGGGTCAGGTGCAGAGACTCTGCCAGGACATCAACCAGGCCCTCGGCCACCTGTTGACCCTGTCCGGAACCCTGCCCATTAGCTTTCAAACGCGCTTGGTGCAGACGACGGGGATCTTGGATGATCTTACCATCGGAAATGTGATGGCCGTTTTGGGAGTCATTGAGCAGGCGCTGAAGACGGGGATGCGTTGCCGGAGCGGCTGCCGACGCCGTTGCTGAATCGATGCTATGAGATGTGGTATGCCAACCATCAGGCGGCAGAGCTCAGCACCGATCTGGTGCGAAGCGAGGATTACCGTCGATACTGTGTTGCAGTCAGCTCTTATCTCAAGTTTCTCTCGTCCGTGGACGAGCTTGTGCTGGTGTTGAAGCAAGCACTTGGGGAAAGCCATATCGTGGTTCGATCGCGGGAAATTGATTCCAGGTTGCCGTGAAACCTTGTCTCTGTTTTCTCGAGCATGTCAATAGAAAACCTAATCACTGTCGAGTCACGGCAACAACGGCGTTTCGATTTGGAACATCAAAGCTAGCGAGGGAAGGAGGGGAGAAGAGGGGGGGAGAAGAAACTCCGAGGACAGATCTAATACATAACGACCACCCCTCTACCCTATCTTGTTCAAGTACAGACGGGAGTACCCAAAAACTACCCACCGGTATTAGCTAGCTTCCCACTACCCACACGCAGGTAAATAGGCCCTGCCTATTACCCGCCAAGAAATAGGTAATAGATAATCCGTTTGGATCGACCCGCAGGTCGTGGCGAGATCTAGACTTGGTTTTGGCGGGTATATTCTAGGCAGACTTGTATACGATCCCTACCTCGTCTCTTATACTCTTCTCTATTATTTATTCTGCCTATAGAAGCAAGTAAATCCACAAAAATTGGAGCATTCAAAATTATACGCTTGCTGATACTTATTCAAATAGTTTGAATAGCACTATTAAACATTGCTGAGGCACCTAAAGATAGCGCCCCACCTTGTATAATAAAGTAAGTAACGAACTAAACTCCATTGATTACCTAGAGAGCTCGGGCTTAATTCTCGAGCATTAAGTACTCTTCCTCTTTACCGTAGCCCCTTGTCAAAATTAGCATTAAGCCGATCAATGATATATTTTCCATCTCCTAACAGTTGCTTTGCGCTCAATCTCCAGTATTTTCAGCAAGGTTCGAGAGTGAGTACGAAGAATCCTAGCAGATGATAGCAGAAGAGGATGGCAGGTAGAGATAAATAGCAATCGGGGAGGGACTTAGGTGTTGATGATGCTGTCGTGCCTGGCAACACGGTCGTAGACAGATCAATATACGACTCCAAGTTGCCGGAGCTACACACCCCCGAACTGAGGCTGTCGTTCCTCCCCACGTGCATGGTCCCGACGACGCTAGGGTCCGGCGGCACGAACTTGCTCCTGCTCGGGTTCTTGACGACCTCCGCATACATGGCCATGACCTTGGCCTCAATCTCGTTCATCGGCTTGTGCAGCTCCAGGTTCTCTGGAGGATCTCCACTTTCCTGTTCAGGTTTGCAACCGGGCCTGTACCTTGATGCGAAAAGCAAGCTCCATGTGATTAAGGACACCAATTCATTCACCTTCATCCCCACCTTCAGCCAATGACAACAAGCACGACTGTGCACAGGAAGAAGCACTTTGTCTCGCTTGCCAATCCTAAGGGGGAGGACGAACGTCCTGTGGTTGATGTCCTGGCCCGTGTCACATGCAATCACTTCTGGCGATGCCGTCGATCAGCATCTTCTCCCCAGACACAGAGGACTTGACGTCGCTAAGGTTCTCCTCTGTCCTCTCGGCGACCTCCGGGTCTAAGCTCGTGAACTTGTCGGCCAAGGTGAACACGAACTGGTTCAGTCAGGTCCATGTCGACATTCGTGCTCGTGGGCGTGGAGCTCATCACCGCGAAAGGGTTGTACCCGCCCGTCGTCGTGGACGTGTTCATGCCGCTACGCCGCAAATCGAACCTCGAATTCGCCCTACTGCTGGCTGGAGTTGCTATGGTATGTAGCTATAGTAAGAAGAGATAATTAGGAAATCCTCAGAAAAATCAGAAGGAAACTTACAAACAAACGGGACTGCTTGACACTATTCCTAGAATGGTTCGCGCCTTCTACTTCTGATTTGCTCCCGGGTATAGCCTGCAATATATATCATGTGACTAGGTGTGGGCTTACCTTTAGTGACATTTTGATCCTCCTATACTATAGTTATTTAATTGATCAATTCTTGCTCTATTATACATATAGCTTCTTCTTAGTGACCTCCACACAAGCTACTGCACACAATCGATCGAGCTCTGTAAACCCGGACAATTTTAACGTTCCTTGAAGACGGATCTCCCACCCTTCCTGCGTGTCATCAACGGTACTGTCCCTGCCAGCGCTCGGCTGCTAACCTGAAGAGGCTTAACCGAGGCACCTGTAGACTTATTTTCAAGAGAGAGGCAACGCTGAAGGGCCAAAAAGGGTCGCCCTGGTGGCATCCTTGGCCCGGCATTGTCTCTCTCACTCGCTTCTCATCTACTGGTCAAGACAAGTATATTGCTCCGATTTACATACCTTATATTAGCAAGAAGTTCTATTTTATCTACACGAATATCCTGCAAATAGCTGTCTAATTAAATGAATCAAAAAGTGCACTGCGTGTGACCATCTTCTGCCGCAACAACTCGGCCTACCCCCAAGAACCATCGCAATATCGAAAATAAGTTGAAACGTCTAGATCAGCTTGAAGCCGCCAGGCACCAGCTTCTGAAAGACGCCATCGGGGTCGTACTTGGCGCTGGCGGCTCTGAGCTTGGCATAGCTGTCCGCACCAAAGCTCTGCAGAGGCTTCTGCGTGGGGAACGCGTCGTTGACGAAGATTAACGGGTCATAGAAGCCTCTATCCTTGGTGTAGGCCTCAATAGCGTCGGTGCAGTCTTGCACGATGCGGAACACAGCCGCGTCGTCGTCGCCGTTGGCCCAGCCGGCAGTGACTCCCATCCCTGGGACCGAGTTAGTACTGGGATTGCCATCATGGAGGTAGGGGGCCGGTAGCAAGAGATGCATATTTGAGTACTTACAGAGCTGTGCTTCTTTTCTCGCGCCGAGCGGGTCGCCGCCGGCACGTAGTTCGCTGGCCAGGACCATGTTCTTGGAGATGGGCTGGGTCATCAGCGCCAGGGTGCCGCTGGCAATCTTGTGCATGCGGTCGTTAAAGCTTGACATAATGTCAACGATGCCGACGTAGGTGTCCTTGTCGAGGAGAGCACTAGTGGCCGCGTATGTCCATCTGATGCATCGTTAGCGCCGCACCTTTCCTTGTAGAGGCTATCGTCATCAAACCTTGGCAGAAAAGGCAGTCCCGTGCTGGCAAGATCATAAAAGCTGTCATGAACCTTGGTAAGGTCCGTGACGTTGGGGATTTGGAAAAACGCATCAAAGGCATTGGGCTTGACGGTCGGGTCCAAGTAGGCAAACGTCGCAAAGATGGTGTCGTTTGTCAATGCCAGGTATGGGAGAATTGCGGCCTTGCGGTCGAGCTGTCCATCCGCCTGGAAGTCAGCGAGCGCAGCCATAAAGGCCTTGGCCTTGTCTCCCGAGTAAATGACGGTGCCGCCCCAGACCTTGCCCATAGGGTAAGTTTGCTGGTTGAGGTGAGTGACGATGCCTATGACACAACTTAGCTATCGTTTGGCGGTATGCGTGGTAGGCAGCATACCGAAGTTGTTGTTGCCGATGCGGAGACCGTAGTACAGATCCGAGTTCTTTTCGTAGCTGGCTTCGACGTGGCTGCCGTTGGCGAGCATAACCTCGTAGGAGATGACGTTCTGACAGGCCCAGCCGTACAGGCTGGAAAGATGAGAGAGGCCACCTGAAAGTTGTTAGATACTTTTTTTTTGGTAGGATTTACTGGCAGTTCTTGTACATACCACCACCAGCAAGCGCGAGGCCGACTTCATTGAGACGGCCACCGACGACAAGGCGGCCAGTTTCGATGAGGGACTTGTAAATGTCGCCCCAGCGGTTGCCCATGCCGGAGCGCTGCACCTGAGTGTCCTTGTTGTACTCCAGATCCTTGAATCCGGCCATGGAGATGAGGAGTCCCTCGTCAATGCCGGCAAAGCCGTGGAACGGCGAGTGACCACCACTGCGGACGGCAAACTTGCACTGGGTCCTTTGGGCAGCCAGGATGGCCGCCTTGAGCTCGTCGAGAGTGGTCGGCGTGTAGATGCACGTGGGAGCTGTCCATGCGCTCGCGGACCTATCATTGTTAGCCTGCCATAATAGCAGGTATGAGGCATGATGTAGCCTACCAGTAAGCGTCGGCTTCCTGCGTGTAGGTGGACTCATTTGCGGCCACCGTGGCAATGCGGTCCGGGAAACCGGTCTGCAAAATGTCACAGGCAGATAGGCAACCAGAATCCGCTCTTCCATCCAGCGAGGGCGGAAGCGCAGCGCGGTTGACCCTGATGGAGTCGAGAAATGCGGACATGTCGCCGGCCGGGCTGCCCAGGATGGGGCCAGCAGCGGCAAGGAGAGCCACAGCGTTATGCAGAGTCAATCTCATTGTGGAATGAATACTCATGCAACCTCGATATTGGGGTATGATCTACGAAGGGCAGCTTCTGGGACACACAATGCTGGTCACTGGGTCCAGTAATTATATCTGCTCTTTACTCGGTTTACTGGGGACTGTGGTGGTGAGACGGCAAAATCGGCGCCGGTCGACCAGGGCTGAGCTTGGGTATCGGCCGCGATTCCTCGGCCGATTTGCGGGCGCAAAGGAACAGGTTGCTAATTCGGTTGCGTCGAATGGGCAGGGCGTTATTGTTTCGCCCCAAAAGGCCTGATGTTTTTAAACAGATGGCATGGGGACGGGGTGCAAGCGAAATTCTGCTCAGCAACCGCCCCGTAGCATCATCTCAGCTAAGCCCATTGGAGCAACAATTTCTGAAAGATGTATTCATTTTTCGGTCTAGGTATTTCCTTGGTGGCAGCGTGGGTGATTCGGGCTCTTTATCGAGTTTATTTCCATCCATTGTCGCGGTACCCTGGATCCAAGGTCGCCGCGGTATCGACCTCGTGGTGGGAGTGGTATTGGAACTATGTGCAAAACGGCCGCATGCTTTTTGAGATTGAGAAGCTGCATGAGAAGTATGGTACGTTTAATTGTTCAATATGATATACATAATATAGTTCAAAGGAGAATCATAATAACATTATGGCCAACAGGCCCGGTCATTCGCATCGGCGTCAACGACTTACACGTCAGCGACCCAGCCATCTACCAAGACATAAGCCGCATCAACTCTGGCTTCACCAAGGACCCCTTCTTCTACCAGTTCATCTCCCTCCCCGGCACCTCCATCGGCGAGACCGACCCGTCCAGGCACCGCATCCGCCGCAAAGTCCTGACCCCCGCGTTTTCAACAACGCGCATCCACGAGCTGGCGCCGATTGTCCAGGACAAGACGGAGCAACTTCTGGCCCGACTGGCGGCGGCAAAGGAACCGGTGTGCTTCACGGACGCGGCGAAAGCGTATACACTGGACATTATTGGCAAGGTTGTGCTGGGGAGGGAGATTGGTTCGCTTACGAAGCCGGAATTTATCAGCGAGCTGAGTGAGCATCTTCAGGCAGCCTTCGCAATTGGATGGATTGGACCTTCGTTCCCGATCATGTCATCTATTGCTCTTTGGGTGATTCAGCGGCTCCCGCTGTTTATCTTTCCCATGCCCCAGGTCCAATTCCAACGGGTAATGGTTATCTGATTTACTGAGATGCGGTACAATAAAAGCACGGCTAATTAGTTCTTAGGCTTGTGCGAAAATGACGGACTCATATCTCAAAAACTTCCACAGCGACAGCAGCGATGGCGCGTCGACATTCTCCACTGCGCATGGAGAGAGATCGGCTGTCATCGACATGCTTGTCGATCCGGCGGCGACTAAGGACTACAAGGTGCCGACGAAGAACGAAGTCAGCGATGAGCTGACTATGCTGTTGACAGCGGGAAGCGACACGAGTTCTACAGCCATCATTTCGGCGATTTACTATATTAAGCGCCATGAGAAAGTTCTGAATCGCCTCTGTGAGGAGCTCACGAAAGCGTTTCCGTCGCTGGAAGAGGAGATTACGTATGAAAAGGTGAAAGAGCTACCGTACCTGGTGAGTCAAGCGAATCTCCTCCCGTTGAATACTCGGGTTAATACGTGTTTTTCAGACGGCTGCTGTCAAGGAAGTCTTGCGGCTTGCTCACCCTCTGCCCGGTCGACTGCCCAGGACTATTCCATCGAGCGGATATTCGCTTTATGGCAATGCGCTGCCTCGCGGAGTAAGAAATGGTTGCCCTCCTGATTTGTTCGATCTACTAATGCGTCTCCACAGACAAACATACACACGTCTGCGTACCTCTTGAATCGCCACTCTGACATCTGGCGCGACCCGCACGAGTTTGATCCCACCCGCTGGATGCAGGGTGACTCGGCAGACCTGGAGAAGCACGTTGCCACGTTCGGCCGTGGTGCCAGACAGTGCCTCGGGAAAGAGTAAGCTTTCTCTGCACCTGAGGTAATCGGCCATGCCCGGCGCTAACTGTGACGGTAGTCTGGCTTGGTGTGAGCTGTGGGTTCTGCTGGCCAATTTATTCCGACGATATGATGTGCGCTTGACGCCAGAGTGCGATACGCCCAAGAGAGAATGGGTTGATGTCGTTATAGCCCAGTATGTTGCAAAAAAAAACTATTAATTCTGAGCTGTAGCTGACACAGATTTCAGATACGCGACGAAGCTGTACATGACAGTGGCACCGATGGAAAAGTAGCGTTGGAAGGGCGTTAGATTGTTGATGAGCTGTTACAAACGTAGTCTTGAAAACTTGATAATTCGTTTCAGCATGGAAATGAATTGCGCGATGTCGCCCCCATTCTTTCTGTCTATTCTTTGTAATATGTTTGTTGCAGCAAATGTGAACCAAAGGTGAGACGCCTCAATATTCCATGCAGAGTTACCAGCACCGTGGTGGGCTCTCGGGTCAATACTTGCCATCATAAAGAGAAAATGGCGCCTCCGTATCGAATACATGAATTTGAAGTCATGAAATCTATTTTAATAATCAAATTGATATAGCAATCTTAAACCCGTATGCATGCACATTATCATCGACGAATGCTCTTAATCTTGACATAACACTGCGTCGCCCTATGGGCAATTCCATCCGTCGCTCCATACCCAGACAACTCCTTGTCCACAGGTAGCAGCTCGAAATTCCACGCAATCATCGTAACAATGATTCTTGCCTCCAGATACGCTAGCTTCTTGCCAAAGCACCCCCGCGAGCCCATACCAAACGCCAACTGCGGCCCAGCGGTGGGATCAAACACGACATTCCCGCTCTCATCATTCCGCAGCCAGCGCTCGGGGTAAAAAGCGCGCAGGTCCACAGACTCATCCCATGTATTCGGCGAGGCAGCTTGCGACGATGCGCTGCGCTGCTTTTCGGAAATGGGGAAAGCGGGATCGAGGAAGGATGCGCCGTTGGCGAGAAGGAAGACGACGGTACCCTTGGGGATGTGGTGGCCCAGGAGCTCGGTGTCGTGGAGAGCCTCGCGAGTAACGCTGATGGGGCTGAGGCGGAGAGCCTCTTCGACCACGGCGTCGAGATAGGGAACCTTGGCCTGCACGAGCTCGGCGGCGGTGGGCTGGCGGCCTTCGGAGGCAGCTTCGGGATAGGCTTTGTGCAGAGCTGTGCGGACCTTGTCTTGGACGTGAGGCATGTCCGTGAGGTATTTCAAGATCCAGATGAGGTTCGAGCTCGTGGTGTCGTGGGCAGCGACGACGTTGCCAAAGATCTGTGCGCGCTATGTAAGCAACGAGTGAGATGTGAATAGGATAGTTGTTCTGTCTTACCTCGTCAATCAACTGTTGACCGTCAAAGTCAGGCTGTCTATCTTGCTTCTCCGCAAGCATTCGCTCTCGCCTCACGATGTGATCCACTGCCGAACGAATCTGCGAGGCCTCGCCAGGTTCGGAGGAGTACATTCGCGCTACAGACTCCCTGACCTGTTTGCGCACGTACACGTCCTTGGTGCACATTGTGTCTTTGTATGATCCGGTCTTCTTCATCCACCAAAACGTCCAATTCGGCATGGGCGAGTTGATGATTTGCTCGATGACGGCAGTCCCCTGCGAGGCAGCCTGGAGAAATTCGTGCAAGCACCCGTGGGGGAAGCTGGTGTACTTTTCTTCTAGAGAGCGACCAATGTCGAGGCGCAGCTCGCAACGCTGCAGCGTTTCAATCTGCGCCCTTGTCGCGGAAATGTTGAGTTTCTCGCCAAAAATAAAGGCAAGGATGCCGTCGAGCGCGACATGGTCAATATCTTCCTTGGCGCTAAATGTATCCCCCTCCGCCAGCTTTTCCTTGAGCTGCCAGAGACCGACAAGGTCCTGCGTCCGCGCATAAATCGCCGGGCCAGCGACGTTATTTAAAAAATTCGGAGACATGAGGTCTGTCAGCCATTTCCTCGCCGCGCGCCACTGGTCTCCAGTCTTGAAGCGAATGTGAAAGGCACCCGCTGGTGCCAGCAAGTCGCTCGAGAACGCGGACCGGTCAAAGTCCTTGCCGCGGCGGAGGAGCACGTCCTGTGCTTCGTGCCAGTCGGCGAGGAGCAGCCATGGTCGCGCAAAAGGCCGGACGAATACCTGACACAGGGGCGCGTTCAGCTTCCGGGACTGCTCGGCCATCCAGGCCATGATTTCCTTGGTGACGATGACGGAGCGGAACATGTCCGGGGCATCACCAAGGAGGTTCTTGGCGGCCGCGGCATTGTAGGGGATACCGGGAATAGGCTTTGGGAGAAGGTAGGAATACAGAGAGTAGAGAGCAATGGCAGTGGCCGCCAGGCCCAATGCAACATTGGCGTTGGGGACGGCGGCGAGGAGATTGGCATCCATGAGCTGGCGTGGTTTCTCGTTTTCTCGTTTACAACTTTGGCAATGGGATGCGACGCGGAGAACGCAAAGAGAAAAGAAAAAAAGTACATTGTACGCGGACTATTTAACGTGCCTGGTTATCCCAATATGCCTGGTCCTGATCGATCTATTACAACGCCCGTTTTTACTGGAGCTAATTGCTGTTTGGTTCAGCCTTGTCCGTGAGCTGAGCTCCCCTGTCGACGGTTTTCGGCCGAAATATCGCGGGCCCGTGTTATGCGCATTGTATGCAACACCCCGTCGACTTTATTTTTTCGCCCGACGGAAATTGTACCCGTACCAGTGCAATATATGATTCGTCTGTAGACTTGTCTCAATTCAAATCGACTATATAAAACTCTCACCGGACCGAAATACAGAGAATAAGCGTCGCTGATGGCTTTCGACGCGAAAGGCGGTTGGCCGTGGAGATAGGCTTCCACGGGACGCCATTGCAGCCTGACGAGGTGAGACGGCACGTCGAAATTGAGATAGACGGGTGAGAGTTCTGGCGGGGATCGTCCCGCCATTAATAGACGAGGCAGGACGCGATCGATGTGTCATGGAATCAACGTGGGCCGATTCACAGAGACTGGGATGTTTGGATTCAGTCTAGCACCAGGCCCTTTTTGCCAGGTCCGATCGCCGAGCTCTATCCGCCGCCTGGTAACTCAGTTGATCTAACCCATTCCTAAATACTTCAAAAATTTAATGGAAGACCATTTCTATCAATTACGTCGAGGCTCTCGACGGCGATATTCAGCCCCGTGTTAAAACCGCTAGACATCTGGCATTGGAAGCCAGAAAGCCACTAGCGACCAACGACTAAAACTGGTCAGGAACTTGCTAGGTAGTAACGCGCTGGCGCGTCGTGGACCAAAAAAGAACGAATAAGAGCATAAATGAATAATCGGACAAGTAGAAAGCTGCTAGCTCGCTAGCATTGGGAAGGCTGGAAAGCTATAGGCTATATTAATCAGCTGGTGAAGAAGCTGTTGGTAAGAAAGGCTTAGACCGGGGATGAACGAACAAATGGATGAGGAGAAAGCTGCCGTCGGGGGAGAAAGCTAATCATTCAGCTGAAATCGGGTTCTGTATGAAAACTGAAAACCCTAATTTTTAGCTGATCTATGGAGTCCCTCTGGCAGCCACGAATGATTATGCTTCTGGTAGATCCTAAGTGGAATATAGCTGAGGCAGAGTAGAGCTTGCACGCCCTTGCGCAAAAGACTGCACGGGACTTTGATCGATAGCTGTGCGGACTGAAGAATGATTGATTGATTATAAGTGGGTATTTTAGAATAGTATAAGATATAAAAAGAAATTATTTTTAAATATTAGAAAATCAACAAAATCATCGCTCTTTAACATCGAAGCAGTATTTCTCCCCCATTTACTCACTCTCCTTCGCCAGCGCCCCATCCACAACAATGATCGCCAGCTGTCTGATGCTCGTGTGCGCATCCAGCAGGTCCAACAGGCTAATGTTCGCTCGGAATGCCTGGTTGAACCAGTTGCGCAGCTCAGCCGCAATTAAACTATCAACGCCATAGTCTGCCACGCCCTTGGACAAGCTAATTGACGCAGGGCTGATGGAAAGCATGCTCGCCATGGCACCGATAATTGCATCGCACGCAAGCGTCAGTGACTTGTCGCGGGCGTCCGCACCAGCGCCCGCGCGAATTGCCGCGTCAAAGTCATCGCGGAGCTTGGCCATGGCTGACGAGCGCGAGCCACCGCCGTTGTCCTGGTCCTTTTGAGCGTTCATGCCGTGGCGGCACGCGTCGTTCATGGCTCGCATCAGCAGCGACACGCGGCCGTCGCTGTACCATCGCGGCACCGTAGTCTCCTCAGGCTCGCGCAGCTTGCGCTCCGCCATGGCCGCGGCGTCCAGGCATGTGGTAAAGCTGACCGAGGCAAGAGGATCGTGGCTCGTGCCGTTGTCGCTGAAGCTGTCGACAAAGGCAGGCTCAATGAGGCGCAGGAATTCGTGCTCCGTGACCCCCTCGGCCTTGTTTCGGGACATCATGTTGACGGCGGTGGCCTCGCGACTCAGATGACCAGCATCCGTGATGAGACCAAAGGAAGCCGTCGACGCGGGGAGGCCTTGGCGGCGTCGCTGGCGGGCAAACGCTTCCTGGAAGTTGTTGGCCGCCGTGTAAGCCGACTGGGTAGCTAGCGCCACAATTGACTCCAGAGACGTCGTCATGACGAAAAAGTCAAGAGGCATGCCGAGGGTAGCGTTGTGCAGGTTCTTGGTACCAAATACCTTGGCGGCGATACCATTGTTCCACTGGTCAATCGTAAGTTTAGCAAATGAAATGTCCTGCAGGAACATGGCGGCGTGAACGACACCGCGAATGGTCCTGACTTTCGCCAGGTTACCGATCGTCTCATCGAGCTTGCATGCAGCTGTCATGTCACAAATGATGGGCTGCACCTCAACACCCCGCCCGGCCATGTCTTGAATGAGACTCTTAGCCTCGGGCGTGCCGGCGCCGCTTCGAGAAAGCACAGCGATGTGGCAAGCCCCACGGTCGGCCATCCAGCGAATGATGGATCGGCCCAGAGCGCCCAAACCTCCTGCAATGACGTACTGCGCCTCAGGGTCGAACTTGGCAGCCTTGTCGGAAGATGGGACCATGCGTACCAAAGCCTCGGGGTCTTGGAAGGAGATGACATGCTTGCCGACGTGGGTGCCCTTGGAGAAGTTGAGCAGCACCTGAGGAAGCTGGTCGACGGTGGAGACAGCATGGGGGCAAACAGGACCAATGTCACCGGCCCGGTAGTAAGCATGAACCGCCGCCATCAACTTGCTGGCAACGTCCGGGCTGTTTTCGAGGATGAGACCCAGATCGAATGAGGCAAAGGTGATGCTCTTCTGGAACAGCTCCAAGCCCAGACGGTTGCCATCCATAACGTCGATGCGGCCGACATCAATAAGACGACCCAAGGGAGCCAGAACCTTGAAGGTCTCATACAGCATGTCCTCGCCTCTGACAGCACTGAGAACAACATCAAAGCCACGGCCACCACTAGCCTCGCGCATGGCGCGTTGCAAGTCCGCCACATCGCGCGAAGAGAAAATGTGCGACGCAGGGAGGCCAACCTTTTCAATCAAAAACTTTCTCTTTTCCTCGCCTCCCACAGTGGCGTACACATCGGCACCCTTGGCCTTAGCGAGCTGAATGGCAGCCAAGCCGAGACCACCCGTGGCGGACTGAATAAGCAGCTTCTCGCCGGCTCTGAGCGTAGTGACATGGTCGAAAGCGTAGACAGTCGTCATGTAAACAAGAGGCATGGTCGCCACTGCGACAAGATCGTCGGTTGGCTGCAGCTTGGCAGCAAAGCAGGCCGGCACTTGCGTGTAGTTACCAAGATGTCCGTGGCCCATTCCGTAGACGGCATCTCCAACGACAAAGCCACTGACCGAGGAGCCAACCTTGGTAATGATACCGGAATACTCGGCAGACAGGTTGTTGGCGTCAAAAGTGCCAGCAGCGATACCCAGGTCCTTCCAGTTGAGGCCGACAGCGGCAACCTTGACCTCGATATAATCGTGGGGCAGAGCACGCAGCAACTCGGTGTAAGGGCGGAAATACAACGATGTGAGGATTCCAGGCGTTTCAAAGGCAGCTCGGACAGGGCCCTGGCTGTCAATGGGGAGCACCTCAGCAGTGCTGGCGGGGAAAGCGCCCAGCCGCTGCTGCTCGGCGAGCTGAGCGTCAGGAAGAAGGCGGCTGACCCATCCGCAGCCATTCTGCCAGCTAAACTCGCGATCCTCGAAAGCATCCTGTTCCGATACGGTCTGCTGCAGATTGAGCTCCTTGGTAGCCATCCACGAGGCAATCTCATCCCACTCCTCAGCATCGACATCTTGCGATGCAATGTCAAAAAATAGGAACTTCGCAGTCGGGTTCTCGGTACCGACAGTGCGAAGCAGACCAGCGAGAAGAGCAGCGTCGGCGTTGGCACCAGTCACGATGCCGCCGGACGTCACCCAAACCATGGTCGCCGCTGAGGCAGCGAGGTGCTGGAACAATGCCAGACGCTTGGCGTCAGGTGTCATTAGCAGGTTCTTGTCGTCCAGGAAAGCAACGATCCTGGAGTTTGGGCGGAGATCCATGGCAGTGTCAATGTGGATGAACTCGTAAGACACGCCGTTGCGTGCCATTTCGTCGGCCATATGAGACACCAGAGGAGAGTCCTTGCCGATGCCATCGCTGTAGAGTAGATGGGCGATGCGGTTGTCAGAGACGCTCTTTGTAGACGTGGGGGGAGACAAGGTGGTGAGCATGGTGCTTGCAGTGCTGTACGGGTGGGGATAGTCATCGAGGATGAAATCGACTCCAGAGAAGCCAGCTCCCTGGAGAGCCTTCTCCCAAGACGGCAGGCCCAAAAAGGGACTTTCAACGCGTCCGTCGGGAATGCCATCCCAATAACCCGTGAGGGTACCGAGAATGAGACCGTGAACGAAGGAGTCGCCAGTATTCTCAACCAGAATAAGCTTACCACCGGGCTTGAGAAGTTTGCTGCAGTGCTTGAGCGTGGCGTCGATGTGCGCAGTAGCATGCAAGCACTGCGAGGCCAAAACGACGTCGTACTCAGCCTTCTGGCCCTGCTGCTCAGGGTCCTGAGCAATGTCAAGAACAGCGTATTCTATGTCGCGATACGGAGCCATAAACTCGTTGGCAGCTGTCAAGAATCCATGAGAGACGTCGGTGAAAGTGTAGCTATCGTAGCGCTTAATCTGCGTCACCTCGTCGTGCAGAGTGGCCATGGCGGTACGAGTGGCACCACCAGTACCGGCACCAATCTCCAGAATCTTTTGATGGGGATTGGCGTGGCCGAGGCCGTCAATGACACGCCGAAGCTGGGGATAGGCGCCTGTCATGGCAATGCCAGTGTCATACAGCGTCGTAAGATATCCATCCTGAACGAGGACCTCAACACCAGTGGTGCGACCGTACAAAATATCGTCCATGTTGTTCAAGAGTCGGCGCGCAATCTTGATCTCGATGACATCCTCAGTGCCGGCACAAAGAGACTCAAGAAGCTCCTGTCGATCTTTGGCATCCAGACCTCTGGCCTGCTTCATCACTTCCGTCTCATCGAGCTCCACGCGCCTGCGGATCCAAGCCAAGAAGAGACGAATCTGCTCAGGCGCATCCGCGAGATCTGCCCTGCCATTGTATTTCTCGTGAACCTCAACCACAATGAGAGCTGCAATGGCATAAACAGTCTTGGAAAGTGGCTCGCGATCGACATTTTCCTGAGGCGGCGGGAACAGCTGTCTAGCGGCCTTGCAGTTCAGGGTTCGGAAATCGGGCAGCCACGTCAGGCGAGTCGACTGGCTTTCAAAGGGCCTCCTTGTCATTCCATCCTGGGCAGAGCCTTCACCGTACGTGATGCAGCGCAGCTTGGGGATGTCAACGACGATGCTACCGGTCTTGTCAAGCACCTGAAGCTTGGCATAGGCACCGCGAAGACCACGAAGCTCACCCTTGGCAAGCGCCGTTCCAACCGCTTCGTCATTGCCATTCTTGATGTAGATTTGCGAGATGTGAATGGGGACAAATGCATTCTTGGTTCGCTCAAGCTGACCGCCGTGGCAGGAAACCAGGCCAAGCTGGAAGAGGGAATCAAGAGACGCCGGGTGAATGGCGTAGCGAGAGGCCTTTTCAAGGAACTTGTCGGCAGGGCGGGTGGTCTTAAGATTGAGGCTTGCGGACGCCAGGTTCTGCGTAGGATCGGCCTCAATGTTTGAGAGTCCCTGGAAAGCGTCGCCGTATCCAAGACCCAGCTGCTCGAACTTACGGTACAGGGCCTTGGAGTCGAGCAGACGTGCATCCATGGTACAGTTAATCTTCTCAAGTTTGGACTGCGTGGGCGAAACCTGCACTCTAACATAACCAGCACAGTGCTCGGTCCAGGCATCAGTGGTCGAGGAAACGGAGCTGATGGAGAACGGAACCCAGCCCGGACCCTTGGCCCTCGCCGCATCTTCAAGCTCAAGGGTAACGATAACTTCGACACCATAGTCATCTTCAGGGATTCTCAGAGCAGACTTGATCTCCACATTGCGCAGATTGAAGCCGGTGATTGGTAACGCACCTTCATTGTCGCCGTGCGCTCTGGCAGCCACTTCAACTGCCATGGCGACGTAGCCTGCAGCAGGGAAAACAGCATCGGGAACCAGACGGTGCTCAGCAAGCCAGGGCAAATCCTTAACACGGAGGATGTTGCGCCACTGCGGTCGGAATTTGGCGTTTCCAGGGAGCTTGGAGCCCACGAGCTCATGGCGAATGATGCTGCGGCCGCGGTACTCCTTGCTGAGACGGCTCTCGTGGTAGAGGATGGGTCCGTAGGCGTACTGGTACGGAGGCAGATCGACAGCCATGCACCCTTGCACAGTACCATAACCTTCCAGCTCGTCGACTGCGTTGACAGCGGGGAGGTCAACGGGGAAGTTCATGCCAAAGAGGTTACCTGCCAGTTTAAGCAGACAAGCCTGACCGTCCTTGTTGCGCTCCAGTGAGGCCATCACAGAAGCACTGAACTCGACCTCTTTCAAGGACTGGTCGACAGGTCCGCGCAGAGCACCGTGAGGGCCGATTTCGATCATCGCATTGACAGGAACGGTCTTGACAAGCTGCTGAACGGCTTCCGAGAAGCGGACGGGTGATTCCAGGTTGGCGCGCCAGTATGTCGCATCAACTGGAATGGTCGTTGTGTCTTTCATCGGGAAAACAGAGGAAATCCACGGGACGGCATCATTTAGGTGGACAGGCTCACCAAAACCTTCAGCAGCTGCTTTGACCATCCCACGGCCCAGCCATTCCTGGTACTTCTTGCCTACGGCAGCCATGTGGTGCGAATGGTAAGCGTTGCCACCAGTGCGAAGGATGCGGTTGAACACGCTGGCAGCCGTCAGCTTAGCCGCAAGATTCTCAATGGCCTCGACGTCGCCAGACAAGGTCAAGCTTGCGGGGGAGTTGCACGCCGCAACCGCGATCGACTCCTCCAAGCCTTGCAGGTAGTCCGACTCGTCCAGCTCGCGCAGGCCCATTCCGACAGCCAGCATGGCACCACTTTGAGAATTCGTCTTGACAGCCTGGCCTCGGAAGAACGCAGCGACAATGGACTCGGCAGCCGTAAGACGGCCGGCGGCGTACGCAGCAGCCATTTCACCGGAGGAGTGACCGGTGACGGCAGTAGGGCGGATAGACCACGAGGCAAGGAGGTCGACAATACCAATCTGCAGGGCTGTGCAAACCGTCTGCGAAACTTCGGGGACATTGACCAAGTTGTCATCCGCAACACCACGGAGGACGTCCTTGATTGCCCAAGTAACGGGTGTGTCGACAGACACTTTCTCAATCACTCGGTCCAGGTAGTCAATGGTATCGCTGAAGACGCTATACTCAAACAGATACTTGCCCATTCCATTCCACTGCGCACCCTGGCCAGTAAAGACAAAGGCAGCGGTGGTAGTGGCTGCGGGGCTAGAAGAGATGGGCTGCTCGACCGCCATGCCGCTCGCAACATCCTTGCTCTCGACGATGCGGAACGAGCGCTGCATGAGCTTGGTGCGTCGTGCGGAGAGCGTGTATGCGACGTCCGCGAGGGAGTGTTTCTTGGTGGTAAGGGCATCGGCCATGGAGGCGACGTTGAGCTTCAACGAGCCTTCGTTGTGGGCGGAGAAGGGCAGGAGGACCAGGCGCCTGGTACCGGCGTCCGCTCTGTGAGTCTTGTTCAAGTGCCACATGGCGGGAACGTGAGCGTCAATGTCAGTAGCGCTAGTATGGGTGAAGTCATTAGCCGCGCCATTGGCGTGGCCGTTGGTATGACCATTGGTATATCCATTGGCGTCATGGTTGGTGTGGCCGTTGGTGTGGCCGTTGATGGCGTTGAACGGATTGTACGTGATGGGGGTGTTTAGTCCCGGTTTGACGTATCCGTGCAGCACATTCCGAACGTGGTCAATAATGCAATGTCCGTTTGCACCACCATAACCAAAAGAGTTGATGCTCGCGCGACGAAGCTTTCCTTCGGGCCAAGGCGTCAGGTCCGTCAATACCTTGACGTTAGCCTCTTTGAAGCCGACTCTTGGGTTCAAAGTTTCGATGCCAATGCTGGGCGGAATAAAGCCAGATTCCAGAGCCAGAACCACCTTCATGATACCAGCGATGGCACTGGCCGACTCGGTGTGGCCCAGGTTGGTCTTGATGGAGCCCACATACAGAGGCTCCCGCGACGACTTCAGGGAAGAAAAGACATTGCCGATGGCCTCAATCTCAATGGGGTCACCGACAGGGGTACCTGTTCCGTGGCACTCAAAGTATGTCGTATCCGCCAGCGGGAGATTGCCAGCGTTGCGATATGCCTGTCGAATGACGGTCTCCTGGCCCGACTTGCTGGGGTGCGTAATACCACCCGTGCGGCCGTTGGCATTAATCGCCGTGCCGCGAACAACAGCGCGAATAGGGTTGCCATGGTCCAGCGCCGTGGAAATTTTGCACAGATAAATCGCCGCAAACCCCTCACCACGTGCGTAGCCATCGGCTGAAATGTCAAAGGTGTGACATCTCGAAGTAGATGACAAAGCGCCCAACTTGTTCATCATGATTTGCATAGTGGGATCGATGATCCAGTTCGAGGCGGCAACGACAGCCGAGTCGCAGTCTCCATTGCGAATGGCATTCACCGCCATGTGCAGCGCGTACATGGAGGACGAGCATGCTGTGTCTAGTGTGACACTGGGGCCTTGGAGGTTGAAGATGTAGCTGATGCGGTTGCTAAGCAGGCTCAAACTTGTACCTGTAGTGACGTATGGGCGCGGGTACTCGGGATCGCGAGAGTGAATAACGGTGTGGTCGACGGTAAAGTTGCCAACAAAGACGCCCGTCCGCGTGCCAGACACACTGTCGAGCGTCTCGCCGGCATTTTCCAGGGCTTCGTATGTGACTTCCAGCAGCTTTCTCTGAGACGGATCCATAGTCTCAACTTCCGTCTGCTGCATGCCAAAAAAAGTGTGATCAAAGAGGCGAGCGTCCTCGGTGAGGAGGAAGCCGCCTTGGGTGGAAGTGGCACCCATGTGGTCTGGGTTGGGGTGGATGAAGCCATCCTGTGAAAATCGATGGTCGCCAAAATCTCGGTAGCCACAACGCTTGTTCTTGAGAAGCTCCCAGAGTCCTGGAGTATCACGGACACCACCGGGCCATCTGCAGCCTAGTCAAGATGTTAGTCTCTGCGTGTAAGACCCAGTGGGGGGGTTGCTTACCCATGCCAACAATGGCGACCGGCTCTGCTCGGGAATCCATTTGTAGTATAAAGTGTTGATGGGAATATATAAAATGTAAACAAAATAGGGCAATATTGCCAAAAGCGGCCCGAAGATTCCAGCAAGTTGTGTTGAACTAATTTGGACTGCTATTGTCGTTACTTGGATCTCTCAAAACGGGGATGTCGGTGGTTTAAGGTGTTTTGGGGACAACTTAATATGAATCCTTCAGCATACTGGCACCGCAAACTTCCAGCTGCAGAGTAGGCCGATAGACCATCGGCAAGGGTGCAAATCTACCAGGCCGACATACGCCACAATTTGTCCAATGCACTGCAATGGCCATTAACCAGTCGTGCACCATCAGGCTTCGGCGCACTAGTATGCGCTTTCGGCTGAAACGAACCGAAACCGCAATATTTCGGTCGAAATGAAGGTCTCAGCTAAGATCAAGCAAAGTGCAGGGGAAAAAAAAGTCAGCACGGCTTTACGAACATAAGCATGCAGTTGTTCAACTCGAAACCAAGGCTAGTTTTAAATCGTGGCCGCACGGGCTGAAGATGGCCTTGTTTCGGCCGAATCTGGCTCTCAGCCTTTTGCCTCTTGAATATGCCCACCACTACCAAGTATTGCTCACATCAATTAACAAGCATTACCTTCCCACCCCTTCACTCTCAGATATTCTCGCTTTCCTTTCTATTAATAATAGTAGCACCAGAGCAGGTTGCATGAGTTTCCTTTTATTCTCGATCAATCCGTTTACACACACTCTCTTCAGACATTACCTGACCAAACACATATCCGCCATAATGTCCTCGCAAGTTGATACCTCCGCCCCCGTCACGGGTGCCCCCAACCTTCTCGCTCTAGCCAAGAACATTTCTCAAAAGACCACCGCCATCGTCGAATACCTCGAAGCCAATGGCCTCTCCCAGCCCAGCTTTGACGTTCCCTCACCCGACACCCCCAACACGGCCGAGTATGTCTCCATCTACAATAGCCTGCAGCAGTCCCTCGACGACCTCTCCATGCTCGTCGCCGGACCCAAGAAGTTTCTCCGCACCTTTGTCTGCCAAGCCAACGATCTCGCCGCACTGCAGGTCGCCTTTGAGTTTAAGTTCTTCCATCTCGTCCCCGCGAAGGGGGATGTCTTGTTACACAACCTTGCATTTGCCGCAGGCCTGGATGTCGATCGCACTGCGCGCATCATGCGCATGCTGATCACGCAGCGCATCTTTGCAGAGAAGCGCCCGGGTTACATCTCGCACTCTGCCATGTCGTGGATGATTGCCGAGGACCCGGAGATTCACTGCGCCGGCCACTACACGTATGTTAAACAGCAGCCCCCCCCCCCCCAAGCTTTGAAGCATATCTGACTAACACGCTGTAGAACGGATGAGATGTTCAAGGCCTCCGTCGCTACAGCGGACTGCCTCAAGTCTGCGCCGATGCTGTCGGACAGCCTGCACTCGCCTTTCCACACTTACCATGATGTGCCTATGTTTGGATACTACAAGCGGAACCCTGTTCACGCTGTGCGATTCGCCAAGGCCATGACTGGTGTCGCCAAGCGTAAGTTGCCATGAATTCTCTCCCATGCTGCGGACGAGCTTCCTCGCTAACCAGACACTCAATTACGTAGTGGACCGTCATATCAACGAGCTGCGGGACTGCTTCGACTGGGGCAGCCTGAAGTCCACCGTTGTCGATGTCGGAGGGGGCAACGGATCTACTTCCATCGCCCTTGCCCGGGTTAGTACCGCGCCATATCACAAGCTGCGCGTCACTATACTAAACGTCAATTTAGGAATTCCCCCACCTCAACTTTGTCGTTCAAGAGGGCTCCCCCGACTCCATCGGCCAGGGCCTCAAGCTCTGCCCCGACTCCCTCAAAAGCCGCATCACCTACCAGCAGTACGACTTCTTCACTCCGCAAACCCAGCGCGACGTTGGCGCCTTCTTCATCCGCCAGTGCACGCACAACTGGAACGACGCCGACGTCATCAAGATCTTCCGTGCCTTCGTCCCTGGTCTTGAGGGCAGCAAGCCCGGCACTCCCCTCCTCATCAATGATACCGTCATGCCTGAGCCTGGTACTCTCCCTAGCCACGTTGAGCGTCAGCTACGCCAGGTGGATATTCTGATGATGATTGGTCTTGGAGCCAAGCAGCGCTCGCGCGCTGAATTTGGGGCTCTTCTTCGCGAAGCTGACCCTCGCTACAGAGTCAAGAGCGTACACTCCGAGGGCCCTATGGGCCTGGTTGAGGCTTACCTCGATATGTAAGCGTAAACGTACACCATACAATGATGAGCTTTCTGCGTCATGCATGGCTCCCAGCAGTATATTTTTAGCAGTATTCAGTAAATGAGACATGACTTTCGGCGTATAACAAGCCTGCACGCATTTCCGTGACTTGTGAGAGCGTGAACGATTACAAGGTCGGACCCGAGGACCATGGAGCCGTTGACATGTAAGGCCAGCCCCAACTTTCGGCCGAAATCTGTTTTAAAAAACCACAATTACGTTTTTTTCTTTTTACCGTTTTATCGGAAAGAACGCTCAAGTAGCCTCGCCTCGGCCAAAGGCCATGGGCCATGTCCTGCTGCTCATTTCTTAACCAGGCTCTCAGCCTACCTTACCCGTTATAACGCACCCCTAGAGCCCCCTCCACTTCTACTTCAGTCTCTCGTCCAAAAGTCCATACCTAGACCACGCGCAAACATGGAAGTTCTTGCCGGAGTGGCCGCATCGGCCTGGTCGTATTTTTCCGACAATTCAAACCTGCCTCTTTCCAGCCTTTTTTCGACACGGAGCTCAGGAAATGCAAATGTAACTGCCCTGGTTGAGAAGCTCTCCGCGAATGCTCAGGTTCTTCTGCCGGGTAGTGACCGCTATGAGGACGCCACTATGCGCTGGTCAGTGTTAGCGGCCCCGGCTGTGTCGTTCGTGGTTGTTGTGGCCACGGAGGAGGATGTCGCTCAGACAGTAAGTAATATTGCATGTCATTGGGGGACGAATAATTCTGTTGCCTTATAGTTTTATTTTCTTTTTTTCGCCATTTCTGTTTTAGCTAACGCTCTAGCAAACAACTAGGTCAAATTCGCAAATCACGAGAAGCTACCCTACCTCGCCGTTAACGGAGGCCATGGAGCCATCCTCACTCAGGGCAGGATGAAGAACGGGATTGAAATCTGGCTCAACAAATTAAACACCGTCGAGCTCGCAAAGGACGGCAAAACCGCCACCATTGGCGGCGGTACCTTGTCCAAGACCGTCACCGACACACTCTGGAAAGCCGGGAAGCAAACTGGTACGCCTCCCTTCCACCATGATTCTCACATTCTTGCCTAGTAAGAAAGCTAACACACAGCTCTCCGATATCAGTCACCGGCTGCTGCGAGTGCACCAGCATCCTTGGTCCCGGTCTCGGCGGTGGTCACGGCTTCCTACAAGGCCGCTACGGACTCGTCTCCGACCAGTTTGTGTCCATGAGAATGGTCAACGCAGACGGCAACCTCATCTCCATTTCAAAGAAGACGCACCCTGATCTTTGGTGGGCTATGCAAGGTGCTGGCCATAATTTTGGCATCGTCACATCCGTCAAATTGAAAATATATGACATTGTTCATAAGACATGGGCCTACCAGAGCTTCATCTATACGGGCGACAAGGTTGAAGGCTTGTATCATGCCATCAATGAGGAGCTGCTCAAGAATGGAACACAGTCGGTGGATATCTTGAATTATTCCTTCTTCTTCAACTCTCCTGGTTTGGACCCGGAAAAGGCAAGTTTTGCACCAATCTAACAGGCACACCCAAATTTAGCATTGCCCCATCTTCGTTTTGCGCTCCGAGTATAACTAACAATTCCTTAGCCAGTCATCATGTTCTACATCGCTCAGGAAGGTGCAGCAGCAGTCGATTCCATCTACACCAAACCCTTTGAAGACCTCGGCACTGTGGTGACAGGCAAAGGCTCTGGTGACTACACCCAGCTCGCCGCCTGGACCGGCAACGCCAATGACTCGCCCCCCTGCCAAAAGGCCGGCCTCGCCAACATCCGCTTCCCCATCGATCTCGACACCTACTCCATCGAGGCCCAGCGCGCGGCCTACGACCTCTTCGCCAAGGGTACCAAAGAAACCCCTGCCTTTGCCAACTCACTCTTCCTCTTCGAAGGCTACTCGACCCAAGGCGTCAAGGCCATTGACAGCGACTCCACGGCATTCGCATTCCGAGCCAATAACCTTCTCGTTTCGCCGCTGATTACCTATCAGCGCGATGGTTCTGCAGCGCTGGATAAACAGGCAGCCGGGTTTGGCGAGTCGCTGAGGCAGGTGTTGCACCGGGGCAGTGGGCGCAAGGAGATGCACACGTATGTGAATTATGCGTACGGAGATGAGTCGCTGAAGAATCTTTATGGGTATGAGGATTGGAGACAGAAGAAGCTCAAGTCGTTGAAGGGGACATATGATCCGCATGGCAGATTCAACTTCTACGCGCCCATTGCTTGAGCAGGGTATGGCTGTCACCACATGTCCTGGCTCTTGGTACCCACGGGCTGGAAAGAAACTTAAGTAGAACTTTCTAGCAGTTGAAAACCGGAAAGACCAAAACAATGAATGGCCCATCAATATCATGACTGCCAAACCAATCTGAATTGGTCCAATTACTGACTATCATAGCCAAATACAAGGTAGGACAGCCACTGAGCTACCGTGACGTACAACAAATGGACGTATAGGCTGCTTAATTCAGAAGCGGATCGAATACATTCTGCTTAAAAGCAATCACGCCGTATTATTACTCGCAAAATCAATGTCGCATGCAGCTTTTGCGAAATAGTAGCGTGTAAAAATAAAATCGATCGTAATCTACTGCTTGTCGAGCGTCTCGAGCATCTCAGCAGGGGGTGCCTCAGTTCTCAGCACGGCGACAGTCTCCTTCCAGAGCTTGTGCTGAACGTCCGCACCCTTCTGAGACAGAACAAAGGGAGATGCCCTACTGAAGTGTTAGTTCGAGAATCGCGTTGGTGCAGCCACGTATTTTACTTACTTCTTGACCTGCTGGTCGCTCAGGTACGCGCCGCGGTCGGTAGGATGCCTGGTGGCCGCATCAGTAATAACAGACGCGCCCTGTGCCGAGGTCCACGCAATAAGCTTGACAGCGCTGCGCGCCGACTCATCCGAGCGATGCAGGCTGCTGTCACAGAAACCGGGGTTAACTGTGTTGATGATGACGTCGAGATTCAGCTTGGCAGCACGTGTGTTGAGCTCACGCATCCAGAATACGTTGAGGAGCTTGCTGGTGCTGTAGCGCTCAATGTTGCTCTTGTCCTTGCCCTTGAAGCACTCCTCGTTGGCGTCGAGCGCCTGAAGGATGTTGGGCGCGCTCTGCTCGCGGAACTTGGCCCAGAAGTGGTTTTCGGAAGAGACAATGGTAAGGCGAGCGGGCTTGCCGACGCTTTTGGCGGTGCGATCCAGCGGCTCGAGCACGTAGGTGGAAATGAGGGCCGTACCCAGGTGGTTGACCTGTCCATGCCAAGAAAAATACAATCTCAGCAAGTGTCGCCCGCAATGCAGTTTGCACAAGCAAGCGAACAATGACTTACCTGAATATGCGCCTCATGGCCCGTCTTGGATATGACGCGATCGACAAACTTGACGCCCGCATTCAGAATGGCGATATCAAGCCGATCCACATCAGCGATGCGCTTGCCAAAGTCGGTAATGCTCTGGAACGAGTCATAGTCCAGAGACCAGACCTCGACCTCGACACCAGGCGTGGCCTTAAGTATCTCCTCTTTTGCCGCCTGGCCCTTGGCGGCATCGCGCGCAGTAATGATGAGGCGTTTCAGGCCATGCGCGGCGAGCTCCTTGGCCGCATCGAGGCCCAGGCCCGCGTTGGCGCCGGTGATGAGCGCTGTCTGACCGTCGAGGCGCACTGAAGCCGCCAGGGGCTTGGGCTTGCTGGTGACCTGTCTGTACAGAAAGCCTGCGAAAGAGCCCATTGTGTGTGTACGCTTTGAGATGAAATTATGTTGGGGGGAGAACAAAGAGTCAACTTGTACAATATGTCGACGAATGTTATACGCTTATTTTGACGAGGTCTTCTTCAGCAAGTGAGAAGGCTTAAGAATGCGACGGAAAGAAAAGATGGAAAGTACAAGAGAACGGTTGTTCAGCCAGGCTGGCATCACTTTCTTTCAACCGGGCTAAGGTCCTGTCCCATTGTCACATACTGCGCAGCCTCACCGGTTTCGGCCGACGAAATTCGGCTGAGGGCAGCTGCGCTATTGGAGGTAGCCGTGTCCAAGGGGGCTTATTGGCCTCACTGCGAACCTTCGCACTACTAATTCCCCATGTTTGCTTTGTTGCGGACGTCTTGGCACGGCTTGATTGTTGGCCCGGTTCCGCGGCTGCGGTGGCGGCTTGAATTTGTTTTCCAGATTTTTGTCTCTTTTAGGATTAGCACGGTATCGCCTTACGGGCCACATGGTCAGGTGATGAGATCGGGGATGAGTTATTCCAGATTGCTTACCCACTGCGGGAGGCTTCCGCTTAAGAACTTAAAAATTTCCACCATCATCCACACAACACAAGATCGTCACTTTCCCTTGCCCTTTGTAGGCTAGGCATTGTATTGTCTCGAGACCCACTGTCTGTGTCTTGGGAGGCGTGGTTCATCACTGTCTAGCTGCTGAGACCCAGTCATTCCTCGGCCCGAGCGGCCCGGAGCGTGTTGGGGCTGCTCGGGCTGGGTAGTTACCGATTTGCTCGTGGCTGGTAATCGTGACCAATCATTCGTCTGCGTGACTTTGGCCCCTCTGCCTTATCAGCTTCAGCTGGCCAAGGCGCAATCTGTATGCTCTCTTACCAGCGTTCCTCCGCTGAGCTGACTGTGCGGCCTTTATATGTTCTAGATCCTAAGGCCCCTCTTTCTTATCAGCTTCAACTGGCCAAGGCGCAATCTGTATGCTCTCTTACCAGCGTTTCCCCGCTGAGCTGATTATATAGTCCCGATCCCAAGGCCGCCTCTCCAAACTTATTCACAACCGTAGTTGAGGTCTTTTGCGGGGAACGACCTCTCTTTCGTTCTTTCGTTTTTGCGTTATTTTCTAGCAACCATGGGGAAGCGGCCGGCTCGCACGAGCACCCGCAAGGTTACGTCCTGTCTTTCCTGCTACAGACGAAAGCAAAAGGTAAGAAAAAACCAGGAAAGAGTCAAAGTCAAAAAGTCTGGGGCCTCCCCCACCCCAAGTCAGAAACTGAGGTCAGCGTGTCCCCGCCATCTAGTGCAATCGTAGATTCCCGTGCAATCACTGCACCCAACGAAGACGACCGGAACAATGCATCTATCTTTACAGTCCCACTGCCAGCGAATGTCCGAGCGAGAGGCAGTCCGAACCTTCCAAATCGGCCGCAGACGATGATACGGCGCCGGCATCTTTTACGGGTATGGCGCCCGCTGGCAGCCTGGATCAGCGGCCGAGTGCCGCCTCCAATGGCAATATGCAAGCCAATGTTGATGCCGATGTCGCGCCCGAAAGCAATGGCCGTGAGCAGAGCCCGGGGGCAGGAGATGGCACAGACGCAGCCATGCGGCCCCCACGACTAAACACCGATGCGAATCGTTGCTTGGGGCTTTCAGAAATTTTTGGATACTCGGACGAGAGCGATAGAAATCTGCTTGGGCTCATATATCATGTGGTGAGTAATGGAGCCTAGGGTCTTGGCCATCGTCTACATCTATCAGCTACTAACATGGATACTCCAGGGCGGCTTGGTGCATTGCCCTCACCGCAGCGACCGTACGGTGACTCTCCCGCAGGACCAGCTCCGTGTCGTCAAGCGGGAGATGGCCAAGATGCCAGCACGACCAATCCTTGATTTCCTCCTGCAATTCTTCCTCGCCGAGGTGAACTGGATGACGCAGCTTATCCATGCACCCAGTTTCATGCTCTACTACTACTCGTGGTGGGCCAAGCAATCTCTCCAGTTACTCGACGAAGACATCCAAGTCACCCACATTGACTTTGCTGTGCTTATCCTTCGCACCTGCGCCTTTACGGCCCAATTCCTCCCGTCACCTACCTACACCGTGGATTCCATTCGGGGCATCCCGCTGACTCAAGTCCGCGAGATCTGCAACACCGTCGCCACCAACCTCAACGAGGTGGCCGAGGCGGTCAATGAGCGAGGTTCTCTTTTCCGCGTCCAGCACCTCTGCTTTTATGCCTTTAACCAGGCTTGTGAAGGCCGTCTGGGAAGCTCATGGGCGTTGCTGTCCAGCTCGATACGCGTTGCCCACGGACTCGGCTACCATAGGCTCGCAGGCAGTGAGTCGCTGCTAGGCGATCCGCTAGAGCGCGAAATGAAGCGCCGAGTATTTTGTAACTTATACGTTTGGGACGGGTAAGCACCTCCCCATACTCCGTACGTCCTTGGACACGCGACTAATAGCCAGCACAGGCTTCTATCTCGGCAGCTTGACCGCGTGTCCGCGTTTGGAGATAGCTTCAATATGGACAACCTGCCCCGTATGCACCTCACGCCCGAGGTCGACTCGGAGAGCGACGCCCCGGAAGCTTTTACAGAGAGAATTCTGCAGGCCCGTCTGATGGCCCTGTGGTCATGCATCAAGAAATCGCAAGGCGAGGACGGCGCCCCGTACGACCCTACACAAGCGCAAGAGCTGCACGACTGGCTGCAAAAGGACTTTGTCGACACTCTCCCGCCCGCCTTTTCCCTCACCAACCCCGACTGCAAATGGGACGAGCGGCTCCGACACCTACCCAAGCAGCGGCAGCTGATACGCGCCACCGTTGGTGAGTCCATCTGTCACCTATTCCGGCCCCTCCTCCTCCTCGACGCTGCACACGTCCGCACCATGCCCATCTATAAACAGGTGCTTCTAGACTCGCAATCCAATGCCTTGGCTCATGCCGCATTCAGCGTTCTCGATGCTTCGACCAAGCTGCATAATCTGATGGGCGCAATGCACACGCGCCTACCCGCCGTAGTCATCTACCCGTTTGAAGCCGCCGTCACCCTCGCCTTGATCTGCATCAAAGACCTTGTACCACGGGAATCAGACATCAGGGTAACCGGTCTCCGGTCGGACTTCAAAGCTCGAGCAAACAGCACGAGCACGGGCACGGCCTCCTCGATGGAAGACGTGGTTGCCACCACGCAAGGAGGGGCGCCACAAAGCCAGCCCGTTTATCGCGAGGCCTGCGTTACCGCCGTCGAGGAGACTCTTAGCTGCCTGCAGGCCCTGGCCGATATCAGCGTCTTAGCCGAAGGCGCTGCGCAGAGCCTAGCGCCACTGCTTTCGACGATCCACGACATGCCCATGAATGACGCTGTTGGCGGCATTAGCACCGATGGTGGTGCCTTGCTGCCCTCGCCACGGGTGTCGCTGGGGCAGTCACACCCTTTGTTTGCGCACAACTCAGACTTGAGTCTATCTACCTGGCTGTCAGCGAGCTCTGGCTTGCACACCGTTAGCATGGCCGAAACCACGACCGATACACTGAGTGATGACTGGGTTTCGTTTGGGCTGTCCTCACTAAACGATCCCTGGAACACGGTGGTACAAAACGGGTTATTAGGTGATTGGAACAAAAAATAGAACATGTCTAGTATTAGCTGTAGAGAATATGTGGTGTTTTTTAGGGGTTTAGGGCTAACGTACGGGGGATCCTGGAGGGAGTGGCTGGCTCTAGGTTTACCGTGGAGCGGTGAAGGGGCTTAAATATGGCCCTGAATCCAGGATATTTTCCGACCCTGATTCCAAGCAGAACTATTGAGTGTCGAAAGCTGAAAATTTGGGAAATTTTAAGTTGGCCAATTCGACCCCGGATCGGCTTTTTGCGTAAATCGATTATGTGAGTATGGTTCGAAAATGGTAGGTTTTAGGAATTAATCTTGGTAGGGTATGACCAGAGAGGATGATCTATGTTTTCTCTGATGTCAGGGTTGGTAACTGGTTATCTACGATGATGACAAATCTTAGGATAGTTATGTTAGTTAGTTCTGTCACGGGCTACGCCCCTTCGATACTATATGGCCATGCCATATAGCCTGCTCTGTTCTGCCTGCCCGATAGCCTGCTCTGTTCTGCCTGTCCGCTCCGCCTTATCTGTATTATCTTGCCTGCTCCGTTCCCGTTGCCCCTTTTCTCCTTCGTGCTTTTTATACACAGCGTGTGGCCTAGTTTAGATTGAATCAAGTCAAGCTTTAGCCCTTCACAAGTTCGATCGGATAAACTTTCGGTGAGCCTGTTTTTCCTCCTATATCTAACAAACCGTGTTCATCGCGCAACGCTAGATATTACCCAAAGGTTTAAATTTCCCCCGCAGAGATACTCGCCACGATACATTCACCATGATGGTCGAATGCCGCCTAAACGATATTGAAGCAGGTAAGTGAGGATGTTTTTGACCATGACTCCAGTACAGCCCCATTCCGGGAGAGATCAGCGTAGACATGGCTGTCATTAACTGACTAAATACGTCCGTCAGCAGGTTTGGTCGAGTCTAGCTATAGTGAGACTATAGATTCGTTCGATAAAATGGCCCTTAAAAGCGATCTCCTTCGTGGGGTCTACGAGTACGGTTTCGAGGTCCCGTCTGCTTTACAGCAACGCGCCATACCGCCAACGATCCAAGGTAAGTGAAGAGGGGATAATAGTGATAACAGAGTACGTGAAGACTTACGATCAAGTTGAAGGTTACAACATCGTTACTGTAGCGCAACCTGCCACTGGCAAGACATCTGCATTATGCATTTCTGTTCTTCAGAATATTGATCCTAATATAAAAGCCTGCCAAGCCTTGATTCTAGCGTCCAACCATGATGCTGCTAGCCAGATCCAAAGGACCATCGGTGAACTCGGTCGTTTCATGCAGATTAACGGTCCTGCCGACATTTCTAAGCCAGACCCTTGCGACGACATAGGATTATCCCACGATGCTCAACAAGTTGTCATTGGCGAACCAGACCAGGTCTGCGATATGATTCAATCTGGTATAATCACGCCAGACAATATAAATCTACTCTTCCTCGATGAGGCTGATAAATTACTATCATGTGACACCGCTGAGCAGATCTGCGCCATATATGAACTTCTGCCAGAGGCTACCCAAATCGTCTTCATCTCAAGAACAATGCCTTATTGTATGCTTGAAATCGCCGTAAGATTGATCCGTGATCCTTTATACATTACTGTGGGTAAAGCCGAACATCCCCTCGATGGCATCGAGCAGTCCTATATAGTTGTTGAGGTGGAGGACCATAAGCTCGACATCCTTTCCGAGTTAGACAAGAGTTCTGCGCTCGCCCGAGGGATGATCTTCTGCAACACCCGTCAAAAGTTGGAGTGGCTGGAACAGAAGCTCACCGTCCGTGGCTTAGCTATTTCTACAATGCATGCCGACATAATCTCTATCGAATGTGCTGCTATTATGGCAGGCTTTCGCTCTAGTACTTCTTATGTCCTCATCGCTACTAAGATACTCTATACCCTAGTGGCCAAACTATCGGGGGCCTAATGGTCGTCGCGCGCCCCTGATTGGCCGCCCGTGCGTGCTCCCGCCGTCCGTCGTACATGGCAATCTCCTCTAGGTTCTCTCTCTCTCGCTCTCTCTCGCTCTCTCTCCCTCTTCCCCTCCCCTAAATCTCGGGAGTAACCCTAATTCTCTCCTGTATCTACGGTCTGGATTAATCTCTATTATCCCGACTAGGATAATAGTCTCGGTCCTGATCTTCTCACAGATAAGTCTCTTCTTTGAAGAATAAGATCCTCTCGATCCTTCTAATCAAAGATTCTTGATAAGAATAAATATATAACTATCTGATGACTATATAATAAGAATAGATCGATTTTCTATATCTCTCCTTCCTCTCTCCTTCCTTTTTTTTTCGGTTCTAATTTTAAACTTTCTTTAGGAGATATAGAATCCTCTTCTCTCTATTTTTGTTCTTAAAAATATTATAACTTTATATATTTCTTTTAATCTTAGGCTAGAAGATAATTTATATCTTATTATTTGTTATTATATTTATTATAATAGATTTTGTTAATAGAAGATCTTAGTTTAGAAATATCTCTTAATATAGTAATATACTCTAATCTCTTTCTTTTTTATTTAGACTATAATATAAAGAGATATATTAAACTCTAAGATCTTCTCTATCTTTCTAAAGATAGATAGTTAGTTAATAATTAGTAATCTATTTATAATAGATCCTAGTTTTATAGATAGTCTTGGCGAGATTATAATCTTTTTTTTTATTATCTTTTTTATCTTTAATCTAATTTAATAGATCTAGATCTATTAGATTTGTTAATATAAGATCCTGGTATAGATAATCCTTATCTATCTAGTTATTAAATATTATTAATATTAGTCTTAAAGTTATCTATTATAATTACTCTAAAAAGCTATTTTAGTCGAAATCTAGTATGTCTTATCTCTAGATCTAAGCTATAAGTCTTTTATACTTCTTTTACTAGAGATACTAGTCTTATCTGAACTCTTGGTCTATTAAAGCTTCTAGTATTTATAGCTAGACTATCTTTATATTATCTATAGTTAGTAGGTTGTCTATAATTATTATTATATCTAAAAATATTATCTATCCTAGAGACTATCTAGTATCTAGATTATAATAATATCTAACTACTAGAATACTATAATATATTATTAATAACTTTTTATCTATAGGCCTATAAATAGCTTTTTTATAATTATTTTAACTATAGATAATTACTATTATCTATCTCTTATATATATCCTAGTTAATAAGATAGATTTTATCTATATATAGATAGTATAAGTCTTTTAATAGACTAATAAGATTATAGATATCAAGAATATCCTTATATCTATAAAATAAGACTATACCAAGATATTATCTTAGCTTATCTTAATCTGATAACTAGAATATATCTAGGACTATTCTTTTATTATTATAATATAGCTAATAATACTATCTAATCTGTCTAGCCGGGAGCTGATCTTATAACTAGTTATATAAAATATCTAGTATCTAATAGAATAGATATTCTAGTTGATCATAAACTACTATATTAATAAGTTTAATTAGGTCTAGATTAATACTTTTATGATAAAACTAGAGATATAAGAGTGTCTAATCTAGATCTGTCTCTATCTTAAAACCTATAAAAGCTATTATTACGTCTAGATATAGTTATTCTATTTTATTTACTAGACTAGCTAGCTAGGCTAGATAATTATATTCTGTTATTAATTTATAACTATATAATTAGTAATCTTGGACTAGATTTATATAATAACCTAGTATCTTTTTTAGATCTATCTAGGATTTTTAGTATTAATTATAAACAGCTTAGGCCTAAGTCTTTTCTATCTATCCTTCTTGTCTACTATAATAGGCCTTCGATCTATTATTATAGTCGAGATCTTTATCTATCTAAGAATTAAGCAGCTTAAATAGCCTAAAAGGATTATCTAGATCCTAGTTAACTAGACTAGATATAAGCTAGATTAAATATATCTAGATTTGTCGATTATACTACTTAATTAAGAGCTTTATAGTGATCTATTTAAGAGTCTGCTAATTAGTTTCTTAGCAGCTTTTAGGATCGATAGCCCTAACTATATCTATTATAAACTAGTAAGTTATATTATATATTTTTTAGTGTTTATAAAGATCTCCTAGATACTAGTTATATAGTAGATAGTTAATCTAGCTGATTAGGACTATATTAAATATCTAGATAATATATTAGAGGAGATATAGATCTAGTTCTTGATATATAAGATCTACTATCTTTTTAACTAGATAATCTAACTTTATATATATAGAAAGAAGATCTAGAATATATTTACTAGTCTTAGCTAGCTAGTCTAGAGTAAGGACTAGTAGATAGTTAGTTACTAAGATCTATATCTCTTCCTAGCAATACTTAATATATTCATAACTTGTTAGATAGAGATTATATAGTATAAACTTGAGCAGCTCTTTCTTTTAGATATAGATAAGATATAGGCTATAACAATTTCTAAACTTCTATTTTACTAGCTAGTCGATAATCTAATCAATAACTAGTAAAGATAGAACTTCTTAAAATATCTAATAAACTATTAGATATTTCTAATATCTAAAAATTACTAGATATTAGACTAGATCCTAAATATCTTAGTTCTATACTAGGACTTTATCTATATCTAGCTAGAGATCTTTCCCAATAAATTTATAATCTATTAATAGATTAATCTTTTATAGGTTTAGCTAGACTAGATTAATAAGTTCTTTTAGTATCTTTTTTTATTAGTCTATCTAACTAGTAATTAGCTGGTCTATATTATAAAACTAATTATTATCTATTACTTAAATATATCTAAGAGCTGTTATTAAAATATTTTTCTTAAAAATAGATTTATCTATATTATGATTATTTATTATAAGATCTAGAGTATTATATTAATGATAAAGATTATCTATTATTATCTATTCTAGATAATAAATAAATTGGTAGTCTATTATCTATAACTAATCTAGCTTTTTACTAAGCTAATATATATATTTATCTATTATAATACTGTCTAGATCTAGTCTGTATTTCTATAACTAAAAGACTAGGATTACTAGGAGATTAATTATCTAGATATAATATTTAAGACTTAAGGGGAGTTTTATCTGTAGATTAAGTTAAATATGTTTAGCTAGTATTATATAACGATTAGGATCTTTTGTATATATCTAAAATATAATAGGTTTAAGTATGATTATAGGCTGGATAATCTTCTAGTAGATAAGTAGACAGCTTATAACTTTTAGATTATAAGTATAATATATGCCCGGGGATTATAGAAGATGTTAAGGATGATTAAGACAAAATAACTCTGATATTAGACTATTAGTGTCGAGTGATATAAGCTATTTAGATTTAATATAGTTAGTGGTTAAAAGTAATATTATAGCTAGTTAATAGATAATAGATATATAAGTCTTATCCCGAAATATTATCTTATATATATATAAATCGATTTTAGTAAGAATAAATAATAATAGATATATAATTAAGGATTAATTATTATAGATAGATTAGAGATTTTAGGAGATTTTCGGTAAAAAAAAAAAAAAAAAAAAAAAAAACAAATTATAATATTTTAATTAGAATATACTTAATATTTAGACTATAGAAAAAAAAATAAGAAAAAAAAGAGGATAAAGCTATAATAATAGATCTAATATTTAATCTTAACTAATATTATTTTTTTTCTATTTTCTTATTATCTCTATACTTAGACTCAGCTTGTCTATTTATTAATATTTTAGATTATATTTATTTACTAATAATTAAGTTATAATAATAGCTTTATTTTATCTAGATCTTGTCTTGTCTAGATATTAATAATAATAGTTAGATTATTCTAGTAATAAGTTTATAGAATAAAAATAAGATATTATTTAGTATTACTTTCGATTTTTATATAATCTAGATAAGATAAGATTTTAGATTAAGTTTTTAGATCTAATACTAGATCTAGGCTAAACTAGATCTAGGTTAAATTAGGTTAAATTAGATCTAGATTAAACTAGGTTAAGTTAGATCTAGATTAGATTAGATTAAGTTAGATCTAGATTAAACTAGATTAAGTTAAGTCTAGATTAAACTAGGTTGAACTAGGTTGAGTTAGGTCTAGGTTAAACTAGGTTGAACTAGGTCTAGAGTAAATTAGATCTAGATTAGATTAGAGTCTTAGACTTGGTTATATAAAAGTCTAGTCTTTTTTTCGACTTTATATTAGAATTTTCGATAATAGTATAGATAAGAGTTAAGTATTTATTTAATTTCTTATTTCTTTTCTATTAATAATCTAAGCTTTTAATTAATATAAATAAAGATATTAGTTTTTATATTAGCTAATATAATAATAATAAAAGAAAATCTATTATAGACTTTTTTTATATTATATATAAGACTATTATTATTTATAAGATATCTAAAGTTAGTCTTAGATAATAAAGATAATATATATTTATCTAGGCTAGAGACTTGTCCTAGATAGACTTTTTTCTTAAATTAAGATCTAGGATAATATTGAATTTTTGATCTAGCTTCTCTTTCTTTTTCTTTATCTTCTAGTATTAATATTTTAATTAAAATGTTATTGGTATTTAATCTTAATTATGATCTAATTTCTTGTAGATGATTTTTTAATTTTTTGGTCTTTTTTTCTTAATCTCTATCTTATATATCTTGTTATTATTACTTAGTTCTAATAAGAATTATATAATTTTTTTTTAAGACTTTTAATTATATAATTAAGGAGTAGGGATATTAAATAGTTATTTAAGATATAGATATTCTAGATTGATTTATATAAGAGAGCTGATTTAATAGATATTATAATTTAATCTTTTTATTTTATATTTTAATTGAATTGTTAATCTTTTATATTATCTAACTAGGTCTTATTTTTCTCTATATCTTGTTATTCTTATTATTATTATAAAATTTATATCTTTTTTTCTTTCTCTTATCTCTCTTTTTCTT